GATAAATCAAATTAATTATATATTTTAAATTAATTAAGATATTAAATTCATATTTTTTTCATATTATCTTTATAATTAAATGGGATTTTTTAATTATTCTTATTAAATATATTAATTTAATTTTATTTAATATTATCTATAAGATCTTTAATAATTTTTTTATTATATCTTATTATTTATTAATTATATTAATTATTCCTCACAATAGATTTATTAATTATTTAATTCTTTTTTAAAAAGTTATAATTTTATTTTTTAAATGTTATATTTTTTTTTAAAATTAATTAATTATTTCTTTATATTATAATAATATTTATTTATAATATCTATCTAAAATAGTATTTAAATATTAAGTCATTTATTTTAGATATTTATAAATAGGCTTAATTAAAATAATTATATCTTATTTTTCTTTATAAAATATTATATAAGAGATTTTATATATATTCTTATAATATTATCACATAAATTCTCAATTCCATCTATTTTTAATTACCTCCTTATAATCCAGATCTTTGAATATATTTAAGATAAATAGTTCTAATATTCCTTATCTTTTAAATATTCTTTTAATAATAATTTTATAGATTCTTTTATAATTTTATCTTCTATATTTTTAAATCTATATTTCATTATTTTTAAATATATATTTTAGATTTATTAGATTATTAAAATTATAATAATAATAATTTATTTATTTAATTAATCATATATAGTATATTAATTCAGGTTTAAGGATTTAATTCTATCTTCTTTTATTATTAGAATCTTATTAGTTTTATATTATTTATTAATATAATTATATTTTATTTAATAATAATATAATAGAGATGTTTTAATTATTAATTTATATTAAAAATATTATTTTTTTTTCCATTTTTCTTTTTATATTCCAATTTATATTTTATAATGGTTTTTGTTTATCCAAAAAAAAATTAGATTCCTTTAAAGAAATATTTGTTTCTTTTTTTTTGGAATTTCTTATATTTATTATATTAAGATTTTATAATTAATTTATTTGATCTATAAAATTCTTTATGTTTATTTATTAGGTAATTTTATTATAATCTAGTGATAGGTTTTCCTATTCTTTTTTTTTTTTAATAATATTAAATATTCTTAAGATTAAAGATCCCAATATTGTTATTATTATATTGGCTAATCTTCCTTCTAAGATTTATAATTATTTCTTAGGTTTTTTATATTAGTTTTTATAATATTTTATTTTTTGATAATTATAATATTTAATTTTGTTTAAATTCTTTTTAGGTTTTTTATTATTATTAATTATATTTAGGTTTTAAATTTTAATTGGTTCTTTTTTTCTTTAATTTTTTATTACTTTGGAGCCTTTATTTTTTTTATTATATTTTTTATATGATTTATTATTATAAAGAATTATTTTAATTATATATTTATTAATGATAATAGATTATTCTTCCTTAGAGAATTTATCTTTTATTTAGGTAATTATTTTTTTATAAAGATAATTAAATTATATATTTTTAAATAATTATTTTATAATCATAAATTATTTAAATTTTATTATATAAAATATAGTTTATTTTTTTTATCTGAGATAATAAATGGCTTTCCATATTTTTTCTTTTTTAAATAATTTATTAAATATTATTTTCATTTTGTTTTCAAAATATTCATATAATTTAAAGATATATTAAAACTCTTTTATTTTTTTTTTAATAATATTAAAATGATTTTTTAAGATAGGTTAAAATTATATAAAGATAATTTTATTTAAGAATTAAGTAATAATAAATATCTATTATTTTTCCTATAATAGATTTTCTTTATAAAAAGATAGATAAAATTTGGTATATATAAGTTAATCCTTAATATCTAAAATTTTATTATAGGTTAATAGATTTATTAATTTATATCCTTTAATAAATAAAAAAAGGGTTATTATTCTTTTCTTCTTTGGTTGGAGATCTTTGTCTTTCTTTTCTTTTTTATTTTTTTTATTATTATTGTTGTTATTATTTAGAGATTTAAGGGATGTTAAAGATTAATAAGAGGTTCTTAATAAAGATCTTTTAGGGACCTTCCTAAATCTGGCCTTCTTTAAGGTTAATTATTTTTCAAATCTTTTAACTTTTCTAAAGATAGTTATTGTTTTGGCTTGTCAATTAAGGGCTTCTTCTTTTTCCTAGTTATCTTCTCCTATTCTAACATTGATTTCCTCTTGCATTTCCAATTTTGGAATCTATAAATATATTTTAAAAAATATTATCCTATTAATAAATTAACATATCTTTTTTATTAGTAATAAATCCCAAATAATATAAATAAATATAAATATTCTAGACAGTAATAAACTAGGCTATTATAAATTACCTAAGTCCTTATTCTGGAACTCTTTTTTATCTAATTTTTTTTCATTTTTTAGGTCAAGATCTATTAGTTTGTTCCATATCTAATTATAATATTATTCAAAAGGTAATTCCTAAAAGATATAAAGATTTTCTATTTTATCTTTAAAAATTAATAAAATAAAAAAAGATTTAATTAATAATGATAAAAGGATATTTTGTAGATGGTTTATACCATTTTTTAACCCAGTATTAATATTAATTAAAGAATTATTAAAATGTGATGAACTTATTTCTTAAAGAGATATAATTATTATTAGATTGGTTAATCTAGGATTTTTTGATTTAAAGGTAATAATATTAATAATAGGTTAAGTAATTAAATTAATTCTTATTTATTAAAAAGGCTTAAAATCTTTTTATTATATTTAAAAGAATAATCTTAGATTAATAATTAAAAAATTATAAAAAAGTAATTAGATATAGAAAAAATATTTATAATTATATAATTTAATATTTTTCCTTCTATCCTACTTTATTCTCTTTTACTCTGGAACCAACCAGAATAATATCTTCTTTATTCTATCCTATTCTGGAGCAAAATAGAACATTATGTTTTGTCAGTAAATAGAACAGACTGTTCTGCCATAGTTTCTTTGTGATTAAATGTCTGATGCCCTATCTGATTAGAAGAATGCAACCATGAGTTGCTGGGTTATGACATATTAGTTAAAAGCCTTTTTTTTTTCTTAATTATTTTTTTTTATTCTAATATTAATTTCTTCTTATATTTCTAATTCTGGGATTTATGAACATATCTTAGGAAACATTATTCTATTAATAAATTGAAATATTTTCTTTATTAGTAATAGGTCTTAAATAATATAAATAAATATGAATATTCTGGGTAATAATAAATTGGGTTATTATAAATTATTTAGGTCTTTATTTTGGAATTTCTATTTATTTGATTCTTCTTTACTTTCTAAATTAAGATTTATTAATTTATTCTATATCTAATTGTGATATTCTTTGAAAAATAATTTTTAAAAAATATAGAGGTTTTTTATTTTATTTTTAAAAATTAGTAAAATAAGAGAAGATTTGATTAATAATGGTAAAAAAATATTTTATAAATGGCTTATATCATTTCTTAATCTAGTACTAATATTGATTAAAGAGTTATTAAAATGTGACAAACCTATGTCTCAAAGAGGTATAATTATTGCTGGATTAATTAATCCAAAGTTTCTTAATTTAAAGATAATAATATTAATAATAAGTTAAATAATTAAATATATTTTGTTTGTTAGAGAGGCTTGGAGTTTTTTTATTATATTTAAAAGAATAATTAAATATATAGGAGATTTCTTTTTTATATATTCCTTATTAAAGTAGTTTTTATCTTTTAGATAAAGACCTTCTTTTTGTTTATCTCTATTATGTCTTTAAAGATCTTTAGAGATTTTCTCTTTATTTATCTCTGTAATATCTTTAGAGATCTTTAGAGGTCATTATATAAGCCATGATATATAATCTCTATTACTTTTATAAAGATCCTTTCCTGATTGGTTATTCTGGTCCTACCAGGTCTTTATTCCTTGGCCCTCTTCCTGTTGGGTTGTAACAGAAAGTTCTATTTATGAAAGTATGTAATGAGGTAATCATACTTAAAGGAGAGTATGATGACTAAAACAGATCACATACTCTTTATTATATAACCATCATATATATTTAATCATTTTTTTTATAATTTTTTAATTATTAATTTAAAATTATTCTTTTAAATATAATAAAAAGATTTTAAATCTTTTTAATAAATAAGAATTTATTTAGTTATTTAATTTATTATTAATATTATTATCTTTAAATTAAGATACCTTAAATTAATTAATTTAACAACGATTATACCTTTTTAAAGCATAAGTTCGTTATATAATTTATTTCAACTTTTAAATAATTAAAACTTCATTAAAAACCTATTATAAGAATTAAAACTATTATTTTTAGATGTAAATATTATTAAATATAACAATAATAATTCTTATTTATTTGCTTATATATTGCTAAATTAATAGTTAGGTCAGTGACGACTAGCGAATCCTCGGTGTTCTATGTCTTCGTTTTTTGCTTCACGAGTAAGTTCCATTTCTATCTACCCGCATGGCGTTTTTCTCTAGGTACCTTATGTTTTTGAACTCCTGCATATCCTCTTCCTCGTTTGGTCCGCACTTTGGGGTGCTTGTGGTACTATTTCGTTGGCGATTTTGCAGGACATTAGTCTTGGAATTACTTACGTCATCAAATACCAAAATATTTTTTTCTGCATGACGTGATAGCTTCATGGCGGTACGTTCACTTTCAAGGGCAATTAATAGTTACCAAAGCTAACCGGGCTTCTGTAACCGGACGCGTATGATCCAAAGCGATTCGCTGATCAATTTCGATCGCCCCCGGGGGACGGCTTAATGGGGATGAAAACTAGAAGAGATGAGCGCGGGGTGTTTACCACAAGCTACATTATGGCGGCGAAGGCCTGCTTGATAAGCACCGAGGTACCTAGGTGGCGCACACTAGACGAAATTACTCCCCAGCCTACCTAAGTACGGGCATTTTTGTGTTGTAGGCGACGGTCGGCAGCCAATCACGACTGGCGAGCAGGTACTTAAGTAGAACTACCCATAAGGTACGCCATACGTTTCAGCTCGGGCATTGGCGGCACGGCATTCTGCCTTGGGTTTCTCTCTGCATGATGGCACGCACAAGGCTGGTCATCAAATTACTCAATTCTAAATCCCGCGTATATTGGGAGCCGGAAGAACTGAGGCACTCAATAAATCATAGAAGATATTTTCAACCATCGCCTATCTGTGTCTTGGGTTGCTGTCATGTTTAGCGTCCATGTTGTGTGAGAAAACACGTTTTTCGGTTCAACGATGGTTAGAACGCCCTACCCCACCTCGAGTCCTTTCTTACATTGAGATACAGCCTCTGAGGCAACTCTATCCCGACATAAATCAGGATAACAGCAATACTGCATCCAATGCGGGGCTGGTGGCCAAAGTCGAGTTGGTCGACGTTCCTTCCTGCAATAACGCTGCTAACAATTTTAAGTGTCATTGCCGTCCATGGCCTTAATCCCCGAGGTAAAGCTGACTCTGATCATGCCTGGGACACATGGCGTACGCCAGCAGGCGACGACCTTCCTCGAGACCTTCCCGAATCCCGAACCTTCCTCTATCAATATAACTCGACAGTGGTATTTGGAAGAGACAGAAGCACCTTCATCGACAAGGCGAACAACTTGCTAGAGGAAATAAGAATTGAAAGATTTGGCATAGAGTCACGGCCTATCCTGCTCCTAGGACATAGCATGGGTGGTATATTGATCAAGCAGGCCCTGGTCAATGCTCATAACAACCCACGCTATAGTTCTATCAAATTGGCGACTCAGGGTGTAGTCTTCTTTGCTACGCCACACCGCGGCGCGGATGGACTGCTGCTAACCCTAGGGGATGGGTTATCAACAATTGCAAGTTACCTAGGCTTTCAAAGAGGAGAAAATATTCTGGAGGTACTCAAAAGCCAAAGTATCATTACCGAGACTATGCAGGAACAATGGAAGCACCAGTTAGAACAATATCATATTGTATCCTTCTGGGGTACTTTTGACGATGTAAGTCTGGGAAACTTGATCAGATATGATGCCAGGCTAATACCACACCACAGATTGTATCTCGACAGAGTGCACGTTTGGATCTACCCGGTAATCGAGAGAGCTTAGTACAACTGAACGCGGACCATAGTGGAGTATGTAAGTTCGGCTCAAGCCCAAACCGACCAGGATAACTTTAAATTGGTGCGAGGCAATATGAAAGAATTATTCGAAAAAGTAAAGGCGACAGGTCAGTCGAGAAAGTATCCTCTTGGCTCAGAGGCCCAATGTAAAATAAGTGGAAGTGGTGTAACGAAGTCCTTGCCCCTGTTACGAGACTAAAACTATTCTAATTTCCTATCAAATTTTCTTATATATTGTCCCCGAGAGGACCCATTACTAACCATTACGTTAAGAATTAGCCACCGACAAAGAGAGGCCGGAAATCTTAAAGAGCCTCGATGTTTTACCATACAGAGATCGCAAGGACAGAAACTCAGAGCGCGTCGAAGGGACGTGTGTATGGTTCACCGAGAATCCATTATTTCATACCTGGCGAGATAGTGTAGAATCCCGATTTCTTTGGTTGTCCGCAAATCCAGGATGTGGGAAGTCTGTTCTAGCAAGGTACTTGGTCGACGAAGTGCTCCCTAGCACTGATACAAGAACAACCTGCTATTTCTTTTTCAAAGACGATTTCGACGACCAAAAGAGTTTATCATCCGCCTTGTGCTGCGTGCTACGACAGATTATCGATCAAAAGCCGAACCTACTCACTAAAGAGCTCGTTAAGGAATTCAAAGCTAGCCAGACGGTGACTAAATCATTCCAAGATCTATGGGATATGCTGGTTGGTATTGCCGGTAACCCGAATGCCGGAGAAATAATTTGCGTCATAGATGCTTTTGACGAGTGCGAGCAAGCCGAACGACAACAATTAATAGCGGCCTTGAATTGGTTTTACTCGCCGAATTCTTTGCACAGAACCAAGTGCAAAGTCAAGGTTTTCTTAACCAGTAGACCATACTTCGCAATCCATGTCGGTTTCAAGCCTCTCAAGGATCTCCTCCTTAATCTTCATCTTGATGGAGACGATGAAATTGACCAAATTTCCCAAGAGATCAACATATTTATCATGAATAGAATAAGTGATCTCAAACAATACCATATGCTTTCCGAATATGGTCAGGCCACCCTACAACAAGCGGTTACTCAAATTCGCCATCGAACATACCTATGGGCGCACCTGATATTCGACGACTTAGCGAGGAATTTCATCAATCTTCCAGAGAGTAGCCTGAGGAACTATATCCGTGAACTTCCCCGAACCGTAGAAGGCGCATACGATAAAATTCTACGAGGCAGCTCTAACCCAGAAAAGGCTAAACGACTTTTAAGTATCATAGTGGCGGCAGAGCAACCATTATTATGCAAAGAGATGGCTGTGGTTTTAGATATAAGATGCGATCACCGAACATATAGCCATCTAGAATTAGACGACGATGAACGGTTTTGCACTCGGATCAGAGAGCTGTGTGGACTTTTTGTAATAATTGTGGACTCAAAAATTTACCTCCTTCACCAGACAGCAAGGGAGTTCCTGGTCAGGATCCTAGACCATCAAGCTCCAAACCCCGCTACGACCAATAAGCTTCATTAGAAGCACTCGATCGAGTTAGTTGAAGCGCACCGTATTCTCGCCGAGGCTTGTATATGGTTCCTTCTACTTGAAGACGAAGCACCACCGCGAGGTGAATCCAGGAAATGGCAGAAACGCAACAACTATTCCAATTACTTCCTCCAATATTCGGCCAAGCACTGGATTAGCCACTATCGTTCAGCTCGAGTCCAATATCACGAATCGCTCCAAGACTTAATACCACGTCTACTAGCCCCAGAACTGAGGATGAGATGGTACGAAATTCGCACAAATTTCGAAGCGCATGTATTGCAAAATATCACTGTACTGGCGCTAGCATCGTTCTTTGGATTCGATGATGTAGTAAGGCGGTTATTAAATGGCAAGACAAACGATATTGAGTTAAGAGGTATTGTGTACGATGACTGGCCTAATACGATAAATGGAACGCCATTAGCATGGGCGGCCGGCGCAGGACATGCCACGACCGTCCAACTACTCCTTAGTCATGGAGCAGACACCGAAGCTGAGTGCAGACCCGGTCCGCCAATTTTTGAAGCCGTTTACGGGGAGCATGACAGCATCGCGCTGCTATTGCTCGATAGCGGTGCAAATTTCGATGTCAAAAATTACCTTGGCCAGGCCATTCTTTATGAAGCTGCACGCGAAGGGAGGCATATAGTCGTACAGGCGCTCCTAGAAAAAGGTGCGAATGTTGAAGCTAGGGATAAATATGGGTGCCCAGTGTTAGTGGCATCTATTCTGTATTCGAGAATAAATAACAAAGCCCACGAAAGAAATTCTATACTACGGCTCTTAGTCGAGAATGGCGCGAATGTTAATTCGAGAGATAACCACGGCAATACATCCTTATCAATTGCCGCTATGAGGGGATATTATTCCGTAGTCGAAATCTTACTCGACGAGGGTGCGGATACTGAATTGAAGGACGAGAAAGGGAACACGCCGTTGTGCTACGCAATCCACAACGACCACTATGACATTGCTAATATATTACTAGAGAGAGGTGCTAATGTCGCGGTATGGGATCACGAAGACTGTTCCCCGCTGCTTCTTTGTAAACCGTCTGGGAATGAGTGTCTAAAAATGATGTTTGGAAGCCTGGGCGTTAATGTCCAAGCGCAGGAGGACCAAATACGCGTGCCCTTTTGGGTGGTTGTCAGGGGTATCTCTTTGCTATTGGCTTGGAAACTGCAGATCTATCCGGGATGGTGGGATAAGGAAGGACAAGAGCCATCGTCTTAAAATTGCCGTTCTCAATAACTTAGGCGACCCTCTTGATTTTTTCCACCATTATCGTATGCCTGGGATTCCCAAGCAACTGGAGTCCGATTTTGGGGTAGCTATCAATATTTTAGCGACAATAACCTCGCCAACAACAGAGACGGAGGATTCCGTTGTGCTTCGGGAATTACTGAATCGGGATTGATGCTTTGAATTTGATCCTGAAGTAGATGATGACGGAGCTTCAGTGGTCCGGGATTTAATTTATGAGCCATGGGATGAAGAGGGCGGGTCATGCTACTGGCCTATCATAAAGGCCATCAAGATGGTATTGAGATCATATCCGCCTGGGCGAGTGCCTACATGTTATTGGCAGTCCTGACTGAATACCTACCTACCTAGGTAGGTAGGTAGCTGTATATTGAATCCACCATACCTACGTCGGCCAAATGAACGGAACTTATAATTTATGGTGTGTAGATATACATATGTAGAATTTATTATTTTTTATATTTTTACAGCTTCATACCCGTCATCTTGGCAACCCTTAAACTCTGTCTCATACTTAAATCCAGCATAATCTCCTCGCTACCACCAGGAATGGCATAAGCACGTACATCACGGTACAGGCGCTCAACCTTCGCACCCTGGCCTCCGCGTGAATAACTCAAACCACCGAAGATTTGACTAGCTTCTCGCGCGCAGAACTCGAAGGTCAGGGTACTCTGAGCCTTGAGGCCGGCGATGGGACCACCGAGACGTAACATGGCCTCGGTCTCACCCATCTTCTGGCACTGGTAGATTAGGTTCTCGAGCCAGCTATACGAGGCCTCGATCTGGCGCGCCATATGTGCGAGCTTCATTCGGATTACGGGGTGCTCTATAAGCTTCTTGCTGAATGTCCTTCGCTTGTTGGCGTACTTGACGGATTCTTCGTAGCATACGCGCGAGAAGCGTAGACATTGGATGATGATGCCCATGCGTTCGTGGTTGAAGTTGGTCATGATGACTGTTTAGAGTTAGTTATTTACTAATATGTTGAAGGGATTAGGGTGTTATTTTTCTTGCTTACCCTTGAAACCCTGGTTCTCTTTGCCGAGGAGATTTTCGACGGGTACCTTGACATCTTCAAAGGTGATGTAAGTGGTACCAGAAGACCACACACCCTGGCAGTCCATGCGCCTCGTGCTCACACCACCGGCTTCGCGCTCGATGAGAAGTAAGGAGATACCGTTCATGCCCTCGCCACCCGTTCGTACAGCAGTGGTGAAATAATCACACCATATACCGTTCGTGATCCACTTCTTCTCGCCATTGACGATGTAATGCTTGCCATCTTCGCTAAGCTTGGCCTCACAAGTCAAGTTCGCGACATCACTTCCCGCATCGGGTTCTGTAATGGCTAAACATATCCTCTTCTCGCCAGTAAGAATACCAGGCATAATTCGGTCCTTCAAAGCCTTCTTGCCGAACTTAATTAACGGCGGGCCACCAATTCCGAAACCTCCGATCATGCTCCAGACGAAACCACCGGATCCGACGCGCGACAGCTCATCGGTGATGATCATCTCGTGGAACAGATCCCATTGTTCCGGCGACACAGACTTGACGCTATTCTTGGTATATTCTTTCGGGTAGTGCACACCCAACAGACCCGCGAGATAACCGCGACGGCCCATCTCGAGGAAGATCTCGCCCGGCACTTCCTTCTTCTCGTCCCATTCCGTGACGTTGGGCTCGATTTCGCTTTCGACCCATTGGCGGACTTCGGCTCGGAGAGCGGCGTGCGATTCGTTGAAGTAGGGGGAGTGGAACTGTAAATCGAATTGTTAGCTGCGCCATTGAATGGCAGACACCGTGGAATTGGAACAAAGACATACACCTTGGTACCAGCTAGGATCGCCGAAGGGAATTAGATCACCGAATGGTTCTAATGCCTCAGCTTCTTCTTGTGCTGTGGGGGGAACGACGGCTTGCTTGGTTTCCTTCGTTGGTTGGGGCGCAGCGTATGTGCGGGATGGTTCGGGTGTTGGTTCAGGTTTCGGTTCGGACTTGGGTTTCGTATCTAACGAGCCAATTTGCAGCGATGGCTTATACTTCTTGAGGATACCCTCGTTGTGGTACTTCCAGAATTGTTTGGAGGCATCTTTTCCGGCGACTCGAGTGAGTATCTTCTTTCCACCTATTTCGCGACGAATGGGATTATGATTAGCGGGTTGAACTTTGAAATAAGCTTATTCCACTCTGGGTACATGGATTACTCCAGCGTCCCGAAAGTTTAAGTTGTGTTTATTTGGGGCGAAAATTGGAATGTTTGGTAATTCGGATGGAGACATACCAGGGTGTTCATCTTGAAATTTTGTTAGGTCGTATACATCGTCATCGACGACGATCCATAATGAATCTCCCTTGTTATGCGACGCGACGTCGCTCTTGGAGAAAGTCTTGGACATTGTAAGAGAAGAAAAGGGTATCTATACAGATAAACGATATATTCGAATGTAGAAATGATTAAGTATAGTGAACGGTACAGAGTAAAATAGTATAGATGAGCAGGTGGAAGATATTAATAAAGGTGGAAAGCTTCGATCATATTTTGCGCGACGTCGATCTAAAAGCTTTTAAAAGCTCGGTCATTACATCTTCTTGCCGAGCCTATTCTCACTTTCCTGCGTAATCCCATGTGATTCTGCGCAAAGACGGCGACGGCCCTGTTCTAGGACTAAAGCCGAAAGCAGCTACGAAGGTACTACGTTAGCTTACTACGGGTACATTGATACGAAATATTAAGCCACTCAGCGTACCGCTATTGGTGATGACAGCCCTGGAGCCCACTACAGCCCACTGCAATATCCAGTCTACCTAGGTACCCCACGTTAAGCTTAGAAACATTAGAATCAATGTCCGGGGATTTTCGTGGGGAAAAGAATGCATGACTTGAGATTTTGCGGGTTCCCCTCGTCATTACTCGTACCATGTAAAGTATTATACATAGCGTATGTATTCATTCGAGTTGGTCATGCCCTTATTTTATTCATTGGCATGTGATCCGGATTTTCCTCAGCTCAGGGCTGGGAATGCGGTGGAGTACCCATGTACCTAAGTAGTGATGTCATCTTCTAATCCTCCGAGGTGTAGAGCCAATTAGACATGTCGGAAATTGGTATGACCGGGGTTTCATGGTGCCGAGGCACATCCTGAAAGCCCCACAAAAGGTCACTGGATCACCGACAGATTGAGGGCTCCTTGTGCCGACTCTAATCCATAAACTTTCGGGGTAAGCACATGGCTCTCTTCCGCGACTACCCCGAATCATCGTCGTTCCTGCTAGATAACAGGTTTGTCATATCGCCATTATTAATTCGACGATTATTGTTCGTCCCTTGGGGTTACGCGATTATGTTGCCGTTGGTGTACCTCAACGAAACGGGATCTGCCTAGGAGTCATCCGCGTCACGAAATTGACGAGAGAAATCCGACGCAGCCCTGTGGGGGTGATTTCCATCGAGGAAGGGTCCGGGCCATCATATTCCCCGTAAGATTGATTTAACTCATTGCTGAAAAGTCTGAGTCGAGGGAGTTATTCACTCGGAGTATGGTCGTATCGCTTTCCATTGTTGGTGATTACCTAGGTAGGTACCCAATCATAGTGAAAATCCACATTGCCCATAATTCTTTAGCGTGTTAATTGCTAACAATCACATAGTGATCGAACTATGTATGATTACCGTGGAGACATGTCGTCGCAATATTTCGTGAATAGTCGGTCTCATCTGCTGGCTGGATCTCAATAGAGATTGTTGTAACGGATCTTCGCGCGTATTGGCGCTGTCGGGAAGACATCTCATAATTCAAGACAGGCTACTAAGCGCCTGCGTCTCATGCTAAATACCACTGTAGCCAGTCACTACCTCTGTAAATATTATGGGACCACAGGACCAATAGCACTGACCACTAAATTTTAAACATTTGATTGGCTGACAATGCTTCAATTAGGAAACCTAGAATTAGAAGTCTTTGTTTCGAAGTTTCAAGTGAAGGAAAGATCAAAGGCGTGAGGGCGACTTCTTTAATAACATATCCATACAAATATCCACATAATAGGCGCTTGTTTGACGCTGAAGATACTGAATCACCCATTGTACGATGGTTGTATTTCCATTGTCTTCGCAGTTAAATATGTCCAGCACATCCTTAGCTGCGTGATTCAGTCATCATCACAAACAATTCATACACGCAGGAACGACACTGGTTGTCTTTGGTTTATTACACATTCCTTTCAACAATTAATTAATAATTCAAGAAAGATCCGAACCGTTCTCTTCTCTTCAGTCTACTATTCCTTCCCAAATTTCTAGGAACCTCCTAGGTTACTTGCGCCTCCTGCACTTTTTTCCCTTCATCGGCATCCAGCACATAGAACGGACCTACCCACTACGCAAATAGAGCACCAAAAAATCAACCATGCCTATCAAATCTTTCGTCAAGCGATTCGGCAAGGGTGCCGCCACCAAGCAGGTATACATCTACGAAACATGGGCGCGTTGGGTCGCGCGCGGCGTCCAACTCATCATGGCTCTCATCGTCTGCGGCCTGTATGGTAACCGCGTCCGCCACGACCACGAAGATGGCAACGGCCAGAACCCCGCATGGCTTTACGCTCTCGCCGTCTCAGGATTCTCAAGCATCACCTGCCTCCTCTACGCCATTCCCAACCCTTTCTTCCAGTCGCACCGTCTTTTCGCCTGGGATCTCGTCTTGTTCGTCCTGTGGATTGCGCTATTCGGTACCTTCGCCGTTATCTTCCTCAAGCGCGATAGCGGCGAGTACGAAGGCACTAGTGTCACGCTGATGAAATGCGCTGTCTGGGTTGATCTCGTCAATGCACTTTTGTGGCTCTGCACTGGCGTTTACGGTTGCGCGCGCACTTTCTTTGGTAGGAAGGTCAACAATAAGATCGACCACTACCAAAACAAGGCCGAAGAACGATTCAACGCGAAGGTCGACCAATATGCTGGCCCGGCGGCTAGCAACTTCAGCATGAAGCTCAACCCTCTACGTAGAGAGGTAGTGTAAATTACGAGCATATGAGGTGGGAGTGGAGGGGAGATACGGTTCGATAATGATGATGACAGGAGTTATCGGGGAGTTGACTCATTTACAATTATGCTTCTTCGGCATGGATAAAATAGCATTGCGACCGGTTGCATACATAGAAACTCTTTTTTCCTTTCCTTGTCAAACGAGCTTCCACTTGGTTTGAAGCCACATTGATCAGGTTTTCCTCGGGTTCCCTCACCCTGCAAATCGCGAAGAGGCCTAATTAGTATCAGCACAATTACCCCCCAATGTTTATATGCAATTTTACTAAATACTCTGTGACTAACTATGTGACTAAAACACAATGATATTGCAGCATAGGACACCATATATACCCCGCCAGTGCCACATTCTACAATGACTCTTCCGGCCACTTGTACGGTGGCCAAGGAAACTCCGGATCAAACTTTTGCTGCAAAGAGACGCTTCCTTTAGGGACCTTCTTCGTCGAGCCATCCGGCATTTTCACTCTTTTCTCATCCGGATCCGAAATGAAACTCCATTCGCTCTTCACTCCCACGGCCTTCGCCACATCTTCCTTCAACCGACCCACGCGATCTGGATCGGGCGCAAAATTTGACAGAATATCTGGATCTGTAGTTTCCTCAAACTCGCCTGGCCAAGCTATAATAAAAGCCGGCTGGTCATAACTGAACTCCTTCATATCCAAACCACCGCATTCAATCACAGCATCCTGTACGTAGTTCTCAGGCGCAGGCATGTCGAGTTCAAGATCCTCAACAAGCGTCATGTTGGCAATACTATAATTGACATACGACAGCGCAAGACATTCCGTCTTTATCAATCCCTCCCAGAGCACATTGGTTGACACGGCCTCGCCATCATCCACCTCGTCTTTTTCCGCGAAACGCTCCACGTACCACACAGCGTCTTTCTTGATGACCTGCTCATCGATGATGATGAATGCGTCATCGCGACCGGCTTTTTCTTCTTCGCGTCGGATATACGCATGCGACTTGCCGATGTAGTCCTTTGGTGGCTTCTTGATCACGAGCTCTAGCATGGTTGCGAATGGTGCGCAACTGCCGAGCTCGAATTTCTTCTTGAAGCTCTTGAGCTGATTGTTGGAGAGGTCTGTCATAAGGTAGGCGATGAGCCTGTCGACATTTTCGACTGGTGGAATGTAAACCATATTCAATTGAGTGGTTATTTTTTTAAATATAAAGAAGACGATAGCTGCTTGAAAGAAGCAGTTGAATTCAACTGATATTGTTTGGAGAGCCGCTTTTATATATCTACATCATACCTTAGGCACCTATCTACATTGGCGTTCCTCTAGGTTACTAAGCCCCATAAAAGAACGGCACAGCGACCATGTAGGGGTTAAAAAGGGGCTATAAGAGCGAATTACAGCGGGTCTAGTTACCACTATGAAGAAAGTCTTACCAACTGAATCCTTTCGTTGCCTAACTGCATTGACAAGACTTTCTACACGAGTTCATAGACTAAACTTATCAGGCAACTGTCTCTTTTATTATATAAATTTGTGGGGATCACCTATATACACCCTTAATAAGATCAATTGTAACAATGACGGGTAGCTATTATCGTCTCCATAACGGACTTATCCCCAGGCATACAATGGGAGATAACCCAGGCGAATGCCTCCTCGAAGAAGTTACGTTGAATCTTTAGGCTTATCTTTTATCTTGAGAACTATCCGTCATATCTATTCCGGCCCGCTCCGCTAACCGCCGCTCAATAACTTTAGCTGGCTCAACTAAATCGAGTTCGGTTAATAAGTCAAACACATCATACCAGTTACTGTTTACTTCGCCTTGCGCGAGGTCAAGAATTACTTCCCATAGTCGTTCAAGAGGTGCTGTACGTGCGAAATCGCATACTCCCACTGCAATTTTGCATTGAGCCACAATTTCATCAGGATCAACGCTCCCTGCGGCTTGCCGGAACTCGATGGTTCGGCCGTTTTGGGTTTCCCTGCTCGGCAATGGTCCTTCCATGACTAGCTTACGATAATACATATGGCCGTAGAATGTGAATTTGTACGCCATAGGGCTAAAAGAATCCTGTTCCATCAACAATGAGATTGTTGGCGGGTTTGGACTGTTGAGCAGCTGTTCGACGGCAATGGCGGTGGGTAGGGGCTTGCCCACTTCGTATTGGGGGAGCCTGGCCGCAAAGGCCGGCTGCCTGGTGTCAAATTCGTTCTGGTCTAGAGTATAACCCTTTAAAAAACCCCGCTGAAAAAAGAAGTTCGCATTTTGTCCTCTTTTTTCTTCCCGCGGAAGAGCGCCCGTCGATCTACTAGAAGTAATTGGAGGACCCTCCTGGGTTAGGTTATTGATTGACCTACTTGCTTCTATGCTGGGTGCACCATGCGCCAAGGTAGAATAAAGGCGATTACTTATACAGTAGTGTCTCTGGGTGGTGCGGCGGACTTCGGGATGCATCTGGGTTAAAATCGGGTCAGCGGCGTACAGAAAAGCGCTGAGTCTGCGGATTTCGTCAATCTCGAAATAATATTTTCCTCGACCGATATGTACATGAAGGCCTGAACTTTCTGGGGCATACAACCAGAACGTATCAATAAGCGCCTGTACGACTCGGCGAACTTCTTCGAATGACTTTTCAGTCGCAAAAAGTGCCGGGGAGGTTATTTCTACGTCCTCCCACATATGCTTCGTCGCATCCCAATCCTTCAAAAGAGCGTCGTCAGGGTTTACGCTGTAGTCCCTCTTCACCACCCAACCCCTATATTTATGCAAATGGAAGTTGTTCAAGTCGTTATCTAGGGAAACCTGCACGTTGGTCATATTAAGGACGCGGTCACCTTCGTGGCCCCGTACCGCATTGTTAATAACATGTTCGATCGACTCACGGATCGTTCGAGTTATTCCTACACCTTCAGGAACGATAATCGGGTTACCTGGCGCATCACGGAACATTTGAGGCCGGTTTTGCTTAGTGTTCCCTCTTTGGTAGGCAACGATACACTCGATTTCGACCCCGAAGCTAGTTTGATTAGGCGTTGCCATTGTGCGCCGACTCTTAGTACAAAGTGATATATGGTATAAACTCACTGATCTTATAAGACGTTTGGTGGTTTCTTTATCGATCGATGACTTTTGGTATCGCTTTTGGGTATGGCAATCCCACAAATCTGCCATGGCTGGGGAGTCGAATGATTATGTAGACCTCACAACAATAGATAACAAAGCAATCGTGCCGTAGGAAGATAATTGTTCGCTCACGGTGTTTTCGTTTGGATATAATCACTCTGAAATTCCAGTATACGAAATAATGACTAAGATGATAGTCCATGGACCAAGCCCTGTTTAACAATGCAAGCGGTTATAATTTCTTTGAAACTGAAATGATAGAGGAAAGACGTAACTCATCTTGGTCGATGAAATATCTCGTTTAAGAGCCAACTTCCCATGCCACGGTTATAGGTACAGACGACGCTATTCCGCACTTGTATACATGTAGCGTGTTAAGAGATATGATACTTCTATTGGATATCTGATTTCGTAACGCTATGCTCCAGCCTATTGCTTGTATGACACAATCCCAAATACGTCCCAACTGGTATCTCGAAATACGCATATGCCGACGAGGAATTCGCTCAAAGTGAAACGGGAAACAATTTTCTTGGTTTTAATAATCGACTTAAGAATGATCGATGGAATAGGAGAGGGTAGTTTCGGTTTCTGCTGGGATCAGCTCCTCTCGATAAGTAACCGTTATGAACCCCGCGATATTCGTTTTTCAAAGCGGGGCAAATAGAGCGAACCATCACATACGCCACCCAACCATCTTCCTCTTTGGAACTCCCGTTACATGCCCGTATTCATGATACCGCGGTTTGTGGTAAGAGGTTAATCGCATCGCAGTACAGTCGTGACAGTAACCATCAAAGTACATTTCTCGGCGGTGTGAACAGCCACGGCACGTCTGTATCAGAGGGGCAGCTGTCCACCAAGGTGACTCTGGAGGGTAATAAGAGTTATGAGTGACCCTTGAAGATGTATTTATTCTCGACGGCACAAGACGCAGTGTTGAGCCTGGCGCGTTATAGATGACGGCGTTGCTATTCCTTAACGTCCTCTGGTCGACTACCATTCGCCCTTCGTTTACTATGTATTGTGTAGGCTGGTTGCTATTTCGGCTTTCTCGCAAAAAGCGATTGGCTAAATTGCGAGTCATGTCGTGGCTTCGACAACGATTATCGTGATAATGAGCCATCGTAAGTTAAGTTTTTGCGTCGATTGAGTTGCTAATGTGTTGTAGCGGTGTGGCAATGGTGGTTTTTGATCTGAAGGATTCTGAATCCACTTGGGGGGTTTCTTTTTCTTATATGAATCTTACATGAGGGGCAATCGAGAAGATAGAGAGAACAACAAGACTCAGCCCCCAACGCTATCCCATCTGGGCAAACTCATGCATGTCATGCATTGCTCGACTGCGCTATTCCGCATAAGTTACGGAAGAACCGATATGATTTCCATGCTTTTTCCATGGCAAACATGTGGTTGGGTGCTCTCAGCCGCTGGGCGAAGCTGGTTATCTGATGTCGTTTTTTATCAATTGATGACACCAACAACGGACTGGTGCCTAGGGGTGCAACATGCAGGAAGAAAGCTGTGGTTAGTCATTGATAAGGCTGCTTGTGTCGCCGAATAGACACGTCAGATGTTACAATCTCGATGACTAGTTCATGCAAACATCTAGTTTAATTGCAGGATCAATTGGCCATATTTTCCGCCTTTGTATCATGACAGACTAGAAATGCGGACGGCGCTCGCTGCGGTCTTCCGAGCGGGCGTGAGGGAAGGGAGAAAGGGAAAGAAACGGGCGCGTAGGACCGCCTAAGTGCGGTAGCGAGCAGGACGGCCTGTTAACGGGCCAACAAGGCCTATGACAGGGGTATCTATGCCCACATGAATCTTAGAATAATAAGTTGGTCTAACATGCAAGCCTTTTTTTTCTTCATTTTTACTTTCGGCTTTTTTTCAGAGTATAACTAATTCGAAGTTGTAATTCAGTGGCCTTGCACTTGCAATGGACATTAGGACTCAATTCGATACAAGGACAGGTGAGAGGGGAAAATAGAGAGCGGATCGGGACTGGATGGCGTTATATAGTGGCCGGATATGGGTACATACCGTAGGTACCTACCCGGTTACTCATCGGCGCACACCACCGAGACGTAACCGAATTTATGAAGCCGAAAAATCGGGTAGGCCCCCTGGCTCTCGGGATCACGTAGTAATTTAATCCAAAATAAGCTATGATGGATGTCGTCGGTGTAGGGGTGTTCCTTCATAGGCGCGCGTTGGTTTCGTATATCCATCCTACTTAGGTACCTATCGGTAGTTAGGTACTAGATAGTTACCGGAGCCTTGTGTGATGGGATTTACAAGATACAGTATGTAGGTCCGAGAACAGGTCTCCATGTTTCTATTGTCTCCCTCGCATTATCAGCGCCACTTTCGCTTAGCTCGGATGGTGTTCCTACCATTCAATTGAACCCCCCAAAGTTGATCTTCAGGCCTCCAACTATGGAACCGCACAGAAACGCAGCGCTTAATCTACATTGGCTTGATCACCATAAGCCACTTTTTCATTATCTGCAGGTTGTTTTGTTTTCCGCGCAGTAAAGATTAGCTAAATACATAGGTACCCATATACCTATAACAAATACTACGATCGCCACTAGGTCCATTGAACTTACCATCGTTAAGTATACTGGTGGTAGTTTCTTAGTATAGGGAACGATTGCGGGGAGGCCTGAGTTGATAGGTTGCATTGTAGTATTCGCTGGCTCAGTTAGAAGTCCTGGACCAAAGTTCGATGCTACGCCAGACAACTCATGTCTTCCTACGTTAATTACGGATCGGATTCTTCTTCATCATTCACCCAGCTCTATAATGTTCTCTCTTGATACTTTTCATCAAAAAACTGCCCAACGCGGCGATAACAAATTGTCTTACATCATGGCAGACGCTCCGCGCGAAGATTCCCCAGATACCGATCAATTCCAAACAATTTTAGCGGCCACGGACTTGATACGGAAGGAACATAAAAAGGAGAACGAGGAAGCGGAAGTTCTGTTCAAAACTGAGCAAAACTTACTCCAGAGTGAAATTGAACGGCTCCAGCAAAAGATGCGCGGCTTGGAGTACATGCATAAGACGTCCACGAGAGAGAAGAAACGCCTCCAAGACAATGAATTAAAATCCTATTTTAGGATGCTTTTTATTGAGGAAAAAGAAGATACACAACCACCAGAACCGCAATCACCGCTAGATCTACCAAAACCATCGGATGTACCAAAGCCGTCAGCATTAGAATCAACGCGACCAGCCGAAAGTGAGCATCAGAAGGATCGTGCGGGGGACCAAATTATGGACGCGATTACTGTGCATGATTCTGAATCCGACGGATCGGATATACCTCTTAGAGAGCGAACAAACACACCTGAAGTTTGTCAGTCCTAAACCCAGCAGAGTTCGTGTAACCTTGCTGGTGTTCCCGAATCGCACTAACATATTCACAGCTAAGCGAATTCGACATTAAACCATCGCCTGGGCAGCGAAAACGACAGCGGCCACATGTGCGCATAACAGAACCTAGGCGGAGTGGCGAACATTCTGATATACTACCACATCGGCATAAGAAACCCCGACATAGAAAGCATACCCATCCTGAAGTAGGATCATCGTCTTCCACATCAGGGCCTCGCAAGCGGAGGAAGAGCAAACCTTTTGAAGGTGTTATAAATCCTACAGCAGGCGTGGTTTATAAAGTGCAAGGCTCAAAGAGAAATGGATGTGCAGCAGTGGCTTTGCCAACTAGCAATTTTGGCGTAATTGGCATCTCGAGGTCGATGAGCGATACTGGTCTTGAGCGATCAATCCCAGAATGCTATCAATACGATGAGCAAACCCGAGAGATAGTGTGCTGGAAAGAAGAATACGATGATGGTGGCCCTCGGGTTACCGACCGCGAGTTTCCATTTATGTTCTTCGATGAGCTAGAGTACGTTCCGTCAGGGGGGAATTTCGCAGCTACTGGTGCCAGATTTGCTTGGATCCCCGCAAAAGACATAAGGCCATTCGATGTAGATTCAATGGTGTCTCGTATGGCGGCAGGGTATTCCCAAGCCAAGTTATTCATCCAGAGGCTTAAATGGATTATTGAAGAGCGCGAAGAAGAGAACCGACAAACTGACCTTCAAATGCAAGACGCCCAGGCTTTTACCGCTGGAGGGAACCAGTTGGATGCACAGACACCCAAAGCATCATCAACCACAAGAAAATCGCCAGATCAATTCCCAAGGGACATCTACGAAGTTCCCGAAGAATTAGAACCCATAGCATCCAGTTCTAAACAACTTCCTCAAAGTCCATGGCAATCAAATCACGGTCGTAATAACTCTCGCGGGAACCCAAATGAACCCCGTTCTATGGCACCATTTCCCACATTGCAGTCAATCTACCAGGTGACTTCAGGAGCCGGCTCAGGAGACGATGGATCTGATGACGCTGGACCGTATTGGTCGCCGTCCAACCCGGAGCACGACCAACAAATAAACGAGTTATTATTGGAAGCACGACGCGGAAAAGCGAAGGAGGTCGTCGATCACGACAACACCAGACATGCCGGCGCTAGAGGATCCCCAACCCCTTCTGCATCTCCATTCCTTAATTCATTGCGAGGCGTTCGTCTTGGTCCATTTTTACCTATCAGACGCACGAATGCCCACACTGACACCAATGATGAGAACCAGGCCAGATCGGCGGGCTCGAGCTCTAATACGCAGACACTGACCCATGAAGCAGTACAGAGGGATCAACCTACCCACCAAACAAGCAACGGTGCCTCGAATGGAGAAAGTACCACAGCACTCAATTCAACTGCTTCCGGTGCGCTATCGTACCTCAACACACACTTCAAATCCATGGATCATAACTGTATTGAAAGAAAAGAAGGATGAAGCCACTACATTCTCCATTGCCTTATTTGCAGGCGATTGAACAAATAATACTGCGAGAGATCTGCCGCCAACCTGCTTTTTATTTCCAGTGTACGCACGCCTTAAATTCTTTCATTGAAGAAATTTGTTTGGGTATATAAGTCTTTTGTATTTATTTTTATATGAATATCATGCTATGCGTGCAATTTACCAACGCTGATAACCTACTTGTTGATGAGTTCGGATGGCGATATGTATTTAGTGCAAATTGTGAAAGCTTGCTTTAAGCACAGAGATCGAATATGGAGCCCCTCATACAAGGCATGGGCAAAATTGTTGGTGCTACCTGGTATTCCTGTTCTCGTGCAGATAAATGTATATGCGTAAGAAAGAACTGCTAGTGTATTGTTTATTCGTGAACTACACCTCGCATCTTCTATAATCCGTCGGGCGCTGCGATTTTCGGGTTGAAGGGCCATATCCCAGGGGGCATACGGAGGATTCGATGATAGTCTGACGATAAGATATGCGCTTGTTCGGCGGGGTCTTCGTAACAATATGCACTGTAGTTGGCGAGTAACATTCTAACCATGCTATTCTGTCTAGAAAAACCTCGTCAGCGAAGTCATCCCTGAGGAGGTAATGTCAGTGTCGGAAATAGCTAGGCGCCCCAAGTATCACGGGCTTCTCCCCGATCAGTTCCTCGCGAAGCAATGCTCCACACAGCCATACACCCTAACATTTATGAATGATACTAGCTCTGCGCGTCTAACACACATCTCTAATACTATTCAAAGGTCTGCGCCCTTAGTCTCGAGACCAAAAATTGTTTTTGTGGTAGTCCAAGTAAATAGGGAAGACATGGTAGCGAGACGGAAAAGGTGGAGAAAGCATGAAAGGTAGCGATCACAGTGAATACCATAATATTAATTCTGCGGAGAAAGTAATCGACGACGAAGTGAGGGTTAATACAAGGAATGGGAAGGAAAATAGTAGGAGGGTGAAAGGCGAGTCGAATTTGAAAGTGGAAAATAGCAGGGAAAGGTAGGCAAATAAAAGAGTAGTGGAAGTAAAAGGAGATGCATCAGATAGAAGATATAAACTTGTTACAGCGAAGAGGAATGAAATTTGGTGATGATTAGCTTGGTAGGTGTTTTTCGGGAAAAAAGTGCCCTTGCTGGGATTCGAACCGTGGTATATTGGGACATAAAAAAAACACACACACGCATGCGTAGTCCAAAGGCGGGGCAAAGGGTACAGACACGGGACATGCGAAAAAACCGCTTGGCCAAATGGGTTTTTTCATCGCCTTCGGGGTCATCCTCGGGGAGAGAAGGCTGACATCCAATGCAATTACTTTGACATATAACCTTTCTACAGTTACTTGGGTTTTTTTTTTTTTTTTTGGAAAGCCAGCACCAGCACCAGCACCTGCGCTCCTTCCTTTATGATATTTCTAACATATTTCTACTTGCATACTACCTGCTATGATTCATATCGTTTGCTACGGAAACCCTGCTTCTGGAAATGGTACTGATTTCGAAATAAATTTTCGCCTCTATTTACTTTCACGCCTTCCTACGAAACTTAGCAAGCTTTTAGTTGATATCTACACAGTCTCTTCACATTACGTGATTTTCTACCCATCGATTGAATTTCTCCGATTACGTTCGCTCGTAAATCCTAACGCGTGAGTCTCCTTTCTTCGTTTAGAGACACGCATCGTCGTCGACAGTATTTAATTGCTGGGTGTTATCGAAGTCGTTACAATTGTTTCCATGCACCTAATACCTATCCAAATCCGCTAATAAATATATATCTTTGTAGACTTCGTTCGCGACTTTCCTTCTAAATGATGTTTTCACGGTGCTATGGTTCTGCTTATACAATCGCAAGGTACTGGACTCTTCGTAGAGATAGTAGTAGAGGAGTTAGGATGTATACGAAAAGTAAATGCATGAGAAATAAGAGATCCAGCACCCCTTTTAATCACATTGGGGTTGCGCGGGAAGGTACCTAAATTGGCTACAAGCGTTGCTAGTTAGAAAGGGTGGATACAAATTCGAGATAATGGATTTTCAGAGGCAATGGCTCCTTCCTGCAAAACAAATGCAAATACCCTACACATTCACAACTAAATATACCTAGTCAAAACAACGGAATAAAATTTTCTATGCCCCATATTTCTGCTATACAGTTACAACTGCAATCCACCCAAGCAATATATCAAAAATAAGGACAACTTTTTTTTCTTCCCCTTCTCTTCTTTGCAACTGGGCTAGGCGATTACAACTAGCACGACTCGTTTTCTTTCCCCTGCGGTTTCTTTTGACGGTCTCTTCCACGTATTTTCCGCAAAATATTCTAATCCTACCATCAAAGCCTCACGCATACAATTTGCTGCCAACCTACCTCCACACTAACTAACCGACGCTCGCCTATGTACGCAAATAATCCAGGGATGTACACACACCCAACATCGTTATTCCTCCCGTTGTATCATCACAGTCACCCTACATAGTAGAAAGAATGTCGTCTCCTACAGAAGCCGAACAGGTATTATGTCTTCAGAGCCCTGGCTTTGCATTTACCGAGTCGTGGGATTGCTGATGATAGTATTGCTTAGGCAGCAAAGACAGGTCATGAATTAGTCCTCCGAAGCTAGAGGCAAGAGGATGATCTTGTGCCCTTGAAGATTGGTGGTCCAACCTATAATAGAAAATATACGAAGGAGAAATTGAAGTCCTTAACTGCAAAGATCGAGAAAGAAACACCAATATACGAGGACTTCAAAATCAGAAATGATCAGCCGAGCGTAATATTTCTTACGGAGGACCATGAGACTGCTCTCCGATACGCCATCCACGCGCCGGCAGCAATAGACGCTCTCCATCAGCCATGTATACTGATGTATACTGATGGTTCTGCCAAAGGACGTTTTGCTGGCTTTAGCGTTACACATAAACGCTTCAGCATGTCAGATACGGAAACCAACAATAACCAGTGGATAGATGCGGTATATGGCCTCCATGGTGTTTCGGAGTCTCAATTTGCAGAGACATTGGCAGTAAATAGGGCTTTATGGAATGCTTACTATGAAATACTACACTGGACCGAACATAACCAAGGGGTAGTCCATGACAAACACCATATTGCCCCGAGGGTAATCATAATTAGCGACAACGCCGGGGCTATCCAATACTTTCAGAGATGTTATAAAAACATCAAAGCCAAGTCAGGACTCGCAAACGAATTCAAAGACAAAGCTCTCGACCCGCTCCAGCTGCTTTTACGAATGGGTGGTAACATTGAGCTGCGTTGGACTCCAGGCCACGTAGATGTTGAAGGAAATTGCCGAGCGGACCGCTTAGCGACGATAGGAACCTATTACGCACGCCGGATCTCTGTCACAGAAAAGTTCGACGTCGAGAGAGCCATACTTCCATTCGTAGCATTCTCTAAAACCGAAGGGCCCAGGAAAATAAGCCCATTCTTGATTTCATGTACTGGAAGCGAAAGGAGACAAGATACATTCTTCAAAGGCTACTACAATTAGATTTCGAGGCCGGCTCAGACGTAGTACAAGCAAGTAAACAGTATCACCCAAAAGCTGCTAAACTAACCAATTTAAACTGGCCAATATTTCGCACTTAGTCTCGTCGCGACCAACCAACGGTACCGCAGTCATGGATGCAATGTCGGCAATGGAATCGAAAACAGGAAAGTTACTTGATGTCGAAAAGGACCGCGAGAAGTATCAGAGAGGCACCCAGAAGAGAAAGGCGAGTAGCCGAGATGCCGACATTAACGATTTGGCACCCCCTCGTAAAAGGGCCAAGAAAGGCTATATACATGACAAACCTGTTACATCAAGGGACACAAGCCGTACAAAGGCTAGATATAAAAACACTAACCGCCCCATATCAACCTCCCAGAAAACTATTCCCTATTGAGAGATTTTGGCAGTGGAACATAGTCAAAAGTACCACCTACGCCTAATAGCCACACCTGACTAGGGTTCTCCGGGATCTCAGCGCCGTAAAGGAAGCTGTTGGGGAATCCTACATCAAATGGAATCGCTGCTTCAATCTCTTTAATTTCGTCAGCCGATAGCTTGAGCGTCAAGGCTTCGATATTTCCTTTCAGATGATCGATAGTTCGGCCACCAATGATGGGGAACACATAAGGCGTCTTACTGGCAACGTAGGCTTGCGCTACGCTGGTGATAATAGTACCCTTGCGGCTGGCAATACTTTCAAGGACCTTGCTGACTTTGATGTCGTTTTCGCTGGGTGGTATTTTGCGGCCTGTGGCACTCTTGCGCTGCTCTTCGGATTTGAACTTTCCACCACCTAGAGATCCCCAGGGGCAAATACCCATTCCTTCGGCACGACACATGGGGATAATCTCGCGCTCGAAGTCTCGTTGCGATGCCGACCATCTTCCTTGGTAAACGCTGAATTGACGGAGGCCGTGGTTGCGTGCGTACTCGTTCGCCTTACTAACGACCCAAGCAGGTGTGTCACTCACACCAAGGTGTAGAACCTTGCCAGAGACTACAAGGTGGTTAAGGGATTGCATTACTTCAGGAATGCTGGTAGAGAAGTCCCACCAGTGTATGTAAAGCTGCAGGGTAATTAGTCAAGTAGACACGGTAGAGGCTCTCCAAAGACGTACCAGATCAATGTAGTCGGTTTGTAATTTTTCTAAGCTCGCATTTACCGATAGGTGCAGGCTCTTGGAACCATTTCCGGTGTAGTTCGCCAAAATCTCTCCTGCACCGCGGGGTCCGGAATGAAAATTTGTCGTGAATTTGGTGGCGATGACCATTTGGTCTCGGACTCCACGCTTCTTCATCCATGCTCCAATACGTTTCTCGGATTCTTCAAATTGGTAATTGTTTGATGTATCAATAAAATTTCCTCCTTGGCTGTAGAAATAATCTAAGATGCTTTCGGTGGTCTCTTCACTACATTCGCCCACTAAGTTGAAAAAAGGGTATATATTAGTACTGACCGCCACAGGATCTTTGTTAACATGGTTCGGGGTACTTACTGTAGTCTTTCCATGCATCTCCAAAGTTCATGCTACCCAAACATAGAGGGCTGACTCGAATCGAAGCAGATGGTGATAGTATACGATAGCGAGCCAAAGGAGTTTTGGCTGGAGCAGCCATCGGCAAAGCCGTGCTAATAGACATTTTCTGTAAATTTCGGGTTCGGTGACTGTAATATCTTGGAATGGGGTAGCTCTTGCTTTGGTGCGTTAGAATTCTTGGCAATCTGAAAAGAGACCGGTGCATACGAAGTTGAAGATGACAAGTTGGAGGAACATATATAGAGGGGGAACGTCTATAAAATATATTTCTCGTATTTGACTGTTCAGCCGGAACGTGAGTAATGCATTATTAAAGTCCGACTTTAACGCCTACCTCAACAGTTACATTAGGTATTAAAGAGTCATGACGTCGAGTTGATATGTATAGACCCACATGCCTATTTCGTACCTTTCCAGCCGTTGATTGGTGGATTTAATGCAGTCACTATCTCCGCTGTAAACCCGCCATGCATCTCCGACGGGGCTTCGGTGATAGCTCTTTGCTCAGAAGGAATTCAGACGAGCTCGCGACGAGCCCGATACCCGGCCTTAACGCTTTTTCAACCCCATAGCTTGATAGCTTGGCTGCTTCCTTGTTTCAGAATATAAGTCAACTCACGGCCTCTTTTAATTCAACCTCAATTGCGATAAAGACTTAAATGCCTGGGTGCCAGGATATATAGCACGTGTGTGATTATGTAAACGATAAAGGGAGATCTTTGATCTGCGAGTGATTATGTAACAAGGACCGCTCAGAACAAGATATTACCTAATACACAGATTATCTAATAATCGTATTATCTAATGAGAAGAAGGAGGACTTGAGTAAGAAATTACTAATACAAATGATTATTAACATCAATCCAGTCACATTAGGTAATACTATGTGAGTGAGGTTGTAATGACATTTTGGGTAAAGAGTAAAATGAGTATTGCAGCAGTTAAGATAATGACTTTTATTTAGGGAGTGCACCCGGACAGCTTAAAAACTCGGAGGCGTTTAGGGCCTCCGAATCCCAATAGAACCCTTCCAGTTCATGAATGATATAAGGTATCCAAGCAAGTTCGTTAGTATATCACTTCCATATTGTCCTGGAAGATGCAGTATCCCAGGACTGTTGTCTAGGCGGAAGGAAATTATTAATCCATAATCTATAGGCATGGTGTCCAGCCGTGTTTCCGCTGTAATTATAGGGGGTTTAGTGCGCCGAATCCTTATAAATATAGTGAACTATAGCGTGCACCCCCTACAAGTAATAAATCAGCCAGTTAGACTGCAGGACATTAACCAATGCGGTAACCACTGTTAAGCTTGGTAGTCCAATGGCTTATATCTCCCCAGATACCTACAGGGGGGCTATAGATATACGTTACCCCACAGGTTAGATAAAAAATCCACTATAACCCGCGCGGCGTCCCATTAAGCCTACAAGAGTTTCTTAGAAGTCCAACCTGCTCAGGCGTTTTCGCAAAAGTATATGTAATATGCCGACTAAAGGTACTGATCGAACTCGGGTGCGTAAAAAAAATTTAATTCGTGAAAATATCGCCAAGTGACAAAACGGCGAGGTAGCCCTTCTCGTGTGGGGTGAGGGGTAGCATCGCTATTTACGATCCCTTGCCGTAGCATGGGCTGTCTTAACCAAGACATACGCTATAGTCACAGTTATTTACAGTGATGTATGTACCCACGAAGCTCAGTATAGATAGGTAGGTTATTTTCGAGGGAATATTATCAATGGCAATGGTTTCGATTCTTCTTAAGATCAGCCAGTAAATATCGCCCCGCAACCAAGGAAACGTTCTAAGGCACTATTTACGGACGCGAAAATAAATTTAACACAAGATTATGCTAAACATAACCACATCAAATACGGCTATCATGCATATCATTTCGCCTTCGCCTACTACCTAGGTAGGCAGGTACTCGAGAATTTAAGTATCGAAAGAGCTACCGACTCCCGTACCTGCTATGTCGCATAGATATCGGTACCTAGGTAGTTAAAATAGGGTTGCGGGATTCCGAATAGAACCTTATTTTTAGCGGCGTTGTAGTGTAATTAAGGATTACCGACGTCTATCGTACCTGCCTAATAGGGGATCGTCTAGGTACCTAAAGCACCTAAAAAGAAGTACTGCACCGGTCTTGGTACCTATTAATTGGAGATTGTAGTTATCAATTTAGCTTCCAATTAACATACCTAGGCATCCGAGAAATGAGTTCATTATTAAACCAGCAGGATACGCTCTTTGATGACGATGATCAACTAACAGCTCGAAACATATTCAAACAAGAGACCAAGTGAAAGAAATGCCCCGGGCGACCAAAACCCAATCGAGAACCACCGCCAACAGCTAGCCTGACCCTGAAGGTCGACTTTCGCGATCATAACCGCTAACGATGATATACAACCTACGGCAGTAATTAAATAATAGCGAGACCCCGCCCGGATTAACACTCCGTACACAATCAAGAAACCCCCATCAAGAGCGAAAAGAAACCATAACAGACTTTTCGTATTTTCTTTGAATAAAATCGCAAGATTTTTAATTCCCACCCTCTCATCGTCAGCTATGTCTTGGTATGTGTATATAGTGTCTAAGATGCTATTCCACAGCGCCAAAGCCATCACCAAGCACATGGTAGGTGCGTCCGTCCATGGCTTCTCAATTCCCAAAGTTGAAGCACCAACTACAGCGCCCCAGGCTAAAACGGCACCAAGTAGAAACTGGGGAAAGTAGGAGTGTAGCTTAGCCCAGGGATAGTATATTGCTCCGATGATGCTTGGAATAGTTGACGTCGCCACCGCTCGAGGGAGGAAAAGCAAGAAGGCGAAGGCACATAGCGCTTGCGATACAGCGAATATGAATGCCTGCTTTGGAGTTATATCACCTCTTGCGATAGGCCTTGTCTTGGTTCGGGCTACACGCCTATCAATAGGGGCATCGATGAGATCGTTCCAGATATGCGCGGCGTTGGAGTAGAAAAGACTCCCTCCTAATAGTAAGAGACATGTGTGCAGAACTTCAGATGTCGCGAGCCCTTTTATTCTTGCGGCGTGCATGGCTCCACAGAAATGGGGAAGATATATCACGAGCGGCGCTATCGGTGGACTGAGGCGCACGAGTTGTATGTATGGGATCCAGGGGCGAGGAAAGAGGTCGACCCATTTGGCTGAGTGAACACCTCCGTATTGTTGCGAAAGGTATTGCGTCGATTCGCCGGAAAAGCCTTCGTGTCCACGTTCCTCACTCATGGTTCAGATATATGGCCTGAGTGCCAAGATCATGCGAAATGTTTCTCATTAATGATATTAAATAAATAATTTCCTATACCACCGCCGCCACACCATCTTTATCCCATTCAAGGAGTTCTACTCAGGCTAGGTAATAAATAACGTCATCACGGCCTACTTGTCGCCCTATAATTACGCACGGAGAAGTCCGAAGGGGTGCCCCGGATATGTCACCGCGCTCTTGAACTACGCTGTTCCCTGCTGTTTGAAGCTAAAAGCGTCAGCAGTGGTATCACAAAACCGATATCTAGCCAGTAAATCTACCGTATGCTCCTTTTCTTTGGTCCGAATTATCTGCGTGGACTGGTCGGTTTATGAAAAGGATGGGTGTCAAGTTTTTGGGAGGAATCCGGTGTGATGGTTCTATGATGCGCGGGAGAAGAGGTAAGAGAGGGCGTAGATAGAAGCATTAGACAATCAGCCGTAGTAATCAAGGACGATTTGGAGTGATAAGATAATAATTACAGGTTAAAAATGTAGTCTAAAGAATGTTAAATACCATCGCAAGTTCCCAATCATCCATCCAAATCTATAATAGTCCACAAATCGTAGTATCGTCTCTCTCTAACCTAGGATCGATCCCACTATATCCCCACTATTTAAAGGATACACGGGGGAACAGGGAGCCTCCAATCACGGGTTCGTGCAAAACGTCTCGCTTGGCGATGGCGGTACCGTTGCCATATACCTTCGCGATAACATCAGCCCATGTGACTCCTCCGTAGAGTGGGCCATCTGAGTCGCAGATCGTATCCTTGGGGGGAAGGGTGCCGTTCACCCAATAGGCGGAAGTGGTCTTGATGGTGCAGCTAGAAGGTGCGGCCAATGAGGCATGCTATATACGTTGCCGATGTTGTCAACTTCCGGCACTAATCGAACTCGGCTAAGGGGGAAATCTAAAAGGGGGAACCTACACCGTATCCGTCAACCTCCAGTACGACACTACCTTCAAAGGTAGAGCTGACGTTCTTCGCCGAACGTAGTGGTGTGAGTGCGTCATGGCTGTTACCAATGAACAATACTGGGTTCTTCGTCTTTACGTTGAAATCTCCAGTGTATCGTTCCTTAGGCTCGATTTTCCATTGCGCGCAAGCAGCGTACAAGCTCACTAGAGCATCTCCGACTATGATGATATCGTTAGTTTCCATCATAAAAGAAACCACTCGAAGCAGGTATGAGTGAAATGTGGCACTTACTGATTCTGCTAGTATCATACATGCGTTGAACAGCCGGAACCCAGTCGTCAAAATTCTTAGTTCTCACCATGTTATCGCTGCAGTGGATACTGTAGAGGGCTTGCGGCTGTTGAATTCCGGCTAAGGCATCAGTGATGTTGGTGTAAGCGCCGAAAATTGCGGTCAATGATTTCTCCAAGTCCTCCGGTTGCCCGTTGAGGATCTGGTTGAGAAGGGTAGCGAGGGCCGGCCAATTTCCGCTGTTGTAAAGCATCCTCACGATGAAGGACTTCAGGTATGCGTAGCTTAACGTATACGGCCCGATGGCCCTTGGGCGCGCCTTGAGGTCGTCAAGGAGGTCCCAGACGGATTGCTCGAGCTCAGCGGCCGTCTTATCGTTACCTTTGCCCAGGTCGCAGTTCTCGCGGTTTGCAACACATCCGGTAAAGATTGCGGAGAAGGATTTGTCTGAGTCGGCCCACTCTTCAAAGTCGCTATGGGATGACAGTTAGCAATTGACCCCAAGAAATTATCTATGAGGTAGCATACGCTTGTGCGTGGTAGTACTCATGCGGGTTTTGGACACCATCCAAAACCATTCTCTCCACTCGGTCAGGGAACATAGCTGCAGTAGTGGCGCCGAGCGTGGTACCGTATGAGAAACCTTGAAAAGAAAGTTAGCTTAACGATACTATCATGTACAATAGATTCACGACTCACCCCAGTATCGTAGCAATCCATCCTCTCCGAGTGCATCAACGATCCGCATCATATCTCTTGCCACAAACGCGGAGGTAACAACGCTACCATACTTTGCCATTGACTTGGAACAGACGTCCGCTACGTTAGCAGCTTGCGCCCATTGCTTGGCCAACTCCGTATCCGATGTGTTAGACGGTCCATAGGTTATGAGAAAGTTCCAAGCGTCAAATTGATTTTCATAGCATTGAATAGGTATCTTAGAACCGGAAGTACCGCTAGTGGTCAGGAGGTCATTAGTATCGATACTCTTCGCGTCAAAAATGATATCACAATAGGGCACGCTCATACCGAGGATCAAATGCAATTAGATCGAATTGTCGGCCGGAAAGCCTAAATAGAATTAGTACGATTTTCCATAATGATTGATTTCCATTCTTGCTTACGCTAGCAATTCCTCAGATAGCTTTTTCGTGCAAAGTTCGTTTCTTCCCGTACCCCCTGGTCCTCCAAAGTTGAGGAGGATGCTTCCCTTAGAGGGTTGCACCACAGCAGCAACTTTAACAAGGTCAAGCTGGAGTGTTTCGCTGGAGTTTGATTGGGTGTAGTCGAAAGGAACATCTATAGCGGCGCATTCAACCGGAACCTCGTATGGAACTTCAGTCTTGTTGCACGGGCCCCATTGGATCTTTGATGTCCCGTATGGTTGGGCAAGGGACAACGATATTAAGGAAAACGGTAAGAGAGTGCGAAAAGAACCCATTGTGTTTTTAATGAAATACATTAATGAAATAGATTAGTGAGTGTGAACTGCGATGGAGAATAGAACTATCATGAAGTCGACGGGATGAAAAAGCAGATATATATACTTATGGCAACATTGTATATGCTATTCTACGCAATGATCTCGATACTCCAAGGTCTAGCAGGGAGATTGAGATCACTACCAAAAATTGCCGGTTTTACGGCTGAGCCACGCGAGAAGGGTTCATTGCCTTCTTTTCTTAGATATTCTTGGAGCAATTGTAGCACTAGCTGGCAAGCAGATATACGCCGTATTCATCATAGGGCTAATAGAAGCCGCAGCTGAACGAAAGGAATGCCACGGTGCCCCACCCGGAAACGGATACGGCGTATTGAGCCAGGACCATGGGACAGCACACCAAATTGTGACATGGGTAGAAAGGACATCATAGCCCATAGGGTTACTATATGTGAGGTAACACGGCGTATATTCTATTGAGCTGAACAAAATTGACTTCATTAAGCTCAAGTCCTTTGAAGGACTCAAACATTATAGCGAAAATAAAGTTGTAAGGTTTGGAAATTGAAAAGGGGGTACGGCGTTTTCGACGTATTAAAATGGAGATGCCGTAAGCACTTAATTGTTAAAGGAACTTATATAATCTATCCTATGACGTAGCCCAGCAATTTGGAAGCCAAGCTGCTTAGCCACATATTAAGCCCCAGCTGAAACTTAGGTAATCAATGTTAAACGCGTTCTACCCGTCCACCTACGTCATCGACTACCACGATCTCGTACGATTTTCAACTTTTCAACAACTGTCTCATCATCGCTATTACTGTTTTCACTATGCACACCTGATCTACATTCAACATTAAATTACTCGACTCCATTGAAATTGCCTAAAGCATAATGAACTCGTTATGTCTATGTTTACTCTTCAGTTTTTAAGAGTTTGTGTTGTCCAGTTCTCCGCGTATCTGGTGCTTACCTAGGTACATAACAGGGCTGAATCGCGTTGAATCAATCCTACCAGAGGGGTACCATTCAATCGGATCATGAACGTCCCTATTGATACGGGCGGCGGACCATCTGCCATGGAGGCTAAGGTTAGTGATGCTTGATGCGACCTTCGCATACTACTATCAAAATTCTCAAGGAATTGTCAAAGTGTGATAGTGTCCCAAGATGTTGCTAACATCCCAGTGCCTTAGCCCAAGGGGTCAGCATCCCTCGCAGCTGTCATTTCTGCCTTCGTCCCCACATGGGTAAGTTCATATACACCTAAGTATCATCTGTACTCCTTTACATATTTTTACTAAAACGTACAGGTGACGGGACTTATTTTCGTCGCGATATTCATTGTTGTGCGGCGATGGTATCCCAATATCTATGCGCCCCGGACATTCATTGGAAGTGTCTCGGAGAAGTTAGTATATTAGTATCATTAGTTATTCTTAGGAGTGACGCTGAATTCCGCGTAGAGACCGAACCCCTTCCGCGAGTCGATCTTATTTTAACTGGGTACATACTATGCGCAAGGTACCCGATAAGTTCATCTTACATCACCAATCACTAGATGCTTATCTCTACCTTCGCTTTCTACGAACAACTATCTTCATCTGTTTCGTTGGTTGCTGCCTCACATGGCCCATTCTAATGCCCGTAAATGCAACTGGTGGTGGATCCTCCACGGAGCTTGATAAGATCGGAATAGGGAACGTCAAGAGAAGAACCCATCTCTATGCCCACTCCATATTAGCTTGGGTATTTTTCGGCTTCGTTATGTTCACCGTCGCTCGTGAACGTCTCTGGCTTATCGGACTACGTCAAGCTTGGATTCTGTCGAAGCCTGTCGCAACTCGTCTTTCTTCGCGGACCGTATTATTCCTATCCGCGCCAAGGGATGCGCTTGACGAAGAGAACATTCACCGTTTCTTCGGGGATGGCGCTTCGCGTATTTGGCCTGTCGCAAAAGCCGAAGGGCTAGAGAGTCTGGTGTCGAGCCGGGGGTCGAAAGTCGAACAACTCGAGATTGCAGAAACGTCTCTCATCCTAAAAGCTTATAAAGAAGGAAGGCGACACGCGAAGAAATCTAGATCCGCCAATGGATTTCCTAGTTATGACAATCTTCCCGACTCGGTAAGAAAATCCATTAGGCCAAGACATAAGCCAATCGTGTCCCCTCTGAATGAGAAGGTGGACAGTATCGTCTGGTTACGCGACAAGATTAAGGAAGAGGAAACAAAAATTGAAGATGCACGAAGAGCCTACGGCATTGGCGAAACTAACGGCGCCGCAGCAGTATTTGTCGAATTTAAGACATGTGCTGAAGCCCAACAAGCCTGTCAGCAAGTCGCCTCGAGTAACCTCCTAGCCCTTAGTCCTAGGTATACCGGTGTATCTCCACAGGAAGTTATATGGAAGAACCTCACCATACCCCCCGCTCGTCGCATCTCTGAAGAAGGAACCGCCCTAGCAATTGTCATCGCGACAATCGTTTCCTGGTCCATCCCCAGTGGATTAATAGGCCTAATCTCTAACATTAGTTATCTTGCTGAGAACGTTGAATGGTTGAAATTTTTAAATAACCTTCCGCGTCCAGTCATTAGCCTTCTGTCCGGTTTAATTCCGCCGTTGGCTACAAGTTGGTTGAGCAAATTAGTCCCTACTATATTCCGATGTAGGGTTCAATCGTCCTCTCTTGTCACAAGACAGATAACTGACTTAATTCCACATAGACATATTCAAGTCATCGGGTAGTCCTACCAATACTGCCACAGAGTTAAAGGTTCAGAAGTGGTACTACGTTTTCCAAGTCACACAGGTCTTCCTCGTTACCGCGGTCTTTTCTGGAGCCGCAGCTGTGTCCCAAGAACTCATGAGAAGAGTCAAGGACCCCACATCTGTCCCAGAACTCTTAGCGAGACAGCTTCCTAAGGCTGCAAATTTCTACCTAACTTATTTCATCGTTCAGGGGATTACGTCAGCTGCAGACAATCTACTGAATTATTCAGATCTTCTATCATATCTCTTTTACAATTACTTCTTCGATAAGACGCCGCGGCAAAAGTTCAATCGATTCACAAATATGAAAGGAATCGCTTGGGGCAAACTATTTCCAAAGGTCAGGATATTTAACTCTCAAAACTAAAACTCGTACTAACTGTATAATAGTTTGCCAATTTCGCTATCATCGGTTAGTCTATCGCTTCCTTCGTCTCGTCTCCGTTTACCCGGCTTACTTATTATTCCTAGCAATCGCCTACTCTTGTATCGCACCACTAGTCCTTGGCTTCGCCGCTATTGGGCTATCGCTCTACTATTTCTCATACCGCTACAATCTTCTCTTCGTAATAAAGCCTAAGATAGATACGAAGGGCCAAGCATACACTCTTGCGCTCGAGCACCTTCTTACTGGGGTCTACATCGCCGAGCTCGCGCTGCTTGGTATCTTCAGCTTGAGAAAGGCTACCGGTCCATCCATCATAATCGCGATTCTATTCATTATAACGATTCTCTATAACGTGCTAATGAATAAATACCTTTCGCCACTCGAGCAGTTTCTACCAGCCGACCTTGCCAGTCTCTCCGAAAGGGATGACGAGTCCGAACCGTTGCTAGCTTCGGCGGAGGAAGGACAAGCGCAAACATCATCCCGGATCCAACGCCTTGGCCAACAGGCGCATGTGCCACAAACTGTTGCGCAGCGCATTCTGGAACCAATCGCTCGTTTCTTCGAACCCCAAGTCTTCGCATCATATCAAGCTATGAGGACATGGCTACAGGAGGGTGACTCCTATGATGATGAGGACGTTCCGGAGTACACCGAAGAGCAACTTCAGAAGGCGTACTTGAACCCGGCGCTTACAAGTCCGACTCCCTTAATATGGATTGCGAAGGATCCTATGGGTGTTAGTAAGAACGAGATCGCGGAGAACGAGCAGCGTGGATTTAAGGCTAGCGATCAGGGCGCATGGATAGACGAAAAGGGTGGGGTCAAGTGGAGTGTAAATGATTTCGGAGAGGTTCCGATCTGGAAAAAGGGAGTAGTCTACTAAGTATCTTAGTATGATAAACAGACTTCTATAGACTTTATACATAGAATCCATGGCACGCAGCCATCAGCCCAGGGGCGTACGGATTAGTAATTAGTAATACATTTCACCCGTGGAGATTAGTAATCACCACCCTTTGGATCGCACAGCAAGGCCCTATGTATCTCGGCACTGGGAAATCCAGGCAGAAGAGTTGTGTATTGACATTCCAATGATTTTAACACTAGGCTGTTAATCCCTATAGGTTATAAGCTCTATTTTCCCAGTTTTTCAAGACCAGTTCCAATAACAGCCCCAGCATCCTACCTTTGGTTAGCATTCTCAAAACGAGGGATTGATATCAGGCTTACCATAGCGGATTGCGGCACTGCGGTCGCCGTAGTGCTCATTTTAACGCTGTCGGCGTTGTTGCCACACCAAAAACGGCCTGTGGTGCGTTTCACAACTTCGTCCACAACCTTGCTAGCATACTCCATTGATTCCATCCGCGGCATACCGTCCTTCCCTTGAGCCCTAGCAGCGATAATGTCCTCGATACTCTTATAGAGGGACTGGGGTGGAAGCGCAAAGTCTTCAAAGTAGGTTTGCCCTAGAGTTTTAACAGCACCAGTGACGACTTCAAGTACATCGACGCCAAAGGGAGCCAATTCAAGCCTCATAGTATCAGCTGCAATCTCCAGAGATTTTTTAGATGCCCCATATGTCCCTTTAAGATTAATGTTAGTTTCCTAGGAACCCATGTAAGCTAGAAGCAGTGTTGGAGTCGCTTACCCATATATGGAATATTGAGATATCCTGAGATGCTGGTAACATACACAGCCATGCCCTTAGCCTTGATGAGTAAAGGGGCGAAGGCTTGAGTAAGCGCAATCGGGGCCAAAAAGTTGATCTCGAAGAGGTCCCTAACTGTGTCCAGATTCTCATCGAGAATGGGCATGAAATGGTTATGACCAGCATTACTAATAAAGTAATTCAAGGTACCGCCTGTCTCCTTCGAGACGGCTGAGACGGCAGCCTTGATGTCGGTTGACTTAACGACGTCAAGTGTTAGCAGCGTCACATTGGGAAGACCATTGAGCTTGGACATCTTAGAGGGATCTCGAGCCGTAGCGAAGACATGGAATCCGCGCTGTTGGAAAACGAGGGCTAGGGCAGAGCCAATGCCATCATTGCTGCAGCCTGTAATCAGGACGGTCTCTCTGGAGGTCATGGTGGAATGTGAATGAAATAGATGATAAGTAGTTTAATGCGATTGAGGGATTAAAAATGTGTGTTAAAGTTAAGAATTAACAACGAGGCCAACAACTCGAGTGAGCCCGTGAGTCAAGGGAGTCGGATAAAGAGGGGTGTTGGTTGGATGGGTGTTAGCACTTGGTACAACCTCCATTGATGATAGTGCCAATACACGTAATACGCTGTGAAAGATTTACTGGGCACCAAATGAATAAGTGGGGTTGCCCCTATAACGAACCTCTTCCAACAATGTATTTCCATTTCGAAAATTACTAGCAACAGTCGAAATTAGATTGGGCGCAACATGCTGTGTCGGGCTATATTTCACGGTTTACAAGATATCAATCTTCAGAGACTAGGTATTGGTACTCGCAAACCCTACCAGTGCTCTACCCTTCAATCCAAATTCCCGCACCGGGATACCATGAAAATCCATTTCCTTATATCCTATTAAGCTCTGAAGGTCCCTATGCATCAAATGGTCAACTCTTCGACATGTGCAGGTATGAGTTCGCCTGGACTCCTTCTCTTCTTCTTCTTCTTGCTGTTCCTCGTAGGGGTTGAACTGAAAACCTCAAACATATCGTCAACTCTACTTTCCACTGGAGGCCCAGCGCTAACCCCGATGGGCGGCTCATATGCTTGAGGCACTGACCCTTTAAACAGCGCTCGGGACGCTATAGACGCCTCGCGGTCCCGCCAAGAGGGTTTAGCATTTGTTATTCCTGCCACGGGAACTCCTCTAGTCACCTCTGTCTCATGTTCACTCGGGATTTCTTCCACTATACTGTGAGGCGCAGACGCCACTGAAACCGAAGGGCTCGATGATCTCTCGGACCTTGAGTATCCATCCTGATCGGAATATATAGGCCCTACCGGCTCGACTCTACGGATTATCCTGTCTTCGGGGCGATTAACTTCGCATTGCCATTATAGATTAGAATAGGTACCCAAATATGATATGAATAGGCGTTTTGATAAACTTACCATTTATGTGCTGACGGTGTTTACTAAGACGCTGCAACTCTGCCATGCCGCTGCTCAAGATTTCCAGTTTCTCCGTGAGGAATTTCCTCTCGTCCGCCATCTCCCAACTTTCAGCAGCAATTCTACCTATTGCATCGTCGCTGAGCTCGAACACTAGCTCTGGGGTAAATAATCCGGGCAACTTAGAGATGAGACAAGCTTCAATGGCCAGTTTGCTGAAGTCATCCACAACCTGTTTCAATGCCACCTGATATATGATGAGCCTAAGTCAAGTTATACATTAAGCAGGGTATCGATTACCTTGTAGTATGCTTCCATCCAATCAACAGCGTCAGAACAAGATAGTGTTTGCATGTCTGATTCAGTATGCTTCATGATCGAGTCCAAGTAGTGATCCAGGTCTTTACTGTATATACTTGAACCAAGCCCGGATTCTTTTAACCCGCGCATGATACTATTACGGAAACGGTTAATGCGGGCCTTTTGGACATTTTCTGTTAGATAATGATTGTATGTAATTGGGTGACCATCTTCATGAGGTCGTAGGATTTCGTCAATTTTATCTTGAAGTTGACGATGGAGCTTCTCTAAGGCGTCGTTAACGAAATCTCCCCAAAGTTTCGTCTTTGTGTCTTCGTCCAAGACATATGATAATGCTTCGTTGACGACGAAGTCAACAGCGTCGAATATTCTACCCGAGAATTGTTCTAGCCAGCCTCTCCAAGGAGTGCACTGCTCATGAAACAGCTCTCCGATTATCAGTGGATTGTATGTTCCTGGAAGTTCGCAGCCGCGGGTTCTATTCATCAAGTTTTTTACTTCTTCCAAGTAATCGTTTCGTGAGACCTCCGTCTTGCCAGTTCTTGACGTATCCTCGGCAATTCTTCTGGCTTGACCATTGGTACGCATTTCGTGAGAGAAGTCAGTCAGAGTGTTTTGAACCACTGAACGAAGTCGCTTTTGATACCCATCATCGTCTCGGGCATTACCAAAGAATCTATCTTGGTAGAAACCATCTTTGGCTTCAGTGATGAGGTTTGAGAACTGGTGACTGGCATTGAGAAGGTATTTACGCTGTTCTGGAAGCGTACTGCGGGTGGTACCGAGCTTTTCCAGATTGCTGGAGCATTCGTCTATCCCCTTTTGAATTTCCTCGAGTACTTCTGGTAATTGATCGAGTATCTGGTCTTTGAGAACCTCGCTAAGCCGAGTACGCAGAGTTGCGGAACCTTTTTGAGATCGCGGGAGGCCGGCCCAGACACCTTGGTTGAGAAATTCGGCTTCTGCTTTGTCTCGTTCCTCGTTCGTCGAATTCCGGGTCTTGAAACCACGGTTTCGCATGACATGCCACCCGAGCCTGAACTTAACAACATCCCTATTCTGTACCAAGTCAAAGTATTCACGCTCACTTGCAGAGCCGACATCAAGTGTATCCGGCTTCGTGACGAGACCCAGAGTCCTAACGCCCCCGATATCTATCTCTCTCGCGTGCTGGGTCACCTCTTGTAAGGCAAAATTGCTCTGAGCAGAAACCACGGCTAGGATAATACTTCGAGGGTTCCTCATGTATTCAAGCACCAATGACTGCACGATTGCAGCATCTTCAACAGACTGGTCCTTGTTCCCGGCGCGAAACAACCCCGGCAAGTCGACAATGGTGAGGTGCGGCTGCGTCGGGCCAGATAGCTCAATGCGAAGGACATCCTTGCAAAACGTTCCTCCTTGGTCAATATCAACTCCCATAGCTTCTTTCGCCTTATCCACAAGGGCGCCAATGTTATAGTTGTCGGGAATCTCATAATATTGAAATTGTTCGAGTTTCGCGCGTTCTTCGGCGGAACGATCGATTCCTGGAGATATAGAAACGTGACATTTCTCGACGTTCTCATTGGTGTGTCGTAAGATTAGCTCCGTCGCAAATCGGGTACAGAGATTGTCTTGAGTTGGAAAAGACATTCCCGAAATTGCTTGCAAAACGGAGCTTTTCCCTGACGACTGATCGCCGCAGACAACAATTTGAGGTAGATTGACATATCGATTGATTCCCTTCGACCGTAATTTATCGATCGTGTCCATCAACGTCTTGTGATCCTTTGACTGTAACGGCATGGCTGTTGGTGTGCCCGCCATCTTTCTAGCAGGTGTAGCTAGTAGAAACTAATAGTTAAGACATCGAGAGAGACGAAATTTTGAGATGGGATCAAGAGGTTATTTCATTGAACCAACTTCCCACGCCCCTCTCATTGCTGAAAGCCTCAATTATCAGGCATTGATGCAGGCTGCCGGGACGTTACATGGAAAGCCACGTCAAACATGCACATTTGCTTATTGTGAGGACAGCTATATTGCAGCCTGCTTCTGAATCGATTGATCACATTTCAGCGTAAGACAAGATCCAACAGGTTATTGAGTGACAACGTCCTAAGAAACGCTTCCATTGTGCTCCCGATAACGAAACTGGAAAGTTGCTGATCCATCTTGAAAAGTCATACGAATAGTTTCAAGCCGAAGTAATGTACGCGGCTATTTGCTATGATATAAGAGGCGTCGGATGTCTGCCTGGGTACTGACATCCCTAACTCTGCCGTTCCCCGCTTACACGGTAAGGGGCGCATCCAATAAGAGATACTTGCGGGATATAAAACTGTGATCAACTGGAATTAAACGGTTGAATCGGTCCCACAGCCTGGCTTAGTACCAATTATCTTTCGAAAATAGAATCGGGGAAAACACATGATTCCGGGTCGCCGCTCTTGGACCGTTTGAAGCAGAATTGTATGGTGCGGGGATTCGAGCTTGGCTTGCGCAAGATTTCGAATTGATACATCAAACTCGGTAGTCGTCCCTGCCGTAAAACCCACAGCGTAATACAAATACCGCCCGGGTAGACAGTAGAACAATGAAGGAAATATACTGCCCACACTGCGCCGGCGCTAGGAGATACCTTTCATATCGTGGCTGCAGGAAATCAACGTATCTCGGTGTAGGTTGTTGTTATCGCAATGTTGAACAAACCAGTTCTTGGCCTGGGTGACATGGGTATAGAATGCGAATCATGATTTTCCATATAATAACTGATTATACGGTTGCCATTACTTGCTTCGCGCAATCAAGAAAGTCCTTGAAACGTAAACGTTCTTGATTTTCCTCAATTTGTCGAGCGGTAGGTCCGAACACCCCCCGCACTCTAATATACTGGCCCGCCACAGGAGTTGGATGGAGTAAAAGGCTAAATGGTTCTGCAAACATAAAGGAATCCCTAGACGAACTATTCGACCCATCTAAAGGGTCTTGCTTCACGCTACCTATGAGAGCCATGGTAAGCTCACGGGACCAAAGTATTGCTTCAGTTGACGCCTGCTCCCAGCCAAGGTAACACGAAAAGACCTTAGGATATTGGTGGGGTTGTTCGAGATAGTGATCTCCGATGTGCGTATCAGCCACTGGGTGCTTCCAGGTGTATCCTCCCGGCGCTAGGGGACACACATGCATTTCAAGGGTAAGTACACCTCGCCTCGACAAACCGCCCCAAATTCGTCGTGGCCCCGGGTGTAGCATATACATCCAGGATATCACATTCTAGTTGGGTCTTCTGCGTGGTCAAACGCGACATTAAATCTCGTCTGCCTTGCAGGAAGAAAGACAGTCGGCCTCTCTGGCCCAACTCCAAGACGGGGCAATGTAGATTTGAGGTTCGATTAAAGACTTGGTAAGTTCTGCCAGTGACTTATATGTCGGATGATGAAGAACCCAGAATAGATCATGGAGGAGATCTCGTTTCCAGAGGCCGGCCACATACTGATCGCTAGCCGCACTTGCGAATTGCCGCGCTAATCCAGAAAGAGCTGGAAGGGTGTCGCTGGTGTAAGTAATTTTCCTTGAAGAATACAGCTTTGCGATATGATTGTACCAAGCCTGGTATAATGAGGTTGCATTTCGCAGACTCAAGATGTTATGAAGAATCAGGGATTGGGGCTCCTGTTCGACCCCGGAGTATAGGCGGTTGCTGCAGGAGAAATACATACCAGAGTTTCCGAAGTACATCATCCTTGCCGGCATGAGTTGCTCCTGGAAAGTCCATCCACGAGTATTCCATTCATTATTCTCCAAATTAGATTCATTCCAAATAGCGGGGCTGGGGTGATCGTAGATCGCTGCGTGTTCAAGCTCGTAGAATTCGCTAACAGTTGCAGCAATTGGATCATACGGAACCTTGATTCGTCTAGGATGACTTGGTCTTAATAGGAATCCGTCTTGACACGACTTTGAAGTTAAAACGAAAATCGTCACATGGGAGTTGGCGTATATTCTGTCCATTTTAGCTGATTCCTGCTCCCAGTCCTTACGACTATCTTGCAAAATGCAAAGAGCATCGATCCAAATGAAAGGAATTGGAAGTGCCCGCGCTACACCAACAGCGTCCCTTTGGATTGGCGCTAACTCGTCCAGAGAAAACCCAAATTCAAGACGCTTCTGTATATCACTTCCAAGGTTGATAATTTTAATTGGGAAGCCACCTGAACGGCATTTCCTCAGCAGTAGCTCAGGGTTGCATAATGAGTACCTCGTCTCGGGTGGTACGACATACCGGGGCTAATGACTCTCAAAACTTGTCCGGTTACGTCTACCAGCCTGGATGGTAGAAAACGATGGTCGGCTGTACCGGCATGCTTGCAGCCCGCCAAATACCTTTCAATATTCGTCTTGACAAATGCAAGAGGGTCATCTTGCAATGCGCCAGGAGGGATTGGCTTTGGAATTCCAAAAAATGAACTTTGCCCTACATGAAAATGTTCAGTACTAAAAATTACTGTAGAAAAGGTGTTTAAGTAGCCAGGCTTCCCTACCTGTCTCCAATCCTATCGGCCAGCAGATGGAAGCTCTAATTACTATCTCCTTCTCTAAGAATTAAGTAGGTCTTGTGAGCGAGGTGTGACTAGGTATACGTGGTAAAACTCAACTATCTTCATCTTGACCCCAAGACTCATAAGACGTTGCTAGCAATTGCAATAGCCAAATTGCTGCAGCAGCCCTGCCTTCCTTGAGTGGGGTAATAAACCAAGAGACACGGAGTTTTAAGGATACATCGTGAACTTCGGTACTCGTAGCCTTATTTACAAAGCCTGCTCGTTCCGACAAAATGCTATCTCTAAGGAAACGACAGAATTCACAGCCGGCATTTGCGGAAATAGCTAGATTTGGTAGGCCTGGTAATGTATCCTCACGATCATAATGGGGGAAGTCGATGGAAGTTGCTCTTGTAAGAATCAGATCATTGAGCTGCTTAGCGGATAGCCTTGTGCTTCGGCGTATTGGTTTCTGGACATTGTCGCCAACTAAACGCTCGCTGTTAGCTCCCAATAGATGGTTTAGAAGAGGGAATTCGAGGCCGGTTCGGCAACTTTCACAAAGCTGGACGATGGCATTGGACACTGGCATTTTTACGGGATAACAGGTCCAAGTTTGCTCCCTAAATTTTGATTGTGGGTACCGCTCAACTATTAGAGTTGCCTAAACCCTTTTTAGAAGTCTGTGCGCTAGCAGGCCAAGTTTGGTTGGTTGCTTTGGCAACAATTCTGCCGATTTACTGATTTCGCCCTTTCACCGCTTAGAGAAATGGGTATAAATATCTAGTCTCCCTCCCTCCATTTCAATCATCTTTTAGAAAGAAGGCATACTTACCTTCCTTGACCTCGGGGAGCTCAAGCATTCCCCTAGGTAAAGGGTAAGACCTGCATTGCACATCGTGGAGTCGAACCCTTTCTATTATCCCTCGTGGATCGTAGCAAGGGCAATTTTTGTTGTATGCCTTCCATTTTCGTTATGATCGGTGCCTGGAGCACCGCCATAAAGAAGATAATGCGTCTCTACCTGGATAAACTGGTGATTTTATTCATCGAAATGGGTTTATCGAATGTGGTGGCTAATATGTTTCCACATACAGTTACCATGCTCATGCCTGTATTGCCACTGACTTAAACTACATGTGTATCTACCTACCTACATTGCTTCTCATTTAAGGAAATTTGTAGACAAACTCGACATTCAAAGGCGGCGTTATTCTGTACAGTTCTTCGAGGACACGCAAGCATGACAGATACGGCGCCACTCACAGACGTAGTTATGATAATTATGACTATGGAAAAAGCGACTCTATGACTCTTAGAAATTATATTTATTCTTTAATTCTACAAGCGCGTAGGCTAAATACGTATCGTTGTCGAATCAATGAGGGTGACGATGATGAACAAAGGTACCTAGGTACATAATTGGGCGGTGAGTCTAGCTAAGCCGGCAGAATATGTACCTAGTAATCACCTGGAACTTGCGACCGGTTCATGCTTGATTTAAGATTCAGCTCTAGACGGCGCAAGGTTCAGCCTCATAACCTTATCCAAATCCGTTACCGAATAAACTCCCTCCTTATTCGCCCTGAATTCTTCTGCCTAAAACTGATAAGCCTGGCTACGTCAATATCAACATGGGTCGTGGCGAATCTCCGCCAGACAATCAACGAGCCTCACGAAGCGATAGCGATGGAGCTTACGAACGCGACAGGCGAAGCCGAACTACTCGTCGCGATGACCGAAAACGAGATAGATCCCGCGATAGATCTGGAACAAGAAAACGCCACCGACGTTCAAGGTCCCCCGACGACGCGCGTAGGCGTAGATCCACTTCTCGAGACCGCAATCCCGGTAGAGGCGGCGAACATAGGCGGAGGCGATCACGCGACCGTGATAGACACAGCGAACGAGGCTCATACCGCCCCCGGGCACCGGGTGACGACAATTATGACGATAGAGAAAAAGGCGGAAAACAATTAGTGAAGCGAAGCGGTCCACTCCCTTCACAGGCTGATTCCTTTGCTATTACCAAAGGCGAAGAGCCGCCAAAGCCTAAAGAGAAGCCTAATTATGGGAATACGGGCGCATTAGCTGCTGCTTCAAACTCGATTGTTCAGGCGGACGGCTCTAAAATAGTTCTCAAATACCACGAACCGCCCGAGGCCCGTAAAGCATCACCGAAAGACCAATGGAAACTATTCGTTTTCAAAGGCGAAGATATCGTGGATACCGTACCCCTCAGCCATCGTAGCTGCTGGTTAGTCGGTAGGGAATTGGCGGTAGTAGATTTACCTGCTGAACATCCCAGTATCAGTAAGCAACACGCTGTTATACAATTCCGCTATATTGAAAAGCGTAATGAATACGGTGACAAGATCGGCAAGGTGAAGCCCTACCTGATTGATCTAGAAAGCGCCAATGGGACTATGCTCAACGGAAAGAAAGTGCCGGAAAGCAGGTATTTGGAACTTAGAGAGAAGGATATGATCCAATTCGGTCAGAGCACACGGGAGTATGTACTCATGCTCGCCCCGAAGGACTAAAGGACGAGGAGTCCAAACAAAGATTATAGCCTCCTGTGCCAATTCCGCATGCCCATTATGACCACGGTGCATTGTTTCACTGTGTACATCCTACCGGATCGGCGTGTATCGGCGCAATGATCACAGATTCTTCCAACGGCCGTACCGAGAAAGTTGGAAGCGAATTTTCTAGAACCTCTCTTCAACCTCGCCGTTGCCCTCGGAGAAATGGCAGGGTGATCTTCCGCCTCACCATCCGGAACCACCTTACATACCCCTGAGCAAGATCAAGGAGGCTACCATCGGTATGTGTCGATGGGGCGGTGTCTCCTAATTGGTGTTGCACACCTAAATTTCACACCCATTGAAATCGATCAATTAATCATCTATTACTTAGTCTAAGGCTATGAAATAGTTCTTCAGGTTGGAAGAAAATTTTTCATCAGTCACGAGGTAGTTTCCCTATGCGGGTGATGATGCTGGAACATGATTCTATAATGAGTATAAGTGACATTTCATAGTGATACCTCACTTATTCAAGTGCGATGTCTCGGAACCTAAAAACCAACATTTCATGTATGTATGCCGAAGGTCGGCTGTGTCACCGACGGACAGAGCGAAAGTGTGCCTGGCAGATGGAACTGTGATGAACCGATGAAGAGTGGTGATTAGTTAGCCCTTCTCTAACCGCGGTCTACCTCCTCTACGATATAGATTAAGTCTCTACCCCTTACATGAAGCCTGGCGTGGTTTCAGTCGTATGCCACTGCCAAGGATATTCTTCACGTCACACAGAGTAACAAATTGTTCCGTATCGAGATTGATCCAAGTGATGAAGAACTGGATTGAGTGGAACCCGAGTCGCAATTGATCGATTAGTAGAGAATGCAACCCCAAAATAAATACCAACATTTCTATAAAATTTAGTATTCGAAGACATGTGAAATCTTCTAAAACTCGTATCTTGGCATTCTGTCAGTTTTATTGAATAGATTTTGTGATAGCGATGTCGCCTGTCGAAATGTTTCCGAAAACTGACCAGGATGTGTAGCGTCGGTGGACCATCGCCTACCAGTCATACAGCGTACCATAATTTGGGCATTGGTATACGTACGAATAGGCTGTGTGCATTTACGGACGCAGCCCTACATCCACTAGGTACGCAAGAGTAAACCCTACCTTAAGTAGACTTCTATTTTGGTATTAACCTTAAATCAATAGGCTGGAATGGAGTTTACAGCCATGTGAGTAATATTAGGTACCGGGAAGTTGAGAGCCACTTGTCACCAAGTGTACCTGCATTTACGCTTCACGCTTCGTTTTTTGACTTTCGGTACGCTGTCACGGTTTGTCCACTAAGGCTGATGCAGCTGCAGCTGCGTATCAGAGTTTTCGGGATAATTTAGCTCGCTTTCATAGCATAACCTTAGAACCCTACACCCTCTATTTCATACAACTTTCCGGCGGGCGGCACAAATGAATGGTCGACACAATTTAATTTCTACCAACGCAAGTGTGACGAACATAATTGATCCACCCAATCAAAATCATTTTAGCCAATATCTCGGATCTTGTTGGACTCGAAAAGCGATAATACGATATAGTTGACGTCAATTTGTCGCTATGAGAGTTATCCATCCGACCTTAACCAGGCACGACAAAACAGGTACCGGCATTCTATTCTTACAAATGAGGAAGTGGCTAATAACAGCGTCTTTCAAGCAAAACCCCCCAGATCACGGCCCTTGCTTATGCCGCCCACCCGTCTTACTGCAGATTTTAGCTCCTGCCTACAATATGCGCATTTACAGAGCAGCAGGGGTGGTGTGGGGAAAGATTATGACTAAAATGGCATATCGCTGAGGCTCAGGCTTGGAGGGAGTAGCGATCCAGCTGACGGTACCAACTAAAACAGGACCCCGTGATGTCGCATCTCTCTTTCCTATTCAACCTTCTTTCTGTACTGTACGTACCCATACATTTCCCGTCTTTCGCTTGATGATTACGATGTGACCTATCTTGTCCCATCCATTTTACGTTGACTAGACTTTAGCACGCTTCAATCATCCGACCTTCCGACCTTGAGCAGGGCGACGCTGTGTTGAAAGCACATGGGGAATTATCTTGGCTGTATGGAGACAGCTTTCGCCCACGGTCAGGCTGGTTGGCCTCAGGTCTACCTCCCTTTTTTAACATTCCCCTTATGACTCTTACCAAATATACGCATACTGTATACATCATTAACTCTAATGCCTTCCTGTACGTAATTATATACTTGTTTCTACCGTCGCCCCATGTCACGCGCGACGCGAACCAAACCAAATTCACCCCTCCTTTATAAGTAGAGAGGCACATCTTGCTCTACTCATACGCTTAAAAGTTAGCCATAAGAGGTGATAAAACCAGCTTGAGTCCTGCTGCCTCGCTCGTAAGTAAGCATGGTAAGTTAAAGTCTGTTATTTCCCTTTTCATTCCATATTTTTCGTCTGATATAATTATACGTACACTTCCGAGCTTGGCAACAACTTGCGCTTCTAGATACATGGCTCTTTACTTGGAAATCCTATAATGGGATTCATTTATTTCTCCCGATGTTCCGCATTTCTTCTGGTGGAGATACATAGAATAATCAAACACTGGACACTCATCCTTCTATCTGCGATCATGAGCAGTTTGCTAAATCCAATTCGTCTACAGGGCTCAATCAACAAACAAATCTCGCGATACGAGACGACAGCAGTTTATACCCATCCCGACGCTAAAGTTGATGTTGTACTCGTTCACGGTCTAAACGGCGATCCACAACGGACCTGGACGTCCAAGAATGACGTCTTCTGGCCGACCGACCTACTCCCCACATCCTTAAGAGAAGCGCGGGCGAATATTCTGGTTTACGGATATAACGCCGATGTATACTCAAAAAAACATGGGTCCAACCCGAGCGATAACTTCATGTACATGCATGCGCAGACCTTAGTAACGTCCCTTACACACTATCGGAAGGATGAACAATCTACACGCAACCCCATCATCTGGGTATGTCACAGCTTGGGCGGTATTCTAGTCAAGCGCGCTCTATTATACTCGAACGACTTGAGATCTTCTCAACATGAGGACTACCGATCGATATACGTCTCAACGTATGGCATGATATTTCTCGGTACACCACATGCGGGTTCGGATTTGGCGGGATGGGGAACTATGCTACAAGCAATGTCGGACGCAGTTGTTCCTCGAACATTCTTTCAGTCCGAGTCAGTACTCCTAAAGACGCTGAAAAGGGATAACGAAACGCTGCAGAACATCAACAGCCATTTCCTCGACATCTACCAGCGATTTAAAATTCTTATGGCCCACGAGAACCATAAGACGGATTTAAAAGGAACGAAGTCGCTCATAGTTGACGCACATTCGGCAAGTCCCCAGCTTCCGGGTGTAACATACTATGCTATTGAAGCAACCCACTCCGGCATGTGCAAGTTCGATAGCAGAAATGCGCCGGGATACAGAACAATAGCTACGGCTATAAGGGAATGGGTTCTAGATTGCCCCGACGTAATCGCGACCAGATGGAGGGTAGAAGACGATGAAAGATTAGCGAGGGCAAAACACGAGATAGAAGAGAGGATGAAACCATGGGTATGTTCTCGTCCCAAGTCCAACAACTCCAACCACGAAAATGTGTCTAACTGAAATTAGCTTGAAACGCAACAACGCATTCAGCAGGCTGGCCAAGGATCCAGTAGGTTACCAGCCCTACCCTTTCTGGAGAGTAGCTCATACCGTTCTCACGATCGGTCTTTGGGGAGCTCAATCTTCGAAGATGTTCAGCTTCCTTTTGAGATAGAGGAGATTGATGATCATTCACGAGATAAAATTAGACATTAATGTTCAAGGAGCCGTAGCTGATTGTTATTTTTTCTGTAGTTCCGCAAAACCATAATGACACTCCATTATCTCCAAATCAAGAGCCTTCGAAGATCGATCATCAATCTAGACAGCTCCTTACTGGCCCGGCGACGCCGAACCAGCCATCGGAAGATGAATATTTCCCGTCACAACAATCCAAATCTGATCATGACCCTTCACAAGAACCCCTCTTCGTCAAACCGACTGTCTTCCGTCCTAATATGTATTTCAAAGGTCGAGACAAAGAGCTCAAGCTGTTGCATAAAATGTTAATGGACCGTAAAAGAAGGTCCGTAGGAACCTCATCTGTGCTGATCCAGAGTATGCCTGGAGGTGGTAAGACTCACTTGGCGCGACAATATGTATTCCAACATAAATATGATTTTCCCGGTGGTATCTTTTGGATCCGGGCGAAATATTTGGAAGAACTAGATTACGGCTATTGGGACATCGCGAAGACAGTGGGCCTGAGCGAGGCAACACACCTAGATCACGAAGGGCTTATCGATACCCGCCGTATGGTGGGCGCTGTACAAGCATGGTTGAGCAGCAACGAAAACTGGTTGCTAGTCCTGGATGGCGTCCACTTTGACCTCCCACATCTTCAGCACTACATCCCATTCGCGAGGCATACCAGTATCATCTACACATCAACGGAGCGAACACCAGGCGAAGACTATCAATTCGACAACCCTCAAGTTATTGCGCTGGACGCATTGACCAAGCAGGAAGCTCAAGAACTCCTTTTCGAAGAGATGGGGAAGAAGAGGCCATATACACAGGATGACTTGAGGCGTGCTGAAGAACTCGTCGAACTGATGGATCGTTTACCTCTTATGATTCATGTCGCCGCGCTTCAACTCAAAGCTACCCGAGAACCACTCGCCAAATACTTAAGGTCTTACCGAAGTCGTCCGAAAGTAGGTGGCCTGCTGGCGTATCGCGCGGTCCGTGAGCAGCTCGAACATAGAGGTGCCAGCGCTGCGTTAAACCTGATGTCTTTGCTCGCATTCTTCGGCACACACATCCCCGTCGAGATGGTCGTACTGGGTAAGTTCTCAAATTTGATAGAGCTAGAATGATATATGCTAATAACTACGATAGGTACCAAAGCTTTGGACAAGAGGACACCGGTCAGATCTACGGAACCCGAAACCCGGAGGGTATCGTTAAACAACACTTTCAAAATACTCATCGCCTTCGCTCTAGTGGAGCGAAATGAAAACAATGAAGCCTCATCGGCCAGTTCGAATAGTACTCGCAGTGTCGACATGGGCCAAGACAGCCTCGATATACTTAGGATTCACGGGATTGTCCAAGCTTTCTTCGTTGATGTTCTTGCTGAAGAAAGACAGGCTCCGTTTTGGTTGGAACGAGCAATCTGCGTCTTTTGTAGAGCTTTCGATATAAGCGACCGCCGAGTCGAGGAAGACTTGCAAACGGGAGTACCGGAAGACTTCCGAAGATTCCTCATTCATGGTGAACGATTATTAGCTCATCTTAACCGTTTCGAAAGAAGATACCCGGATCTCACCGAGTGCAGAGAACTAGTGGAGTCGCGTCTGAGCACCATCGATAAGCGAATCGATCAACTCACTAAGCGGATTACGGATGCTTCTAGCCAGGGTTCTGCACCAGTGGTCGCCTCTGTATTCGAGCGGACAAATAGCTTATCGGAAGGGGACACGGATACGCCACCGAGTAACAGTAGTATAGTCGAACCCTACATGCTGTATGAAGAAGAATCACCGTTAGCATCTCCGGCGATATACAGCGCCACCGAGCCGCAGCACAACCCTTACCATTGGCATGTTACATACCCGCACGGCTACGACGATATCGATTATTCAAGGACGGTTACACCGCAGCCTGCGCCAACAGAAGTATTCGAGTCGATGTCTATGCCAGATGATGACGAAGTTACCCGCAGAGTCTTCGGGCCTAATCACCGAACTATCAAGAGACACGCCGAGCGGCGCTATCGCGACCGTGCTGGTTCTTGGAGAGCCGCGTCTAGGATTCTCAGCGACCCTCGTGTTAGTATCAGTCGTGAGACCGCAAAAGGCATCATCCACCCAACAACAGTTCCGCAAGCGACAAGGCCGCGCTCTTCGGCGGATACCGGCAGTGCTTCATCGGAAGCTACTAAAGCTCAAACGACTTTAGACCGGATTAACAAAGGATCGCCTTCGTACCAACCTAGAAGTGACGAGATTGCTTTTGACTCTATCAGCGACATCAGCTCCAATGTACGTCCAAGGTTATTAGCAGGAAAACCGTCGTATGCCGATGCGAAAGCCGAAGCTGCCACTGGAGACGATTATCCTGTATCTGGCACATTTTCTAGTCCTGCACCGTCGCCAAATTCAGCTGCAGCGGCGATCCTGAAGCGTAGAGAGAATGAACACTCCGTATCACTCGATGGTCTTACACCGGTTAAGATTTCTAGCCCTTTGTCTGCGACCCCACTCAATACCGCGTCGCTACCATCACCTAGTCCTCCGGGAACACAGCCATCGACGTTCCCAGAATATGATAAGAGCGAGGACGTACTTAAGCCCCCTTCACGACCGCCTTCGCAGTCACCTTCAAGGTCCCCGCCGATACCCCAGCCACCACGACTGGCGTCAAACCCACCTTCGAGATCTCATTCAAACTCACCGTCGCTACGACATTCGAAACCATCTTCGATACTTGTGTCGAGATCTGCTAGATCCAGTCCGTCACACCCATCGAGTCCATTCCCCCCGCCGCCACCTATCCCGATTGAAATCAACTCAAGCAGTAGCTTGCGCTCGCCCTCTCCAAACTCCCAGAACTGGGACTACAATCGACGATCCCAGCAAGCCATAGCCGAAGACGACGAATACGCGCATCTAGCTCACTCACTACCTTCCATACGGCCTCAAGTGAACCTCCCTTACCCGCACACGGTTCACAATCCACCTGAAGGCGTATTAGCGTCAGATCACCCGCCGCCCTGGGTAGCATCATCCATGTCTCCCAAATTACACCCCCAAGGTTACACCAGTCAACCCATGTCGCGTGATCCCAGCCACCAATCGAGTCACAGTTACGCCTCAAGCCACTCTATACCCCGCAACGCGTCGCCTTTGGCACACAGCTCATCACCCGGCTCGCAGATCATGCAGCGCCCTCGCTCCCGCCGTCCAAGCGTCGTTGAAACAGAACCGAGTCCTCGGCTAGGTGGTTCAGAGTTAGAACCTATAGTTACTAGCTACTCGCTGTATAGCGAGAACTCCCGCGGTCGCAGACGCGCTGAGTCAAGTGGTTTACCATGGTCTCCTATTTCACCGAAGTTATCGTCGCGGTTCAAACCTTGGAGGAGAGGTAGTGATGGGCGTCGACATAGATCGGCTAGTGGTCGACTTACTAATTTCGCTAGAGGCGTTAGGGGCAATTTGAGTCCGGATCTGGATGCATCGAGTAGTTCTGAGGCTATGGCGCGCACTGGAACAGGTGGACTTCGACTCCGTGATGGAACGGTTGTGGAATTCGGATCACCGCCGATTGGGAGCGAGTCGCCGTCTGGTGTGGGTATCGCTGGTTCAAGTCGTAGTACTTTCGGTGGCGATGGTACTGGGTACGGCAATGGCAGTCCTACTCTTACCGCCGGTTCACCGCCAAAGTCGTCTAGAATTGGTCCTCGGAAGCTTAGCAAGAGGAACAGGAAAGAAAGCACCCCAAAGGTGCCAAGTCCTACTACTGAAGTCGGGTTAGGAATTCAACAACCCCCCGCACCACCATCCCCATAATCTTCACGGGGATTAAGAGTCGAGAACTCTATATACGATGATGGGAGATATTTTTTTACAATCGTTACTATTGAGACTACTAAGTTGTACATATTTATATATCCACATAGCATAGCGTAGCATAGCATACATATACCGTGCATTTTTGGGGTTGGGAAAGAGAAAAGATTGAATGCTCTTTTTTGCGTTTGCTTATATACTTATATACCTATATAGCATAGCATTGTTGTGAGGTCGAGGAGTTAGGGGAGATTAGAAGAATATAAAGATTGAAACGGGCATTGATATCGCCTGAATAATAGCGGCGATTGACTATGAGCTTGTAGACGTGCTCTACTTTGATGTTCGGAAGCAGGAATAAGAAGCGTACAATCACGACATTCCAAGACCTGTTTCTGTTATGAATTGATTCAATCTTCAACTACTCTAGAGCAGTCAGTTGTTCGCACAAAACCATCAATTGAACAGGTTACGAGAGCCGGGACAATACATCCATCAACACTGTTACACAGGGACTTGGCGCTAGCATCACTACTAAAAAGCGCTAGCACAGCCTACGAAGAATAATCATATCGCGAAGTACAATTTGGAAGTTCAACCAAAACACATACTTGAGGCAATGCATGTGAAATAAAACCTACTAAGCTTAGAAGATGGGAAATTGGCGAAAGGTGACTTCACAAAGAATCATGACGAGGCAGTAGACAGCAGACGTAAAAAATAGCATATTAGCAGAGCGCTTGCTCTCCCAGGTGTTTGCCCCCTTACCAAAGCGCACAAGAGCCCCCGAACCCACTAAAAATTGTACCAACGGCCCCGTCTCCCGCCCCCATTCGCCCCCCATCCCTCGCGGGATAGATAACAGAGCACTTGAAGAGCGGGAGGGCAAACGGTCAATTCGCATAAAAAATCCGAACCAACCCTAACCCCCTCCCAAAATAAACCCTCCTGGGACCATTGGCGCGTGTCATATTATAAAAAGAATGACACGTGGGACATCCCTAAAAAACGGAATGTGCCCATTCGATGTACCGCATGGATTACAGAGCTTCAAGGAAGGATCTCGCCTTGTGCTCCACCTTGCCGCGCGGAGAAGGAAAAGGGATAGAAAAGGGGAAAGGATACAGAGAATAAGTTCACAGGAATTAATAGGTAAAAGGGAGCATGAGACAACTTTGTACCAGGCCATGATCACTGAAGAAAGGGGATCGGAAGTCTGTGACCTAGTCAAATCATTCAGCAAGCTTTCCACGGGTAAGAAAGGGACGTCGAAAAAGAGCCTGGGCATATTCCTAATTTTATCTTCCACAAAAAGCCGAGGACCTAAACACCGCCGGGATTAGCGTGGGGTATCGGTATCGTACATCATCGCCAGCACTTAACCCCTATCAGTCGTGCTAGCCTATGTTAGGTAGAATAAGTCGATTGGAAGTGAAGCCTATGAATCGAAGATGACCTTCTTACGGCCTCTACCCCTTCCATTATCAAGGGCATCCAGTTCACGATCGATCTCCATTATATCCAGCATCTCGACCTCGACGTCTCTCTCGTCTTCCTCCACCTGCTGCTCAAGGTCTGCAGCAGCATTCAGGCTGTCTGCAAACGCGAAACCAGACCTCGGCCTCGAAGGCAGTTGTAACGGCCTCTGGTCTGCTCCCTCGGGCGTTACGCGCTCGATAGGGGATGGTTGGTCGAATAATCCTCCAACCCTAGGTCGCGAAAGCTTTCGTTTAGGACCAACTGATAAGTTAAAAGCAACGCTGCCTGGTTGTTCTGGTCGGGGGTAGACAACAATGGCACTATTCTCCCTTGCACGGTCACCAAGTCCCTTACGACGTCCGATGACTCCGCCAATTCGAGTACCAACGACTGTCTCGCTCTCCCTAACAACCACTAATCGAGCTTCACCGCATACCAGCAGTTCGACAGGCAAGCCCTCGTTACCGGATGAGTTCGCACCGTTTTCGATGAAGCGGACGATAGCGCCAACACCCGTACAACGTTCACCCATGAGACCAACGCTCAAGTCGCTCAATCGAACCATACGAGTAGGTTGCGCTCCACTGAAGAGGTTAACTCCGCCACCAGCGCCCTTGCGAATTTGTGCTTCCCAGAATTTCAAAACGCCAGGTATTACGAAAATGTGCTCGGCACTACCAATCCATAGCGCAACACTTTCGTCAGCTGTCGCACTAGCGCTAGCAGGTAGCGGTGTTACTACGACACCACCCTTAACAGGCGCCAATCGTTCGGGTCCGTTAGTAGTCGCCAGAGCATCGCGTCTAGAATGAGGTGTCATAGGTACGAAATCCGAACCACTACCAGAGAGACGAGAGGCGGGGTTGCGCAGAGGACTCGTGCCTTCGACATATCCGGATACGTTAAATTCGGTTAACGCATCGCCACGAATAGTAGATCCGCGCTTCCCGAACAAGGCAGGGCCTTGGGGAGATACACCATCAACATCCCAAATACCCCATTGACCATCCGCAAGTAGGACGAAAATAGCACGGCCACTAGCGATCCAGGAAGCCGCGAGAATCGGTTTTCGTGATGAAGAAGGCCGGGCGAACGGCGGGTAGAAAGAAATAAGCCAGGAGCCTTGGGAAGGGAAAGAACCTTCAGAATCATCCGGGGGCATGGAAGCTAAGGCATAATCGTATACCCTGACTGCCTCAGTCGATGCGTTACATAATAGTTGGGTTGAATGTGTAGGGTTAAAGGAGATGGAGGAAAGGGGTTTCGGTAAAAACTCGATCTGGAAAGGTTCGATACGTTGGCCGGTCTTGGGTGAATTTTCTAGAGGCACATCCCATAGTCGTAGAACGCCTGAAGCTTCAGGAGAGTGAGCGGCCACTACAACGCGCGGCGTTGCTCTAGATTCCGAACGTGATCTGTCGGCTGACTTGTTGCGCTCGGTTGATATCTTTGATTTTATGAGAGACATTGCTAGGCCATCACTGCCACATGTTTGTCCTGCAAGCAGGACCATAGATTCGCCCCATTTGCCATTACCAGCTCTTCCAGCCAGTAGACTTTCTTGTAACTCCGATCGCGCCTTGCTTGCTGGTGAAGGTGGTGTCAGAGGTAGGGTGATAAGAAAGACCTCGCGAGTGGCACAGGATGCAGAGAATACGATCTTTTCTTTCAGTATCTCTGCTCCTCCCCATGCTGCATCTTCTGCCGTGCAAGGCGTAAGAGGCAATATTGCTAAGTGTAATACGGCGGTACCGAATTCGAGGTCGAGAGTTTGGGTAATTTCAGGGTATGGTGCGTCTTCGTCGATATAATCTTCGAATCGAGGCTCGTCGATGAATGTGCTTCCTTTCACGGCAGGTGCAGCATCCTCTTCATCGGAATCAATTATCATTACAGCATCGGAGGTTACTTTCCCATTCTGTTTTGCAGGAGCTTCCTTAACAGGATCTGGCTTGAATTGTCGTCCTCCTCGCCAGACTATTGTGACACCATTCTCATGCCCATGGATGAGGATTGTCGCGCCTTGGGGAGACAATACGGGGTAGGTTTGGACGGCATTGATTCGGCGGGTCAGGTTATACCTATATAGCATGATGGGTTAGAAGATAAATACATTCATCAAGATAAGTAGAACATACGTGTATTGAGTGTTCTGCGCAGTTCGGCGGACACGAGGTAGGTTAGATGGAGCCATGATCGGAATACAGCTTCAGTTGAAGCTATTATCAACGAATCTAGGGCTAGGAAGAGGCAGTACGATGAAGCGCCCGGTATGCCAACAGGTTCTCAAAGCATCATAAAGCTCCCATCCAACTAGATACCAGTATGGAATGAACGGTAGTCATTAGTGGTAAATGCCGTAGTTGGAATGTTGCGTCGCGACTTTTAGGAAGTTGATTGACGCGACAATTCAAGTGGAGACCAAAGTTCCAACTTCCTAAAGTTTTCCCAAGCTCTCGATGCCACGTGACTACGTCGCCGCACGGACCATTTTATGCAGGTACAAAATCATGCTTTCGGAGGTACTTGGGTACTTACATGATTATACAGGTTACATAACTCAACTCTCAAGTTTATAAGCATCTACTCAACCCATCAAAAAAGCATCATCGTCATACCTTTCGCAATAAAAAGTGCCGGTCTATCCATAACCATCCATAGAAGAAAGCGGTCAGTTAATCTTGGCCGGTTAATACACAATACCCGAAGGAACAGCAGCATCAGCTCAGCCATCCTATTTAACAACCTGACAACCCAAAGACCCTTAAAGATATTCATTCGCGCAGTTTCAGAGTCGACGATCTCGGCGTCATTCTCGCAGGGTCAAGCCGATCATCATCGCTCATTCGGTAACCCCATACCGACGAACAACGCATACAATCAGACAATGTAGATATACATACAGCAAAGTGTCAAAAAAAGATCGCCAGGAGGTACCTAAGGGTATCTTACTTTACCCAGACTGAACAATGATAACCACACATGCGACTCAGCAAATCTGGGGTTAAGCGACTTTTCGGCGCTTCGAGAAATACTCGAATCACCTGTACCCCGGATTCGACGTAATACAACAATGCAATCCCCATATGCCCAAAATATCATAGCTACTACATACGTATATACTGTTTCACTAATCACTCAGGTCGTCTCAAACCATTTTACTCGAAACTAACATGTATTATATTTGTAGAAGATCTAGAGGGGTATTCCGATTAGCGAGCTAAGAAACAGCCAAAGTGCCACTGAAGGGCATATGGCGAACACACGTATATAGGGCCAAGCATCAATAGTCACATATCCCCAAGCCGAGCCAGCAAGACCATAAGCGAATCCCTAGTCATTTGGACTATCTGAATAATATACAGTAAAGTCCCCAGAATGACCACTGATGCTCAATCCTCTCTATCAGAACTCTTCGCACACAATTCAAAGCGGTATATCCGCCCGATATCCCCCCACATTCCATGGCAAAACCCCTTCCGGCTTGATCTGGTATTGTATTAACTATCTCGCACGTAGCATAAAGTGTGGCCTAACTGCAACCCCGTCGTGCAATGGCTGCATCCGCCTTCCCTTCATTTCGGGCCCGGGCCCTAGTAGATCTCGCGAGAAATTTCAAAGAGGATATGTCGAATTGCGCGCATCGCGTTACGGCCAGTCGACAACGTAAGTTTTTTGTAAGGAAAAAGGAGAGGACGGCGTAGTAAAGGCCTGATCGGTAGAATAGAAACCGACGGTCACGCCCTATATGTGACCCAATGTGTGCTGTTCCATACACCTCAATACATAAAACGCCAGGGATCGTCGGGTAAGATCGATTGCCCAATGACGAATGGCCACCGTGAAACGCCGTCGATGCCGATGAATAAAAATTTGATACAAGCGGGAAGTCGTTCATCGTGATATCTGCGATGGGGTTCCTCAAGCGTTGGTAACCTAAGACAAAGTTAGACTACAGAACCCGAAGATTCCTCATCAGGATTACGTACCCTGAGAATTCTCCGCGAGTAATCTTGGTTATCAGCGATGCTACCGTCACTCATTCGTCGGTTCATAACGGGATCGAGGCGAGAGTCGGTCATAGAAACGCCACCGCTGCTACTAGGCGGCTTTCCACCACTGATAAACGCATTGACGGCAGCATTACGACGGTGTTCCTCTTCGATTTCGGCGTTTCTCTTTCGGCGCATCCAGAAGAACGTTCCTCCAATAATACCAGAGATCACAACCACACCGACGACCACACCAGCAGCGATACCTGCGACGTTTGTATTGGATTTGTTGTTGTTATCGGGCGAAGATGAAGCTGTAATTGTCTCGATTGTGTCTAGGGGTAATAATTAGTATATGACAAAGCTTACAAGATAGATCAACACTTACCAGAGGGAGAATTCGCGACGGAGCTAGTCTTGGAAGGTCCAGAGCTTGAACTAGATGAAGAATCTGCTTCTCCGACGCTGACCCTTATTCCAATATTGTAAACAGTCCAGGTGTCGAGACCACCACCTGCGAAAAGTCAGCCAAATATCCCATCCATTGAACAAAAACGCAACATACAGGCTTCATCACCGAAACCAGGGCATGGTTCAGTGCACTGGTCGTCATCAACAAGGTCGGCCTTGTTGGGATATTGATCACCACACCAGCAGTCCTTCGAGAGGGAAGCACCAACGAGCTTTCCAAGACCACGGCATACTTTAGCACAAGCACCTTGGGTGTTAAATTCGTCGTGTGAGGTGTTCTTCATTGTTCCCACCGATTTATAGCATCCATGGACTGTGTCTGTACCCGGGGTTGGTGTTTCTGGCGCCTTCTCTTTGGTGGCTACTGATAATGAAGCCAGGACCAAAATGGCCGTGATGGTGAATTGACGGAGCGACGACATCGTGGCGTCTGGGAATATGTACGAATTAAATTGGATCTACCCAAGGCAACGTGAAGCGGCTAGGATCCAATTCTCTCCACCCGATCAACGACTAGAGAGGACGGGAAATCTAGAATTAGTACTGGAATCGATCTCCTCTAGGGAGTTGAATCGCGAATTTCGGTTTCGTATTTCGTGATAATAACGGCTTTCATCGACCAAAATGACTTCGGTATCTTCGGTTGGGTTCACGCGACCCAAGTCATATAAACGTGGTAAAGACGAGTTTTCTCCTTTCACGGCGGTCGTTCGTTGCAGATGTTTATCAAGTTGCAATTGGTTTATACACCGATCCTTTGTCCTGCCCTTTGGTTTGCGATAGGACTGGCGAGCGAGTCAAAGGAGTGTAGAATAAAAACAATGGGGTGCTAAATTAACAACTCCTGTTAGATTTCCCTTACTCAATCAAACGTTTCGCCTCGCGATATCCCTTGACGACGAGTTCGTACGTAGACGGATAGATAGACAGATGAATGTGTGGATGTATGTATATGTATATGGTGTTTGACGATGCTCGAATTGAAGGCAACGGACGGGTCTCAACAAGAATAGCGGGACGAGTCGGTAGCGACGTGTCGAAGTGTAGGAAAATGTTAAAGGAAAGGACGGTTATGTCTATTGTCTTGCTCACCCTTTTGTTGGTTGACAAGGTCAATGTTACGATGACCTGTTGGAAAGGACCTATGAAGGTTGTGGTGTGAGGGTGAGAGGGGGGGAAAAAAGAACAAAACCACAAATTCAGAAGAAAAACGAGAGACACGTCGAGATCAGACGAGGGAAACGAGTGGACTGACTGGCCTGAGTAACTTTGAGGGAGTGTGTGGGAAATGGGGGTTGTTTTTGCTAGAAAGGTTGGTCGGGGGTAAGGTTCGGGAAGGGAAAGAAAGGGAGAGAGGGAGAGGAGACACGAGGATGTGGATGGGTGAGTTTGCAAGAAACAACCTACGCTGGGGTTTGCGCTGGTCTGGCTGGGGTTGCTACCTAAGACCCCTGTCAGATTAGTACATTAGCACCGAAAAGGACCAAAGAGAAAAGAGTTGTACCTGCACTGGGTGCCCTTTTTTGGTGGGTTGACTAGCCCGTGACTTGTTAGTGGTTACATGCGAGTGTGGTAGCAATTGTATGGGTTTCGCAGGTTCTGGGCAAAGACTGGCAGTGGACAAGCAAGGAATAAGGCGGGCCAGCAGCGACCTGGGCAGTTGCTTTGGCTGCTTTTGGGTACCTTTTTGGGTGGGGAATATGGGTATAAGGATAAGTGGGGATTTAATTCGATGGGCGGCGTGTTCTTCACGGCTCCTTACTAGAATAAGAATGGGAAGCGAGAGGATGGGAAATTACATTCGGACTAGGTAGGGGGGGAAGAAAAAGAATTGTCTAAGTACATCATCTAAGTACCTATGTATGTGTATTCAATGTTCCAATTACACATGCACAGTTAAAAAGGCATCCATCCATCCTATTCATTTCATTTATCTACCACCGACGATAATGCCTTAATTGTGGTGGCTTGTAATAATTTTTATCCTTTGTTTACCACTGTCCTTCCCTCCCACTTCTCCGTCATCATTAGGTGTTATAGAATATTTTGTTTGTCTGTTTGGTTCGCTAGTTCGTCATAAGCTGCATTGTTTTTTCTGGTCCGCTTCATTGGATTCAGAATAAACCCTGACCTCTTAAAATCGGTTGGGTCCTTGCAGTAGTTCCAAGCCTTTTTGAGCCATTCATATTTTAGCACTTTCGCTACCGCCATCCCCTGTCACCATCCCGAATGCCTACCATTCATCCAATGAGTGGCTTTAAATTGTCTCGCTTGACCCCACCTATTGAATTTGATTGGTCATTTAATACAGAAAAAGGAGGTGTACCTACGTACCAAGTCGACGAACTTTAACCGATTATGGATTATTTATCCATAAAGTTTGCACAATGCAAGTGCTACGTGTGTAACCACGCATAAATCATGAATGGCGAACGAGCCATCTTAGGAAATGCTCGGATCTTCCCAGCACATCATCGGCGTTCCTGACTGCTTTAGAAACGGCTAAACCCTATCATCACTTACCTAATTAGGAAATAGAGCAATTTATATCACCTATTATCGTCGACTACGATTCCTTTTTATGATTAAGTGTGTGGCTATACATGTCATTATGCAGGAAGTTATGCAACTGATGTGACTTTATGATCAAGTTGCTGCAACAAGGTGTTTGCTAGAAATCTTGCTGTTTTACAATTTTTATTCCCTCTCCTCGGTCAACCCTCGACCACATTTCGCCACTAGCCATCATTCACTATTCACTATTCACACCCAACAAATACTTCTATCACCCATATGCCGCACAACTTTTAATCCCACAAGCAATTAAATAGTCGAGTCTAATTGACTACCACTCTATAACTATACACCTAGGGAATGCGAATGCGAATGGCGGCTAGGTTATGACGACTTACAGAATTCGAACCTTTTTCTGTAGTTTTCGATCTACAGATTGACATTGCGACGTGACTTATCCTTATGCACGCTAGGTATGAGAATATACCCATTCCTAGGTATTTTACTAGGTATATATACAATGCTAGCGATTAGCCAAGTCGCCAAGCCAAACTCGAAACAAAAAAACACGGCTACAAACCGCCAAATGGCTTAAGCCCCCGTCGGCACTGGCGCTGAAAAGGACGGGAGGGAGCACATGAAGAACAATGAACTGCTTCAGATGCTTCCACAACCAAAGAAGATTTGCGATGATGTCGTAACGCTCGGCAATTCTCAGAGACTCCCGTCTACTAAGCCGAGTCAGACGAGAGATTTCGAACGGACACAAATGCGACATCAGTGCCCAAGGGAATAAGTTTACTGTTACTCCTCTATTCCTTTACATGTCAGCATGTAGGTAGGCGATCCTAATTGAACAATTTGAATCCTGCAGACAATACACACACGAAGGGGGTTATGTAGGAGATATATATCTAGGTATACACCCACGCCTAGCTCGGCGCCTTTTATTCAACCACTAACCCAGTTTTCGGCGCCCGCTGCACGATACGATACCCTTAAAAGATGAGCCATCCCCCCATTCTACTATGGTACAGGCGGGTGACTTGCATAAAGCACGCACGAGTGAGGCTGAGGCTTCTCGCGCATTTTGCGGCGTTCTCCGTGCCCATATTCTTTTCCTTACTATGCATTATTTAGGGAGAGGTATTTTTTATATGAACTCCTTCACGTTACGCGTGGTCCTATTCCCTTATTTTCGTGTTCAGTACCTACACTGAAACCCTGAAATTTCGGTCGCCAGCATAGAACATACAGTTAATTCACCAGACCATACAGTGTATCGCACTAGACCACGACATCGAAGTTATTCATCGCAACACTAGCCTTTTTCGGGCTTTAATTGTCTATTGTCTTCGCCGTCATCTGGAATTGATTTTCCTTCGGGCAATAGGACATGACTCTGCCTTAATAGGATAGGTACAGAAACATTGGCATGTCTGTAAATCTGACCGAGTAATAGCATGTTGAAACATTACTGTTCGATTCGATCTAGGCAGCTCGACCGTTTGTTTCACAACATCATCCTCCTTTTGCGTACATAACCAACTCCGGTATATTCCATTTGTACAGCTTCTACATTCAGCGACCTACATCCCAAAATAGCACAACATCGTTGAATTATAAATCCACAAATCAGCCCGAAGCTGATGCCATACTAATGTATGTAAAAGCAGCAACTCGATAGATCTTGAAGGAATTCTCCGAGTCAAAGCGCCCTTGCTGAACAGGGATATATCTGACCAAACCAGGAGACATGTACGATGCCATGTTTTTTTTATTGAATCTTCGTTTATTGTTCAGGTTAAAATTCTGCACTGCCAACAATTTTAGATTATTCTTTCCCCGACTAGCTAATTCCCATCTCCTTACATAGAGTACCTATATATCCATTTACTACTATGGTATGTGTTTCTTGAAAAATATCAATAGTTTCCCTGTCTGCTTCCCGATAGAGTTTGCCAAATTCATATAAAAACCGGAAGTTGGATTCGACGTGGCGCGCCAACCGCTTCCATGGTCATCCCATTCTGGTGGGTCAGCCGGTTTTCTTTTCCCGGCATGGGTTTCCCCCTAAGATCGAGAATACGAGGCGAGTCTAGAGTCTAGACTCTTGAGCGACCTAGCTACTCCACATCGTCTATTTGCGCGACGAATATATGTATACGTACACCCTGATCATTGTTCAAGGAGGTGTGATTTTTAATGCACCTCTATGCAGTGCATATGTCATAAGAGCAACACGAACCCTCCATCCATCGAAATCAGGTTCAAGCTGAATTATTTCAAGGCCTCAGATACAGGAAGTTGGCAGCGACGTTTTATTTTTCCTCGCTAAGGCGACAACACGAAAGGGACCACTTTAAGCTATCTAACGGTCTCAGACATCCGCGTTTGTCTTGAATAACCTTTCAGGAGATAATTGTCCATTCTCAAGAATCCAAGCCATGCCACGCGATAAACGGACCCCATGCTCATTCGCACGCACATATGTAGCAGATTATTTCAAATGGACAACAATTTCAAAGTTGATATTATTAACAAAGGCAGCACATAATCAAGGATCAGGAAAGCTATCCAAGCTCATGGGTCCGACCATGATCTATTTACAGACGTAGAGCATACCAGATCTTATAGGTTCTTAACAGGGGCATCTCCTTTTTCATCTCCGCGTCCATAAGTCTGACGAGGCTCTTTGCCAGCATTTTTATCGGGTTCGAACTCCTTAACCTCGGGACTATCCATATACTTGGATACATTATCCGCCTGCCACTTTTTAAACGTCGCCCCGAGTCCTTCATTGGAATAGTCCTTGTCATTAGCTTGGTCCTTATGGTACTTGACACGGATAAAATCGTCGTCGATGGAGCTCGGATCGAGCGACAAGCTAACCAGCGCATTGATGACAGCGGTCTTAGGGATGATCTTAAACGTCCACGCCTAACGATACATCACCAAATTAGCTCTAATCTCACAATATCGCGGTCCATAGCAAAAGTATGAAACTCACCTCCTCATGTCTAAACTGGATCAAATCCCGATCATTCGTCACAACCTGATATCCATGGCTCTCAGCACTACGAAACAGCTTCGGCAGCGCAAACCATTGCCCAGCCATCTTATATCGATCATCCGCATATACGAATTGGTCGTTATACACGCAATCGGGCGTGTACCTCTTCACCCGTTGTACCGTGGGCTTCATCTCGTATAATGCTACGATATCATCGACGAGTGCCTGGCGCGCCGGCGAGAGTGGGAATGATTTACTCGGGTCCGGCGTGTAGTCTCCCGTTTCGTGGGTTTGTCGGACTTCGAAGCGCTCCCCTGGCAGTGATGCGTCGGATGGAAAGTGCGTCTTCGAGCTGCCGGTTGGGGGCGGAGTTGACGATGAGGTTGCCATTTTCCTGATGAGTAATTGATGCGCTTGTGGGTATGAGCGTACAGTGGTAGTGAGGACGCGGATACAGCATCGCATCATTCATAAAAATCGTATAGGTATGTATAGTCTGGGTCGTAGAGTCGTAGCTTACTTGGTCTTGCTTTTGTAGATGGTAGGATTCATGTTCCACGCATTATTCGTAGATGTGTATATGACGTAGTCGTTGCAGATAGATGACCAGTAGATTAGAAAAAGCAATACTACCTATTCATCGCGGCCGTACAGTTATGTTAAAGTGTGTAGTTTTGAATTGTTAAGGGCGCCAGGCTGCTGCGCTTAGCTAGATGATGATTCATGGAGGTTCGAGTTGCCCCTTTTTCCGAATATTAGGTACCTAGATACATCTATATCCCATTAACCCCTATTAACCCTAGCCAAAGAAATTTATATAGATTTTCATCTCGAAGGCTTCGTTTACAACGCCAAAGCGTAGATATTAAGAGAACCCGATAATCAATTCAAGCTTAATAAATAAAAACCACTCAAGTCTAGGATGTCACAATACCAGATCATGTTCATGATAAATAAAGTAAAGGCATAAAATTGTCGATAAATCTACGGTAAATCTATGAAAACTGGATTGATTTTAAAAATGAGTCTGCTCACTTTAGTAGCTGATTCACCAATAAACTCCATTTTATCCAAACCGCCGCGTTTAGAGGTCGGTGTAGAATTAGCATAGAGTCAACCATCCATCCTCAGAAGAAGAGCAATCCACCTGAAGCGGCCATTCACAAGTAGTCGAGGTGGCCGGACAGTCGATAACACATTGGCCCGCAAGCTCAACGTGTCTGTGGTAGGGAAGGAAAGGGTCGCCATCGAGAGCCGATAGGTCAAGCCAAGATCTGCCGTTTTGGAGGTCAAGTTCCATCTGGAAGACTGGACCAGAGATCCCACACTTCAAGACAGTACCGACGTTGTCGTCGTTGGCAAGGAGCGGCGAGGAGTACGTGCCACCATTACCGTTGACCTCGACTGGTGGGCTAGAAGATCCGTCATTTTTGGCTGCGCTGCATTGGATGCCAAAGTCGCAGTTGTTTTGTACGTTGAGGGAACTAGCAATTGCAGCAGGGAGAGCTGCTAGGAGTACAAGCGAGGCGAAAATCGGACCCATCATTGCGGTAGATTGAACTACTTGCTTACCTGGAATACTAGGTGGTCAACCAAGGGGTTGGTTATATCTTAAACTAGATGCTTCGAGGCAGATGAGAAGGAAGCTTGAATTGAAGTGAAGTTGGTCGACTACTATAATCGCTAGGTTGGTGATTGGGACTATATATTCGCCATCATAGTGATGCTCAAGAGTACCTTTCCACAACAATCACTTGAAAACGAACTAGCTCATTATCAGATTACATGATGTCCATCAAAGCCATTGTCGTGAAGACATATTGATAAGGGTAACCTAACAAATTTCAACAAAGGGCTAGAAATGGAACAATGCCTTTTGAAGAAACAATAGCTTAGTGTCACAAAATCCCGTTATTTGCTATGAGAACGACTTCTATTTCCTTCTCAGGCTAATTGCAATTCGATATCCCCGTATCGCCAATGCAGTAGGGTATCGAATGATAATCTAGCGATGATTCAGAGTAATTGTATAAGGGAATTTACTTCTTAGACGGTCATACACCCTTTTCACGTGCGTTACTATATATAAGGGATTCTATTCCCTCCTTAGCAAGTCCCGAGCATCATGCAGTTACTCACAACCCATCAAGTCGCTTAGAAATCCACGGGTGTTTTTTTCTTGAAGATATACCACCATATTATGATTCATGAATAACATATATTTTAGATAAAAAACATTTGCAAAAATTCAAGTAAGCCAGAATTACCAAGAAATATGCGATTATGGAATATGCGTCTTTGGTCCCGATCGTTCTGTGTATAGTGGATTTGTCACTTGCTTCCACAGCAACAGAATCATTCCAAAAATCTTCTACGGCGACTGCCATTTCACTTGATCATCCGCTCTTTCTTTCCTAATCATTCAATTCATCCAATCGTCGTGAATTTTGTTTTTTTTTTTTGTGATTACTCAAATTCTTTTCGGCGATTTCGATGCAACTCACCCCTACACAACGCCTTTGATATTATTCAATGGCCTTGTTGCGAAACTCCTTTCTTGCTCTATTTTTTCGACTATAAAATCACATAAAATCACCAAAAATACCATATCAACTACGCTATCCTTTCCCTACGGCTAACCCACGTCCAATTCGACATCATGGCAAATTTCTCCAAAGACGCGACGCGATTCAGGCAGTACCTCGAGCGAACTTCCGGCGGCGATGCGGAGTTGAATCCCCAACCCAATATTGCCAATAGCCTTGCTGAGATTGAGAACTTGTCCTTCCCCTCATTGGTGCCTCGACAACCCATAGAGCAATTAAAAGAGGGGACGAATGACAGAGCAAGAGATGTCATCCTCATCACTATGCTGCAGAATGCTTCCTACGCCTCTGTGCTGGCTAATGAGATGCCACAGTCTCAGATGTCGGCGAACTACCACGGAGATCCGGAGAACAGCAAAAACCATAGCGCGGATATTCCGATCAGCTCCAGTTGCTCAGTATAGATCACTGGGCTTCCCGCTGATTGTACCATCCACCAGTTGTTGAAAGGCATCCGAAATGCCGGCAAGATTTTCGCTACCCATATCAACCCGCCAGTTGACCCAAGCCCTACCGCTGCTGCCAGAATTACCTTTTGGGATCAGAGGGGCACCGAACGTTTCCTTGCAACCTACCGATCTGGAAAGTTCCGCGTTGGGGATTATTTCCCCATCGTGAGGATGAATCGGATCCTTATCGCACCCCAGGAGCGTTCACCATACTCGCGGGTCCTCAGGTTTGTGGGACCTGGGCGTGTGGTGAACCAGCCATACTTGGAAGATTTCCTTAAGCAGTTCATCTATTACGACCTCGACGAAGTACGAATCGTTAAGTACGATGAAGTTCAACGAATTCGTACCCTGGAAATCCGCTTTGGGTCGTACAGAGCCCAGAGTGCCGGCGCGATGAAGGTGGTCAGCGAAATCCGAAACGGTGCTCCTCGGATCGTTAACAGGATGTCGTACGGAGAATTGGATTGCTGGGCCCAGGTTAAAGTCACCTGGGGAACAGACCCTTGTGCGACGTAGACGCCGAGGTATGTACATTCTATTAATATGAAAATAACATCCTAATTAATTGTTAATAGTCTATAATGTGACCTATGTTAGGTCTCAATGGTGACCACGGCGTGAATAGTAGATTGTATAGGATGGAAAGCGCTTTGGGGGAGAGGCGAGCTATTGGTGAGCCTCTAACATGTCACACGAAGCATTCCAAACTCTCACATGTAGTGTAATTGACATTACTTTTTATAAAGCAACCCCATCGCGACAAAGCACAGAAAACTGCATAGCAAACGTAACAACATGGCAATCAACATCATTCACGGTGACATTATTGACGTAGACATCCTGTTTTCATTTTGCTCACATCGTCAATTCTTGGCGAATAATCATTAGACCTAGGCATTCACTTGCTAGCTAACAGTAGAGCTTGAAAATTGCCAGCCTGCTAGGTGGTATTTATACAAGCCTAATAGAAGCTAAGGCTAACTTCGCCATACTAGCAATCCCTCCTCCCCACACTGGACTTTGATCTTATCCTCTCCCTCGGTCCCTCATAGAAACGAGAGGACACCAACAGTCGCCAAAACCATCGTGACCACCATACCCAATTCTCCTGAGTTCTTGATACCAGCGTTGATGTTGAAGTTCGCGACAATGCCCCTGGTGAAGTTATTCGCCGCCTCTGTGATAGCGATTTGAGTCAAATTTCCACACGCATCGTTAATCGCCTTGTTGTTGATGAATTGGGGTAGCTTGGCAGTTGCTCCGTCCATAATCGCATTAGACTGGAATGTGCCGAGGGGAGAAGATTGTTGGAATGCGGCACGGTACGTCGAATTTGAGCCGATGGTGGAGTAATTGGCGACCATAGAATACTCCGGGCAACTCACGGCCGCGGTATTCTGGCGCAGGGCCAAGAGCATTCCCGTCTTGGAGTCCGCATTCTCTGCAGCGACCGCGGTGACTTGGAAAACACACAAAGCCCAGAACAGGGTGGCGAGAAGAGAAGACCGTATCGCATACATTTTTGCTGATTGTCGTGATGCCGGTGCAAATGATTATTAAGTAATATTTGAATAAAAAATCCGAAGAAAGTGGCCAGCCACGAATGCAGAGAAAAGAACGCCAAGAACCTGTCAAGTGAGTGAAGAGGCAAAGAAGAGCAAGTGAGGGAAAGGAAAATCTAGAATACAATTCCCTTGGGAGAAACGACATGATAAGTCAAAACAGATATCGAATCCTACATCTCAGGACTGTATCGTCAAACACGGGGTTACCCGGCATGCCACGGCTCTGTAACCCCGAGATCCAGCTTAACCTGTGGGCGCCATCTACAAGCCTTGTCTGGGGACTGTCTGAAGACATCATCGTGCGATAGTCAGGCGTCTGCTAGTGAGATTTTTTGCTGCGATCAGATGGTCGCCCGAGGATGGGGACGAAGGTAATTGGTTCGTTAGATTCCGATCCATCAAAACCCCTGATCAAGGGGGCGTGGATCAGGGATACGAAACCCACGACGTCCCAAAAAGCCAAGAATCGTAGGGGTTTTAGGTCGTGAATTTTGGCGTCCTAATGCGAATGCGGTTCGTTTGATTATTAGCGCCGGTTAGATTGAAATTGAGGCTGATGAAGAATTTAAGCCTCTTCCATTTTTCCAGCGGATACCAATTTAAGGGATGTTCGGGTCGTACAAATCCAGGAACTCATCAGCGCCGACTAGATTGAAAATGTTTACAATTTTACCACTTCCACTTGATATATACAATACACCTCCATACCCACACGTAAGTTTATTGCCTCATCCTACTCATCGACGCCTCTAGTTCTACATAGTCGTCCATTTTGGGACCCTGCATATACGCCATCAGCAGGACGCACGGCCCAACCCTCACTCCCCACCGTCGTCGGCGCCCAAAATAAACCCCACGGATCACGCGAGCGCTTAATCCTAAGTAATCGCGGGTAGTGGCTCCCGTAGAACGCCTGTTGCCAATTCGGCTCCCCGGGATCACCCTCGTTCATATAAGAACCGGCATTAGGCGAGACCCCGCGTAATAGATCCATATAACCCTGCATCAAAGTATCGCGGTCGGTCGACTGTAGCGGCGTCTGGTCCATGAGCATCGCGTGCATGCGATTATTTCTCCATGCGGGATTTACTGCACTTTGGGAGCCAGGCCAGCCCGCGGCTTCGGCCGTCGGCGATGCGAGGGTGCCGTGGAAATAGAAATTATTCTCGAAACCGGCTTCGGTGGCTGTGCGAATAGCTTTCATGGTCTGATTCCACAGGTCGTCGTCTTCCCAGTTCTCTCGCGGGAGGAGACGCGACCGGTATCGTGTGTTACTTGGTGGTGACCCGGACCCGCGGCCTGGTAAGCCGTAGGGCATGGTGAAGAGGATTGCGGGGTTGGTGACGTTGATGCCGATACGATTGAGGTCCGTGTACAGAGGCTTCATAAACTCAAAGACCTCCGCCTGTGTGAATGCGGGGAATTGAGACGTGGTCGTGAACATGTAGCTGTTGTTTGGCATCGGGTAGATGTAACTGAAACCATAACCGCCTGCATCGAGGACTTTCGCCGCAAATCTATAATATGCGCCAACACCCTGCCAAAATTTTTCGGCGTTAGTGATTAGACCAGGGATAGGCATTGTTGTGTTCGGAGGAGGCTGTGGTGAAAGCATGAGATTAAGAGCCGACGGTGTCATATTGACGGGTGGGTATGCCTTGAAGATGGCGGAGGTAACTACACCATAAGTTCCTGTGATCAAGGTTAGCCCATTAATTTGTGACACTTGCTATAGTGTCGGGCTTCATACCTCCACCGCCTCCACGGAGTGCGAAAAATAGGTCGGAGTTAGTGTACGGATCAGCGGTTACATATCTCCCAGCGGCAGTCACAACTCCGAGAGAAAGCACTTGGTCTGCACCGAGACCATACTTAGAAACAATATAAGTGTGGCCTCCTGAGGACATCCAACCGCCAACCGCTCCCACGGTACCGAAACCGGGCGAGACAACAGTTACGTTGTAAGCCGCCATGAGATTGTGGGCTTCCCATGATTGAACACCAGCGCCGAGTTGAACGGCTTTCCCCCTATATGGCCCAACCCGATACGAGGGGATGAACTCCATCTCCTTGAGATGGTGTGTCCAGATACTGAGCGACCCCGCTCCCACCGATCTTCCTCCGAAGTCATGTCCAGTGTTCCTGTTGCATCGTTAGAAATATCTGCTCTCATGAAACTTCGATACTGCATGAAAAAAGATCATGTCTTACTTAATTACAAGTCGGATGTGCTTGTTCCTAGCAAAGTTAACAGCAGCCTGGATATGCTTCACGCTTGTAGCATTGACGACGTATTCGGGAAATCCTCCGCGAGTACAATTACCCTGAGGGTTCAGGGCTAGCGGACATGTGCCACCTTGAGACCATTCCGTCAATGAAACAAGTGGTTCATCAAGCCAGAAGGTCGAGAAAGACGTGTTTCGGAGTAGGAGCTGGCATTGGTCTTGGTTAAAATCGGCACCTTGGTAACAGACAGCAGCAGCGGGCTTCGGCTTTAGCAGAGCACCACCAAGGGTCCTATTCAACCGCGTCCACTCCGTATCGGAAGGCCAATCTTCATCGCCTGGGAATATTTTGCAACCAGGGACGTTGGCGTCTGCGGGCGATGCAGCTGTCTCATCGCCGAAGTTTATGGCCGCGAAATCGCCAATATCATCCTGTGTTAATTGGACCGAGTCCGAAACGAGGGCTCGAGGCTTGCTAAACGCTACAGCCCCCGTAAGAAAAGCTCCCAGGTAAATGAAAGAAAGAGTCGGCTTCTTCATGATGCCGAGGATTTGTCAGCTAGTTGGCACACCTGCAACTACGCAGCAGCTTAGTGTCTGTCTACTCTACTCACTCGAGAAGGAGGATTTCCTCAGCTCGCCTCTTAATAACGTTATGGCCACGAGGGCCTATGTATATTGCTCGGTTAGGCACGTCCATTTGCGAGAACGGCATTATTCCTTCGCAACGGGGCTAGAATATCCCTAATGCGTGATTTACAAATTGCTGATCCACCAGCGTAGAGAGATATCGTTCGCAGTCATCGTGTGTTGGACCGATGACCGATATTAGTCATATAACGGTAGGGAGGTCTACAGGTCCATCAGAGGGTCACCTTGAAAGTCAGCCACAGTATAGATGTTGGCTCTAGCGTATGCTATGATATCGCGGTACTAGCAGCTCTGGTCTTGGCGTATACCCGGCATTAGCTCTATGGGGGACCCTATCCGGGTGTATACGGCCTCGTTCCCGGGTTTGAGGTGGTACAAGGACTTCGGGCATATGGGCACATGGGAGACGGCGAAAATCAGGCTAAATAGTGGGCTCCCGAACTGCTACGTAGCATCCGCTGTGATCCTGAAGGCTACACTGCGGCTAGATCTCTCGTGCACTTAATATATGATCAAAGCTTAGTATGGCTATTGTTCTTGGCGACATACTTTTCCGGGGATCATCTCGTTTCGCTAATGGCGCCGGAACCGGGGGTGTCATAATTCGCACATTATTAAAACTCCAAATAATCCTTCTCTGTTTCTGTTTGATAATATTATAAGTAAGTGCTTAAGTAAAGTTAGTAATCCATTTGTTTCTCATAAATGTTACCATTTGGAGTATGGTGGGCGACCATCGACGCGTGGAAAGGTATCATACGATACGATGTGTAAGCCTCAGACACATGGCGCTTCCAGCAATGTGGATCGGCGCGCACCACCATTTAGATAGCGGCAGAGATGGGATTTGCTCATAAATACTTCGTCAATTACCTTCCTCATTAGCCTTGACGCGGCTAAAGAAACCACGAAGAAATTCACGCTAAGGAGCGCGTTAATCTGGACGTAATTAGCAACGGACGCTAATAAAGGGGTGCCTAGCGACTATTGAATCCTGCGCGCGAGACAATACTGAATGTATAAATTAAGGCTTCACAGCACATTGAGTTCGCCGGGATGATTATTCGGAATCGCGGCTAGGAGTAAAGTAAGGCAGCTCGCCTGAATGAGGATTCAACTCAGCACTAGGCGGATACGGGTGGTGTGGGCGGCTTGGATAGTGATTGTAAATTGTTCGCGGTAATTTGATCCAATATTCTTGTATCCTGCCATCGTGAACGACTGCCGCAAAGAAACCGAGGTAGCTCGAATATTCATTACCTCATATTTTCTTCGGACTTTACGCGGACTTGAGCCCACGATTCGAAAGCGCCTGTAAATGGTAGTAAAACCTAGTACTGCCGTTGGTATCTCACTCTGGTTATACGCGGTGGATGCACACTATGTATTCCTCTCAATGCTCACTACCTGTATTTTCTTTTTACCGTATGCCGTAGGGCTGACTAGACTCACCAAAATACCGAAGCCATGAAAATTTCGAGCAGTTTCAAAACCAATACACCTGCGAAAGATCGTTTGAGACACCTGCGCACACATATCTATGTCCATGTGTGCTTCCTCTTCTGCAGACCCAAGGGCGTACAAAAGCTTCCGTACGTGCGCCATCCTGTGCCTTACACACCGCACGATGCGTTTTCCAATCCCTGCGCTGGCACGCAGCCGAGCAATACATAACACCCTTACACCTCCCACATTTCATCAACCCTGCTCCATTTTTGCCAGTGGTCGCCTTACAGCTGCGACACTTTTGTCCGTGCATTCTCATCATCTCAACAAAGGTCTGCTGATCATCTATATCAATGCCCCCGACCAACCGAACGGAAAATGTCGGGCTAATCGCGATGCGTACGGCGTGCTTAGCCGCCACGTCGTCCCATTCGGGAAGGCTCATGAAGCGCTCGGGTAACTTTCCGTTACCGCAGCTGCACATGAACGGCTCTCCCATATTAGTGCTCAGCGGGATAGTCGCGCCCGATTTCTTATACTCGCAGTTTGGGCCGTGAGACCACGTGCGGCAGCGCTCAGCGAATGCGGGTAACACATGCTTCCAGAGGGCGAGTTCTTCGTCAGAAACTGTAATGGCGCGGATCTCGAGCTCTCGAATGCCAAGTAGGAATGTCCGGAGCTCATCCGACTCAAGCATCTCTCTGGTGAAGGGGATCACCGCGGCGTCCGCTACCACCGATCCCTCGGCGTCGTTTATCCGTATGGCTCGGACGAAGATCAGAGCCTGATTTCCGTCTCTGGGATGCTGTAGGGCGAATAGACCGGTATGCCTACCTTGGAGCCCTGACGCTAACATAAAGATGGTGAAGAGTGACTCTTTGAAATTCATGCGAAGCGTGGGAGGCTCTGTCTCTGACCTACGCAATCTTCGCTCTTTGGAGGAGAGTTGGTACGATGCTAATACACTTAGCCATCTATTGTCGAATTTGTAGGATTGGTCCACATCAAGAATTGGTAACAAGTCTAGGTTGACATGTTGGCCATTGAGAGCCACGGGTATGGAGCTTTCTCCTAGCCCCAAGGGGAAAATAAATGACGATGATGGTTCGGAGGTAAGAGGATCCGCTAGGGGTGCGATGACTTCGACGTACCCCGAAGTTCGTGCGATGCGTGTCTTAGCTGCCTGTTTTAGGACTGGAGCTGGGAATGACAAGGGATAGATTAGGGCTTTCTCGCCGAATATGACATCGATAGAGGATGGAGATGTTTGTTGCAACTCTATCGAAACCCGTTCGGCTAATAGTTTCGCACCTTGTTGCGACGATGAGAAATCAACACGACTGCATAGGGATACGATCTTATTGTCTTTAAAATTTGTTGTGACTTGGGTAGCCGTGGGCAGATTGATGTTGGTACCAGTGCTTGTGGCCGTAGAGTCCGTAGTAGTTTTATTCTCAAGTGGGCAACCAGACATTCCTGGCCCATATTTCGTAACGAATACCTGGGATGTATTGTCAAGTGCTGTCATACAGAGTGTCATATCTGATGTAGGCTCCGTAAGGTCAACAACTGCACCTTGGGGCTGGACTCGGAGCCCAACTTTGATATCTTTCGGATTGATTTGGAGATCGCTAGATGGGACGTAGAAGGAAGCTAGCAGAGAGGAATTCCCTTCCCAGCTAAGGGGGTCCTCTTGAATATTAATCGAAAAGTCTTCGGCTTCACGACTCCCTAGAGTTTCCACGCTGCCGAACACAACGTGCACACTAGCATATAATCCAGAAATGTAAAGTTCTTTGAGGACGCCCTCGAGCGTTGGTGGTGTGTTTCTACTCAGCTCGGATCCGTACAGTATATCAACCTGCTGTTTTGGCACCATGATAATTACACACACCACTTCGGGTATGTGCTTCCAAGCGTTGATGCCTCCCCATTCGGGTCGTGGGCTGACTTTCTTTATCAGTGAGCTTTCGGTATGAAGTCCTTGGAGGTGTAACTGAACAGCCAACTCTTGGCGATAGTATCTTCGCGAGAATTGAGCCTGATCGTCTTGGTCTATCATTTGTAATAGCTGTATCCAAAAGGCGGATCAGTCGGTAGAAGTATTCGCCCGAATACACTTAATCAACGCTGCGAAGCCAACCCTATTGAAATATGCGTATTTCTGGACCCCAGTCTCCCCGTAGGTGCAAGGATCTTCGTTATCGAATAGTCGTGCATACACTTCAAATACGACCATGGCCAATGCATTCGGCTCAACATTGAGAGTCATGGCATCATCAAATTGCTGTGAGAAGATAGTGCTCGATTTCCAAGCTAGCCGTGATTGTACCCGCCACTCGCCCGCATTGTTCAGGAGCTGTTCGTCCACATCTGACATTGTAGTCGCATTGGTCCAGTAGTCGGCGGGACTCAGGCCTAACAAGAGGGACATCGTTGGTGTGTGCCCGCAAAGCACAGAGTCAAACTGTTCTCTGGCAGTCTGCTTTGTCCTACCGATTGTTTCTGTCCATAGAGTGGAGCTTGCTGACGCTTTTAGTAAAGGGGCTGCTGCGAGTAGGACGTTCAACGTGGCTGTGTAGTCGGATATATTGGAAGTGTCAATCACATCAAACCTTGTTGGCGCTGTAGCATAGATGGTACTATCAAACTCGAGTGGTGCTGCATCAAGCTGACGACGAAATAGGCACTTAGACCCGCTTTGCAAAGTTGAGATACTCTGCAAGCCATGACCGAATGATAACGGGTTCGATACGGCGAATCTTAGTGTTATATTATGCTGTGGGAAATCCCGGAATGCTGCCACCCACTCACGGAACTGTGTTTTCGCCGCGTTAACGGAATCGAATATCTCGTCATTATCTTTATCAAGGCGGAGCGGAGACGTTGGCGCTAGCTTCGCTAATGCGGTTGCAAGATGGAAACCAATAATAGGGTCTGTGTTAGGGTGAATATATAAATATGTGGACATCGCCTCGAAGAAAGTTGGATTTGGAATCATTGCTGGCTCCCTAGAGAAGTTACCATGTTTCCAGTAGTAGTTTGCAACTTGGGGGATCTCCATCTCAGGAGGGGACAGTCCGGCTGCTAACAACAATGGGGCGGTGGACGCAAGACCTTTTACTATGTAATTGGTCCCACCGCAATTACACATTGACTTCTTAGCAACATCTTGAGAACGGTCTAGATCTTGCTTTAAGATGGCTTCGGTCTTGCGTTGAGGCCTTACGTACTTCATCCAGACTTGTCTCACTAGCTGTAGAGTGTGCGTCGCAAAATTTCAATATAGAACCGTAGTGTCCCTCGTTCCACTGGTGGATATTGTTTGATAGTGAGATCAACTTCTGTGTATGGCCCTCGATGAGGTTCTTTGAGTCTATGTCGATACGGAGGTGGAAATAGACATCCCACGCGCTGTGGGCGTTGATGCCGTCGACGAGAAGGGTGAAGAGAAGAACATTTCGTGCTACAATAATTTAGTGTAAGTCGAATCGCTTAGAGGTACTTCACTCACCAATTACACCAGACTCTTCATCACAGTAAGTAATATCTAGTTTTCTGGGTGCTGCTGATGGTTAATAAGAAATAATCTAGATAATGAAATACGAGGGCTGGACATATCGAGTGTCCAACTAGACGGAGTTGATCGATGCATCCTATTGAGGCCAAGGGACATAATGGACAAGCGATGGCAAACTTACGGAATCCCTTCTCGGAATGTATTGTGAATAGTATCTTAGCAACATCGCCGCATGCAAGGAGAAGGATATCAGCATCTTGACCTTGAGGTAAACCCCTGGTGAAGCTGACCGTGCGTGTTAAAGCTAAAGGGCGAAAGTCGGAAGTGTGAGGAGGACGGCATGGAAAAAACATGTTAGGCGACCCCAAAGATTCGTATGTGAGGATTTCGAGATAGGTTTGTAGGTATTTATGGCATGAATGTATGTTAACCGTCACATTCAGTATTAACAGGAGTCGGTTAGGTGTAGACAAGTCTAGGTCACTTGGCTGCCCGAACGGAGGAGGACCTGAAATAACTTAACTCAACTATGGATTACCTATCGTTTCCATTTGGCGTAATATTACTTTGGTATATATCATTATAGAACTTGAACGTGAACGCAGGCACGCGTTTGTTGTTAAGAAACAGAATCGTTTGCTACCCCACCCATTGGGTGACGTACCTGGGTATTGGTATCTACACATTGTAGGCAACCAGGTACATCTCTTAGGTAGGTACCTATGTAGGTATATAGACAGGTTATAAAAGTAAAACTACTTAGGTAGGTGGCTGCTGCATGATGCCGCGGGATGCTGCCGATGTCCACGTACATATATGTGGCTTCCCGATTCATGAGCGGATAGGGACCTAAGTTACCTGAACCTTAGCGGCGTTTAACGGGCTTAGGTGGTTGCGCGCATCCGGAGCAGTGGATCCTTCACAACCAGCCCTCGTTCGTAGTACAAATTTGCTGCAGATTCAGATTCACATACAAACGGGGACGGTGAATTAGGCAACCATTCATTACATTATTATTCACTATTGTACTTACTTTTATACGTATCATTTACGAAACATGCAAAGTAGTAAGGTACCTAGGTAGATGGAAATAAGTTCGACTACAATCCCAGTAATATTTGACCCTATGGAAGATCTCAAGATCTGATGTTATACCACCGCCCAATTAAAGACCGGAAAGACGGTCGCTTCACTTGTATGTATCGACGCTCTTCAACGCCGCAAACGACCCGTCCGACCCAACCATATAGAGAAAAAAATTAACCCTTTTCAACCTTCCCCGAACCACGAACCCATCGTTGTAAATATTCCCACATTATCGTACATGAATTCTGAAACCTGACCTTTGCAGAGCAAGAAGCTTCTCTCTATAATGAGATGAGCTTCAATCAAGGTCAAGTATTACAACTAGGCATAGCTGCCTATTAGATTCCTGATCTAGCGCGTTGTCCTGCTCTCTTCTATGCGTAAATACCGAAATATCAACGATTTCCATTAACCAGATAAACAATGAATTGGTAGCTCAACTCCCCAGGAGCTGTCTCAACTGCTTCCGAAGAATAGGTCATCATTACCGTTGAACATGTCAAACGCCTCGTCGAATTTGCTGTCAGTGCTGAGCATCAACATGCTAGGGCCATTATTGGTAAATTGCAATAACACGTCATCAGCTTCGCCCATTCCGACAAAACCAGGGATGCTAGCTGTATCCACAGCAGTACTGATTGTAAGATCTGTACCACTTGAGTTCGGCTCGGCGTCAAAGTATCGGTTTCCGGATGGTGGCGACGAAGACCGAGAAAGCTCCGGAAGTTCATTAAATTGGCTAGCCACACTCTTCGCCGGAGATCCTGGCTGCGATGACGCCGCATCTTGTGCCAAGTCCTGGTGAAGCGACATGTGCGATAGTTGCGATAATTGAGAGACGTACGAGTGTACACTTGTCGCCGATGGCGAATCCTTACTCATTGGTGTCTCGGAGGTAAGGCTCGGCATCGGTGCAGAGGAAGAACACAGACCCTGGAGAGAGCTAGGGTTCATGGTTGTTCCGCCCATCGATACGTCCATAATATCATCCAACATACCAAAGTCTTGATCGATATTCTCGGGTGAGTTGGCTTCTGAGCTATCTGAATAACCAGATTGCGATGAAATGGATGAAATAGACTGATTCTTCTTGCGGGTGCGAGAGGACTTGTCCTTGCGCTCGTCCATATCTGGTCTGTGCTTCCGGGGACGCCCACGCTTCACCACCTTCCTCACCACACCATCAAACGCGCCGATACACATTCCACGTTGCTTGTGTCGGGTGAGCGCATCGTGACGAGCGAAGCTGTTACCGCATTCACATGGGTATGGCTTGATGCCGGTGTGTATCTTCGCGTGTCGCTTGAGGTCGTGTTGTCGGACGAAGCACTTGTTACAAGTCGGGCACTTGTACTGGCGATCGTTGAGATGGGTCTGTACGTGAGATTTGATGTTCTCCTTACGACCAAACTTCTTATTGCAGTCTTCGAAAGTACAAGTCCACTTATTGTCTCTGGGATCGGGCCCTGAAATGTATTGGTGAATATCTTCTAAGGTGATCCCCGTCTGCGTCTTCGTCTTCTCGATATCAATAGTGGCGATGCTTGCGGCACTAGCGATACTAGCGATAGACTCGTTTCGACGATGGTGATGATGGGGAGTTCCTCGGCGGGAAGACATGTCGGTCGCAGGTGATCCAACGCTTGGGACTATATCGGGTTCCGAGTGAAGAGACTGCAGATCGGGTTTGTAGTCGAAGGAACCATCGAATTCGCCCATGTGTGGTGTAATTGGGGTCGTGTGCTCGGAGAGATCTGAGCTTGCACTGAGAGGGTGCGTGGATGCCGGAAGCCCGTCAAATGTGGTATCAACTCGAAGACCAGTGTTGTTGATATTGCCCATGTCTAAGAAGTCTGCCATTGGGTCTTGCGGTTGGTTGAATGTTTCTAGGAGAGGCATCGCGTTGGCTCGGTTCGACATGGGCATTGGGGCCTGGGCTTCAGCTGCTTGTCGCATTTCGTCGAAGGTTGTTTGCTGTCGTCGACTGGAAGATTGCCTCGTCGGCTTGACAGTTTCTTCCATCGACTCGTCGTAACCTTCTGAGAATCTTTGCGGTGGTTGGCTATGCTTTATAGTCCTATCGTGCGGAGTGTCCATAGGTGTGAGTGGGAAGTAGTCTTGCTTCGGTTAGTCCTCACTGCTCTGTTTAAATAACATATTGGGCGCTTACCTGTAGCATTCTGTCTAGGAGGCGTCAAGGGCCTTCGGACATCGAGTCCCATAGTCTCAAACTTAGCAACTCTATCCATGATACCGTTGCTGATCCGACAGGAACTTCTTCTCGTGCTAGAAGTCTCCCCCTCGGATATCCAGCCAGGACCACCTGTTGGGCTGTCCTGGAAGCTCATGAATGTGGGTGTGGATAGAGCACTGGATGGGAATTGCTCTAAGTCCTGAGACGCTGTCATGTTGGAGAAATTCTCCTGGTTTTTCTTCATCATAGCATTCATCGATGCGTTATACATGTCAAAGTTCAGTTGTAGATCCTGTTGGCTTGGAAGGTTATCAAAACCTTGCCCGTCGAAACTTTGTGTTTGTGGTGTCCCATGGGGGGACATCAGGTAGCCTTCGTCGCTTGCCAAGTTCGCGTACGTCTGCTGGGGGCCCGGGCGAGCTATGCGTTGCGGCTGCGCTTCTCGCAGCACATGCTGTTGTGTGATTGATCCTGTATTGTTAGTAGCGTTACTTACCGTTGTGAATTCCTGCCTTGGTGGTATTGTCGGAGATTGCATCTGTTGTTGTCGTTGCTGTTGTCGTTGTTGAAATTGTTGTCGTCGAGTATCCAGACTCATGCCCCGGCGATGGGACATTCGTGATCGTTGTTGTTGCTGGTGTTGTTGATGCATATTAGGCAGGTTTGTCGCGATCTTCGTCGCTTCGAAGCCTGTTGGTGTCGAGTTTTGTCGTCTGTGTTGTCGATTCCGGGCCTGAAGACCGCCTTGGGGCGGATTGGACAGCATCGTGGATGGAGTCGAGTTCGGAAAAGGGGCCATTGTCGATAGATACTGGTTTGCCGGATTGGCTATCAGTTAGGTTCCGAAACTGCATCTATCCATTAGTTCTCGGGTTCTCGATTTTTGACCAAACTCGGACTCGGGATTTACGGGAAGCTCACCTCACGCAGCGCACGCCAGTCTGGCCGGGCAATTAAGCTCTTAGGCCGTCCTCAGCAGCAGCAGACGAACTTGGCAAACGAAACTAGATGTTTGTAAGTGCTGCCTTACTCAGGCAGTTGGAAGTAGCAGTATAAGCAAGATAGGTTAACTAGAGTCTGTTTAGCTTGCAGTCTTCTCAGAAATCAGCAATACTTCTGTTGAAGTTGTTTCTTTCTATCTTCTATGAAGATTTGAAGTGGATAGCGTTTTCCTGGATGGATGATCTCGGTATGCAAGATAAGGTGGAGGATAAGGTAGAGGTAGGGAATGTACGTGGAAGTTTTTGTTGGAGAGATAGTCTTTGAGTGAATGCAGCTTCTAAGTTCCAGGTTAAAGTTGCTAGGGTTCATTGTTGATTTGAAGCTGCACGCATGTTGCCAGGGCAACGATGGATGCGCCAACCATCAACCAATAAGACGGCACAATACAAAGCTGCATCCCATTTGCGACAACCAATCAACGTACGATGTATCATCCGAATTAGGTTAGTGTCATTCACGGCCCGCACAAGCTTGACTTAGCTTGCTGCAGGCTTCTGCCGAGCAGCATTGGTTCATTACCAATCGGGATTAGACCAAACAATCCATAATCCGATCTTCGATTTTAGTTTTTTTTCCTTTTGAACCTCGACGTCATCCCCCTACATCACAAATAACGTGCATTTCAAGTTTCCATGGATGATATTCATTCCTAAGACATGGCATTCAAGGAACCATGTGTTGACGGTTCTTTGTGTATCATGATTTAGGGCGGGAATAGGCCAGTCAGAATACAAGTGTCGACTCCCATGATAAAAATTATATTCTATCTTAGCTTCGCCTATACCAAGACCTATAAATCTCGAACCGAAATCAATTCGAGTAGTATTAGGCTATCTTAATAATACTTTTAGTCGTAGTAAATTTGCACTCGTTTTCCGTCTCTCGGGATTTAAACCTACCGAATTGGCCGGGTCACTATTGGGTATTGAAGAGAACGGGCCATTTAATCTTAATATCCCTTCGATAAATATTATCAAGACATATGGAGTGCACGACCATTTTGTTAATGCGGATCGAAGGCGGCGACCATAAAATTATTCCTAGAACTTTCTTAATATCTCGAAGTTCGGAACGGGTCTCTGAGCATCACATCCGGCTATCTCAGCCGCACTACTTCTATCGCTGGGACGCCTGACAAGAAACGTCTTCCAAGGGAGAACATCGGTCTCATTCCTATGAGCACTGTCTTGAGCTCGTTGATATCGAGGTCCTCCACTCTTATAAGAGACTAAGGCTATTTGGTACTATGTGAGTTAGTATTTTAGAGAACTGGTGGGACACATCGGCACAGAACCATGCAGTAATGCAAGCATTATAGCGGTCTGCAGGTTAGATGCAGATCATGTCGGGGTTTAATGCCGTCTTGCTCGCATATACTCTGTATCTCCTCGATTTCATGTACGATGAATCAGATCTAGGCATATGGAGTTTGCTCAAGGGTATTCAAACAAAGTCTAGCTGGTGTTCCACTCAATTCTCGGGACAGGTTCAATTCGCACAATACATCGTAGGAGTAAAAGGGCGAACGTCGGTAATCTCCGCGATCTTCGGTTAGGTGGATAATTTATGCAAATATAATGTAGAGACCGTGCCGTGATACTTCGATACGCATGATACGCATCCGATTGGGCAGTCATATGTAGCACAACATATTCAAGTCCCAGTACACATTATTCATCGGCACTGTATGTACACATTAAGGTCAGCGGACTGTCTGGAAGCCGCCGACGTTCGTCAGGCTACAAACATCTATCATTGAGTTTCTAGAAAAAATTTTAATCAGCGGTAAACCTCATATGAATCGTTTTCAATGGGTAGATAACACAATATGCTTTTCAATCCCCGGCCATAAGAGTCCCCACGAAATCCCATCCATCCCACCTTGCTAACCCTTTATAACTAGAAAGAGTTTATTCGTTGCCGTCGATCGTCTACATAATTCACAACCGTATCCAATGGGCATGGACCCGGGTAGACCTTCGCATTACCAATTGAAATGCAAGAAGGCAAGACCGCCATGTACGACGTAGACCGAACCTCACCTAGACGTGCAATCGATCGAGAGGTCTAGCAAAGACGCGCTTAGAGATAATGACCTGTAATAATGTGTTGTGTTAGGAAGTCAGGAAATGCTCAACGTTCTCCTTAAACCGGGGATTGACTGCACATTCGGTTTGGAATACACTACAATACCACGGGGACATCGCTGCGTCGGGCTGCACTTGCAAGGCGCCCCGAAGAGTCAATTCACATGGCGTACCAACCATCGTGCTACTCGTGGTATTTTACGGAAGCGACCAATTTCCGCGATAAAACTATCATTCCACTACCTCCGGCGCCGCCAGGGGAAGGCATATCCAGTCAATCAGCCGTATGCATAGTACTCATTACAGCACCCCGACGACCTCCACTCAGAAGCGATATTCCGCTCGAGAACCGCGCTCTTTCATTACTTCTCTCCAATTTCGCCTTTCAGAAGCACACGAGAAACGGTACTCGATAATTCCCTCCCATTCCTTAAGCTCCTGATCGAATGATTTACTATTCTCGTGATTGAGGGGGCAGACGTGCGCTCCAGGATTCTCTTTTCTGCCCGCCAAGACATATTCGTTCAGGGACACGTAGAGTTTGTACTCTTCCACGAGTGTTCCCCCGCGATCACATAGGACCCACCGCTGAGATTTTCCGGCGTTAGCGTTATCCTCCCAATGACCGTCTATAGTGCCACAAATGCATGATTTCGTCAAGAACATCTTCTCGCGAAGAGTGGTGAGGAGTTCAATCCATGATGAATCTACTAGGTAGACATCATCCAAGCAAAGCTCCTTCAGGGTCCATTGGTGTCGCAGCAGAAAGTCGGTTAGCTCGCGTCGTGTAGTATGGATATGGCCAAGCTTAAGTGTTCTCAGCGAAGGCCAGGTATAGCCCTTTGGGATGACATCGTCTAGTGAGGCGCTCCTTAGGACAGCGTGAATATTTGTGAAGTTATTGATACTGAATGTCGTGGCCGCGCAGGCATTTCTGTAACGAAAGGCAATTGATAGTGTGTGTAGCCGTGGAAGCACACTAAAGCATCGTTGAATCAGGCCCCTCTCCATCTCATGGTTGCTTTGGTTGAAAGCTGTTGACGGACACCCCAGTAGGCTGCTGTATTCGTTGTCTATTTCAAGATGTAATCGCTCGAGACTAGCCATTGATTTAAAGAGGACGTCTAATTCGGCATCATTCTTCTGCTTGTCATTGTCGTTACTGGCCCCGTTAAAGTCTTCCATCCAATCATCGTGGCCCCGTTCTGTGAAGGCCGCCCAATGTAGGTCTTTTATCGTTAAATCAACGATCTCTTCCCCACACTTCCTTTCGGACAACGCCTTCAGTAATGCTCGAAGGTGTTTGCCGTCTCTGCGGATCGTGAATGGACGGAAACGCCTAAGTGTACGAATAATTCCCGGCGCACATGTCTTTCGCCGATATCCCTTAGAATCTTATTGGTGAGGCGGAGGTTGCTAATACTATCAACGTCTAGAAGTGAATAGATGTGGTCTAGCACCTCATCGGAGAGAGACAGGATAGCAGGCATAGTGGATGTTTCCGAGAGCAATAAGGATGGTGAACAGCAATTAGGAGCCGTTGTATCGTCGAAAGATATTGTTAGCTAGTCTTGGTGAGCACGTAGATACCAAGGTAGCAGTAAAGTAATGATGGGATTACTGTGCGGTGTTTAGGTATGTTGTAATTGTGTTCTGGGAGATGAAAAGTTTACAACCGGCTAGAACCCTCTATGTATATGTAGAGAGTACTGAAAAATACTGTTCACGCGTTTATGCACTGGTCAGCCTGACAAACAAAAAAGGCACAGTATATGAAATAAAAATTAAGGCCTAGTGTTGATTTTACTATATCAAATTTAGTGTAGGGCCTCTGTGTGCATCACAAGGCCACCGTCGCACCTCCTCTCCTGGGCGGTCCCCTTTTACCCTGTATTCAATCCTCGGGATTTCTGCCTATGAATCTTTCCCCCTCGAGAGACCCATAAAGATCCTTCCATCCCTCCCACCATTTATCAATCGACTTGCTGTTCTCTCGCGTGAGGGGGCAAGCGTCTACCGTCGGATATGTTCCCTTGTCCTGTGAAATATATCCATTGACTAAATTGTAGAGTTCACCATTCCAATACTTTCGGTCTAGTTCCCACCGCTGAGTATCCTGGCCGTCGGTACTATTTTCTCAATGGCCATCGATAGTCTCACCAAGGCATGGCTTCGTCAAATGCATCTCATCGCGGAGGAAGTCCAGAAACGGGATCCATGACGTGTTGACAAGGTATACAGCTTCCAGACAGAGTTCTCGGAGGGTCGATCGGTGGCGCATAAGGAATTCGGCCAATTCATGTCGAGTACAGTGAATGTGGCCAAGTTTCAGGGTCGCTAGCAGAGGCCAGGTGAATGATGTCGTTAATCGATGCGCTTCGAAGAAGGGGATGGGTGCAGTCCTGGTAAGCGCGCCAATCACATTCATCTACCCTGTGGATGAAGGCGACCAACAGTGATTCTAACTGAGGCAGCACGCCAAGGGACTTCTGAATTGCGCTTATATTCATTTTATCGCAGTATTCGTGGAAATTAGTCTTCGGAGCCACGTATCGGTACACGTAGCTATTGTCCACCTCAAGGTCCAGTCGACTTAGACCAGCTAGGGATCGGAATAGGACATCTAGCTCAACATTCCCCTGGAGGTAATCCTCCCCCTCCTCCTCCTCTGGTGGACCGAATGCTTTCCAACTAACACGCTCCAGGACGAGGCTTTGTATTCTGTTATTGGTTTCGGAGAGCACTTTCAATATTGTTCTAAGGTGGTTGCCATCCTCCCGAGCCTCGAATTGGTACAATTGATTGAATTCATCAAGCCCCTCTTCCTTACGTGCAGCGTTGGTGGTAAACATGGTGACATGCTTTAAGCATGGCAGCTTGGAAAGCGCTGTTTTCAAACGTTTGTAATCTTGCCTTTTGTTCATAATTCGTCGCTGTTGGTTGGCAAGCTGTTTATACTTGCCGAAAGTTAAGTAATATGGATGCCGACGATCCTTCACTTTACTGTTGTAATAATATCTATCGGTTGCTGGGTGTTGTAAAGTGATTGGGGCGTAGACAAGTGAATCGATGCGCTGAGAGAGAAAAGGTAGTTTCGAAGCGTCTACCAAAGTTTTTAGGTGGCGATTTGTCATGTGTATCATCGAGACCTTGCGAAGGTACTTCGCACCGGCGCGCGCGAACTCCTTACATGCGAGGCGATAATTCAGATAGTCGTCACCGTATAGGTAAGAGCAGATCAACTGCAGAACTTCGGCTGAGATGGTGCGCATTTTGGGCGACGAATAGATGATATTTTGTTTATGATGGATGAGTGGTGGTGGTGATAAAGGAGGTTGTGATGGAGTATGGGGGTGTAGAACAGCTTAAGTCGATGAAAATGTTGTAGTAAATGTGATATAGTCGTGACAATGTGTTGAGTTCCTGATTAAGAGGTGTTGTATCAAAATCTGAGATTTGGTATTGAGAAAATTTATGAAGTTTGCAGCCCGCTAGAATTCATCTGGTATATAGAAAGTGCTGGTGGTTACTGATTACCCGCCTTTGCACTTACGTCGACCTGACAAATGAAAAGGCCGCGTAGATACTGCGGGTCAATATACGACTAAGATGCACCGTAGGGAAACCACGAACCGGCGCCCTACAGACTTTTATGCTGGTCTAATACGTAGGCATTTATTTGATTGGTTCATCATTCGTCAATCTGATGATTAGGTACTGATTGTCACAACGCGCAAGTATAGCACGGCGGCCGAATCGATGGGTATCGCGTGGGTAGAGCTTGCTCGTAGAAACACAACATGAACACGCCGGCGGCTACCAGGTACAGAGGTTCATCCGTCTCGTAAAAAATTGCAATTTGTCACTGCTGCCGTATGTATTGCTCACACCCAAGCCTTTTCATCCTATGCTTGGCGTCGTTTTAGAATAGGAATAGGCACATAGTATGAAAGACAAGCATGGCTGTCTAATTGCTAACCCAAATTACTGAAGAGTAATCTCGACCCCTTTGATATTATGGTACGATATATTTAAGCTAAGTATGCCTATTCGATGTGTGTTTGGGCTGCTATGACCACATACCTGGGACTCTTGGGTTTGCAGTATTTATCTCCTAGCCAGTCACATGGGCAAGAGTTTGCTATAAGTAGGGAGAGATTAGGGATGCGCGTTGAATTGCTATCTCGACGAGCAACCCAGGCCTTCTAGAATAAACTCTAGTACCTAGGTAAGAGCCATAACCACTCCCTTTCTATCTATTGTGCGGCGTCTTGGTCCATTTTAAGCACCCGCGAGAACGTTTGTACCTAAGTAGGCGTGTAATCTAGGCACGAGCAACTTCCTTCTGAAGAAGTCGAGTCAGGGGCCTGTCGTATGTAGGCCGATAGCTGACGGAGAGATCCGAAACCACCTTGCGCAATTGTCAATCGGCAACAGGTTTAGATACGGCGCGGAGTTCGGCATTAAATGAGTTGGTCGAGGTAATTGATCGTCGAACTACCCGAATACCTGGTATATGATACTCTTCGACCCGGTGGGTTCTAGTTACGTTATCGATAGGTACTCGCTCGCTCGCTACGAATGCCGTTGAAGAGTAATTGATAGAGAGCCCGGCTTATGAGCGCACGCGCGATACTCGCTGCCTGACATGCATGTAATCGGTGAGTATCGAAGTTCGACGTCAAAATCGTGAAACTGGGGAACGATATCTTCAGCTCGTATCCCGGCTCCGTAATGAAAAGTTTTTTTCGCACGGAGCAGTACTTCGTGTAATCTCTGAAACTCACTCAAGCTCACTCCGGTAGTATGGGCATAAATCCAGACACCTCGTTAACCTCGTTAAAGTCCACCGTCTCATTCAAGGGAATAATGCCGTCATCGTTAATTAAAGCGCTCCAGTCAATATCTACATTCGGCTCCTCATACGGAATCCCTCCCAGCGTATCCGTAAAATTGGGCGTAAGATGCGAGCTGGGGGTATTCGTCTGAGTCTCCTCTCCCAGCTTCGAATAGTCCGCTCTTAAAGCCTTCTGCTGATTCGCATACTCCGCAGGCGTCATCCCCATCATTTCCTTGAAGACACGGTGGAAATGCCATTTCGAAACCTGCGCTTTCTGTGCCAGCTCACCAGTTGTGTCGGAAACATCGGACTGTCCATCTGGTTCCATCGCAAACCTCCAAAGACTTTGCTCGACTAGGGAGCGCACCCTCGCGACCGCTGCTTCTTCAGGCATTCCTCCTCTGACTTCTGGCTTACAGCGTTTGCAGGGGCGGAATCCCGCGCGCTCTGCATCTTGGCAGGTTGTATAAAAGGATACGTTGGCTCTTCTCGCTCTTCGCGATTTGCACACTGGTCTGCAGTAAATTTTCGTGGTCCGTACCGCGTAGACGAACATTCCGTCCGCAGCCGGATCCCGCGCCTGCACCGCATTCCAGCGGGCAGTCTCGGTAGCGAATCTTGAAGGATTGGTCATACCTAATAAATAGCGCGACGCGGCCGTTAAGGAGTAAGAGAGAATATGATGAAGTCACAGTCACGCCGTCAATACGCGACGTTGCTAGAAAAATGATGAATGAGACGGAAAACTCGTGTGAAATGTGGGGGCTGACGATGACGGCGTAAAAGGGGGCTTGCTATAAGTGGGGATTGCGCCGGAAGTGGCCAATCAGATGTCTTATTTGGCTGACATCCATAGCAAGAGAATCGAATAGTGGCGGCGGTCAATCTACACTTCCAGCGCAACGGATCACCAAGTATCAAAGCAGTGGAGTTGCTCCCAAATAATTTCTTCTTTCTAGCGGACGGATTGGGAAATAAGCTGTTGTCTATGGGCAATTTCTTGACTCAACGTGGAACCATGAAGATGAGCACCTCCGCGGCGAACACTAGGCCTCTACTCTTCATGGATGAGTTCTTCTAGTATTTAAACCTTCGAGTAAGGCCAGTCTGGATGGTATCGACGACAAGACACTTCGACAAGACACTTCGACAAGACACTTCGACAAGACTAAAGCATACTAGAACACCCTCATCTCATCATCAGTTACAAGCCTCACCATCAACATTTAGAGTAATTTCATTCAACCTCGCAAAATGTCTTCGAGCGAGCACACAGTCATTTCCCCTGCCATTCTCTACTGGGGCACACCAGTAGTCTTAATCTCATCCGAGAACGAAGACGGAACAACTAACATCGCACCTATGTCCTCAGCATGGTGGCTAGGCCACGCTTGCATGCTAGGCCTAGGCGCGGAATCCAAAACAACGCAAAACATCCTACGCACAAACGCCTGCGTCCTAAACCTCGCAAGCGACACCATGGGTCCGCAAGTCAACCAGCTAGCCCGCACCACAGGCAGCAACCCCGTTTCCGAGTTCAAGAGCGCAGCTGGATACGAGTTCGTCAAAGACAAGTGGACGCGTGCAGGGTTGCATCCGCAGGCCTCGGATTTTGTTACTCCGGACCGAATCGCCGAATGTCCGGTGCAGATGGAGTGTCAGGTGGTCTCAGTCAACGGACTCCGAAAAGACTTGCCTGATCGTGCCGGACTTGCGCTCGCGATTGAAGTCCGAATTCTGCGGATTCACATTATGAAACATTTACGGGTGGAAGGATATCCTAACAGGGTTGATCCCGATAAATGGCGGCCGCTCATTATGTCGTTCCAGGAGCTTTATGGTCTGAAGGGTGGAAAGGTGGTTCCAAGCGTCTTGGGCGAGATTAATGAGGAGAATTACCGGGCGTTCACTAAGAGCGATGTGCTGAAGTTTCCTGGGGATGATGATGATCAGATGGTGGTCAAGAATGACGCATAACTTTTCATATTTTGGCGACAGGATACTCTCACGGATTGTTTTAGGGTGTGAATAGCTCACTTCTATAACTGTTTTTAGACATATGAATAGACGCTCCTGTTGAGCAGTTTGAGCAGTTCGTCGTATTGAAGTGTAGGCCAACTGGCACGGGGATTGTCTATAATTCATTATCCCTGGACGCTCCTGCGCCATGACCATCGTCTATACCCGAAATCCCGGGCTTCCTTCGACATTCTAGTGTGCAAATCTAAAATCGAGCCTCCTCGAGCCCTGGAGCTTGGTCGTCTTTCTATATTCAACCTGCTGTTCTTCGCTTAGTGCATTCCAAATGCGCTCCTTCTGCTTGTTCCTCCAGACGTAATAGAGCTTCGTAAGCAGGAATACGAGGATAGATATTAAGTTAATAACCAGGAGTGTCGTGTTCCCTCGTCGGTATTTTGGCTTGTCGTCTTCGCGGTAGATATAAGAAGCGTACACGTTTCCTGCTTGGACGCTCATCTGATGGCTTGTTAGCTACATTAACCCTGGATGATATTAAAGCAAGACCTACATTATATAGCGCAGCCGAGACAGTCCGTGTGCCGACATTATTGGAGTTCTTAGAACACCAGCCTACTAAAATCGCATCTAATGAAATGTCAGTTTCGGGTGCCATGGGGAAGATAGCGGAACACGTACGGCAATAGGGGTAGGACAGTAGGGTCATCATAATCCCGTAGGTACCCCATCGATCTTCAACCACGTCACTCCAAAACCTTAGAGCAAAGATACATGGTAAAGTCCAGAGAGGTTGTGCAATGGCTACCAACGATCGTTCGTTCAACCACTCGGATAATCTCGTAAGCAAGATTAGGTTGAAAATATGCGCTATGTCCTGGTTGAAGTTAGTAGGGCACAACTATAACCTTTGTTACTTACTGCTGGGATAGTCAGGATATTGGTATTGAACGTGCTGAACCCGAGGGATCGAAGAGTGAGTGTAAGGTACGTCTTCGGGGGTGATTGCGGTACATAGGCGCAGAAGCCGATGGCGTACAGTGGCCACAAGTCATAATCCTTCAGAGCTTCCCATAACCTCTTGGGCGTCAGTGCTTGACGATTATGCATGTCACCTTTAGAAGGGTCGTCGCGAAGCACTCGGTTAACGACAATTGTCTCCTCTCGCTCCGTGAACCAACCCCTCGGTCGGAACCAAGTCTTCGTTTGAACTGCAGAGGCGGGCATCATGAAAAATGATGCTATCCCCACAGATAGAGTAATGGTTCCTTCGACTAAAAACAGCCATCGCCAACCTTCCCATGCAAGGAAACCCCTAAGATGCAGCAGGGCGAACGCCATTAAGGAAGTGAGGATGCCAGTCACTGAAAGCGTCGTCCAGAAATAACTGAGACGTATCGGGAGCTCCCGTGACGTGTAGAAGTATGACAACCAGAGAACGAGGTCAGGAATGAAGCCCCCCTGAAAAACGTTAGGTTCGCCATAATAAGGAAATCTCGAATGTGTGATATTACCTCAAGGAATCCAAGTAAACTCCTAGTCACCAAGAAAGATCCGCGACCGGTAAGAGCACACTGCGAAATGGCAACGAATGACCACAAAACCATCTGCATGGGAATCCAACGGTCGGGGCCTACAGCCTTCGATACGAGTTGAGATGGTAATTCAGCAAGAAGAAAAGAGACTAGGAAGATGGAATGACCATAATTATAGTCTAGAGGTTGTTAGCAATTATGTTCGTTGCCGGTGCATCAAGATACAAGATGGGATGCGACTCTTCGGAACAAACCGAAGGCACACTCGCGACCCACGCGTTAATCTCAAGAAAGGCAATTTGGGTATCTTGATTCATACCATTAGTATCTAGACCTAGATCATCTAGCATGTTGTCGGACACGGCTTGCGAAAGGTTTCCACGATCTACTTGCAACCCGAAGAACATCACGCACTGGATTGGCCCGACATGTCAGCAGCTGTCGGAATGATAAGTAGGCGGTTTCATACCGCCCATAAGCACACTTTCCAGTCCAGCTTTCGAATTAACTCTTTTTCTTCTTTGGCTGTCCATTCGAGTTTTGGATTGAAGACATGTCTGCATTCATATTGACAATTTTCATAGACTTGCCGCCAATACTCTGCGGTTTCTGTGTCTAAAAAGGGGTTTTCCGTATCGGGAACAGAATCCTCAATGCGAAGACTTTCGCCAAGTAGAGCCGTAGGACTCTGGCTGGGCGATGTATCTAAAGAACCATAAGTTTTCTGCTCATCCGGATCATCGGAGGCAAGTGGTTGATAAGACATTTTGGTGGAAAGTCGAGGAAGTTTTGGGAGTGTAGACTTCACAGCTTTCAAGTCCGATAACTCAAAACCCACGATATCGTCATCAACCGCAGAATTACTAGGCGAATCAGAAATAGCCGGTTCAACCGAGTCTCTTCCCAAGCCCTTCGTTTTTCTAGAGCGAGGTGACATGGCGGCAGGGCCACAACCCTCGGAGGGCACGGTATTTAACACTCGAAACGGTTCATATGCGACGAGATAAAAGAAGGGTATGTGAGAATAGGTGGGATGGATGACGTGCTACCTAACCGCTGCTCACGCGGGCTTTATGGTGTCTTGAATGGAGGTTGACTTTCCCTAACTGGCGAGAATGTTGATCAGGTTCAGTAAGGTGGTTGGCTCACCATCCAACGCTGCATCTAAGACAGAATTAATCCATAAATACCACATCCAAGAAATGGATTTTCATAGATATGGGAATGGGAATCTGCAATAACTAGTGAAAAAAAGCTTATCCGGCTTTTCGTCTGCCATCCCGCTCGAGGATCGCAAGCCGATACGTGCTTGCAAGGGTTGAGACATGCATCATAGGATTACTAGGGTGTTGAGGCTGAACGAATGATATTGCGAGGGAGAAGATTTGGTGATTGTAGATTGAATTTCGCCATTTTAAATTAAAATTAGGGAACCTATTTGCACCGCCATATTTATTAGTAATTCATTAGCCTTAATGCCAAGATGAATGTTGAGCCACACTTATTCTAGTCCTATTTCATCCAAGGTCAGATGACTGGCTAAACAATGCTTCCGGCTCGATCAATCGATCATGGATGTGTAAGAAAAACATGTGACGTCACGCTAAAGCTGACACAGTTTTTGTCAACAAGGAAGTTACCACACATTAGATCTGACAAGCGTTTCAATACGAGCGCCAAGACGGTTTCGAACCCCACTAAGCATTGAACCTTATCCACTCATCTTCCGTACCAGTCGTCGCACTCCGCATATCTTTCCTGAACGGTACTCAAAAAGACTGGATACTGGCTACACAGCCCACCGTTTTTGCAGTTGCCTTACGGTGCACAGCCCTCTTACATAACCGCCGCTCCTGGCGAATCCGTACTTTCTGAAAAAGCACGTTGTTGTTTGTTCATAGTTGGAAGGAATTGAGTTTTTCTAACCCGTCGTTTCCAATTTATCTCTTTTTTGCTCTTGCTCTTGCTCTTGCTTGTATCGTTTATTCCATCTCGTCAACTCAAATCTTGCATTTATCATCTATCGCATACTGGGTCGGTTTCTTTAACTTCTTTCGTTTTAAAGGTACCGAAATTTAGCACCCAAACCATCAACGATCGTTCGCATCTGCATTTCCATACATCCATACATCCATATATCCATCGTTCTCTTTTCTCGGCTGGCCAGAGAAAAATCACGAAAATCAAATTAAATCTCAAACAAAATCTCGAAACGTCAAACATCGATTTTCGTCCATTCTCCACGGCAAAAATGCAGTTCACTACCGCCGCTCTATCCCTCTTTGTCGCCGTCGCCGCGGCTCAGAACTCCACACTTCCCGACCTAGTCTCCCAGTTGCCCACATGCGCCGCGGGCTGTCTTAACAGTTCGGCGCAATCAGCTGGTTGCGCTACTACGGACTTCGCATGTCTCTGCGGCGACAAGAGGGAATCTTTCATCTCTAGCATCACCGGCTGTATTGCTCTATCGTCCGGGTGCTCTGGAGACGATATTAGCAGTAAGTTACTACAATAAGGATCCTATCGCCACTAGACATTAGCTCGACTAACATATTATCTGCCAGAGCTTCAAACTCTTGCCCCCGAAATCTGCCAAGCCGAGTCAGCGAACCCGGACCCCGCTGCCGTTGCATCAGCTTCCGGCATCGTCGCTTCCGCCGTCGGCACCGCGACTCCTACATCAACACCCAATGCCGCAGCCGGTTCGGAGATCGGTATGGGATTAATGGGAGTCGCCGCTCTCGCCGCCCTAGCCTTGTAGAGTTCTCATCCTTCGTCGCATATACTGAGAAGCGTTCACACCTTCTCACATTAGATTTCATGATCATTAATGACCCGGGCTTACACGGATAGCTGTATTATAGAGATCATAGACTGGTAGGATCGGGTAATAATTCACAAGGCTGGATACAATAGGGGATATAATAGCATATTAAAAATGCTACATCTGGGGTTCGTAGGGTTTGAATATAGCCCGAGTAGATTCAAGTCATCTACTAATACATATCTACATTCGTATATACTATCATGAGACCAACCATAGGGGGGTTAATAACTGTTGTTGCGCTAAGGGATCGCAAGTAATAGCTGTGGGAACTATCGTATACATACACAAGTAGCATCTTTGTTCTAGGGGTTCCTTTGTCCTCATATCGGCGATAAGGGGTCTCCGATGCTTCCCAGGATGTATCACTTCGTACAGATCAACTACTGACATATCATATTGCGCAACAGCGCCCTTCTTGCAAGCGTTTTGTCGGCTGAAACCTTGAATAAAGCAACAGACGGCCCTAGCATTCGCTCGAAGTTAGTAGCGGTTCGTAAGCAATACCATCAACAGGCACTATGCGTCGGTGTTTCACTCACTACCTACATAGATAAAGTGTTGAAGAACTTACACCCAGAAGGCTCTACTGCGTTTCTTTCCCTTGCGGTACAAGTTGGAATCTACAAGCACTCATCAAAGATTGCGCTTTAGATTCATTTTCTTAGCTCGCATCGTTGAGACGCATATAACCTAAACATCCTGACGACCTAGGTACTTACTAACGATATGTCGTCCTCGACACCGAGCCCGAAACCACTGTTCATTTGCGGATCCATCCGCGCTTTACCTCTCCTCGCATGGGCCCTAACAGGAAACGCATCCAACATCAACGCCGTGTCTAGACTCACATAACCAGCAAAAATCTGTGGACGCGCGCGGTTCTTGTTCCCAGGTTATCGCGATCTGAGAGACTCATTTGGAGGAGGATATCTATTTTACCCCGAGACAGCCTCTCAGCGCGAAAAGCTATGACTTGGAGGGCAGAGCTTACAAGACGGCACCAGTAGATGTTACAGTTTTCCATGCTGGTAGAATGCCTCAGGAGGAAATAGTGGAAGCCGACCTCTACTTTTGGCTCGGTAAATTGGATGCGTTAGCGAGTGACTGGCAGGCACTGGATGTCCTCGAAAATGAAACAATGCAGGATTGGCTGAATCTTTCCGATACGATGAAACTTGCAGGCGAAACTAAGTATAATAAGAATCGGGACGGCCCGTGATCTTGAAGTAAGGGAGAACATACCCAGGTCTGTACCTGCATAAAGTTTGCAAAGACAGCTTCGCAAAATCCGAATCCCTGGTCGCGTCACTCAGGGCCTTGCACGATAATAAGGTTGGAAGTTCATCAACCATACCTGAGAGCCGTTACGGGGCCCTGTATGCTTTTGAAAGGTCAATTTTGGAAATCGAATTTTAAGTTCTACTCGTCCACGGCGGTATCATCTTGCGTCCGCTTTTGGAGTTGATGGCCCAAGCACCCCTTAAACCCAACTTTGAACACACTCTGTTGCCAGCCAGACGCCGTCCCTCTGCCATAGCCCCGTATCGGCCTAATGAGGCGTTTCCAAGATTCGTCGAGCCCGTTTATAAACAAGGAAGTTTCGTACTTTCGAATATTCTATTACTTCGAAGGGGGCTAGAGGCCTAACCACTAGTAAAAGCCGAATGGAACAGGCTTCCTACTAAGAGTAGTCGAGTGGCGGGCCCTCTATGTTTCTTGTACTGCGCTTTTTTCCAAGACCGAGCCGGAAGTATGCTTCCATGATTGCTTGTGAGACACTTCGCTGATTTGGACATTTATTGTTTTGATGGACGTGGAAACTTTGCCAGGGTTCATCCTAACCATCGTTTTCCCTAACGTTTCGGATTAAGATTGTCAATAGGCCGATATTTCGAGACCGCCTAGCAGTAGAAGGCTTCATCGGAAATATGGTCGCATTTTGTAGCAAGTCAATAGAACCTTCTTATTGTTAGTCAAAGCGGACGATGGTGAGTATTTAAATGAACTCGGGCTTATGTCTCGCACCCTCTGTGCCACGAAACCAATGCTCTAATTTGGATGGATCGTCTTTTGACCGACTCTATATAGCTGCATTGCCGAATTTCTTTTTTGTATTCGCATTCTATAAGCTATAGGATGTTGAATGTGAGACCCACGGCTTACTGAGACCTCCATTATGAGGCTTGGATCTGCGATTTCGCAGTATCTTGCGAGTAGACCCCTTTTTCGTGAGAAGTTCGAATTGCCATTGGCTTACTTGAACGATAATTGCTTATTGAGGAGGTAAGAGTTATGATAGGAGTTGGCGTCGGCTAAGCTTCCGATGCCTGTTACTAGGTGTCTTCGGGTGAATCGAGCTTTACGATGACATTGGAATGACTACGTACAACTAGCAGCGTGATTACATGGGTATCCTATTCACATAATCTACTCAATTCTCACGCTAGGAACTAGCGCAATCAGTCCCATGCCTTTTCTTAGTCTCTAGGAGCGAGTGTAGTGGATTGGGATAAGAGAGTAACATGATCTCACTAACCAACCATGAGTAATTCATGAATGAGCTCTCTCAGGGGTATCACGTGACCGCAAATAGGGGCTATTGTTACCGTTACCTACCTAAGCAGTATTACCAGAGGAATTATACCTAGCTTCAAAGGCCTATGCGCTAGTTCTACGGGCTTTCGTAGAAGACTACATGTTTCTTGGTAATAAATTGTAAATCCGCCTATTCTGGAGAGGAACGCCGTTTTTTTCCTTGACGCGATCAGGCAGCTAACCTATTTGGTAACACGCTTTCTAAAGTACGAGGTTGGTGATGGCAAAAAACCATGTTGAAGTAACACAAGAGTACCTAGGTACATAGGGCACCATAATCTTGTCACGGTCGTGGGAATTTGCATACCGAGCTGGTCGGCATTGACTGCAGCATCGGGAGATCGCAAGATGCAGTGTAAGCGACGCTGGTGGAGTTCTGTGTCGGACCCGCTATTCGATAGGTGAAGCGACTATAGATGCTGTCACAAATGAATCTCAGGCATAACGCATTAGGTAGCTAGAGTTTGCGTCGAGCTATCATTTGTATAACCCGAGCGATGCGTTGAATAAGTCATCGCCGTATCAATATAGCACACCATCATGGTCTTGACCGATCTTGATTCACATTAATCTTTGGCTCATTGGATAGCAGTAGCTGCTACGATGTTAGTGGCGTCTTACTATGTGGATCTACTAGTAAGCAGCCACAGAACTCCGATTAGGCAGGCGACCCTCTGTAGGTCTCAATGGGAGCGGGCGCGTACACCTTTATAGCTGCAGACCCACGTAGTGCGAGTAGTAGATCAAGACGTTTTTGGAAACCTTCAGCTGTGGCAAGGATGAGAAATGTGGTAATCACCACTGTCAATGAGCAAGCTTAGGTCAGCGAATCATGTCGGTTAATATCTAATTTCGGTCCCTGAAGCTTCGTCAAGTGACGTCGGGGGCCCTCTTCGAGAGAAAGCAGCAAGAAATACGGCTGCATCCGTCCCTACATCTCACAGTCTTGTTGCGGAATAAACACTCCCTAGATCCGAGCTTTCCCGAATCGTAAATACCCACTTCCGTTGTACTTCCACGGAAGCAGGCTACGCTCCTGACCTTGAAATCGAGAGATAAGCCCCTATCTTAAGTATAGAAATCTCGACAGACTCGTAGATCGGATGAGTCGATCCACATAACTTAACATCCCATTCAATCGATGATCATAGGTGCTGTGTCCCGGTGTTGAAGATCATTACGGAGATGGTCCCGGAACAGGGGTCGCTTGCTGGGATTTATTTCGGTTAGTGCCGAATGTGGCTGATTCCCTATTGATTTGGTGTGGGGAACATGGCCACTGCAGACCCTGTACGACTTTGCTAGTTATAAGCTTTCGGGGCTTTATCTCCAATGTAGTTGACGCTACGTGACGGAGGTGACTCTTCACTGTCTAGAAACCCACGGACACCGTCTTTGGAGCCGGATAGATGCCCATGAAGTCAAGTCTGACATAACTAGAATTATGCTTATCAACATTACAAGGAATGTCAAATTCTGTACTGAGAAAGTGAGATGATATGGATACTAGTGGAGCTTTCCGCATTACGTGGGGGGGGTTTATTCTCCCCATCAGGCGACGCCGGAGAATCAGCTGGTGATTCGTAAGCTTCGAAACGGCTGGCACCCAGCTACTGTCAACAGCACTGTTGTCCAACAGAATAAAAAGTAAGCTATATGAATCACCAAATGACATGCGCAATGCCCGTTGGTGGGTAACTTTCGAAAAATTCATACATGTCGGGGAGGACACGGCCTAGGAATGCAGAGGAGTACTACCATCATTATGGAAAACTCCATTACAGTTCAGCTACCTGGTGAGCAACTTGGGTATAAGCACAATACAACCTGAAGGCAAGAAGCTACGAAGGAATGAGGTGTCTAATTGGGACCCAGTGGAAGTTTGATCTATAAATCCTGTATTGATATTGACATTATGACTTCTCCTCACGAAGCCCCCCACTCTGATATTGATTCGACGTTACATATGAGAAAACAAACCATTAACTACAATAATATTGATCGGGAAAAGAAAATGATAGGGTGTCTGGGTTCTGCAAGGAAACATGGATGCCCAGCGTGTGGACTATGCCGTAAGCGCCGTAGTCAGCTGTGATGAATCCCCTAATGTTCCTGGGATTGTTTGATGCACGGAATATGCTAGCAGGATTACGAACAAGGAGCTTTATGGAACGGACTATGGGCAAGTGAATACACGTGGCTGGGGATCATGGTTGGGAGTACATGCCATGTACCCTTCGCGGCGACGATACCTTGAAATATTTGCTATAGCAGCGTTAAAGATACCCAGGTTGATATCGAGAGACAAAAACTCTGCCAACTTTTTCTTTTCGAATTTAATTGGTAGTTCACACCATCTCCCCGGACCTATGTTATCAATCGTCGCCCGCTTAAGAACTGACCAAACGTCGCCCTGAGTGAGATAATGCTCCATTTTAATAAATCCTAAGTTGCGATTATAGCTATATCTCTAATGAAAACAACGTTTTCTCTGCAAAGAAAATACTGTTATAATTACTAGAGAAACAAGGATAGGATAATTCACTACTGAGATATACCCGCGCATGTCTGCGTAACCACTCGAGTTCCACAAATATATGAGACCAACATTAAGACCTGAATCACTTCCGGATTGGAATGCCAAAAACAAATGACCCGATCCTACCTCCAAAAGCCGGCATTAGTATACGCCACATCGTCGTCTTTATCTGTAGGGAGCCGCGCTATTAGGGCCAGTGCCGAAATTATATAGAATATCCCTGAATAATGGCAAGCCTCTACAAGATATCGGATACCCCCGATACCATTCTTCGAAACGGGTAACCAGGATCTTACTATGAGTAAATACGAGTAGGAAGAGATAGTCATAGAACTAGGATAAGGGGCCCAAAAGAGCGGATATATAGATTAAATGACCTTGGTGTAGAAACAATATGAGCTGAAGTGATGTCTTGGCAAGCTTTAGGGACTTTGGGTCGATCTCGCGTCTACCATTTAAGATAAATGAAGAAGCAGGGGTCCGGCTCGGCAATGTATACGCGAAGTTCGCGTATCGCCCCGGATTAGTTAATATCCATCTTAAAGGGTGGTATCCATTACCTACCTGGGTGTAGAGAAAAACTCCCTCTTAGGTAAGTCCTAGGTCGCTACCCATCTAGGTACGGTACCTAGGTAGGTAGGCAGGCAAACGCTGTATCGTAATCACAAGTATTTCTTAAAGATAAAACATGCTAGTAGTATTTTCTACACCTAGTAGAGTCTGTATAATCGCGCCCTCGGGCTTCCGCTGACTCTCTCACCATTTTCTAAAACCATAAAACAACGTAGCGGAACCAAAGGACCGAACACCTCTTTAAACAATTGAACCTCCTTCTATGAACCCAACCTGAGAACTACGGGCGACATGATGTTGAATGTTTCGAATGTGTTCGTTTCTATTTCTCAACGTAAGTTTATTAGGTCGCGACCCTTCGATCATAATAGAGCAGTAAAGTGAAGCGCCAGATTCCCGTTTGTAAATCGTTGTATATCGCGACATCTCGCAGCCATGCATACCTTCTATAGGAGGTGTAAGTAGTAGTTAGCAAGGTTATTCACCGATTGAAGCTTCTGCAACGACTCGATAGAGGTGCGGAATGACTTCTCTACATCCTTAACATCTTTGGTTCCTAGCTCGCATTTTTGTGCAGCTAAGTGCTTCGAAAGCCTAGCCGCACTCAGGTAGATGGTAAATGGCATAAAAGTGTGGGCTTTGAAAAACCCAAAATGGTCGTGTTCTTTGGCGAGTCGGGAAATCTCCTGGGCTGCCCAGAGGCCCCGTGCTTGAAACTGCCATACGAGGGACTGATCTTGGTCATTTCTCGAAAGTGTCTCAATAATACGACATAAGTATATGACAGCGGAATGTGCAATTGTGTATGCGAAGATGATCATGGCGTCTTCCGCAACAGAGAATGAAGGATAGTTGGCTTGCAGATTGTTAAGTCGGCGCGTCAGCATGCCATCTAGCCAATTGTATCTCGAGGAAAAGTCGAGAGGCATGTTGCTATACAATGTTTCTATCGTATAGATTTGCTTATGCGAGAGTGCTCGACTGCATATTGTGACCAGTATGACGCATTCGGCTAACGGAGCATAGGGCCTCGTATCCGCAGATGACATGGCTTCTCCCAAAAAGGATTCTTGTGGTACAAGCCCCCTCTGGAAATCGCCGTCTATACATGGGAGGCGAGTACAAACCTATCAAAATTGGAGGTTAGCTATCATTTTGTGATGTGATCCGTGCTACTTTCCCTGCCGCTAATGTGATAGGGGCAAAAACATACCACTTCTTCATTTAATGTCATAGGTGCCCCCTCACTCACGCTGATAAACCGGTCCAGGCAATAAGCCACCCAGAATGTGCGCCTCTTCTCCTCCAATAGGATTGGATCATTCTCGCTGTCTGATGCTAAAGGCTTTGGACTATCAAGGTCGTAAAGCCTTGAGAATTGCACGAGACGGAAGACTCTTCCCGCACTGAGCCACCCACGACGGTAGTTTGTCCTAGCGAACTCGTAGAACGTAATCAGTATCCACGCTTGGATGTGCTCAATGTGGCATACTAGGGGGTCGTTGCCACTTGAATCTAGCTGGTCGAGCATATATCGAGTTTTGGCGTATATAGTATCCTGAAAACTGCCAAGCTGGCTCGAGAACGCCGTGGCGGAAGTCCACATAGCATGTAATAGGCACTGCTGGGGCTCGCTTATATTGTTCGCTTCACTTATCCACTTGAAGGCTTTCGATTTATTCAATATTGGGACGATTGGATGAACGCGGTCGAAATAAAGCTGTATCCTATGAAGTAGTTGAGTAGGCCACTCGAGATCGGTGAATAGAAAAATCCTTACAACTCTGCTTTTGTGAGGTCCGGTACGAAGGCCTCGCTGATTGAATCAGGACTCTGTTTCGGCGACGGATAAGGCGCTGCGGCGGCAGGTAAGATCGGGATGTCGGAGAACACCAACGGAGAATGAGGAGAGGTCTCCGGCGGCCCCCATGGAAGAGATATTGGTGCATTCGGTGGTTCATGATGCGGCATATCCCAATTTGGTACTACAATGAAATGTTATTTTCTTTTCAGGAGAAGCCCAGGGCCTTGTTACTGAAGATGTCTCGGATATGTTGCGGCTGTGGTGCCATCTAATTGGAGGGATCGAGAGTGAGATAATCATTTGCTTCAGAGACATACCTGAAAATTGTGTCGTGACATTTTCTCTTGCTGGAGGTTCGGTTTGTAACCCGAATTCATGCCCTTCACTAGCCAAGTTATCATCTGTTTGTGACGAGGATAGACGACGCTCAAGTGCCACTATATCGCTATTAGCATCTGTATTATTTTGCCCGGAGGAAGCCTTACTGATACGATTTCGAAGTGCGCCTATGCTTCCCTTCTTGGGACCACGAGGTGCACGGCGGTCGTTGACTTCGCATGAAATTTGGGCGTTTGCACACGCACCGCATTGCGGCCGTTGCCTGTCGCATCGAAGCTTTTTCTTACGGCATTCTTCGTGATCCGTCTAGTCAGTATCGGATTCAAACGTGGACTTATACTGGCATCATGGCTCCAGGATCTCTTCTTGTTTGGCACCCAATGCCGGACTTTGACTTGTGTCGCCAAAGGCTGAGACGTTGAAACGTACCTTCACAAGCGTAACCAGGCTGCTGACGTGGCTCGGCTCGTCCATACATATTGCTTAGTATAATTTACGAACTAAGTATATCGAAGGGTATTTCTAATATATCTCATAACTTAATATAGTGTTGGTTTTGTTGATGGTGCAAAATCGGCTGCAAGAACTTCAGACTGCGACAACAGTGTATGGTGAGAGAAGTTGGAATAGAAGTAGGCATTATCTAAGGCCAAGAACAACGTCAGGCAACGCCACTCGGAGCCCAGGCTTTGTTACTTGGTCAATGTTAGTAGACCTAATACAAACTGTATAATATGTCTTAACGTAAACTTGCGCATCGGAAGGCTTTATAGATAAACAACAATCAGCTCGCATACACTGCGCCACTGGCTAGGCAGGTCTATCGCGGTAGGTGAATTTTTATTAGACTAATCTGTTTGAAGATCGGCCTTAAAAACGGCAACCAGCATGAACCGCATAACCCCCCCTTTATGGATAGGTACGCTCACTCGATCCGAGATCTGACAAGGAATAGCACTGGCTCTCCAAGCACCTAGTAGAAGGGAGGCTGCATAATATTCTGTAGGTACCTTGTTACGACTGCCGACATATGGTGGAAGCATCATTTTAAACCGGTAGCGCAGCTTCCGATGTCCGTCTTATTACCGGTCGATGAACAACTAGGGAGATTGCATGCGTTGTGGCGTATGCAAGTTGTGATTCTTAATGAATAATTGGCCCCAGTGCCTAGATAGAGCTGTCCACTTCAAGCCACAAGTGAAGCCGGCCAGTCAATCAAATGTGCAGAATGTCCAACGACCCATTCATCATGAAGCACCCTACCTTAGCCCACCAGTCAGCCATATCCACAAGCGGCCACTGTGTTGGGACTACTTAAGCAATGGGCTCTGAATAATCAAAGAATGCTCGATGCTGTTTTGGTTGAAACAAATGCAGATCATCAATTGACTGGAAGCTGAGTATTGTGTTACACATAGTGATTACTTGCCTTGGTATTGCTTGTAAACGGTAACATGTCATGTTCCGCTCTAACGCAAGAGAGAAACTATACTACATGGACTGAATTATTTCGCTTACCAATATATTCATAATAAATTCATGAGCGAATTATCGCAGACCTCCTATCGTGACGAGATGAGCTAGGGTATGTTCATGCTTCCTAATAGTATTTTAGGTAACACCTTATAGTATTCTGAAGGCTATAATAGGCAATGCTGCTGTAATCTTATACCTGAAACTTAGCGCTCACGGATTGAGCAGCTATCAGTTATCAACTTGACGTATTAAAAACTGTAATATTTTTACTTTTAAAGGAGCTGCTTACTGCTTGTTGTTTTGGGGAAGTATTTTCATAATTCGTTTCCTAGGGTATAGCTCTAGCAGTGCTGCCAAATAACAAAGAGGGAAACTAAGTAAAGATAAGTTGGTGGTAGGGAGGTGATAATCAGGGGTATCACGTGACTTCTTTGGGGACACGATATGAACGCCGCTTTTTGAATAATATAAGTCCCTAAATTACCCTCCTTACGGAACAATCACCAGATAAGTACCAGTATGCTCCGAGTTATACGCATAAACTGATCTTATCGTAAGGAGCACTTTACGATCCCATCAACCGCTAAGGATACCTGCTGCTTGAAAACTGCGTGGTGGGTTGTTGGGCCAAGAGGCCACTATGAAGGGGTCGGACGTGGTCAAAGATACCTTTTAGTTTGTTAATATAATTATTATTATTAAATGGCTTCGTACACCGGCGACTCATAGGGTACCTGGCCAATGGTAAACACCTGACCATATCAGAGGCATAAAGAGTCTAGTCGTTTATCAAGTAATGATCAAAGGTTTATCTCTCCAACTATTAATTCCTTTCTAAAAGAAATGCCGACGGACGTCACAGTTCAACTGGAGTAAGCTGACGGGCGCCATTCAAGATACCCTTTTCGAAGATAATAAGTTATTACAATAGGCGCCTCATCATTCCAATACATATAGCTCAACCTTCCGCGACGCGTAATGCGAGAAATACGACAAGCCGGCCGACCGGAAAACCGCCTTAACAAATATGTGGGTGCATTTTAGTCCATTGCGAAACGTGGGGGAGAAGAAGCTCAGCTCCGTTGAGATAGCCCGAGGGATAAGAACCTTGGAAGTAACGAATTCTCCCTTGCACGACATGAGATCAAGGACACAATTCTAAGCAATCCGTTATGTATTACTACCCACATGCTTCAGAGTCCAATATTGACTTAAAATTCAATCCTAGACGGTCCCTGAAATCTGCCTTGAGGCATCATCACACTACCTTGTAGTTATCATATACTCCGGCCACCCTAGGAAAGAAAACTCCGGAATATCGCTATCTAACCACGTTCACTGAGGAGCTGACGTGTCGTTGAATGAACTCGGAGCTGCCAGAAATTCCGAGTGATGAGGTGGCAATATGGAGGTCCGAGATATATGATCGTACAAAGGCCTGTATCTGATCTATCATACAACATTCATATTTCAAAGCTTCACTGGTTCCTTCGAGTTTCTGGTCTTCTTAACCTTCTCCGTATGTTGCAGCGTCTTTTGGAGAATACGATCTAGCTTCGACTACATACCTTTAGTGGAAATCCATCATTCCACGAGGTTCATCTTACCCCTGAATGTGTGACTTCAACGTCGCCAAAGTCAAACTATAATCCTCATTACAATGCCTTCGCCGGCCAATCCCAATGAGCTCTCCACAAACACCCTTTTGTTATTCGGTTCACAAGCGCTATCTTATGATGAGGCTTATTTCGAACGAATCCGGTCCAATGTTACGTGCGACGGGAGCAATCGGTGGATAATTGATGTTGTTGATGACCTTTCCACCTACTGGCCAGAGCTCTGTGTGCAAATTCCAACTTTAAAGGCAATACAAGGAGAGAATTTGCTACGGCGGCTGTCACTCTGGTTGCAGAATGCCGATGTGGAAGATGAATGGACTTCTCGGCTTCCCAACATCATTCTCAGCCCACTGGTTGTTATTGGCCATCTGATCCAATATATTCAAAATTTCTCTACGCCTGGTGGGCAGCTCGAGTTTGATAGAAGCCCCTCGAAGGGATATCGACCAAACATAGAGACTCTTGGTATTTGCATCGGTATGCTAAGTGCGTTCGTTATCTCGACTAGCTCTACGCGGGCCCAATTTAGCCAAAATGGCACAGCCGCAATACGCCTAGCTATGGTGGTCGGTGCCCTCGTCGATGCACGAGATGCCGAAAGCCAGTCGATTTCCCTGTCAACAACGTGGAAGTCGGAGCAGCTTTCTTTGAAGCTCCACCAAGTGCTTGCCAATACCCCAGATGTAAGTTTTTCTGCTGACATGATTGCCTGTGTATCTAATCAGTGTTAATTGTTTTTTTAGAGCTATGTTTCAGTTACATATGACGAGAATCGAGCTACAGTTACGACTTCTGAGAGCACCGCGCCTGCTCTCAAAAGACAACTTGGCGAAGTCGGAATTAGTACAACCGAGATCGGGTTACATGGGCGTTTTCACACTACATTGTATGGCGACGACTTAGCTGCTCTCCTTCATTTTTGTGGGAACCACTCTGGCTTTAGGCTCCCTAACGCTTCAAAACTTGTCATACCTACCCGTTCAAACTCTACTGGACAGCTGATTACACAAGGATGGCTTCATGAGGTAGCTTTGCGAGATATCCTCGTAGAACGCTGCGAGTGGATTAAATGTTTCCAGATGGCGCAATCTACAATTTTGACGGCTGAGGGATCGCGAGCGGTGGTATTCGGGTCCGAGCGATGTATTCCACCATCAATACAACGTACGACAAATGCTCAAGTCTCCTATCTACAAGACGGAGATGAGAAGTATAGTCCCGAGTCGGGCGTCCGAGAAGACGATATTGCCGTAGTCGGCATGTCATGTAACGTGGCTGGCGCTCAAGATTTAGATCAATTTTGGAAAATTTTGATGGAAGGCAAGTCTCAGCATAGAGAGGTTTCGGACGAACGCTTCCCCTTTGAGACCGTCTTTCGGCCTGAATCCGACCCTAATAGAAAATGGTACGGCAACTTTATCGACGATTACGATATGTTCGATCATAAATTCTTTAAGAAGACTCCCCGAGAAGCAACTTCCATGGATCCTCAGCAGAGACTACTTTACCAGGCTGCATACCAAGCAGTTGCGCAATCTGGGTACTTCCAAAAACCTGCCGAGAATCTAGATACCCAAGTTGGGTGTTTCATAGGTCTCTGCGCGACGGATTACGAGAATAACGTAGCGCATCACCCACCTAACGCATTCTCAGCCACCGGAAACCTGCGATCATTTGTCGCCGGCAAGATCAGCCATTATTTTGGCTGGACAGGCCCCGGTCTCACGATTGACACGGCATGCTCAGCTTCGGCTGTGGCGATTCATCAAGCCTGCCGAGCGATTTTGACCGGCGAGTGCACTGCGGCGTTGGCTGGTGGTACGAATTTCATAAGTTCACCGTTATGGTTCCAGAACCTTGCGGGAGCATCGTTTTTGAGTCCAACTGGGCAATGCAAGCCATTCGACGCGAAGGCGGATGGTTATTGCAGAGGCGAAGCCATAGCAAGCGTTTTCCTCAAGAAAATGAGCCTAGCCATCGCCGACGGCGACCAAATCTTCGGCGCCATTTCTGCAACCGCCGTAATGCAGAATCAGAATTGCACACCAATATTCGTCCCTAATGCCCCAAGTTTGTCTGACCTCTTTAGGAACGTTCTCGACAAATCTGGATTAGATGCAAAGCAGGTGTCCTTTGTTGAAGCTCATGGTACGGGAACACCAGTGGGAGACCCAGCCGAATACGATAGTAGTGAGTCAACCCTAGATTTTACCACTCTTCACAGAGAGTTCACTCTCCCTTAATTTATTCGGACGCCCATGATGTATTTCGGATTAGCTAACTAATGACACTCCAGTTCGCCGAGTATTCGGTGGCCGTCCTGGACAGGCTCTCCAATTCGGGTCCGTCAAGGGTCTTTTAGGCCATACAGAAGGCAGTTCGGGGGTAGTCTCCCTTATTAAAGTCCTTCTTATGATAAATGAAGGATATATTCCGCCTCAACCCAGCCACTCGGTTATGAATCCAGGCATAGATGCGTCACCATCCGATAACATGGTAATCGCGAGCCAAGCGTTGCCTTGGCAAACGGACTTCAGGGCAGCCCTGATCAACAACTATGGGGCGTCGGGCTCCAATGCTTCACTCATAGTTCAGCAAGCACCACTTCTTCGGTCGACGACCTCGACAGAACCATCCACGACGCCAATGAAGGCTCCATTTTATATATCGGGCTTTGACGATAGGTCGATTCAAGCTTATATCACTAGGCTACGCCGGTTCCTCAATGCGCGGGCGGCGGCCGGGGCCAATATTGAGCTAGAAGATCTTTCTTTTAACTTAGCTAGGCAATCGAATTGGTCGCTCGAGACTGCCCTTATTTTTAGTTGCCAGTCAATGGGTGAACTTAATGAGAGGTTGGCCGCCTTTGAATCCGAAGGTAGTAGCCAGACCATCAAGACCCCTGCCCCGAGACCAACCATTTTATGTTTTGGCGGTCAGGTGTCTACATTCGTCGGATTAGATCGCCAATTGTATGAGAAAGTTAAGGTCCTTCGCAACTATCTTGATAAATGCGACTCTATTTGTCAATCAATTGGCGCCGGTAGTATATACCCCGGGATTTTCCAACGCGAGCCCGTCGAAGATGTCGCAAAGCTACAACCCATGCTTTTTGCTATGCAATATGCTTGTGCTATGAGCTGGATCGAGTGTGGTGTCACTCCTGCTACAATTATAGGTCATTCATTCGGAGAACTGACGGCTCTCTGTGTAGCGGGCATCTTGAACCTCAAAGATGCTCTGACGATGATCTTTGGGCGATCAAAACTCATTCGAGACCTTTGGGGCCCAGAGTCAGGGGCCATGATGGCAGTTGAAAATGACCGCGAAATTGTCGAAGGGCTATTAGTAGAAAGCGACTCAGACGCCACCATTGCTTGTTTCAATGGGCCGCGGAGCTTCACATTAGCTGGGTCGGTTGCTTCCATTGACGCACTTGCCGAATATATTTCCAGCCATCAGGCTTATTCTTCAATGAAGTACAAAAAGCTCAATGTCACAAATGCTTTCCACTCCACTCTCGTTGACCGCTTGAAACCCGAGTTGGAGAAGGTCGGCCGGGGCTTGAATTTCAAGGAACCAAAGATCGCACTAGAAAGGGCGACTGAATCCGCCAATAATGAGAGGTTAACGTCGGCTTATGCAGCGGACCATATGAGGAACCCAGTATACTTTGACCATGCGGTTCAGAGGCTTTCGAAAAAGTACCCTGAAGCGATCTGGCTTGAAGCTGGCTTCAATTCGACAATCACCGTGATGGCAAGTAGAGCGCTGAACATGCCGAAAACCTCATATTTCCAGCCAGTCAACGTAACCAGTGGTCAGGGCCTATCACAGCTCACGGATATTACGACAGGTCTTTGGAAAGCTGGTCTGCGCACTGCCTTCTGGGCACACTCCAAGTCCCAAACGCACCAATACGCTCCTATCCTCTTACCCCCTTACCAATTCGATAAACAACGGCACTGGCTTGAATTCAAGTCGCCGCCGAGGCTTGGGATAAGTGATTCGGCTCCTGTAGACCGAACGAACCCAGAGGAGGACCTTCCGACGACATTGTTCTCGTTTGTAGGGTACAGAGAAAATTCTCAGGATTACCCTCGCTTCCGTATCAACACAATGATTGACCTATACACTAATCTGGTATCTCAACACGTCATTGCCAGGACTGCGCCCATCTGCCCCGCAACGGTTCAGGTTGATATGGCCATTGAGGCAATCATGACTGTCCAGCCCGAGCTTCGCAACGAGAACTTACACCCTCAGGTCTGTAACGTCACTAACCAATCCCCAATTTGTATCAACCCATCCCGCTCAGTATTCCTGAACTACACGCGCATCGCGAGTAGTAAACACATATGGAATTTTGAGATCGTTAGCAATGACCAAAAGTCTCCAGGGGAGACGACACATGTCACCGGGGAAGTCCGATTCTACCCTCCCGACGACCCCCAATATTGCCTCGAGTTCAACCGATATGAGCGGCTTGTAAACCACCAGCGATGTCGCCAGGTTCTTGATTGTGATGACTCAGACGATGTCATTCAAGGTCGCGCCATTTACAGGATTTTCGCAGACGTAGTAGATTACGGCCCAGCTTTCACTATGCTCCAGAAAATTGTCGGAAGAGGGAATGAATCCGCCGGTCGGGTGGTCAAAAAGCATTCCGGGGAGACATGGCTTGATGCCCACCTCGGCGATTGCTTTAGTCAAGTTGGTGGAATGTGGGTCAATTGTATCGCGAATGAAACTCCAGCGGATATGTACATCGCCAACGGTTTTGAGCAGTGGATGAGGTCACCAAAGGTGGTCAAACACGGAGATAGCCCCTACGGAGACCAACAAGAGTGGCATGTTTTGGCTCATCATAACCGGGTCCCGTCAGGTAACGCTTACATGACCGATATCTTCGTATTCAATGCAAGCACTGGAGGCCTTGTGGAGGTAATACTCGGTATCAATTATGCGAAGGTGGCACATGCATCCATGGGCAGACTCCTTACAAGGCTTACCCCTGGATTATCTCCCGCGCGGACGCAGGCAACAGAACCAACCGGCATATCTCACGACGTTCAAACCTCTTCTGGCGCCGATGATTCTGGGCCTCACTCGGCCACGGAAGCTCCAAAGCGGGGTAGCGGTCATGGAAAGTCAGTTCTGCTAAGCAAGCTTAAAGCTGTATTGGCCGACATAACAGGTCTTGAGCCAGCAGAGATCGCGGACGACGCCGACTTGGTCAACGTTGGAATTGACTCATTGATGGGTATGGAGATGGCTCGTGAAGTTGAGACAATGTTCAGCTGCACCTTAGACCAAGATGAACTCATGACTGTCCTGACCCTACCGGACCTTCTCAAATGCCTCCAAGGGGCACTAGGAGAATCGGGTGATGACGAGTCCGACACTACAGCGGATCAAACATCCGGCGAAAATAGCGGGAGCTCAAACGACACGCCCCTATCTAGTAATGCCACGTCAGTTCATGCTTGGGACGATTCTCATACCTCAAAGGTGGAAAATGACAGCCGGAAAGAGACACCTGTGAATATGCCAGCATCCATTGTACTCGATGCTTTCCGTGAGTCAAAATTGCGGACAGACCAGCTCACTGAGGAGTGGCGAATTTCGGGCTACCTCAGCAATATCTACCCACAGCAGAGCAAACTTTGTGTTCAGCTAACGGTCGAAGCATTCAAGGAGTTGGGCTCTGATATAGCAGCGGCGCGGGCAGGACAAGAATTGCAGCGCATCCCATTTGTACCCCAGCATAATCACCTCCAGATGTATCTGTACCAAATGCTAGAGGAGACCCGTATCGTCGATCTTGACGGGGATAAAATTACCCGTACTGCCTTCCCTCTGCCTTCCAAGACAAGCGATGCAATCCTCCAGGATCTGGTGCGTAATTACCCCGACCACGCCTACGCTAGTCAGTTGGCCCATTGGACGGGGAAGAACTTCGCTGGGGTTCTATCCGGGAAGGCTGATGGCATTAAACTGATATTTGGTCAAGGGAAAGGGCGCGAGCTTGTCGCTGGTCTTTATGGAGATTCTTTTCTGAACAGACTGTCATACCAACAGATGATAGATTTCCTTGACCGACTCGTCACAAAACTCTCGGGGCTTGGTGAAGGTGGTACCCTTCGAATCTTGGAAATGGGAGCAGGTACTGGAGGCACAACCAAAGTGAGAACCCAAATACATACCCACATTCAGAGGTGCATAAACTAACAAGAGTATAGTGGTTGGTGCCTATGTTGGCAAAACTAGGGCTCCCGATTGAGTACATATTCACGGACCTGTCTCCTTCGCTCGTAGCTATGGCCAGGAAAGAGTACAAGCAATACCCGTTCATGAAATTCTTCGCTCATGATATCGAGAACCCGCCACCAGACGGCTACTTCGGCACTCAACACATTGTCATCGCCAGTAATGCGGTACATGCGACTCATTCGCTGGCAGGGTCCACTGAGAATATGCGTAAATTCTTGCGACAGGACGGATTCATCATGATGACCGAAATGACGATGACGCTTTACTGGGTAGATATGATATTTGGTATCCTCGAGGGCTGGTGGTTATTTAACGACGGCCGAACCCACGCAATTTCAAGCGAAAGTCGATGGGAACGAGACCTTCATTCCGTTGGGTATGGTCACGTTGATTGGAGCGATGGTCAGTCTCCTGAAGTACGCATCCAGAAGGTCATCATCGCTCTCGCATCCGGGCCACAGTTTGATCGTCTACCTGCAGCTTCTTCAACTCCAGGTGGTATTTCAAGCATTAGCCTCGAGCCACGTAGGTTGGCAGTGGAGGGCTATGTGAAGAGATTTTCACAGGAATTCCGAATCCCCAAGTACTCCGGTAGCTTGACACAGATCTCGGGGAATTCGAGAAATATTCTCGTAACAGGGGCAACCGGCAGCCTAGGCTGTCATCTAATTGCGCATCTCGCTAGCTTGCCCACAGTCCAAACGGTGTACTGCCTTAACCGACGGAACAAGCTGGACCCAGATGTACGCCAAATCGAAGCCCTTAAAACCAAGAAGATCAATCTCGACGCGTCGTCGCTCTCTAAGCTCAAAGTCTTCCAGACCGACACCGCAAAACCGTTGCTTGGATTGCCGCAAGACACTTATGAAACCATTGTGGGATCCGTGACACATATCATTCACAACGCTTGGCCTATGAACGGGAAAATGGTAGTCAAAGGTTTTGAACCGCAGTTCGAGGTCATGCGCAATCTTGTCAATCTCGCAGCGGAAGCGTCGGCGCGACGGTCGGTCGGATTAAAGGTCTCTTTCCAGCTGATCTCGTCAATCGCGACGGTGGGGCATTATCCACTTCATAAGAACAATCCGAACATCCCTGAGGAGCGTATGGAGATTGAATCGGTATTGCCCAACGGCTACGGCGATGCTAAGTACGTCTGTGAGCGAATCCTGGATGAAACCCTGCATACTCAGCCAGATCTGTTCCGACCTATGACTGTTAGGCTTGCTCAAGTTGCTGGATCATCAATCAGTGGATACTGGAACCAATTGGAGCACTTCCCATTTCTTGTAAAGTCCGCCCAGACACTGCGAGCTCTACCGAACTTTCACGGCCCTCTATCGTGGACCCCCGTGGATGCCATGGCCGGAACTTTAGCAGATTTGCTCCTAATGGAGGACCAACCGCATCCATTCTACCATATCGACAACCCTGTTAGACAGCCGTGGCAAGAGATGTTACCCGTTCTCGCCGAGGGTCTAGGAATCCCGGAGTCTAGAATCATACCTTTCAAGGACTGGATACAATTAGTGCGGGGTTTCCCAGGATCGACCGAATTGGACAATCCGGCTGCGATGTTGGTTGACTTCTTTGACCAAGATTTCGAACGCATGTCTTGTGGTGGCGTTCTGTTGGGAACTAAGAAGACCCTGGAACATTCGGCTACACTCCGAGGGGTTGGTCCTGTAGGAACGGATGTTGTACACAAATACATACGAGCCTGGAAGGAAGATGGTTTTTTGCGATAATTACCCAAGAGGTAGTAAGGATAGACGCTGGATATAGATAGATTTGATTGATTTAGACTTGGAATAGAGGTGTGCATTGGAATCGCGTTGAGATCAGTGACTAAAAGAGATCAATTTCATTTCTCAGCGCCAGGATACACGGTGCCTAGAATTTAGGGTCTTGCTGCTTTAACCCGGCTCGCCCCGGATTACAAACATACTGTTAAAGCAGCAAGCAACGTGCATTTACCGGCTTTAATGTGTTCGCCGAATAGTTACATCCGTGCAACCAACAATTACTTGATGATCTTAAGAAGAAGTAAATGAGTATTTCTAATGGTATATTAGATAGCTTGAGAATGTAGTTTAAAATGAAGTCGTTTTGTATATGGCACTTCATACCATAGCAGCACATGTTCGCCAACTCTCACGTCCTCTGTCAGTGCTCAGAGCAGCCACCACAATGTCGACCAATCATGTCCTTCTACTTGGCGGTAGTGGAAAAGTAGCTCGGCTGTTAACTCCGATGCTCCTTCACCAGTCGTGGGACGTTACTAGCATTATTTATAACCCAGACCAAATCGCAGATTTGAAACAACTTGGTGTTAATCAGAACGGCAAATTAAACGTTCTTGTCCGCAGCCTCGAAGATATAAAGAATGAGACAGATGCTAAGCGTCTAATTGATGAAATTAAGCCTAGTTATGTGGTCTGGAGTGCCGGTGCTGGAGGAAAGGGAGCACCAGAACGGGTACGAGCAGAAGCTTCCCCAGTATCCCCCACTATTTGACGAATGCTGACGATCGGGCATCGTATCCTTACAGACCGAAGCAATCGATCGCGATGCCGCGATTCACTGTATTCGCGCCTCCATAGCATCACCGTACATTACGAAATTTGTCATGATATCTTTCAATGGATGCCGTTATGAGAAGCCACCTTGGATAGACGAGACACACTGGCAGGAATATCTCAAGGTGACGCGAAATCATTACCAGCGATACTACGAAGCGAAGCTGCCAGCGGATGAAGTATTATATGTGGAAGGAAAGAAACGGAAGGACTTTGCAGGAATCTGCCTTCGTCCCGGTCGGCTCTCCATGGAACCCGTTGGTAAAGTAAGTCTCGGGAAATTTCCACGGGTAGAAGGGTATACCAGCCGTGCATCCCTTGCATATACTGCAGCGCTATTGCTCGATTCGCACAACAAGAATTGCTGGTTGGACATACTAGACGGCGACGAGGATCCGGAAGCGGCCGTAAAGAGATGCATCGAGGAAGAAGTGGATTGCGCTGAAGGAGAATATTTCTACTGAATATCGAGAACAGTCATCGATTCAAATCGACACGCAACAGTAATTCACAATATAGTAAAGACATACGATAAGACGTATATTATCATGTGCGGCTATGTCGCGACTGGTTTCCATCGTCGTCTTTTTGTATGGAAAGGAACCTTGGAAATGAGGGGGATGCGCACGTTTCACTCATCCAAAAAAAAAAAAAAAAAATCAGACTTTCGCCCTTCAGGGGTACTTCGTGGGCAACGCAATACCATATGCGAACACATTATCTGGGTCCCACACTTTCTTCAAAGCAGCCAAGCGAGGCAATTTCTCTGACCCGTATATTTGTTCAAGAGACTCATCTCCGTATGCATAATTAACGTAGACCGACAAGTCAGGGTAGCCGGAAGTCGCCACGAAGTCGTTGCGAATTTCACGGCCAAGTGCGCCCGTTACATTATGAAAGTAGCTATTATTTTGGCCTGACCAAACAAATTGTATAATCCTTTGGCTAAGATGTCAGCAGCTCGCTCATGGAATCGCGCCTTCTTAGGGAATAATGAAAGCAAATAGGAAGAAGCGCATATCAGGGTTACGTACATGCTGCCCAGAGCTTGTCGCCATGGGTATGCCGTCGCGTCGCTTGGTGCCGCAGACATTGCTTGATTAGGGAAAATCTCAAGGTCGATAGCATCCGGATAATCATCGAAGAAACTCGCCATTTTCTTGAACACACTCGTATAAGTCGACGCCGAGAGGTTTTGGACGTTAGCTGAATAGTAGCGACGGACTAAGCCACTTTCGCAGTTAATTCCATCCATTGTAAACTCGGCAACATATACGAGCTCATTCCATGGTACGTTTGGGGCGACATGGCCGTCATTACTTACGGATTTCAAGCCCCGCCTCATACACGGCATCCAAAAAGTCTCTGTGGCGAGTTCCGCCGCCTACTGTCAAAGTCCCTAAAGCAATATCGACTTTCACAGAATCAAACTGACTCAGGTCGATAGCGAGGCCATTTTGGAGATCCCCAAAGGTAGTTATATAACCGTGTCGACTACCCGTGGCTAGAAACGGAATATTGTTCGCCCTCACTATTTTGACCTGCATTTTGATACTTAGCATGGCGGGTTCTATCGGAGCCCGTGATTGACTTACGCTCTGTATCACATCTGCCTCGTCGCCAGGACTAATAGCGGCCAAGTAGGTCGGTGGACCAGATACGGTGTATCGCCTGGTGGCGTTGATGAAGCTCTAGCTATCTAGGAACGAGATGGTTGTATTAGCCGCCCAGTTATTACCCTTCGTGAGTAAGGTCCTGAGGTTAACGGTGTAAAGTAGACTAGCATAGGTAGGGGGGCAGAGCCAGAAACAGAACCACCCAAAGGCAGTAGATCTCTCGTAGAAGTTCATGCTGACTTCTCAATCGAATGAGTGGTATTCTTGTATAAGATGTAGCTAAGCGTCGGCGTGTCCTACCGGACTATTAATTTGAAAGCAGCTACGAATTCTTCTCCAGGTCCTTATATACCCTTTTCCAAACTTGTCCGCGGGAGCTATTCGGCCTATTCAAACCTATCCAAGACTCGGCGTACACTTGTTCTGGCCGCTTTAAAAGGGCTAAAATACAACATGTACCGCGACTAAGTGGCTTTACGGCACATGGACAGGAGGGGGGAGACACTAGGTCCCAGACGGGATGCTTTTACTCTCTGTCGAAACCAGAACTACCGTCCATGGATTTTACTAGATTATGTCGAATACAGTCACGTCTCTACCGCTTACTCAGTACCTAGGGCCGCTAGTAGGTAGGTACTAAAACAGTAGCCGTCGACATTCGAGGGTATGATATGTCCATCTGGCTGCTTTGTATTTTCGTGCAACACAGCGAGTACACTCGTATTCCTGCATCGTCGAATCCCTATTACCAATAGACCAACTTTAAGACGGGAAGTTGACCTTAGTGACAGCGCAGCCATCGTAACGGGCCCCAATATCAACATCGGCTAAGGACATGCTGGCCCAATTGACAACTTCTAGATTCAGTTATCATCCTAGGTGCGCATAACGAATAAAAAGGAGAAGTGAGTTGGGAACCTAAAGCCAGGAGAATGAAATTTTAGAGCTAAATGTACTGCCTACCTAAGGTACCTAGGTAGACACGCTCGCGATAATACCGAGAAACGAGACATTGTGATTTTTCATATCGAGTGTTCATTTCACGGCAGGGGGATTCAATCCACATACAGGCTACTGTGAGATTGTCCTAGTAACCTATCTCTTAATGGCACTTTCAACAATCTTATTCGCCTCGGGTTCAGAGTAATCACAAATTCAATCTATACCATGCTGAATCGTTATTGTGCCGCTTGGTGCAGCGGCCTGGACTAGATTGTCACAAGATCAACCATAAAGGGGGGATAGTAACTCTGTTGTTGCGCGAGACACAAATAATTGCTATGGAGGCCTTCGTATGCATGCACTAATAACCTTTGCCCGGTTAGTTCATTTCTGCTTATCTCTAGGGTTAAGCCCTCTCCTATGGCAGTAAAAGTCCCCCGACAACAATAAGGGCAGTTCCCAAAACCTTTCATGGTGATTTTTCCATACTAACATATTTTCAGTAGGGAAGAAATGTAGACAATATCAAGATAATCTTACCATATAGTTAGCACTTTCGTTGTTGCTTATTTTTGCTATTTGGTTTCAACTTATTGGCCGCCCAACTGTCGTCGGATCCCACAAATCACGGTGATATGACCATTATATGTGACTGTTAGCGAGCTGCTGACTGTGAGCAATGTAGTCTAGCGCTAATTGTATATATTTCCTAGGGTACCTAGGTAAGCAGCCTCCCCAAATGGGCTCACGAGCGAGTTCTAATTCGCTAGGGCAGAAGGCATCTTTCAGGGGCTTAACGGCAGAAAACCCAGCTTTTCCACATATTTCTACAGAGAGAAAGATCGACGTCCTCGCTGTTTTTAAAATTGGGGTAGTTGTCACTTCTCTTCGTGCGGATTCGCCCGATTCCACATAGGTCTGTTTTCTGTGGCGCTACGGTACGGCATTACTGTACTATGGCCTCGCATATTCTACGTAATGGACCTCCGGACCAATTCTTCCAGGAAGAAAATATCGACTTCTGCTAGCAAAGATTCAATCGACATGCTCCTGGGCTCAAAATCGATATTATTGTCAAGTGTAATCAGGAGGTTGAGTTAGTATTTGTTTGTATGGCCACGCGCAAATACTCTTATGAATGGCTATGTGCAGCTTCGAAAGCCAGGTGCCACATTCCTTGCGTATTCCTCCCAGGTAGTCAAGTGATCTTCGACTAATTTGGCCGTCGTATCTAACGGTTCTCCCCCATAGTATCCGAACGTTTCCAGCAATTTCATATTTTCATAGAGCTCCGTGATAATGCAATCCGGCGTGCCTTTGGCTTCCAAATAATCTCGAAACATCTGCTCGGACATTTGGAAATAGCGAGCCGTTTTTCCTGCCTCGGGAAACACTCGTTTGAACCCCTCCAAAACCTCTGCCGCAGTTATGTATGCCGTGGCACCCAAAAACCGGTTTCCGGGCAGAGCATCTCGATTATGTACGATTGCTTTTATGTATTTACCTGTATCTGCGGGGTGGAACACGGGAACGATGGCGTTCGGCGCAACTGGGAATGCGAGGGCAAAATTGTTGTCTGGAGGTACCTGCTTGAGGAATCCATCTTCTGAGCCAATGTTTGACATATAAACCCAGCGAGAAAGAAAGTCGCAGGCATACCTGATTCTCGTATGTACCCCGCCACAGTGGCTTTACTGTCAAAATGATACACATTTGGCAGCTCACCTCCGGAAACTGTGGGTATTAGTCTAGGCCCGCAAGTTGTCGCGATTCAGAAGACTCACGTTCTTTAATGTTTAGAAGGGAACTCCAAATGTAGTGTTGAACGCCCGCTTCCTATTTAATAATGGATTTATCAGATAGTTCATTTTACCATTAATAAATAAAGATATCGGTACCTTTGCGGCATCAGCCAGATTTCGGCCCTGCTGAATCTCAACGTCGGCAGAGGCCCGCTCCCAATAATTCGTCACACCAAAAGCCGCATAAGAGCCTTTCATAGCACTAACGAGACTCGCTTTATCGTCGAGATCAGCCTTCGTTATGAATTAATACAATAATATGATTCTCTAGTTTGACGCAAAGAGGACTTACGAAGACGACTTCGACGCCTGCACTCGCAAGCTTCTTAGCAGAGTCTTTCGAAGTATCACGGGTTGCTGCACGAACAACCCATTCATCGCGCAGTTTAGGATCACTTTGGAATGTATCAACAACCCCGCCACCTTGCGCACCTGTGGCGCCGAATACAGTGATAATCTTCTTTGCCGACATTGAATATATCTAACTATGATTTAGACTCTTAAGAAAGCTGAACCGGGGCTGACTAGGAATAACTCCCCTGCCCGTTCAAGATAGCATCTCTACTTTTATCCCTTTTCCATTTAGGCATCATCGGCACGCTGTCTAGGAGTTTCCGATGTGTTTCCCACTACGTTTTCTCACCGGTCACCGTATGAAGATCCCAAGTTTCTTTTGCCCTGACCGAAGCAGACAAGCTGCATAGGAATATCGGCCGTACGAAAATACTTAGCCAATGACGGGATAAGTCCGATACCAATTTCCCGATTACTCTATACTCTCGTAATCTCTGAAGCGCTCGCTCAAGAATTAACTTATCACCGAGCCCAAGCGTAGAAGTCAAGTGATTGTCTTCGAGAACCTTGTTAACTCCTGTTTGCTTGACGATACCACGCTGAGAAATACTTGCGATGCCGATTTTAGATCGGTACTAATCGGTGTCGCGTTTTTTCTAAAATCCGGGGCTGGAAGCAAGAAAAGGGATGTCGCCCGTTATCAAACGCGGATTAATAAGTCGTATTATAAATGCTAATGGGTTAAGCTCGTCGCATTTAAAACACTTCCCCACGTCCGCTCCGGACTTCTTTCTGTCCGTTCAACATCCTAACTTGCCAATATGTCGAAACCCCTTATTTCTAATCCTACGATCCCCTTGGACTCACTTATACTCGTTACGGGAGCCAATGGACTGATTGCATCAACTATTGCAGACCAGCTCTTGTTCGCTGGGTACCGAGTTCGAGGTACTGTTCGGAACAGAGCTAAGAATGCGTGGCTTGCGTCTGTGCTCACAGCTCGGCATGGCTCCGACCGCTTCGAGCTAGTTGAGATACCAGATTTGACAGTAACCGGCGTGTGGACTCCGGTCGTTAAAGGAGTTGCTGGTATCGCACATGTTCTCGGAGCATTGGATGGAGCCGCCAAAGATAGCGACAAAGCGATAGAGGCGGAATTGCCATGGCATATTGCTCTCCTCGAAGCCGCTACCTCGGAGCCGAACATGAAATCATTCGCTTTGACAAGTTCAGCTTGGGCGGCGTGGACTCCTGATGCAAGTGTAAAGAGTGTGTTGACTAAGTGGACATGGAATGACTCCGCCGTCCAGTTGGCGAGAAGTGACGCAACTCCACAGCAGAAAGGCTTCGCACCGTGGATGGCACAAAAGACCCTCTACGAACAGAAGCTATGGGAATGGGTTCGAAAAAACCAAGATAGAATACCATTCACGTTCAATAGTATTCTACTAGACACTGTCATAGGCCATTGCTTGCATCCAAAGGAACAAGGTATTCCGTCCAGTACGGGTATGGTTGGCTGGGCATACGAAAAGTCCCACTTGGATTTCTTAGGCGGGATGCAACCTCAATGGTATATTGACACTATTGACACCGCTTTGCTCTATGTGGCGGCCTTGACCACTCCTGGTGTCAATGGGGAACGGCTTTATGGCTTCGGTGCCCGCTATAGTTGGTCAGTATCTCCCGATCCCTGCGATGATTAGTTTTTCTAGTAATGCGTTCCTCGATTCAATACTAAATTTTCGGCAACTAAATTCAATTTTTATAGGCCCAAAGTCACGGAAATCTTGAAGAATCTGTATCCCGAGAAAGACATTACGATAATGGAGTATAACGGCTGGGACCAGACTAAAATTCCGAACCAGAGGGCTGAAGAACTACTGCGCGGGGTAAAAGGAGCTGGGTGGACTAGTCTTGAAGAAAGTGTCCAGGCGGCAGCCAAATGTTTAGGTATATAAAAAGCAACACGTATCAACCTTAGTATTTGAGGTTAGGTGTCGGGGTGTCTAGGTAGCTAGACCATTTGTACCTAGGTAGGTATCATTATGTACACCAGATTGTCACGAGGATCTCAGTCGGCAAACTAATTAACAGGTGATTGCTCATTTTTCTGAAATTTTAGGTATATACGTACAATAACCAGCCAGCAGCGAGGTCCCTATGAATCAGCGGGCTTATAACCCACTAGGTACGCCCACATCTATGGTATGCATGAGCGGCTCGGGAATCCTACTCGTGTAACCACCCATTACGTTAGGTTACCTACCTGCTGCCTACATGTACTTAGATGGCCCTCTGCAGTTTTAGTCCCAGGTTTCATGACATCTATTATCGAAGTAATCATCTCATTAATCCAAATTACCGAATACACACTCAACTTCGTAGATCTTATACTCCAAGCCAAGTATCTTACGTGATTTAGGATTATCCCATACGATGGTAAGCAACAGCCTAGGTATAAGTCCTGAATGCGTTTGCTGGAGATATTGGGCGAGTCAAGCACTATGTCTTCTACAGCCATAGAAGATAACCTTGGCCCCAGGTCTTTGGGATAGATGAACCGGACTTCATGGTCTTTCTTCTCGGACAGTATTGTTATGGTAACACGGTACCTAGCGGAATATTAATTGTGGCTTCAGAAGTTTTGGCATTCGGGCTCACTGCTGCGTGAGAAGCGAGTCTGGAATATGCGATACGATGTAGCCGCTATGTAATCATTTAGTTGGGCACAATAAGGCGGAACTAGGCGGCCTATAGGGACTTACTAGTCAGAAAAAAACATGAGGGCGTCCATTGTGGCGTGCCTAATTACCGCTTATCTAGGTATCCAAGGTAGGCGGTAAAGGATTGAGATGGCGGCAAGCCTCATTTAGTAGACCGAAAGAGTATTTAGAAATCTCATGGCTCGATGGCCTCAGTGTCTAACCTGTTGAACATGATCACTGAAACTCCGAATCTAATACTCCATGGAGGGCGAATATCCCCAGCTTTGGTCGCTTCAAACTAATTTCTAGATTGAAGATATTGAATTCATTAAGGATTATAGTAGGTACTTACGTCACTTCACGATACACATAATTTCGGAGTTGATCCGGGCGGTTAATCGTGTAAATACTTCTCAGTTGTTAGGTCAACACCACCTCCCTACTATCGCCAAAAGAAGAAAAATGAATAGGAATAGTCCGCTCATACTGTGCAGAGCTGGTTTGGGCGACCCTACCAAGTTTTCCCATCCTTGTACGGTTCTGACTGGATTGCCGCCATAGGTCAAATATGGCATAGACTCGAACGGGTGGCTAGCTGATTCTCAGTAGCGACATAGAGAACCACCCAATTCCAGTGTTGATCCCCGGAGAATTGTGCTTACGTTTGATAACTCCTCGCGGTGTAGGCGCAGTCCTCCGAGAGACATGTTTCATAAGTACATTTAATCATAGCAATCCCGTAAGTAGAAAAGTCGTCAAAAATCGATCTGGCGGCACATCGGTGGAGCCCTCCCTTTTCGGCTTCTCTCTTGTGGGTTTTATCATACTGAGAGATTGAAGATGCGGGATTCTGCAGATTCTACCCGAGTCACAATAGGGAGCTTTTGAATCACAATGGAGTGGGCTCCAAGATCTCCCGACCCTACAGGTCTGACTAACTCCAATAGAATGGAATTGCAGGCACTACCTAGTGATAAGGTTAAAACGGCTTACTCTATTGCAAACAAACACTCGACCTCCTATCCCGTTTCATAAGGAATATATTCTTGTCTGCGATTGAGATTTGACTTTGTAACTGCTATAAGTAGATATATACCTAGGTAGCTAATAAACAATCTTCTTAAAGTATATCCAGAGTGTCAACTCATAGGATAGAGAGAAGCAATTCGATAGAAGACCCCAACTCATCGTAGCACACCCATCGGGTGTCACCTCTAGTAGCCATGGTTTCACTCGACGCGATCCGAGCCTCTAATGAACGAATCCGTACTGAGTTACCCACCGGTCTCGTTGCCGTTTTTGTTGGTGCTACCAATGGCATAGGAGAGACAAGTCTAAAGCAATTCGTCAAACACACGAAGCGGCCCCGCGTCTACTTTATCGGCAGGTCCGACAAGGCTGCCAAGCGCATTAAGACGGAGCTCAAATCTTTGAATCCGGATGGCGACTATCACTTCCTCAAGTATCAAGTTAGTCTGCTTCGGAACGTCGACCAAGCTTGTCGCGACATCAAAAGCAAAGAGCGAACTATCAATTTGCTGTTCATTAGTGCAGGACCCTTGGCTACCGGTACCCGTAAGTTTGATGTCCATGATTTGATACGGGTTCTTCTATCTGGACTGATTAAAACCCAGAAACCAAAGAAGGCCTTCACCTCTTCCACCAAGCTCAGGGCCACTTCGCATCAATGATCACACTCGCACTCGAAGCTCACCATATAAAGACGTTTCTATTACATCATCGCTCAACTGAATGCATCGTGTAAATGAAACACTCTTCATAACTACACACCTACACACCCATCTACCCCTTCTATTCACCCCTAAAACGCCATGCTACGTGCGAAAAGGAGCGAATATCGAACAATGAACATTGGTCATCTCATACAAGTGCTATACAAGCCGCCTCCGTATCTGTAGTAGTAGGTACCTTATGCAACGCTTCTATCCAACCATGCTACATTATCGCTTAGGCACCTTCTAGGTCCTTTTCTCCAATAAGAATTACATAACCCCCTAGCATAATCATACTTTTCGAACTTTCTATAATCCTAAAGCATCAAGCCTTAGGCTTTTTATCTCGGTTTTTGGTGCGCGGGCCGGGACATATGCGATTATCATAGCTATATCTTGACTCGAAGTAGCCCCTCAGATCCAACGTAAAGGCTCTCTCGGCATCTCCTTAAGCTCTTAAAAATCTACACCGCTATTCAAACACATTCCCACGCTACTGGAACGTGCCCCTAATCTTGGCATATAGGTCGGTATCGAAGAAATTGTAATCCGCATCGAGTTCGCAGAATTCGTGCTGCCTGAGCAGGCGTTCAGCCGTCGGACGATCCCTAGGGTCACTGCGCTCTCGTTAGTAAACCAAAACAATAACACCAAATTCTAAATACATAGAGGGAAGAAACACGTACACTGTAAAGCAGTCCAGCATGAACCCTAGGGCGTACGGACTAATTGCCTCGCGCACATCATCCGCGATCGGGGGTATCTCTCCGTTCGCGATCTTGTAGATGGCACCGACAGCCTCTTCCTTACTCCAAGGTCGCCTTCCAGCAAACATCTCCAAAACGACACATCCCAAACTCCAGATATCGACTTTGGCGCTATATCCTTCACCCTGGGATCGGATAACTTCAGGCGCCATCCAGAACACCGAACCTTGCATGGAATTAGTCTTATCGTTGCCGTAGATATTATCTGTCTTCTTGCTAATTCCAAAGTCGGAAATCTTGCACGTTCCATCCACGTCTAGCAGGATATTGTCGGCCTTCAAATCTCGATGTAGGATGCCCTCGCGATGTAGATATGCAAGACCCGATAGTGTCTGTCGCGTCAACGAGCTGACAACCGGCTCTTCGAACTTTCCATGCTTGCGCAAGCAGGATCCGATACTACCACCGGAGATATACTCTAAAAAGATGCTGATGCTCGTCTCTTTCCTTTCGCAACCGAGGTACTGTACAATATTGACGTGATCTAGATTCTGCATAGTGTCAATTTCCTGGTCTAAGGCCTTAAGTAGTTCCTTCATCTTGTTCTTGTCTCCAGCTGCTGCTTTTGGGTTAACTTCAACTTCCTTGACCGCCAAGAATTCACCAGTCGTAGCGTTCATTCCGAGGTATACACGTCCGTACGTTCCTTTACCGATAAGCTCACCCTTGAACCATCGGAAAGTAGTCTGTCGCTTTGGAAGTATATCCTGAGGGATCTGTGGAACAATCATCGAACCACGTTCTGGGCGGATTTGCACGACATTGGCGCCGAACATCTTCGTACTCTTGCGTCGCTGGACCATAGATGAAGCACCCGCGCCGCTGGTCGTAGACGTGGTGAAACGTTTGTTAGCTTCGTGGGCACCACGTGCTACCTCTCGAATGGACTTCATTCGACCAAGGCCACTCGACCGCTGAACATTACGCGTCGCAACCGAGGCGATTGAGGGTGGGCGCTCTAGTGCTTTCAGTGTGGATTCATCAGAACCGAGCGTGTCGCTCTCGTTGTAAGTTGACGATCTTGTAGTGTTACTTGTAGTAGCAGGTGTTAGAGGGCCGATGCCCAAGGTAGCATGAGCTTTCGCATTATTCGGAAGGGGTGGAATGTCCTCGTGCTCGTTTATAGGTGATACGGGAATATCATTTTCGTCAAGGACAGGCTGGTCAAGGTCAAGCTCGGGGAAGAAGGCGTCAAGGTTGCTGAGCAAAGCCTCTGGGGGTGGACGGTTGGCCCAAACACCACGGTCAATGAACGATTTTCGGCGGTTGAGTTTGCTATCATCTGACTGCCATTGCTCTGAACCTGGGGTCGCTGGCGTGCGACGGTAAGAATCGCGACCACTCCGTATACTTCCTTCATCATCCTCCAAGTCGGGTGTATTAGAAGCTCCAGGCGAAGAATTAAAGGACACCGATAAACTCTTCTTAGACCTCGATGTCTTAACTCTTAGGTTCGGTTTCTTATCTTCGTTCGATTCCGAGTCACTGTCTAAGATACTTGTCTCGTTGCGACTCGGTTGTTTGCGTACCGTTTTCTTGGACGGTAGTCTGCCTCTCATCGGGATAGCGAATAGGCCATCATCGGAATCGTCGTCTCCGGAGCCGTCGTCCACCGGTTTAGCCGACGGTGCCGGCTTGGAAAATTGTACATCGGTCTCGGTAAAGTCCACATCGGGTCCGTGGGATTTCGGACGGGGTTTCGGGGTAGTTTCTGGTCCGGCGGTAGGTCCTGGCGCCGGCGGGTGTGTGGTACTCGGGCTGAGGTCGCCAGGTGACGGTGCTCGTCGTGCTGTTTCACGCATTTTAGTAATCGGTTCCTGCTGAGAAGTTTTTCCCCGGTTGCCGAGGAGTGGGGTGCCCCCGGGCGAATAATCTGGAACGACGAATGGTATATCGCCGCGGCCCCAAGTCAGGGAACCGGGCGAACCAGACCTCGATCTAGAGTTACTACGACCCGAGGCGGTGATGCCAAAATCAACGCTTGCCATTGCTCCCTTACCTCTTTGTTCCACCAAGTCCCCCCCTGCTGCAGGTGCCGAAGTATTTCGGCTAGGTGATACTGGACGTTGTTGCGATGTTGGGGCTGATGGTCGACCCAATCGGCCCCAGGCGCTTCCCATATTCACCAGAGCCCCAAGAGCTGATCCTGCCGGTGGAGAAGGGGGGCCAAGAGGGGGTCCACCGGAGCGTCTCTGGTGCGTATCTTGATTTGATTCACCTGTTGAAGTGGCGGGCCGCCTGGGGCTAGGGTGTCCGTCTAGACTGCCTTGCGACAGCCGCATATTATGGCCCGTCTTCCTACTTAACGAATTTGCCTTAATTAACGTGGCTGTCTCGACGCCTGGGGGCGCGGGTGCTTTCCTCTGAGGGAAGAGTATATCTGGTTTCTTTTCCTCGAATGGAGAGTGGCGCGGATGATCGAAGTCTACATTCCTGCCAACAATTCCGGTTTGAGGTGAGTTTTCGCTCGGGGAAGATTCTTTGATAGCTTGTCGGCGCTTGGCAAGATAAGCTGCTTGCTGCTTCTCGACTTCGGCTCGGTATTCGCTGGCTTTCGCGGCCAATTCGGCTTCGTTTGGCTGGGAACCTGCGGAAAGGGTATTGGTTCTGGACGTGGGGGGCGAAGAACTTGACCTGGTACGACCATTCAGGTGAGCATAGGCGTCCTCATTCAAATTTGAACCCGGAGCTAGATAACCCGGGGTGAGTGCTGCCGGAACATTGCGATTGGTATCGGATGGCGCTCCTAGCCTAATGAAAAACTTTAGGGAACCGTGCGCGTCGCCCTTATTACGTTTATGAATCCATAAACTTTGATCTTCTAGCGCTTCATCGTGCGCGCCACGTCCTAATTCAGTTAAGAAGATTTCGAATGCCCTCGGATCGGTAAGTCCCAAATGCATACAGATATTAGCACGTAAATCAGCGGCAGTATCGCAGTCGGTGACGTCGCAAAGTCGAAAATTCCATCCGTCCAACGTGATAAGGATATACACCCTAGGTACGTTTTTGTTGCGCCTGAATGACGGGGCCGAATCCTGAACTGCTTCTGGTGGCGGGGTTCCAAAACGAGGTTTCAGCAAATTAGGGCTGGTAGGTGACTCCCCATCTTCAGGGGAAGGAAACGAATCATCCTCCTTTTGCTTTTTATTCCTTTTCAAGAAACCCAAGAAGCTTTTGTTGTCTCTCGCAGAAGATGGCTCGGCCGAAGCAGGTCGGTTATCATTCGAGTCTGAACGTTTTCCTTCGGTATTGAATCGTCGATCGCTGCGACTAGCATGGATCATGTCTCCAATCCCGCTCATACCATTCCTTAAAAGTTGGCCGGCCTCGGGGGGCACGCCGGAGCCATATATCGCTGCATTGGAGGAAACGGACTCGGTGCTATTACGGCTCTTATGGTGGAACCTAGACGGGGATAAGCTCCCGGACGAAGGCTGGGGTAGAAACGCAGTAGATAATTTCGGACTCGATCCTGGGCTGTCACTTCGCAGCGCAGCCCGGTAATTGCTATCTCCGTGTTCACTAAGACTCGGGCTTAGCTTACGGCTACTATCGATATCAATATTCTTTAATATGGCACGATGATTTGAGTCAGAGCTCATCGTGCTGCTGAGTGTAGGCATAGTTGTAGCTCGTGATTGAGAAAATCCTCTAGAGCTAGAGCCTAATTTTATAGGGGTATTTGGCGATTCTGCGTCGGTACCCGCGCTCTGATTATAAGTACCAGTAAGAGATTCTTTGCTAGCATGCGAAGGCAACGTCTTCGTACTATCGACCGGTTTTCCAGTCACTATACTTCGTATAAGCCGGCGCATTCGCTTGCCTTCCTCCCTTTCTCGGGGTTGGTCCCATGGAGTATTGTTATTGACACACTCCTGTGCTAATCGCGGATACACGAGCTGATGCATCATACCGAAATTGCCTCGGCCGCCCTTCTGACTACCAAGTTCGAGAAACTGTGCTCCATGAATGTTGAGGTTCTTAAACGTCTCTTGCCATTCCTTGGAGAAGTGATTCGCGGCTAACCATAGTAATACATGATCCAGGGGCCATTTAGCTGCTATTTCGGTAGGGATTTCGGTAAACCCAGTTGTCGCATTCGACGAAGTGGATGCCATGCGACTATTAATCGCACCGGCATACAGAAATCCGCGACTGCTATCGTCGGTCAATGTAGAGTTCATAGTACTCGTACCGCTCGTGTGAGCAGATGTACCCCAAGAGCTCTGAGTTGTCGTTGGCTGCGTTGACACATCTTCCGGGAAGAAACCAGGTATTCCAACGCCCTCTCCATATGTATCCCCTCCCGGTATATACGTCGCAGACACCATCGCCTCATTCGAATCATTTCCAGGCCTGTATGTACCCATGAGTTCGCTCGTCTGCGGCGGGGGAGGGGGTATCGTTGAAAGAGTGCCATTGGAGGCTTGGGAGTGGAGCTTCGGATTATATGCTGGTACGGGACCGCCAGCGGGCGGAGGTGGGATTGTAAATCCAGGCTGGCCATTGTACGGGCGTCCCCAAGTCGCCTGCCATGGAGGCTGCGGCCCTAGAGCGCTATTCGGTGGCGGCCCGGGTGGTGGTGGTAGGACAACACCACCGGTCGCTGACGGCGCACTCGGGTATCGTGGCGGCGGGGGTGGGATATTGAGCATTGTATTAAGTTGTCCAGGCTGACCGGCTACGGGTGGCGACATAGGCGGAGGCGGGGGGACCTGAAACGGCCGCGCCTGGTTCTGTTGAGCGTTTGGATACATCGTAGATATGTGAGATGGGACGGCACGGCATCGGTCGCTTGAGGAGGATGTATCGTCTACGAACAAACGATCGGACTCGAAGAGGAAGCGCAAAAGCGATTACGGCCGAAGGGCCCAACAAAAATGCTAAATAATAAAAGATCGAAAACAATAGTCAAATAACAACAATGCCAACGAAACACAAGTCACGAGCGACCGTGACAATGAATTAGGTAGGCTATAGGACGATAAGGAGGATCGTCGAGCGACAGCCAAGACGGCGGCTGCACTAGCCGGGCGAGGTCACACGTTTTTCGACAACTCGTCTCGAAAGCGACAATCGGTCGGAGAGTAACACGGCCAACCCAACGAATTGATTCATCCACTAGTGTTTGGCGAACGAACGAACAAGCGAGCGAACGAAGGGGTAAGCAGAATATACCTTAGCCAAGGAGAAATTCTGCGAGGAAGGGCCCCCGGTCACGATTTGGGTAAGGCGGCGATAAAAACAACGGCGAGCACCATGGCTAGTTAATTGGTATTATAGAATTCGATTATAGTAGTATAATAGTAAGGCTTAGCAAGTGTAAAGAAAAAACTCTTTGACTTCGTAACCGTCGTCGTCATTAACAGGCGGGCTATGTTGATATCGTGAGGAAATTGTTTGTTGCTGCCGTTTAGAAAAGGAAAAAAAAAAAAGATTAATAACGGAAGGTTGTTCTCGATTTGTTTGTGTCAAGGGTTATTCCAACGTTTGTTTTGCGTTGGTGGTCCTACGGAGTCATGTACATTGTAGATTGCAGAGAGAACCTTCCTAAAGTCTGGGCAATTCTTACTGCCTTTCTGCTAACTTAGGGGACCTAGCAGCTAGTGAGGTAGGTACTATGTGAGTTGTGTGTCGCCTCCGCAAGACACCTTCCCACACCACATTAGCGCTCACTCCAACCTTGTCTGCTTGTCTGCTGGTCTCCCTTTTCCCTTGTCCACCTTGTCCACTCTTTGCCCTACACTAACTGCACTAACACTTCTTCGTACGCTGCACTAGCGTGCAAGGTCGGCGGCTACGCGCTTACAAGTAACATTCTGGTGGAGATCCGTCATAACTTATTCGGGTTTAGTTCCCTTTAGGATGTACATCCCGATGATACAATGGGGACATACGACAACGCTCTTCGTTTTTCGGCTTCTAATATCAATCCTAAGTAATCATGATGTTTTCGCTGTGGATAATCCAACGTGGATATTTAAGGTTACGTGTACATTAAGCTAGATAAAAAACAACAACAAAAGGATATAGAAGCTAATTGGTGCTGAGATGAGAAAGAAAATAAGACGGATCGTCGCAATGAGAAATATTAAAATTTAACAGTCGAGAATAAACTTAAATTGTAATTGAGTTCAATCAAAGTGTTGCGTAGCATGTGGACAGCATGTGGGCATGAATCATCCCTCATATTAAGCTTTGTATCTTTATCTCCAATTTATTTTTTAGTTTTTCTGTCTTCCTTTTTGTTCCCTCACTTCCGTCTCCCCTCTTATTAATTCTCAGTGAGGGGGAACAGAGGAAGAATTAAAAAATAATAACAATAAAAGAAATTAAAATACGAAATACGCCCATCTTAATTCAATTGGTCAGACACGTCCCGAGGTCTTCCCCCTAGTTATGAATTCTACCTATCACACCATTTATACCCAAACGGATATCTTTTATCTTCCAACGAGATGCAAGGAAGCCAAGAGAGACGCGCAAGAAGCCAGCTCTGGAACTGTGTTACGCTGCAAGTTGGCAACCATCAGGCGAGGACGGGAGTGCATTCCCCCCTCTATTTGCTCGATGCGCTGGATGCATTGCATTTCATCCACTATTTTCTCTCTTATTCGGTCCACTTCTATAACGAAGCACCCGCAGCTGCAGGACGCACCGCGCCTTTAGGCCCGATCCGGCTAGATCAGCATACTTGAAATGTCCCGAGGCCTCGGTCTTTGCCTATGTAGGTACAAGCCAGCGGAGAGTACGTAAGTCACGATGATGGCAAGGACACATTGCTATTATTTTGAATATACTCGGAGTCGCTACAGAATGAGATAGTAGACATTACACATATACTAAGTAGAGATGTCAAATTCCCAAAGCCGAATTCTTGAAAATTTTCGAGATATGCTAGGCACGTTTTAATAGCCTAGTATTCACAAAAGACGACCCTCAGAAAAGGGGGGTGACATCGTACTACTCTGTAAACGCATCAGTTTTGGCCGGTAGGATTCCGCGGGTGTATTCATTGGCTCTGCATGAGGCTCAGTGTCAGCAATGCACAAACGCTTGGAAAGTTATGATTGCACAACTCAGATGTTTTGCATCTATGATCATTCTCACTGCTTGCATACGTTACGTCGTATTCCCTCTTCGCAGCCTAAAGGGTGAGGAACCCATACTTGGGGGCCATTTTGAAATACCAATGTAAAGAAAGGGTATCTGGTGTGCCTTGCAGGATTCGCAGAGACATGCAGTTTGAGGTATCTTGATCGAGATTACTCCTCAATCTTACATGCCTAACATTACAAGTTGTGCGACCCAAGGTCCCAAATACCTTTATAGTCGCTCTGAAGCTGAAAACCCTTACTCGGAGTACGTGACGAGTATCGCGGCAAACAGCAAGAAGACGTAAAATGACATTATTATATACATATTCTCTCCTAACCCTGCAACAAACACCATATTACATTACGTTGCAGCTCTTAAGGTCGAACGCATAAGATTGTTGACACTGCTCAAGGTATCCAGCTTCCTCAGCTGTACCGGCCAAACTGTTATGGGGTCGTATCAGACCAGTCACTTTGAGGCTCTGCTTACCCTTACCATGCCACCACCGGATCTTCTGAATCCAGGTACGCTCTTCGTCGTCAGTACTAATTTCCCACTTACCCGAGCTGACGGCCACCGTGCACTGCTCTTTGGGGAAATGATATTCAGGTAAGAACACTATTGTAGGAAAGTCCTCCGATTGAGCTTTTGATCCTTCAACGTTCAGCGTGAACTCGCAGCTCTTGAGGTCAAAAACATAATCCACAATTGGCCCATTGGTGACTATTGGCGCAGGACGAACATAAGCCTCTGCAGCACGGTATCCAGGAGCATTGGTCAATTCGGGGTTGGGGCTAGTGGGCGTTGACGAAATCGAGGGATTCGTCAGAGTACGTTTCAAATTTCCGGGTGTCACCGATGTCTCATCTTCCACTTCCTTTCTAGTGCTAGAAGTAGCAGTTTTCAAAAGGCTTGATGTGGATTGGTTCACATCGGGCGTTCGAGGAACAGGGGAAACCGGCAAGGTTTGGTCATCAACCGAAAATATTGACAAATCCTCACCATTCCATTGGTCACCTCGTTGATGGTCATTCTGATTACAGTCAGCAGCCAAGCAATTTAATATTCACGTGCAGGAGTCTTACCGCCGCGGTGTATACCCATAAGGTATATCCCTCCATCGAAGCACCCTCCACAGCAAAGTGATTGGCATCCATAGCTGCGGATTGACTCGAATAATCACCCGTTTTGTAGGCATATTTATCATCCATATCGTAGGGAATACCAAATTCGGTCAAGATGCATGGATGGTTTCCCATATAATCCAGCCCTTCTTGTCTCATGGCCGCGAGCTGTTCCTTGAAGCTGTTACGGATAGCTGTCTCACCAATCTTGATGGCGAAAGCCGGATGCCAATATCGACCACGAAGGACCCCGATGACATCCACATTCCATGTTCGGTTCCACTTCTTGGTCATAAGTGTAATACCATCGTAGTAATGCGGCGCATATACCATTCTTGGGTCGTCGTCCGCAGTGCCTTTGATAGTAGGGGGTAATTCCAAAGTCGGTGGTTGGCATAGCATAATAGCATCCTTGTGAACGCCCCTAATGGCATCACGGTATTTACGATAGAACGCCATGAAGTAGGTGTTCGTAAAAGCATGGTAGTCCAATGTGTCGCCTGTAGTAGGATGCTTCTCGAAGTAATTCTTTTGCAGTAACAAATCCTGGGAGGGATCCCAGACTCCATGCTGAGCCCAGAGGCATTGTCCTAATTTCCACTCAGGATCTCGCTTCCAACCATAACGAGAGTCATCGTAGCCCTCTGGTAACCATGCAATCTCGCCATGAGGGTCAATCAGAGTACGTCCGACCTTATATGGGCCAAGACCTCCCATATCCCATGTATCAACCTCACACGCTCGTCCCGAACCTGTAAGAATGGCCTGCCATAGCGTTGGACTTGTACCCTTCTTCAGTTTCTGCGCGTCTGGGATAACACTTAGGTCGGGATGCCCAATCATTCCCCTACTAGGTTCATTCAAACTTTCCCAGCCAAAGATAACATCATTCTCAATACCGCCAGCTTCATGTATACGTTTCGCAAGATGTTCACAAGCCCGTACAAAGTGACCCTGTAGATAATCTTGAATATTTATACCGTCTATTATACACTTCGGAGCGAAATCGAGACCGGCGAAAAAGAGTGTGAATATGGTCGCGGCCGCTAATCGGTAGTAATTGGTAGACCAAATCATTTTGGGGAAGTTATCGGGATCAGAATAGGTATTATGTACGATAGAAGCTTCGGTCGCTGCAAAGCTCTGGGGGTTCAATCCACAGGCATAAATCGTCCACATGGGAGCGCCAGATCCGCCGCAGTATCGTGACCACTATTTAGTTGCAACGATTAGTATGAGTACGCGGGCATGATATATATAGGTCAATTAAAAGTACATACAACATCCTGATGCGGGTCCATGAACACATAGAAGCCATAGTCTTTGGCCGTCCTCAAGACCTCGATGGTATGTTCAATCCAAACCTCATCGTATCTCCCGGGGCCGGCAGCTTCGATAGCTTCCCATGTGAAGATATACCGAATGGTATTATATCCAAACCGTTTTAAACGGGAGAAGTGTATGTGCGAATCCTCTTTCCGAAAGGGTCGATTGTGGAATTTGACGTCGTCGCCATCGAAGAAATCTTGGGCTACGTGCGAAGGTACATCGGGTTGGCTAGGTAGCTTAGAGTCGCCTGCGACGTTAATACCCCTTAACAAGACATGTCTCCCATGTGCATCTTGGAAATGACCATCCTCGATAATCAGTCGAAGGGAGGAAGACATAAAGGGCGGTCGGAGTCAAGCAACTATCAATAAAAGATCAAATCATACAAGACTCTGAATAACAAAACATTCAGGACCACCCCTAAGGAAATAGTAGTAATGGATAAGAATTTAGATGGGGATGTAGGGTCCCTAATAGAAATTAACTCTTTTCCAATGGGGGAAAGACGGATGTAACTACGGATCCGAGTCTAGCAGACGGCGATGACGCCCGTACAAGGATCTAACGAATCGGAAACTTCGGGGGTGGTATAGTACGGTACCGAAACGAAAGACTGGCGGTAACAAATGTAACGAGAATAGCTAACAACCCCTACCTTCGATCAAGGCTGTAAATACTATAAGGTATGCAGATTAAGCCTTATGATTTTGGAAGAAAAAGAGGAAAAATATTGAGAAGAAGAACCAATTGGAAATACAAAGGCTTTATTAACGTGAAGAATGTTCGATTTCAAAACCGTTAGGCATGTATCAATCCTAAAACTGAAGATGTACGAAACAAAATGGAACCCGCTGATCTGCTGCAAGTTGAGAAAGACGATGGGAAATGACCTGGCGACCCTGGTATGGTCGACATCCCTGTATTAACATTTTACTGAGAGGTACCTAGCTCATGATTGGTTCTAAAGAAGCATAAGATCCGATATTCTACCGGCTTACCACATTTTGACTAGTACGGATTAAGTATATCTCCGATAATTAACCATCATGGCCCATTTTTATTTTTCTGTCCCTCACCGAAATCGACAAAGCACTGGAGCTTAGCTTTTACTCAATTATCTTTTACCTCCACTCTGACAAGAATCAATGATGAAATGCCCAAGGCTTTCATATAAATTCCCTCTTTACGACTATTCCAAGACATGAACCTCAAAAACCCCATTGATTTGATTTTAAGATGGCGAGCGTCAAGGCCTCATTGAGGGCTATCAACGACGCCATTCGCCAACAGAAGTGGGATGACGCTATAACACAAGCCGAAAATGTAATCAGCAGAGATGCGAATAGTTACCAAGCGTACGTAATATCCCATTTCTTATGTGTCATTTCTTTTTGTTGAAGAGCTCAATTGTGCCTTGGAGAATCTGACACTTACTGCAGTCACGTGTTTAAGGCCTTCGCCTTGGATAAAAAGAATCAACTGGATTTGGCCGAGGCTGAATACAACACCGCTGTCAACATTCGATCAGATGCTCAAGCATGGCAAGGTCTAATCAAGCTTTACGAGAAGCAAGGCCCAAAGGCCATCCCTAAGTATCAGCTCGCTGCTGTGAAGCTTGCTGAGATATTTAGGGATGCTAATGAGATGTACAAATGTCAGGACGTGATAGACAAGTTTATTGATTTTGTTCGTGCGAAGGGCGATCGATCGCAATATGTCCAGGCTCTTCGTGTCATACTCCCTAATAGTCCTATCTATCCTGCTCTTGAGGGACGAGTTCCTCATCCAGCTAAAACCTTCGAAACAATAGCCCAAATCCTAGAAGTCGACGAAAAGAAACGTATCAACACATTTATCGGCGAGCGAAGGACAAGATTGGGTGCCAAGATCAGTGAAGTTACCCTCGAGGTCAACCGAGAAGTCTTATGCCAAAGCGAGTTAGGCGGAATTTACGAGCAGCTTACGCTTTGGTCCCAAGATGATGACGTCAGGCGTCAATACGAGGAGAAATTGCTTCAATTCCGATACGACCGCCTTCTAGTCACCCCGCCCCCAGGCAAAGCCGCTGAGCTTCAAGTCGTCCAAAAGTTGGCGAATGATATGGTCATCATCAAACACCCTTTTAAACTTGCGTGGGATATCGCGATTGAGTGGCAAGACCACAAGGAAATTCGAGATTGGGATGTCAATGTGCTAAATGAATACTGCTCCTTCTTCCCGGACAGTGACCTATATCGTGTCTTAACTGGGTTCATGACGAGCGATATTTCACCGTTCCCAAAGAAAGTAACGGAAACGCCCGCCCCCGCTCGTGCGTCCGAGACCGACGACGAAAGCGAGGATGACGAGGACGGTGGTGCGCCAACCTCGGTAGTACCATACACCGACGAAGACCGACTCTTGATGATGACAGAGGGTATTTCAACCACCAACTCTTTGCTTTCTCACAGATTGATGGGAGAATACTACCAAAACCTAGAGGAGCATGAAAGTAACGCTGAACTCATGAGGAAGGCGATGAAAATCATGGTCGCGGAGACAGAAAAGACGGGGAAAGTCTTCGCAAACACCAATCAAGCCTTTATGCTCTACCTAGGAACTGCATTGGTATTCTATCAATCTCCAAGAAATCACGGCGAAGCAAAATTCCTCTTCGACAAGGTATTGGAAGTAGATCCTACCTCTACATCTGCTATGATTGGCGTCGGTCTAATCTATGAAGAGGAGGAAGAATTTGATCAAGCGATCGATTTCTTAGGACGAGCCCTGAAAGGCGATAGCCAGAACTTCCGTGTACGTGCCGAGGTTGGTTGGCTATATGCGTTGAAGGGGGATTATACACGGGGCAAAGCAGAACTCGAAACCCTTTTACCATTGATGACAGGTGCTTCCGTCTCCAAGGATCTACTGGCCCAGACACAGTATCGATTAGGATGTTGCATATGGAATATCGACCCTTCGAAATCCGCTAGAAAGAGCCGAACCGGTGCGTACGCTTACTTTTTAGACGCGCTGAAGAGCAATTTCAATTATGCGCCGGCGTATAGTAGTCTCGGTATCTATTATGAAGATTACGCTAAAGATAAGAGGCGAGCCCGAAGGTGTTTCCTCAAAGCTGTGGAACTCTCATCGGCGGAAATCGAATCCGCTGAAAGGCTTGCACGATCATTCGCCGATGATGGAGATTGGGATCGAGTTGAACTAGTGGCACAGAGGGTGGTAGACTCGGGCAGAGTTAGACCTCCCCCTGGATCCAAGAAGAAGGGAATCAGTTGGCCTCTATCCGCTCTAGGAGTCGCCGAACTAAATAAGCAGGACTACTCCAAGTCAATTGTATCGTTCCAGCAAGCATTGCGGATCGCCCCCGAAGACTACCACTCTTGGGTTGGTCTAGGGGAAAGTTACCATAGCTCTGGACGATATATCGCCGCGACAAAGGCAATCCAGAACGCCCAGAGGTTAGAGGAGGGTATAGACGACGATAAACTTGGCGACACTTGGTTTACCAAGTACATGCTCGCCAATGTCAAGCGCGAACTCGGCGAGTTCGACGGAGCTATTGCCCTATACCGCGACGTTATATCAAGTCGCCCCAAGGAAGAAGGCGTCGCCATAGCCCTGATGCAAACTATGGTTGAAAATGCCTTAGATTGTGTTGAGAAGGGCTTTTTCGGCAAATCAATTGAATTGGCTATTGAAGCATTGTTTTTCGCTACTACCGTACCTAAGCACGTAACCAACACATTCAATTTTTGGAAGGCTGTTGGTGATTCATGTTCCATCTTCTCATCCGTCCAAAGCCGTGCTCATGACCTCCCTATTGAGAGCCTTGTGAGCCTTCTTAAGTTAGGTACAGAGAATGAATCCGCATATGAAATACTCAGGGACGTGGATGTTGTCGATCAAGATGTGATTTTCGCCGAAGGTCTTTTTGCCGATGACGAACAACTCGGGGTAGATCTCGTACGCAGCTTACATGCGACAATTCTAGCCCATAAACGAGCGATTTACGAGTCCGCCAATGATGTCCATGCGCAAGCTGTTGCATATTACAACTTAGGCTGGGCTGAAAACCGAGCGCATCTATGCCTTCCACCCGATCTCCGTATACAGTCTAGCAGATATCAGAAGGCTGCCGTGCGATGTTTCAAGCGTGCAATAGAGCTTGAGGCCGGCAACCCGGAGTTCTGGAATTCATTGGGTGTTGTTACTAGCGAAATCAACCCATCCGTAGCGCAACATGCTTTTGTACGAAGCCTATTCCTTAACGAAAGAAGTGCGCATGCATGGTCCAATCTAGGCGCCTTAGCTCTTCTTCAAAATGATATTCAACTCGCCAACGAAGCCTTTACTCGCGCACAATCCAACGATCCCGATTATTCTCACGCTTGGTTGGGTCAAGGTTTCGTCGCGCTTCTATATGGTGACGCTAAAGAGGCTCGCGGTCTTTTTACTCATGCGATGGACATCTCGGAATCATCCTCACTTCTATCCAGACGCCAATACCCAACCTCGTTATTCGATCATATTCTTACAAACCCCCCAAGCCTGAACGCTACGTCCCTTATCCAACCACTATTCGCCCTTGCCCAGTTACGGGGTCTTAATCCGCAAGAACTCGCCTATCAACACCTTTCAACATTATATCAAGAACGAACACACGATAGTGCTAGTGCGGTAGATACTCTCGAGAAAATTTGCGAGCAATTAGAAGCAAGTTACGAAGCTACCGAATCCGCGGATGCACTTGCACGATTTGCATTGGCTAAAACCGATCTCGCCCGGTCGTATCTCTCGGCTGGCGAATATGCGCAAGCCTCTGAGTGCGGAGAGATGGCTTTGCAATTGAGCAGTGACGAATCTGCAAACGAACTTACCGCCGAACAACGTAAGAAAGCTCGACTGTCGGCGCATTTAACTGTAGGTTTGGCGGAGTATTACTCTAGAAATGTTGACGCAGCGGTGTCCTATTTCGAAGCAGCCTTGGAGGAATCCAACGGCAACCCCGACGCCGTCTGCGTATTAGCTCAGATGTTGTGGGCTACCGGTATGGACGACGCTCGAGAAAGATCCCGTACCGTTTTATTCGAAGTGATTGAGAACGACTCGACCCACGTTCAGTCTGTGCTTCTTCTAGGAGTCATAGCACTACTTGATGGGGATGAGGAATCTCTCGATGCCGTTATTTCGGAACTTCAAACGCTCCGCACTAGTGATAAGGTCAGCGATACGGAGCATTCCCAAATCGGGGAAGTACTGCGCGCTGTTGCTGCTTTAGCAGATGGTAGCACAGAAGATGATGTCCTTACTCAACTACAAAATGATGTTATATTATACCCACACCTACCACATGGATGGTCTCGGCTGGCCGAGGCTAGCGGAGAAGAGTACCCGGCGGACATGGCCCTTCAAGTAGCTCTGAAAGCTATTCCGCCAAGAGGAGAACTTGGTGCCGTCGACCTCGCCGATGCGTATGCAGGAACTGGCAAGGTTGCTGACGCGCAGACGGCAATCTTCGTCGCTCCTTGGCGCAGTAGTGGTTGGGAGTCATTAGGTAGTGCTGTCGCCTCTTGATGACGCACTACTAATTTCTAGTATGTTGTTCCCAATCCCTTTCAATTTTCTTCCTTATAGCTGTTATGATGATACTTAGTCAAAAATATGTTTCAAGACGGGACTGAGATTTTCATTGATGCATAAAATTTCTATCTGATGCAGCTTCCCTTTTTTCTTTCAAACGTCGGCCTCAACAATATTTGTTGGACAATGAGCTGACGTTATAACCCTAGGTACTTGATGGCATCAGCATTTGGCGTTATCACAAATGGTAGCATTGGGTCATGCGTGGGCATGGATGTGGAAGGAGAAAAGCTGGAATGATATTTGGGATGGAAATACCCTTGGGAGATGATTGATGACCGTTGTGACGTATCATGTGGCGACGTTGCACGCTCAATTATGAATCGATATGTCGAAGTTATCATTACTTTAAGCACGAGAACTCAACACTGAGCTATACGTTGAATGAAATAAAAAAAACACAGTGCAGTCAACATTCAAGCTTCCTCGTGGCACAAAGCTGATTTAGCTTCCGTGAACACCTATCTTGTTTTTATGTAATTATTGTGATGTGAGTTGATATGTCCTAGGTGAATTTGATGGCTACCTCCCAACTAGGTGTTCGTCGAGTCTACATACACCAGAATTCCTACTAGACAAGGCGCTCGTACACAACATTTCACATCACTCAACAAGTACAATTTTGTCAAAGGCAATCAATTATCCCCGATAAACTTTTTGGTATCAGCCAGCCCAAGCCTATCCTATCTACACGCAAAGAAGCCTGGGTAGAAAGTGAACTGAGATAGGCAGAAAATCACCCATGGTATCTCGAGAAAATAAGCGAGACCACCACAACATCGTGAATCATTGTACCGTCTCACCCAAAACGCCGCGCCGCCCTTATTCCGTAAGAATTATTTACTCTCAAGTGCCCTCCTCTGCAACTGTAATTGTGAACCGAGAAGTGTACCAACCTCTAACTTTCGTCCCCGTTTTCGTAGAAAGCGTCTTGTATAGCTTAAGTTGTCGTAAAGTACAAACGATAGGTTCAATTGGAAGTTTAAGCCTCCAAATTCGTGGTAAGGACCAATACTTCCTAACCCGATACCAAACGAACAGCATGTTGATTGAGCCAAGTAGAGAAAAGAAGTTTAACCCCCGCGAAAACAGCATCCCTCAACTTAGCGTTTCATGCTAGGAATCGTGGGTACGGGAACGGGAGTTTGCTTTGTCGCGGAGACTGGATATTTATCCTTCTTCTTCTCTTTCTTTGCAGGAGTTTGCACCTTCGCTGCCGTACCATTTACTTGAAATGCCGGAGCGACTGAAGAGACCTTATTGGAAATGGTCGTGGTGGTCTTGGGTCGCTTTGAGGCCGCTTTCTCGCCTCCAGGGTGCTTTCGCTTTAAATTTCCGTTGGTAACCTCTGGTTTCTTGGGCTTGGGTGCAGCTACCTCCTCGTCAGACTCGCTTTCCGATTCGCTTTCGGAAGAATCATCTTGCGCCGGAGTGGATTGCGGCTTCGGCAATTGAATCTGCGGTAGGGCTGGGTTGGGAACACCGATGGGAGTGAAACGTGGTCTAAGACCCTGGGGTTGGTCTCGGATGGCTTTGGGGATTGGCGTGTAGTCGTCCGTGGCGGTAGCACTAGTAGCGCCGTTGGGACCAAAAGTTGCCTTTCGACGGATGTGTACAGTCGAATCAATCCCGCGATTTACTATGACTTGTTAGCTAGATCCCTTGGGATTAGTGAAATAGATGACTTACGAGCACTGTACTTATCACCACCTTGAGACGGAATAAGTAATTGAATTTGAGTGCTAGTGGCATGCGACTCAATATCCAAGCTATAGTTATCGCCCTTATGGTTAAGAAGTGCTTCCCCAGTTGTGGCTTTGGAAAGATCGATTTCCATATCCTTCAAAACCGTAATGGGCAAGGACGCTGGCGCTGTGAAGTACCACACTTGTTTGCCTTCGAGATTTGTCTTGTTGAAAAAATCGGTGACTTCTTTGCCAGGATTGTCGGATGAAGCCTTACGAAGCACAAAGTTGGAGTTGTCAAGCCAGGCGGGCCGAGAGCTAAAACTGCCATGTTAGACTGGATACAGTTAAATTAAAACAATGGAAAACAAGACTTACACTTGAGTATTCGTTTCTTCGACAGCAGTGTTACCATTGACTCTAGATACAGCTGCATCGTTGGTGTCAACGTCCATAGCTTGTGGCTCATCATCGTCAGACTCTTCGTCACTAGAGTCGTCGCTGGAAGACTCAGGTTCGGCAGGTTTTGGGGCCTTGGCTTGGGCACCAGTTGTCTCATCCTCACTATCACTTTCTTCAGAGCTCTCACTATCCGACTCACTCTCACTAGAGCTCTCGGCCTTGTCTGCTTCCTTTACGGCAGCACCTTTCGCTGGAGCGTCGCCAGAGTCTGAGCTATCGGAGTCGGAATCAGAAGCGTCTGCATTGGCAGCCTTGGCGGTGGGAGTTGGCTCTGACGGGGCTTTCGCATTCGTAGATGTCGGATTGGTTGGTTTTGCATTCGGCTTAGCATCCTTCTTCTTGCTAGCCTGTTTCGCCAATAACTTCTTCTTTGCAGCCTCTAGATCGCTACCACTATCGCTGCTGCTTCCATCACTATCCTCTGAACTCGTGTCGCTTCCGCTTTCGCTATCATCGTCCGAAAATTTCTTCGCCTGGCTAGCTAGCGACGCGCCGGTACCCGAAAGCTTGTTGGTAGACGTGGCTTTTTGATTGCGGATGTTCGAGGCCATTGAGTTAAGGGAGCCCATAGGTGGGCGAGCGCGGTGTTTAACCATCGTGAAGACGTGAGAACACGGCGGCAGGTAGAAGCTGTAGAATAGGAGAATGAAGCGCAAAGATGCAATGAAATAAACAAGTCAAAGTGTCGAAGGTAATTCAGGAAAGGGACGCGGCGCAAAGTTATTAAAAAACTTTGGAAGAAAAGGCGGCGGGAAGAACTGGGAAGGTTGTGAAAAAAAAATAGGAAGAATTGAGAGTGTTAAAAAATTAACGGCGAGTGAATTGAGATTCACGCCGAGAACATGAATTTTTTTGGAGCTCTCTACAAACTGTTAACGCGAGTTTTGATCTACTGTGTTAGCGCGTTATCCATCAAACAGTGCTATCGCGGGGCTGGAAAGTGGGTAAAATGGTAAGATAAACTGTGCCGGAACATTACTAATCCGGAAAATACTTCAACTTTATAGTGGCAGCAGGCGTTTTTCTAGGTACCTGGATAGGTGCGATAAGAACTATAAAACTGCAACCCTACAGAGAAAGAGCCAATCATAAAGCTTCGTTTTCTTGTTACGGTTAGCAACTCTGCACTAACTTAACAGAAGAGCTCAACCTAACTTTTTCACATTTCTATATATCAATGGTAGAATTTCCCTTCTAAATCTACATAGTATTCATAATTCTGTGGTAATTCTGGATGTGAAATATAATGGCCACAAATAAGAGACGGAAGCTGAATGTGACAGAATCCTCACCAAGTAAGTTCAACTATATCTTTAATTGTCGCTATTCGAAATACTTATATCTCTAGCAATGAGTGCCTTCGCTCTCCGCAAGAAACTTCTCAACCAGCAACAAGCTGCTCCGACACCAACCACAAAAGACAAGAGCAATGTAGATTTAACAATTCCATCTGCGCCAGATGTTGTGAAGACCACCAAGACAAGAAGCTCAAAAAAAGCAAAGGGTCCAAATATTCAGGCAGCGCCAACCGATGAGAATGCGCCTAGTGCTAAGTTCAAAAGTTCATTGCTTGATAATCAGCCTGAAAGCGAAGATGCACTCCCGGATACTTCTAGGGCTTTAGCAGGGAGCCCATCGCCTTCTATAGTCGAAGATGACGAAACTCCGGTTATGCTCAATAAGGCTCTACCTTTACAACTGTCTAATTTCCAGCCATCTAAAAGTAATTATCGAACACGAAAAGACGGGATGACCATATTGAAGTTATCTGACGGAGAGGTTTGTTTATCTTGTTTGTTATTTTGGAAACTCAAACTCATTGAAATAGCGTATAGTGATCCTTGGCAATTATGGTATTCGTGTAACATCGAGTGAAATCACCATCAATGGTGCCATACTAAGAAATTCAAGCAAGGTACATTGGGTGTATGCACCACATTGCCATGCACTCCCCGTCATTAGATGTTCAGATGCGGCGAATATAGAATTGCACCCCCATCCCGACTCCGCGGATCTGAGGGCTCTTGGAAGACTTTCTCCTCAGTTTCGCAAGCTCTGGAACGACTCCAATCCTTCCAAAGGGGATAAGACTATTCAATCCAACCCAACATTTCAAATAGTAAGCAATCATTCGCCAATTAATATCGCGAGACACGTGGCTAAGAGATTTTATAGCTCTATACATCAGCAGATGGCCCAAAGAGGACGATGCTACAAGATCTTGTCTCGCCACCTGAGTGGAATAGGGAGGTTGCCAAATTCGTCAATACATCCAACTCGAAGCCTTGTTCAGTTATGATAACGGGTCCAAAATCATCCGGGAAATCTACATTTGGCAAGATACTTGCGAATCGACTGGCCACCGAGAAATCGAGTGGCTCTAAACAGCACACTTATCGTGGGGTAGCTGTACTAGACATTGATCCCGGACAGCCCGAGTATTGTGTCGCCGGCCAAATTGCTCTCGTATTCCTTACCGAACCTGTGTTTGGGCCGTCATTCTGTCGCCCTCTTCCCAGCTTAGAATTCGAGATAATTCGATCCCATGCGCTAGCGTCTATCTCCCCTGCCTCGGATCCCGAACTGTACTTGGAGGCTGCTATGGACCTAATGACACATTATCGAAATGCACTAGGACGGTATCCCCTCATTATCAACACACCAGGATGGATACAAGGGACGGGGCTGGATTTGCTAACTTCTCTCATCACTAATCTGCGACCGACCGAAGTAGTGTATATGTCGGAATCTGGTCCTGCAGAAGCGGTAGAAGCCCTACAAGAATCCTGCAAAGTCACTAGATTTTCTACACTTCCATCACAGTCCTCTCAATTAACTTCGAGGACCGCAGCGCAATTACGATCAATGCAGACTATGTCGTATTTCCATGCTAAACCTCGCGAGGCCAGCAACGATAGGGTTCAGTTTGAACGAAATCCGAGGCCATTAACGGCTATACCTCCTTGGTTGGTCAGTTACAGAGGGCCAAATCGCGGCATATTTGGAATAATGTGCTACGATTATCAGGCGCCGTTAGATCTGTTGGCCGATGCGATAAACGGTACAATTCTCGCCGTCGTGGGGGTCGAAAGCCTCAAAGCATTGAGATACTCTGAAGAGCGAATAAAGCTGTGTAACGATGCGACAGCTAATATGATGGACATTGACGACGCCAACGATGAATCTCAGAATACGGCAATATTATCTTTTCAGGACTTAGCGGGAAAAAAGATTACCGAAACACCTGAGGGTATCCCGTTCATCGATACCACAGATGGAACTACGTTAGACCCGAGATATTCCCATTCGCTTGGTCTGGTTCTCGTGCGCGGTATTGATGTTGAAAACGGACTCTTACAACTCCTCACACCTTTAACAGGGGAAACGATAGAAGAGGTCACGTCTAAAGGAGGCGAAATTGTCCTTGTTAGTGGCAAGTTTGATGCGCCAAGTTGGGCTTATACCGAAGAGTTATATTATCAATCTCATGGTGAGGTAGATGAAGGGGCAGATCTAGACGAGGCCCAAGAGGGTACATCGGAGGGTTCCGACGACGAAAATGACAATTATGCAGTAAGGGCTGATGCGACCACAGTGCCGTGGGTAGAAATACTGCATGGGAACCAGAAACGTGGCGCTGGGTCTAAAGTGTGGAGAGTACGGCGAGATCTGGGTCGCGCAGGAAACGGTACAAACTGAGATGAACGTATCGACATGTACCCCGGTACTTGAGTACTTAGATACATGAGTACATCAATACAGTACATCGAATACAAAGGCCTTGTATTGTCCTGGCCCCTGCAGCGATCTGCAAGGAACTGCGCACAAACTGTGGACTAAATTTTGTAGATCAAGGTCTTGCTATTAGCTCCCGCTGTTTAGTTCAGATTTTCCCGAGACGTCTTATCCGCCAATAAAATACCCCTGGCTTGCATCAGTTCTACAAAATTCAACTGGCTTTTTAGAACCAATCATTAGAAATATGCTTCTTTTAAGCTTAAGTACTTGTCCGGGTACAACTAGACATGCATGCAGCAAATACGGTATCTACTAAACCTAATCAAGTAGTATCTACGTCACCCATTCAATCCACTACCCCCGGCGGTAACACAGCTACATAATCCAACGGTGCAGATTCGCTCCCACTTGGTTTTCCCTCAACGCGCACCGTATCGCCTTCTTTCACCTCGATACGTTTGAATGTAATTCGCGTCGCCGAGTGTCCGTTCACCCCATTAGTTGTGGTATACCCGAGCTTGGATTCGTTATCACCGACCCATTTCCCGATGCTCTTGTCGTTAACGAATAGCTCGTAGGATGCGCTGCCGCCCGCTAAATCGTAGTACGCGACCGCAATATCGTAGGTACCTGAGGTGAAGTTTAGAGGCGCGGAAACGCTAGCGGTAGATCCACCGCTGGCTTGTACGACGTGCAGATTTGACGCCATTTCGAAGGGGTTGACGGTTGCACTACGATAGTTGCGCAGGGTCACTGTTGTGCGTATTAGTATTTACCCTTGATGTTGTACTTGAAAGAGGAATTGCATACTAGATTCAGCTTCAATGCGCCAGGTATGGTTTCCAACTCGCTTCTGCTCATCTGCTATTTTGGATAAACTGTTATAGAATGTGTTGATGGAGTCGCGCCATACGATCGCATGGCCTGCTTGATACGTTAATCGGAATAGTACTTCGTCATAGCGCTGATCATCGATTAATCCCTTTACTGCTTCCCATTGCTTGGGGAATGTGGCTGCTGTTTCGGCACCGGCGTAGTCTGTGTAACATGTCAGTTATAATTGTGATACAATCGAGATAATAGAGAAATGTACATACGCGCATCATAAAAGTGCTGAATAACGGTTTTGCCGTTTTTCAGCACATGTGTGTATGGAACATGGTGAAACCAGAGTAATAAGTCATCGGGTGTTGTCTCGATGTCTTCAAACTGCGCCGCCACCTCTTCCGGATACTGGCCGGCGAACCCGGTTCCGTTCTTCACTGTTCGATCCATGCCAATTCCATATGCATCCGCGCGCGTCCATTGGCCCCATGCATTGTTGTCCATGGATTGGGGGTTGGGTCCGTAGTGTGGGCCTGTGATGTCTGTCAAGGTCTGCACGCCGAGATTCCCTGTGTAATTCTCATATGCCTCCCACGACACCAGCGACATGCTCGCGACGGTATTAACAACCGTCTCTGAGAGCCCGAACGTTAGACGTGTCCAGTCATCCAGTATCGCCGCGGAGTCCAAATTTGGGTCCCAAGCTAATCGACCGTACGCATATAAGTTCGACATAGAGAGATGCGAGCCCAGCCATGTTGGGTGTTGCCCGACGTTGACAACACCAGCGTACCCCGTTAGACCCGTCTTATTAAATCGTCGACCAGACAGGACATCTTCGCCAATAACCGATTTCTGGCCATCAACTTTTAAATCGAAATCCAAGATAGTCTTCCATAGTGGTGGGAGGTACACCAAATGGCACTGCTGGCCGAGGTACTCCTGGGTAATCTGCAGTTCAATAGCAGACGCCGTCTTCTGCAAATGCGCAAACAATGGCGAAGCTGGTTCCCGGACTTGAAAATCGATAGGGCCGTATTTAACCTGTACGACGACGTTATCATCGAACTTTCCATCAAGATCGCGGAAATAATCCACAGCTGCGTTCGCACGGTCGTCTTTCCAGTTCCGCTCATTCAAGTGCTGATTGTCATACACAAAAGCACGGAACATAACAATGCCGCCATGCGGTTTAGCGGCGCGAGCAAATAGATTCGCACCTTCGGCAAGGGTGCGTCCATAAGTAATTGGCCCAGGCTGACCTTCGGAGTTCGCTTTTACGAGGAACCCGGCGAGATCAGGGACGTGCGTGTACAATTTATCTGTGATACCGTTCCACCAGGAAATGACTTTAGAATCGAGCGGGTCAAATGTATTTAGCCCGCCGGCGGATTGAGGCGATGCGAAGTTAAGCGAGATACCTACCCTGACGCCCCACGGTCGCATGGCATCCGCGATCTTAGCTAGACCGGCCATGTTAGTGTCACTTAGCAGTGCAGCGTTGGCGTTGACGTTGTTGACAATAATGCCATTAACCCGAATCGAGGCTAGGAGACGTGCATATTCGGAGATGCGTGTCACGTTGGACGAGATGCCGTTGCGCGCAAAGAATATGGAGGATCCGCCGTAACCACGTTCAATGCTGCCATCCATGTTGTCCCACTGATTGATCCAACGGATCGCGGCGCTAGGGTTGGTGGCATAAGCTACTTCCGTGAAGTTCCCCTGGGCTAGCATGGACAAGTACTCGAAAGCGCCGTATAATGCTCCCCGCTCGTTTTGTCCTACAATCTCGACCTTGTCGTCTTTGGTACTAAGCCAGAAACCGTCTTCCTCAAGTGCGGGGACTTCGGTCGCAATCCCGGAGCTGTTGAAGGCAGCGACGGTGCCTACAACCACGGAAGCGGCATCACTAACTTCGTGTGTTACGTTGGGTGTTTGGCCGAGAATCCCACTAATTCCTTTCTGTAACTCCTGGCCGGCCGTATATACTGGACTCGTCTCGGTGGCATTAAGAGCCACAATGGTAGAGGGGATGCCATCGTGCCTAGTAAGATTGGGGGGTAGTTGCGCATATCGCAACCATGCGTTGAGACCGTCCTCCGCGACCGCGAGGCCGCTAAGGGCAGTTAGAAACCATAGGCCACGCATTTTATCACACCAGATCTAATCGACCGCGTTCAAGATAGGCGCAAAGATCTAAGCTTAGCGAGCCGAAGGCGTGGGGATCGCCCTGTTTATACAAGGCCGCCACCCCAGCATCTTGGGAACTCATCTGGGGAAATAGCGGATCCCCTTTCCAAGAGCCAGGTCAATAAATAGAATACTATCTTTAGGCTAAACTCGGATACAGCGGGCTAGTAGATCTTATCCGTAGACAAATGGCATGGTAACTTGCTATATGGTAGTCTTCGGTATATTTTCCCACGAGTACGTGGAGATGCGATCTTAGCTTCTTCACAGATTCGGAAATGATGATCCTTCTCCTGGTTCGAACTATACCGCGATGGGATCAAAGTTGGGGTAGGATAGCCGATTATAGGATTCTTGGACCTCGGCCGTGGCCGTGATCGAGGCGCCATCATATGAAGCTGTGTTGAAAGCGTCGTTGAATGAAAGGAGGATGTGTAGGCATGTTTAGTTGAGATATTTATGAGTGGTTAATAAGCCTGGGTCGCCCCCTCGCCCCCCATTTCAAAATTCGACATTGACGAGATCACAAATGAGCTTCCGACTGGCAATAGTAAACTAGTCGTATTGGTTTCTACCTAACTACTGGGCATACATATATTTTCGTCTTATTATCGTTATGATTATCATTCACGTCATCATCGATAGCCGAAAAAACTTGTAAGGGATCAAACGTTGTCCGTGCCTCGGGCGCCACCATAACTTATCAGGAGTGGGGAACAGCATTTGATTGGTGGAGATAATTCACATAACACAGAAATTTCCCCTTAGGACTCCGCAGAGCCTCAAATTTAACAACAAAGAACTCAATGCTTTTCTCATCCATCCCTATAATTCCCTCATAACCATCAGGACATCATTCTCATCATTCGTCCTCAATCATTCATCTTCATCTAGACCTCTTCCTGTGTAATATCTACCCCGGTAGCTCTATGATCCCGTATAGGGTCACGTAATAGAACTTGACAGGGGGAAAGGGGGTTTGCGTGAGCATGATGACATCCGGCGAATAATCCGTAAAAGTCCACCACATGACTTATGGACTGTTGGATATGCGCACGTATAATCACCCCCATCCCTATATATGTCTTTCGCAGTCAAGAAGGGATGAACTCATCCTTTTTTAGTGCCACCCCGATACTAGTCCATCACTCCCAGGCCAGCCAGAGTGATAACTTATAACGAAGCCACCCCGACCCTTATCCAATGTACAGCTCGAGAAGAGAACCGTATTGACTGAAGTGCCGACCACTTAGCTAGCGATCATATGGGGCATCTATAAACCAGATATATCCAGAGAGCCACCCATGAGACGTTCTCCCAACGCCTTACATTAATACCTATTTTCCTAACCAATATCTGACAACTAGGGGTATCATCAACTAGACGCTTGCCTCGTTACCGACCCTGTCCCAATATTTTCAGACCGCTCGTAACGAGTATAATCATGGCCCATCCGAAAGAAAATGAAAGAAAGAAAATCCCTCACGCTTCGCAAATACGCAAGGGTATAAAGAAAAGAGAAACAGAAAAAGGAATAGCTATAATAACGGAAAAGGACGAAACAAAGCAGAAAAAAAGGCATGGTACCGAGACACAAGACCGATAGGATTCATCATCCCAACCCTGTCCTTCATTGTGCCAGCCCTACCAGCCTTATGCTTGTTCCGGATAAACGTCGGATCATGGGCATCGGCTTAAAATGACGTTTATGTTCTGCCGGTCGTCACCGCCCTATTCCTTATTAGTATTTATTCTGCTTGCATCACAAGACAAGATGATGATGTAGAGAGGTGAAAAGTATTAAGGGATGCTGCGAAGAGTTGTGGAAGCTTACTGTCTATAGGTTGCGCTTGCCTGCGATAATCTATGCCGACCTGCCTCGTACCTGCCCCGCCGACCCCGACCGAGACGCCGATCGAGATCCGCCGAAGCTAGTCCCGACAAACCTAATTTCATCCGCAATCTGTGCGGCGGAACTATGGCGCAGAGACCCGGGCGGGGTACCTCCCGCTTGGGTCGCTGGCTGAATTGGCGGTCCAGCAAGACCGCCAACTTGCCTCTGCGCAGGGAACTGCCCGTCGATAAAACGGAAGAGCTCGGCGTGGTTGCTCCGAGGCGGCATGGCCGGCGACGAGAACGGCGGCATAACAAAGACAGCATAAGGAGTGTCTGGGGAGTGCCGAGGCATAGGAGGGTTGACCTGTCTAGGTGCCACTGTCTGTCTCGGCTCGGACGTGGTTCTCAAGAGATGTTAGAGAGGCGGCGACACATAGCGACGACACATAGCGACCCTACACCCGAAACCAAAAGCACTATTGCGGATACGGCACTTACCCAGCAGAACCCTGACGGACATCGTTTGAAGGAATGGAAGCCATTTCTAACTACCTTACTCATTCGACGCGAATGCGAAGAATAATGAGTAACTAGGTATTAGGTCGGAGTAATATTATAATGTAGTGTTGGAAAAGAGACGGAAAGTTGCGAATAACTAGACAGTATGGTAAGGGATGGATGTAAAAGAAAATTAATTCGCGTCGCGAATGGCGATAATGTATTGTGCAGTAATCCTTGCGATGGGTAACTGAGACAACTTGAAGTGACTAAACGGCTCCGGCAAGATAGCAAGCTGGCTAGTCATATGCGGGTATGTGACAGATTGAATAGCTCGAAAAGAGAATGTAGTCGGAGGTAGGAAAAAAAGCATTAGGAGGGATTAGGGAGTATAAATACCTAGGTAGGTGTCTTCTAGAATCTAAAGGTAGGTAGGTAGACGTAAGGAATTAAAAGCTGCAAACCATTTACGAAAGAGACTCGAACCCATGCCTCCACAGCTTACTCGGCACGGTGGAAAGGTGGGGTGAAACGGACCCTAGGTTTGTGGAGCATGTATTCACTAAAAACGCAGCGCGACAGGCTACCGACAGGCTACGCTAACGTATAATAATCCTTCACATTAGGTGCGTCTTCACCTTGACACATGGATAATTATCTTATTTATTTTGCCTCTGCCGTCAGCTCGAACACCAATATGAAAACTTGATAGTTTTTCTTGCCGTAAATTTGGTCCCATAAATAGACTACCTAGGTACGAATCCGATGTCCATTATAGGGCGGACTAGGCTTGCAGCGAGGGGTGGTCAGGTGTAGATTTCTACTAGGTATGTACCTTTTTATTCCCAATAAAAATTCTAAGCGGGTATTTTCCTTCAAGTTCTGACCTTCTCACCACAGGGGCGAAACATGGTTAGAATGTTTCCTTGGGCTGTAGACATGGGTGACATGATCTCAGTGGGTACAACATACTAACGGGATGACGAGCAAGCTGGAGGGTGCGGATGAAGACTTAGTTACATATGCAAGGTATGTCCTCCGTAGTCGTCCATCCATGTATGTATCTAGGTACCCCCCGCGAACAATACGCCTGCTCAAGGCCCCCCGAAAAAGATCCATCATATCCTAGACGAGTCTAAAATGTGAGATGCAGGCGGATCGGTTTGTACTTACACATCCACCACTCTTCCACCGCTCTTACATTATCTGTTCTATGTTCTAATCGTCCTAATTGTTGCTTCCTTTGGCTTTCCTATCTCCAGAAGAATCACTACCTAATTAATATTTTTATTTAGGTTCTCATTCCTCAAACACATCGGCCATGCCATGGCAGTTTGCCTTCCCCGCCAGTTAGAATCTTGAGATAAGACATATATAGGGGCCGATTATATACCTATTTTCGTCACAAGTTGAAAATAATCGTATTTCTAAGAATATGAGAGGATGTTGCCTAAAATGTTTCCTGTTAAATCGAGAATTTTAGTTTCTTTAACATCTCTCAACCGGGGGGGCTTCGGTGTAAACCACTCCCCCTAAAAAAAGACTTTGTCTTGACGGGGCGGCGTCAAACCCACAGCAACTAGCTAACCTTGGAAGTCTTGAGCCCTCCAGGGCTAGCATTTCTCTGCACCCCGGCCGCCATCCCAACTAACAATCCCCCTGTCACCCTGTTCTGGCTCCACCACCTAAAAGTCAACCAGATGCTTGCTCCCGACACTATAATGATGGTGACCTGCAGACTGCAACCCTGCCCGCCTGTCTTCGAAGTGGACATGGCCTACGCATACGGTCTTATTTTTATTGCAATTTTTTTTAATTATTTCTTTTAACGTCGATTACCCCATACTCGACGCGTCCAGTAATTTTTAGTGACTTTGGAAAAGTAATGCAGATGTAATCAGTTTTTAATTCGAGAAAATGTCGGATGTTTCCTAAACTACCTAGGTACACTACCCCCCACTAAGGTTCAATTTCTAAATACTGTATAAACCCTTGTTTTTTCTAGCCTTCATGGTCCGTTAGGCATGGATGATGGGACTGATGATAAAATTGAGGAAAGAGGCAAGGGAAAACTCGTGGATACTACCATGTCTGTCGCATCTGTTGTAATATCTTGTTCGTAGCATTTCGCCAAATGGGGGTAATGCAAGGGATTAGGACAATGCTTCCGCAACTTTCTCGATTTGCGTGGGACGAATCTCGGCTTACCTACGAAGAGGCTCTTCGTCTGGCTCTACGCCGGTATGCGGGCACGGTAGGCTAACCTTAAAGTCATTCTAACCCCGCCGAATTTCACCAGCTGGTAGATCAGGTTGTGTGTTCGCGCCCCTACCTAGCCCACCCTGGATTCGTTAGTGCACTCCATTAGTACAATACCCCGCTGATCTCAGAAGTCCATGTGGAGTAGCGGGCATTGGTGGTCGCAGCCAAGCAGAAGCATGCTGCGAGGCGAGCCCCGTCAGGAGAGCCCACAATTGTAAGGAGGTATTGCCTTTATTAGTTAGGTATCTCTATGTTAGAGGTGTTTTTTTTATCCTTATTATTATAATAAATACCTAGGTAGCATCCACGCAGTGCTAAGACTCCTTTTTAAACCATTATGAGAGCTAGCTACATATCTATGGTACACATATACCTACTAAAGATGAGCACTTACCTACCTAGGTATTTAAAGGTGAGAATTTCTAATTATATATCATATAGCTGAGGTCTATTACCTATATTGCTGTTGCGTTTCGCTTTACATATAATACTATTTACATATAATTTTAATGTTCATTAAAAACCATGTCGAAATTGCATCAGGATATGCAAGTTAACTAGTCACAATGCTGCGACGAATGCGCCCAGTTGTATCTACCCGTGCCAAGATGTCCGATCGATAATAATCTAACATCCAGAACGCCGTTTTAGGACAATTATGATGGCTCTTCAACTTGTAAGTTGCCGAAGTGCTCCCTGCATGTATTAACAAGGATCCATGGATGTAAGTACGGGTACCTACTAAGTAGATTGCGCATTGCATTCCCGGCTTGACGGCTTTACGGCTTGATGCAGGCCGCCGGGCTGAATCTACTCCATGATGCGTAACACACAACAACAGAACCATTTGAATCAAAATGTGGGGGGAAAACCGTCGACGCCGCATCTTCACAGCTAGCAACGTAATTTGTACCCATTCGAGATTGAAGCACTAAATGTATTATAACATTGATCGCATGAGGGTAAATCTCTAAATATATATATCGTAGATCGTAGTAAAGCCATCAATTATAGGCGGTTTCAAAATCTACCTAGGTATATTGACAGGAGGGACTAATTTCCTGTTGCGAAGAGACGCGAAAGACGCTGACCAAAAAAATGTAAAAGTTGTTGAACAGGCAGAGTTGGCGGGCAGGCGGGCTACGGGTCTCCCAGCGCCTGTCATTCAAGGGACCCACCAGTGGCTGAACCGTGGGCGAGTGGGCAAGTGGGTAAGTACCTAAGCCCTCCGTACTTCGATATGAGCTGTTCGTCGCCGTGTATGGAATGCTACATGACATTACATGATCGATTATTTAGATATGAATATTCCCTTCTCGGCTTAAACATGGCACCCATTGATAATGCGGTATTTAATCATAGCGTAGGCGAAAGCCATCCATATTTCTTAGCAGCGTAAGCAAGTATGCATGCATGTATTCGTCCTCGTACATATATGCGTATGGATCAACTGGCTATTGTTGTTCGGTGCCTGGCGACCCTAGGACACCTGATCTAGGTATTTTGTTCGGAGACAAAGACCACCCAAAGAGCCCCTATTAGTCAATCCTTGAACTCAAAGGTGGATTTCAACCCAAACGGCGTTGATGAGCAATGAAGACTTTAGCCACACAGCCTCGCATTATGACTTTACGATTAGAGGCGCCAATTTATGAAGTTGTGTTGCCCTTAACAAAAGAGAGAAGAGAAAAATGCTGAAATTCTCACAATATGCATTTGCGAATATTCGAAATGGTAGAAGTGGAGGCTTGTACGTCCTTTTCCGAGAGCTAAAAAGATGTACTTAGGTAGTTCCTAAGCTCGACAGGTCGCTTAGCTTACCTACTTGAACTGGTTGGTATCGCTACTCTATGGGGTCGTAATCCTCTCAAGCATGGTCAACATGTCTTAGAGCATTATACCGCTCAGGTCTGTCAGTTAATAGACCATAGATCCCCATATTCTCAGAATAAGGTGTCAAAAGTTTGAATCCATTCCGCGTACCTATACCAAAAGCCAAAACGTTTTAACCTGATATAGTTAGATTGGAAGGCTTGAAGCAAATTGATTGGTTGCATCTACTGAATAACTTTTTAGGCTTTGTACAGAACTCATTTTAATACACGTGTAGGTATCATGGATATTCCGCCGATCTGAAAGAACGGAGACCCACCTGTCTTTATTCGGGCGTCGCAGTTCCCACACCGTTATCGTGACTTGTAGTTTGTCGAAGTACAGCCGAATTGATTATCATCAAGCTTACAGCCGATTGATAGGCGATATTTGCAAGTGCAGTGGACGATTATTGGAGCCAAAGCCATCCTGACTTATTGTCTTAAACGGGAAAGGGAAAAAGGACAAAGATGTGACAGCATTGTGGGGCCAGTCATAGAAAGTTAAGTAGTGGGTTTGAACACCGGTAAATTCTTATCCCTGAAGAATGCCAATGTCCCGAAATTTGAAAAATTAACTGGACTCGTAATTGTGCCAAAGACCAAAAATACTCGAGATCGAGTCTCGATACTCCCAACCAGGATCTACAAATCCTAGCCACACTGAAGTATTGTAAATGATGTATCCATTGCTTCAGAACTCTTCCAGCCAATCATAGTAAACGCTGTTCAGCACCATAATAACGAGGTACAGGTACCACGATGCCATCGTGACAGCGAGTCCAGAAACTTTCCTCTCCAATTCGGGTGTGGCACCAACGATTCGCCAATGCGGTATTTGCATGATTTTGGCTCAGAAGCGAGGCGAAAATATCCAGCATGACCGCGTCAGGCAAGTTTAACGAGTTACCCTGGTGTAGATACGTGCATATGGATCAACCGAATTAATTGGTCTTTGCCGTTTGGTGCCTGGGGAAATCTTACGCTAACGGTGCACCTGATTTAGAGAAATTCAATGAGTGGTGTAGACTAGTACATTTTTAAGACGACGAGGCTAGGTCAGCGGAATTTTTACGCATCTTAATTATCTGCAGAAAACTGTAGAAATGCCATTATGCATGTAGTTAGGCATAGAATATACCAAGCTTTCCACATCAAATATACGGCTAGGGAACTCATTGAAAATATTTGTAATCGGGTCTAAACTAGGCGAGAATTTTTTGTTTTGTTTCACAGAAACGGTGAGCTCGGCGACGAGTATACAACAGCGTCAAGCCTCACAAATAATATTTCGTCATTATTAGCACCAACTCCGCTAGCGCTAGCAAAGTGCAGAGGCCGCCAAACCAACCACTCTCTGCAGGAGTCTCTGCAAAAAGCTCGAACTTGATGACAAAAATTGGCATGTTCACTGAAACTGCACAAGTGGAGACCGAATCGAGACTCGTATATAGCTTAATGCCGGTTTCCAGCTCTGCTTCCGCTTAGTAATACGGTTCATCAACCTGTTCGAAAACCGGCAGGCCCATCGACTGGCCGACTGGGATATCCCCGCAGAAGGGCGTCAAAAAAGGTGCCCACAGTTGTTTTAATACGGCTTTTGACTGTGCCAATCGGACTATTCCATTGGTCGAAAATTATACAATATCATAATGTGAATTTTACGAGACTTCGCACGGTGGACAGTTTTTTTAATGCTCTTCTGCTTCGGTAAATGGGCATGCGCTGGTCGCAAGTGGGCTGCGCGCATCGTGCATATGTACTTTTTTTTTCCTCTACGACGAAGCCATCGGAGCCCAATTTATCTCCATGCTCAGTAATTCTTAAGATTAGTCCCGATTTGCTTGCTTTGATATCCCACCGCTACTTTTATTTTCGGCCATAAAGTCTAAATCCGATTGGTAGATGAAATTCCGCTGGTGTGTGCTCCGCCGCAATCTTGGAAGACTTGTCGAGTAAGTGGACGTGAGACGATCTCCCCAGCTCCAATTGCTTTAGACCATTTTACAGAGTCCGCCTTCAGATGCATCGCGTTCTCTATCCCCGGTCCTTTGTTCGAACACGCAATATACCAGATATAGCTACCCGCATAATGTCGCTTGTTGTAGCCGACCAGTTGAGGTGGGAGAGAAATTTGCTCACCATTGGTGGATCGGAGGGTAGGTCGAGGCACCAGATTGGTGGAGAAACAATGAAGTTGGTCTCGATAGGCTACAGAGAGGTATGGTATGCTGACAGAACTCCGGCAAACTAGAAGGGAGTATGTAATACAAGACTCACCGACAACCCGCCCGCGAATAAAACAAGGGTATCAACAAATATAAGAGGTAAAATTAAGATATGACCGTATTAACCAATTCTAGAGAAATTTACGTCCATTTTATATGAGGAACAGTATGGAAGAACACCGACGCCCAGGTATACACGATACACTAAGCTTCGTCTTTCCAGTTCACCATATGACGTCAGGGGCTTTTTATATATACGTTACACACTAATGCTAAACAAAAATTCAAAATTCAATTGAAACCTCTTAATCTTAAAAATTATGAAAACGAAAACTTATCTATTCGAAACGAAGTCATATAATAATTCACAATTGAAAAAGTATACTTATGGGATGACTAATCAGCATCGGCATAATATTCTACCTCGATGTAGGTGTTAGTCTCTTTTTTTGGTATACCTTCAGCCGAGTAAGTAAATACACAATGGAGATATTTACGACCCTCGAATCATTACTCTGGCAGTATACATGAGAAAATAGGAACCCAAAGCATATACAAGGTGATAGTGCCATACAGCGAATACATTGACCATTATGTCTAGCAGTAAATTAATAAGATTATCCCATCGTACTCGGCACACTAATATTAAGGCTCCGAGATGGACCCCGCGCGCGAGATCCTTCGCAACTCAAACACCACCCTCAATGGCTATCCTCGATGACTACCTGGATACAGCGAAACCGCACTTCGCGCACATCCCCTCCTCGCAGCTTTCCATCACCGCATTCCATGACAGCCTCCCCGCCTACAACGACCCACTCACCAGCGCCTCAGCACAGCAAGCCCTCGTAGAGCGACTACAACCCTTCACCATTCTATCCAGCATGCGCGAGCGCACTCCCTTCTCCGGCAACATCTTACGACAATTACCCAACCTGAAACTCCTATTAACCACCGGAACTCAATTCGAAACATTCGACCTGGCAACCGCCTCCGACCTCGGGATCGCCGTTGCCGCGGCCCCGGGGAGGGGTCGTACGGACGGGAAGCAACCCTCCGGAGATTGGCCAGTGCGACCGAAGCTCGATATCAAAAAGGGAGGGAGCCACCCAACCACGCAGCACGCATGGGCTTTAATTCTCGCGCTAGCCCGAAACGTAGCTGCCGACGACGCCGCGATGAAAGGAGCGACCCGGGCTTGGCAGTCGAAATTAGCTCTGGGCCTAACGGGCGCTACGCTCGGTGTTGTCGGACTCGGGAGGCTCGGCGCGGCAGTTGCGCGGGTCGGGAGTTTGGCTTGGGGTATGCGCGTGCTTTGTTGGAGTGAGAATTTAACCCAGGAGAAGGCCGATCGCAAGGCCCAGGAGATGGGGTTACCAACGCGTGGGGGCAATCCGTTGGATCCTAATGCGCCGACTTTTGAGGCTGTGAGTAAGGAGGAGTTGTTTAGGAATGCGGACGTGGTGAGCTTGCATTATGTGTTGAGTGAGCGATCGCGGGGAATTGTGGGTGCGCCAGAGTTGGAAAAGATGAAGAATTCTGCGCTTTTAGTAAATACATCGAGGGGTCCGTTGGTTGACGATGCGGCGCTATATGATGCACTCGATAACGGACGAATTGGAGGTGCGGCGCTGGATGTGTTCGACATTGAACCCTTACCGACGGATAATCCTTGGCGATCGACGAAGTGGGGGACTCAGGGGAGAAGTAACTTGATTATCACGCCGCATATGGGATATGTCGAGGACGGCATCATGCATACCTGGTATGAAGAAACAGCGGAAAACCTGGAAAGGTGGCTCCATGGGGAGGAGCTTCTTAACCGATTGAATTGATGAGGAGTTTTGGTATTTCCTTTCGAACTTACACGCTACCTACCTAGGTATATAACAGCCATCATCGTATACCTACCAGCAATTCTTAAAAAGAAGGCCAATTACCTCCAATGATTCGTCAACTAATTGCCTATTTCGCCCTCTACGTTACGCGGCAGCTCTTGGCAGGCAATCATAAAGACTACTCGTGCAACTTAGGAAACTGTCTTCGGACTAATGCTACCAGGATTTAAATACCTAATCTACCTAAGTACAGCTACTTTCTTAAATAACCGAAACTATGGTTCGCAAACTGATTCCCACCTTACTAGAAGAATGATGTTGCAGCACAGCGCTTAGCGCTTAGGAAGGGTAGCATTGCAGCTTTCCTGAGGGAGGATGCGTAGAGACGCGATTACCAACATGATAGTTACACCGCCTGATAGTAAAGCGAGGAAACCGGCCTTGTAGCGGTATAGGTACGATTAGACGGGTTGCTTAGGGGGCGAGCACATGATGGCCTAGGAAAAGGGTAATTCACGAGGATCTGCTGTTTGAGGTTAGATTCACGATGCAGAAGGGATACAGACATAGTACAAAGCATGTCATAAATTGAGAAGAGACTTAGTTGTCGATAATAAAAAATTGCACTAAATCACTTAAAAATAATGTTAATAGAACATAGTGACGTCGTGACTTCCATTTTTTAAATCAATGACTGGGGCATGATTCACCTATCATCTGGCAGGAACGCTCAGGGGCAGGAGCCCAGGGTTTCTCGACACAAGGCAATCCATACGTGAATTGAGCTGACAATTGGCTGTGATGCTTCTCGATTAGATCAACGCGAGTAGACGCTCCTTCCGTGGTATTAATATTACTCGCCTGTGCCATTGGGAATCCAGTCAGGGGTGTAGCGGCTGTTATACCATCTATCAATGGTCATATACAAATGGTACCCATGTTCTTGATTAGATAAACGTGCTTTCCATGATATATCCCTTTAAACCATTGAAGGTCCATCCCCGCGTGTAACAATTGCCGTCCCGCGTCTCGTAACGACTACCGTCCCATGTACCAATGATTGTAGAGAAACCGACGTGCTCTTACAAGGAAACGGCGAAGGACTCGACTACCAAGTCACTTCCTGCCATTGACCACACATTGGACGCCGCAAACTCGATGCTTCCTATCCCCCACCAATTCACCGAACGAGTGACGGGTACCGTATCCGCATTCTCAAATCTTCCCCGATGGAAAATCCACCTCTATTAAAGCATCTTCCATTCATCGCCGATTTTTTGAATTAACACCCTTTCGACGATCAGTCAATCGCCGGTGTCGAATTCAATTGAAGCCAACACTCTTAATCGCCGTCACCAATATTCGCGTAACGTACCCAACGCCATCATGAACAACAACCGCAACCCTCAACCCAGCACGGCTCCGCGCCCCAACCCTCTTTTTCCCAATCTCCCACCCATCGAACCCGCCTTAGCCCCCGCTACAGCCGTCTACATTGCGCGAGCACTCGTTAGGCTCGAGGAAAAGCGCAAAGTTTTCGAGCAAGCATCCCATCACACCGCCCTCCAGCTGCTAGACGAGCTCCTCCGAATGATCAACCAGCCCGCTGCCTCCCCCGCCGATTTAGAACGAGAACTTACCAATTTCCTCCTCCGCCACCAGCTCTTCCGCAGCATCTCCGGAATGGAAAGAATCGGCTACCTACGCGAGCTTCTCGACTGGGGCGGTCCCGTCAACACCGGTTTCTGGGCTTGGATGATGCCGGGCTTGACTTTCTGGGTCCACACTACCCGTCTCGGTCGATATTACAACAAAGCTCGAGATGGAAATTGGTTTGCTTGGTGGCAGGCACGTGGACGAGCCATCCATAAACACCTCCTAGGTGGTACTGCGGAGGATGATTTTACAGCACATATGTCCGAGTACGAAGCTGTTCGTCGCCAACCTGTACCGGAAGAAGTTGAATCAATCAGCGGCAACGGCACACAAACGCTCCCCCCAATTTCAGAAATTCTACGATTGAACCTCAATGACCCCACTGAAAATGCCTAAGGTCAATGGTGAAGACGACGATCGTTATGGACACGGCGCCGGTAGTGGTCTTCGGCGTATGATTTGGGGGTTAAGGAGTTAGGGGTGTAATTTAAGAAAACAAATTTCATACAACCTACGTTAATAACAAGGAATTTCTTCCGTTGTCATAAGTTAACGACAGTCTTCTATTAACTTACCTTCGTGATTTTGCTTTGTTTTGAGGTGGAATTTCGCGATGACAAATATAAAGCTGAGTAAGGAAAAATATTATATAAGCTGCGAGTTTCGTATTATGTAATAATAACTCAGGGCATCTAAGGAATTATATAAGCAATTTGTGAGTGCTTACACATATCTTAGATAATCAGTCAATAAACGTACCTGTATTAGATATTAAGGGCGACGAACTTGTTGAGTAGTTCTTGTTAGTAATAGACGCAGCTTCGATTCGCTATTACTCCTGCAATATGATACATGTCTATTAATTCTTGAGTAGCAGTATTTATCAACTCTATCGGAAAGTTCTTTTGGGTATCTGCCACAAGCCAGCAAATGCGAACGAGGATATTCCCAATACTCGCCAACGCATGAATGCCAACTGATGTTTCCAGTAAAGTGCGATCTATGAGTATCGTTCCATCCCGGATCGACTCATGTGAACCTGGACCCCCCTGGTCCACCAATAATACAGTGTATGAGCCATTACCCCTTTTAGACCTATCCATCCTTCCGATTCCATATCACGTACAATCGGGGTCCCATTTTCTAGTTTACAACCCCTGGAGGTAGAATCATCCTCAAGGGAATCGTACAATAGGAGCCTCTTTAACACTCTCATCAAGAGTAAGCCCCCAAACCGGGATGATCTCTACCGTTTCCATCATCTTCATTGGCCCTTTGTCTCTTTGCCCATATCCCAACGAACAAGCTTGCTGGTCTTTTTCGCCCGTTCTCTATCCCTTCTTCGCTGGTAGCAGGGGTCGCCGACTCCGACTCCGGAGTTTGGTTCGGTGGGGGTGGCGTAGGCACCAAAAACGTATTTTCCTCCAGTGTACTAACCGAACTGGCACTGAAACCCGAATATCCTCCTTCGCCCTGTTCTTCCTCAGTACTCGTTTCAATTCCCAAAATCGCATCTATTTCAACCCTCTCCTCACTTGTTTCGGTAAACACCGTTTCGCTTCTTCGGGAGGATCTTTGCGCCTGCATTTCAGCCTCTAGATCGATATCTACCCTGGCTTCGGTGGGTACCTCAGCCTCATCCCCCATCCGAACCTCAAGCCCCAACTCTTCATCTTTCTCCGTCTCTGCAGCCGTACTGGCTACTCCCACTTGTGGGAGACACCCCTCATCAAACAATGTGCCGAACCACGCCTCGCGCACTTTCAATCCCAATGCCAGGGATACCTGTCTAGCGACACTATTACCAATGATTCGCCACTGGTAATTTGAAGGGGCGACCAGCACTTCATGATCGCGAAACCCTTGCGCGCGACGAATCTCCATGACGGTTAAAGACCGAAGTTGGGTCGGATGGTTGGTATACCCGATACGTGCATCCGTTGGCGTACACTGCGTCGCGATCGTTTGGAAAAGGCCACTATAATCCACACGACCCCAGCCCTTGGAAGGGAGCATAATCCTCTGGCTGGGGGGACCAGGAAATACTTCGCGGTCCGATGCGCTCATGACCGATGGCATACCTGGACGGCCGAACCAGGCTTTGCTAAAGTTCATACCCCGTGGCTGGGTGGGAATAGCAAAAAGCTGCTTACGCAAGGGTGTTGTGTAACCGATCGATAGCCGGTGGTCTGGGTATCCGACGCAATAGTCTGGCTTGGCGTCCTGGATGTTAGGTAAATCCGCGATAGCGTCTCCAATGCTTACAAACTTGAAAGGTGTCGACACAAGTTTTCGGCTATCGAAAGGGCGGCCACATGATATCTCTCCAAGGGTACTTAACCTCGTGCCGGGCGGGTGTGAGTGCGACGGTGCGGGGACTTTAGGCATTCGGAAGCCCGGGGCGGTGAAACAGAGAAATATGCGCGTTCGGGCTTGGGGCGCACCGAAGGACCACGCATCTAAGAACATGGCCTGGGTTTGATAGCCCAGGCCAACGAGTGCACAGACAAGCTGGGAGAAGACGCATGCATCACGAAAACGCTTGGAATTCACCATTGTCGGTACATTCTCAAGGATGCCGTAGTAGGGACGGTATAAGTCTACAAATGATGCGAAGGACGCGACGAGGGATTGGTTCTTTCTTTGGGTATCCGTGGTTTTATTATTCGTGAGTAGGGAAAACCCTGGACACGGTGATCCAGCAGATATAAAGTGGACATCACCAGGTTGAGGTACCTTGGAGCCGTTACCCTTTAGCGCCCGAAGCAGAAGATCATCAACCGAGCCTAGAAAGGGTGTGCAGACACCGGGCTCGCTATTCGCCATGTAGGTATGAATAGCTTCACTCCAGACATCGTTAGCCCAGCGCATTGTAACTGCGCCGCCTTCCTCTAGACCGCGGCCGAAATTCCCACCTCCGCAAAATAAGTCAAGGCCCTGTAGCTTCTCCGGCAGCTGTATCTGAGTGGGGTCGAATCCTTGCCTGAACTGTTGTGCGAGATTCATATCGAAGGGAACGTAAGCTAGTTGCCCTTCCCTATTTTTGATTTCTTGATGTGTTATGAAGAAAAGATCTCCGGTTCCGCCGCAATCGTACGGGGTGGGTATTCTCTCCCCGGGTTGAAATGACCTCACTAGACAGTGCCTGAAAATCTTACGTGTAGAGATTTCAAAGAATTGATCGGTGTATACGAGCTCGTTTAGTGGCGCGTTGGGTGCATCCTTATCTACAGCCTGTCTTCGCAATAGCTTTCGTAGCTTGACACAACGGGTGTTACCTTCGTTGAAGAATGCTTCTACAATGAAGGTCTCTAGTTGAAGTATCTTCGGGTCAGTCTCAACAAGAACGGCATCGCCAGTTTTGTATAGTTGTTTCTTGTCAAATCCATCCTCTTCGCAAGTTAAATGCTCTTCCTTTAAAGTAGTCCATCGACAGTCATCAGAAAGATATGTTTGACGAACGAAAAACTCGGCCGAAGTAGAAGGACCTCCAAACCATTCAACGCTATGGGTTGATAGTATTTCATCCGCTTGTATCTTTGCTGTGTTATGATGGCATGTACAGTTGTTGGATAAGAAGAGCTTGTTATTCCAGGGGTACTTCATAACACCACAGGGGGTGTCAATTGATTGGTATAACCAGATTACGTCGAAAGAACGTTTCCCTTTCACTGATTCATGGATTTTCCATATGAGACCAAACCATAGATGTTCCCCTTCATGATGTTTAGATTTCGTTTGCTTCCATTGGGTATCTGTCCCTTCGTCGTCTGGTTTCGTCGATATAACATCACCTACCGCAATCGAGGAGATGAACATTTCGCGATCAGTTTCATCTCGCTTGATCGTGAGCTGGCTCTTGTGCTCAGCTAGTCGGCTACTCTGCACGAAAGCTTTTTGTTTCTTTTCAATGTTGCCGGACAGCGTTTCCCGCTTAAGAACATTTCCGAAGACCATATAAGAAAATAAATCGTACACAAACGGAGTTACGGGTGTTGGCGATACGCGGACTGTTGCTTGACGTTGTAGTGGATTGTAAGCTGCTGGGCCGTTACCTTTGCTAAGTGGTAGTTGATTCAAAGCCAGATTCGGTTTGTAACGCTTTCTATCTTTGACTTCGTCCCACAACTCATGCCATGTAGCGATCTTCGGATCCAAACCATAAGCCTCTTTCCAGATAAATTCGATGTTGGCGATAATCGCCCCACGAAAATTGGTACCTCGATTTGCGGAATGCCATTGCTGGAAGGCGGTCGATTCGGAATGTTTTTGCACCAACCAAATGCTAAACTGCGACTTGAAGTCATCTAGCACGGCTCGACGGCCTATCTCCTTCAAATGTTCGCAATAGTCAAGAACGTGTTTCGTAAGATTCGCGATCCAAAGAAATGGCTCGTAAAATCTTTCGTATTCGGTCGAACGATTTCCTAGTTTATAATATATCTCCTTATCTCTTTTCTCGTTCAATGCCGACCGTATCCAGATCTGGTCGCCAACGGTATGTTCCTCGCTGCCATAATTTCCTACGGGTAGATGTCGAAAAGGTACTTTTCTTAGATAGAACCGGATTTCGCCACAACTTAGCACCCCATCGAAATAGAATTGATCGGTATACTGTCGTACCGCAAGCTGGTGTAAAGATTTAAGTTCGTAACGATGTATTTCAGAATAGAAATATACAGAGAAGTCATGTAAATCAAATTCAATAAATCCTTCCTGCGCAGACCCTTGCGCTTTAGCGGCTTCGAGAAGCGATACTATAGCTTCTGATTCTGTGACCTCAGTAACTGGGGGTACGAAGCCTTGAAAATGTGATCTCGGATGTATAAGGGTCGATTTTGGGATCTCCACGATTATAGGTCTTTCCTTCGGCGCGTCGGTAGCCGGTATATCTGGTGCAACATCTTGATCGGCATATGGATTCGCTTCTGGTTCCTCTAAATATGTCCCTGACTGCGTATAAACGCGTACCGGGTCTATTGGTATATTCTCGCTTTCTCCTATACACAAGTCGTTTCCATGGTTGTGTGTATTACGTTCTTCGGCATCTTCCTCGATGCTCTGAATAACGTCCTCGTACAAATGCGAAGACGGCGAGCCAAATAATGACTGGTCATGACTCGAATCGGGCGTTAGAGGCGCTTCAGTAGATACATGGTCGGAACCTGGGAGGCGTTGCCAGGTGAAAAAGTTGCCATCATCCATATCCATCTTTGCTATATTGTTTCAACACAACATAGAACTATAAGATATTAGCAAATAAAATAGTTTCTTTTTTAGGGGCGTGCGACATATTGTCGTAAAATTTACCAAACCTTCCCGTAAAACCGACCTGTTTCCTAGAAGAATCCATCTATGCTAACTATGTTGGTTGCGGATTGTAGGTATGTTGCCGTACTACCTTAGGTGACACAACATGACATAATATGAAGATTTAGATTTTGGGGAATCCAATTGGTCAGTTCTAATTCGTGTTCGTCGGCGAATACAACTCATTAGGTTAAAATCCTCGGGTTTGCGTATGAATACTTAGGTATGTTGACCGCGGGAACCAGAAAGCCTATGGAACATAACCCATGCCGTTATGACCGCTGGTTTCGCGTTTGGCGTTCAATTCGTACAGAAGGTATGCGAATTGGGAATGTGGATACTCAAGTATTATTTTAAAGCGAGACCCAACGGTGTGGTAAATGGGGCATTGGAGTCTTCGGAATGTGGGACGAACTATCTCAGCGATCCCCGCCGCTTGCGAAGTAACCCAATTTTTTTTTGTGTTGCGTGTGGGTGGGCGCGTAAAAGAGAAAAAGAACCAGGAACCAGGAACACGGGATCTAGGCACAGTAGGTGGATCTGATCTAATCTGATCAATTGACCAATTGAAGGATCGAATTTACGTGCAAGTGGACTTGTAGGCAGGTACCTAGGCAGGTGCCCAGGTGGTTGTTGCGATCCTTGCTTCGGGGCTGTTTGCGGTTCAGCCACCTGCACCTTCCACGCCTAGGATTAGGTAATTGCTCATCTTCGGGTTACACAAGCAAGTAAGTACCCAGGTACCTTGGCATGTAGCGTGTACATTTATTCATGCTGATGCCATTATTGCTTGTTCTCTTTCTGCAGTATGTTGTTGAGACCACACCTTGGCTAGTATTTTCTGTTGCAGTCGCTGAGAACCCCCTCGCGTATCGGACTGTACGTAGCTATCGACCTCTTCGGGTGTCGGCCACCTCCAAAAGCTCGCCTCTTCTGTTTTGGTTTCTGTCCTCAATATTATGTCATTTTGTTCCCCATGCTCGAGACTTGGGCCCGCAAATGCTTGGAAGGCACATAGGGTTCTCACTATCAACGTGCGGCCACGCTCTCCAATTTGCTCAACCTCTTCATTGAGATAAGCCCTGTGTGTCAACATCCACTCAAGAAGCTCTTTCATCCCCTGTACGTCCTCGAGGAAACCTAGGGTACGCATGTAGTTGTGCAAGTGGACGGGATCAAAGCTGTGCATGAACTGAGGGACTTCAAGTTTATCTGACTTCGTCCAAGCTGTCCCGGTGGGCTCTGTGATATGGGAGAACATAGACTTGAGTATGTCCAAGACTGTATTAACCGAAGGTACCAATGGAGAAGTGTCTCTTATTCCACTTCCCCCAGAGGTTAGCTCGGCGGAGACAAGTCGCGAGATGGCTGCCTTTTCGATTATGCGACAATAATATAGCAACATGTTCTGGTCGACTCCAACCGTCTTTTGTACATGCTGGATGATATCTGTAGCTTTGGATAGAACCTCGACATTGTTGTTGACCCACGAACCGTTTAAGACACACAGGTGTTGTCGTGCCAATGTCCACAAGATGAAAGACCACGGTGGCCGGAAAGTCGAACCTTCTGTAGTCCCAGGCCTCAGTCGAAGTTTGACAAGTTTTATAGCATGTTGAATGCGAAGAAGCTCTACTGATGGTATCTTATCTCGGCCCCGACGACTGGGGTGCAATTTGCAAAGAAGTTGAATATAACTCTCGAAGACTCTGAGAGGAATCTCTCTAAGAGCCTGGTAAGATGGCTGCTTAAAGAGGCCTATAGAGCTGACAGTAGTAGGGCTGATGCCACTATCACGGAGGTAGCGAGATGCTTCCTCCAGAGAGTTTGCATTAGTTAATAGTGTTCGCAGGCAGTAGCCCTCTGGTTTTATTCCGCTATTAATCATCTGATCATATAGCTCGCTAACCGTTAGGGGGGATAACCGAGCTAATTCGTATTCGCTATAATTTCCATCGTGGACGGGGAAGTTCTCCCTGGAGTCACCAGGTAATGCCGTCGACTCTGGAGAAATGAGACGAGATTGTAATTTAACAAACATTTCAGTATAAATCTGGATATTTGGGGATTTGCCGGTCTTTGATAGAAACTGATTGAATACTTTCCACGCCTCTTGATGATTGCGAGTTGCCCGTATCCTCGCCGCCCAAAGAGAATAGAGGTTCTGATCTGCCTTGTCGTCCTTCCATTCTTTCGGTGGTAAACCACGGGTCTGTATAGTAGGAGAATTGCCGCCTATGCCGCCAAGGGCATCTAAGGCGTGGTCATAATGGTCATATGGATATCCGGCCTCCTTCATATGCACGCCAGCCTTTACACTCCGCGAGTGGTCATCTTCCGGGGTCCTTTTTGCATCGAGACCATCGAAATCTTGTCGGTATGGAGGCCAAGACTTTGAATACCTCACGGCGACGGCTCTTTCCGATTGTGATTTCTTCAGCCCAACCATGACTTCTCGAACTGCTCGGTAACTAGCCTTGTTTATAATTAGGGCCCTATCTAAATTATCCGACATAGCTAGCAACAATCTCTGTGCCCGCCAGTTGAACTCCATATTACCGAAAGGCTGAGTAGCTGCCGGTTGTTTGAATAACTGCAAAGCAGCATTAAAGACTTCGCATTTTTCATGGTAGCCTTTAGGATTGTTTTCCGAGGGTATTTGTTGGATGTAATGTACCGTAAAACGCGCTACCGCGACGATTGCCCTAGGACACAATCGCATGATATGTCGTACCAAACGCGGTAGAAATAGTAAGAATTGATTTATTGTCATGGCCATTTTGCGACCAGGAAAGACGGTATCCTTGTCATCTGAAGGCTGTGCCGTCGAATTAAAATAATGCTTTGACGTGTATTCCATCAAAAACAAAAGAGACTCCGGCTTACGAAACCTCTCGTCGCTACGCGCTAGAACCATGACAAGAAACATGGGTTTGGGAGTGTCGGTTGATATCAGCCGTTGAACTCGGATGTCTCCGTCTTCCCCTGATATAACCCATATCCAATGATCCAGATCTTGCCTTGACCAACCTCGAAGTGCCAAGTCATGAAAGCGATCAGCCCATTCGGACGGACTAACAGACGTAAGAGACTGGAATAGGCGAGGCTCGTTTCGAATATCTTGTCTTGCCAACCAGGCCTGGAATAATAGTAGAGGGAGTCTATCAGCACGCTGCTTAATAGCAAATTCAAAAGGACGGCGATATGCTCTCTTCAGTGTGTCTGTCTTACTGCGTAGCCTTAGAGCTAACACGCGACTTGGTGATAATCTAAGCTTAGGTCGTCGGAGGTTCCTAGAATTGGTTAATCGTGAGAGGGTTTCGCTCCATGCCGGTCGTGACGGCCACAGGGAGGTAGGTTTGGCCCCGGATCTAACGATCCTTACCACAGGAGGGCCAGACATTGCACGATTGTAAAATAAGGTCGTTTGATACAAAAATAATATTTGAATTCTGGGCTTATTTTCCAACACCGGATCATAGAAGCTGTGGTGAACCAATCCATGTAGTGCGAGGCTGTGATCCCCAGGTATCTTAGGCAGCTAGCCAAACCAATATATACCTAGGTAGTCAAATATGTCTGACATACTGTCATATGTGACCATGCTATAAAACAGGCAGCGCCATAATTCGATTATTATATTTTTAAAAGGGAACTTCAGCAAGTCGGAAGAACAAGTTGAAATGTCGATGAATATCTGTAAGAAGTTTGAAAGCGTGAAAATTGTCCAGCGGGTTGAGATTGGAGACAAATGGATAAACTAATTATATAATCTCTTATCTTATCTTCTGTATTATCGATAACAATATACGTGGGAAAAAAACGCCGGTACTTAGGTACTTCCGAATTTAAACAGCAACGCCGACATCTGATTGGAATATTTGACAATTCATAAAAAATCATCATTATTTGCCATGAACTTACACCACGCACCCTCTATACCCTATAACGACCAAATACAACGAATCAATGACTGGATAATTAACTTACCACATTCCATGGCTGAACTCACTTCACCATGCGATCCTCACTGCAAAAAATAGCAGCTCCCACACTACGAGGACTGCATACCCTCACATCCGCCCCAAGACCTCAACGATGTTTTCACCAAACCACCTTCGCCTCTCTCCCACGAAAGCGCACCTTCTTTACCTCTAACCAATTGCTATCATACGCCGACAAGAAGAACGACGGGTCACAATCCACAGAAAATGGTACCGACCAAGCAGAAGGACAGCCGAAAAAGAATGCATCGGCTACCTCCAAGCGCAAGCCCATCCGAGCTTCAGCAGCTAAGACCTTACGCTTAGGGCTTACGACTAAACCTCCCCCGAGAGCTGGTACAACAAGAAGAGATGGTGCTGGTGTAGAGACGGATTATCGCCGAACGATCACTTCAATATGTGTGGCTCAATCCTTCGATATGGAAGCTGTGCAAGAAATACTGCGTTTCCACGCTTTTGAGCTTGACCCTGATGGGACCGAATTTGATGCTACAGGTGTCGTACATGCTCGGGGTATAAATAATGGCGATATCTTCGTGTTCCCCTCTGGGACCGTGGTAGCTTGGTCCGTGCCCACAGACGCACTCATGACCTTAGCTACCAAGCAATTGATCCGAGCCGCTGAGCTCCCTCACGTCACTCGCGTTGAGATGGAAGAGCTCGAGTTCGAACCGGATGAGTCCCGCGATACCAGCTATATGAAGGGGGAGGTGGTAATATTAGGGACGCGCGCCCAAGAATTAGAGAACGATAGGTTGGATACCACTCTTGCCAAAATCGCCTTCTCAAGTGGCTTAGCCAGAAGTCCCAAGCTAGCAGTATTGGAAAATCAGGCTATCGATTATTTTGAGAGCTCCAAGAATAGTTTGGATTTCTTAGAAGGAGGTCAGGAGCATAAGCTGAAGCGCAGCGCTGTCCTCAAGATGACAGGCCAGCTCTTGAGTCTGAGATCACAATTAAATCACTACTCCGATATAACGGATCAGCTCCCCGATATGTTCTGGGATTCAGAGTCCAATCTCGAGAACTATTACAATCAGATCAGCACAGTGTTAGATATAAGACAACGGGTTGGAATACTCAACAGGAAGATCGACTACGGGTTTGAGAATGTCAGCGTGTTGAGAGAGATGGTCAGTGAGAAGTATGGTCACCGATTAGAGTGGATCATCATATTCCTCATCACAATCGAAGTGATGTTTGAATTGAGAAGGGTGTATCACGAAAGCATAAGTGAAGCAAAGGAGGCCTAAGGTCGAAGATCTTGCAATTCTCTTCTCAACGCTTAAGTTATATAAGTATATAAGAAATCCACTCAATATTCTACCCTTGAGTCCTTACACACTCGCTTTATATTGCCCTGTCCCATATTTATTGAAGTTTTCAGGTGCTCCGCTTATGTCACTCCTAGCCGATCATCGTACGACTCGTCGTCGCCACCATGTTGCCGCCTCCATACCCACGCTGCCTCGCCGTCTTTAGGAAACAGAACCTCGCCGCCGATGCTAGTGAACTCCTTCACATCTCCGCATTTTATTCCATTCATTGAACATTACGCGCTTAACCATTATGACTTGTATTTATTAAAATAATAACGCGCAACCTGCGGCCGGTCTGTGTGATGTTCTCCGCTTTGAGTCCTTGTTGCCTATTAGTACAGCCATAATTCACTCTTGAAGTGGAAGAGCTCCGTTATTTTCTCCTGAGGACTTTTTTTACTTCATCATAGGCCCCCCAAGCACTCAATTCTTTGTTTCTCTTCCCAATTTTTTCACTTATTTTGGCGACAACTTCAAGTGCTGTCCGTAGCATTTGATAACCATTTCCTGCCAATTCATCATCAATAGCCATTCTGTCCATCTTCAATTAGTTCGAGTTGCGTTTTCTGCTTCAGCCCAACAAAGGAGTTGAGTCGCCGGCAAGATGGATTCCCAAGCAGAGCTGCCGAACCCCAACATGGAAGCGTAAGTTGATCAACGCATACCCGATATAATCATTCAGATTTCTAACCTCCTTGAAGTGGTGGTAGTACGGTGCCTAGCCCAGTGTAAGCTCTCATGTATTGATAATGTATCTATCTCATCATTAACTCTGCTTACAGAGCCATACCGCCTCGGCTGTTTTTTGTAACAGTTATCGACTTTTCTGTACCGCCGGGCCGAGTCAACCATTACATCGTGCGAGACCTCCCTATCAGGCGAGATCTCGTCCTAGACCCGCACACCGATGAGCAAACCTTTCGACGGGCTGGGGAGTTCTACTATACGAGACAGTACACCGTACCCACCGTCAATCCTGCTGCGGGGCCCACGGCGACGGCTAACAACAATGACGAAGACGACGCTGCTCGACGTGTATCGTTTGCGATGGACTTTGGCGGCTTCCACAGAATCATTGACTGTATCCGGAAGGTATCCCAGTCCGAGGAGGTCGGCGCCCAACAACGTGAGCGTGCCTCGAGTCTCCTTAACCGACTTGAGGGCAACTTGTCTCCGGACCCCCAGCCTATCGCCGTTAACCAGGAGGTCTTGTTCGCTCATGCGAAAGTGTACGTCTTTTCAATATGGGGCTGTGTGGAGCCTTTGAAGGAGTACTCGTCCAAAATGCTACTGAGAGCCCTTCTCCAAGGTGACTTGACCTTCGAGTTTGCTGACGCTTTTGCGGCCGTCGTCATGTTCCTGTTTCAGAATACCCCTCGGAGCGATGGCATTCGGCGTCCCTTGGCTGAAATAACCCATAAGATGACTCTTGTGGGCGCCCCGAGTTCTCATACTCAGTTCACTCGGCTCTTCAATGAGATCATGTTGAACCATTCAATTTGATGGCTCAATTCTAGGATGAGAAGCTACGTCTAGGGATAGTGTACCTACGCTGCTAAATAGGTAGTAATTGACCTATGATACCCCGTCTGCCGTTCGTTTTGACTTACCTAGGCAACACCCGGTTGTGTGGATTCCGCAGCGAATAATATCGGCGGCCATCGCTGGTTTTTTAAACTTTTCAGCGTTGCGTTGTCCCGTTTTTTTATTGTTTGCCCTCGCCCATACGAATCACTTCGCGTACAGTGTATTTCCTCCTTCCCAAGCTTATTAATATTGTTGCCGCGGGCGATTTCCCGTCTTCTACGATGGCATCGTAAGAAATTTCAATTTCGATTTTCTAGCTGTTTTTCTTGTCGTTTCTTTCTATCCACTCCCTTCTCCTTCAAATACAATTTACTACTGCACCACTCGTGTTTGCAGCCCCTACAACCCACCAAGATCGTGGGATCTGTATTTACGTTCTTTACACCCATACCTCGAATACGCATAGCTCTACGCTACCACGTCGATAACCAGACTCCAAAACAAGCATTTAAATACATAATCAAGTAGCATTCATCAATTCGTCAAAATGAGTGACCACGAAGATCACTTCGACTCCGAGGATGAAGCGTAAGTTACTTGACAATGAGCAATCATTTTATTCATCATTCTAACATCATTCATAGGGAGATTGTCAACCCAAGCCGAGGGTAGGTCTCAAAGACCACTAAAAATACATATTTATCCATCGCAACTACTAATTTTACGTATAGAATCAAGGCGAATCCCAAGATCAAGATCCTCGTAGGCAATTTCGAACGCGCCTTCATTGTTTCGATTAAATCCCTATTTGTCCTATCGCCAATCTTCGCAAAGCACGTATTGCTCGGCCTACCGAAAAGAGACCGCGCAATCCTCTGTCCAGAAATGCACGACGAAGTTTTCGAGTGCTTTTGTGAATTCGAACGCCTAGGCTACTATATCACCTTTCCCGGCCCCCTTGTGAAGAACCCAAAAGACAGACCCTTCGACGCGAAAGGAGACGCTATCGCCGCTGTGAAGCAAAGGATATTCGCCAAACGCGTCCAGCATGTGTACAGTATCAAGGGATGGACCTTATTAGTAGCGAGACCAGAAGTTTTTCGCGACGAGACACTTCAAAAGTTCGCCAAAGGAATCCTAGACCGTTATCACAACGAATTATCCCAATCTCCGTATCCAACCGCCCTCGACGAACACGTCTTGTTTCTCCACGGCGACGTTTACGCCATAGCCGCGAAATACAAGATCGAAAAGCTAAGAGTCTTGGCAAGGAAGATGCTTTTGCGCGTCATATACGAAGCCCACCTTACTTACGATTTTGTCGGTTCTTTCTCTCAAACCGTGGAATACCTCCTCTGGGCAACACCGGTGGGAGATGAGATTCGGGGTGAGCTGATACGCTTCTGTATGCTCACCGGGTTCATTTTCAGCCCACACCCACAATTCCTACATCTCTTGGACAATAACGAGGAGGTCCGTAAGGCAGTTCTGGGAGGACCGCTATACTACCATTTTTCCGCTTCTTGCAGTTAGGGAAGTGACATCTTGGTACGAGCTGTGGGCGGGTTAGGGTGGTCGTGGTCGCTTGAGACGAGTGGCTGTCACTATAAAACCCAGCCATACGAAGGGTCGGATATCATCATAGGAGAATAGCTATAGCTGCAATACGATAATCAATAAATTCTAAATAACCTCATTGCCTATTACCCCTAGCGAAAAAGTACACTTTAATTCCTTGGGGCCATTTCTCTTAACTTTCTACTGGTAGCGTTTGATATTATTTACCAGTAATTGCGCGACGCCAACAAAACCCCATTGCGCATAAGGATCCTTCGTTGTTATTCATTGATTGAGGAGGCCACGAGCTCCATCCTGAAGACCAAGATCTCGACAGAAATTGATATACATCGAGTGTTCCATGTAAAACAAATGGCGGAAAGAGATGAGGACTTGACAATACCTTTCCGGACTTATTGTTTCACCGCCCTTATCCCTCTTGCATTGCGTTCTTGTCAAAACCCCCAAACCTTCCATGGAAATTTTTGAACGTGTAGTTCACAACTGCGGTAATGGCAGCGATAGTCAGAATACAGCGAGTTAAATTAAAACAAACCCAATGGTAGCAAATGCTCCTTTCTCTATCTCCTAACCTAACCTAACAGCTAGTCCATAATCCCCATCCCCATCGCCATGCGTTTTGTATAACCCCAACCCCCCACGCTTTAACGACCGTACAACTAAAACTCCGGGAGAAACACCGTTCTCCGAGGCCATTTTGTGTGACCTATGATGCAATGGCTAAAATTCCGGACCCTATCAATGCAAGAACAAAACAGAAAGACGAAACTTTTATCTACAACCCATCATTTGCATCCGGGAGAATATTTCAATACTATCAATCCCTGCCTGGCGTACTCTTCCTCCAAATAGGGGCAATCCTCTATGACTCATCGCCTGAATCGTGAGATACGCTCACGCCAGAGCGCGTATACAAAGAAACTGGTCCGAATAAGTTGTTCCATGGGAATTGGTGACAATCGTACTGCTTAACGAACTCGCGCACGCGAGGGGTATCGGGGTCTGCCTTTTCGCGACTGTGTAAGATAATTAGTATAGTTCTTAGGAGAGATACAGAAAATAAGGTAGTAATAGTGGAAGGGAAACAGACGTACTGATAATATGTAGCCAATCTATCTTCAAGATCCAAAGGCCTCTTAGACCTTGTCTCCCTCTCCGTCTCCTCGGGGCTCAAGACCGTATTCCAGAACATGGCGGCTGGCTTCGCGATATCAGCGATGACCTCCTTGACACAGAAGGTCGGACCGGGGGCGAACACCAAGGTGTTTTCGTCGATCACCGTAAAGCCACTAGCGCCGTGTAAGCCGATGACAGAAAATCCCTTCTGAAACAAGACTTTCGTGCAGTGGTCGCAGTAGGTCGTATCCTGTGCAAAGAGTTGGATCATGGTCCCAAATCGCTTGTGCAGGCATTCGACTATTGTCAATACCGCCGAGTGCTTGTATATCGCCTGTCGCATCGCTGGATATTCTTCTGCCGGCTTGGCTGTGATGCTTCCCAAGTCAAAACAAACAATTTTGTTGATATGCGGCGGCAGGGGGACCTTCATGAACAACGAATATAAGAGTTCCCCGATTGGACTAACTAGCCAAATGGCCATGCATTTATGAAATATCTCCATCTCAAGTGCCAGCACTCTGGATAGCGAATAATCGAAGGGTAGCGCTCTGAGGGACATGGTACAGTATGGCATTCCATTGGGTCGAGAAGGAGGCGGAAAAGCGAGGGCCTGATATCCATAAAATTCTACTCTGTATGTTACCCTATTCATATAGATTAGCGTAGTTATAGTGAAAGCGACAGGGTACAAAACTACATACCCTTTTTGCTTCTCATATACTTCGCTATCTCCGACGAAGGCAGGTATCTTGACGGGGTTTTCTTCCGTGATTTGTCTTTCGATGGCCACTAGGTCTTCCTTAGTCCAAAGTTTTTCCCCCGCTTCATACTTTTCGATTACTTGACGTTGAAGCTGGAGTTCCTCGTCTGGCCACGCCCTGAATATGCTTTTATGACCGACAGCGTCGCTCGCAGGTGTTGCAGTTGAAGCTGGCTTTTCAACCTCGTCAATTCTACTTTCGTGTTCCTCGTTCTCGGGGTATTGCTCATTGGGGTTTAGGGCTGGGCTTTCAATGGAAACATCGTTAAGATAGTTGACTGAACTACTCCGATCCTCAGTATTCGCTTCATCTGGACGTTTGGCCTCAACATTAGCTATTGTACGAGAGAGCTTTGGGGTTTTATCCTTTCGGTTTTTGGTCTTGGGAGGCTTAGACTTGGAAGTCTTGGTCTTTTGGTTCTCGATCTCTACGGATTCGCCATTGGTTTTAGAATCGATGTCTCCGTCTATCACCGGCCTAGAAACTTGACCATTACGACTGGTATGACCGTCAACACCGCTATGATGATCTTGGTCGATACTATCATCACTAGTAGCATGAGTAATTTCTTCATGAGAAACCGAATTAGTTCCACTCCCCTCCGCGGTGCCTGTAACGCTGTCAAGTGCTCCATCGCTCAATTTTGAATCCCTCGATGAAGGGGGACGACTGGGGTGAGTAATGCTTTCAAAGTCAAGAGAGAGCCTCGATCTCGCTGATTTTAGCTTTTGACGAATAGTTCCCGCCCGGAGCCGTAAGGACATGACGGTGGGTGGTATTCCCGCAATTGAAGTCGAATGCTATTGAATTCGTTTGATGTTTCACTTGAATGTAAAATTTGAAGAATTGATAAAATAAGAAGTAACCAAGTACTGATGCTTCATGAGTTACCCAAAGAATACGTGAATAATGTAGACGCGAGCGATACTCGAGATAATTTGGCAATTGAAAACTATGCCATTCAGAAGACATGGAAAACTCCATGATGCGAAAAAACGAGAATGAGATTGGAACTACAACTTTCCCTCTGCATGATGGCTTCCTTCACGTTGGAGAACATCTTGCTGTATGAGAGGCAAGTTCGATACTCGATACGCTTCGCGTTTAACTTCCTTTCTTCTCTCTTCACAGTTCACTTGAATTTCCTAAGGTGTATGCATCTGAGTTGTGATTACCTTCTTTCTGGGCATTGACTCCTCGCGACGTGGATACAGGGAGAGCGCATCCCGTCCGGCCCCCAACCCCCGATAGCGCTAGAGATCGTCATTACTATATAATCAAGTATCATGGCTCCGTTGGTCCATCTTCCCCGGATTTGGTAAAGATCGAAGGTTGGCATCGCATTGCCGGCATTTGAAAAAAGCTTGTATAGGTATCATTGTAGGCGGGTCGATCAGGGTCCGACGGAGCTATTTCACGAGTCGCTCCGCAGCAGCTGCAGCTGAACTCTCAGCTGGTGGCGACGGGTGACAGTGGTAGCGACAGTAACAATGCCAATGCAAAAGTGGTCTTTGTCGAAACAAAACAGGAGGTAGATCACGATATCTTCCTCTCTTTTTTCCATGCAAAACAATATATTGAAATTTCAATTCAAACTTGCGATGTCGTGAACGGTGTGGAGTTTCCGCGGTAGACAACAAAAAAAACGCAGCAACGCAGTCACACAGTAACGCCGGCAGTTCGAGCTCCCCACGCGCTAGGGTCACGATCACCCAAAGAAACAAGGTATTGCCCGGTATATAGTGCAGGGCATTGTAGCTTCAGGATCCCATTGCCGGATTTGCCGCTACCGATGCAGGGACTTTAGCATTAATCATCGTGAGTTATTGATAGTACTGGACATTGGCACCACATTGGCACTTTGTAGACTTATTGGGGGGTGTAGTATGGCAGTATGGGTGCGGTATTGTATAGTATAGTGCAGTATAGTGGAGTGTAGAACTGCGTCTCGTGAGCCTCTTAACAATTAATTGTTTAATCAATTCCACGGGATTGAATGCCGACAACTCCCACACCTACCTTCGTCACTTCACCATCGGCCACCTTATGCACTTTAGGAATACCTGACTTGGGTATTTGTAATAATAGACTAGGTAGGTGTCGTTATAGGTATGGTATGACCATTAAATTTTACCCATATTTCCCAATTATTCAGATAATGTATAACGATAATGAGTTGATTTCTGTTTCCGTCTTTGAGTGCGTTGTTTTTTTTCTTTCTTTTTTGTCAAGGCTGGAGGAATACTGGAGCAATTTTGCTGGAGACTATGATGTTATATGATGTATGTAAAAGGGAAGAAGAGAAAAAGGTTTGGGGGGTTTTGGTAGCGAGATTAGGTGATGAACATTTGTTATGAAAGGCAAAAAAGACGCTAGGAATGCTCCGTTTCGTTTAATTACATGACTTAGTCAGCATTGATCCGGAACGGGCCGTGACTGGCCGTGGTTGGCTATCAATGGAGTTAGAGTTTCACATGTGAGACGTGATATTCAAGTGATAATCATATTCATCTATGCAAAATGCTCTAAACCAACAAAAGACAAGGGGGGGACGCCGGCAAGGAACCGAACCGAAGAAACAGAACAGAACAGAAAGCCCTGAAAAGACAGAGAACGTAGAAGGGTCTCCACTTTCTTCCTTACAACAACTTCCTGGTTACAACTTTGGATCCAACAATCAATCAACTCGTACACCACCACCTGACAAAACTGACAAGCCTGACCAATTTACGTAAACTGCCTAAGCTGCGGTCAGGATATGAAGATATGTTATTCAGACATTGAAAATGTGAAGATCCTTACGATCTTTAAGGTTCCTGCGTCGACGATCCCTCGACAAATAAACACCGGGAAAAAAGGGGGAAATGGATGATATCTCGATAATTTCCAGACAAAATATGTGGAGAAGATTGCGTGTTCTCCATAGCAATAAACTCGACAACGACATCAGAGAAGGGAGAAAATAGAGATAAACGCGATTAAAAACTTATCCTACTTATACCTGTCATAACTTGTCCCATTCATCATAAAAGTATTTAGGGTTAGCCATGTCTGGAACAGGCTCCTCTCAAAATCACCATCTAGCTCCTCCTCCTGCTCCTCCATCTGCTTCTAACCAGCAGACATCTGAGCGACGGCAGGACTCCATGGCAGGAAGGCTCACCCAGAAAATCCTTGGCCACATCGGTCATTTGGGTCCCCTGCTCACCGGCGAGCCGAACGTTGACGCCGCACACGCCACCACACCGGCATCAGTATCAAACTCCATACATGCGGCCGTGCCCGCAGCCGCCGGTTGGAACCTTGACGTCAACGAGACTATTCTAAACCCCGCCGGCGGTACTTATCCGCGTCTATGCCGCCTCTCGGATTCTAGTCTGCTGTCCGTTACCACCGGCTTCCAAGGCCCAGGTGGCCGTGAACACGTTCTACAGGTATCCCGTAGCACCGACAACGGAACAACCTTTGTACCCCACGGCGAAATCACTCGTGGCGCCGGCGATATCGACAACGGATTCTTACTAGAAGTACCACCAACCGTCCCAACAATCCCAGGCCCCAAACCAATTCCAGGACCAGGAGGATGGCACGGCGGTAATGGTACTAGTAGCAACGGCTCAGTAGTCCTAGCGGCCTTCCGAAACCACGACCGTGATGCCAACAGCCATCCCACATATTTCCGGATAACAGTCTGCCGCAGCGAGGACGGAGGACGGACATGGCGTTTTGCATCGCAAGCCGCGGAGCAAAGCGCCGCCTCCACGGGTGGTCTGGGCATCTGGGAGCCATACATGCGGCTCGGCCCCGGCGGTCGCAACATCCAATTAACATATTCGCGCGAGCTGGCTCATAATAACCAAGAAACATTCCGCGTCGATTCGTACGACGGTGGCCGCAGCTGGACCGCGCCCCCTCGGTGTCTGAGATGCCATCCCCCATTCATCAACCTGCGCGACGGCATGCAGAGCATCGTCGGCGTAGGACCTAGTCTCGGCTTAGGCTTAGGTCTAGCCGCGCAGGACCCATCAGAAGTAGACAACTTGGATCTATCTCCAGAAGGAGGTATAGTAGCTCGGGACGGACAATCGGAACAGGTTGGCGAAGCGTTGGTCGTTGTATTTGAGACGACCCGGTTTGGAACCTTTAGTGTTGAGTATGCAGTTTCATATGATGGAGGTTTAACGTGGGGATCGAGAGGGGTGGTGTATCGGCCTCGGCAAGGACGTAATGCAGGTGCACCGCAAATTGAGCGGTATGGAAATGGTGGTGGACTAGCGGTAGTGTTTATGACAGATGAGGATACCGATACACCGCAATGGCCAGGCAAGGCTGCCATTAAAGTTGTATTTGCCTCAGGACTCCCCGTCGGTGGTCGCGGCGCTATTCGATGGAGCCAACCTATGGTTGTTCATCAGGCACCTTCGTTTTGGCCTGGTCTCTTCAGTCTCGGACAAGATGAACTCATGGTTGTTTTCGAGCATGGTGGAGTACCTATAGGGAAACGCTTACGATGGGGATAATTAGATTGGCGCTTGTATTTATGATGTAGATAATAAGCAAATTGTATTATGAGATATCTGGAGATAAGATCTCGCGGTGATATTGAAGCTATTTAACCGTCCATCACGGTGTATTCAGAAAGGCCCACCTGCCCGCCTAGAATGTAAAACCTTGGTGTTTTTCGTATTCACTGTCGATCATTCTAAGGCTGATATAGCACCGTGACAATGCATTATCGATGGTTCTAGGCGCGGTGGTCAATCAGTAACTAGCCTATATACACGATCGACACCTTGTCAACCAATTGCCCGCCTCACGAAAAGAGGCAGCAAAAAAACCAGTTCCATGACACCGGCCAGCCCTACATGCCTAGCTTGATTTGTGACGTCTACCCGCTACTAAAACGCATCAACCACCCCTTCCTTTCTCAAAATCCACCCAAGCCAATTTTTAAACGGGAATAAAACATTGAACCTAGTACTCCGCTTCATTCTCTAACCTACGAAATTCCTACATCACAAATCGACAGCCAATCCCTAATATTATAAGACATAACGCCTTCATTGCGTTCACGCATCTATAACCACTTCATTGTCAGACGTACTTGTGAGCCGCCCTTTAGTCACTACACTCTATCAGTCGAACATCTCGACGAATCCGATAACTCAATCCCCATCCCCGCTCTGATCTGGACGCCGCAGCGTTCAGTTCGACCCCGTTCTCAAATACACTTCCCTCACTCCCCACTACGCCTTTTTTCTCTCCCCGCTTCACTACAGAAATTTAAACCAACATCTTCACCTCCATTCACACCGAGCTACACCGACTACACGACTTTCACACCTCAGAAGCATGAACACCCATACGAACATCACATACAACCTATCACAATCTTTAATCCACACAACAAAACATAGCAGCGCACTCTAAAAGCAAATCAAGTATCAAGTGATTAAGAACAAAGCAAGCTTTTTCTATCCCTAAGTCCACCCCAACCAACGACGGGGGGGTGTACGACTTTATAGCTCGCCAAGAGAAGAACTACCACTACCAATAACAGCCGCAAGCAACAACACAACAAAAAAAGGGGATGGTGAGTTTTTGTTTTCGGGTGAGTTCGGTCAAATCAATTAATCAACCACCTAATCTCGCAAGGGGTTAGAAAAAATGAATTTTAACTCGACCAGCCCCCATCTACTACACAGACAGACACATTTCCTTCCCTAATCCTCCTTCGCCTGAACCTTTCCTTTCCTGTTCCCTTTGCAGACCCTTTGCCCTGTCTGATTGATTCGATTCGGTAGATGAATAAACCGATGAACAACGACGAGGTGGGAGATTTTGGGAAGAGGGGAGAGAAAGGAGAAATTACTTAAATACACAACGATAAGTAAGTCTCGCCGACCCTCCCTCCCTAACCTTCACCCTAATCCTCAAGAAAAAATTCGCATTTCCACTTTACTAACTCCAGATTCTCCGGTGTCGATTGAAAAATAGATAGTCGACACACAAATACACACCCTTTCTATGTTGAGTATGGTGACGATGAACGAGAATATAGAAGGGAAGAAAATAAAAGGCAACGTTGGAACAAAAGCCAGTCAGCCCCTTTTTGTTCATATGAACCCATTATGGCAGGTTCGTAGCTCATCCAATTCGTACACGTCGAAGGCAGATTATTAATCACCTCATAAGCCCACCTCGCGATGCCCCCTCTTCAACTAACGGACGGATAGATGCTACGAATGCTCGTCTGCTTTCTAGGTGGGTGGTTAGACTCCACCGTCCCTACTGCCTGAGCCCGGTTTAGGTGCTATAGGTAAGTACTGGTAGCTCGGCCTATTTCCTAGGCCGACCGTCGGCATTGTTTGCCGAGATTGGTTCACCTCTCCTACTTGCTCAGCTTGTCCTGGCTGTCCCTGCTGTTCCGATTGCCCCGTATATCCAGCTCCTAGCTGGCTTGGGAACCTATACACGCCAGTCGCGATCCTAACGGGCCGATCAATCTGGACATAGGGAGTGTCGCGATGTCTAGTGAGCGGTAGAGAAGGGTTCTAAGCTTCCCTACCGGAACTGGGTTGACCACCATTTGCCGTCGGAGCTGGAGGCGCGACCGCAGGACTTCCATTGGTTACAGGCGGGGCTGTCGTCACTCTAGGCGAGTTGAGCTGGGGCTTTGGGCTTTGACTTGATGTTGAATAGTTAGGCATGCCTGCCGTTCGCGCCGCTGCTAATCTTGCAGGGTCTCCTCCCAAACCAATACCACTTAAACCGACTGGTGCGCCGACTGACCCTTGCCCTTGGCCGGACATCGAGTTTCGGATGCCCTCATTGGTTCTCTGGGCGCTCTTAGTTGCATCAAAGCGAGCCTTGGCTTGGTCCATTGCTTGTTGGACTTGATGCGGGTTTAGAGACGTATGAAACGAAGAGGTACCCGGTGTTTGAGGATTTTGACCCTGTTGAGCATGCTGGTGTGGTTGGCTATTGGGTATTCCAGGTGAACCAGCAGGCGGATAGAAACGTCTCGACGGATCATGACCCATATTCGGTTGATTGCCGTAAGACGGCTGTCTCGGAGGTGGCCCCGTCGGATTGTACCCTTGATGTTGAGGCATGGGCTGGTGTTGACGTGGCTGATGAGCAACATGCGGGGAAGCTGTCCTCTGGGGCATAGCTCCGGCACCATTTGGATATTGTGCGTACGGGGGATGCGACGGCGTACCTCCATGCTGATGCTGCGGCTGTATTTGAGGTTGGTAAGGTTGAGGGTGGTGGTAATTGGGCGGTTGCGTCTTCGGTGGGTACGCCTGGAAGCGCGGCTGAGGCGTCTGATTATTCATATTAGGATAGCCTGGCATCGGTTGGAATGGTGTTCGAGCGGGTGTCGGCGTGCCTCCATAAGGCTGTGAGTATGGTTGTTGGTGGGGAGGGAATTGCTGAGGGTAACCCGTATTCTGAAAATTGTTATGGGGTTGGTAGCTATTGTTAGACGGGGGACGTTGAGGATACGCTGCAGGCATTGTATGCGGGGGCCTTTGTATCGCGGGTTGAGGGGGTCTTATTGGCGTTTGAGCGCCATAGTACGGTGCTTGGGGCATCGGAGCGCGGTTAGTGGCTTGGAATTGTTGTTGGCCGTACTGCAAATTGTTCGAGGAATTTGATGCTCGATGCGTAACTGGGCGAGGAGTCGTTGTGGCGGCTTGCACGGCTTTAGCGCGGACAGCAGCTTCATCCTCCTCCATTAAACCTTGATACTCATCAGTTCGGACCTCGATCTTTGTTGATATGTTAAGCTCGTCCAACTTGTCCGAATTTAGACGTGCGACCACGTAAGGTGGCAACATCTTGACAACTAGAGCCAACTGTGCTTTAAGAGCCTGGTAAGTGGCCGTCTCCTCTTCACTTGGTTGCACCGGTGTTCCATTCGTAAGCATATCGCTATGAGCCGGGTCCGCCGCGAATCGATTCTGACTAGACGCGGTCGGAAGCGTCAAATTGCGGTTCTTCTGGTACGATATTAACGTTTGGATCATATCGGATACATCTTGAAGAATATCATCGGTATCCTTCTGCTCGTCGGATTTCTTTGGACAGCAGACCTGCTCAAGACTAGGATCTACCATACTCTCATCCCAATTGTCTAAGGCATCTTTGATTAAGTCCTCGTCAACCTCTTCGACTACGGCCGCGTCAGCCATGTCAGTATCTGCAGGAGCATCCTCTTTTGGTGCCTCAGTTTCCATCAGACGATCAAGGCTACGACTTCCCACGTTCTGCCACCACATGGTGTGGCTAATCAAGCCCGACGAAATCATAGCGGCCGAGTCGTCTTTAGAGGGGGCGAAACTCGAGAATGCGCCACGGAAAAGCGCCTCCATTTCCGACATCTCCAGGTCAGATGACGAGGGTTTGTTTCCAGCAAGGCTTAGAGCTCGTTCGCGTTGCTTGGTCATTATCTGCGACGGAGGAGCCGCGTTGCTATAATCCAACCATCGACCAGTAGATATATTCTGGCTGAAATACGACCCAGCGCGGTACTTCGACTTCTCGGTCAATTCGGGACGGTGCCAGGTAACCTGGGTGCCTTTAGTAACGCTCTTCGGCGCTTTGGGCGGCTGGAGCGACGGGAGGCCGCGCGGAGCTGGGAAGAGTTCTCCAAGTGTCTTGGCCTTTTTGTCCTTCTCTACAGCAGAGGGGAAAGAATACGGTATCGCCCTGGCCGTCTTCACACCAGGAGGTAAGCCGCTCTCTCTCAGGGGTCGGATAGCCATTTCTGTGCTACCAGGACCTGGGATAGTCCGTTGTAGACTCGAATACATGGCCTTCCCTCTCATAGCCTCGCTCATAACAGTAAGTACCATATTCCCACTAGCATTAGACTGTAAGTCGCTAATGGAATCGAGTTGACGCAGTGCCTCAGGAACGGATTTGTTGTTAGGATACGCCATCTCTCGCCTGAATAGGTTGTAGGCCTTCTTCTTGAAATCGATGATCTTAGCAATAGCTTCATCGTTCGCCCTGGTATCTTGTCCGGGTTGTGTATCTCGCAGCTCCGCTAGGTGGTCGGTAATGGAGGTTTTGATGTCGCCAATGATGCTTTCAAGGTCTTCATACCGCTCCTGGGCAACCTTGTCGGCAATAGAAAATAGCGATGGGCCATCATCAGGCTTCTTTCGTTTCGCTTGAGGTTCGTTTAGGTCACCGTCGGATTCGAGCATAGGACGTTTGAGGACCGAAGGGGTCGAGTCAAATCTGATGATCGCAAATAATAAGTATTACAAAACTTAAATCAATTATATATAGGGAGCAAAGACAGGACGGATGCGCATCGGGGTTAAAAAATGATAATGTGAAAAGTACATAAGTAGGTATTGGTAGAAAGAAATAAAACGCACCTCTGGAGAACTTCATAATAGTTACGTATCGTGGGTTGGTCGACCTTAGTGGATGGGAAAGGGGTATTGTTGGTCGTAGGAGGAGTGATGCGATTAATGCTGATACCATTCAGTTGCTTGTCGCTAGAATCTGTGGACTCGCGTTTGCGCTTGATGGAAGTGCCAGAGACGGACTGCGCGGTATTTATGTCGGAGTCGGAGTCGTGAGTCGTGATGGTATTGTTGATATGATTGTTAGGACTATTGGAGGAGGGATTGATGCCGGTATTCGTGTTGTTATTATTCGTACTGGCGATGCTGGCATTGGTATGAGTATTGGTATTTGCAGCGGCATTGGCGTTGTTATTATTATTATTGAGCTGCACGGGCGGAGGTACGCCGTTTGGAAGTGCTATGGCCGGAGAGGCCATTGTGCTTTTTTAATATTCCAGTCGACGTGTGTTGTATTTAATTTTTTTTGTTACTACTGCTGTCCTTTCCTCGGCGATTGCGGTGGTGGTATAGTGTACTGCGGGTGGTTTTTTTGGATGGTGATGGGTTTGCTAAGAAATTGGCGGCTCCGTCGCGCTGCACGGCCTGTCGGTCGCGATTGAAAAGACAGGCACTTGGAGATTTCTGTGGTTGCGGTTGCTGGCTGACTGGTTGCTAGTTGGTGCGACCGCGACCCTCTCTTTCCCAATTCTCTCTGCCTTAAGGGAGTAGCGTTAGTTCCAAAGGTTGCGTAAGGTTTTTTTTTTTTGGCGTTAGAAGGTAGAGCCTCCTCCCCTAGCAGGCGCGCGCAGGACAAGAAACAAATACAAGGCAAGTCCGCTACTACCACCACTGTACTTGACCAGGGAGATATTGGATTGTACCTAAACAGCCCGCTAAGATTCTAAAGTGCTAGGACCCGGCGACTGGACCACAAAAACTTTGCAAGGGCAGCAGGAATGGACAGGATGTGATCCACCATCCATCTAATGGGCCAAACCGCCAACAAAACGGAATAAAAAGAAAGATACGAAAAGGAAAACTAAATCGAAAAAGTCGAGGCTATCGATTGAGGCCCACTTGCATCAGGAACCATAAATCAATCTTAAAAAGACCGAGAATCGATTCTATGGTCGGATGCACGCGATAAGTTTTTCCTAACAATCTTCTGCCTTGAAAATTGCATTTATTACTTCAGTGTCTCGTATCCACTCAATATGATATGAGAGGGAGGGAGAAATGAATCTGACCTTGTTGCAAATGATAGTTGACGCTAGTCTATGCGCTATTCCTATCTAAGACTAATTCATTCACGAAAAGCCACTTGGAAAAGATAGCCGTAATCGACACGTGATCTCATCATTTAATTTCCAGTACCTAAGTACATTCGCAATGTGCAGTGTAAGTGCACTTACTCGCGGTGGCACTGCAAACACAAACGAATACAAAATGAAAGAATAGATATATATCATAAGGTATTAATTAAGCTATCCAATAAGATAAGAATTAGGTATAGCATCAGTCCATCAAATTTCTAGGTTCTGTTTGTGTCAGAGTACCCTCAAATCTGACCAACCAAAATCCCTTGTAGACAAAGGCTTTATTTACCGATCATTAATGATTTTATTCTCTTCGAATATCATTTAGTCGTTTTTAAGTAATCCATGAATTAATTGGATAACTATACGCAATTAAGTTCTCTCATAAGCAAGAAATTCAATCCAAGCCTTCGATGTTTAACGTCGAAGAAGTAATATCTTAACATTGTAGGTACCTACCTAGGCATGCGTAAGCAGAAATCTAACCGGCAGACATGAAAGGTTAGTCACTCGGAAATCATTGACGGACCGATCAACATAATGCAGCACATAATCACGCAAATACAATAAAACAAATACCACTTGGGGAATACCATGAATACCAATTGTACGATGCTAAGTGAATACGTGTTGTAGGAGTGTAGTTTACAACGTGAGACTTCAGTCCCATCATGCTTGACAACAACTAGAAAGCGAATACCCAAAAGAAAAACAAATAGCAGCACCTTGAGTGAGGCTAATTTCGAAATGCACTCAAACCGCGCTATCACCCTCAGATTATGATCGAACCAGTCCGATTCCTATCTTGCATCGCAATCTCGTTACTAATCTCACAAAGTCATTTCACAGGTCCTCTCCCAAAGCCTTGCCGTTCTCCTCCTATTGAGCCTTGGCTAGACCAACAGTACCCTTGCCGAGGTCGTAGATGGAGTACCATCTTCGGAGGAACGCGTCACCGAGGATAGCGAGGGGACCAACTGGGGCGGGGAAGTCCATTCCCATGAAGGTTGAGATGCAGCTGCCCTGAACCTCGAGGATGTAGTCGTAGGGACCAATGGGGAAGTCATAGCCGGCCAGCTTGAAGCTAATGTCAGGAAGAGAGTCACGGACAGAGCAGTCAACCGTGTACTGTCCATTGAAACTCTTCTTGGCGCCGATCTCCTTGTTGAGAAGCTCGGCAAGGTCGCTGGGGAGAGCAATCAGAGAAGTACCAGTGTCAAGGATGACACCAGTGTTCTCGAGCTCAGCGGTCTCCTCACCGAAAGAGATGGAGTCGAAGTCGACCTCCCAGTAGGCCTTGCGGCGGAGAGGGATCTCTGTGATCTTACCAGTGTAGTGATCCTTATCAACGCCACCGAAGACAACCTCCGAGTTGTCATCGTTCTCTCCGCTGAGGTAGAAAGCGAAGACAGCGTCGTCAATCAGCTTTTGGTTAACCAGCTGGTAGAAAGGAGGGACAATTCCGTTCACGGATAGGCGATCGAAACCCAATCCGAGAATACCGTCGAATCGACCAAAGGCGAAAGCAAGACCAGGCTCACTGGTGGCCTCGGCGAAATCCTGACCCTTAACAGTAAGATCACCGATAGTCAAGTCATCCTGAGAAACGAAACCGCTCAGGCTGCCAGATCCGTAACGAATCTCGAACTCGGTACCATTCTGCTTGTACGTCGACGAAGAGGACGAATCGTACTTGGAATGGAGGTAGCAGGCAATGCTGCCGCAAGACGAAGAGGGAACCCATAGGTTGGAGCTTCCAGTGTCGAGAATGACCTTGAATTCTTGGGGAGGCGTGCCGATGCTGATGTCGGAGAAGTCTAATCAAAACATTATTATTAGTAAATGGACTTGCGCAATATTCATTTCAGAGGCATCGGGTTTACATACATTGGGCGTTCATGAAGTTGGAAATGGGGACGGGGTGGTCCTTGCTGGCGTCGACAGAAGGACTTTGGAACACAGCCTGGGCATGCGTCTCAGGTCGGGAGCCCATGTACTTCTGGCCGAGTCCTCGCATTTGAGTCTCAATGGGGATGCTTTCCTATTGCAAATCATCAATATAATGTCGCATATTTCGGAACAAGCGAGATACTAACCAACTGCTCGGACAGAGGAATCTTCTTGAGCTTCATCTTGTGGACTCCGGCCTGGGCGGATCCAAGCAGCACAGCTGCGGTAAGCAGAGCTCCCTTCATGATGGGCAACTCCGATTGAGGTAACAAATGAATGAAAAACGAGGAAAGACTAAATAAAAGGATGGATACTCGATCGATATCCCAATGACTTCGAAGAATCTCCGATCCTGAAGATGGAGATGGAAAAAGATGGTGGTTGATGGATGTAGGTTGAAGGTAGAAGGAAGTTGGGAGAAGAGGAATGGCCGATGATGTTGTTGAGCGACTGGGAGATAACGACCAGAGCTCTGATCAATCAGCGACCGTCCGACCGTGTTTTGGGGGGCAGGCGGAAAGACAGTGCTGCAGGCACTCACTTAATCTGGGGGTGGAGTGGGGAATTATTGGTCTCGTGCAAGAGATACAGCTTACGCAGTACAAGTACTTCTAGCTATATCCGCGCTACATCAATGCCATCAACTGCTGCGTTGTTTCCTGTGACGAGTTCGCCCTGCCTAAAATGGTCCTAGCTTGGCCAATGACGCAGGGTAGGCATGTCTATGTGGGTCACATTTCCGACGGGGCAACCAAGTTACTTTGAGGCAGCAACAGCTGATGACACAAGCAGGTACAAACTCAACGCCACCGGAAAGAACTGTATTCAACCAATCAAAATGCTAGTTGCAAGATTAATCCGACCCGGAACCATAAAGAGCGCTAGATGGGGTACATGGATTATAGAGGCAAGTAATGTACAGTACATTAAACATTAACCAACCATTAAAATCCTCAATCCCTCGAGCTTGGTGCTTGTTGCTTATTTCCAGAGGAACACATCATCTTGCGAATCATCCAAGCCACGACCAATTCCAATTTAGGATTAACTATTTGCATGTGACCTCAACCAAATATTTCGACTGTCGTGTTTCTCATCAAGAAATCGTTTATTCCTTTACACTATGGATTAGCTCATGTCAGCTCTCAGGGGCATCGGAATATATGGACTAAACCGTAACTCAACTTCCGTCCTACAATTGGGATGGCAGTCTACTAGTTCCATTTTCCATTAGAGTGGAAGATCGAAAATGGATACATTTCTCTACGCCTTTATTATACCCTAGCTTCTGGCTACTTAACTAAACCTTCGAGCCTCAGATCGAGTCAGATTTCAATATGAACTACATCAAACAAGACCAAATACCTTGATAACGGCCTCGGCACTTCCTCTTCGGCCAAACTAGAGCTGACAATCTTGTGTTGACAACCATTGTGTTTCCTAATGTCTTATTTAATACTACCAAGTGAAGAGTAAAACGTATGTCCCTTAACACGGACAACCGAATCGTTATACTACCCAGGCACAAGAGAGAATACTCATACCCCAATATGTCTACTATTTGCTGCAATTCTTGTCTATTTCTACTATACTACTGATAGGTATTAGGGCGATTATTTAAAGACTATACCATCTTTAATTGCTGTAAAGCGCCGGCGACTTGTAGATTAAAAAGGCTAGAACCCTGATGGATGCGGTAATAATTGGCCGACTTCGGTACCTATACAACGAATTCTCCAATAGAAAATCCCCCGCTACCCATAGGTACTCGATCCCCTATAAACCGCCTCTCCGTCAGTAACTCCGGACCACTTTAGCGTAAGCAGAAAGGAACTAACCACCCCGTCATCACCCCGCTATTAGTGCGAGTGAGGGAAAGAAGATTTTACTTAAGAGGCACCCCACCAATGCTCCAATTGGAGCCAACGGGGAAAATTTATCTAATTCAATTCTTTTCTCTTCCTTCTTCCTACCTTTTTATACCTTCCGTACTCCTCTATTCTCTTCTCATACGAAAAGTTTTCAAGAGTACCTCGTACAACCCTCAAACAATAGTCAAGCAATTCTTCTTCTCCCCAATTCCTTCACGATGGCTGCCAACGGTACCACGTACGCCCTCTCGCAAGAGCACAAGGATGTCAGTTGACACTACCCTTCAATTGATACTATTTAGAACAGTCCTATTGACTCATGTGTAGCTGCTCGAGAGGTCTCTTCTCGAATCCGACCCTGAGGTCGCCGAGATTATGGTAAGACCCTCCTATTAATTGATCGAATTGACCTGATAATTAATTTGATCATCGTTATAGAAAAAAGAAATTCAGCGACAACGAGAGTCCATCATCCTAATTGCCTCGGAAAATGTCACCTCCCGTGCCGTATTCGACGCCCTAGGTTCCCCTATGTCCAACAAATACTCCGAAGGTTACCCCGGTGCTCGTTACTATGGTGGAAACCAACACATCGACCAGATTGAGCTTCTTTGCCAGAGGCGTGCTCTCCAAACTTTCCACCTCGACCCCGAACAATGGGGTGTCAACGTCCAATGTCTCAGCGGTAGCCCTGCCAACTTGCAGGTTTACCAGGCTATCATGCCGCCTGGTGGCCGATTGATGGGTTTAGATCTCCCTCACGGTGGTCATTTAAGTCACGGATACCAAACTCCCTCAAGGAAGTAAGTTTTTGCCTCAAATGCGGACATCCGGGCCGGAGCATCCGAAGACTAACCCGATTGCTTGTAGGATCTCAGCTGTATCAACCTACTTTGAGACTATGCCTTACCGAGTAGACCTGAACACTGGTATCATTGACTATGACAGACTTGAGGAGAACGCCCAACTGTTCCGTCCTAAGGTTCTAGTTGCTGGTACTTCTGCATACTGCCGAGAGATTGACTATGCGCGCATGAGGAAGATCGCTGACTCGGTCGGCGCGTACCTCGTCGTCGATATGGCTCACATCTCTGGTCTCATTGCCGCCGAGGTCATCAAGTCTCCTTTCCCCCACGCTGACATTGTCACTACCACAACACACAAGTCCCTCCGTGGTCCCCGTGGTGCTATGATCTTCTTCCGAAAAGGTGTTCGCAGCACCGACCCTAAGACTGGCAAGCAGACCCTTTACGACCTAGAGCCTGCCATTAACTTCTCGGTCTTCCCTGGTCACCAGGGCGGTCCCCACAACCACACCATCACCGCCCTTACCGTTGCTCTAAAGCAAGCTCAGACTCCCGAGTTCAAGGCTTACCAAGAGAAGGTTGTCTCCAACGCCAAGACATTAGAAAACAAGTTCAAGGAACTTGGCTACAAGCTCGTGTCTGATGGTACCGACTCACACATGGTTCTCCTTGACTTAAGACCCCAGGCCGTGGATGGCGCGCGTATCGAGGCTGTCCTTGAACAGATTAACATCGCCTGCAACAAGAACGCTACCCCTGGCGACAAGTCTGCACTTACGCCTTTTGGTATTCGTATCGGTACTCCTGCTATGACCTCTCGTGGCTTCGGCGAGCAGGATTTCGAGCGTGTTGCTAGCTACATCGACGAGAGCATCAAGATCGTCAAGGAGATCCAAGCTAGCCTACCGAAGGAGGCTAACAAGCTAAAGGACTTCAGAGCCAAGCTTGCTGAGGGCAACAACTCCAGAATCAGTGAGCTACGGAAGGAAATTTCTGCCTGGTCCCAGACCTTCCCTCTTCCCGTTGAGGGTTGGCGACTAGATGCAGGCATCTAAATTAACATGTACGAACGAACGATGACGAGATTTAAGGGGATTTATTGTTCAACATATAGAAACAAAGGCGAGAGAGGGGCAACTCAACTTTTCTCTGGTTTGTGGAAATGGGCTTAGGTTTCATTCTGGAAAAATAACGGAATGACAAAAAAAGCGGGCACAATTGCATGCATTCATCAGGCGTTGCAAATTTATCATAAGAGCCTCTGGAGTTCGGTATTAAAGCTCTAAGGGCCTGGGGTCATCGGCGGCACCGCTTCAACGCGGTAGATTATAGGGTATTGATATCCAATCCATTTCCGGTGTTGTGCTTTTTCTCGTGTTATACATAATCAATTCAGAATGCCTGGCATACCCATATCTAGGCAATTCTCAATGGAATATCCGTTGCAACTTTGATGCAATCCTGGCATTTGGATAATTCCTACTATTTATGATTAGATCTACTAAAGATGGATTTGTCTGAAACGTTGACTGCATACCTACTAATTATGCTGTTTCATGCTAGGTGGCCCAAACTACCTAGTGAACCCTACTCGAGCCGTATCACCACACACGCAGCCTACTCACCAGGACGCCACGAATACATAGTCTTGTCTCAAATCATGCCCTTCCTTTGTAGATGTCATGGAAATAATGCACGCTGGTCTCTTGACTCACTTTCATGGCTAATATTTGATGCGTGGCGTGAAGATATCCAATTAGCTAGGTCGAGTTCGTCGCGTATTGGGTTTGGGTTATCCTTCCAACAAAGGACCCCTTTAATAATTGTATGCTATATAGGCGGTCTTGGGACCGAATCCTACGGGTAGTATTGATATACATTATATTGTATCCGTCCTTAATCACCCTTGTGGAAGCAATTGGATTCTCGACATGGCCAAGAAAGCAGAAGTTGAATCACGTATCGCTGTCTCGCCTATCCCGCATGTGGCACCGGGTTATTATACCAATGAAAAGTACAAAAATCTTTAGTCCCTAGGTAGTTCTCGCTTCTAATGAATATATAAATACAGGCCCCTAGAAGCCGGTGTGCGCTCCGCCTTTGGGGGCTCACTCATCAGTCAGGCAATAGTATCAGCATCCGAGACCGTCCCCGTCGGCTTCGTCGTTTTCTCTTCTTACACTGTCTTCCCGCGTCCTTCCGATTCAAACCAAAAGACCGTGTATCATGTCGAACGCATTGCTGATGGACGTGCTTACGCTACGCGAGTGGTGCGTGTCACACAGCAGGCCAGAAACCACAACCAATGTGTTCTGGTCTCGACCATATCATTCCAAAATACGAACATCCCACCAGGCAACGTATTACTCAATTATTCCAGCCCGATGCTCCAACTCGGTGTTAAACCCGAGGATATCTCGCCGCAGAAAGGCTTCGAGCATGCGAAGAAGTACATTAACGACTCGATGTCCGTGTTTCATCGTCGGGTTGAACAAAGTCCATTTGACTGGCGTGACTTAGACTACGATTTCGCAGAGGATCCCACGCGGTTCACGATGAGGGGATTCTTCCGCACCCCGCCTCTGTCGTCGGATAGCCACTCGACACACCTCGCGGCTATTGCCTATGCGTCGGATGAGAATTCAATGGCGGCAGCGCTTTTTGCGAATCTCAACCAGACTGGGAATAAAATAGAGAATTTGGCACTGATGGCTAGCCTTACGCATAACTTGTCGCTGCGTGATACCAATGCTAGGGATGATGAGTGGATGGTCTTTGAGCGGAGCACTTCGTGGGGGGCGGAAGGGTGGTAACTAATTTACGGTTCTGGAATTGGAAGACTGGTCGCTTGGTTATGGAGGCTACGCAGGAGGGGTTGATACGGTTGAAAGATAGGAAGGGACTTGCGAAGCTGTGATAATGATATGTTTGGTGTCTGGAATTATATTATGGAGATGCGAGGTTTCTTGGTAACTCATAGGATATCGTCAAGTTCTTCATTCGTTATGTACCATCCACCAAAATTGACCTAGGTGGCCTATATACTATGGTGTAGCCTAGTCAATGTCCCTTCGCTTCCGACCTGGAGATTAAGCCTAACCGACTTCCTTCTTTATACCATCAAGCTTTGAACTAACATGATCATCGTATACATCATGAAGCTTTGTTACCTACGTATGTTGCCTGTACGCATCTGTAGGATAGACGCGAAGCCGATTCGACCATTTCCTCTCCTTCTAGCCCATCGCCAACCTTTCAGGTTCATCCCCTCCACTTAGGATCATCTAATGGAGTTCCGATAAAGTGGCTCGAGTGCGCAGAATGGCATTATTCCGTGTGTGTTGATTTTTTTTTCTTTCTTGTACAGATCCATGATGTCAAGGTCAAGTCCCTAAAGACCTCCGTTCTTCCAATAGTATCGCCTTCGAATCCTGTCCAATGACAGATTGGTATCCTCCTGCTGCTTGAACACTCTGTGGAACGGGTGCACAAGCAGCACAGTATTGTGCTTCTTCCGTATCCTTGATACAAATCTTATCCACAAGCAACGTAAATATCTTCCAAATCACTTGCAGGATGACTAAATCCGCTACCAGAACGGACAGGAAAAGGTTTCCGGCAGACTTCAATTGAGGGACCTGACAAAGATAGTCTGCGACTAGCTGCGACTGGTTGACCCAAAGATGGACGTCCTGAGATTGAGCTGGATCAAATCCTTTTTGGGATATTAAGCTACTCTCCAAACCCCATCGGAATGTCTTTCGCAACGTGCTATTCGCTTCGTTCATATTCGAGGTAAGGTTCGCTAGGAGATCCGGTCTCGCGAGCATATTCGGCATATCGTCGTCGTCCCTCCCGAGATCCGCCAAGACTGTGAACCACATTGCTTTCCCAAGTATACCCACTGGATGCCAAATATTGGGTACCGGTCGCTCAAACGCGGCAGGGTGGGGGCTGTTGGCTAGCTCGGTGATGGAGCTCGAATTGCAATATCGGTTTTCCAGGTACGCGACACCCGTCGTGTTTAACGGAATAAACCAACATGCGGGAACTCGCAAGAATTCAACGTTTTGAACATTTTCTTCCATCGTACCCTTTAATGTCATGTTGCGCTGTAAGTCGACGTTGCCCTTGAAAAAGGGGGCTTCTGTCCTCGCCATGTCTTCGTCGAAAAAGGATTGCATGACTGTTCGCCAGTACACGTTTAGGAGGGAATATCCCCAGTAGAGACTTGGGTTGGTAGTTTTGTTGAGGCTGAGAAATGCCGATGAGACGGTCCGCGGCCCAGGAATCGCATCGTACGTTGAAAGTAGCTCGAAGTAAGTACGGCCGCTAGGTGTACCTTCGTCCACATAACACTGAGATGTCGCGGTTACTGTTCCGCCCATGGGAGCCACTGCTAACTGTCCTGCTGTTCGGCCAGGACCTTCGAATTCCATCTTGATCAAAGTAACGTTACATTTCTGGATTGGGTTGTTCTTGTATACCATAGAACCCTGATAGACTTCCTGGCCTCCGTCTCCAAGTTGCCATACTCTTGATAAAGTGTATGGAAACGCTCTCTTGTCGGTATAAATAGTACTTTGAACTTGTAGATTTGCTGCATCACACGAGGCGCGGGCACCGACTAGATATGATGGCCACTTTGAGAACCATACACCGTTTGTTTCCGTCGAGTTCGGGTCTGAGGTCGAGGTAGGAACGAGTTCGTAGCCCGTCGCTGCCACATTGAGGAAAGAGACGAGAGCAGTCGCGATAATACCGCCTATGATGACCGTAGGGGTAAACCATCTCAACGGATAAGCGCGAGTGACGCTATACGAAAAGAATGAGCGGTACGGCATCGCGACACGGCTTTGGGGGTCGTACCTCGGAAAGAAAGAAGAAAAAAGATGAGGGGATAGGGAAAGGACTTCCCGGAACCCAAAGATGAGATTCTACATTGTGACTACCATAATATATCACAATACGCTAGTAAGGGTTATAGACGCCACTCAAGTTCGAAGTTGTATATACCCTAGTCGCGATATACGGAAGCGATCTCTCTATACTGCTTCGAGATCGAAGGAACTCAACCCCTGGGGTTTGATTGGCATCTGATACGTCCAGATCAGATTGGGGGCCAGATTTAGGGCATAGTGGGTTAATCTACAGTGGGTTAAATAGCTGCGGCTGAGGGCCATTTAGGATCCTGGAACGCTTACATTAGGCACCTAGACTACCTATATTTATCCCCCTGTCTGTCCTGTGAGATTTCATTTTATACCCTCCCGGATTTATAATAACATGGCGGAATTCGCGCTTTTCGGTGTTTAGTGGCAAACTCCTTTCCATCTTTCGTCGCCATGCGTGATATCCAGAGCTTTTCGCACTCTAGTTGCATTCAAGAAATCATCAAAAACACAGGATCCATAATGATCAGTTTTGCATCCTGTCGGTGCCAGGCCAAAATTCGCGCCATTTAGCGTGAGTTGAATCCTGGGTTTCTCCTCTCCACAATCCAACCGCTTCCAAAGCATGTAGGCAGCAAATGGCATTAGCTTCGCAGATCTCCAAGCCCGATCTGGATCGGCCGGTCCTTCGGGCGGATACGATTTGTCGGAGGCGAGTCCTAAGCCCGTTAGTCCTAGCGCGATTGGCCAAACCCCAATGAGAACTTTGGTCCTTCTTCGTCGCGCTGGTGTAGGAAGGCCGTCATGTTGCTGACTAGCGGGCTGCCAAGTACAGATTCCATCTCTCCGGGCAATCCGTACCTGGAGAACCCGCGCATCTGTAGGTCGCGCTCATATTCATTATCCATTATCTCTTTAGGTAGAAACACATTACACCATGGCGATGAACCGATACCGTAGACCGAGGTTTCGTATACGCATGCATAGAGCATGCCGTGGACGTGCACTTCGGAAAATCGGACTTTAGGATACGCCTTAGCAAGCGCTTTATTGATGCGCTTCGCGATAGGCGGCAGGTAGACGGAGCGCCATTTTGACAGTTGTTCTTCGCCGGATTTAGAGTCCCACTTAGGGCATGTGTAATGTGGTGTGATCCGACTGATCGTATCTTCATTCTCGCCTACTGGTCTTAAATTCGTGGTAGCATTAGAAACGCGACCGTAATAACCGTCCATGAACCATCTAGCTGACTCGACGACTCGGTCATCGTCGCCTGCTAGCACTTCCTTTTCGGAGTATAAGTCGGGGTAATGTAGCCTAAGTGATACACCGTGGTCGAATAATTGTTTCCGACCTGGTGCTGTAAGACTGTCGGTACTGAAGGTGCTATTCCATCCTTCTGTTAAAAAGGACCAGGCCTTTGGAAGTTTGCCCTGAGGATGCGAAAATAAGGCACTATTGTTGTTGATGTAGTATGTCAAGTTTTGGATAACTAGGAGCTCGTTTGGGTGGGGGTGTCGACTGCCATGCCTGTGAACAAGAAATCCTTTGGAAACGGTGCATCCTGTTGGTGTTCCTATTCTCGGCGATTTTGAGGTGTCGGAAGGAACGAAGAAAGGGGATAGATGTCCTAGATGCTCGTATAGGTTGAATTCATGGTGGTGTTTGATCGTAGGCAGTACTGCGCTGGAGAAGATTATAGATTCGGAACCCCAAAATTGCCGTAAAAATGTTCCCGCCAAAACGAAGCCCAATATTACTACGAAACGCCACCGCTGACCCCCGCTATGCCACCAATAAATCTCTTGATATTTCCCCTCACTGGATTGGTTTTGCTTTTCAGTCATCATGCCGCTGGCCGACTCAAGTAACAGTGATGGGTTACGATTCATAACTTTCTTCTGAGCCTCAAAAAGCGCGGGGTTTCTAGCTGGCTCTATAGTATTGGGCTCTGTCTTCGAAATCCAGAAGCAAGGCTGGGTATCTATGCATATTGGCCGAGAATAAGAACCTCTTTTATTTTTCTGTTGTTCGTCTCGCAATTGTTGATCTTGTAGTTATTACATCATATTTGTTTTATGCTGTGCAATATGTTACATTTGCGCTGATCTACACGATCCTTTTCCGATATAGAAAGACACGTGATATTGATCCAGATTCATCACCTATGGCGCCCCTGAATGCGACTGGTCACTTTCGAGACATAGGTGCATATATAGTAGTGCGTGGGTTTCCCCTAGTAACTCCTGGGTAGCTGCAAGACCTTCTCGCTGATATAATTCATGATCATTTCCCGACTCACAGGAGCAATGCGAGGCACAAGGCATTCTCTGAGCCATCTTTCGACGTCGTATTCCATCGCATATCCCATACCACCATGCGTTAAGACTGCTCTTTCGCAGGCAGCAAATGCGGCTTCAGCTGCTAGATACTTGGCCGTATTGGCAGCAACACCTATCGCGTCTTGCTTAATCGATTCGTCTGTTTTGCTCGCATCGTAGAGCCGTGCAGCGTGATAGGTAGCTAATTTCGCAGATTCGAGGTGCATGTATGCATCGGCTAGCGGATGGGCGATCCCCTGGTTCGTTCCGATGGATCGCTGGAAAACAACACGTTCACGCGCATATTCAGCTGCTTTCTTTAAAGCGGCGTACCCCAGTCCGAGCGCCTCCCCTGCTAGGAGACAGCGCTCAGCATTCATTCCATGTAAGATGATCTTAAAGCCTTGGTTTTCGGTTCCTATTAGGGTGTCCGCTGGGATCTGGTAATTATCGAAGAATACCTCATTAGCATCAACTGCGCGCCCGCCCATTTTCTTGATCTTTCGCATATCTAGCCCAGCGGCGTTTTTATCCAAATTGATACAGAACAGCGACAGCCCTTCGCTAGGTTTCTTTACTTCTTCCAGTGGCGTCGTGCGCGCCAAGAGGATCATCTTTCTGGCGACTTGCGCACAGGTAATCCAGATTTTCTGTCCTGTAACACTGTACGACCCGTCATCCTGTTTCTTCGCTATAGTTCGAAGTCGCAGAGTATCAAGCCCTGTATTTGGTTCTGTGACACCGAAACACGTTCGCCATTGTCCGGAGATAATATTTGGTATCGTACCCTCTAACTGCTCCTTGGTACCAAACTTGGCTAGTGGTTGCGTCGCATACACATTGGCATGAATTGCCTGGGCGCCTGCCATGCCAGCTCCTGACTCCGTGATTGTTTGCATCATCATCACCGCTTCGGATATGCCAAGACCGGATCCGCCTAGCTCTTCTGGCAACGCAACGCCAAGCCATCCTCCTTTCGCGATGGCTGCATGGAATTCTCGGGGATCCTCTTCCTTCTGATCATGTTCTTGCCAATATGTGTTCGGAAACCGGGCGCATACCGCATTGATTGCTTCCCTAACCATCAATTGGTTCTCAGTGAAACCTGTTGTTTCCATGAGATTACGATGAGGGGTGGTTGAGAAGCCATAGCGGCCATTGAACCCTGACGGGCGTATTCTCGGTGCGACCCTGTCAACTGGTAAGCTAGTAGCTAGTGGCCGCGTTTGGCAGATACGACGCATGAGCAGTCGTGACATTTTATTGAATTATACCCTGACCCATCGGAGTGAGGATGGCCTCGAGGAGTTCGAATTGTTCGCTCTAAGCTAACCCCGCCTCTCAAGGAATTAGGTACCCGAATGGTAACCGGCTACCACTACCGAGTTGTGGAGTACACCTCTAATCATACGTCAATTGACCGGAATGTGAGGTTTGAAATTGCCCAACAGGATACAAGCTATTTGAATTACGTATATGCATACTGGTTTGATTTAATCATATGTGAAATATAACTAAGAAAACCGCGTGAATCTTTAACACTGACCCTTATTTAGAGGTTTGTTATGTACAGACACTGGAAAATGTCTTGGTAACTCAACTGAACTCCACATACGACACTCTATGATGCCCATTCCAACTACGAGCCACGATGATGACGATGTTCAAGCACGAGTTGTAAACTACACCTATGAAGTCGCCTAGGCAGCAACTTTATGTTTATTATGTATGGAATAGAGGTCCTTTCATTTGTGGAAAGTTCCGCATTTTAGTGGGCGTATTCGCATGTGTTTCGCACTTCGTATGTCGCTCGCATTCTTCTCGTATATCGTACTCGATTGTAATATCATCGATCCTATTGGCTGGATGTGCGTCCTCGATGGCAGGGCATTACACCAACAACGAGCCAAGCCCCCGAAATTATTGTGATGATCTCCCAAGCATATGTAGCTAAGTGGTATCGATGGCCTTTTCAGGTTCACCCGTCATGAATAGGGCGGTCGGATGAGTTGCTAAGCCGCGTTTGTGATGTTTTCCCTAATATACGCTTGCGTAATCCAGGACCAGAGAGTCAGGGGCGAGCAGATTGCTAGTAGATCTTTGCATTTACTTAGATAGACCTTATTCTCACTGCTCTACGAGGAGATGTACGGACTATACGGGCCATAATTAGTAAAATTTCTATTTACCCGATATATTGAGACCGGCAAGTCGAGAGCACTCGGACATATCACATCATGAAGCTTGTTACCCTTCCAATCGTCCTCGGCATCGCACTAGTTGCAGCTGAATGTCCCTACCATCAATGGAAGGCACCTGAGCCAAGCGACTGTAAGGCGAGAAATACGAATGTGTCTGTTACATCGCTAATTCTATGCAGTCCGAGGGCCTTGTCCTATGCTGAATACTTTGGCGAATCATGGATTCCTACCTCGCGACGGTAGGAACATTACCAAAGAAACAACGGTGAACGCCTTGGCCTCGGCTCTTCATTTCAACACATCACTTGGGACTCTGATGTTCGAGATGGCTATTGTCGCGAACCCGGAGCCTAATGCTACCTTCTTCACTCTGTAAGCATACACCATCGCTAGTCGCCTTACCTTTACGAAGCTTCTGGGGGAGCAGAATACACTTGTTGCGAACAGCTGCCCGGGCTTTTATATAGTAGTGTCGCAGCCAGGCCAACTATATACTAACTGCTATTCATAGTGACCAGCTTAATGTGCATAATGTCTTGGAACATGATGCGAGCTTGAGGTGAGTCTTCGAAATTACCCCTGATATGACCCCACGCCTAAGCTAGCGACGGCAATGCTGACACTCGGTTATAGCCGATCGGACGCCTTCTTCGGGAATAACCACATCTTCAATGAAACGATCTTCGAAGAGACTAAGACATACTGGACTGGTCCCGTCCTCGACGCGAACATGCTAGCCAATGGAAAGATAGCCCGCCAGGTTAACTCAAAGGCATTCAACCCGAACTACACCTTCACAACAACGATGGAACAGTTTAGTCTTGGCGAAGTTTCTGCCCCTATTGTGGCCTTTGGAGACTTGCAAGCTGCCACTGTCAATCGAAACTTGGTAGAATACTTCTTCGGTGAGTTCCCCTATCGCGTATGAGTGAGCGACCTAACCTTTAATTCTTAGAAAATGAGCGTTTCCCTGCGGAATTGGGATGGAGTATTCGAAATGCCACTGTCAGCCTTGATGACATTACGAGGCTGACCCAAACCATCAGCAACGCTACAAGCCTAATCACGACCGGTGAGCCGGTTGTCTCGACCCGACGTCGGGACCTTCACGCTGGACTGAATCTGTAGCAAGATTCAATTCATGTTCTATAGTTTAAGTTGAAGATTACATGTACTTAGGATAGCGCTTTTTCGAGAGATCTTTAGAGCTCCAGTAGTTGAGAGATGCTGAATGTATCTAAAAAAGACCTTTTCGCTTGCGGCTTTACCTTATGCGTGATAAGCTACCCTGGGAAGAGTAGAACTATTTGGAAGCTCCTATAACTCGGCGACGGAATTGCATTTTTTGTCAGCTATCACAAACTCTCGTCGGGCTGTGCCGTGGAATGCTACTGTCGCAAAGAAATTATACGGGGATACTTAGAGCTAGAGAATGTATAATGTAGATTTCTCGCCGCTTGCTCTCACCCTCTCACTTTCGGCTACGTGGCTGGGTGGTTGGTTGGGTCCGGTGCCGAGGCCATATCTAAAGTACTTAGGTCGGTCTTGCACAATCTAGGCCGCTTGGTGTCGACCTTCATAGAGTGGAAACCAGTCGAGCCCGGCGATGCCATATGGAATGCGAAAAATGACCCTTTGCAATTGTCGGTTGCGGATCGTGAGTCGAGAAGGGGGCATTCAGCTGTGGCTTTTAAGGGTTGATTATCGCCGATAAGATAAGCATCCCCGATTGGAACGATTCGATTATTACGTCATCAAAAACGCGTCTTCACACGTGATATAATCATAACGAAAGCCGTAAGATGAAGGGGGCTGGCTGGTTGAAGATGGTATCATTTTCTCCCGTATATCGGTTATTCGGATGAGTCAATGGTCGATTACACTTTCGACTACCAATCGGTGAATTGTCGACACGAATCGGAATCGCCCGATATAACCATAATGGTACAGGCTTCCTATATTTCGCCCCCTATTCTTTCGCGGGGACCACGTAATATTGCAATGTGCGTATGGCCGACCCAAATCAACCGAAAATCCCGACATATACGATGAGGGAAGTCGAATTTCCTATGATCCTACCCGAGACACGACCGGAGATCGAACGAGACCCGACGATGCGTTAAGCGTATATGGGGTACATATTCAGTGAGATAAGCGCGTGACGAACCCTCCGAGATCGTATTGATTGCGGCTCGCTGTGGAGACAAGGACCTTCAAGTGGGGAGACGAGACGAGCGGGAATAAACGTCAACTGCGATATTGCCGGAAGTTCAAACAGATCAGCTCTTCAGTATGGTAACAAATGAATACGGCACCGAGGGAATAGACAATTAATGACTTCGTGTACTACTGCAGATAATTTATCATACATCAACCCCCATAGTTAGAACGAAAAACACCGCCACGCTTTTAAAGAGAGTAAGACTAGTGATTACGACCGTTAGATACCCGAGTCATCCTGGAACACACCGGTAGCGTTCCACAGATTCGCCTTGTCCGAAAACCACGAATCCCAGTTACCGCACACTCTCTTCGGCTCCTTCAGCCTCTCCTCGGTGAACAACGCCTGCAACTCCTGTTGGCGTTCTAGGATTTGAATGGCCAAGCCACTAGACGCGTGCCAGGCGATGTGACAGTGGAAAAGCCAGGAGCCGGGATTGTCGGCTTTGAATGCCACCACAAGGAACCCCCCAGCCTGGAGCAATGCTACATCGCGTCGTGGTGGGTTGTCGAACTTCAAAGTCGTGTTTGCTATCTCCGTGACATTGTCACCCTGTGCGAGGATGGCAAAGTCGTGACCGTGGAGATGTAGCTGTGGAAGAATTAGACTGGTTCTCTTCGATGACATTTTCTTTTGGACTTACGGGATGTGCGGCCGTGGGGAAAGTCTTATTTGAGAGGATGGCTTGGTTGGCTTCGGGAGCAGCGATGGCCATATATACCCACCCCCCTTTGTTGCTATCCGGCACGACTACGTAGTCCGTGTCCCACGTTGTGTTATCGAGGTTCAAGACGGTCGGGTCGGAGAAGTTCAACCACATAGGGTTTGCTCCAAAAGACCAAAACGCGAAGTTGTCTCCGGAGGCTGGCCTATTCGGGCTCTGGTCTGTTCCAACTACGTACGGCTGAGCAGCTAAAGTCCAACGAATTAGATTCATCGATGGCCATCTTTTTCATGAATTGGTGTCCTTACCGCCAAGATCAACGGGAGTAACATTCCACTGAAGAATGGGCTCTAGCGACGTGTAATTCTCGTCGCGACAGGCTAGGGAATAGTTGGTTCTGAAGGTAGTGGGCACATCGATGCTACTAGCGTTATATCGGAGAATGCCCTGGCGCTCATCGGGCTCGTTGCCAACTTCGAATCCTTGGCATCCAGTTGTTGCGACCGTGCGAATCCAATAGTTCCCGTCCGACGCTGCAGGGAACTTATCAGTATTGATGGGATCCGCGTTCAGGACGACGTGGTATCTTTGACCTGCAAAATACGATACGAGTCAGTGATTGCTATTATGATCCCATGGATGTTATTGGCTCACCAATTCCTATAACAATGTGATCCGTGTCATAAGGTTTAATCGGAACGAAGTCCGTGGACATAACAGTAAGGTTATGGTTATCAATGCTGAAGATCCAAGTTGTGTCGACTGATGTATTAATGATACGCAGGATGTATTTCTTGCCCTATGTCTCGATTGTTAGTACACCATGATCCTCTCTTGGAGGGGAACCTTACCTTCGTTACTGTCATGTTATACCTCTCCGTCGGAAAGCTACCGGCGAAATTTCCTGAGACTTATTAACAAAGACACCGACGGTATAAAAGAGAGCGAGTGGAACGCACCAATACCATTGATCAACACTCCGTTCATGGTAGGAAGACCTGGTTCAAGCGTGAGTTCTCGCTGCCAAGACTCGAATGCACTATGATGGCTCCAGTCGGTGATTAGGATGGGGTCTCGTCCTTCATCGTAGTTAGACGAAGATGGGCCGTAGATCGTGATAGGTCCAGCTAAGCCGTCAGCGTATTGCAAGGAGTAATGGCTGTGATACCAGGATGATCCGTATTGGACAGCTTTGAATTCGTACGTGTAGCTGTCTTCCGGGGCGATAGGGCATTGCGAGACACCGTTGACACCATCCATTTCGAAAGTTCCGTTCTGCCTGATACCGTGCCAGTGAATCGTTGTACCGTTAAATTGGAGCTTATTCTTGACCGTGACCTTAATGGTATCACCCCAGCATGCTTGGATCCAAGGGCCAGGGTAAGTCTGGTTGAATACCTTGCCATCTGGATTTACGACGCCATCACCGTTGATAGGCATCTCGTCAACTTCGAGATAATACTGTCACGACATCAATTACACGAAGAGAGACGATCACGACGTAGGGACTTACTTCTCGAGTGATCCCTGGAGGAGCGCGAATTTCATAGTCTGTGTTTATGTCGTATGTATCATTTGGGCCCTTCAGCCAACATTCACGGTCGTCTGGGGTCGAGCAAGACTCCCAGCCGTCTCCGAGGGTTGGGTATTCGCATATGAAGCTTTCACCTGACTCCGGGCCATGAGGCGCCGGGAACCTAGGGGACGCCTTTACCGCATTAATATCACCAAATGAGAGGACAGCTTGGTTAGAAGGGCCATTATTTCCAATATGAAATGGCAAGGAAAAGATGGTGGTGATTGAGAGAGCAACAGCTTTACAAGTCTCGTAGAAACTCATATTGAACGACTTGGGCGGCGGGGTATCTTTGCAGAGGGTTAGAGCACAGAGTCGAGCATTAAAAGGCTTGACGAACTCGGGGAGATGCGCAAAGAAATCTGCAATCGTTCGCCAACGGCTCCCTCCGCCCGTATCCTTTTACGGATCATAAGGTACGCTTATCGCCACACGAAAAGGAGGGGGGCTAAAGTTCTTTCTTGATGTGATGAGCCACATCATGAACCAATGTGATGAAGATGCTTCCATATCAATGGTAGATCCCAGCCGTTAGAAACCAACACTTTCGCTCATCGGCGAGTGATATCAAGGCGTTCTCGAAACCGGGCCATTTCTCGGCGTGTTATTCTTCTTCTGTTAGGGCGCTGAAAGGGCGGCTCGCTCGGCCGGAACTGGTAAGCTAGCGGCGGTGAACTTGAATAGGATATTATGATGTCTGACGTTGGAGACTAAGAGCAAGTCTACAACGCCGTTACTGTTAGGAATGTCACGCGAACTTGTAACTTGTGTAACGTGAAGGGGCTGAACATGTAAGCCCTAATGGTAAGCCTTAGTTAGCCTCGGGTGAGTGCTTCCGCCGCAATTGGAAGAATGCCATCGATTGTGCCGTCTTCGCGCATTTCTCGGAAACACCTGACACTTCATGACTGAACCGGTCTGTACTACATATCAAGGGAATTAATTGTGGCTGTATATCATATTACGTGAGGCTACCTAAACTCGCGTATATACCTACGCAAGTTGTGCCATGTAGGACTTCGCGTCAGATTTCGACAGCGATAAAACGTTTGATATATATGGTAAGCGAGTATCCTAATTCAACACACCAACAAAACTCGTATTGCGATTAGCTAGGCACCTAATGATGGCTAGGCAGTAAACGAACATGGTCTGGAGATTAGCTAAAGATTGAATCGTAAACATGTTTTAGAGTGCCGTAATAGTCACTACCTCCTCCGTAGATTAGATACTGAACTAGACACATTGCTTTTACGTACTATCTAGTAAGTTATACCCAGAAAGGGCATATATCAGGCTTTTGAGGCGTTAGAATTATTGTTCGTATTACGTTACGTACTTCGACATCATCTACGCCAATCTTGGACTTACGTGCTCCTGATATTACCAAAATCCCATATAACCCAATTGAGTAGTTTTGATGAATGGGTTATACCAGAAGTTGGGGTACCTGTTATAAAAATAGCTTCGTTACACATTCACTGATATGTTTGTAAAGGACTTGAGGAGTCATATATGTTGCTTTTCTTTTCTCCCGTGCGCTTGGTCGGTTGCAATATATTGGTTCGGGTCACGAACTATCTCAATCGGGAGAGAAGAATCGAGAAAATGTCCTAAATTAGTTTAATGACGTGTAGACCGCCTAGCGAGGACTGTATCTATAACTACAGAGCGATGATAGCCGATGCTACGTGCATGTTGGTGCTGCCTTGAGGTATGGAGGCTGACAGCCACTCCCCAAAAGGAAAGGGGCGGCGCGGTAAGCTATCACTTCATTAATCTATTTCGCAAATTGAAAAAGCCAAGAGGTTGGTCCTTTTGTGTTGGATTCCAAGACTGTTAGAGGAACATAACCAGCACTGAAACCGGTACGGGACAAAGACTCCCTTTCCCGTGTGGCTCGCGTTGTCTTAGAGGATTTAATGACGTTTATTAATTGTGATCTTCAAGATTTATCAAAAGCACTTTTTAAATATTCGCATAGATGCCAAGCCTCTCTTGCTTCCGTTGGGAGTTTTAAGAACCGCCAGAGACACCATCCAAATAACCAATCATAGGCAATTTGCAGGACTCCAAATAGAGGCGTTTACCAAAAGCCAAGATACCAGTGAGAATAACGGGTTTTGTTTATGTATAATCATATTCGAGTAAGTACTTGATGTTGAAATCGACTCATGTTAAAACCTATATGAGTCGAATTCAAGCTCCAACACCCTTTGAAAAATAGAAGAAAGTTACTCATAGCTTCACTACGATTTCACCACTACTTGGGTAGGTATTTGAAATGCAGCTATGTTTTGGATCCAAACAGTTCATTCTAGAAACCTCAATTATTAACAACATAATGTCTGGAAGGTCTATTCACCCCTATTCTCCTATCTGGGGAAATTCACATCAAAATTTTCATTTTTTCCTAGTGAACCTACGGTAGATATTAGCACGCGGGACTTTTTTCAACAACGCAAGAATAAGCCCCATAAAGCACACCTGAGATTGGGTTTCTTTCAATTGAAGACCTGGGAACTGATTGGATTTACCAAGTTATTCGTATTCAAACTTTGGTGTAAATCATGTTATGATAATCATGTTATGAAAAGGGAGTGTTGCTGGATGGGATCCTGCACGATGAAGTGTTGACCTGAATGGCAACATTAGCCCAATATTGACCTCTTTATGGTGTGTAGTTGGGTGGTTATGTACCCTTGGCCTGTGAAGGCACTCGCCATCACAAATGTATCCACGAAATAGTAGCAAGAGCATCCACGAAAGCCTCGTAACGTGCGGGAATATTATATGTGCAAGAACGCCCACGCTCTTTGAAATGGTAGGATCTAATAAGTATGGGTTTTTTAGGGGCAGCCACGGATTCCTGTGAACGTACAAATTTACCAACTATAGGGGCAAGAACATTCATATTCCTTCGACCTAATCAGCATGTATTTCTTATGTATGGGGCTGATTACGACTGTGCACACATTGGAATACAAGAACGTTACCTACCTAGTGAAAAGGGGTAACCACGACTACGTAAACAATTGGATATAGGGGCGTTTTTAACGTGACGGCAATTACGACTATACACATATTGTTGATCAATGCGACTCAGGCAAGGACGACTACAGGGGTACCATGGGCGTGGGAGCGTTATGCAAGGAGGGTAATAACGACTATGCGGACTTTTGAACAGAGGAGCGATTCATGACGGGGGCAATCACGACGAATACGGGTTCTCCCACACCGTCGGGGGTAATTACGACCCTGTCTACATTTACAAACCGAACGTAGGAACATTCAAGACGCTGTGATTACAAGAGTTATTGTAAAATATGGGTAACTACGACTACTCAGGTATATATATATGTTCGGTGACTGGTAGTGGGAACGACCATAGGAATGTTTTAAGAACAGGAAAGACTGCAGAAACGACTACGATGACAGCTACAGGGGCGACTGTAAGAACGACTGTGAGAACGGCTGTAGGAACGACTACACTATGAGGGTACGAACGACCACTGTTTATGAAATGGGGGCAGGAGCGTTCAGGGAGGTGATGTGCTAATATTTTTCGGTCGGCGATGTTGAAGATGTAATGTATCTACTTAGAACAACATCCTCTAGCACAGCCCATGGGGCTTATAGGTACAAATGAAGTACTTGAAACGCGCAACAGGCAGTATCGTCGGTGCTGTGTGGTGTTTTGCCCCAATCACGAAGCCAAGAGACTCGACGACCCCGTATAAGAAGCGGGCCATATCGTCGCCCTCCCACATAATATCCTTCTGCCTAGAAAAAAATGAAGCCTTGGAACCCTAGGGCATTCATAACACACGATGTTGTTTTTTCAAATCTGCCAGAAACCCTACTTGTGTCTTACCACCAACACTCAACCCTCTCAGCCCTCCATCCCTCCACCACTTTTACCACCCTTTCTATCACATTCCCACCACTCTTTAGCCACAGCTATTCCACATCACCTCAAACATCCTAAGCAGATTTAAATGACCAAAATATTGCTCACCAAAACAAAACAAATCAAAAAAAAGAGGAAATTTCAAGCAAATCCATTCCGCTCCCCCTCCTTAGAAACAGCCACACACTACCCTTCTCTAGCTTGGCATGATTTAAGAACATGGAAGGAAATAATCTTGAACTCACCATACATCCCATCGTCTTCGTATACGGCCGGGATTTTCCCTACTCGAACTGGTAAGTCTCCTACCACTAACGCAAGATTTCTTGCTTGAAGCACTTGAGCCGTCGCTCGCCCACTAACACGAGTGTCTAGGCACTCAGCAACTTAAGCTGATCGACAGGCCGTAGTAGGTTGAAAGCCGCGTCTCTGGCTTTATTTTCTTCTTCTCTCCATTCTCTTCCTATTTCAATTGCTGTATCTGCGAAGTCTTCGCCCACAATCACTCGGTCGCAGCATTGGGTTTAACCCTTATAACGGCGTTCATTCTATCATACTTCTGTTTGATTCTCTCTCTTCGTCAAAATGGCGATATCCCCAGCCCTTGAATCCCAATCATCTCATCGTCATCTTTTCTTCTTTCGCAGAATGACAGTCCTGTAGCCGTGTGCCAATGACGCCGGCTTGGGATATTCGAGCGACACATCCGTCGAATTTGCCTCCGTGGCGAGACCTTCTCTCGCCAACTATATTGTCGTGCTGCGCGACCGCGAAACACGATAGCTGAGCGCATTCCCCCTTGATTAATTTTCAAGATCAATCATCGATTACCTCTCTTCGCCGTAATGGCCGCCCCTCCTAACTGGAACCAAGATCATACAGCGCCGCCGTTGCTGCGGCCGCAATGTCTCGTTCGTGGAAAAGATCAGCACGGCCTTGTGGTTTCATCTCCCGTTTCTACTATCTTGGGATCTCAGAGCTCCGTCGGCTCTGCCGGCGCTGGCACTGTTCTCAGGTATCGCCGTTGTGAGCACCGATAGAACGTCGTCACTGGCGTTCTCCAAGTCGTCGGATTGTCGCCCAAAAGAATGGTGGACATCACCGAGTCGTAGTAAGTTGAAATACTTTCATCCGCCTGCCATTGAAATTTCGCTAACAGAATTTGTCACAGTACGCGAATAGGCTCTAAATACGAGTTCGCTTCATGCTGGTCAAGCAGTGGGCCGAATATCCCAGAGGACCTCCTAGCTGTAGCCCCCCGCATAAAGGCTCTTAAGAGCGCCGGACCTCCTGGACGGGATACGACGTTATCTTTAGGTAAGTCATCATCATGTTTCTTGAGTAGAATCGGGACTAACTGTTCGTAATGTAGCTGAACTTCCAAGTCCGGAAGCGTGTGGCGGGCCTCAACTCAGGTCCGGTCGTGGAACCTGTACGGACGATGATGATTATCAGGCCGCACCGCCAGAGCCACTTCGAAAAAAGCTCCCAACCGGTAGTCATGGCGGGGGAGGCGACCTCCTAGGTATTCCGCCAATGCATCGTCTACCTGAAGGGCGCATGTCGCCAGTGCGCCGCGTCGCATCCGCTCTACGACCGCGCCTCAAGATTTAGGGGCCAAGGACAAGTTCCTCATTGAGGTGGAGTGAGGGCTTTGTGGAGGGAATCGATAACCGGCCGAGCTGTCACGGATGTTGGAGGAGATTGTTTAGCTTTTCGGAATTTGCATGCGCGGGTAAATCATCGAGGCTTCTCAATCCGTCAAGCAACGAGAAGCGGGGAGGCCGGGTGGGCTCAGTAAGAACACGACACGGCGAGAGCATAGGAAGGATACAGCTTTATGCGCACCCCTAAATGCTTTTTCCCCCCCTCTCCTTGAAACTGGGATGATCTAGATAGACAGGGGAGGAGGGATGCCGCCCCGATTCCAATCACTCACGGAGTCCTGGGTTCAGACCGACTGACGATAGTTGCGATCAAGACTGGAAGTGGAGTCCCTACACCTCCAAGCGTATAGAGATCAACTACTCGATGATGGTGAGTTTTACCTTATGAGTTTTCCTTATACGGGCGTACTTATAGATATGTGGTGAATCTGTTCAGCGATGTGCTAACGAGTGTGATCTAGAATTCAGTGAACATTGACGGCGCCTCACCATAATCGTCTTGATGGCTCGTCTCTAAGCCCACAGGCACTGGTTCTAGCGGAGGCGGAAGTGATGAAGAGATGGTGGATCATTTGATGCATCGACTAGCGAGGAGTCAGGCGAAGGCCGATTCCCCTACCCCGCCCGACCCTTGGAGGTTCGTACGCTAGGGACGAGGAGCTTCCCTTCACCCCAAGCAGCTTTTGCTGGAGCGGGCTCATCCCGTTCTACCACCTCCTGTCACTCTCCTAACGAAAACATCTTGCAGAAGCGGGATGTTTCTGGCATCCACAAATTTCTGTCAAGGTATGTGAGCTTATCCTCGCCCCTTTATCTTCCTTGAGCATCCGATTAATATGATGCAGTGGGATTCGGTAATCCCATACGGGAAACGTCGGTTTGCCTTGACTTGCCGCAAGATAAAAGAGGAGACATGGGGCTCAAGAGGCGACCCGCAAAGAATGCCGGTCGGTGTTAGAGTACGACCAAGGCTGGCAGGCGCCGATTGCTAGCCACAATATAACTCGAATCGACTTGTCAGGCCGTAAGAATAGTAACGGCCCCACTGACTCTTCGGATTCCCAAAACACGGGCCCTCGAGGTACGATTCTCATAATCGCCCTTCTATTAGGTGGACTAAGAAGGGCTGGTAGCTTGCCTCACCGGAGGAGAACGCCAACTTGAGGGATCTGTTAAGTGTTGGCGACGACAAAGATGTAGAGAACACAGTCGCCGAGGTGACTGCTGTGTTCAGGAGTGTTAGTGAGGACTCCAGAATCGGCGGCCTCAGACGTAGAGTCGGTGGCTTTAGGGCCACTGATCCCCGGGTCACTGATTCTGCTGTCGGCAATTCATGCGCCAGCAGTTCTCGCGCCGGCGTTCCTCGTACAGGGAGGCTTTAGATGAAGGAGAAAGAGGCAGGAGCGGGGGCAGGGGCAAGGTCAAGTGCGATGGCGTGTAAGGGAATGCTACTAGGAAAAGAAGAGAATTAAAAACTACACACTTAAAAAGAAAAAAAATATATGTATAAAAATTAAAAAAAAAAAAAAAGGTTCTTTAAACCCACACTTCTCTTGCTTCACCATCGCTCTTTTTCTCACACCCATTCACCCTTTCCTCCAATACACCGATCATGTTGTCCATACATCCCCGTTTCCATACCTCATCTCCTCTCCATCATGCTGAAAATTCCTTGTATGGCCCAATGGGAGGGTCCTATCGGGGCCGGAATGGATGGATAGATACCTTGGTATTAACTGTTCGTATCATGGAAATCGCAACCCACGCGACCGGGGTGCCCTCCATCGTGGCCGAGCCATATCAGTTCAGGGAATCGCGCAATGGCACGACAATTGATGCGACTATGAGCAGACAACAAAGCGAGATTATTTAGCTCAAGCGGCCATCATACGCGACCGAAATAATCAAGGGCCGAGCTATTCGATTGATCGACCACCATATCAGGTCTCCCGGAAGAAGACTATATATGCCTATCACACATAGTCTAGTGGCTGCCATCAGCGAGATGGTCTAGAACTCGGGGCATCTTGATGCCATTGATAAGGAGCCCCGGGGCCGTCCTTTTGACCCAGACGAGAAGTTGGTAAGGTTGGTGCTGCCTGTTAAGCCTTGATGAGGCTGGCGTAGAGTCACATGGAAGTGGTGCTGATCGTTGGCATCGTGAGTATAAGGGCCAGGGAGAAAACCGGGAAGACTTACGTACCGGGAGCCTGCCTGCTGAGGACGTTACTGTTTCCGAGGCGTCCCAATAGTAGACGGTGACGACCCTACCATTTCTACGATCCCTATCTAGGGGGAAGTAGATCCTAACGACGCGCGCGAGGAGTAGTTTGTATATAAATATGCACTAGTGGTTAGGAAATGATAGTCAGAGATTCAATATTCAAAATAACCCTCAATGACAGCATAATCTCAATCGGATCGTTCGAAGCTAGATTATATCCCATGGGGCTGGTTTGATCCGCAAGCCAGGATGCGTAGTTGCATCCCGAGCTATCAATCGTTGTCTCCTGTTATGTACCTTGTAGGTTTTCTCCTCTAAGCTACTTGAGACCTCGATGGGACCGTGGTCACTTGGCAAGTAGTCCGGGTGTCTCAACTTTCTAAATGCCTTCGTGATCCTATCTAGGATGTCTGAGTTTTGAATATCAACATCATGGGTTTTACCCAGACCTATGATATAGAGCTTTCCTTCGTAAGCATACCAAACACATCGATCCCGAAAGCTATGATAAAGCCAACGTTTGCATAAATTCTCTACTATGTCATCATCACTCGCTCCTGATGGGATCGGAAAATTGTCTTGGTGGTTTAACAAAGGCCAATCCTTCTCATTTTCTGTAAGTATATCTCGGAGCAACCGCATAGGCCCTGGACCGTAGTCCAAGGCCGGACCCCCGAAGCCCCCACCAAAGTTCCTAGGATTTTGTTGGTTTTCATTGAAGATTTCGCTTGGTTTTAGTTGAGGCGTCCTTAATATTGGTATTGTGAGGCATGGATAAGCAATGGCGGTTCTGAGAGGTTGCGGGGGCGCAGGCGCGGCATTTATTAGTTGAGCACGCTGTTTAAATATCTTGCATATTATACGTTGAATGTCCGATGATTCGTTATCGCCTTCTAAGCTACGTCTCAATTGACTTCTGACCTTTTCAGGTAGCTCACGCTGCTTTTCAAGAACCTTTCGGCACTGATTAAGTATCTCTTGGCCTGAATACTCTTCAAGGAAGGTATCACTGACTGTGACGAGGACATCATCAGCTAATTGGTTTGGTTAGTAGATAATTTCTAATACTTGGTAGGCGGAAGGATGACGCGGAGTACGGCGGAGTAAATTTTGGAATAAAGAGAAGATGGCTGCCGGCAATTCCCTTGCACAACTGAGCATAGGGAGGATTCTGTTTCGCAAAGCCGCGTCCGTAGTATTAATCCAGGTAGTTATGACTCTGACGAGCGCCGGCGAAATTGTTCTTCCTTTAATTCTCCCAAAGAATAACTTAAGCAGTGATATGGAAACCTCATCTTTGATCGATCTTCCCGCTGCTTCCTCGACTATACGGTCCAGCCACTCCCTTCCCCATAATAACGGATGCCACAGCTTGGGTTCTAAGGCGACTCCAAACCGAAGCCACTTGGATAATTGGGTTTCCCGAGACTTGGAAAACGCTATATAGTTTTTATGATTATCCCTTTGGATCATCTCATTGAGACAACACATGACTAATCGTTGATGCGTAACACCCAAAAGGTCGCGAGGTTTTGATTCGATTTCCTCAAGGAAATCAATTTTTCGATTCTCGTACCCGTCCAGCAAACCAGCCACAAAACGCCAAAAGAGGTTATATCGTTTATCGTATTTGAATTTTCTAATAAATTCGCGGGCGGATATATTTTCATCTTTGAATATGAGGCATTTGAGTCGTTTTTTCTTTTCCCAGTGCCTCGCGAAGTATCGTGCAGCGAAGTATTCCTGGAATGTTAGATGTATAAAGTAATATTTTGGTGTACCGTGCTTTGGCGAAAGGTCTGAAGTCCGAAAGAAAGTGAGAGGGCGTAGCTCGGTTTGGAATTCGGTTATTGGATTAAAACGCCCGGGTAGATGGGATAGCTGGAACTCGTCTAACACAGCCGAGTAATGCTTCGAGCTAAAATATATCATGCCATTGTAATGTCCAGTGAAAGCAAGAGCTTCAAGAAGAGAAACCTTATGTTTGACTGTCTTGTCACGCGTTCGACTGTCCCCAACCTTGACATCATCTACACCTATTCCGCTTCGTTGCGAGCCACTTTTCTTCCATAACTCTTCTGCAATGGCGTTGTACGCTACAGTCATTGTCTGTGGTGCTGATCCTAGCCTGGTAGCGTCCCATGTATGGCAAATTGCATCGAGAATAATTGGGATCCGCGCGAGCCCTTCAATAAGCCCATTGTCAAGGAGAAAGTCATATACCTTATCGGCTTCAACCTTCGCGGGAAAGGCCATGTTGATGTACTTCCTGACTTGAAACCGAGAGAACCCAACAAGTTGTAGTTCGAGATCAACATTGATATCGTCCGGAACTTTTGCGTACGGACGAGACATAATTATGAAGTTTGGTTGCTTGAGAAGAGCCATAAGTAATGGGTGTGCCCTATTATCACGCTCTGTATCGAGTAGTTTATCTAGACCGTCGAGGAGGAACAGGGTCTTCTTTTCTCGGGTTACTTCTTCAAGTAACGCACGAGCTAGCCTTTTCCCGTCAACTTCAAACCCCATGTTAGTCGAAAAATACTCTTCGTAAAATAGGTCTTCTAGGCTAGATAATCGATCGTAGGTTTCGAGTCGCCGCAGGGGCACCCACAACAAACGGTCAAACAAGCCCTTCCATAATTTCTCATGTTTGAAATCGTATACTATCTTCTTACACAGCGTCGTTTTACCGCTTCCAGCGTTCCCTCGAATCAGTACCCGCCTTGGTCGTTCATAGAATCCATCAGGTCCGGTGCATGGCTCGAAGATATTAGCGGGTAAAATTTGAGCAGCGATTTCCTCTTCTGGGACAATGAAATCGGAATGTTCTTCGGGAAAACTGGGAGGCTCGAAAAAGCAAGGGTTGATACTGCTGGGGGATGTGGATTCTGACGCTGGCTCGTCATCTAGCTCCATAAAACGAAAATCTGAAGGGGGTTTTATTTTTGCCATTTCGTCCTTTGAAGCCAGGTCAAGTGATCTCGTAGAAAGTGATGTAGTAACCGATATGGATTCCGACGCTTTCTCGTCATCTAGCTCAGTGGAACGAAAATGCGGAGGGGGGTTTATTATTATCATGTCGTCCGCTGATGCCTCGTCAATTGACCTCGTAGAAGGTGATGGAGTATCCGATGTCGTCCCCCTCCCATCTTGACTTAAAATAGTAAGATTAATATAGCAATTTTCTAATTCGAGTTGTTTGCCGGAAATACGTTCAACTCGAAGCCTCTCGTCATCATAACACTTTGCACGTATTAGAGTATCTGCTTTATCGCTAGGCAGTGAGACGCATTTGATCTGTTTAACGAGTGCTTGATACGGGCCTTCATTCTCATCTCTACATTTGTTGAGACCCGAGTGATCAGTAGCGATATGGTGCCATTCGTTAGCGTGTACGTTAGCCGAGTTTCTATCGACTATCTATCTATATAGACATTAGCTTGTCACGATAGATCAGAGACCGTTGATGCATACGCGGCCAAGGTAGATCCAACCAAATAGGTAGGTAGGCTTTGTTTCGTAGAACGAAACAATTCTAATTTTCTTTCTTTGACTATTTTGGTTGAGACACTTCTTAAAGTCGTCTGATAGGTCCGAAAGGTGACTCTCATCTTTTCGCAGGGATAATAACAATAGAGTCGTGGAGCCGAGAGGAGAGAGTAAAGAGGCAGCAAAGGTACCGAGGGCAGCTGCATTTGAACCATGATGGGGGGTGCCAAGGAAAATAATACCACATGTCCTATCGATAATTCTGTGCGGGCTGGCTCTAGCTTCACTAGATTGGCGTAACGCCTTCATATAGAGCGTCAGCGCCTGAAGGTTGACATTAATAATTTCGCTAGGTTTGTCTCACCTCTTTGACAACGAGTCCACCGAAACTATGGCTAATAAATATTATTGGGACATGCTGGTAAACCTTTTGTTAATAAAACTTGCCATTCCAAGAAATTCAATCTTTACCTCATAGGCTTGCTGAGAGCTTACGATCTCGTCGTACAACTTCTTGCCGAGTTCTCTGGCGCCCACAATGGGGGAATTAGCCCACGGGTAGCTATCGTAAGAAAAATATCGGATACGAGCATTGGTGAAAGTTTCCCCAAGCAATTCGAGTAAATTAACTCTTCCCGTAGGGTTGAGATTAGTCGGGACGGATCGAGTCCATGTGTACTCATAATGCGCGCCGAGACTATGGACAGCAATAATTCTAGTGTAGGAAAATTCAGTAAATGAGCTAACTATCTAGGTAACTTAGGTGTCGACCCTTACTCAAACTTGGGCTTGGAGGTCACTTTTTCGGCCGATTTTCGACTATCGTAGAGGCCATCTAGTCGGCTTTCGCCATGCCGACGATAAACCTTCACAATTAATGGATATAAGAGTGCGGAGCATAGTAGCAAAGCCACTGCCTCAATGATAGCTTTCCAAAGACTCATGGTACGATGGTCGCCTTAAGATTTATCCACTGAACTAGACAACACCAATGTGAAAAAGTTGACAGAAAACTGGACGAGGTGAAGTGCAAATGGCGCCGGACAGTGCCAGTTTAAATGCCGATCGTACTACTGGCTGCATGGTACCGGTTTACTAAAACCCATTTAAGCCTATCTCATAGTCTTATTTTAATGGTCAAGATTGGTGTTATTGGCTTGCATGTATGGCTGGCACTTGGGCCACGGGTGCCCAGGTTGATGCCCTGCTGGTACAGCAGAAAATGGCCACCTATATAAGGCCAAATGTACCTGATGTTACCTAGGTACGTCACTGCAATACAATAGCAACGCCTTAGACACTGGCGTTTCTTCCTGCTTTCTTCCTACCCTAATTCATAACTTTCCTTACTTAATATACGCACCCTGATAGATAGCTAATTTTCATGGCCTGTCACTTCCATGGGTAAGCAGGGTATTACCCAAGAACCTATAAGTTGTAAATTTCATAAGCTAGAATAAGGACTGAATATAACTGGTAGGTTGGTTTTGACGTCCTCAATGATGGAGATGATTTCAAGCTCGGTTTGCTAGTTTCTTACCACATCAAGGTACTAGAAGAAAGAAGCGTCGTACTATCACCGACCCATTAACGGGCGTCCCGGAGTTCCTAGGGCAGGATTTATTGCTCGGTAGTTTAGTATAAATGACGAGATATTTCTGGTTTGTCGGTGGCATGCACCCCGCTACGCAGTTGCACTTTCAGGTTGCTATGGGTTGAGAGATCGCCGCATCCGACCGAATGGATTTACATCTATTATGAGATAATGTCGGGAGGATTTACTCGAAACCTATTCCAAGATATCTACTATACCCGAAAGTCTGGACGATTAGCCTTAATTGCCCGGAGGCTGGCGCGACTATAGAACACTCTTCCGCGAAAACCTCCCCCGGATGACTGCCGGCACCGTCTTTATCGCATTGGTGCTGACGGCTATGCAAGTCGGACTCGCTACAGATCGGCTCAAATATGACGAACGCTTCCAACAAGCATCATACGGTTTCACAGTGTTTGCTATTCTAGGCCCGTTGGGCGCTTTCGGGTTGGCGGTGTTAGGGGCATTGTTGAACCTTTTGAAGGATCTTCCATGGCTCTTCGCCAGTAATAGGGTACGCGAATCGGATAATGGTGGGGGACCCGCAGTTCCGGCGAGCAGCGACAAAACAAAGTCGTTGGGCAGCGGCGTAGGAACATTAGGTGGCAATGCTGAAGCTGCGGCTTTAGGTAATGAAGATGCTATTATTGAAATAGATAATGCGGGAGGTGGTAATCAGAACGGTCCTTGAGGCCGAGCAAGCCAGTCTGAATGTCCAACCAACCCCGGATTCTTGGCAAGCAATGGAACGTGGAAGAAGTTCTGAAGACGCCGGGCGCTATACCGAGTTGAGACTATTCGCGCAGCCCCACCCACTCCACCAAAAGCCGACAAAAGTTGGAGCGTCGAGGGGTTAGATAGGGGTATGGCATTTCTTTCACAGTTTAATTGTCACGAGTTACGTCTACCATAAGTCCCGTACGCCAACTTAATAGGAACTGCCAATACCCAAAATACAATGAAATCTTTCAATGTAATGGCATTTCGCATTATTATTACTAAATTTACAGGGCTCTAAGTGCTGTAATTATATGGGGCTTCAGCAGAGTGCCAAGGTGCGCTGTAACCATAGGGCACAACAGCGCTGAGGCCCCTATAATTACAGCGCACCTATAGTACATTTATAGTGCACTTCAATTAAACGCTATAATGCGCTGTATCTATAGGGCTTTATAGGGCACAGAGTACTATAATTATAGCGAGCTACAGCACTCCACTGAAACTTCACTGGAGTGTGCTGTAAATACAGCGCTCTACAGGGCTCAAGTCACAGGTATAGCGCATATACCACTACAGCTCCCTGTATCTACAGGGGACTTCAGCACATGACCCCCTGTAATTACAGTGGCACAGTACAGTACGCCACCATACTGTATATTCGTACTGCATTTTAACGCACTGGCAATTTATAGCTTATTGGACCGCCGTAATGGCATATCAATGTCGAGTTAGGTATATTTTCCAATTCCAATGCAACAAACATTCCAGTTTTGCCTTCCTAATTCTACTGCGTAAATCCCCTAGCTTTCCATTGAAAAAAAAAAAAAAAAGCGTAAAAGCACCGTCCATCTAGCGACCGCGTTATCCCAGCCCATAAGCCCTAAAATCAACGCCACCCCCACCATAAACAGCGCATTCGACACCTAAAGCTGAAGCTTTAGGGACCCTTCTAACAGGCCTGCAAAATAGTACCCTTATTACCAAAACACGTCAAAATCCCGCCGTCAGCAGAGATAAGTTCATCTATAAATATTAGCTTACACCCCCAACCCATTAGAATCACTATCGCTTACTCAAATCCGTGAAACTATTCCTACGGCGACCCTCCGCGTCGTCGTAATAACATACACAATTTAGCGTTGTTCCGTCCAAGGAACAAGTGTTAGGGTAGCATAGCGAGTTAAAGTGTCCCCTGAGAGGTGGTTAGTTTCGGGCAACTTGAGAAATACTGCGGGGAGTTCTTACTGGTCTTGCGCTGAGATTCCTCCATGGTGGGATGCGTAGCATAGATCTAAGTTGAGGACATTGCACTGCCCGCCGCAGTTCGCTTGTAGGTCAGTGTGGTCCTTCCCGTTGACGATGGAGACGTGTTCACAGTGGCTTGCGAAGCTGCCGTCCACTTGGGCGTAATAAGCGAAGGCGACGAGGGAAAGGAGGTATGCGATCTGCATCGTGAAATTGGGAGAGCTTAACGCGGTCAAGAAGGAAATTTGGTATGAGAATGTTAGGATATGAAAATGCGAAAGGTTACCAGAAACGACCGTAGAGGATTCGGGGAGTTATATAAATAATCACCTCGAAGTCGAACATGGGATACGTGGGTATAAATACATCGTGACTGTGAAAACCATGAAGTCATCATGGTGCGATACTCAAGCAGACTCCATGTTTGCGCTATGCAGAATAGGTGTTTGCCGCAAGCCAGATGTTTGTGGTCGAGATATTACATTAAAACCCTCGTCCTTTCAAAGTCATGACCTTATAAGGCCAATGTTTGCATCTCCACTCAGAGGTGAGCTGTATAATACCTATCAAGCGCCTACGATATGTTCTTCAATCTTAACTTAGACAATCATTCTTATTAATGTTAAATGAGGTTTAGGTGATTCAATCAGTACATGCCCATCTATAAATCTAACCCGTTAGGAACGTCAGAGTTGAGAAGGACCTTCATGTGTCACGAGGAGTTACTCAAGGCATATCCCCAATATAGAAGCCTACAAAGAGGCATTTCATCAAACCCAACAATGGCATAGTTATCTCTTGTAAACAATATAATATCCATTCTCTTCCATGAAAGAAATTGGCCCTGATTGCCAAAGGATGCGTTTTCGCGATGAACAATATCACCACCATCTAACACGTGTATAAAATGCCACCTTTTTCCGACCTCGAAGGCACAAGGATCCTAAAATACCACTATAGATTGCGTCGATGAAAATGCATCAGCCATTACTTTTTCTTCTTTACTTCTTCATTACCACGGTGTCGAGCACAGCTTTATTCCGCGATACTGGCGTTCCCAAGTGGGGTCCCACGAAATCAGATAGACACATGCAACGTGACGAGCACCAAGGTGATTCATTACCCGCAAATGCGGAACAGAGTAACTGGGTTCCAATTGGTATCACCCTGGGCTCTGTTGCGGTCTTGGGTTTAGGCGTCTTTCTTTTATTCTTCGTATGTCGTCCTAATATTGCTAAATGTATGTATAAAAAGGCTGAAGAGGGGAGAAGCTCTTCCAAGAAGGGTGGTGGTGAGAGCAGGTCTGCTGGACAGGGGCGTTGAGCTGAGTAGAGTCTCCATTAGCGAAAGTTACGTCGTGACTAAGAAATTCTAAGGTAGTTGGATGCGACGGTAGATATGACTCTTAACGATAATCTTGAGTACGATGCGCCACTCATACTAGGCATCTCCCGTTACTACTCGCTGGCTCATGTGTTAGATGTGAGATATCATGTTTATTCTATTACCTAGGTACTACCCTCGTAATGTGGGGCTTTCTTGGCAAAGAGGAAGAAGGGTTGAATGAAAACTTACAAATGAGAGGTACGATAAGTCACCTTCCTAAGCTAAGTGTCCATCATCATAAAGTAATAGAAATTAAGTAGGTATCTATCGTCTTTCATATCTGGAGAATCACGGATCTTTGTGCTTGATGTCTTGGCTGCCGTTTGTTTTTCAATTCGCATCATGTAAAGATTCTTTCATTGACCAACTTCTCAAACGAGCATCCACCTGTGGATTTATTACAACTTGGCCCGTTAAAAGACATAATTGTTCACCTTTGTCTTGTGGAAACAAGGGCCTTGTAGCTATTGAAGCCAATGAGGGAAACCTACTATATAGGATCAACTATCTCTGCAAGATATTTCATTGGGTATCTTGCTTCGATATCAGCCCGGAAGTCTTACTAAAATAGTTCATCTTCAAAGACCAGACATCCCGAACTTGTCCATAATGGAAACTACTCCGACCCAAACCCCCATTACTAAGCGAAAGGCCGACGATATGGCCATTGATGAAGACGTAGAAGCACAGGTTGCAGCTACCCCAGAAGAGCCAGCATCCAAGAAAGTCAAGACAGACTCAACAGAAGCCGCCCATAAGCACTGGAATGCCGATATGGAGATGCCGGAAGGGAAAGCACGACCTAAATTTAATGGGGAGGATGAAGAGGACCGGGCAAGTGGTAGCGGTACAGTCGAAGATCCCAAGCTCGTCTGGCTAGGTAAGGTACCCCTCGACGCCGAACTGAGGGAGGCGAATCAGACTCTTGCTCGGGAAGCTGCCTTAAGTCTGGACGAAGTCACCCATGTATACATCAGATATGCAGCGCAGTCCAACAAGTTTATAAATAGGGATGGAGACAGGATACGTATCTTCAACCCCGATACCATACTATTCGGACATAGGAGCGCAAAAGCGGACCCGCACATGTCCCTCGCCTTTGGGACTGACGCAGGGACTCTGTCCGTGTACGGTTATATCAATGTCGATGTTGATGAAGACGGGAACCCAGTGGACTTTGCATCGTCTCGAAACCCAGAGTACGTTATCGATGGAGATGATAGGATCTTCGAGCTTTTCTTTTATGAAGATGAGCAGCAAGATTGCGCCCCTTATTGCCCTACCCATGCGAAAAACGAGAAGCTTGTTGACGCCTGCTGGCTAGCTTCTGCTAGAGGCTGTCGTCACCATAATACGCAAGGTCTGCTTGACCATCATTGCCCTCGACCTCATTGGAGAGCTAATGCTTTCGCTGATCATTACTGCCACTGTCATCACAACGTAGCCGGCACCCTTGATCACTATTGTCCTTGTCGCCATGATCGGGCCAGATTGGATGTTACCTCCCGTCATTGCCGACACAAAGTGACGAGGAAGGACAGGGCAACCGGTGCCCACTATTGCGCCAACTATGTATTTTGAGGCCTACTAATACCTCCACTTATGTGTCGTGTTCTGTAAATTGCGCCGTATACAAATATCGTTGGGTGGTAATTTCTGGCGCGCGTACCTAAGCATACATTAGAATTTAGAATAAATCTCAAGAATAAATGATAAATAGGTAAAATCCGCATTCGAGTTCTCTATGTTCCGTACGTAAACCGTGCCTCTCACCAATGTGCCATTTACAGATTACCTGGTTGGGCCTTGGGACCGTTTTGGTCGGTGCGCTGAATTATTAGCAGGAAGAACTTCCAGGTATTTAGCGCGGAACACTGGGAATGAGTGTTACAAAGATATTCTTCAACAAATTTCTAGGTTTCGCAAGAGAATCTGTTATCGCGGGCTTCGAAACTCCCCTCGATTTTCTATGGGATCCATAATTGTACTTTTAAGGGATATCTGACTCGCTTCCTTATTCGTTTCGACCCGATTTGGTATCGTGCGAATTGAGACCTTCGCGCTCCCGCTTGAGCATGTGAATGAGGGTCGTTTCTGAATCTCTTCTCGCGGAGTGCTTGATGTTCGGTAATAAATTTGTCAAATATCTATCGCAAAGGGAAGAAGGTGATCGTAGGAGGAAGAACATTCTATACACGTTCTTCTTGGTGCATTTTTCTCGTCGCGGTTCGGTTTCGCATGTATGAGCCTGGTCGGCAGTAGACGCTGCAATACGGGCTGAGAAAACTGGTGTCGGCGGCGCCGGCCGCAGCGCAACTAGAACGAAACGAACCCGACTAGGGGTCTTTTTACAGCGGCGATCCCCTATCATTCGCCCAAATTTTCCCATCTTGTAGGTGGTTTAGTTCCCCAAGTCTGGTAAAAATGCCCGCCGCCATAAGAAATTCGCGTAATTGATTTAGTAACAAAGAACCAGAAGCCTCGCGCGTTGATTTTCAAAAACCAACTGAGAGAAATGAAATCTTTTCACGAAAAGAATTGTGAGGATGGTCAACATGCCACTTAAAATGGGTTATCCGCGGGAATAGAGGATTTAACCTATAACCAGTAGTAACATCGCTCGACGTGGGAGGCCTTTTACATATTGAGTCAATTCGGTATTTCTCGTTTTCATCGTAAGTTTTCTTGCCTGTTCGTCGTGACTCGTCGCCTCAATACTTGCCCACATTTGAAGTATCTGACTGCGGTCAATCGGCCCGCGGACTTTTTTGTCATTGTAGAAAAGGGAAAAGTTCTTTGTCTTTGCCATGCTGCCAAAACCAACCCAATCTAGAAGCAAGCAGGAATTACGCAGATCTCCTACGACCGGGGCCTGGGCGGGAAGATGCGTATTGATAAGTGCCAATCCGAGGAGGCGTAGCACCTAGCTGATAATTCTTGCATCAGGTCATTGAAAGTCTCCTGATGGTTGCAGGAGGGATTGTTATAGAGCCACGTGCGTTCCATAATATACTGAAGAGTGGGAAAAATCGATGGGAAATCTAGATCGAATTGTAGGAATTGGATTCGCATGGTCGATACCGTCTAGACTCTAAGGCGGATCACTAATTGAGAGATGGTGAGAGATGGTGAGAGATAATTGGCGGGAGTGAAATGGGATTAGAAACTGCTGGGGATATTGATTGGTCGAAATGAATAAAGAAGGTTATTACATAATACATTTAAGCTGAGATGGGAAAAATGTATGACGTAAATTTACATTTCCTAGGGTGTAAAATCAGCCCACCGTCGTCCCATTCCAACTGCTAAGTACTCGTTCTTCCGCATGCAACGACCATTTGTTCTTGCCCGTAGTCCCCCGTACTGGCCGTGGTTGCCGTACTCACCCGCAGTATGCCGGCAGCTTAACCTGCTCATTACCCCATTGCATCAGGCTATGACCACGCTATAATGTCATAGTTGCACGTTATTTTGTGTTAACCATGTCTTAGGTAGGCGTAACCAGGCGCTCAGCGGCGTCTCGGCTTGCCATTACCCGACTTTCTGGAATCGCTACCCACCGAATTTCCAATCCCAAATCCAATGATATCCAACACATGCGTTCAATCTAAGCAGAATACCTCACATGAATGGCCGATGTATGCGACATTTGCAGAAATTGGTCCCCTAGAGTCGTATCTAAAATAAATTGGAAAGTGGCCAGTATATGGAAGTCCATATAAGTAACCATCGTCACCAACATTCCTCAGGATTTCTATATCTATTATATCATCATCACAATTACTGAACATATACAACTCATATAGCTTGAGTAACCTAGAACAAGGTTCATTGAGACTCAAGCTTCATTTTAATATTCTCTCTCCTCCTTACTAGTTACACCAAGTCGGAGACCATAACACAACAGACAAAATGACAGATACACACCAAGCCGAGATCGAGGCGATCCGGCCATTCGGCAAGGCTCGTTCTACCATAACGGGTGAACCATTATCCAAGGAAGAAATCGAAAAGTACACTGATTTCTTCAAGGCCAGTCTATACCTCAGTCTTGGCATGATCTACCTCAAAGAAAACCCTCTCCTGAGAGAACCATTGAAGGTTGAACACATCAAGGGCCGACAATTAGGTCACTTCGGATCTGCTCCAGGTCAAATTTTCACATACATGCATTTCAACCGATTGATCAAGAAGTATGACATTGATGCCCTCTTCGTCTCTGGCCCGGGTCATGGCGCCCCCGCCGTCATCTCCCAAGCCTACCTCGAGGGCACTTACTCCGAAGTCTACCCTCAAAAGTCCGAAGACCCCACTGGTATGCAGGTCTTCTTCAAACAGTTCAGTTTCCCCGGTGGTGTGGGATCACACGCTACGCCTGAGACCCCCGGTAGTATCCACGAAGGTGGTGAGCTTGGTTATTCTATCTCGCACGCCTTTGGTACCGTTTTCGATCACCCTAATTTGATCACCGTTACTATGGTTGGTGATGGTGAAGCTGAAACTGGTCCATTGGCTACGGCTTGGCACAGCACCAAGTTCTTGAACCCCATTTGCGACGGTGCAGTTCTTCCGGTTCTACACCTTAACGGTTACAAGATTAACAACCCTACCGTGCTCGCTCGTATCTCTCACAAGGAACTTGAACAATTATTCTACGGATATGGTTGGCAACCATACTTCGTCGAAGGCGAAGAACTTGAGTCTATGCATCAAGCGATGGCCGCCACCCTGGAACACTGTGTTCTAGAGATTCGCAAGTATCAGAAGGAAGCTCGTGACTCGGGAAAGCCATTCCGCCCACGGTGGCCTATGATTGTCCTCCGTACACCTAAGGGCTGGACCGCACCCCGTAAGGTCAACGGTCATTACCTAGGAGGTTTCTGGCGTTCCCACCAAGTTCCTATCACCGGAACTACGACTAACCCCAACGACCTTAAGACACTTGAGGAGTGGATGCGTGGCTACGAGCCTGAGCGTCTTTTCGGCAAAGAAGGCAGAATCTCACCTGAATTGAAGGCACTTTGCCCCACTGGCACTAGGCGCATGAGTGCAAACCCCGTCGCTAATGGTGGTATAATATCAAAACCGCTCAAAATGCCTGATTTCAGAGATTACTCTATCAAGGTAGACAAATCCGGTGCTACGGTTGAGGGCAGCATGGCAAACTTCGCTAAGTTCTTACGCGACATCATTAAGAACAATCCGGACAACTTCCGTCTAATGGGACCTGACGAGACCGAGTCTAACAAGCTCGCAGCCGTATATGAGGCCGGTAAGAAAGTGTGGATGGGCGAGTTTTTTGAAGAGGACGAAGACGGTGGTAATCTTTCACCCTTCGGAAGAGTTATGGAAATCTTATCCGAGCATACTTGCGAGGGTTGGCTGGAAGGTTATATTCTGAGTGGCCGACATGGCATGCTTAATAGCTACGAACCCTTCATCCATGTTATTGACTCTATGGTCAACCAGGTACGTCAAGTAACATTAAACTCATTAGTTAAAATATGCTAATACCTTATATAGCACTGCAAGTGGATCGAAAAGTGCTTGGAAGTCGAATGGCGTGTTAAGGTCCCTTCGTTGAACATTCTCTTGACGGCCGTGGTCTGGCGACAGGATCACAATGGTTTCACACACCAAGACCCCGGTTTCCTAGATGTCATCTGCAATAAGAGTCCCGAAGTCGTCCGTATCTACCTTCCACCTGACGGAAACTGTCTCCTTTCCGTCATGGACCACTGTTTCCGATCCCAGAACTACGTCAACGTCGTGGTAGCAGACAAGCAACCCCACATTCAATACCTCACAATGGATCAGGCAATCGAGCACTGCACCAAGGGTATCGGCATTTGGCCGCAATTCTCGACAGACCAAGGCGAGGAGCCCGACATTGTCATGGCCAGCTGTGGTGATGTTTCAACCAACGAGTCGCTAGCTGCCATTGATTTATTGCTGCAACACTTCCCAGACCTCAAGATTCGTTGCGTCAACGTGGTTGATCTGTTCAAGCTGATCCACCATACGGACCACCCTCACGGATTGACGGACAAAGAATGGGTAGCCCTCTTCACCGCCGACAAGCCCATCATCTTCAACTTCCACTCTTACCCCTGGCTCGTCCACCGTCTAACCTACAAGAGGCCCGGCAGCACGAACATCCATGTACGCGGCTATAAGGAGAAGGGTAACATCGACACGCCCCTCGAACTAGCTATCCGCAACCAGACCGATCGGTTCAGTCTAGCTATGGATGCTATCGATCGTATGCCGACGCTTGGTAACCGCGGCGCGGCAGCACGTGATGCGCTCAAGAGCCAGCAGGTCGCGGCGTCGAACTACTCGTTCGAATATGGCGTCGACCCACAATTCTTGAGTGATTGGGCATGGCCTCAGGAAGGCGTGAAGGAGAAGTTACAGAAGCTGAGTCTGGCTTAATTAAACAGATTAGCGAGAAGTATGATTATGACGTGTCAGATAGATGAGATCGCATAGGATTGAAAAAGGAAAGCTTGGGTTGCATGAGGGGATGGTGTTTTGTGGTTCTTATTTCCTGGGCGTTCATGACTTGGTTAGGATTTTGGGATTTATTAAGAAATTACCTCGATATAATGGATGAATGTTAAAGTTATGGATATGTTCAATATCAAGTACGAACTCTTGCACTGGAAGTATTCCCTCTACCCTCTTTGGTGGATTGTGAGTACCCATTAAACATACCGTGATTATAAGACTTCATAACCCACACAGCTTAGACTAAACTCCAACAAAGACTATTTTATCGAGAATCGCTCCTTTTCCTTCCTCTAAATTTCCGATAAGTAACGTTTCAAGCACTGCGTAAGCTAGTTGTATTCGGCCCTATATATCAGTATACCTGAACCCCAGACGACATTGTGGAGTAGGGCTGCATAGCGTCGCATCCGTGAAGCTTAGCTATATAGTTGTTTCTAAAATTAGCGCCGTCCTTCTATACTCCCATGCCACGAGCTGAATTTAGGTGTTTCAGAATGACCTCAATCCTGGGCATTGCAACTAACAAAGAAATTAGAGCCTCGGTTTCGTCTAACATTCTACCTATACCGAGCTATCGCACTGAATGATTAGCTAAGGCGCGATACGGAATAGCTGCATTTGATACTTTAGGATCATGGCGTCGAGCTACAAGTACGAACCCCTACCGAAAAACAGCATCCGGTTCATCGAACTAGACCCAGACCTCAAAGATGGGAAACCACAACTTAAAGTCCTCTCCTGCGCGCGAGATGAAGCACCGGAGTATATATCAATGTCCTACTGCTGGGGGCAGGACCCAGAATCCGAATCTATATTCCTAGATGACCTACCATTCGCAGTACGACCGAATTTATTCCAGCTATTGCTTCACTTGCGTTACCACCGTCGGGAATATACAGAATGGCGATACTTCTGGATCGACGCAATATGTATCGACCAAAGCAATACAGCCGAAAAAACGGAACAAGTAAGCCGCATGGAAACAACCTACCGCAATGCGTCCACCATCGCAGCATGGCTCGGCGTGCCCCCGGCCGAGCGTAACCAAGAACGCACTGGGCGGGACCACATCTCGGAGCTTTCATCGCCGTCTCTTGTGGACGAGATATTCACCAGTGTGTATTGGTCGCGGATGTGGATCGTGCAAGAACTCATCTTAGCGAAAAACATAGTATTGCTCTACGGACATCTACGTCTACCGTGGAAGGGCATGAGCGGGGTTTTACAGGCGTGGTCGACCTTCGGCAAGAGCCGGTGGCGACATAGCGCTACGATTAATTTAGTTAATATGACAGTCGGCGCGGCGTATACCCAGGAACACGGGCGTGCGCTGGGTGAGTTGATGCGGTATTTAGAACACTCCGAAGCAACGGACCCGCGGGACCGGGTTTTCGCTTTGCTAGGATTGGTAGAAGGGGAGGAGAGGGAGGTATTAGGCACGATATTCCCGGATTACGAAATGAGTCATGAGAAGGTGATGTTGGTTACTATGGCGTATTTAAAACAGATATACGCTCCGCGACCGTTTAAGTGGGTTGTTAAGCCGCAGCAGGTTTGGAGTGAGAAGGTTTTTGGATTGGATAAAGAGACTTGGGAGAAGATGTGGAGCGAGACGGAGGGGTATGAGACGCCTCATGATTTGACGAATTATTCGAGTGTTTGGAATGCGAAGGGTATTGGGAAGTTGTTGAAGCCGGGACAGGCGGGGGAGACGTTCCGCGGACAGAAAGAGGAGCTTAAACGGCAAAGGAGAAAATGGTTTGAGTTGAGAGTGGATGCGCTCCGAAAATTGGCATCGGAGTCTAGCCGATGAAAGAGGTTTGTGTAACCTCACCTTTGGATTTCGGAGTAGAGGCCGATGAGGGTAGAATGAAGCGGATTAACTCCGATGGTCTTCTATGATATAAAAATTAGAAATTTGCATATGGGGAATAATTCCACTTCATGACGTATCGGTACATATAAAAATAGAATACAAATACTTGCATGCGTCGGATGTGTTGCGGAATCTTGCTTCGCGCACCGCGGGACCGAGAACACGAGGGTTCGGATGCATCCGATACACATAATTGCCACCGGAATAGCAAAGCGATGTTAGAATAGAGTTCCGAGTGTACGCTATAATAATGGTTCCTATCCTTAGTTAACTTGAGAGCATGCATAAACGTCAATTCTATTACCACGAGACTACTCGTATTGAGATTCGGTCCCGCTGGTAGTACATTCCGTCGGAATGGCATCGATCATCCTTAATTGTAGTGTAACTTAGTTTAGGTTATCGACCCTGTTACTTAGACACTGCATGTTTGGTAGGACTACCTAGGTATTTAGTACTACATCACTAGCTATCTAAGTCCCTTAGGGGCGTGCATGGAAAGCTCAGGACGATGAGAAGCTTAAGAGCAATATAAGGGTCTCATGGCTCGAAATTGATCTGTCACGAGTACATGAAGTTGAGATGGTTTAAATGAGGAGTGCTTTATATCATTTAAACCTCGCTAAAATATATATATGATGTTCGGCCGTATGAACTAATGTAGGGTCCTACGCTATGGTAGCTCTAATGATACCGACAGATTGGCTCGGTTCAAACCACACCACGGGTACTACATTAGATCTGTAGATCTAGATCAAGTATCACGACATGCGAAATCTCCACAAGAGACATGATCAAAATTAATTGATTGTAATACATCTTTGTTTAGCGAGCGTGAGGTATGCTAGGTTGTCATATATGTACAAATATTCCCCAAATGAAAAAACCAGATACCCAACATGCACCGGAAATTTTATCAACATCACACAGCGACAATATGTACACGGGAAAAGGGGGTGTTGCTATATACAGCGTGGGGGGGTTGGTCATGGCTCATCAAGCCATGATGTGAACTCTCAGGGGTTTAGTAATGTCTCTGAATGAAAACATTACCATCCGAGAGTATTGAATGATAATTCCATTACTCTAAGAGAATCCACCGACGGTGAGCTCCAAAACGGTGGGGCTAGGGCCGGAAACGACACCAGCGGCGTTCTGGCCGTCGGGGTTGACGTCGTCGTACGAGAAGGTGTAACCCTTTCCGTCAGTCTCGTACTTGTGCACGATGCGCGAGTAGTGGTTGGTAGGGTCGGTGGTGTAGTAGCTGCTGTTGCCAACACCGGGCTGGACGTTGCCACCGTCGACCAGCAGAGTGGTGCGGTAGAAGGCGGCGCACAGACGTGGGACGACGGCACGGTGAACGTCGTTGTCAGGGTCCTCAATGGCGAACGGGCCGGAGTTGCAGCCCCAGATGTCGATGACGGTGGGCTTGGGGTAGCCTCGGTTGTCACCGTCGCATTCGAGCTGGTCACCGTTGACACGGCAAGCGACATTGCCAGCATCAGCCTGGGTGTTGATGGTCAAATCCTCACCGGCGTACTTCGTCCAGACCTGCTCAATGTAGTCGTCATAGTAGGTGGAGAAAGCGGTAGGGTCGACGGAAGCGTATTGGTTGGGCGACAGGATACGAAGGGCATTACCACTGGAATCGGTGACGCAGAGCTTGTCCCACGGCTGGCTGTCAGCTGCGGCCTGGTCCTTGAGCTCCGAGCAGATGGTGGGGATAACGCCGCTCTGGAGACCGCTGACGGTCTGGGTCTCACCACTACCGAGTGTGAGTTTCATGCTCATGATTAAACCGACGAAGTCGACGAAGGAAATGTTGGCGTAGATACCACCCTCGGCGGTATTAGTGAGTTCGACGAAACCCCAGTTAACGGCAGCAGAAGGATCGGAAGGGTTGACAGCAGACGGCTCAACCAACTGGATAACTCCGTTGGCATCGACAAGAGAGAAGAACTGAAGCTCGCCCTCGGCAACCCAAACACGACCAGAGCTCAAGGAGTCGGGGAGAGTGAATTCGGTGGTCTGGCCCTGAGCGCTCATGGGAAGGGCAACATTGCCGGAGATAGCTACCGGAGTCGAGCTACCAGCAGGGTCGGGATGGTACCAGGAACCGTCGGCCGAAAGCAAAACGTTGGCACCGTTGACATCTTGACCACTAATGTATACGTTCAACTGTCCTCCTCCATAGTTGTTGACAAGTGAAATCTTCAGCGGGTTGGAAGTATTTGCTTGAACAGCAGGGGTATGAATCTTAGTACTGTTAAGGGTATTCTCCTTAGTAATAACGATATCGCCTTTATCACCCGGTGACACAACGATAGGTGCTGCGATGGTTTGGGCGATGAACGCCGTAGCAGTGGCCACGGCCAAGTTGAAGAAAGTACGCATATTGAGCGGATGTATAGTCTATCGTCTGACTGGCAGCGAACGTACTTATTTCCTTCGATAAGGAGTGTGAATAATGATTGTAAGGAGTGTGTTTACCTAAAGCTAAGGAATGGACGCCTGCGGCCTATGGCTTCAAGCGAGAAAGGAGTGAATAGTTCTAAGGTAGAACCGGAAGATCCGTGTCTGTACACCTGAAGATCATGCTGGAGAAGAGTGTATAATACGAGGAGCTGGGCTCAGAGTTATATACGTAACTATGCTCTAATCAGCTGTGATACCTCGACTTACAAGAAACGTTACGAACCTCTTGTTACTTAGTTACATCCTGCCTATAAGGTTGACACAGACCAACGGGCGACCATGGCGTACCATGATGACCTTCCCTTTCCGGTAATAGGATTTCCCACAACCCTGAAACTAACCACATGGGGGGTTTGCTGTAAGTAAGGCGAGAGACAAGAGCCTTGTTCTACCTTTACCGCATAGTAAGGTTTATGGATTCTCTCCCATTAGCCATGGGCTTTATTTCCGAAGGATCTGGCGGGAGCAGGGGGTGGAATCTGGAGCTCGTCCCAAAGTTGGAGTCTGGCGATGGCGCCGGAGCTAGGATCTGGGCTTTTAGCCCGCAGAACCTCCGTAGAACCGCCCTCTCTGACACTCTACCTTCCCTTAATTACCAGAAACCAATTTCCTAAACCGTTAGCTAGCCAATTAGAGGATTCAATCGCCCATGAAATCACGGGGTGCACATTTGCATGAATCAGCCTACTACCCCCAAAGACGCCTCCCATGGTCATGACCATCTTGGTTTACAGCATGTGATATGGCGACGAATGTTTTCATGGGCGAAATTTGAAGTTATAACAGACTCAGATATTAATGATGTTAGTTTTAAATATCTTTTCGCCGGTCATAGAATAGGAAATTTACGGAGCCGCATATTATACCTTGACAGCTTCGCCGTAATTCATTCCATACCGAGAAATTATATAGTTGGCTCGTTTTCCGATGGGTTATAATTTAGTAAGAAAGGGCTCACTCATGAGCGCCTCATAATTCGCTATGGAATGTGTCGCTGTCGAAGCGGCAATCGTGGGAAACTCACCATCATCACTCCAACAAACTCTGCTTACCTTCCTATGTTGAAATTATCGGCGGTACTATAAGCGCTTGACGGCCATTTCAGTAAAATCCTGGATAGACTAGAGGCCTCAATATCTCGGCCTAGTATATCAACTTCAGCTTCACGATGGAGACAAAATGCATCTTGCTATAGAACCCCGCTTGGCTGCTTCCTGTTTAGTAGCCTCTTGCAGAAGATGGAGTCTTGGGATGTAGGCGTGACCGGCGAATATAGGATTGCTACGTGACATATAGCTCCTCAATTCGAAATCTCGGCAACGATAAAGGCGGTCCGGCCGCACCTAATGGTGGTCTACGGCCCCCGAGTACCGACATAACAGAACGGAACAACCAGTTCCATCCCATGTCTTATGTGCCTCTTTCACTATCTAGGTAACTTGCACTGCCCGACAACGAGATGGCGGTAGGTAGAATCTTAAAAGCTTAACACGGATATCGTTGCGTCGATCTGTTATGGATTGATAGTGTTTCTCTTTGACGGAATCGGTTTAGTAATTTGAGCCCCTGAGGGTTGTTGAAGAGAAACAACCAACCTACGGGCACCTTACTATATTTAGACACCGAACAACGGCCACTCCCAATCACCACTGTGTATACTACCGACAAGGCGCTGTCGTACAAAAGTTTGTACATGCGGCCTGTAAAATCATGTTGGCTGAAAATGTCAGTTCATGTTATACTAAGCCGCCAATATCTCTGTTTGCTTACGTCAAATTATGAATCTCATTCGCTGGTGCATAATATCATGGGCGTTCTCCTTAATAAGGATAACACACGTAAGAAAATTTCAAAATTTTGTTTGAGGGGGAAATAGCGAGTAGGAGAATCGAAGCCACAACACGTCATATAGGGATCGTCATTATGAGAGAATGTTCAGGAAGGAGAAGATATATGAATGGGCCAACTATTCGTCCGATCTTGAGGAGAATGGCTTGAGGGGCATGTTGTACAATATCTCTACGTATGGGTTCTGCCCCTGACAGCCACCCAGTTGCGTTATTCTTCCGTTGCCACCCCATTCCCAATGTAACCTTATTCATGCAGGTCCCGAATTGTTACCTACCTGATCGAGCCTATCACAGCCGATATCGTCCCTTTTCGATTTGAGACATTCTGCATCGTCTGACCAGAATGAGACATGCTTTAATTAAGGTTATTCGCTCTACACACGGCTCCTCGGAGTCTTTACATACACGTATATACGCAGATACGGCATGGTGCTGTTGTGTACCCTACGTACGCGCACGTCCACCCGCCTAGGATCATCACACCCACACCCGCACCATGCAAACAATCGCCCAGGTACCGTACCCAGCCACTGCACCTTCATTGGAGATCCGGGGTGCGTGCGGCAAGGGTGGGAACATGGTCCGGGGTACGGAGCATTGAAATCGTCGGCGTGAGCGCGGCGCCAATCATGGATGGCTTCCTTTCTCTCAGCTACTATCGTGAAACGGGATTGTTTCAACTAGGGTGAGACATCGGAAACGACCGAAAATGTAACTTGGCCGACGCCCGCACCATTATAGTATAATTACTAGCACTGTCCGCGCCACATAGACGCTTGAACTCCCTATTCGATCCATTTCTAACCGCGGTAAATTTCCACTAAATCTATCACAAGTTACACGAATTTTGCAGGGAAATCGAGCACATCGACACCAAGTAGCTACTCGGTCGGGCAACGAAATACATCGATATTTGCATCTAACTGCAGGTTTGCCGAAAGAACGATAAGGAAAAAGCCATTATATGGGCGCAAATGATTGGATCTTGGATCATCACACAATTGACGACAGCGTTTGCTATTTCAACATGACTAATTGAAGGATTTCTGGAACCCCCTCCCACTCGATCTCGGAAACGCGAAGATCTGACTAGATAAGCTCATGCAAATCATCACGCAAATCCCTTACTTAACTGAAGTGCCGTAAGTTATCTAAGATACTAATAGAATGATCCTTTCTAGTCGCAGGGAATCAATTCCCCATTAGACGCTCCATATTTTAATAGTGCTTGCAATATGTTCGTGTAACCACCGTATCATAGACAGGTCTAGCCTACCTACTATAATTTAGAGGTCCTGAGCCCTCGAAGCAAATGCTATTAATATTAATAGGCGCGTTTTTAGATCTTGCTCGGTCTAGTCATCTAAACTCCCCCTGTTTTGCCCTCTAAGGAGAAGTTCATAGAATTGAGCATTCGAATCTAGTACAAGGATTTAAGACAAAGAGTCACATAGAAGTAGGTAGTGATTCAGCGCCAACTACCTGTGTAGAGACTTCGCCTTTGAAGTCTCGCGCTGGCGATATGCAAAGTGGTTTACTACTCAGGTAGTCATAAGCAAGTTCGCTACATTTCTATTATCACATCGGCGGCTATGAAGTGCTTAGTTCTACATCTATGTCTAACTATGATGGCACATTGAGGTAAGCACTCTTCAAGATATTCCTGCATCCAAGTGTCGTATCTTCATACGTTGCATCATTACAAACAATCGCGGCAACTTCGGGCTTTTATCGTTCATATTGTCCGAAATGCTTCACTAGGGAAACGTGGTATGCATCTTCGGGCTGAGGAGAAAGGCCGTATTATTCATCATCTCCTCTCCGATACAAGCTAGAACTCCCCCAATATTCCCGAGTCTGACAGAGCTGAGTGCTTCGTGTAATTCTATAGCTCTCATTGGAGAATTGAACTTGGTGGTACGCGAGTATCAGTTATGCCATACCAGTTTGTTCCTACTAAGCAGTTATGTCTAAGACTACGTATACAGATATGTTGATATCAGCGCGGAGTTCGCCCCTAAGTCTCACTGCATGTTCGTTTGCTGGCTTCCAAGGTTTGTCACCTTTCTGTTTAGGATTGGTACCATTCTTTCTGTTATCAACAGCTTTACACTTGAAGTCGACATCGGTCTTGGTGATATCTAACTTCTAGAGTTTGCCATCGGTCTCCCCATTCATTTTTTAGGGGGGGCTTTTCTATCACTTTCTCCTTCCTCATCTATATCATCAACACTACCCTCGGTCGCCTCATCGCCTTCTCCATACTCTTTCTCTCTGTCCTCTTCTGACTCCCCATTTTCTTCCCCTTTTCTATTCCCTCTCCTATTTTTTATTCAGCTCCTTACCTCTTTTCTATACTTGGTTCTCTTTTTTCTTTATAGCTCATAGACTTGACATTACCCCCTTCGCTAAGAGGAATCACAGATGTCCTAGCACATAAGACGCCTAGGTGTGTACAGGTGCGTTACTAAGCCTTAATAACATCCGCGGCCTTCTCTGCCACAGCATACACCGAGGACAAGATGTTACCGCGCGGAATCAACGGGAAAACACTAGCATCAACGATCCGAAGGTTCTCCGTCCCGTATACACGCAGCTGCGAGTCCACCACGCCGCCCTTCTCTCTCGGCAACATAGCCGCCGAGCCGCAGCCGTGGTACGCGGTAGTAGCCGTGTCGCGCAAGTACTTCTTGGCAATCTCCAAGTCCGCAACGCGGAAGGCGTCGGGATGATTGCGCTGCCCGTCGGCCTTGAAGAAGGGCGACAGCTCCGATGAGTGGCGCAGCGTCGTGTCGAGTGCCTGCACGTGGCGCGCCATAATCTCGAGGTCAGCGGGGTGCGAAAAATACCTTGGATCGATGTCAGGAATGGCATCGATGTCGGCGGATGAGATGTGTATGGACCCCCGCGAGAACGGATGAGACTGCGCGCAGCCTAGGCTCGCAAAGTTCCCCGGGAGAAGCTGCGTCCCGACGAAGCTCTGTCCACCCTCGTGCAGGTTCACCTGTGCCAGGAACATGAACCATGCTGCGGAGCTGCCGTCCGGTTTTTCAAGGATGGAACGGACCGTGTTATAAAACTCCAAGTCTTGTGGCCCCTGTGACTTGGGAAGTTTGTCCAGCAGCGCCGCGGCATCTGGTGTTGGCATGAAGGCGTGTGACTGCATGCCGCCGATGGTAAATGGGCCGGCTCTGTGCTCGACGTAGAGCTTCTGGGCTAGAGCTAGTGCGTCTGGTTCTTGGCGAAGCAGGGGGTCCCCTGTGATGACGCCGTCGACTACCTCGTAACTTAACCCCGTCATCAGGTGGTCCTGAAAGTTCTCTCCGACCCCAGGAAGGTCCACCTGGACGGGAATCCCATGGTATTCAAGCAGCTTTCGGTCGCCAATACCCGAGAGCTCAAGGAGTTTAGGTGTGTTAAACACACCAGCAGCCAGTATGACTTCTTTTGCAGGGGTGAATGCCTCCATCTTACCTCCGATGGAAACTTGCACACTAGTGGCATTGAGGCTTCCGGACTCGGTCTTGGTGAATAGCACCTTATGAACCTTGGCCTCCGTAAAAACCTTGACGTTAGACCTCTGGCGCATAGGCACGCCGTACGCCGAGTTGGCATAGCTTCGGGTCTTAGTGTCTGGATCTACTGTTGCCGTGTTGCTGTAACCTCCAATGGAGTTGCCGGAGAACGGATCTAGACAGCTATAAGGGTTATTGAATCCACATACGTCATACTACACATGGAAACGTACCACCGTTGGTGACCTTATTTATACCACGGAAAGCGTCGATCCATGCCTTGCACAGAGGGTTCTGAAGAATACCTGGGAAGGACACCTTGATGGGACCCGAGGTACCCCGGAATTCGTCGTTGATCCAGTCGATTCCAAGATGCTCAAGAGTATCATGGTCTGGCGGTGGTATGAGGGTATAGGATTTCCTATATGAGGGCACCAGTCCGGCCCAGTCCCATCCGGGGTTACCCAACTTAGCCCAGGCGTCAATTTCTGACTGAGAGGGAGCAATAAAAGCCTGGCCATTGATGGCTGAAGAGCCGCCGAGGGCCTTTCCCTGGGGTTCGCGGATAGATCGCCCCCCTAGAGCTTGCTGGGGCACGGACTTGTACTGCCAGTCAGCATCAGAGCCGGCAAGAGAGGTGAAGAGGGCTGGAATGTTGACTCGGGGATCGGCAGAGAGATCCTTGCCGGCCTCGAGTACTAGGACCTGGACATCGGGATTCTCGGACAAACGGTTAGCAACAACGAGACCCGAGGTGCCGCCGCCGATGATGATATAGTCAGGAGAAAGCAAGGAATCCATCATGAATCAGTAGTCCTTAGAGTATCTTTAGAGCAAGAAGAGACAGAAATCCTACGAATGAAGTCGATATGGCTAGATGAAATAGTGGGGAAAAGTCTAGTTAGAGGAATGGGCAGCAAGACCAACAAAGAATCCACTGATCAGCAAGGCAGGCCGTACATCCTATTAGTGCATAATATAATGTACGCGAATAATCGTTAAGTAAGGGTCTTAGCCAGATGTAGGCCTAAGTAGAGTTGAGAGTACAGGTGTATACCAACAACGACCTGTTCTGTTGGTAACACAATATTATTTTGAGCAGCCCAATCCCTCATACCTATCCATCTATGTGCTCTTATAATATGAAGGTTTCATTTCTCCTCACTTCCTATCTAATCAACCAACTGTTTCTGGCGAAGTATTCATTCTGATAACTAAGAAAATATACTTAGGTACTTGAGCTTAATCCATCTCCTTATTGACTAAGGCGCGGCCAACTAGGTAGCCAGCATAGCAAACATCTTCGGGCTGAGAAAGGCCGTATTATTCATCGATACCTCTTTACATACTAAAATGTCCTAGTAACGCCAAGTCAAATAGAACCATGTGGTTGATTTGCACCTAACCTCTCATTGGAGTTTTGGGAGTCTTTGTGGCACACAAATACCAGGTATGCTAAGCCAGTACACACATATGTCTCTAATATAGCTAGGTATGCAAAGAGGCTCATCATCGGCTTAGAGCCAACCTCTAAGTCTGACTGCGCGTCCGAGTGACGACTTTGTCGCCTTTCTGCTTAGGATTGGTACCCTTCTTTTCGTTGTCAGTAGCTTTTCCCTTTGGTTTGGCGTTGCTTTCGGCGGTGTCTTGATTCTTGCGGTTCTGCTTCTTGTGTTGCGCATTTTGTTCTCCTTCCTCCTCAATATCGTCGACGCCATCATCAGTTGCTTCAGAGTCTTCATCTCCCTCCTCCCCTTCTTCCTCACCGCCGTCCTCTTCTCCACCACCTTCATCGCTGTTACCCTCTTCATAATCTTCTGAGTCGTCCTCCTGCTCCCTCTTCTGTTTCTTATTGGCTTCCTTACCGCCTTTCTTGACTTCCTTCCCCTCCTTATTTTTCGTATGGGGCTCTTTTTCATGGTCATCTAGATCCTCATCATCATTCTCTTCCTCCTTCTCATTAGCAGACTCGGCATCGCCATCCTCTTTGGGACCTTGATCTTTCGCCTTGCGTTTCGTACCACCATTGGCCTTTTCCTCGACGGTTAATTCCGACGATCTCTTCACAACATCGTTGCCCGATCGCTCAACATGGACTGCAGGATTTTCCGGATCAGCTTTCTTCTTAATCGTGTTCCCTTTTTTCGACTTGATTTCGATTGCGCCGTGTTCTTTAGTCTCGGCTACGGTGCCCGCTGGAGCACCACCACCCCAGTTCCATGAGACTGGAAGTAACAGTGTAGGTCAGTAACCTGATTTCAATTTTCTGGTACGATGTGAAGTTAAATTATAGTTTTGGGATGGCTGGGGACATACCTTTATCTCCCTCTTCTGGCTGTTCACCTTTCCCCATATTGTAGATTAGAGATTGAGATGCTAGAGTCGAAATGAAGAGGTGAAGTGTTAACTAGAAGACAACTTCACTGTATAAGACTAAGTACTAGGTAGTTATTGCGAACGATTAACGTTAAGTCGTGACGAGTGGTGGTCACTTCTAATAGGTTCTGTTGGATTACGTCGATGATTCATCATTGTCGTAGCTAGCGCACGATTCCGGAGAGTTGAGTCTAGGGATGGAAATCTAGGGAAATCAGATTTAACTTAACTATTGTGCGCCACTTACACGTAGAGTATGTCTCATAAAGTTAGGACTTGTCAGTCTTGCGATGATGAACAACTTGGGATCTTGTTCATCTGGGGTGGATATTTCATCATGTCCTACCAACCTCTAGCCGTAACTAGAAAATATCATGGGAGGCTGAAATCGGCATTAATGGAGCCAGACTTATGGAACGGGTCGTTCCCCTAAGTGGCCGCCCGAAATTTTGTACATCGTAATAGTATCATCAATCCGACCCCCTCGATATCTTGGGCTTTTACTCTACCGTCCCTTGAAAACTGGCTTCCTCTTCTCCTTAAACGCTTCCAGCGCCTCATCCCGATCCTCGGTCTTCACGACCCTCTCATACATCGCATTTTCCACCTCCTCCCTCGCCCAACTAACAGCCTGCAGCGCGGACCTAACCGCAATCGGACCACCTTCGCATATTTCACTCGCCAGTCTTACGGACTCAGATAACACCGCATTACGCGCTCGAGCCGGTAATCCTTCTTCACCTCCACCACCGTTCTCCTGTGCGACGCCATCCCTCTCATCTTCCGGTAGCACCTCGACTAACCGATCAGCTATCCCCAGGAAATATGCCTCGGGCGCAGAGACCCGCCGCCCGGTGAGTATCATATCGCGGGCGCGTGACAGTCCGATGAGTGCGGGGAGTCTATATGTCCCACCAGCGCCGGGAATGATGCCGAGGCGTGTTTCAGGAAGACCGATCGTGGCAGTAGATGCGAGGACGCGGAAATGTGTGCATAGCGCTAGTTCGAGGCCACCGCCTAGAGCGACGGAGGATGCAGCGGAGATAGTCGGGATCGGGAGGGAGGAGAGCGAGGCGAATGTGCCGCGTAGGTTAGCGAGGAATTGGGATGTTCTGGAAGGTCAGTCGTTAGTTTGGTTGCGACGCGGATTGGATATGGTGAGACCGAATTGATGTGCAGTACTTACTCTTCTGGCGTGAAGCCACGGCGTTCCTTAAGATCAGCACCGGCACAGAAACTGGCGTCGACAGCGCTTGCGAGAATCAAAGCGCGCGTTGGACCCTTTTGATCTATACCTGCAGCACCCCCGAACCGTGGGGGCTGTGGTAGTTCTTGACCTTCTATAGTATATTGTGCCTGGACGTCGTCAACCTCGGCTCGTAGAGCAGCGAGGAGGGCTTTTGATATGGCATTACGGGCAGACGGTCGGTTAAGCTCGAGGATTCGGATGTGACCGGAATTAGGGGCGGGGATGTTGGTGACTCTGATAATAGGACCGGTGTCGCTAGAGTAGAGGCGAGCGAAACGGAAGATTGGGGAGGTTATTCGGGTATGTATTATTCGTGGTGGCATTGTGATGGAAGTAGATTTGAATTTTAGATATCCTCGTAAATAAAGCACAATTGCCGGCTAGATGTGGAATTCAATAGTATGATTGATATCGTGCACCTACGTATTTTCGCAGTATATCATTGATTAAACCCCCTTCTATTTTCAGCAATAATTATCAGAATAACTTGAAATTGACCAATAGAATTCACTTCAAGTGTGTGAAGGGACGTTATAGAAATCTGAAGTTGTAGATGGTAAGTACAGCATAAGACCCGCCGACGTCAGAGCTGACGCTATCTCTTCAGTTGATAGCGGCATTATAGCGGCTATTAGCGGGCTGGCGGGGAAGACGGGGTATTATTTATACCACTATGTCGGATATGAACACCTTCCAATCATTTATGGTATATCATTTCTAGTATAAAAAGGGATCTATAATTCTTCCCATAAAATAACATATTATAATGATATTAAAGTCCTAGATACTGATAACTTAGTAATGAAGCTCGTTATATAATTTTCACCTCTGACTATAGGAATCCTAGTAGGATCCTCACCAACATACAGAGCACCTTTTAGGTAGCTAGATGCAGACCAGATTCGCTGACAGGAGTCGTAACCAATCAAAGAGAAGGAAAATAGCGTTACGCCGACATTAGCGGGGAGCAATGCCGGCGATGTCATCCATCCTTCTACTCCACCCCGCCCCGAGGGGTGTCAGCACAAGCATCTAGGACTTATATTCAGGTACAAAGGGGAAATCCTAGATCTCATTTCTACTGTCCTTCAGATCTTCGTCTCTTTCCTCTTCCAAACTAAGCTACTTCCCAAAGTCCCGTTTCAACAATGGATAACGAATCAATTCAGGGGTCTATCCCCCCGGAAGCTATCGAGTTTGCGGGTCGCATGTACAATGCTGCACGCGAGGGGCAGAAAGATGTGTTTGAGCAAGCCTTACCAGCTGGACTACCGGCGAACTTGACGAATGAGAAGGGAGATACTCTTGTATAGACCTTCAAGTCACTTACTCTATAATTGTCGATGAATACTAACAACGAGTGTTCGCTCACAGCTCATGCTTGCGGCATATCATGGACATGCTGATCTAGTCAAATTACTCATCCAGCATGGCGCCGATCCGAACCGTATAAATGATAAAGGCCAGAGCCCTTTGGCTGGCGCGGTTTTCAAGAAAGAGGATGCTGTAATTGAGGTGCGATCCTCATCATTACCGACACCCACGTAGGATCACACTGACTGCTTTACAGGCTCTGCTAGAAGGTGGCGCAGACCCAGATCACGGTACGCCCTCTGCGCAAGCTTGTCTAGCTATGTTTAAACAGGAGGACAAATGGGGAGCCAAGTTCGCGGCGGCTCCTGGGAAAGGAAAAGCTCAAAAACCGGCATCGGAATCAGATACCCTTCAATTGTAGTAGATATTTCACAGAACAAGCGAACTCGAGAGATTCAAGGCGTGCCCACCAGGGGGGATATCAAGGGTGCGTATCATATTTTTGTGAAGCAATACTTGAGATTTAACCCTGAATGTGAATGATGGCTTTTTTCTCTCAAATAATATTGAAGGTAAGAATAGTAAGGAAGTATAATAATCTAAAAAGCTTTCAGGATCGAGACAAGACGTTGATTTAATGATAATAAGTCGCGTATAATCGCAAAAGTACCTACCTAACCGAACACCTCTTCAGCCGCGGCGCAGCATACCAAGCATTCTGGACCGTAGCAACACAACCCATGCTATTATGTAAACTTAGATCATGCCAATTTCCCAATCGTATTGAAAGTTCTTGGCATCGCGAACTTATAAATGACGAAGGCTACGTTCTGAGGTTTTCAGTTTACCTAGATATTTGATCGTAGTATTCTCGTTGCAGTATCGAAAAAAAATGAATCAACTTCCCACTCTCACCAGCCCTATTTATCCAACTGTCACCCCGTCACTCACGGCAGTATGGCAATTAGCACCAATCCCGGCTAGTTTAGAAGCCTCTGTTATTGAAAAGAGGTCTTATTCTCAGGGGTCAGAAAGCGGCTTCGTCGTAACCTACCAAGTCAACTGTCCAGCCACAAGTTCACCCGAGAACGACGCATGTCGCGAGCTCAGCATCTACCCAGCCGAAGTATATCACACGCAAGGCTCAGTTTTCGGCGGAACATGGACGGCGGATTCTAAAGACGCGACGACGTGGCGATGCGAATTGGGGGATTGTAGTACGTGCACGGCGTCGCGCGCCGAGACCGCGGATTGTAGTTTGACTATCAGAGACGCGAGCTCGAGCACACGGACTGAGACCACGAAGATTGAAAGTTGTTACTTGGCGCAACATAGCGTGCCGCTGGTGCTCACTGCTGGTGCTGAGAAGCTGGCGACTGATGATTATATATTCCAGTCGAATGTGGGCGCGTTCACTTCGAATATAGGGGATTGGTTATCGACCATGGGTTGTGAGCAGAGGCCGACGCTGCAAGCTGCGTCTGTGTCGCAGACTGCATCGGTAACGGATCAACCAACGGGTACGGTTCAGTCGACAAGTCCTACGCCAAGCTCAGCTGGAAATGGCTGGGAGTCGAGAAGGTTAGGGTATGGATTCGGTGCAATGTCTTTCTTGATAGCGTCTTTCTTCGCCTAAGCTCGTTTCGAATGGGATGCACCTATAATTAGGAAATGAAAATATCAACGGGAAATAGTGGGAATTGCTTGTGCTCATCAGCTGCCGTTTGTGAAGTGTTGTGCTTCGGCTTTGCTCCGATCCATCATACCACAGCCAATTCACCCCTAATGACTTTACGATTATATTCAAGGTATCGACTCGCTGATGAGGAAGATACTAGCAGATTAAGAGGTGTTCGGAGTAAAATCCGATGATGAATAGACAGTTAATAATTCATATGGTCTTGAAGTTGTAGATGCTAAGTTGCCTTCGCCTAACGCGACGCCCATAAGCACGACTAGTTAGGGCATATTAATAACCAGGTTCTCCGCACCCAGCGTAGTGTTGGCGTCCATTTGCAGCGTCGCTTTGGGGGAAACATGCCCTATCTTCGCCAAGTCGTAGTGGGCCGTGTTCACCTACCCAATCCAGCAGGTCACCGTGATAAGAGTCAATTTCCTCTAGCTGATTCCGGCTCGGATGCCCTGTTTGTTGACCATGGGAGTGGGAACGAAGCTATATTGCCGTCGAGCAACCCGGGCAAAGCAAGATGATACGAGTTCTCAATCAGCAATGCCAAGTCTTTTGGCGATCGGCGACACAGCCGATGGGAGCCTTAGGCTTCTGTAATGTCGTGCTCAGCGACGCATTAATACCTCCAAGGCCCCTGCTGATGGCGATCTGATAAACTTGTTTCCTCACTTCACGTCCATCGTGATTGAGGACGTGAGGCATCTGTTCCAATCCGTCCAGATTCTAGCCAATATTCATTTGGACGATGCATTTCACGGATGCCAGAAAAAGCCGCCGAGCAGTCGCGACGACTGTTTTGGCCGGCATCCTTCTAACGAGTCCCGCCTGGGCTGCACCATACGTTGCGCAAAGTGACCCGTTCAAGGTGCTCGATCCGCAGAATTGGGTGAACCCAGACAACATGACCTGGGATGACTACAAGCAACCACCCAATACATCCTGGAATGATCCGACCCGCAAGGGCCTAAATCGGAACTTCAACATCGCGCTCGTTGCCGTGGATTATCCAGACGAGCCTTTCGTCATCACTCTACCGCCTAATTCGACCGTATTCGGTAACCCACTACCAATTGTATCCGGACTCAATCGTTCGGAGGTCCCAGCTTTCTATCGCGACCTTCTCAATAAACCTAGCGACCTCAATCACAACCATACTCTTCATGAATATTGGATGGAAGATTCCGGTGGCCGCTTTGGCGTGGATTTAACCGCTTTCGGAGCTTACCGATTACCTAGCCGTTCATATCAATACGGCGTGGATGACGAAAAAGGTGGATTCAACGAGGGAGCTTGCCCCTCAGAAGGGCCATGTTCGATTGACCTGCGCACTGATGCTTTGGGAGCCTGGCGTGCTGACGTAGGTAACGAAACTGCGAATTCTTTCGAACTGGTGTTCATCCTCTCCGCTGGCCAGGACGAGTCGTCCACATGGCAGGAATTCGGAGAAATGAAATTTCAGACAGCGGATGACGTTCCGGATGAATTTGGACCTCCGAATAATGATACACTGCCTAATTACGCTCAAACGAGATATGTGAATTGGACTTCTTGGGCATCAGCTAGCACCATCTGGCCGAATGCTGGCGGTGGTTCGTCTACACAGGCAGAAAGTTCGGGTATGTCAACTTACGCTCATGAGTTGACGCATTTGCTCGGTATTGGGGATAACTACAACAACCCGTATGGCGACCCGCCGCGTCGCGCATATACGGGCCCATGGTCTATGTTATCCAGAGGTAGTTTCAACGGTCCAGGCGGTCCGCACACGCGTTGGCAGATCCCTGCAACACAAGGAGGATCTCTTGGTTCTTTGCACACGATGGGCGATAAGATGCGCATAGGCCTAGTCGATAACTCCAGCGTACTCATGGTATCCCGCGAAGCACTCGCGAGTTCTGGACCCGTCGTAGTTGAGATTACTGCGCGATGCATCAATCCCGATGAAACGGAGTTAATGGGCGTGCACGTCATTCTCGGCGACGACCTCTCACCCTTCTGTAACGCAAGCACCGACGCGCTCTGTGATGGCGGCGGGTACAATAATTACGATATCGAAGTAATCGACCGCATGGGCGCCGATTCATTCACACCAGACTCAGGTGTTATGATCAGCAAGACGAAAGATCAAGACAACGCACCCTTCCAGTGGACCATTGACGCCAATCCACAGGACATCGATGTTGTTGATTTTTACAGGCCCGATGGATCCCCGTCTGTGCTAACAATCGGTGATTATCGACAACTTGCTGATGCGTTATTCCACGCCGGTACGCGTTCCGGAAGTGAATTTGAATACGTCGATGAGCCGAACCGGCTGCACTTCTACATCCTCGAAATCCGGCGCGACGACGCTGGTGTCCTACACTACACGGTGGGCGTACGCTCGCTCGATGGTAGTGGGTCGAATACCTACGGCGTCAAGCTTAGTGCGGGTGAAGTTGCGGAGGGCACGCAAGCTCGAGCCGCTGCTAATAACGGAGTAACATGCGCGTTCCACTTGACGAACTCAGGGACTTATGTGGAAAGGAGTACCGCACATCCGCAGGACTTGTCGAAATATTTGACTTCGGATATATATAGACTCAGCGCAGAGGTTGATGGCGAAGGTTGGCAAGTCGAGCTGCCCAATGCGCTGGCTACAACGGAGTTCAATACGTGGACTACAGTTAATGTTGCCGTCGGCGCAGCCGCTAATGCTGCCAGCAATGCGGTTGTGAAGCTGACTGCTACGTCCGAGTCTAATCCCTCGGTGTCGGTTACTAAGGAATGCCAAGTTAAGAGATGAGATTTATGATAGAATAGATAATTGAAGATATCTCATAATAGACCTGTACCGGTCAGGGTTCACACAACATGACTGATGGTTCATACAAATAAAGGGGCTGAACTAACAGATTTTAGCAAAACATTCCTCGTACACCGAAATCTCTAATATCGATGTTCCCGCCACTGAGTTGGACCTCCAAGATCTTCGGAATATTGAAGGAGTCTCGACTATAGCAGCAGAACATATCCACCAATAGCGTCTCATCGCCTGCGAAAATCACCCATAATAACAACGTCACAAGCCAGCATTTAAGCATCATCCACCACAATTAAGATTCTGATGGAATTGTTCCATCCTAATTAGAACAATCAATATGCATCGCATACTGAAATCCTCAGTATCTTAAATACCAACGTCGTCTTGACGTCATGTATTCCTTGGCAAGCGATGAACACGATGACATCTTTGATCAAGCATGGATGTCAAGATATCGATATATGTATTATGTCCGAATAGCGCTCATTTCACGAAGCTCGTTTGTCTTTTCGACGTTTCACATGTCAATACTCATATTCCAACAACAGCAACGATGTTTGGCTCAGGCAACAAATTCGACCCCAACACCGACATTCCCGATCTAAGCGACCGGGTCTGCGTCGTCACAGGCGGCAGCGCAGGCATCGGCTTCGGTATCTCGGCGCACATCTTACAGCACAATGCTTCAAAGCTGTACCTCCTCGGCAAGAAAGAGGAACACCTAGCCGAAGCCCAAGAAAAACTTAAAGAGTACGGCGACGTGTCGCGCGTCGAGTTCATACAATGCGAGCTTGAGGATCTAAACCACACGGATGAAGTGGCGAAAAAACTAGCATCGAAACTAGACCGTCTGGATGCACTTGTTCTAAATGCGGGTCTCGGCGTGGGGAAGTATGGCGAGACGCGCGATGGGATCGAGAGCCACATGCAAGTCAACGTAATCGCACAGCACCACCTCGCTCGCGTGCTCCTGCCGAAGCTTATTGCTACGCGCGATAGTCGTTTATGTATGCAATCATCCGAGTTGCATCGCATGGGGACCGACGGTGTTGAGTTCGCGAACGTAGCGGAGCTTAACCAAGACATCGGGGCGCATGGGCTATACAGTCGCTCAAAGCTTGCGCAGATACTTTTGTGTAAGGCACTTTACCGCCGCAAGATGCGCGGAGAGCTCGGTCTAGTGCCGGGAATGTCGCCGTGGATTAACGCTACGCACCCGGGTGGCGTGGATACGGATCAGCTGAACCAGGCTAAGGATGCGTATGGAACGGTACGTGCGCTACTGGTTGAGGCCGGGAGACATCTCATGAAGGATCCTGTGGACTCGGGATGTCGACCGATGCTGTTCGCCGCGACGAGCGATGCGGTGGTGCAGGAGAAGATTGATGGGCAGTATATTGTACCGGATCGTAAGGTCTCGGATGTGAGCAAACAGGCGAAGGATGAAGAGTTGCAGGAAAGGTGCTGGAAGTTGGTGGAAGGCATATTAAAGGAGAAGTTGGGGACCTTACCCTGTGAGTCTAATTAGAACGCTGGAATGCCGAGCCGTCGACGATGGAATACATAGGTTTTAATTTTAATTCATAAAATTGACCTCATCCGATTTTTAGTTAATCACAATTAACAGCGGTCGATATAGTAACTCTAGCGATACCTGGAAAAGTACCTAACAATTACCTATTTTACAATGCCATAGTTGTGAGCTTCAGCCAAACCCATCTACTTTAACCCATAATCCTTCTTGATCAAGTCAGCTGCCTTTTCAGCGAAGGCGTAGACAGTAGACTGCACATTCGCGGTGCTAATGAGGGGGATCGCACTGGAATCTACAATTCGAAGCTTCTTAACCCCGTACACCTTAAGTTCATTGTCTACGACGCCCCCCTTCTCCTTTGGCAACATCGCGCAACTACCAACCAGATGCCACATCGAGATAGCGCTGGACTTAAGATACCTTTTCGCAGCTTCTCTATCAGTAAGTCGCGAAGCGGGGTCACGATACGCGAGAGGCTGCTTCAAGAGATTCGTGAAAGGTGACGAGTTGGCGATAGTCTCGATGTGCTGCATATGCTGCGCCATAATCTCTAAATCAATCGGGTTGGAGAGATAGCCGGGATCGATTACGGGAGGAATCGAATTATCGGCCGACTGTATGTGCGCACTCCCACGGGATAAAGGTTGGGATAACATTAGGTCAATAGAAATGAACTTCCCCGGCACTGGACCGGCGGGGGAATCGGAGTTGGGTTCAACGGGGAGGATATGCTGCGCTAGGACTGAAAGATATGCACCGGAAGGTTGCTTCTCATCAAGCAATGTCCTCTCGGCAACTTCGTGATATGCCTGGTCTCTGGCTTGGGCCGGACGGTGTTGATCAAGCAATTTCTTCAGTGCTTCTCCACCCCCTTGGTTGAATGATCGTATCGCAGGCAGATACGCATACGAATAAACGCCAACAGATGTCAGCAGTCCAGTCTTGTTAGATGCATATTCTTGCATGGCTTCGCCGATCGCTTCTTGGTCTTGTCTGAGGAGGGCGTCGAGTGTATCTACGCCATCTATTGCTTCAAAGCTTATAGCGCACTGAGGATGGTCATGAAGGTTCTCCCCAACTGCTGGCAGATGCTGGATGAGTTCTATGCCATGTGTTCGTAGCAACTCGGCATCGCCAATTCCAGACAACTCGAGTACCTTCGGAGACTGCAAAGCTCCTGCAGCTATGATCACCTCCTTGCTACAGAGCACTTCTTTGGACTTTCCATCATGTTTGTATCGGACCCCTGTGGCACTCTTTGACTCGCCGCCCTGTCCAAATAAGATCTTCTCAACGACGGCATCCGTAAGGACATGAAGATTATCCCTATCGCGACTAAGCCGGTAGTAGTCCGATGCAGCGTAACTTCGCTCTTTCGTGGCTGGATTAATACTAGATAGACAGCTGAAGGCTCCAACCTCTACGCCGTGGAAGGGGTCATGTTGAACCTCATATCCGGCAGTCTTGAAAGTATCCTCCCATGCTTTGCGAACGGGGTGAGCAGGGTTACCTGAAAAGGAGGCTTGAATCGGCCCCGTGGAAAGATCTCCATCAGGATACCACCCATCTATTCCGAGTTGCTTGTATAGATCCCTTTCGACGTATGGAGAAGTATACGCCTTCTCGTAATACTTTTTGAGTGACTCCCAATTCCACCCGTCGTTCCCTAATGTACCCCAAGCATCAATGACGCTTTTAGCCGGAGGAACAAAAACATGCGCGTTGATTGCACTAGAACCGCCGACAGCTTTTCCTTGTGGAAGCTTGACAGATCGGCCGTTAAGTGTCGGCTTTCGTTCGCGTTAGTTCAGGTCGATTAATACGTTAGAATAAGGGACGTACCTGAGCTTTGCTTTCAAAGGCCCAGTCAAGCTCCGAGCCTGACAGTATCGGATAGAAGCCGGGGGTCCTTACCCGTGGATCGCCACTGTAGTCAGATCCAGCCTCTAAGACGAGGATACGCTGAGTGGGGTCCTCGGAGAGGCGGCTAGCAACAACAAGCCCGGCCGTGCCGCCTCCCACGATGACAAAGTCAAACTCGGCGGAGGACATAGCCCCGAAAATTTTCGTGTTAAGCTAAAATCTGATTAAAACTAAGTCAGCCTTTGAACGGATCGGCGTAGGAGAAAACCAGAAGGATTAGAATGCCAGTGTAAGAGATAAAATTTTCGTAGGATAGTTGGATGAAGAACGGAATGAAGAAGTTTTCAACAGGACCGGATTGCGGGGTCTTCCGTTACTGATGTGAAGTGCTGACCGTTGGTCGTACAAGTCGCCCTGCATGCAGATACATTCAATATCGGTACGGTCCCATGCCGCAAGTAAGTGAGATTATTTTACTTTTGTCCTTTTCCAACGGGGGGAGGTACCCGAGAACAAGGATGAAGTATGACAGGCTCCTCTTGGAGACGAAACTGCTTACCTACCTGTTAACACAGCCGTAATTTAACAGGATATCCAATACCATCTCCGGTCTTTTGAGAGCTGTCAGAAAAAGCGCACCCGTCAATACTGGTGCTTTTACCACCGATTTTCGTACCTCGCGACAAAAGTAACTGATTCCATCAATGGTTATCTCCTCAACTCTAATGATTCTCTAGGAGCGTCTATCCAGAGCTCACGATGGCGCTTGCTTTGGGGGCAGTTCAAGTGGCTATTGTGTCTTTCATTTTTACTACTTTCTCGATCATAGCCCTAGCGCTAAGGCTTTGGTCAAGGCGCATCCTAAGACTTTCTTTTGTCTTTAATGATTATATGGCGATTTTGGCGCTAGCACTCGCTCTCGGTGCCGTGTCGGTCTTCCTTGCAGGTAAGGCCATCCCTTGCTTAATCTCAATCTATTTCTGAGGGGAATACAGCCGGCTTCGCTGCAGGTCTAGGAGTTCATCTAGATGAAATTCTAGCAACGAACCCCAAAATATTCGCGCTACATCTCAAGGTTAGTGGCAACACACCTACAGATACGGAGACCACATTGTTAATGCTTTCTGTATTGCAGTTATTCGTTCCCGCGCAGCTGCTTTGGGCTGCGGCAAATACCTGTGTGAAGCTATCGATCCTATCATTATATACGACGATATTTCCGAAAAAGCGATTTTCCTATGTGTGCTATGGGGTAATGGCACTGTCGATTGCGTACTTTGTCAGCGTCTTTCTCGAAACCTTTGTCCTCTGCAAGCCCGCGCGATACAATTGGGATAAATCCATTCCGGGAGAATGTAACGGAGAAAATTCGGCATACCTCGGCGCGGGCATCACCAATCTTCTAATCGACACGATCATTGTGGCGCTGCCAATGCCTATGCTTTTCGGCTTACAGATGTCACTCCCGAAGAAGCTTGGCATTGCTGGTATGTTCAGTCTCGGAATCGTGTGAGTTTTCCCAATGGCGTTGGAGTAGAAAAATTCGTAACAAAGACAACTGACGAGACACCTTAGGATTTGCGTCATTTCCTTATTAAGGGTAATATGGCTTCATAATTGGGACTTGTCAGATATGACATACACCGTAACTCCGGGTGCAATATACTCCGTATTGGAGCCAACGCTGGGGGTCGTAAATGCCTGCTTGCCCACGATGAGGCCTGCCCTCATAAGAATTTTCGGCAATGGGTCCTTAAATTGGTCGAGAAAAGATGGCTTGGGGACAAACGATTCTAGTATACTTTCTAACCGCGACCGAAGACTGGCACGAAACTCAAAGGATAGATACAGTCGGAACTTTTTACGGCTGGATGACGATATTCCTCTCACCAATATCCAAGCGGAGAATAGGCAAGCCATAGACTCGGGGCAGTCTAATGTTATTACAGTAATAAGGGAATGGGACATTGATAGATCCGGTCCGAGTGAAACGGACACGGCTCACGGAAGTGCCCAAAATCTTTGGTCAACTAGGTCATCAACATAAGGTGTGATAGAAAAGCTCGTTTGAAAGAGGCTCAGGAAATGACCGGAATATCAGGGGGTCGGGGGGTAAAGCGCCACGTTTTGTCGGTTATATCATACCGCATAGTGCATAAAACGTGCATAAATAGTTATCAACTCCTCCCGACAGTCTGCATTAGGTCAGGTACCTAAGTATCTTTAACATTACTTAGCGCGGGCCGGCACAGCCAATCTAATAACTCCGGTAAACCCGATATGGTAACCCCCTATTATTAGACCAGTGGCCAGAAATAAACACAACCGAATAAATATCTACCCAATCTACTTTCTATCGCCAACTTGGTTAAATCAGCATGGCCGAAGAAAGTACGAACGGTAACCTTCCGCAATCCCGACCGCTATTACGATGCGATTTTACGTAGATCATACGCGAATACGAAAGATGAGCAACACAGATCGAGTTGCTTACCAACAGAGCCGCATGTTGGTTGACTTTGCTTTGATTATAGACAACTAATAAGCGAAAGGATTACGATGTTGGGCAAATGAGCTACCTATCATTGTACATCGCACACGAGGGCCGCCAGTTTCTATACCATTTCTGATGCAACGCGGATATTGGGGGCCGTGTGGCAAGACAAGACACTAAAAAAGAGGAAGAGAGAGAGGGGGAGGGACAAGAAAAATAGAGTCATAATGAGGGAATTCCAGCGCCTAAGCGTTCTTGCAGATATTGTGTTACACAGCATCAAGTTGCACGGTGTCGTGTTACACCTACAATACAGGCTCACATAATATGGATTGATAAAAATGCATGCAATCTATGCCAAACCAACAGATACCACTGTCCTTAAAACAGAAATGTTTTGCGTTTTCTATCATCACTATACCGCAGTCAGCGTCGATTTCCCCGGTTTACGTATGATATTACGAATTCGATCCGTGTCTGACTACTTTTTAAGATGAGAAATTTGGTAGGCATCTAGGCAGTTTGAGTAGGAGTAGATAAGTAAATAGGCAGCTACGGTGTTGTTTCCCTTTTCCTGGTAGGGTATAAGTTCTGAGGAACCCAAACCCGGTCACGGATTGATATTATAGTATCCTTCGACGATAATAATGGACAATGGTTTCACTTACGATAGGTGAGTAGACAAACGCACACCGTAATCTTTTTCCACTTGGGGGCTCTATTACGGGGGTTTACTACTTCATAAGTCAAGCATTATGTTCCTTTCGCTTCATACAAATTAGTAACATAACCCGGGATATACATCTCGTACTTCAAATTTGAAAGAAAGGGACGGGAGTACTCAGAGCGTATTATCTCGCCGATTATCCTCAGTGTCCTACCCTCAAATTAAATATCTAGTATAACTCCCGAATGTTTTTATTCCGGTATCATGATCATGATAACCATCATACGGACAGATCTAATTGTATTTCTTAACCCGGCCCGACCCCCAAAACGGAGTCTCGGGGCCCTAAATTGATACCGTAGGTTTAAATCAGCATCTTCACAATGATAAGTCATGTTAGGGTTGATATGGTGTAAGATCGTCCCCCCCAATATCGCTCCAACCTGTCGCTTACGCTAAGCGGAGCCCATTCAGCCCTCCCACTATCAACCCGGGCGTGCCGTCCTTGGGGCATAGAAATGACACCTATAGCAGGATCAATTTGAGAAGTATATATAGGAACCTCTTTTTGAAACGTTATCTTCGCCAGTTGAAAGAAGAAGCATCCAACAAATATTATTCCCGCGCCATAATGGCCTCCCTCACCGACACTAAGAATCAGACCATAGCTCGCAGCGATGCGTTCCTTACTGAACGATCGAAAGTTCATTCTTCCAACCCCTTATATCATGTTCATACCATCTATCTCTTCAGTCGTGACAATATCAAAGATATTATCTGTATGGGATTTCTCTTTGGAGCTTTAAATGCCTCCGTGGCGCAGAAGTTTTCGATGGGAGCATCATTATCTCCCAAAGACATTCTGACATCCTCCCACAAAATGCTTCTGTGGTCATGGAGTAATTTGTTTCTCTTTAATCTTCATAACCAACGACACGCCGCAACAATCGCTGAAGACGCAATCAATAAGCCCTGGAGGCCACTCCCCGCGGGTCGTATAAACTCCAAGCAAACCACGCAGATCATGTATATCATGTATGCCGTCATCATCACGGTCTCTTTCAAAGTAGGAGGCCTTATCCCGTGTCTTCTCGAGGCCCTTTTCTGCCTATGGTACAATGAGTGGGGCGGTGCTACGGATCCGTTCATGAAGAACCTCCTGAATGGACTCGGATTTGCATGCTTCTTCGCCGGTCCGCTAGAGGCCATAACTGGATATTCGGTGTTTGGTGGGAATGGCAAGGCTGCTGCTGTACGTGATTTCCAATGCTCTCATTATGACAATAACTGACATTTAGTATAGTGGGTGGGCATACTAGCTGCCGCAATTACGACCACTAGCCACACACAAGATTTCAGGGATATGGAAGGAGACAAGGCAGTAGGCAGGAGAACTGTACCCCTAGTTATTGGCGACTATAACGCACGAATACTTGTTGCTGTCGGAGTTATTGTGTGGACAGGCCTAGCCGGTTGGTATTGGGGAGTTGGGTGGAAAGGAGGCCTAGCTGCTTGGATAGCAGGAGGAGCAATGGTAAGCAACTTATTCTGGGACAGATCTCAAGCAGGTGATGCGTTTACATGGAAACTTTGGCCAGGGTGGGCATTAGGTCTATTTTTAATGCCAGTCATTGGTGCCTAGGAAAATACCTGCTGTGGGGACACGGTTCAACACTTGTGAGCAACTTCGCTCTCTAGCACAGCAAGGATGTGCGAGAGCTTGTTTTGATGGAAAAGCTGTTCTTTACATATGTTAGATCTTTATGGGGAGAAATAACTAGATATAAAGCGAAATTATTGTCATACGGCCAAAAGAGCAGAGTACAAAAATGAATACACATCAATTGCAATAGAACCCGGATTTACTAGCACAAAACCCATTTCCCCATATAGACAGTTAAAATATTAGTAAATCCCTATAACATATGAAATTATATTGATAAACTATGAAAAGTTCCTACCCCCTACATAAATGTGCTGAACGTTTGTACCCCTTAAACATTATATACAGGCTTAGAAGGTGCGTAACCTACAAGTCGTTCTCCTGGACCAGGCTGGAATTTCTTCTCCTTATACCATTCCTGAGCAGTCTGCGACAACTTCTGCACCTCCTTGAAGTTAAATTCCTTCTTGGGTAGCATATCATAAACCCCCTGTGCCCATTCGGGTGCGATGTTGTAAATCTGGGCCAAATACTTCTTCTATGATGGGAATTAGTAGTTGAAACATTGAAGATAGACTTGGGGGCTTACCTGAATTAGCGGGAACTTCACAAGTTTCAAATTCTGGGCCGTATTGAAGCAGGTGTGTTTCCGCTGCTCCTCGGTCATTACACGGCGCCAAAGCTCAGTCGCCTGCGCATAGTCGTTCTTCTTGCCTTCGTGCCACTGCCAAAGTCTCCATTAGCAAATTAAACTTCAAAAAGTGAATGACGGGCGTACATAGTGACTCTTTCGGCTACAAATGTTATCCGAAACTTCGTATGCAGGTTCCGCTGCATCAGGACGGAACTTATGCGTGAAGCTATTTGGCACGTAAGGTTTGTTACCACCATGATTGGCATCAACACGCATCTGCCCATCAAAATTAAGCGACGAGAAAGACTGCGCCATGAACGGGCAATTAACAGGAACCTGGTGCAGGTTGACTCCAATGCGGTGGTACTGCGCATCGCGGTAGAAAAACATGCGGAACTGCAACAGCGGATCGGGCGAGTCGCCGATTCCAGGAACCATGCTGCCAGGCGAAAAAGCCGCCTGCTCCACATCCCGATGGAAGTCCTCCGGGTTCTTGTTCAGGACTAGCCGTCCGAATTCCTCCATAGGGAATTTGTCCCGTGGCCATACTTTGGTCACATCAAACGGATCGAAGCCTAGTTTCTCGGGATTGGCGTCCTCCGGCTTCATGACTTGGATCTTAGCGGTCCACTCGACTTGCTCACCGTGCTCAATGGTCTCCCAGAGGTCACGTTTGGAATAGTCTGGGTCTTCGCCCATCTTCATCATAGCCTCGTTGTATGTGAATTGCTTCTGGCCGTGCTTCGCGATGAAATGATACTTGACGTACACAAATTGGCCCTGCTGATTCACCCACTTGAAAGTATGGCAACCGTAGCCGTGGTTGAAACGCCAGCCGACTGGAGTCCCATGGTCACTGAAAAACATGAGGCCCGCATGATTGGATTCGGGCGTGTTGGCTAGGAGATCGAAGAGTGCATCCTGATCTAGGAGGAAGTTCTTGGGGTCGCGCCACTGCGAGCGGATCACATCCGGCCCTTGAATCGGGTCGCGACAGAAGAAAATGGGCCAATTGAGCCCCACGATATCGTAGTTTCCTTCCTTAGTATAGAACTTGATGGCAAAGCCACGAGGGTTCCGGGCTTCATCGGGATACTCCCTGCCTAAGGTGACAGTCGAGAAGCGAATGAAGATGGGTGTCTTTTCCCCGACCTTCTGGAGGAAGTTGGCTTTCTATTTCCTCGTTAGCCGTCTATCTTTATTTGAAATCTACCATTTTCAACTCGCTCACAGTTAGGCTTGACACGTTCTTTGTGCACTCAAAATATCCGAACGCGCCACTTCCACAAGGATGCACCATCCCTAACACCAAGTTAGTAACTGACTGGTTCCATTTCTGAGCGCAATAGACCTACGCTCCAAATTCTTCGAACGGTTGAATGTCTGCTGCTTCCTGCGCAAGGATTAATAATCATCGTGTTGTGGGAGACTCGGAATGCCACGACCAACTTACTGGAACAAAAATACATCACTGGCTACCGGAATACCGCCGATGGTCTTACTGTGACAGCTAGATCTGAAGTCAATACCAGCGACCCCATGTCAATCAAAAGCTTCTCTGGACATACGCATCTGGCCAAGGAATACCCTCATTATTGGTGAAATACGGTGCATCATCCTCTCGAATTCCATCCGACACAGCACCCGACACTTTAGCAGCAACATCCGCGGACCCTTCGTTGGCACTCATCATATGAGTCACCCGGTTGCCGCGAGACTCTCCAGTCGTAGAACTTTGGATGCCGGTCTTGATAGCTTCCAGTGGATGCTGAGTGATGCTCCATTGGTTGCTATTCGCCGCACCGTCAAGCGCACTTGAAGCCATGTTGAATAATACGTATATGTAAATAAATCCAAAAATACCACAGATCAAAACTCGGTTGAATTCGCTTTGTGGAACGGAATATTTACGATATAAATATACGGCATCTTAAGCTTGAGAGTTGTCAAACTCAATTGTCTCCTTTCCTTACATTTCGATAATGTCTGCCGTCTTGATGTAAACCTGACGCTACCATTCCCTGGTCATTGAGAAAGGGGTGAAAATGATGGGCTTATGAGACATATGCATATTGCAAAATATCGTCGTCAACGATTGCATGAAGAACCCGGAGAGGAACATCCGTAACCAAGCCGAATATGAGATCCAATTGCAACGCGCGCAATTGAACTTACCATACTAAGCTCAAGCTCGGCGTCCTGTCAGTAAGAAGAATGATGACGAGGACAAGGCCGTGGAACATCTAGGCCGATATTTGTAACAGGGATAACCCATTGTATAGTTTGAAATACTATTTCTGAGCCCTTGGGTCTTGGATGTCATAGGCTTAAGATAACCTGATGCCTTGATAAACGCTTCAGTTTTATTTGAATTTAGGATGACCTAAGACTCATATGGTCGGATTTAACCTAGGATCAATTGTTAACATTCACTTCGATAGGAACATGGACCACTTCGTTTCACACCAAATAAATGGGCGAATATATTATTTTCTGTTTTCTGTGGATGTTAAAAAAGTAATAATTTCGAATATTAAAAAATGATATGTACTTTGTAATAAAAAAAAATGCCAAAAAATTTCAAGTCGTTAAAACCTTTTAAAACCCAAATCTATAACCAATCCAATTGCTACCAAACCAATCTTCCCCAACCCTATGTATTTCTCCTTCTATATCACCTTATAACCACGTGGCTTCGTCATGCTATTGTCGGAACTGTTTACAAAAGGATAACAGCAACGACGGCGGCAGCCATGACCTCAAGGCCACGCTCCAGACGGCCAGCGGCGGCCGTGGGGATGGTGGGGTAGCCGCTGGTAGTGGCGGAGGGGTAGGGGACAACACCGGTGCCAGATCCAACGGGAGGAACACCAGGGTAGGTGCTAGGGCTGGCGCTGGAAGTGGGGTAAGGAGGCGGGATGACGGAGGTTGTCAAGCTGCTCTGGGGGTAGGTGACAACGGTGCTGGGGTAGCTAGGGGCACCAGGGGCGCCAGGAGCACCGGGACCAGCAGGGCCAGTGGGGTACGGGGTCTCAGAGGGAGCACCCGGGTAGCTGGGACCAGCAGGGTAAGATGACGGGCTGCCGGGTTGAGCGGGGCCAGTAGGGTAGCCAGACGGGGTCTCAGTGGGAGTCACCTCGCACACTGTAGTGCTGATAGAGACGGTCTCGGTGGTGATGTATGACGATCCAGAGGTGACAGTGTACACGCTAGTAGAGTAGATGGTCGAGGTGGTGTAGCTGGGGGTGGACGCAGGGAATCCAGTGGAAGTGGGGTATCCAGTCGAGGGGAGCGAAGTCGGATACTCAGTAGATTCGCTGGAAGTAGGGTATCCAGTGGGGGTTGACACAGGGTACGAGGCCGGGTAAGAGACAGTAGCGGAAGAAGTTGCCTCGCTGGAGCTGATGCTGCTGGGAACGTAGCTGGAGACGGAGTAGCTACCAATGGGGACAGAAGTCGAGTAGGTAGCGCTAGTCGAGGCGGTGGAAGACTCCGTTACAGGGCAGACAGTGGTAGTGGCAGGAACAGTTACCGTTGTGACATACGAAGTACCAGGGCAGTTGGTGATGGTGGGAGCACAAGAAGTAACAGTGATCTCAGTGGTCGTCCAGATGGTAGAGGTGGTGTACTGGGTAGCAGAGCTAGACGTGATGTAAGAGGGAGTGCTGGTAGGGTAACCAGGGACGCTAGTGCTGCTGGTAGTAGCGCTGTAGCTCGACGTGCTAGAAACCTCAGAAGACGAGGAAGTGCTGCTGACAGTCTCTGAAGATGCCGAGTACGAAGATACTGGGTATGACGATGCAGGGTATGAAGATGTCGGGTAAGACGAGGACACTGGGGATGAAGACGACACTGAAGACACAGTAGATACCGAGTATGAAGATACGGGGTAAGATGATAACGGGGACGACGACGATACCGAAGAAACTGAAGATGCCGAGTATGAGGATACAGGGTATGAAGTTACTGGGTAAGATGAAGACACCGGCGACGATGAAGATACCGAAGATACCGAGTAGGAAGATACCGAGTAGGAAGATACCGAGTAGGAAGATACCGAGTATGAAGAGACTGGAGTAGAGCTGGTGGTAGCCTCAGTGCTGGTAGTAGAGCTGATCGGGTACGAGTATGTCGAGTAAGTGCTGCTGCTGGTCACATAGGTCGACGAAGTGGTGGCCGAAGACTCCGAGGTAGAGCTGACGGAAGTAGAGCTTACGGGGTACGTCGGGTAAGAGCTCGTGCTGGACTCCGAAGTTGACGAGGTACTAGCCGAGTAGGAAGAGGTACTGGCTGAGGAAGTGCTGGCGGAGTAGGAAGAAGTGCTCGCCGAGTAAGAGGAAGTAGAGCTCGTCGTAGCTGAGGATGAAGAGATAGAGCTGACGGTAGATGAAGTGGAGCTGCTGCTTACAACATACGAGCTCACTGGGTACGTGGGGTACGAAGGGTATGAGCTGGTGCTGCTAGAAATCACATAGCTGGAAGGAGAGCTAGCAGGGTAAGAGTATTCTGAAGTCGAACTGCTGACAGCCTCGGTGCTGGAAGTAGAGCCGATGCTTGAAGAGGACGGGCTGCTGGCGGGGTACGTCGGGTAGGACGGGATCGACTCAGTGGCGCTCGAGGAGCTCACAACGTACGAACTCGGAGGGGGAACAGCCTCATAGGAGCTGGAGCTCTCCGGGTAAGTAGGGTAAGAAGGGTAGTCTGCACTGGTAGTACCAACGAGGGCGAGAGCGCCCAAGCTCAGGAGAACACTACGCATCTTGAGAAATATGCTCTAATATTAAATTAGGTATTAGGTTGAAACTTGAAGCGAAGGAAAGAAGCGACCGTGGTTGACAAAACGAATAGTAAACCGCAAGCGAAACGAGTGACTTGGGCAATATGTTTATACAACGAGTAACCTAAGAGACCTTGGTGAGAAGAAACACTCAGGTTGGGAAGTGACCCTTTATGTACGGTTAACCAGCAGAGTAACATCGCGCTGCGGTGGACTGCAAGCACAGTCATCCAGCTGGGTCGCCGATACCAGTCGATCCTCAGGTTCCATTGTTAAGCTAGACCCGTAAAATCTGTAAGGCTTGACCCATTGCCTATCATCTCCGTAGAGAAGTACCCTAGGTGAGTGGGCTGACGTTAAGGCTGGCGCAAGTAGCATATTTCGTAAATCCAATACGACAAGGACACGAGCAAGGGAGTGCTAGACGCGTTAAAGCGAAAGCCGCATTGGTGCAGATCCTTCGAAAAAGTAACATGCCAGTGTACTTTCGCATTTTACTGACTCCGTAGGCACCAATAGCCTGAGCCGCTGTCAACTTGGTCGTGACGCCGAATGTGCTGTTACCCAACTGCCCAACTGGGAATGGCGTCAATATTGATTGGCTATTACGGCTCGCCAACCCTGAACACACCCCTTTAGCGTGCTCTGCAACTAAGATGTCCCAAAATTAGCATCTTCTAATCTCCATTCGAATACGATGTTATTCTATAATACGTAGCATAGCTTAACATCGCGCGAACAAACGATCCATCACAAAAAGTGGTCATTGTCCTGTCGATGGAAATGCGGAGCTTCGTGGAGAAACTATCTCCGTTTCCGCTTTTCTCTTCTCATAACTTGAATTGACAGCATCGTATGCGTGTGTGGCTCTTAGTGCTAGTGTGATATTCTTCCCAAGATCTTGTTTCTTGTTTTGTTCACATCTTGGCTACCTTATGGTCGGTCCCAAGACCCACGGTCCACGAGATTTTCATGTACATAGTGTATGTTCTGTAACATACATATTGTTATGTATGTAGATGTACATAAGTACTGTCCCATTGGACCCGAGATCTCGGTGGGCCGGCCGATCCGGATGGGCCCGGATGAGCATAGCCACCCTATCCTAGAGTGGGATTATAATGCTTGTATAAAGCCCCTATTACTGACAGGTTTAATAATTCTAATAGCCTTTTAAAAGCCAGCTCGTCAAATTATTGCCATCGTAAAATTGTAATTGCAAATGAATATTTGGTGGTAGAATATTGTCGTGCCACCAACTAGAATTCTTGGTAGATTCTTAGTAGAGCGACCTAGACTAAGAAACCCGTGGGCATCTTTGCCCACTCAACCCACTCTAGTCTGTGCGTTCGTAAGAAGTATTGTACTGTATACTGTATACTGGAGGTTGGCTGGTCGAAATTGTGGTGGCAATTCACGCTATGTTGCCTGCTTACTTGCATTGGCCCTGACCCGCATAACAGACGGTCCGAGTTCCTGGCTGCTTTAATGGAGCTTTCTGAGTTTTCAGGCACCTCTTTGTTGTGTCGAATACCAACACCAGTATACTGGACCGGTGTAAATCTTTATTTACACGTGTTCCTCCGGTTCCTGTTGTTGGATCCTCATATCATCCCTCCGTCTCGTCTGAAGATAAGGTTAACAAAGAAGGGTTCGAGAAGTATTGGAATCGGACATCCTAGTAACATTCACTCAGGGTATAAACATGGTTTACCTCCTTTATTGACAAATTTAGGTACCTTGGGTACCTTCCGGAATCGTGTACCTGCCAAGCTACCTCTACCTGACTGACCTGGTTGTCTAGGTACGCAGGAAATTTGCTGAGTATGAGTTGATCCCTTTAAACCGACGCTAAGTACCTATGTGAGATGCATGCGAGTGGCTCAGGAGAAAATACATTGCGGGCATTGGATCGGTCTTTGGTTCTATTCCGCGGTGGAGCTACAGTAGCTTATGGTGATACGAAAAAAAAAAAAAACATCAATATTGATAATACCTAATTTGTAATGTAACTAGCAAGGTTGGGCTGTAGGTACTGTAAAAGAACAAAGCAAGCAAGCTATTGCGTGATGAGAATTGCTTTGGATTCGGCTTTGTTAGTGGAAGAGAAAAAAAAAAGAAGAAAGTAGAGGGATCACGATGAGCCGGACGAGAATCTCCTAAGCAAGCTAAAGCACTTAAGTTGCTGCTAAATATTTAAAGTAATCACTTTTTTTTGCTTTTTTTTCGGCGATTGATTATTACTTTAGTTGATCTCATGACGTCAAAATTCCTCTGAAATCGCAATTGGGATACATAATTCGAACAATTATGCATAATTAAGAGTGATGAGTCTATTATGATTAGTCTATTATACCTACAATATTATTAAGTTCATGTACATAATCTGCATATGTAGCTACATAACTCACCTCCTTTTTAATTTCTTTTTTTCTTCTTTAAAGTGCAACTTCGATCACACAATTTCCAAGTCTTTCTTCACAATACATGCTGGGGAAATTCCATAACCTAATAATCTTTCCACCTGTGACTGATCCACAAGCCGTGATTGGTCCCACCATCTAAATTAGCGTCAGCTTATACGAGCCGCAAGCCCCAAAGGCGTCCAGGGTTACCGGGGTTGCCCCCATTTGTTAAAAGCCGCAGCGGTATTGGCAGCCATGGCTTCAGGTCCGCACAATGGTAGGAATCATCACACCCAGAACACCTTGCATAGAACAACTCATCTAGTGCTCCCCGCAAAATACGAGCTGGTACAGTAGTGCTTATCGAATTCTGCTCACACAATGGGCGGGCACATCGCCCGATCGCAGTCTTCAAGCAGCCTCTCAAGCTGTTCTCCCAACAGCCCGTGACCGGATTCTTCCGCGACGGTTACTGTCGCACAGGAGGAGGCATCGACCCGGGCAATCATGCCGTCGCCGGTATCGTAACCGACGAGTTCCTCGATTTTTCGGCCTCGCGCGGCAACGACCTACGAACCGTGGGCCTAAAGGGCGGCTGCCGTTGGTGCCTATGCACGGCCCGCTGGCTCGAGGCCTACCAGGCCTACCGTAGCGGCCGGGTCACTAACTTAGGCGTCCCGCGCGTCGACCTCGACGCCACTGAGGATAGCGCGCTAAAGATGGTTGACATGGAAACTTTTCGACAGTTTGCTGTTCGGCTCGATCAACCGACGAATCCGAGCGGTAGTGGGAACGGGAATGCGAACTAGTGTCGCGTAACCTAGAGCGAACAATTCCTCTGCGTCATACTTATGATGTGTGTATGTATTTATCTTACTATTTCACACACTAAGAAGGACAATTAATATAGTCCCGGTCTGTTGCTCGGCGTATGAAGACCTGATTGACGGGGAATACATCGTCATATTTATCGGCCCGGGTCTCTGGGTTTACGCAAACCCGCGACCCGTAGCGGCCGAACGTGGCCCATCGAATCTAGCAAACTTAGCCTATCAACCTATGTTTCAGACACACTTTAGACTCGCTGATTGACATGTGGGAAACGAAAAAAACGTGCGAAGTGGGATAGCTACGCTGTGCTATGCTCATCACGATGCTAACACAGGAACATGACGTCAAAATCAGGAGAAACATTAGAAACCCGATCGATCGGCGCAAGCTTACGAAATACAATAAAAGGTCCCTCGTTACCTTCTCGAGTAGCACGGACGAGTGCCCGCGTCTGCTACTTCCTGATCCTTTCGGTTGGAGTGTGATCAACAATGAACGAATAGCCCCATGTTTCGGCTGGTTATGCTGGCTTTTGCATCCGAAGTTATACAAAACCCGTCGAAATGTTTGCCGAGACATTACTACAGGACGGCAAGTAGGTGGCCGCTATCAAGATCAGCTCAGTGGCGTTTGTTGAGGTAACTTTACTATCTTAGACACTGGGGAATTCGACACCTCTACTATTACTTAAAAGCGCCACGAATTAAGCGATATTAGATGCCGTTGGCTTCGACCGCGACAATATCATAGACGAGCGCAAGGTTAAACCAATGCGCGATTCGCTGTATTATCTTTTTGGTAAATAGACTGCTAATCCGAAATCTTAGAAATAGAAAGACAATCCAATACTAAGCGCCGAGTTCTATCAATTAACCGCCGGAAGTGATCAAATCTCAACTTTGGGCGGCTGGGCGCTTACGACAAAAATCCTAGCGACATCGCAGAATTACTAAATAAAGCAGAACTCAATCGTTCCCAACTACGATAAGATCTGAAGCGAAACCGGGAAAGAAAAAAAAGGGGCATACGATTTTACAATACTTCCCCAGTAACCGTAGATCACTTGAATAGGGGTCAGCAATTGTGTTTTGCCGGGCGATTAATCTGTCGAATCTAGACACATTTTTCATCTCCGGGGGACTCTTCTGTTCTAGCTGCTGTGGTGACAAATTCGTGCATTTGGTGGCGTTCGAATGAGCTGAGCGTATTACTTGCTCATATGCACGTCTGCAATAAATCAAAAACGGTGACGCGGGCGCCTTAGATAGGTAATAAAAGTGCGCTTCGTTGCAGCCGACATATCCGTCGGTCAATTGGGTTACCTATATCTTCTAGGGTTTCCGCGATACATTGTTTTCTGCTACGGTGATTGTAAACTCATTGGTGAGCAGAGATCTATAAAAGGAATCCTATAGTCATTTTCTCAGGCTGATCGAGAAGAAGCACATTAATATGTGATAAGGATGCGTATAAAATGTTTTGTTCAGGCATTGGTGTTCCTGATTCTTCAGCGATGCCCAAGATTCAATCATCTGGATAGGATGCTCTCTTTGTAGGCACTTCACCCTTTCAGGTGCATGATGCAGGTCGAAGCGCTCAAGATGGCAGGTGAAACGGTGCGATCGTCCGGGATTGGCCACAAACGGAATAGAAATTTCCTTCAACGAACCTTTTTTTCGAGATGGGTGATAGATGCTTGGTTATAAATTGACTGTAATAGGGGTAGGACAAGAATTAGGTACTTTATAGGAAACTAGATAAGAGAATTTACAAGTGCCGACAGCATGCAAGTCTAAAGGAAGTTTCACAATCAAAGAATTCAAAGTTGCGGATTCGTTGGCGGGAATTGATTCTCCGATAAGAGAGAGAGGAAGGAGATAGGGAGCATGGACCTTGCGCACGAGGTTGCAAGGATTCAGGGGTGAACTTTATGCTTGGCGCAAGCTTGTGGCTTAAATGTCATAACGAATTCAAGGTATCAACTTTGGAGCTTTATCAATGGCTGTGAGTTTTCTATATTTTTCTATTCTAATGTTTCTTGAAGGGTTATTATTGGCTTTTTGAAGATAATTTGCAATCCATATTGCCATTATCGTAGCTTTTATACGGATGTTGAAGCATACCTTGAATAGGTATAGAGATGTACTTAGGTGGCTGTTAGAAGTTAAGGGCGTGTAATGTTTGAATCGTTGATGAACTCAGAACAATATATAACCTTCATAACCATTGCTTTCCTTGCATTGCTAATTTCATTATTGGGCAGCACTGGTACCAATGGACTAATTTGACTAAGATGCACATGATCTAAAGTCAAACTATCAGTTTTAGTTGCTGTTTTGAAAGTAGGGCGACGAAGTGGATGCGGCTCATGGAACATAAGACAATCAGTGTGTCAATAGTACGCGAACTTGTTTAATAAGTTAAGGGAAAAAGGAAATGGGATATGACAAACATTAATATATGAAAACAGAATGTCATTTTATATTGCCTAGTTATATGAGTTATATAGCATATAATATCTCTAAGCGATAGCAAATACACGATCGTATCTAGATAAGAGTCTGAGGGTTCAATCTGTTTTTATAAAGATTGCAGCATTCGGAAAGGGAAAACGCTAGTAATTAAGATCTTACGCGCTACTGTGGCTTATTGTCCGCTAAGAGCTATTAGGTACAGAAAGTAGGTGTGGGGGACGTGTTCCTGCGGCGAACTCCAACCCTTTTGACCAATCAGACACGACCACTCTGGCACTGCAGGTACCTTAAATACCCCACCTGCGATGTTAGTGTACCGATTTGGGCCAATAATCTTCAGTTCTTCCCCGAAACATCGTTTCTTGGCCTTGCGAATTTATTTCTAGGGGAGTTTTAATGTCCACGGGTCTAGGGATCGAATTAAGTCAAGGTTTTAGTCCCCTATTGCTTGCCCTCCGAGACCAAGACCAAGACCAAGACCAAGATCTCTCCTACCCTAGGAGTTCGAGATCCCTATTTTTTGACTTTTTCAGCACATCAAACCATCGCCCAATTCGACCCTGGATTGAGTTTGTCGAGTTACACAATCAGATCATTTTTTGTTTGGACCCTTGGGGAAGGGTTTTGGATCATTTCCTTCTCCCTGTATTCCCATTCCCGATACCTCGTACTATAATCGCTTACGACAATTCACCCAAATCTCTCCCGCGAGTGGCGCTCTAAACACGGTTTAACCCAATCCTTCTTAATAATTAATATCAATCGTTCTTTGAATTGTAAATACAATATTCCGATTTGCCCTTACTCACATCCTGCGGATCTCTGGTCCACTCAGACGAATCACCTATTTTATTCCCCTTGGTTGCTATTATAAAGGAAAAGCTGGTTAAGCTACGAATACCCTCAGCGACAACGACGAGTACGAACGAATTCGATCGATCGAGCCATAGTCATGTTTTGGAGGGAATAATCAATCGGATTTGGACAATATCAAGAGAGGAAGGACGGAAATTCAAAACGGGCACTTCATATGACTGTCTTGTGCTGCGTATGGCAGCCCCCGTTTCTGCTGCCGTCCAACCCATCCTGTTCCACCTAACCCGACCAATCGACACTCCGCGATGCATTCCTCCGAGAATAGTCGACGGACTCAGCGCCGGCGGCCTGATTTAAATATCAATACCTCGGGTACTGCTAGCAGAGGACCTTCTACACCTCCCGCAAGGTCCAAGACAAAGCCCCCCGTTTCTAGTCGAGCGTATCGAGTACAAGCCTCAACATCTACGGCCTCGCATGATTCTGAAGAGTCCTTTCTGGATAATGGTTCTGATGAAAGCCGAGGGAACGATCACGAATTACCTGACCTACCTCGAACTGGTAGGACTGTGAGAGACTCGCACGATCTCTCCCTACCCGCGCGCCAGTTTACTCGTGATTCTCTCGTTACCAACATGTTATCCTCTCTTGACCAATTCTCTCTGGGGCAAATTAATACTCCTACGACTAATATGTTTGACGACGACGATCCCCTTAGTCCACCGAGAGATGACTACACAAGATCTATGACGAACACTTCCCGCCCAGCGCGTATGTGGAGTTCGGGCGTTAACCACGGTCACGGATACTCATATAGCTCAGACTTTGAAGGGACTGACGATGGGGCAAGCAGGATATCCGGCCAATTCTCGAGAGGGCGACGTAGTAACAGCAGCTCGGGTTTCCAGTCGAGTCTTGGCCGTATTAACAGTATGCGAGAACAAAGCCACCCCGGCGGAGCTGGAAGACACGCGATGCATTCTAGAGCGAGCAAGAGCAGTAGTACTAACAGTATGGATGCCGGCGGCTATGCTCAAGTTCTGACTACCCAACGATGGGCCCATGGTATTGGTAATAGTGGAAGATCGTCGAGTTTTGACTACGGGCAAAGGCCCTCCTTAAGTTCTCCAAGTGCGTGGAAGACCGAATTTTCTAACACTTTTCTCGTTGACGATTATGAAGCAGCGCCTACGCCGACAATACCTGTTGGTCCCCGGCGTCTGAATATGCCGTCGACTCCCGTCGGACCACCGCCTATCCCCCCATCAGAGCTCGAATCGAAGACACCCGATCGCAAGAAGCCCAACAACGCGAGATCGAGAAGTGGTACCATGAGGACAACTCAATCTAAGTATGCTCCGTCTTCGCGCGACGTACCTCCTCCGCTACCTTCGGCCGATTTGGACTCTGCTCCTGCACCGCACGTCGGATACGAAAAATCGAAGGAACTTTTACAAGGCCCGCCCGCTCCAGCACCACAGGCTAAACAAGGATTCTTTAGCAGAATATTTGGCTATCGAAATAGTACCAACATTCCAGAGGCTAAACCATCGCAGGTCGCGTCAACAACAGCAGATACCATTGAACATGTTAATTCACAAACAAAAGCACAATCCACTCCGCCGTCGAGAGATTCACAGCGTTCTTCGCATCAGCCTCATGTTATCCAGAAGAAGTCGTCGTTTTTCAGAAGACGGAAGAAGTCCGTGGCAGAACCACCTTTACCGCCACCACCGATCCCCTTACCGATGGAAATCAATAGGATCAAGGAACAATCAGTTCCTATGCGCGATGCTAGTCCTGTTAGCAGCTTGCGTGAGATCATGAGTCCGTATCTACAGGACACCACTCCTAACCTACCTCCCGGACTCTTATCCCCGACGCAGGAGAACTCGCCGCGTGCCAGAGGCTATGAATCTCAGGACGAGGAAAATACAACTCGCAGATCTAGAGGATTTTCTCCAGATTATGAACCCAGTCCGAATGCTACTATCCGGACTGTGAAGTCCACGTCGGCTTTGAGAAACCAGGAGTCTACTCGAAGACGGACGCAGAGAGAAAGCGTAATGCGGGACCTACCTGAGCTGCCTACAAGTAGGCCAGTCGACGGTCGTGATACCACATTCTTCGACGATAGTAGTGACGAAGGTGAAAAGACATGGCCTGGTAAAAAGCACAAGCAACAGCAACAACGAATTAGCAAGACCTTCCCAATCATCAATGACTCAAGAAATGAGTCTGACGGTGCAAGACTCCGGGAACAAAGGATATCAAGAGCTGAGAGCTCTTCTAAACGCGAACAATCTCCCAACTTACTCCTTCAACCAACCCCTTCTGCTGACGAAGAAACTCCTAGAGTTACAGAAAGCCGCCACGGACCTAAGAGGATGTCGACCTTCCCTGGCTCACTTAACAAGTCAGCGAACAGCTTACCTAGTGTCAAAGTGGATACTGCAGAAGCCAGCCCCAAGATTGTGGGCTCGCCTTTGGATGAGCCCGAAGTATCTGTAGGTGAGCCAACAGAGGATGATCGTTCAAAGGCGCAAAAGATATTCGATGGAAATGAAGATTTCATTCAGAAAGAGAAAGCAGCTGCTTGGATGGGAGAAGAGGGGCTTGTGAGGCAACGAACCCTGAAGGCGTATATGGAACTATACGATTTTACGAATCAAAGTGTTCTCACTGCTTTGCGACAAATATGCAGCCGTCTCGTCTTTCGGGCTGAAACCCAACAAGTTGATCGAATTTTGGTGGCATTCTCAAGCCGATGGTGTGATTGCAACCCTAATCATGGTTTCAAGACTACTGGTAAGAGAGTCCATTTATTTTATTTGAACTATTACTTACATACTACAGACGTAATCCACACGATGTGTTACTCTATCATGCTTCTAAACACCGATCTTCACCTAGCAGATATCGATCAGAAGATGACGAGAAGTCAATTCGTCAAGAACACCATGACAACTGTCAAGCACGCACTAGCAGACTCCGCCCCCGAAGCTTTTGACCGGGCTAGCATCTTGCCCGGAAAGAATAGCTTGCTCAGCCCCGCTGATTCCGAGGTTAATACGCCCTTGGAGCCGGAGCCGGAGCGACCTAACTGGAGAGCTTCCTTCAAACCACTTCCGCGATCGGAATCGTCCATCGGTAACTACGCAGACTCTCCGGTCGACACTTGCGGCCCACTTGTCAAAGCTCCTTTTGAAGGTTCTACGAAAGCCTGGACGCAACAGATGGAACTTGTATTGAAGGATATATACAACTCTATTCGTGACGAACGTCTCCCCTTATTTGGGGCTGAACCAAGTCAGCCACAAAGTCACTCACAAGGCAGTCTTTCAGTAATGGGTATGCTAAAACGTAGTCCGAGCGTCCTATCGAAAGCTCCTTCCGAGGGCCACATCTCTGTTCGTGGCAGGATTAACGATCCGGCTCGTAATCCTGGAGCAAGATGGACTTCAAAGAGCCGATCAAGGCCAAGGTTTCCCGGCAACGGTATCTCATCAAGTCGTACTAGCTTTGAGGATGGAAATTCCATCTGGAGCCCTACTACATCATCTGCTACTTGGAGCCGATACTCATTGGGTAGAACCCAAACTTCTATGTCTATGGACTCATTCGGATCATACCCGAATGGCGATTACCAGCAATCGATCGGATTTGCTAATGCATTGAGCCAAGCCATAATTCGCGAAGATGTTCCGCCTGGTACTAGTGGTCAATCCATTATGAGTGAAGAGATATCGGGTAACCAATTACTTGAAGACGAATCACTCGAGCTTGCGGGTCCACCGTGGATTAAGGAAGGTATTGTCATTCATAAGCATCACCTCGACGGTATGGATAAGAAAGCTAAGGAGCGGAATTGGACCGAGGTATTTGCTGTTGTCCAGAAGGGAACCATGAGTCTCTTTTCTTTCTCAAGCAAGTCTATGCGCCAGAAATCCCGTGCTGGCCGAAAACTTGCTCCCGGCGCCGTCGTCGGTGGTGGAAATTGGCAGGATAATGCTACAAGTGTCGGAACATTCTCGCTGCGGCAAACCCTCGCATCAGCCCTTCCTCCACCGGGCTACTCCCGTAGTCGCCCACATGTATGGGCCCTTAGTCTGCCCACAGGTGCCGTGCACCTTTTCCAGGTTGGTACACCTGATATCAGCAAGGAATTTGTCCTTGCTGTTAACTACTGGAGTGCCCGCTTGAGCACCCATCCACTTGTTGGTGGCGTCAGCAACATTGAATATGGCTGGAGTGATGCCATTATCAACAACGCCTTAATAACAGCCATCAACGACTCACCACCACCCCCGCGCCCAGGCAGCGCAGCAGCTGGTCGCAGTAGTATGCACAGCCGCCAAGGCAGCCTTCAGAGCAGCATTCGTTCGTCATTTGATGTCGGTGGCGGTTCGCGAACAAAGCTGCCAGGAGACCGAATTCACATTGCTGAGTGGACGCCCCCAGCACAATCGCTTCGGCCTAGCAATTCCTCCGAAGCCGAACAATTAGATGTTCTAGAAACTTACGTCAAATCCATCGAGGAGGACCTAAAGAAGCACAATCAATTGCGATCCCCTATGCTTCTGGCGTTCACACCGCGCGGCCATAACGCTGGCAGGGCTATGGCGAACTGGGAGCGGAAGAGTAGTTATCTACTGCGCGAGATTGTCAAGTTTAGAACATATGTCGATTGCTTGCAGCATGCGAAGACCAGACGCGCAGAGATCTACGGCGAGCGCGACAATGCGCGTCGTGCTGCACGGGGTGAAGATTTGAGTGATGGTGAGAGCGTCCACGATGCCGAGGACGCTGCTATCGAGGCTGCGTGAAGGGTCGAAGATATCTACCAGACGTCAGAGAGCCATACTATTTCATATTATTGATCGCCGTTATCGAATTGTCAACATTTTTTCAGAGGCGAGTCGAAGGTACACACCAAAAAATACGGCGGGAAGGGTCTTTTCTCTTACTTTACTTTGTATTGTATCATACTAAAGATCCCGGGGGATAACACGATACCCAAACAGACAGTTCGGCGCGCTTGGCTCTTTATTTTTCTATGTCGCTATTGCCATTGCTATTGCTACCATCACCGCCGTTGCTATATAGCTACTTGCTAGTCCTATCACGCTGTACATAAAAATATCGTATCAGAAATTAAAGATTTGTACCTATCTAACTTCAAGTGCCTTGCTAAAATGGAAGTGAATCGTTTGTGATACCCAGGTGAGAAATGGGTGATAGGCTTGTGGTTTTCATCGGATATAATGCCGAAATATTACGTAATCTACATTTTAGTGAACCCCTTTTTTCGGATCGTTCCGATATCCTCCACTCTCACTTTATCACCATTTTCTAACAAGGCATATCCATCACTTAAAATGTAATTGAGTTACCTACTTTATTTTAACAGGCGTTTCGATGACTTAAATCGTGAGTCTTGGTACTCCTATCCGGATTAAAATTTCTAAACTACCGTCCCATCGATACCCAATGCAAAACATCATGTATTCCATATCATCCGCCCGATTGCATTGGCCCCAGAATCAATGACGAGGCACCCTGAACTCCTTATTCCGTCATATTCCTAGCCCGTTCCTGCCGCTCATCAAGTAACGCCTTCAATTCACCAAGAATTAGCTTGCCATGGCGACGCGACGTCCGACTTCCCATCAGCAGCACCTTATTTATGATTCTCTTCGCCAGGGTCTGTACATCCCGCGCATTCCCCCAGTACGGTAGCGAAGCCAATTCAGCAAAGATGTTCCTAGCATGAGGAACATATTGTTGTGGGAACGTGATATTCAATTTGTTATTCTTTTTGACAGATTGGAAAAGCAGGCGACCGCATTCAGCGGGGGTTAAGTTCTGGAAATCCACCGTCTCGGGAAATCGACTGCTTAGACCGGGATTCGTGGCTAGTAATTTATCGATATCCTTCTCGTATCCTGCTAGTATGACAACAAGTTTATTGCGAAACCGGTCTTGGGTTAGGATATCGACCATCTCCCCGACCGCTTCCGAGGCGAATGAATTGTGTCCGCTATCCGATGCAAGTCGATATGCTTCGTCGATGAATAGGACCTTTCCGAGTGCTTTTTCGAAAACCTTTCGTGTCTTTGGACCTGTCTGACCAGCGTACTGTCCAATTAAATCCGATGCCGAACATTCGACAATTTCCATCGTAGCAAGGAAACCCAAGTCGTAAAATATCCCGCCCATTTTCCTTGCAGTGGTTGTTTTGCCAGTGCCCGGGGGACCGCGGAAGAGGAAGTTAAAAGGTATGAGATCCCTTGGATCAAGTTCTGTAGCCCGCGCATTTTGAACAAGGATCTGCCAGCCCTCGAGCTTTTCCACCAGAGCCTCAAGGCCCACCATGCCTTCGAAAGATTCCTTAACATTATTCGTACTCTCATGGGCACGGTTGAAGTCCGCATCCATGTCCTGCGCCTCAAGAGTTGACATAGACTTGATATCCAAGTTTGTGTCATTCCGAAGTCTTCCGAGCTGCCGTTCCTTTGCTCTCGACAAGAGATTATCAACCTCCCCCGCGTTCCCAAACATGGTGGAGTTCCGTGCACGTTCAAGTATCTCCATTGCTACTTTCTTAGCCTCATCAGTAGCCTCCAAGCGTAGTTCAGCTAGTTTTAGTTCAAGGATCTCATGAAGTTCTTCGTTGGTGTAGTCTTCAAATTCAAACGCCGACGAGATAGGGAATCTGCGAGGTAGTCCCGGGTTTGTGTTCCTAAACATATTTTCCATCCGACGGCGGTACCCAAGTAAAAGAATGCACCGATCTTGGTTATCACTGTCCTGTATTTCCCCAACAAGAGTATCGATCACGGCAGTCCGAAATATATCAGGCTTGTCATGATCTCCACTATTTCCTAGCATGTAAGCTTCGTCAATGACTAGGACCTTTCCCATGGCTGCCTTGAGTATTTTTTTTGTATTCGCTTCCGAGTGGCCGATATATCGACCGATAAAATCAGCTGGCGTTTTGACCATAACTTCCGAGCTACTGAGGAGGCCTGCATCGGCCAATATCTGAGCATAAAGCTTAGCAACAGTTGTCTTTCCCGTCCCTGGATTGCCTAGGAATAATCGGTTTGTGGTAGTTATGTTGGGTGCTAATCCCTGTAGTTCTCTCTCGTAATTCCACTGCAGTTGGTGAATTAGGGACTCGACGGCAGTCTTGACAGATTTTAAACCAACCATCTTTTGAAGTTTCTGCCAAGCTTCAATGTCTTGTAAAGATTTCGATGGTGACGGGCCAATCACATCTTCCCGAGTCAAAACGGAATAATACACAACGTTGCCACCCAAGAATCCTTCATATATTCGCTTCGACTGCCGATCCATAATCTTAGCAACTGTTTCTCGAACTAGCCAAATGTTGCTCAAACCTGTCGTTCCCTGCATTTTTAACATTCGCTGAATAAGTATTTGTACATGCGAATCCTCGAGTTCCTTGGGTTCACCATATCTTTTAGTTATTTCTTGATCAAAATGCCAACGGAGCTCGTCTCCTGAGAAATCTGAGAAATGAATCGTCATATGCACAATGACCCCAAGCCCCGAGAGTTCGGCAGTCATCGTATCAACTACACTCTCTGAGGCGATGAAAATGAAGACAGTATCATCTTGAAGCCTCTGTATGTCTACAGCGATCCGATAAGCGCTTATTGTTTCTATGTCGTCAAAGTTGTCGATGAAGACAATGCGCTTCTTGTTTGTAAGAATTGGTAAGTGTGACAGGGTACATTCATCCCTCCCGAATCGTGCGACTGGGCAATTTACGTACATGTGGTTTTGGAGGAATCGGATATAATGCTCAGCGACGGAGGACTTTCCCGTGCCTGGATTTCCTACAAAGAAGAGACTCAAATCTCTAGGTAACGGTTGAAATGTATGGGACTTTGTAGAGATAACTCTAAAAGCAATTTTAACGAGGCGAGTCTTTACCTCCCCGAGTCCCATCATATCCATGAGCGAGTTAATGGCCTGATCGTTTATTTGGTAGAGAGATTTGATATGATCCCAGCCCTCCTTAGCCTGCTTAGACAAAACATGCGAATTCATTTTAGCAAGCCAATATAGTTGAGGGACCAAGATAATTCACCCACTGTGAATGATAAATACTACCAAGAATCGTGAGACGAGGAAGAATGGAATAAGATTATATATATAGGTAAGCAGCCTCCAGCCTAGCCTTTTTGATGTGGAAAAAAGGCTCTTGGAGAACTGAAAAGACGGAATATTTGAGAGCAATTTCTGATGGTAGCAACTAGGGAGCAGAAAGGCTTAGAATTGTAACAGAACGTCTGAGACATTGCTCCTGTCCAATACCATATCTGGATTCTTCCTGAATATAGGAATGCCATCATCGAGGTTTTCCCAGTTTGAATGAGATCGCCTCGAAATCGTGGGAATAACTGTCCGGTTTCCGGTGGCTACAGTAAAAAAAAAACTGTTATAAATAGGTAAAACCCGGACCAGATTGAACGACAACCACAATAAAGTATAATAAAATTTGCAGGAGTATCCAGAGAGTTCGCGTTATGAGATGATAATGAAATGCGAAACCAGAACCGAAAGTGATAATTAGAAATCCATCCCCAACGCCATCATATGCGAAACGCCGGTACAAACTATTCCTGAACCTCGATATACTCCGAGCACATCTTCAAAAATCGCTCGCGGTATTCGTTACTATCGGTGGTAATACTCATCGGCCCTTGTTCGTCAATGAGATTATATCCTCTGACCAAACCCGTCATTGCCTGGGCGTATACTGTATGCTTGGACCAGAAGAAGTCTAAGATGGCTGCCCTATAAATTTCTTTGCCGTTGCTTGATGTGACTCCGGTTCGCCAACTCGGCGGATGTGGGGGCGTGAAGGGTGGTTGAACTGGTGGGATGGGTTCAGCGCTAGTCTGTTCTGGCTGAAGTGATGGTTGGGACTCGGCGTCTGCAGCGGAGATCCGAACAAGGAAGAGTGAGTAATCGACGGCATTGCATTTCGCAAGTAGCATAGTATCATTCTCTACTTGGCGCATGAATTGGGTGGCCTGGGCCTCTGGAAGCCAGATTTTGTCGTTGAATTCATCGGCAAGCTTTGATTTGGTGGCCTGAGAAGCTAATAAACCACCGGCGATATCCCTCTCCGGGAAGAAGTAAGAGGTGGGCTTAAGATCCCATGACTCCCACTTTGGTTTCAAGGTTTTTTGAGCATCCTGATCCTGACCGTACATGATATTCTCCATGATTATGTGGTGGCTAGGCGCCAGACCTAGTAATACACCGATGCTCTTATGTGTACTTTCGAGAAAGCTTGTGATGCGTACGAGTAAGCTAGAACGGTTGGCACGCATGTGATCGGCGTAGGATAGAAGTAGTTCGCTCTTGAAGAAGTCGTGTTCGAAATGCCTAGGGATGGATTTGACGAGATAGGCACCATCGTTGGTGCGAAAGAAGGTAGAGCCACTGTAACCCATATCTCCCATAGGTAACAGGGCCTTTCTACGCTTCTTCTGGTGGTTTAGCTTCTTGATATCGAAGCTAGCTCTGTAGTCATCCTCTTTGATCCCCCATACCCCATGAAGAGCCTTGAATAGATCATATCGTACCAGCCGAAAGGTCAACCAATACGTGTAAAAGAGGCGTAAGATTCGTGTAACAAGTGATGGCTTCTTGGCGGGTTTTCCGTTGTCTTTGGTGTTTAGAATAGCATATACTATTGAGCGCGCGATCAAAGTCTCGCGTCGTGTCATCTCGGAGATATTATCATTTTCTTGAGTAGAAGATGTAGTGTGAAAGAAGATGAAAATGGCGATGAAACGGCGCGATTGAAGTAAAATCATTAAAGTTATTCGGCTACGCATCTACGAAGCAAGTGGGAACAAATGCTCCGGTCCATGTAAACGGGATGACGTCACGGTATGACAGAGCGAATTAGAATGTCAACTCGTTACCTTAAACAACACAATTTCTATTTTAATTATATTTCTTAATGTGTTCCCTTATTTATACGCGCAATTCATTTTTATTCAATTATTTCGGACTTTGTTGAAAAGAGTTGGGATGGTTGTCTGGTCCTAATAGTATCGATATGAGTATCTAGGTAATATTCCGACATGATGACCAGTTTCGGACTCTACCCCGTCAAACTTCGTGCTGCGTTGTCAACCATCGCCCGGGAGTAGAATCGGTGAAGTACTTCGGCGACGAAAGGAGTCGGCTTCTTCCCGTCACGGACTGGTTCCACGCTATTGAAAAACGTCGTCTTTAGACTCACGTCAACCGTCCCGGCCGCCTTATCCACCTTTGCGCTCGCGACAAGCAATCCATCCATGTCTCGCGGTCCTGGCTCCAATGGTGATCCACCCGCTCTCACCATAATACTGTTATTCGTCCTTTCTACTACCTCGAAGTGATCGGAGAATCGCGTGCCTAATTCATACTTGGAAGATGCTAGCTGCTTTTGGTCAAACAATTGGTTTTCTGTCTTGGGATTCTTAAGTGCAAGTGTCAAGATGATACGTTGAGGCGCATATGCTGGAATTGTCCGTTAGATCGGATGTTTGACGCACTGTTCGGAAAGTATCCGACATACCATATCCAGCCCACAAGCCACGACAAAATTCTGTTGCCAGCGCTTTTTCATCGTTTCGAAGTTCAGGCCGAACTTGAGATAGAGGCAGGCGTTTCCAGCAGACATCTTCCACGACTGGATTTTGAAAGCGATTGAGTTTCTTAAAGCTCTTGGTAGCCCATATCTCATCGTCTGTGGGTAGCGGGGTCGTTATGTTGGTAGTGGCGGTCAAGTAAGCCGCTCCTCCACCGGTCGCCACTACAGCGGTACCCAGAACCTTTCGGATTACGCCCATGATGTCGGATCAAGATCTTCCTTGGATTTTCACGATATCTCGCTAGATTTTCACAATATTGAAATGGAGACAACTCAGGACACACAATATTTACATCAATTTGAACCCGAGCAGCCTATGTATACTCGTAAAGAAATTTCCTCGGGCTTGGGACATGGCGCGAGCCGACAATCCCTGCCTGCCTGGAACATGCAATGAGACGCCACTTTTATCGGGAACAGCAACTTACTGCCCTCTATTAAGTTGTTTAGAAAGTGTTATTCATCCTTTCCACCTTATTCCCAAAACTGAACCGAATACTTGGTCCTCAACGTGGATTCCAAGAGAATGATTTATTGGTGCCGCACATATGCCAGCTAATGGATCTCCTCGGTGGATTACGAATATCAAAGCTCCAATATTCCCCATGGTTTTCTGCAGCTTTGCCTTGGCGATTAAGGCTTGAGTGCCAACGTCTTGCTCCAACCTATTATCGGCTTCTTATTATCATGTGAACTCCCGCTTCAGGTACGGCTGTCAACTCATGAGTATTGCTGTAAACCCCACCTAGGAAGTCACTGATTACACTCACCACGCCCGCGGAAACTAGGTGCTTGCCAATCCGTCCGAGATAGAAGTTCTAAAAACCCGCCGATTTCCTGCAGCATACGTTCTGTTCTCTGCAGTCGATGGCGCCTTAATTGATTTCGTCGCCATTCGCTACGTGTGTATTCTCGTGTGGACATTTTGTCAAAATCCGAGCTATGAATTTAAAAGGCGGATTGATCACTCGACCTATAGATGTAAGTACGAATATAAGGATCACTCCTGAAGCTAACAGGCCAAATCAACGGATATTGGGCAGTCTTCAAGTATTATATCGAGGATTAATCCTTGTCCTACTTATTTCTTTGTTTTAAAAGGTCAATCCTGATTCGCCTCAAGCATCGGACTAGAACTCCGATGAAAGAAGTACTCCCATCACCAGGCCCTGTGCATAGTGGGCATTGACGTAGTTGTCAAATACTATGAGAATATTCAAGTGAAGTTCCTTTTATTACCCGGGTATCATTTCTATTATTTCTCTATTAATCATCTATTAGTAGCGCCCCTTTATCTGATCGTGGCACTCCTAAAGAGTGGAGTGGAGTGGAGTGCCAATCAATATCCTCGGTGTTGAGACATCTCAGATATGCCTTCTAGGGGGGTGGCTATCTCCTAACTCGACATGTTGGAGAATTGCCAAAAAGGGCCCCGAGTCATAATACCCTAAACTCTCGTGCATATAGAGAGATTCCGTTACCACGATGTCGAGTCCTCTCTATGATCTTCGCGAAAACAAGATCGCCTCGATTCCACCAGTCTTAGCACAAGAAACGCTACCAGCGCATATGTCTATCCATTTGCAAGACCAACCCCTTTCTAAATCCATAAGAAGCTGTGTCCCAAGAGCAACTCCAATGCGCACGCCCCTTTTCAGACTTTCGTCCACTTAAACCCGACCAGCAGCGCCCTCGCCGCCACAAACCAAACCATAGACATAGTCATCACAATCCCGCAAAACAACTGCAGACCCAAAAATTTCCCTCCATTCGCATTAACAATAGCGCCTCCAATCGGTGAACCAGTTAAAGCGCCAAGTGCAGACGTAAAGAACGCGATTCCGGTACGTGTTCCGATCTCACGTATATCGCTGATCTGTGCGATGACGGCGGGGAGTAGGGAGATAAAACCACCGGATGCAAAACCGAATACGGCGCCGTATACGACTGTTGTTGCGGTTGATCGGCCTGGGACCCAGAGGGCTAGGGTGATTATGCCGGAGAGACCCGCGATGAATATCATTATGTTGAAGCGGCCGAAGCGGTCGCCTAGGAAGCCGGGGAGGATACGACCGGGGATGCTGTAGTATAATGTTAGTTCCTTCTCTATTTTGTTGGATATTACACTTGGAAAGAGGGTGACTTACCTAAGCGCATTGATGATAGGTAGGAGATATGGGACAATAGACGGGTCAATACCCTGCTGCTGAGCCTGCAATGCGATGTAATTGAAGGGCAGGAACATGCCCCAGAAAAAAAAAAAGCCCGCGCACACAATACACGCGAACGCTGGCTCGCGTAACGGGCGGATGTAATCCATAACGTTAAACGGCTTCTTGCGCGGCGGGAGGCGAGACTTGACCGTAACACACGCAAATCCGCATAGCGCAAGGAACACGAAGCCAAGCACGCGCATGGTCCAAGGAAATCCGATTTGTGGGATTAGCTTTTGGATCATGATGGGTAGAACCACACCACCGAGCGAAGAACCGGAGACCATGAGACCGAGAGCTGCGGCGCGCTTTTTGAAGAACCATCCCATGACTGAGTTCATGGCTGAGTTAAAAACGGCGCTCATACCCACGGCGCTTACGATGGATTGCGAGAGGAGAATTTGGTAGTATTTCGTCGAGAGCGAGAGCATCATGAGTCCGAAGCAGTACACGAGTGTGCCGATGATGAGGAGCCAGCGGGGTCCGTATCTATCGTAGAGTCGGCCATGCTATGAAGTTCAGATGTGTTAGTCCATTGGCAACTTTGGTTCTTGAATTTTATATGGTTCATGGGTGGGATGGTTCGTCTAGTACTTACGAAAGCGTTTAAGCCCGACATCATAAACACCTGTATCGACGTAATCCAAGTAACCGTAGAGGTGTTGTAGTTAGACAACGGGCCATCGACGTAGTAATCTACGAATACACCGACACAGTTGACGAGTCCAAAGGTGCTGAATAGCGCGCAAAAGCCACCGGCTACCACCAACCAAGCCTCCAATCCGCCATCTGGGAAGTCGGCTGGATTGAAGCCTGGTGGGCCAGCCGGAGGTTTCTGTTCTTGTGGTTGTTTCTCATTTGCAACAGGAGCGAAGCCGCCTTTTTCCACTGTAGAATAGAAAAATTAATACTTCACCATTTAGGCAGGTAATTGGATATCGTTCGGTCGAAGATGACTCAAGGGATGATGCAATGATACGTACTATCAGCCTCAACCACGTTTTCTGGGTCGGGGTACATATTCGCGTTGGTGGACTTCGTCTGCGAAGGGATGCGTTCAAGGGATTGTCTCGATTCGTATGGGCTCGGATCGATAGAGTCCTTGACTTTTTCGGACGAAGGGTCTGCCATCGTGGATGAATCCGATTCAACACCGGAGATACTAACTCGGGGTTTTTCGCTGCCTTTGTTCTCGTGGGAGTATGAGACTGAAGTCTCCTGGGGTTGAGAAGGGAAGGGTTCCATTTTCCAAGATGTGTTGGTCTACGAAGGGAACAGGCTTGAAGAACAAAGGAAGGAAGAAAAAAAAAATTAATTAAAAATATTTAATTAGTCTACAAGATCAAGTGCAGAACGCACGGGGTCTTTCTTGTTTGCTTCTGCAACCAAACATACAGTAGCGAATACAATAAGGATTGTTTTTCGCTGCTAGTTAGTCTAGAGTAGAGTGACCCTTTCCGAGAAGATCACTTTTTTTCTCGAATAACGAAAAAAACGTGACACCAAATATGTTCACGTACGAGAGATGTCCGAACCCCGTATTAATATATGAAATCCCCAGCAATTGGTCATAACATGCTCGGAGTGAGATGCTGGTATCTCGGTGTTAACCCGAGGAGATGGTCCGGGGACGCCACGATCTCTAGGGACCTTGCTGTCGGGAAACAAGGGTACGTACCCGCTCAGCTGCTCCTTCATGCTGTATAAATACCGGTGGAGATGATCCATTCGTTTAGAAAATCATAGGGTATCATTGGCGATCTACTGATGCTGTGCTTTCTTACCGGTTCCATTAGGCATGATGTTGTGTAACTCGGACTTCCGAGCTGCACAGAAAAGAAATAGGGGCAAAATCTACCACGCATCTAGATCAATACTTTTTCGCTCTATCAGACAACCCGAGTCGCGATTCTTTTATAAGGCTGATTTATAGATCGTATTTTTAGGTGTACCAGTTTCCGCAATGATCCACGAGTACGAGTAAGTCAGCCAGCAAGACGAAGAAGTCTTTGTGCTAGCGGTATGCAGTCACATCTGATAATATTCGTCCCTCAAGCTATTACTTATCCTAACCGCCTAAGTAATGGTGTAATCTGGAATCTTGATAATAGGCGATCACCTAGTACCTAGCCTTGGCTCCTTTCGGCGTCGATATGAAAGCGCGAAAGCGCGAATCTCTTACAAATGAGTAAGCATACCGCTCCTTTTGCTCAACGGGCAAAACGTCCGATTGTGAAATACATTAGGAAAAGCAATTTCCACGCCCAAATACTGTAGAAATTACCAATTAAAGATTGAAGTCCCGGTGTATTTATTACTCCTTGTGCTTATCCGGTGGCTGCTGAGAGGCTGAATCATAGCGTTTCTACATATGTATATAGGGCCTGACGGAAAGTGACGGTCAACGTACCACACCCGTGTCTTAAAACGTGTCTACGCCGTAGAACGTGTTTGTGTCTTTGATTTACGCGATAAAATCGGGATCTAATCTGTAATAAAATCTATGTACGAGAGCCATGTACTCGGAGATACATGAGGTAGCTCGGAAATGCATAGGGACTAATTATAATACCCACATGTCCCACGCTCACCCTCGTCCTGTACCCTTGTTCTACATACCACTTCTCGTGGGTCCACAGTACCGGCAGTACGAATGAATGCAGTGACACGTTGTCTTGCCTGCCGCTAACGCTGTACTTTTTGATGTACTCCGTAGAGATTTGCCGCGAGGGCAAGCCCTTAGCTTATGTAATTTCAGCTGCGGTGGAATACTATAGGTGATGAAACTCCTTTCCCGAACGTAAGTTGTCGGTGTATGAGAATTTGTGAGATTAAGTCCACCTAGGTAGGCTTCTAAGTGAGTGAGGGGAATATAGGTATTTCTAGTAGCAATTTAAATTGTATATCGAGTATACACTCTTGACTACATGCCACCCAATGTATAAGAGTTCATATGTGGTAAGTTTATGGGGATATCGTACATCTATTCCTCAACTCTAAAGGGGCAACGCGACGTGCGACCCCGTTGGAATTCTAGTAATTGCCGTATAATACACTTTTTAATTTTCATATCAACAGCCCTACACATAGGATTCTACCTCTCAAAATCCTTCAAATTCGCCGCATCCCTAAACTCAACCTTCCCATCTTTCCCCACGCTCGCAACATTAATATTAACCTTCGCCTTATCCTCCGTCTCTCCCTCTCCCTTCCCTCCCCCCCCTTTCGTCTTCGGCCTAGCAGCCAACTCCACAGCCTGTGGCGCAACACCCATCGGCGCATCCGCAATCTCATTAACATCATCCCTAGTCAACACATCACTAACCCTCACCCCCCGACTCGACATCAGTACCGTAACCGGCCCTCTAAACTGAAGAAACAACCTATCACCCCAAATCGTCCGTCGCGCCACCGTGCGTAAATCAAACAGTACCCTCGACAGGAACTTATAAACCTCCGTCTTACGCATATTCTTCAAAAACTCCGTATCTCCCAACCAGTTCGTTATCGCCGGGACCTGGAACCTAATGCCCGAGCTCTTGAAGCGGAAGGGTAGAGGTGGGTTTTTAGATAACGTGTATGCGACGACGTGGGAGGGGTGTGCGACGAATTCTTCGCCCTCGGCGAGGGAAAGTTGGTATATGTGACCTGGAGCGGAGAGGGCGGCTAGACCGCGACCGGTGAGTTCGGAGGAACCCCAGTGTGCGAGTGGAAGGCGGGTTTGGATTCGTGGGGTTACGGATAGGGTGTAACCGGTCCATGCTAGTAGCGCGGAGCGTTGGGCTACCATCCAATCTGTCGTGCCGTCGAGATGGAGAACGGTGAATGTCGTAGTAGGTGATTTGGTGGATACTAAGGCTGTGAGGGGTGTTGTCGAGGTTATGCGTTGGTAGAGGAATGGTACGCCGGTGATGGCTCGGGTGAAGGGAGAGAGGACGGAGAGCGTGGATTGCGCCTATTTGTGTTAGCTTGAAATTCATAGGTAGTAGGTATAGTATCGTCTTACATTTTGCGCTTTGCCCGATACCGCGACGAGTGTGCCGCGGCGTGTGTATAATCTTTGCGAAGCGGATAGGGAGACGGAGAGGAGGGAGTAAGGTGATCCTAGCACCTCGAATCGGGCATCTAACATAACATATAAGCACGTCTAATAAGAATAGAGATATAAACATATGAAAATACCTGCGACATCTTTAGATGCGTTGATCGATATACCAAACGCATCATTGCCGAGACGAGGTGATCCGGTGGAAGGAGAGGAGCTAATTTGAATAGCTCTACATTGGCGACAGACGTAACTTGTCCGATATGCCAATTGATCTGGCCGACCTCTCCTAGCCAGAAGAGAGACGCCTCGCATGGTAGCGGCGTTGAACGATGTGACCGTCGTTGGTGTTGGAAAGAGAAAGCTTGGGTAGAGCTTTTGGAGAATTATGACGAATGAATTAAAAAATAACCTTCTCATTCATTCATCCGGCCAATCAATTGCCGACCCTTGGAACTAAGATATAAGTAGTTAGGAGAATATTTATTCATATACACAGGGCCTGTATGACAATATCCAAGCTAGTATTTTAACGAATTGGAGAAATATGTCTACAAGAATAATCATCGTCATCAGTACTGTCCAACTTCATGACATTCCTCCAAGAGCATTGTTTACTACAATTAAACTACTCACTAAAAAAATGAATTATCACCTAAATTTTATTAAATATTTATAACTCAAACCAACCTGGATATCTTAAAACTCCCTTACTTAAAACCCACGGCGCAAATAAAAGCACCATCCCGTAGAACAGTAATTGAATGTGTATTTAAAACCCTTGAAAATGCTAACCTCACTTATACCCTATCCTATAACGCCACGCCAATGCAATTTCGGTTGAGTCCAGTCCAAACCAGGACGACCAAGAAGAAAACCCTCCAGCCAATGCATGCATGCAGCCTATGCAGCCTGTAAAGTGAAGAAAAGCTAGAAGGTAGAGAAAAATGAAAAGAAACATGTAATCCACCCATCTCAACCACGACCAGCAGCAACAAGTAAGCCCTCGTACGCCCGATCTACCGCACGTCCTCCCATCCCAGGCACCGCTCTGAGCTGCGCCAAAGAATCGATACGCCCATTTTCTACCGGAAGCAAGTCTAAGTAATCCACCAAGTCTCGAGCTTTCTTTGGACCAAAGCCCTGCAAACTCATGATTAAGGACGCATCTCGAGAGTTGACGATATCTAGTAAGCTCTGCGATGTCGGTCCCTCTTCTATTGCCGAAGGCTCTACACTGGATGCCTTCGCAGCCTTAGACTTCTTACCCTTCTTACGGTTCTTGCCCATGAAGTCTTCATCGTCATCATCTGCCTCTGCGCCGTTGTAGTCATCTTCCTCGACCTGTCGGACGGGCTTCTTATACTTTCTCTTGGATGGACTATCGATGAATTCGCTTCCCATTTCACTGGGAGACGCTTCACGACCACCACGCTTCGCTTCCAGCTTAGCTTTGAGCTTCTCGATCTTCCCGAGAAGTCTGGCTTGGCCCGGGAAGTAAGGCAATGCCATCTCATACATCTTAAGAGCGCTGGCATCCTCACCACGCTCCTTGTGCTGCCGTGCCATGAGCAAGAAACGCAAACCCTCCGAGCGCGAGTCGTCGTGGCGTCCGTCCTCAATACGCTTCTCTAAAGCTTCCAACCGTTTTTGAACGGCTTCGTTGATCTCGGGCGGTTCCGGAGCAGCTTGCGTACGGGAGGCGAGTATTTCACTAACCTTTTTCTCCACCATGGCTTCGATTTGATCCGCTGACATCGAGGGCAGAGTTGGTTGTGCTGGTTTGGCCGACCGAGGAATCAGTGCCGGCCGAGGGATCTCAGGACGAGTAATCTTGGTCGGTCGGCTGCCACCATCCGAATCTGAAGGCCGCTTATGAGGGGATGCTCGCTTCATGGTAGTGTTAGCCACAGGGCGTGCGGTAGGTTGCGGTTTCGACCGATCAGTGTAGACATTGAATGCTTTGACAGGACGATCCGCAGGTTTGTCGGCTGCCTTTGCTACTGTACCCGAGTGGATATTATGTGCGTTCGCAAGAGGCCGAAGAGGCTGACGAGTTATGCCAGAGCTCGAACTAGAGTTGTTACGTGGGGGTTGTTTGAATACGACCTCATTCTCGATTTCACGAACTTCGATTCGCTTAGCCCTCGAACTTACATTCAAACTGCTGAGGGTATCAAGATGGTAACTTCGAATCGGTGCGAGATTCAAAATCATAATGGTGATGCCGTTGTTCTGGCCGAGCGAAAGAATCCGTGTCATCTTAGATTCTCGGAAAGGAATGCGACGATCCCCTCTCGAGATAGCATCAATGCACTGACTGAGCACAAATAAGCTCTTGTTGATGGCAGCAGATTCGATCAACCGTTCCTTTCCATTATCGGTTCGCCGATTATCTTCGGAACCAGCCAAGTCAATCGCTGAAGCTGTACTTTCTCGGACCATGTCTCCAGTGATCTGAGTAAGCTTCACACGCAGGATTGCATGGCTTCTACTACTGTGAGCATTGAGCTTCGTAGAAGCGGTGATTCGGTTGTTGTTGGCCTCTATATATAATCGTTCGAAGTCTTTCAGATCTTGGCAAGGTCGTTCAGATAAACCAGCAACGACAGTCTTCCCATTAGCTTCAGCACGTAGGGGTAGACCTGACGGTGTCCGTTTCTCAGGAGGTTCGAGCAGGTCGAAGACTTTATCGTTGTAGATCTCGTAGTACGAAAGGGCAACGGCTACGGTCGTCTCACCATCGGAGTCTTTGGTGATTTTCTTGGCTCGACGGAATACACCGCTGAGGAGTCGGGGGATTACACCACGTTCGGCCAACTTCAATCCGCCACGCATTGTATGTGTCTTACCAGTTCCGGTGACACCATATGCAAATATCGTGACGTCGAGGCCTTGGAAGAGGGACTTGAGATGAGGAGAAACTATAGAAATCGAGGGTGAGTTATAGTCATCCTCGCCGAGAAGGATAGATGAAAAGGATGGCGGTCAACACGTACCTTCAGCTGCGAATAATTCTTCCTGTGTTGTCTCTCGATCGTAGACACCATTGAAGGTGAAAGAGAATTCCTCTGATTCATTCTTAGGATTGGGTATCTTTACGACATTGCTAGTCTTGCCATCGTCGTTACTAGCTGGATGTACAATCACGTCCTTGTCGAGTTCTTTTTCCAGCAGTGGACGTATCCGCGCGACCACTCTCACCGACATAGCTACTTATTTTTTTTCTTGGAAGTCAATAGACCAAAAAGAAAAGGAGAAGTAAAGAAAATCGATGGAAAAGAGAATATTAAACAGCTAAGAAATTAGCAAGAAAATGATGCAATAAGAAATTGTAAAGCAAAAGCTGCTAAGGTAGCTTGTTCGATAATACTGGTGGTATTATTATGAAGAGGAAAGGTTAGGCGTATGGGCTTTGTTTAGAAAATGGCTTAAGCTTCGGCGATTGAGCAATGAGAAGCTTGCCCTAATAGCTTATGGTGGGTCTGATGGAGCACGGCGTTGTAAGGGAGCAACCAGAACACCAGAACACCAGAACACCACGCGACGTGCTAGAAATTTAAATTTAGGGGTACCCATGTACCTAGCTATTTAGCACTCATTATTGAAATGTTAAATCTATCTTGTCTTGAAAAGACATTTAGAAAACTCAAAATATTCATTTTTCAATAGTATGTTCACTTATTTATGAGTTCTACATTTTATAGAATAATGAAATATCTAATGCTATAATTCAAAAACATGCATTCTTAACTCCTGATGATTGATGATTGACTACATTGTATAATAAGATATCTAGTTGAAATTTCACGGGTTCGCACCTTCAGAGCATAATTGGTAAAACAGAGAGATCAACTGATTCACCGCCTCCAATGCGTTGCTACCATAAGCTTTATTACATATGTACGCATTGGCCAGTCAGAAGAAATAGTCGTATGACTTTATTAGCTATGTTTGTCAATTGTATAACACCTGTTCCTTCCCCCGCGTTCATTACTTGGGCAGGTGCAGATGCACGTCCACGTTTAGTACTCACGTTTTTTCATTGTAACTTACCGGCGTCGGCACGGAAAGACCGACTTTCACCCCGCCGACCTCCGGGGTAGTGATCCACATCCCGGAATCTACCTGCACAAACGACGCCGTCTTCGTTCTAGTTAGGTACGCACGCCTTCAATGGCATAGCACTTGCGACCGAAACAGTGCATATTCTATGTTAATTTAACTAAGCTAATCCAAATCGCGTAACCGAAATAATCTCAAGTGCTATGACCCCTAAAACTTACATGCATGTCTAAATTCCAATTCTTGTACAATAATTAAGTAAATCTTATTAGTATACATGTAAGTAATGATAAGAGCCCCTAATTGCTCTCGGTTACTCATATCCCTAGTATTCTCATCTCTAGTCATAATACCTATAATCATACAGTTCACAATCGTACTACTTAGGTACGTTCTTAAAAGTGGCCAGGAACCAGCAACGTGGTACAACCTATTGGATTACTATAATAGGCAGGCTTTGGTGGGGTGGAGGGGCTGACAGGGACCTTGAAGCTTGAAAGATCGGCTAACCTCATTGGCTCATTAGCATTCCTCTGTACCTTGTACCTGAGCCGCAAGCAGTTGTCTATTCCAACCTCTTATTAGGGCATGACAACGAAAAAGAAAAAGAAACAATACGATATATAAAGACATAATACTAATTAATAGAATACATTCTTTCATAATGATTTTATGTACAGTTTAGGGGAAATTACGACCAATTGTCTATGTTGGAAAAGTTGATGTAGTACCGTCTAGTTTTTTTTTTTTTTTTTTTTTCTTGAAAATTTTTTTCTTTTTTTTTTCTCCATTGTGGTTTTTTTCTTCTTTTTTTTTTTTTTCTTTCCTCACCTTCTTTCACCACTGTCTATACCTTTCGCTGCACCTTCTCGTTTATATCCTACAGATTTTGCTGTTTTCTTTTCCAAAGATACTGAATATCCAAACAATAAATCTTGGTAGCCTTCGTTTCCAATCCCCACTAATACGGAACACTGGATTGCCTATAACTTCAACCCGCATATTCATCTGACTAGCAGCCTGTCTGTTGCGCAGCTCCTTCCTATTGATTTTCATCTGCGTTTTTACGACCCGCGTGTCTACCTTCCGGACCATATTCCTAGTCTTCGATCCCAGCGAGGAAATCACCTCTCTGACTAGGTTCTTATCTTCATCTTCCTTCTCCTCTTCTTTCCTCTACGTCTTCCTTCTCTCCTTCTTCATCCTATCTGGACCTCCTTCCAGCGCCTTTTGGCATTGTATTTAGGAACATCTTCTCGCTTTTCTTCTTTCTTTTCCTCCACAATGTCTAGACAACGTCCCAACTTTGTCCAGCGTTTTGTACCTGATACGACTCGACTCTTTGAGGTAAGCAAGCTATCTACTTATATCATTTACCTACCAGTCCACCTAGCTACAGCCTACCTAGCTCACAATAGTTCTTTATTCCCTGGCATCTTATTTCTAGGGGCATTGATTCTTTCCTTGTCCCTTTCATGAATCAATATATCAACCTTTCCACAATGAATTGAGACATGGATCTTACCACTATCGAGCAACGTACTGATATGCGCCAACAGTTCCCTAACGGCACAATGTCATCCGCATATGGCGCCAATGGCTCTGTAGATCCTCGCTCTCTTGGCTACGAGAGCAGTGACCTTAATGAGATCACACGTCGTCAGATGAATGAGGATATTCAAGCCTATCGCTACGACATGGATTTCTGTCGCAACCAGCTCAATGCTGCGGATCTCACTCCTCAAGAGACTCGCACCTTGCAGATTCGTGTCCTAGACTGCGGTCACAACATCCGCCATTGCCAACACCGCATTCAACAGCTAGACGCCCAAGCACGCGCACCCGCCACTGCTCCAGCACACAATCGCTTCAAAGCCGAGGCCTACCGCAACTCCACAGCAACGCCCACATCCACCGGCGCCATTAAACGTCAACGGATCGTCAAAGTCGCAGATAGCGACGACGATGACGGTGATGACGGAGAAATCGCGGACGGACCGTCTGGTACGCCAACAACCTCGATCCAACGCCTCGGGTTCTGGAAATGCCGTCTATGCACGACGGCCAAGTTCCTAGACGCGGGTCCCAACCGCGTGCCTAGTGCGCCGTGCAAGTGGCCGCTGAAGGATGTGTCGAAGATCTTCAACCACTTCTTGGACATGCACACGGAGCACTCACCCGCTGAGCGCTGTCGGGAGCTTGGTGATGCGCTTGCGCGGAATCGTAAGTTATTTTTCCCGCATAATGTCGCTGATTCCGATTTTGCGCCGATGCTAATGATGTTTTTTTATAGGAGGTCCTTTTGAGTATTGGTTAACTCGCACCCGTGCTCAGGATTTGGATGATGCGTCTATGATTGACGAATTGATCACCACACTCCAGTCTGGTTTCCTCCCCGAGTTTTTGCGCGGTCTTAATAGAGCAGCTGGCGCATTCCCGAATACGGTATCGGGGGCTATTAGGAAGAGCGAGGCGAGTATGGCTTAAATCGCGAATAAATCGACGTGAAGCGCGAGAGGGTGGAATTTGGTGATGAATTGTTAACGATTACGAATACAATGAATCGTTCGCGCATTTGAGTTCGAAGGGTTGAGGTCGATGGAAATGTTCATGACGATGCTCGATATCCTCGATTTTTTTGCGACAATTTGTTTCCTTTACACGGCATGGCGTTGGGGCCTTTACAGATGAGAAATTAGATTTTACTGCCTCGGTAGGAATTCGATCATGGATGGATGGATGGATATACCTACCTTCCTAGCTTCCTAGGAAGGGATTCACGATTTCGTCCTTATTTCGGTATGAGTTAGATACTAAGTTGCATCGCTGCAATACTAGGTTTCTCAATATGATGAATTTACATATCAAACCGCTTTTTGCGTGAGATTGAGTAGCATATACCATTGATCTAGTGAGTAATCCGTGGTAGGGTTAGAGCGAACAGGATTAAGTAGGATCAAAACATCGAGTAAAACGCCGAATAAGATGTCGAGATGCGGAGCGAATAAAACGAAAGACCGCGTCGGCGCGAAATCGCGTAAAACAAATGTAATACAAATTCATCATATATCCACCATACTCAACTTACAGTGTTGCGACAACCCTTCTCTCACCTCCAAATGTATCCCATTGTCAAAATGGGGTTAAGGCAATATATTGAGTAGCTATAATCTTTTTACAATCTGCGTGCCGTATCTTCCTTCCCTCAATCTCTCAGGGAGAAGCTACTCTTCTTTATGCTGTTTGACAGTAGTACATGATGTTCAGTACAACTTCCTTTCTTGGATACGAGATAGCCAAGAGCTGTGTTGGTGCCTTATGTATATTACAGCGCCTACAGCGCTTCCTTTTGAGCCTATCATCTCTCATCCATACATGTGTTGGTAATGGCTTCCTATCAGGATGATACAGGTGTCATAACACCCATAGACCCTTTATAAACACCCGAACGGCGGCAAATCCCGTAGTCACGGCAGATTTTCGAACATTTCTCTCAACACCGTCGCCCTAGACGCCATCTCTTACTAGTAGTAGTGACTCGTCTAGTATATCGAAAGCAACGCCACTTAAATACTGGCATCGAATATATAAAGTAGAAAAAAGGAGAAAAACAAAATTACTACGAGTTTCCGGCTGGATTCGAACCAGTACCCCCGCCTACCCCACGGATCTACGTCTCGCACCACAATTCTGGACTATTATTGGGTATACCCCACATCCGATGTGACGTCGATCTTTCGATCAAACGCCAGCGGGAGCCCTCACAGTAGATACATAACTGTGTTTCTACACATTTATAATTTACGGCGCAAGCCACCAAACTTCGGACTTTCATCAGCCATTTATGTGCCGGCAACCTGCATGGATACAATGTGTATACATGGAGGTAACCTTGCCGATCGAATCCCATTATACTCGTGCGAACAAACGGCCATGTCCAAGAGGATTCTTAATATCACAAAGTAAACACCCAGGTAATGGTACCAAAACAATGAATTCCACGATTTTCCATAGGACTTCGGAGGTAGCCCATACAGCGTCCTTTTATGTACATGTATCTTCCATGATTGGCGAGAAACTTCCCCTCAGCCCATCTGCGGCCGCCCGTCTTCTTTGTGTAACGGACATCCAGTGCTGCCTGGAAGATAACAAGTCAAAAAAAAAAAAGTTACTTAGGTACCAGGACGCGGGGTTTCTAACTTTCCCTCCAGTCCGATCGAGACATACGTCCTACGTAATGACCGAGACTACTTAGTTCAATTAACTTCACCTTCCTATCTACCCTATTCATCACGTTGATCACTTTATATTTCTTAGCATTCCCATCTCGAGTTAGTAATAGTAATCACGAGAGCGACCAAAGATGGGGAGATTAGACAGAAGATTAGATGAAATCAACGAGAAACTGGAGGAATTAGTAGCGTTCCAGAGCGAAACCTCCGGTACGAGTCGAAGTGGCTTTACCCCAGCGACAAGCGAGACGATGGGCGACAACTTCCGCGATAACTACTCCTACACCTCCGAATGCAAGACCGCAACCATGCTCATGCGAGAAACCGTTCCGTGGCCAGGTCAGACCTACATAATCCGCGAACCATCAACCCGTATGCAAATCACACTCATAGACGGGGAGCTCCGGCTTGAAGACCATAAAGGTGATCAAGGGGGTTATCACTGGAAGTGCATCGAGACGAACGGCTGGTTAGGGTTTTATAATCCGAGTGATATGCTGCATATAGGGCATGACAATAGGGGAAATTTCATCGCACGGGCGCAGCAGCATGATTCTTGGGAGTATTTCGGTACGAGAGCACATCCGGATGGAGGATACTTGTTGTTGATGAGGCATGGGAATACCTTGTGGAAGATGACTATCGGTGAGGATGGACGAAAATTGGTTGAGACAAACGAAAAAGAGAAAGGGACGGCATGGGAATTTGTTAAGGTTTGAATTGGTGAATATTGGGTTGGGCAAAAGGTCACGATAACAAATGTGTATGGATCAGATTGTCGACATTTTGTAACATGGCTGTACAATGACTTATGAGTCAGATTTTCTGGGTAGATTCCGTCGGAATGGCGTTTCTGAATGACATTGATGATTTTTCCCAGTAGCAGTTATTGCTGTACTGAATATATCTTCCTCCGTTGTCTTAACTTCATCAGTATCGAGCCTGTGAGCCGTATTTAAAGCAGTTGGGACATATCGCTGACTCTAAGATACACCAATGGAATCGTCCCTATCACGAAGGGAGGAAGATGTCTCTCTACCACCCAACAAGATAACCAAGGCCAAACTGAACTATCATTAAATTGCTTAAGTACCTAAACCTCCAGTTAACCTCGAAAACATCGAGACACATTACGACGACGGGGAATAATCCGTGACCATATTTCTCCTACGACATCCTGCGTCTAGTTACGACGTAGTCTATATCCGGAGTTCCTGATCCGGCGTATAGAGAGATATATACGACAGGGGATACACCGCATATGTAGCTCATTTTAGATGTTAAATAAGGGTTGGCGTTACCTATAGCGCCGGGAGGAGCTCCAACACTTAGAAGACGCTTAGGATCCGAGGAATAAGGCATCCTTGGGCTTTATGCATTGCTTAAGCTGCTTGCTAGCTTAGTATTTTCCTGGGGTAGGACTGGGGTAGGACTGAAATTAGATATTCGCATGCCCTAGACCTATGCGTTCTCTGCTACTATGCGCCCGCCTATACTCTATACGTCACCTACCTAGCTTAATCCACAGGATATCGTCATCCCAGGGACCACAGAATTTACCTACTCTAGTAAGTCCAACCTGCAGGCCAACCTGCAGCTAGCGGGCTTCTCGAACACCTGTCTGGCATACCATGCCATCACAGCGGACTCAGCGCCAGAACCTTAGCGACATCTTAGGAGCCCGACCCACAGCATGCACGGCGCGATCCGCCAGTTCCACCGTCCGCTCGTAAGAAGCGCGAGTTTTCAATCTCTTTTACAAGCTATACCTTAGACTTAGGATCGACAGGTACAACCACTGCAACCTGGGGCTAAACAGGCAAAATTGGACGTGGAGCTCCGCGCTCCGCGCCGTGCGTTACACACGAGAACAACCGGCTATTGTCGCTAAGCGGCGCCGATCCCTCACTATCGCGACGCGGGATATCTTTGCCGATGGCGGTGGCGTTGGTGTTGGGTTTTCCCTCCGAATGATCGACACGAGTACTAACGGAATTGATTTTATTATATCTTCACCGTCTAGGATATAGAGTGAGTTGTTTGTGCATACCGTAAAGAGTGTTCAGCATATCATGAAACTAGTATTTTGTTCATGATAGCAAGTAGGATCTACTATCCTGAGAGGAATGCCGTTGAAGCCAAGAAGCCATATCTCGCCACATGACGTGCGGGTCCTCCCGTCGACCACGCTATCCTAACCACCAACGTGTTGGATTGGGGCAAACGCACGAACCAAATTTGGTCTACCTAACCTATTAATTATCCATTCTAGCGGGATGGGAAAGCCGAGCATGGCGGGGGAGAAAAAATACGACCATTGAGGGGCTAGCCACAATAGTAGCCTTGAACCCGGAAAGACCTTTTCAGGAAATTTTCCTTCTCCCATGTATGTAGTGTAGGCTTCAACGGATGCAATTTTTAGTATATTGACAACGAAACGTCGCGTGTCTTCACATGCGCGTCCGTATCTCATGATAATATGGATGAAATAGATTGATTATTCAGCTGTATCGACCAACTGTAATATCGCGGAGTGGAAATTTAGCAACATAGCGTTACATAGATATCTAGCGATTGTAGCGACGAGTAGTAATACGAGAATAGCTGCTGGTTTAGCGAGGTTGAATCACACGTACCTACTTGACATATAGTAACCTCAATTAGGAAATAGGTTCTTGGACTACTCCCTATACTCACCAGCGTGTGCGAATATAGGAGGCCAAGGGTTTGGAAAACCGGAACTGTCAAAAAAATTGGCCCTATGAGAGCGTCTAGAAAGCCGGCAAAGTAAGGATCATGCAGTACGATGGTAGCATCGAAGGTCTCGCACTCCGCCGTGTCGAAGAGGACTTAGGACGCAGCTGTGGGGACGAGCCTGACCGGCGGAATATGCGGGTGGAGGAGGCGAATCGTAGACCCTCTTCAAGTCGTTTTGGGTGGTCTGGACTGTCTCCGCATATTGACAGATCGAGAACTAGAGCAGGGGATTAATTAGAAAACCTCCAATGGGGTTTGGCTTCCCCACATTGAAATATATCACGCGTACACGATTGTACGTCTTCGAAGAACCTATAGACGATGTCGCCGCCGGAAGTCCCAATTGGGAAAGCCGCTAGGATGTTCCATGAAGCTATCTAGAAATCGGCGGGACGCTGTAAAATCTATAAGTCGAAAACCTGTTCGCCCAATTCATAGAGAGATCTGAGATTGTCATCAAATACTGAACGTTGCAGACTTCCTCCCAACTCCAAGAAAAGTTTGGTCCTGGCTCAATTTGTGAAACGGAATACAACATCTTCTGGAACTTATTTGTCAAAAATGCCCGGTGTAGAAGCAAACGGCGTGAACGGCCATACTAATGGCCACACCAATGGCCATGCAACGGGATTCAAGAACCCTTCGCTGCAAGTCACCGAAGACCATCAAATTAAGTTAGTAGACGCTCCCATCCGCGAACCTGGTCCCGGACAGGTCACTCTGCAGGTCAAGTGTTCAGGGATCTGCGGGTAAGTTCCCACCCTATGCATTTCGAATGATAATTATATATCATATATCATATTAGATAATGGTTCTGACTTCTCATCTAGATCGGATATGCACCTATGGAAGTCGGGACGCATAGGATCCTTGGAAGTAAAGGGTGATTGCATTTTGGGACATGAAGCTGCTGGTATTGTGCTTAAGTGCGGAGAGGGAGTTACCAATCTTAAACCAGGTGAGCTTATTTTGGATAGCATTTTCTCCGGGGCGCCTTGCTCTTGACCGTCAACGTTGGCTTGCTGACTGGCTGGCTTTTTAGGAGACAGAGTAGGCATCGAGCCGCAGGAGCCTTGCGAGAAGTGCTTCCTATGCATGGAAGGCCGATACAACCTATGCGAAGATGTCAAATTCTCTGGAATATGGCCCGATGCTGGAACGATCCAGAGGTACAAGGTCCATCCTGCGAAGTGGCTATACAAGTAAGAACTGATACTAATCAGCCTAATGAGGTTGTTTCCTTTCGATGTAAAGCTGACATATCTTTAGGATCCCAGACGAATTGAGCTACTCCGAAGGAGCACTACTTGAGCCATTGAGTGTTATTCTCCACGGCATTAAGGGCGCGAACGTAAGGCTAGGATGCCCAACACTGGTTTGCGGCGCGGGTCCAATTGGACTTGTTGCTTTAGCAGCGGCCAGAGCCTCTGGCGCTCATCCGCTAGTCATCACGGACATCGACGCAGGGCGTCTCAAGTTCGCCAAGGAATTTGTCCCAAGAGTCCAAACCTATCAAATCAACAGCAAGCTAAGTGCTGAAGAGAACGCCAGAGAAATTCGAAAGTTATATGGCGACGACGAATATTCAGCCCCCGCCTCAGTGATGGAGTGTACCGGTGTCGAGAGTAGTGTTTGCACAGCAGCTTTCTCGGTTCGAAGGGGAGGTACAATTATGGTAATCGGTGTAGGAAGGCCAGTGATGAACAACATCCCCTTCATGCACCTGTCTCTTGCTGAGGTTAGTTCTCCTATTTTCTAAATATTGTGTTTCCTTTTTTAGGGGTGTACAGGCTAACATGGTGTTTTCGATTCAGATCGATCTCAAGTTTATCAACCGATACCGAGACACTTGGCCGGCCGCCATCCAGTGTATGAGCGGTGGAATACTTGACCTTAACAAGATGGTTACACATAAGTTCCCGCTAGAGAAGGCCATTGATGCTTTCGAACTGTGTGCCGATGTTAAGAACGGCAGTATAAAAGTTCATATTGTTGACGATTTCGAGGCCACGCTATAGGCGAAAAAGGCGCAAATTGCATGTGTTAATCTTTTTGTATATAGGTTTGAAGTGGGTGTTATAATAGGGCGGCGTTGAGTTTGTAAAAAATTGTTGGAAGCGCTATAGCAGTTAATTCAAGTTTCATGTGTTATACCTAAGAGCATGTAGGCCGAGAAACTAAAGACGGTTATGCAAAAGTAGAGCTAAGCAAAGCTTGATGGTGTTACTAAGTGTCGTCCCTAGACGCGAAGTCTGCTTAGAATCTAGGGGAGTACTGCATAATCGGGACAGGAAGGTCCGCACTAAAGTGGAATGGTGCAAACGAAGGGCCATGCTTCGTATCCGCAGTGTAAGTGCCTGTGTAATGAATATTGAGCTATGAAACCGCAAAAGATCCCGGAGGAGATTATTAGACGCGCCATCTTCGGGACCTAAAGACCGGGACTTTTTGCCATTATTGACATGTCACATCGCCCCGTCTGCCTGTGTCCTACGTTGAATAGGCTCGTACTTCGAGGAGAAGAGAATAATCCCCATAGATGATCTTCATTGTCCTCGTCATCGCTATAATAACCGATACTCGGCGGTGTATCGGAAATTACAAAGCCGGGAGACGGGGCGTCCGAAGAACCGCTCCCCGAAGGTTAATGGTTGTGATTTCGATGAAGCTTGTCAGGATGGCGATCTAAGATGGAATATGCAGAGTGTAGAATATAGCATATGCATGAACCAACAGCCAAGAGGACCGATTGTCATATCTGTGTTCGTGGGTCTTAGATGATGAGCATCAGTATTGTATTTGATACATAGGTACCATACCTGCGTACCCACGCAGGTTTACGAGGCAATGCTGTCAACCCTTGAACCGACGGGAACTACCTAGCAAGCTACCTACCTAGGTAGGTAACGGAAGATCATGATTCTCACTATCGATCGTGGCATATAGCGTGACAATCTCACCACTCGGTTAGAATATTTCAATATTGTATTGATCGGAGTTGAGTTTTGTGTATGAAGAAGTAAAGAAGTTTAGTGCGGTAGGGTGCAGCTGGGTAGATGGGTAGCTGGGGGGAGAAGCAACTCGAAGTTGGAGAAAAGGGAGGGGAGCGGAGAGAGGAAGGGGGAATAGATCCATATGGATAGTGGCTTGAATGTGGCTGCCGTTGATAAACTCTTTTTTGTGGAGTTATGTAATCTATATACCGAATTCATAATATTGTACCTGCATAAAAGCATGTTAATGAAGTACATATATATAGCCACTTATGTCATTGGCGTTGTCTCATTGGCCTGATTGACTTTATTGTTCAGCCCAGAAAAAGCGCTATAATTACATAATGTAGTGTGGAAGGTAATATCATACAATTCCCTATCAAAAAAAAAAGAAAACACTATCCAAGCCCCCCACGGAACGAACAGCTGAAACCCATTGACTTTTTTTTTTTTTTTTTCCTTTCCTCCTTTTCCTTTTTTTAAACTTCTTCACCTCATTAACTCATCCACCCTTTCGTCTCTTATTCATTACCACCGTTTTTTCATTGTGTATCAAATATGCACTTTAGTAGGCTTGTGGTACTTGTTGGTGTAGGTACCGCACTAGCACACCTCTAGATATCCTATCTATACGGAACATGGAGGAAGGGGTCCTCATTTTACTTGCATTGCCACACCAAGTAAGCTCGTGGTGGGACCTCTTCTCTTCCTAAAAGAGTCCGAATAAGATATGCCCCACGCTCAATTGCCGATACGGGCATGGAAGAGGCTCTTGGTTTTCGAGATCGGACCCCATTGTCATCTATTCCGATGGTTACAATACTTAGCAGCAGTGCGTGTGGAGAGATTGGCTCTGGGTATCTTTCCATGCAAACACCTTGAGCCAGCCATTGAATCCGATAATTTCGTAATCATTCATCGTCTATCGAAAAAAATTCCAGGGTCTTCCAAGAGAACATGTCTCAGAGAACCGGGATTGTTTGCTTGATTGTCCACAATTGCCCACAATTTGCCTACGCAGCTGCAGCATGCAGATGCGCCCAAACGGCTGAAGCCGCCGCCGGATGCTGCCCTTCTCATTTCATTTTCGACGCCGATTCTCCGATTATCGCGAAGATGACGAACCAACATAGTACTAAGCCTCGCAATAGCTAAACGTTGGTGGTAGGATCGTTCTTGTGGCCACTCGCGTTCAAAAGTGCCCTCGAACGAGAAAGGGGTCCATCGTACGTGAAATACTCAACATAATGGAAACCATTGTTCAGCTGCGTAACTATTTTCGGAAGCTATCCAAGACCAGGGGTACGGGAAGAGTCCATTTTAGGTCTTACTCACTTCGCCTAACAGGTTAGCCCATGGATCGTCTCCCATACATACAATGGTACTGAAGATCCCCATGTGGCCCACCCCCTGCCAGGGTTACACACCCGTCCAACTGGAATGCTGTAATTCTGCAAGGGTCGTGTAGGAAAGTACCGTTAACAATAGGATGGTTATCATTCCTTCAATGCTGATGACCCACGAGGTAGGCCGTGGCTCCACCCCTGGCCGACTCTGGCCTCTACAAGCACCGGCGCGTGTGTGTGAAGCCGTTATAAAATAATCTGCCGCCTGCGAATGCTCATATACTTCTCGTTCGTTAAGTTTGGTAGTTTGTTTTCAGTTCCTAGCCCACCAGTTTTTGTTTCGTTGTTTTTTCTCATCAAAATGCGGTGGCATTTAGGCTTGTTACCGTCGCTAATATTACAGGTAGGACTGCTGCAACCATGCGCTGTCGCTACGACGGCGTCTGTTCATGACGACTCATGGCAGCCCGAGTATGTCCTTCACGTAACCTTTGAAAACATCACAATGAACTGCGAGCAGCGCGAGTCGGTAATTTTCAACGGCACTATGCCAGGGCCGCCGCTGTATCTCAAGGAAGGGCAGACAACCTGGGTCAGGGTCTACAATGACATGTCGGATCTCAACTTCACTGTGGTATGCAGGCATTATCCTATCGACGTGTTGATACGTGTTCCCTTCTGACAATTTATCCCTAGCATTGGCATGGCCTCACTATGCGCACAGCTCCGTTCTCAGACGGAACGCCCATAGTATCCCAATGGCCTATAGCTCCGGGCAGGTTCTTCGACTACGAAATCCATCCTGAAGTGGGCGACGCTGGTACATACTTCTATCATTCTCACATGGGTTTCCAAGCTGTCACGGCGCATGGGCTATTGGTGGTGGAGGATCAAGACGAGCCACCATACCAATACGACGGAGACATCCCTGTCGTATTTGCGGACTGGTATATGAAGACAGATGAAGAGGTGGAAAAAGGACTTACATCCACCCCTTTCAAGTGGTCGGGAGAACCGAATGCATTGATTTTCAACGACCGAACGGGAAATAAATCGTTCGAAGAGGCGCCAGATGATTCCTGCAAGCCATATATCGTCGACGTGGAACCTGATACTACCTACCGAGTTCGATTCGTTGGAGGGACCGCCATTTCTTTCGTCCAATTTGGTATTGAAGACCACCCGAACCTAACTGTTATCGCCGCGGATGGGCTGTATTCGAAACCCGCAACCACAGATCATATTCAAATCGGAAGTGGTCAACGATTCGACGTTTTATTGAAGACTAAGACTCAGGAAGAACTGGATGCAGATGAAAAGAATGGTCAGTACTGGTTCAGGTTCGAAAGTCGCGGACGTCCGGAGGATATGGGAGGATATGCCTTGCTACAATACAACACGACCAGCAGTTCAAGCAATTCTACAGCAAAGTTCAGAAGAACTCCCAGGTCTGACCGCGGCTCGTCTAAACCACAAAGCAACGACGATCTGCCAAACTTCCCTGACAAATCGCCTGTCACGTTGCCACCAGATGGTGATGAAATAGCTAAGTGGTTGGAGTATACCCTAACACCGCTAAATGTGACTACCCCATTCCCCACGCTCTCCGAGGTGACGCGAACGCTTTATATCACGGTTAACCAAGATATCATTAACGGTTCGTACGACGGAGGTACTATAACGGGATCATTGGTGTGGGAGTAAGTCTCTAAAACCCACCCGCGTACACGAGGGAGGAGTACTAACAGATAACACAGGCAGAACAACCTTTCATGGACCGAAGTGGAAGCACAAAAACTTCGTTACACACCATACCTTATTGAAGCATACGTCGAAGGGAAGACCCCGGATTACGAAGCAGCACTCGCTAATAATGGATGGGACCCGAAAACCCGGGCGTTCCCCGCTTTAGTTGGCGAGGTACTTGATATAGTGTGGGAAAGCAACTCAGGCCCAACCGGTGGATTTGAGTACCATCCCATGCATGGGCATGGAGAGCATTATTGGGATCTCGGAGCAGGAAACGGGACATACGATGCCGCCTCTAACGAAGAGCACTTCAAGAATTACACGCCTATGAAGCGCGACACAACAATGCTGCATCGATACACATCTAAGGGCGAAGACAACACCACGGCCGGTTGGCGAGCATGGCGAATCCGAGTAACTGAGGATAATGTCGGTGCCTGGATGATGCATTGCCACATCCTGCAGCACATGATTATGGGTGAGTTCAATTTTGACATCGCAATATCGATATTTCCATGCACTCTTGGCGTTGCGACTTCGGTCCCGAATCTCCCCCTATTTGAAAAAATTACTAACGCTGCCATGTGCTTTAGGTATGCAAACCGTCTGGGTGTTTGGCGATGCGGTATCTATCCTTCGCGAAATCCCCCCACCATACGTTAGCGGTTATCTCGAATATGGCGGAGACGCATACGGTAACGAAACGTATGATCCGCTAGTCCTAGAATACTACACGCCCGGGGTGACCGACTAGCTGTAAAGCTAAGTACTTAATATTCGATTGCACATATACCATCATCATTAGCGAACGGAAAAGTGGGTTAAGAACATTCAAGCATATCGCAGGCAGCATATATTCCTTTGTTTCATGATTATGTATAATATCTACCTCTTATATTCTACTGTGTATTGATATCCAAATTAGCTCACCTGTCAGATCTTCTTGCTGTGCCCTGATTACGCATCATCGTAACGATCGAACATTATCTACCATTAGGGCTATGTATCTGTGTACTTTCACTTGAACAGCTGTGCCGCAGAGCCAAGATCCACACCCCCTGGCCCCTGGGCTGATTTCATGCAGGTACACGCCAACGTTAGTATTGTTTTTATCTGTGTTTTACGGCGTGTTCGGGTCGAAACCCGATCGTCATAGGGCTATGCATTCCAAAAGAGGAAGTCAAATTAGGCCATCGGGAGAGATCTACCGCCGTCGTATTCTGGTAAAGCCACAGCAAGTCTAAAGATGGGGCTGACGACTTTGACAACTCAGCTTCGTTTAAGGGGTTAGATGGCGGTATTGTCACATCGTATGTACTGATAGGGTTAGGATATTCGAAGTGTTTACGTTTAATAAGTGAGGATTGAGGACTAAGTCGAATAACGTCGCGGTAACTTAGATACATAAATAAAGGGGTAGGAGTAAAAACTAACAAATGAATAGACAACCACTTAATTTCAACCTTCATAAGACAATATTATTAGAGGGAAATGTTATGATTTCCTATATTTATGGTAGGTTAAGGTACTCATGTTACTATGTACCTAGGTATGTTGCTGTTAATGGTTAATGGTTGGAAGCCGTCAAGATATGTCGATGGCCTAGTGCCATCCCCCACCAAGTCCGGACGTCAGCCCATCATCGGAATCGGAGGCTTCCATGTAGCCTGAGGTATAATGAGAATAGGAAGGGCGATTTTTCATTATCCTGCAGCCATCTCGTCCGAAGGGCTTGCTGCGTTCGTGAAATTTCAAGTCCTGGTCTCCTCGGTCAAGCATCTTTGCCGGCGCAAAACAATAAAAGTCAATAGCTGAGCCTTTATTCATTAGCGAGATGTAGTCACCGGTCATTGGAGAAATCATTTCAATAATAGCATCGTCGAAGTCATGTGTCCGTCTCCTACAGCACCACTCTGCGGTTCGCTCGTAAAGCACGACTTTATCGGTCTTTTGTTGGAACTCGACGATCTTCGGGGTGAATTGGAGTAGAGCCAAGGGGTCGGGACAAGCGAACGTCTTGTAAGTCTCGAATCCCTGGAATATGTGCTTATGCCAATATAAGTCGGCGTCGCCCAGAGGGCAATACACAGCCTGCTTGCCTCGAGAATTGTACGTGACTCGGATGATCTTTCGAATCCTGGCGCAGTCATCAAAATCCATGGCGCTCGAGATGTACCTACTGATTTTCTTTGCACCTCTCGGCGGCGATGTTATTTCACCAGACGCAATTCCCTGCTCCCACCAGTATTCCAACATCTGGTCATTGAGAAACTCACCAAGCATGAAGGTGTCGTGCTCCAGATTGACGTAGACGAAGCCCTTCGACGTGGAAAAGGCTTCGTACACCCGAGTGTGCTCGTGTGCCATGTTGGAAAAGTGTCGATCTAGACGTTGCCGTACTTGCTCTTGCTCGGTAGCACGCCCACGCGGGGGGAACAAGGGTGGTCCGTAACCACGCGGCAAGTAGCTATTCAGTCGGGACTCCGACCCCTTTTCTGCAACGTGGTACACCGGGACCCGGATGTTGTAGAATTCCTTCGCTACCTCTCGGCCCTCGTAGCACGCCTCTAGGAGAGGGCTGCATAGGTACGCGTACGGCACGACTCGTTGCTTGTCCATTAGGACAATGCGGTGCCGGGCATCGTTGTGCAGCGCGTATTTCCAGATCTTTAGGCGTATCTCAGCGGGGAGTAAGTTAAATTTGGTGAATTCATACGTTTTCGGGGTTGATACTGTGGGTTGACGAAGTGGGTTCAATATATGCATGTTGCCGTAGCCGTTGGGAAGCGGGACTGGGGGCATTTGTGGGAATGGAGGCAACATTGTTGTTTATTGTTTTCAGTATACAACTTGTGAATTTTTGCTTTGGTATATCGAGATTCTGATGATAGACTCACTTGAAATGTAGACCTTATATAATTACAAAATCTCTCATCAAACTAACCCCTTTAGGTATCCATCGCCAGCACTTGAACGTGTTCTTTCAAATGGATTCGAGGCTTTCATAAGAACATTGTTTATGGCAATGTATCTGATTCTGTGATCTGGTGTATCGCCATGACATCGTACGATATGAGTGAACAAGGGCTTTGTCACGGTCGAAACATAGTGTAATAACCATAAAAGATGAAAGAGTATTGTAATACATGCCTTTATCGTTGGGACAGATTGATTGCTCGGAGAAAAAGAAGGCTAGAAGCAGGCGCTAACAACGATTCAAACAATAACAACGTAGGGAAAGGTTTTATGTTTTAATCGTGGAGGACATGTCGTTATCCGTCTGGATGTCAAAACGGGGTTACGGCAATATATTGAGTACCTAGGTAGCTATAATCTTTTTATGATCTGCTCGCCGTATCTTCCTCCCCCAAGCCCCTAAGGAGGAGCTACTTCTTTTAATGCTGCTTGACGGCGGTACATGATATTTGGTATAGCTTCCTTTCCTGGATACGAGATTGCCAAGAGCTGTGTTGGTGTCTTATATGTAGTAAAGCGCTTCCAGCGGACCTATCAACTTTCATCCATACATGTAGTATAGAGTGCTTGCTTTTTCGCGTTCGATTATGGCGGGAGGTTGCCTAATGGTGACGTTTACGATGCGCGATTTGTGTAGCAAATGGTCCTGTTACACACGATGCGGAGAATGTGTATATAAAGTAACCTATTAGGCCATGAACGACTGTCAAGGACTAATACTTTTCCCACACATTTCCTACAATCAATCTTCTATTCATCAAACATCAGAAACCAACATTCAAGATGGGAAGAAACAACATGACCAAATCGGATGCAGGACGAATCCAGGCTGGCCAGGTGTGTACATTCCGAGACCACAGTAGACCTTACAATATCTGATTGAGCTGTGTAATCTTAGGCTAAGGGCGGCCACGATATGTCGTCGGGAAGCTTTGCTGCTCGAGCCCAGGCTGCTGGGGATCGCAACCAAGCTGCGATGGCTGCTGCTAGTCGACAGAACACGGGTTCGGGCGCTGGGACTCAGACCAGAGGTACCAACGGTGGTGGAGGATCCGGCAAGAAGTAATTTCGGCATTGCTATCACTAGGGAATGAATCGGGGAATTGGTCGTTCGCGATATGTGCTGGTTGCTGGTTCTAATAATCAAGGGACTAAATTGAACTCAATACATACTCCTTGCTTACCTATGTTTTGGCTCGAATATTAGTAAAATAGCTCTAGCTGTGATTGACACATGTATCAACTGGGTAATGAATAAGAGGCAAAAGCAAGATCACAGCTCTTGAATACCGGTTATTTTTCTGATGACTGTAACGAGGCATATCGCGATGACTTAGTAAGTGGATAAGTTTTGTAGATTTTGTTATCGTACTGGTGAATTCCTAACATTCTATTCGCATCTCAGTCCTGTTAATGCAAAAATGTTGGCGATTAACCCACGGAAGGAATGGGCCCGCCATTTCTTCTGACCTCTTTTTCGTTTTCGTTTTTTAGTCATTGCTCATTAAAGCCCGTGCCATATCCAGTCTTCTATTTTGGCATAAATCCTGATCCATTTTCAAGGTCCTATCGTGCAGGGTTAGGTCCCTTTGTGCATGAGTCGGCAACACACAGCACCGACCGATATTTTTATCGTGACTCCCGCAGTATCGTCTAATGTTCGAATAAAATCGGGTTTCGGTGCGTAACGGAACCGACTACTTAAACTTTATAAGTCTTGTTGGTAAGATCCCTCACCTCCTGGCCAAAATCAAAAGTTTGGCCGCCGATCATCAACCGGGCCTTCATGTCGGTTTCGTTCTCAAGGATACCCTTTCCGACTATAAAACCTCTGGTGTACACGTCGCTTATCTTTTCGAAAGCCGCTTTTTCCGGAAGCTTAGGGAACTCTTGGACGTTCCCGTTTGAGTCCTTCAAGGTGGAGGTTTGTGCATCCCATTCCCACTCCCACTTGTAGTTCGGATCGCTCCAGGCCCAGGGGTTACCGATGTCTTTGCATTTGCGGGTGGCACCGGCAGGAAGGAAGGGGATTACGCATTCGACATAGGTCTTTTGGGCGGATTCGGAGACGAAGAGTAAGGGGAGGGGTGTTTTTTCGGTATCGGGTTTAACGAAATCTGCCGTTGGTGGCTGAGCGTACTTGAATTCGGGATGGAGAAAGAGGCCGCGAAGGAGAGCTGCATGATTGGTAGCTAATTCAAAAGCCTCGGCGGGCGTAGGGTGTTCAATCTTCTTTCCCGACATTCTGGACAGTGGGATTGCAGTTCTAGAAGAAGTTAGAGGTGTGGATGGTGGTGAGTGGTGCTGTGAGCTAGAAGAAGAAGGTAACCCTTTTTGGAGAGTACGGCAAAGCTAAAGAGGTTGGTTGATATTCTCCGCTTTATGATGTGGGGTAAACTAGGTACCCGTTGAGGGGAATGTGGGGAGCTAGAAGCTGACGTAATCTCGACATAAGCGTTAACCATATTATCTCATAACCTTGGAACCGTTTGTACTTTAACAACATCAATTATTTCCCTATATTATACTCATAAGCTCAATCTAAAGAAGACGGTATCCATTTTATCAAAAGGAGATGTGGCGAAGCTCTTTTTGCTCACTTGACGGCTACAATGGTAATATTTAAGCCACTTCGGCTACCTTAAATGTAATTCGCAGTATGACCACCGCGACCTTCCCAAACTATTCCTATTATTTCTAAATTATCATGCCACAACCAAAGAAACAAAATGTTATGTTATATTCACCATAAGATTTCTCGGGTATTGATGCGATATCCGATACAATATATAATCTACGCTTCAAGTTATAGATATTGAGAATGGACTCGGGCCTTGGCAGACGCGTGTTAATTCGAAGAAAGGAACCCCCTTTAAAACAGACATGCTCTCCATTAACTGATCTAGAATCATTGCCGTCCTTTAAGCCACGCGAGCTTCACGGGGTTGTATTACTCCATTTTACGGCGTCGATCGGCACAATGCAGGGTCGACGTTCGGCAGATACATTGACGAGGTTAGCTACCTGCTTGCCTGCGGGGTAGAGAGCTAGACTATGGTTCATACGATATATTCTTGGCTAGATGAGCATGTGAAGATTTATATAAGAACCAGAACATCATATCGAGCTGTTGAGGTTCATTAGATAATAGTATAATTTATCTCATCACACTCAACAGCACGTATACGCCATGTCATTCTCAGAGGAGGCTCAGTCGGACGTACCGCTTCTATCAGAAAAACATTCTGGTATCCCCGAGTTCTTGTTGGAGAAGGCCCGGAAGACGAAAGCCGCCGTCTTCGAAACTAGAACCAAACCAGCTTCTACGAGGGACCGGCTACCAGTTCTACCTCACGGTATCGATGAGCAGGCCTTCGTTAGTGCGTTGGGTGAGCTTAGTCAGCAATTGGGTCAAGATAATGTCGGACGAAACGATAAACCCCTGAGAGATGGATGGTGAGTGTTGAATACCGTGCCCGATAATATGATGTGTACGCGTCTTCTTACAATGGGCCTGTGATATAGGTATATGGAACGTAAGTTGACCGCAGAAGCCAAGCCGCCAAGGCACTTCTTAGCTAAACCAACTAGATCCGAATACCCACGATTTGATGGCAGTCGTCGATGATGAAGAATTGGTACCATCGGCTATCGTTTATCCTAGCAGCACCGAAGAGGTTCAGCAAGTCGTTCTTTGGGCGAACAAGTACCAAATTCCTATTTCCCCCATATCAATGGGTCGGAACCGTATGTTCACCAGCTATAATTATGTTATGAAAGATATAAAGTATTAACTGTATCAGTGGGATATGGCGGTGCGGCACCTAGAGTACGCGGGTCCGTCCTAGTTGACCTGGGCAGGCGAATGAATAAGGTCCTCGATATTAACCCTGATGATTATACGTGCCTTCTCGAGCCTGGGGTATCGTTCTTCGCTCTCTATGAAGCTGTCAAATCGAAGGGATACGACCACCTTTGGGTTGATGTGCCTGATGTCGGCGGCGGTTCTGTAATAGGGAACACCGTGGATCGAGGTGTCGGATATACGCCTTATGGTGACCACTGGGCCTGCCACGCAGGTCTAGAGGTTGTACTACCAACCGGAGAGGTGATTCGCACAGGGATGGGTGCGTTACCGGGAAATAATACATGGCAAACGTTCCCATACGGATTTGGGCCATATTCTGAGTTGGTGCTCCTCATTCGGCACCGATCGCTTTCATGAGCCCTAGCTAACTATCAGGCTCTAGTGGTATTTTCTCGCAGTCCAATTTCGGAATTGTGACGAAAATGGGAATGACGTTGATGCCAAACCCAGGCGGATACGAGAGCTTCGTAAGAACTCACTCCCGTTGGCCAGTTTGAAACTTGGGAATGCTAACCTTAGCCCCTTACAGATGTACACCTTCCAGAAGGAAGAAGATCTCGATCAACTGGTAAGCATTGATGGTCTAGATAACTCCAATGGAGAAATACTAATGCGTGTATCATTAGATCGAAATAATCCGTCCTCTGAGAATTGGTAATATTCTCGAAAATGTTGCGCAACTACGTCATGTCACACAAACTATCGCAGCTTTAGGAAAACCGCGAACTGATTTCTACAAGGGTGATGGCATAATCCCGGCGGAGGTAGTCCACAAATTCGCCGCGACTCTTCCTATGGCTGATCATTCGTGGATTTATTATGGTATGTCCTACGGACCGCCTCATATCCGCCAGTACAAACTTTCTATTATCGACGCCGAATTTAAGAAAGTGCCTGGTGCTCGTCGTATTGATCCGTCAACACTGCCACCAGATGAGTACTTTTGGGCGCGCGATCGGATCGCTGCGGGTATCCCCGACCTGCAGGAGTTGCGCTGGGTCAATTGGATGCCAAACGGCGCTCACATCGCATTCTCTCCTGTCAGTCCGATACGCGGCGCTGATGCAAAGAAACTATATGACCTGGCTAAACGAAGACATGATGAGTTCGGTATTGATCTATTTCCGGCATTTTGCGTTGGTCTACGCGAGATGCATCTCATTGTTGAACTTGTGTACGACCGTGCGGACCCAAAGCGCCGGAAAGATGTGCTGGACTGCTTAAGACATTTGGTGGATGACGCGGCGGCTTGTGGGTACGGAGAGTACCGAACACACCTAGTGCTAATGGACCAAGTCGCCGGGACGTATAATTGGAATGACGGCGCACTAATGAAGTTCCACGAGAAGTTGAAGGATGCATTAGATCCTAATGGAATCATGGCGCCTGGCCGCTGTGGTATTTGGCCTAAGAAATACAGAAATCGCGGGTGGGAAATGACGAAAGATAGCGGGGAGAATACTCAAGGTAATGGTGTTGCGCCACCTTCGTAAGGGGGCCCGACGTGTAAATATTCGACCCCAATACAATGACCGCGCAGGAAATAACTGATTTGACCTCATCCTCCCTTTGTTTCACGATGCGAGTTTATTACTCTGTTATCTCACCAATTTCTAGTCTTCAATCGCAATACATCGGTCGACAAGAGACTTGATTCAGTTAAAAGGCCAAAGGTCATCACATCTCGATAGATTGGCCATGACCGTCCCCGAGTTGTCCGCCCTGTCGGTGTATTGCGTCATGACTTTATTGATAATGTGCATGCCACTTTGATTTAGCGGCCATCGGGGCGCATCGAGAAAAAGAAATGTGCATATTATAAACCGAGAAACAGAGTAGTCGAGAGCGACGAACCGCAAAGACATCGGACAACAAACAGTATGTACTACCACATAATTATGATAACTCGAATAACTATGCTAATTCACAAGTAACGTATCTCGCATTGTCTTACCTGTAGAAAGATGACGCTGGCACCCTTAATTCCGTCCTACACGATCCTATAATGTATACCGAAATTTGCAAAAAGCAATCCGATACGCGGAGAGCTACATGTGCGCTAAAATGATCCCACCCTTTAATTCCTGCGGCATATCAATAGTTTCGTTCAGGGATCCATTACTGGACGAGGATCATAGATTGTCCCAAAGGGAAATGTCCTCCCAAGCTGACGTATCGTACAGCCTGTAAGATCGGCAAGATACGGTTCCCGGCAAGTTAAATGCAACGAATAGTGCAAGGGATCGATTCCGGCAGCTCGGAAAAGGTTCAAAAAATTCGCCAGCAATGATTTGCATTGCATAAATACACCACTATTGCTTCACCGTAGGTACACGAGCCAAAGCAATCCGTCAAAAGCCGAATTTTTATTGGATGCTCGCCTAGAGGAATTGTACGGTGATACTACAGAAAGGTAGCTGAAAAAGGAAACTCGTCAGAAACTAGCAGCACAATGTTTTGCACAACGGTACCTACGGATCCCCATTGTTACATTAGTTCTTCGGCATTCCCCCGTCCTATCAGCCTAAGTATTCGGGCTTGGAATTCGGCTCGTTTGCTATGACTTCACAATTTTGTTCCACGGCTGTATGCCATCTCACGGCATAGGTGGCCATATATTACCAAGCCTTCGCAATGGATGGGTTCACTAACGACTGGGCCGAAATCCCTTTGGTCTGGATCAACAAGCTGAAATCTGCCACGATGTACATTTGGATATTCCCCGTCGTAGCAGGAGTGATCCTCTACGTATACCGAGCGTTTTGTGTATATGTCAATCGGAAGGTCAGTTACCCACCCACACAAGCCGTGAAACGCAGACCCTAACATCGCCTGCGTAGAGGAGGCCATCCATTACGAAAGGACAATTATGCACTCACGATACTCTTCCAAGGGCCAATCGATGGCCTCTAGGCCTCGACTTGCTAATGTTGACCTTGAAAGCGTCGGATGAGCTCCGGCTGATGGAGTTCTTCCTGGACAACTTCCGGAGATTTGGGAATACATTCCGACAAGTCATTGGGACGAACACATCTATTTTAACAAACGAGCCGGCGAATATAGAAGCTCTCTTGTTGTCTAATATGAAAGGTTAGACTTAGCTACCATACGAATCGACTATCAATATTAATGCCGTTCAGATTGGGGTCTAGGTTTCCGACGCACCATCTTCTTTCCACTACTTGGCGAAGGCATCTTCCTCCAGGAAAGTGATGCGTGGAAGCATTCACGCGATATCCTTCGCCCGCATTTCTATCATCGCCACTATGAGAACCTAGACATTTACAGACCGCATGTAGATAACCTCGTTGATGCGATCGCCACCGATGCCCCGGGTATCGTGGACCTCGAACCCCTTTTCTTCCGACTGACGCTCGACGTCACTACCGAATTTCTCTTTAGCGAGTCCGTATGGAGCCAACGACCGAATTCCAGCGCCGTTAAGAACGACTTCGAAGACGCGTTTGACTTGGCTCAGGGTATATCCGCTAAGAGGCTCAAATTCCAGAAGTTGTATTGGCTTGTCGGCACTAAGGAACTTCGAAAAGCGTGCGGCCTTATTCATGGGTTTGTCGATCGCGTTATAGGGAAGACACTCGACGGCGGCACAGATGAGGCCGAATGTTCGAGCAGACCCCCTTTTCTGAAGACACTCGCCCAGAACTACTCGAGACGGGAAGCGCTAAGAGGACAGGCTGTCAATGTTCTTGTGGCGGGGAGGGATACTACTTCTACTTTCTTGTCATGGGTCTTGTAAGCAACTCTAGGGAACATTTTGTTGGTTTGGGCTATTCTCACATTTGGTAGTTATCATCTCTTGAGACACCCCGATGTGATGGCGAAACTACGGGCGGAGATAGCAGATATCGATGAGACAGTTGCCCCTCTAACACGGGCGGATTTGCTTCGATTGACCTATCTACAAAACATCACCAAAGAAGGTACATCCCAGCCCCCTATCCGCCGACCTATCCTATTTAATGAAGCTGACATAAAACCCAATAGTCCTCCGTCTCCACCCCTCAATACCCCTGATCTCCCGTACTGCCCTCCGGGATACCACCCTCCCCACCGGTGGCGGACCCGACGGCAAATCACCCATCCTAGTCCCGAAAGGAATGAGCGTGCTGTATAGTGCATACTGCATCCATAGACGCCCCGATCTCTACGGTCTAGACGCTGAGATGTTCCGACCCGAGAGGTGGGATGAGGAGCCCCTCCGGTCCCGCGATAAGAGGTGGACGTACCTCGCATTCGGAGGTGGGCCGAGGACCTGTATTGGGAGTAAGTCTGGCGCAATCATAGCATCCATATATGATTTATGTTCGAGGTAAAGGGGTTATGTGCTGATGAAACTTGCAGTGGACTTTTCGCTTACGAACGGCGCGTACGCGCTCGTACGCATTCTGCAACGATTCCCAACTATGAAACTCCCGCCTGGTGAAACGGTGTGTGTTGCTGGTCAGGAGAGGCAGATAGTGACGATTTCGCTAAGGCCCGCGGATGGGTGTAGAGTTGATTTGAGTAAGGAGTGAAGTGTTCCCTCATCTAGATACCTAGTCTGAGGATCGGCGCTGTTTGGGTGTTTTTAACGAATTTATGAATCGGTGCTAGGTTAGGCGTATGTAAGGAAAATAGGTGGGTAGAAGGTTAATGGAGGTATGCTCTCCGGTTCTGGAGAGTCAGGAGATGGTTCTTGGTGCAACTTGAATTCCTCCATTCCGCGCTGATAGAGCACTCTACTGGTGTTTGAATTAGGCTGGATGGTTATATGGCCTGGAAAACGGAATCTTGCAGTGCGCAGGTCTAGTCGTTGGTGCGTGAATGGGGGGGGGGGGGGGGGGTTCTCAGTGTTGATTTTACACAGCTTGCTATAATCATTTCGCAGAGTTGATAATACTAATATTTATACCACTACTTGATTCCCGCCCATCAACTGGAGTATACCTACCTAGGTAGCTAACCCGGAGCGAGTGTGCGCCCCATCTTAGGATGAGATGGCCCGATTTCCTAATCCACTACTTTGCGACTTTTGAGTCATTGAAATGGAAGCTGAAGTGCTTGTGGCTATACACATCTAATTAAATATCAACTTTAAATTCTCTCAGAATATAGTGTCAATTGAGGCTGGAAAACGTGGCCTCGGCCTCCGGGAATGGTATGTTCAGCTTTTATTCCCTCGATGGGTCCCGGCGGCCTAGGGCCCCGAAAGTCCTAACCAGGTGGCAGTGCTTATCTAGTATGCGCGCCATTGAAGATTCTGGTATATAGAGATTGAATGGATGACTTGATATATATAATAAATAAAAAGATCCCTAATGGACGAGCAATATGAATTTACTAATATTTAAAACGAGTTAACTTCTTTGCGAAGAGGATTTGTCTTTCGGCACTAACTCCGAAAACGCCACGATATCGTCGGAGTCCATCCGAAGCATACAAAATAGTTAACATCGGAGTTGATCCGACACAGAAAAATAAGGAATCAAAGAGACTTCTACACCTACCTCATATTTTATATCATATTACGAATCATGACGAATAAATATGGTATGTTATAATCTTTATTGAAGAAGCCACTCGGTATCCTACTTATCAACATGCTAACAATTACTTAGAGGGTATCAACTTCTGGATATACGTCCCGAACAAAGTCGCTGCCATAATATTTGTCTTCGCTTTCTTTGCTACGGCGGTGATACACTTATGGCAATGTTAGTAAGTGGCAACCGGCCTCCTCCCTTCCGCACATAGGTTGACTGACTGCGTAATAGTCACTACAAGACGTTCAAAGTAACCGGGCTTTTTGCCATTGGAGGCCTTCTTTATGTTATCGGGTTCGCTATTCGAGTCAGTGGTGCGTTTGGGAACTACGATGAATTAGCCCCCTTCGTCTTGAGCGTCGCTCTAATTTATGTCAGCCCGTACGTACAAACTCCCCACTACCTCACTACCCCTTTTATTGCGAATAGCCCGACTTAACACTGTATTGCCGCTAGACCTCTTCTCTCACTGGCCGACTACGATATACTCGGTCGCGTCTTCTACTATGTACCTTATCTGGCCCCAATGGACCCAGGCAAGGTCATGACCACATTCGGCCTCCTCGCTATGGTTATCGAGGGTGTAAACGGCGTCGCCGCTTCCTTCATAGCTAACCCAGAAAGCAACCCGCAGCTAGGTAGTGCTTTACTGTGGACAGCCATAGCCCTTCAAATCGCCATTATCGCATTCTTCCTTGGCTTGGTGGGGTTCTTCCACCGGCGATGCATCCAGGCAGGAATGGCGTGGGCACCAGGCATCCGACAGCCGCTTATAACATTATACGTGAGCATGGGGCTTATTTTGGCGCGAACGATATACCGCGGGATAGAGCACAGCATCGCGGCGGTTTCGAATACGGAATGGCCCTTCTACGTCTTTGAGGCGACTCTTATGTTTATCAATATGGTTATGTGGAACGTGCGGCACCCTGGCCAGTACCTCCCTGCCGACACTAAGACGTACCTTAGTCGCGATGGAATAACGGAGCTGCAGGCGCCTGAGAAGCAGAAATCGGGATCCGGGTCGAGGCCGGAATTCTCCTTGAAACTACTGAGTCCATTGTATTGGATAAGCCTACTCTTTCAGCCGTCGAAGTTGAAGAGAATGTTTCGCAGGGATAGGGGCGAAGAGTGGAATGAGGTGCACTCTGTGGAGCCTGTGTGATAGCTCACTCACCAACCCTCATTTCTATCAATTCATCCCCGGAAGGAATAGAAGGTCACTAGGGAAAGTCAGAAGTCAAACAATGGAGTTTTTAGAGGAAAATCATATGCAGGAAGGAATTGGAATAGAATCGGTAATTCACATTGCATTTAGTCGCCGCTATGTTTGCTTGAGTTTCCTAATCTCCCAGTCCCTATTCGAACGCATGATACGTATTAGGACTCTGTCCTCCAGCCAAGAAGGCATCAATGTTCCCAATAGGTATTGGATCGCGTGCGTCCAATACCCAATCACCACCCTACTTCCATGGCCGGCTAGCCCCAGCGAAGATCTCGCAAATGTGTTGGCATCCGGCGCGAAGAATGACGGTGGCTCTTTGTAATTGGCAACACCTGTAACTCTGCCCGTCTTAATACCTAATATCTCGACTTTGTCCGCAATGCCTTCTAGAGCCATTTCCATGCGCAAGGCATGTGTTAATGTCGACAGAAACTGCTTGCTGGCAGTATACGTGGTATTGAGTGGTAGACCCTGCTCAACCACGGTACTAACATTGACCAGGAGTGATGGCGAATTCTGTATCAAATTCGGAAGGAGGGCACGTGTCAAGTGGACCGGAAACAGAGCATTAAGGCTGATGTTCTCGGTGATGTGAATTTCTTCCCTGTCCTTAAGTGGTATGAAGGCCGGGCGGGTCGGGTTCCCGCCAACATTATTCACGAGCACGGTGAGGTTTAGATCATCGAGCTCCTCCTTCATCGCCGAAAAGTCCAGAGCATCCCCATCCACTTCGCCATCCGTGAAACAGTTTGCGCAAGCTACGGTCGTCGCATCGGCCACTAAAATTGTGAAGGACCGTTTCGGGAACGCAGCTCGTAGCTCGGACTTGACTTTGCGGAGCTTCTTCTCATTTCGCCCGTGCAGTACCACGTTAAACCCGTTGGCGGCCAACTCTCGAGCATAAGCACGGCCTATTCCATCGGATGCACCCGTCACTAATGCCCAAGGGGCCTCTCCCTTCTTAGACGGATGGGCATATTTTTTCAATTTAGACGGTCGGATGTATGTCCCGAACAGAGACGTCGTCTTAATCACTGCGGTGGTGACTGTAAACAGGCCAATGGCGCTGAGAATAGCCGAAGAGGTAAGCGTGCGAGTAAGACCAGTTGCCATTTTGGTGTTAGGATGAATTGGCTCTCGGGCTCATATAAATACCCTGGTTTCTCTAAATGAAAAGGATTTCGACAAATTTTGTTGTTGACCGATTTTTTTTACCCCTGGATTGGACTTAGCGCGTCCGTGCCGCGGTGTGATTTTCCACCAACAAGCGATATTCAAGCGCGCGGATCGCTTCTATTCAGTACCTTCGTAATGGTAACCAGGTAAACAAAGTCCCTTCTTCCAATGAGTGTCTCGTTTATTTTGCTTATACTGCGTACATATGTTAGCAGGTTACATTGAGTATTTGATCAGGGCTTGGAAGATTGCTACCCAATGTATCCACAAGGGCTGCAATGGATATCCGGATTTACGTATATCCGCCCCATCCTGGTTACAAAATGCTAGAAGGTATATAGAGACGCACAAATTGATTTTTCATTGTTGTAGAGCAGTGCTTGCCAGGGTTTATGGTTGTTATTGTTGTTGTTTTGCTTGGGAGAGTTGATGTTAAGGTCGACGCTGAAAACCCTCGGTTTGGAGTGAGTAGCTGGGTACCTTATACCCGAGTATGTGCGCACGTTAGAGAATCATGTAAAAATTGATTCTACGCGGATAATTCAAGTCAAATATCGATAAATACATGAATAAGCCTAGAATATTGAGTAGTGAAGTCATAATACAGCTGCGTTTGTTGTGTAACGTGGTCCGACGTTCTGTCATCACCCGTATACACGAGTGATAAAAAATTCAATACGATGCCATATACGGACTCAAAATGCATTTCATCGTAAACACACGAGTTCTTCTAGAGGGGTTCATACCATAAATGCTCGATAGTACTCAGTGGATACTTACAATATGCTGAATGTTGGCGATTACTTCAGTATTAGAACTCCATATTGTAGATATAAAATCGAGTGTCAAGCGACAAAGAAGTGAGCAGGTCATTCAAGCTGAATTCATGCCCCAGAACCCTCTTTTTTTGTTGTTGTTGTTGTTGTTAGCCTTGGGTCATTGGAGATGATTCCTCAACCTGAGGACATGCGCGTTACACAAGCTCGGGAATAAATAGGGGTTAACGGACTGGATCGGGAGAGAATTGATGACGAACATTCGAAAAGAGAACTGGTATTGATATAAACATATCCTTCACATATAGAGCATGGTAATATACGAAGCGATATTAGATCCTTCGAGTTTATAGCAATTACTTTTACGCGATTTCGAAGTTTTAGTCACCAAGCGAAGCCCTCGCTTGACTAGTGAATTCCCATCCATATTACCAATTTAATACGATTGAAAGTCGCCTAACCACCAGTGTTCCTTGTTAAAGAGCATAAGTTGCGTAAGCAACTTAGGAAGCATCCTACTATATAAGTCGCTGATATAGAAGGACTGAACTTCTAAGTCCTAGCAAAGAGATATACCAATTAAGGAAAGCTTGCGATGCTGTTTATCCACCCATGAATGACTAACCTATTCCGGAGCCGAACTTCGGCAGCGCCGGACGGGTTCGCGACAATCCGGTCGCTACCTGCTTTGCAGACTATGCTTTACGGTAGGTATGCTGCAGTATAACAATGGGTTGCGGTTCTCGTTGACACCCATCTTCTCTATGTGGGAGTTCCGTCTCAATTGAACTAGCAACTTTTTCTATGGCCGGGCCAATTATATAGTAAAACCACAATGACTCGTCAATCGGAACGGAGTAGTGATGTTCAACACGGGAGCATTACACCCGGGAATAACAACCGGTCACTAGGCCGTCGTTGAACTTACTTGTCAACTTTTTTTCTTTTTTGACAGCTCACGAAGCACGTAACGAGTTTGATAGTTGACATATGCAGTCTCGCTTACAATTGTAATTCTAGAAGTCCGTGCATGTTACCGTAGGGCTGGGGTAGAGAACGAATAGCTCATCCTTCGTTGCTTGAACCTGGGCTGATCTTATTCTAATTGGGCTTAAGGAAGGGGTATGAGTACAGGGTATGAATGCAGACTAGACCGTTACTCGCCAAGAAGAGCTGACGAAGACTTCGTCTCCACACCCGCGGCGATCAAAGCGCGAACCCGTCCCCGGAACCGCTCATCCGCCTTCTATGGTTCGAGCAATCGAACTCGAACCTGTCCGTAAGATTTGTTATATAAGATGTTATTGGACTGTCATGCGAGCAATTTGTTATAAGCACGTGTATCACGGTATTGCGTCAACTATGAAAGTGCCATGATCGGAATAACAAGTTCGATGCCCAACCCCTTGTTTAATAGATTTCCAAGGTAACGGTTCTAGTTTCCGCGATACACTGCTTTTACCCCTTAAGTACTGCATTTTCACCGATTCACCCGCTTCCCCATTCTAGAATTTCCTCCACCTCCATGTATTTTCAAAGGACCAATGGGGAATTGGAATGTAACCTTCTCCGCGTGTTACAATTCCTGTTTCGTGATATATGCCGAATCTGTTAACCCTCGTCCCCATTTCAGTATGTAATATCTACGAATTGTACGCATCTTTTCAAACATTCTCCGCCGGTGGGTTGAAATATGCAGTCGCATGCACAAAAACCTGTCCTACCCTAGATGCTTCGTGTCGTATTATCAGGGTAGCCTGAGGGAGAAGGAGAAACGGGATGATCGCAGTAATTATCCTAGACCTGCCCCTTGACTATTACTACGTAGTGTATAGAGCTGCACAGAAAGGCCATCGTAGTAAGTGGGTTCGCGTAAGCACACTACCTGGCTACTACCTGGAGGCTACCTAGTTCGCTAGGGACCAAGTCCAAGGTTCGAAACTGCTATGGATGCGAGCTAGGCCTTAGCTTCTGTCATAGCGCTTGACATTCTCTCGGGACGACCCTGGAAAAGGGAAAGCTTGATTCTGTCGTCGCTCCAGAACCGTGCTCAAGTAGACCCTCCATGTCTAGCTCCCCGCCAAATTCTGCATTTAACCGTTTATCGTGATAGCGTCCCCGTGACGGCAACCAGCCTATCGGCTCCGGTTACATGGGATTCCCTAACTCTGAAATTTTCACCTCTTGTTTCTTCTCATTCTTATGCCGTCTCTTTTATTCCCCCCCATCCAATTGTTGCCCTGGAGGGCGCACACCACTAGCATCGGGGATCACCTTAGGGCTACTTAGTCTGTGGGGAGAATTACTACTAGGTGAAATCGATTCCAAACGGGCGGCGGGACTCCACAACAAAAGAAAACTCAGGCGATTCTGGATGGATGGTTCTTTCTGGTTTCCTTTTTTACTAAACCCTTCCCCGTGGATTGAATCGGGAGAAAAAGAATATATCGTAACATGCACTAGAGGTCGACCTCCTAGTATGGACATCAATTCGACAAAATATCTGGAACCTTTAACTGGGCTCTGAACGGGTCAAAAGGGATTGGGAGGCACGAGCTTCCAGCACAGTATGGACGGGGCACTCGATGACAGTCTTCCTCATGACAATCGCGCCGGCGATACGATAGCGGCCGTGGTGTTATGCATGATCTTCGCGACAGCAGCAGTATTTCTACGGTTATACACGAGATACTTTGTCTTACGAAAATTCTGGATCGATGACCTCTTAGCGATAACTGGCATGGTAAGTGATAGATGGTTTTGATCTAACATACCTGTGAAGAATGAATTCCTAATCTGCAACCATTAGATTTGCATGATCGCGAACGGCATCGTACAATGTGTTCATACGAAATACGGGCTCGGCGCTCATTTATATGACATAACCGACCCCGATCAACTCACTCAATTCTGGAAGGTAAGAGCACCTACTAACTTCATCGTCGCGTTTGCCTTGCAAAATACTTTGGGTGACTAACACGCGATAGATGTTCTATGCCCTGACCATTACTTACAACACCACACTATTATTTATAAAATTCACATTATTCTTCCAGTATTACAGATTAATCCAGGAGATCCCCCATTACCGCGTATTTTACCTTACTGTTATGGCCGTTGTTGGCGGCTGGGTCGTCGCACAAGAGTTCATCTTAATCTTCTCCTGCACACCAATTCACGCGTACTGGGACCACGACCCAACTGCGAAATGCTTAGACGGCAATATCACCGGATGGATGAACGCAGTCGGAAATATCGTAACCGACATAATTATTCTGGTGCTTCCGATTCCTGTGGTGTGGAAATTGAACCTGAAAAAGGGGAGGAAGTGGGCCGTGATAGGAATTTTTGCCCTAGGATTCTTGTGAGTGTTTCGAATTCTTCTTCTTGAATGGATGCTAACATTACGACTATCTAAAGTACATGCCTAGTGTCGATATGTCGCATGGTCTTCTTCGCGAAGTTAAGTGCAGATATATCCTACGACCTGGTAGATATCGCCGCTTGGGGAGAGGCTGAGTCCGCTTCGGGACTCATCTGTTCATCTCTAATAGCCTTGGGCCCTCTGATCCGTCGATTCTCTCGTCGTTTCCGAACCAGCAAGAAGAACTCGGGCACTCCACAGAAGTACACATTTGGTGCCGGTTCTAACCCCTTTTCACGACATACAACTGGCCGGGATAAGAGTCTATTGAGAACAAATGGCTCAAGGAAACCATTCGACGATGGCAGTGAGACTGAACTTAATCGCATGGATGCCGAACGATCGCGGAGGACTACTGAACAAGAGGATGGAAGATCGATACGAAGCGCTAAGTTTTCAGGGTTGGAGCAGGATACAGAAGACATACAAGGCCCGATGCCGGACCTTCGCTTAGGTCTAGAGACGGGTATACGGACAATCATCAGCACGGGTAATCGCGATAGTATGCACTCGGAGTCAGTGCCGGCAGCGTCTAATGGTATCATGGTGAAGCAAGTATGGTCTGTCCGCAACAGGGAAACTGGGGAAAGGGACGAATAATCTTGTTAGAAATCGTTGATACCCAAATAAAAATAGAATAAATAGTGAAAGTCCATTCGAGACCAGACAACCATCTCCCATGCTGATGTCTTTAGTGATGTTGACATCTGACACACGCCCTACCTTTCAAAATGTTTGATAGTTTAGGTAACGATCGTGGAAACGGGTGGAGACATGTTGAAGATCGAGTGCCTTGCATCGACCCTCATTTCGCCTCATCTTGGCCCGAAGAAACTGATCTGATCCCGAGATGCGATGGCCATTGAGACGATCGTGGATATAGTATACCCACATAACGAAATCAAGTCTGTGAACGAGTGGATAATAGGCTAGCCCACGTGTATAAACTAGTGATTACCGTCGCTTCGGAATTGCCGCGGTGGCCCAGTTTGCTGGGTATCTAGTTTATTTAGCTTGAACTAGCATATCCGATTATTAACGATACGAATACGCCCTATTTTATATGATAGGGTGCTTGAAATGATGAAGAATGATAAATTTTACTAATATGAGAGTGATGCGTATTTTTTAGTAAAATCCGGGGAATTTACATGGTCGTACAAACCTGTGGTCTCATAAAAGGGGCTACGTTACACAATATCGGAATAACTCCGATCAATCCTGACAGCAAATGCTAGATGAGTATGGAGCTCCCCGTATACTCTTTTTAATGGTCCAATTATGTATATAAGATAGACCTCCTAATCCTTTACCGGTGCCTCGGTCTGGAGGAGAACTGGCTCTTCCGCAGAGGAATTTCCGTCGGTTTCTTCCGCCTCGTTATGGTTTTCTTCAGATTCCCTCTTAGAACTATGGAGAAGAATTAGTATATTATAAAGGACCAATAGTACAGTAGATAAACGGAATTCCATAGACTTACTCTCGGCGATGTATTAATATTGCAGTGACAAACCCAGCCCATAGAAGGACATGGAAGGCCAGCGCGACAGGCCAGCCAATCCTCCACCGGGGCGCACCATTGGGACCAGCAGTGGGGAATAGTAGGAGAGGTACCCAGATATTGAATGAATAACCGAAGGTCATCATTGCTCCCTAAGTACACTCTATTAGTTCGGGAACTCTTCCGATGAGGCGAGTGTGGAGAAATGGGAACGGGGTACCAACCAAGATAAGCGCTCTTTCTTCTGAATCGCCTTTAACAACTGTATTTACCGTCGAATAGAGGATAGGGCTTAGACATCCTGACACTCCGAAGACATACCAGGCGACGAATCTGTTCGCTTAGTCAGTATAGGGGCTGGGGACATTCAGCTCAATGATGCAGGACACATACTTGAGTGGCTTCGGAATATTCCAAACTATCATGCATAGAGCAGAGAATGCGATACAAATAGTTGCACCGGTATATATCACCCATGACGGATAGATCGCCGCCATAGTTGTCCCGAGCCACGATGCTACGATGTTGATGGCATATGTAACAGTGGGTAACTGGTTGATTTGGGACACCGAGAAGCCCTCCTCTTTCAACCAAAGGTTCATGTATGAATCAGGGTATCCAGAGATAATCATGCATCTGTCTTGCTATTAGGTCTTACATCCCCATTGCACCGCACGAGCGAACTTACATGTAACAGAAGACGAAAACCCATATATGCCAGCGCTCAAGGGTTCGCTTGAAAACATCAAGTCCCAGCTTCCCAGGCTTTCGTATCTTCGCTCTTTCTAATCTGGCTTTCGCGAGCGCGATGTCGTCTGAGGTGAAGTAGAACGGCTTGGGAGAGTCTGGGATGCCGGGGAAAACCAAGAAACCAGCCAGAGCAATCGGCAAAGTAAATATTCCGTCGATTATGAAAAGCCATCTTAATTTCCACTTAGTTATTTGAATATTTAGGGATAAAGAGGTGGTCACTTACCTCCACCCAGGCATTCCGCCAACGCCTGATAAATGAGTGTATGCAGCCGCCTGTAAGTAACCGCTGACCATTGAACCTAGGGGGTTGCAGATGAACCACGTTCCGGCACGCTTGAAGAGCTCCGGCCCGCTGTACCAAGAACCTGTGTCCTTTTGTTAGTCTTCGTCCATGCAATACCAAGATAGCGTGCGCACCTAAGATGAAGTGTGTCCCGGCGAAGACCGGCGCCTCCAACATTCCCACGAGGAAGCGACAAGCGTACAACTGCTGAACATTCGTAACTCGGCTTTGAGCGAATGTGCAGAGGCCCCAAAGAACTTCTAATGATGGCAATAACCAACGAGCACTTGGAAATATTAGCCTTCGGAGTAACTCCGAAAGTATTCCGGGCGGACACTTACAGCTTCGGCCGGGACATGAGGAGCATGCCGGGAATTTGGAAGACCACATAAGCCACATAATAGCAGACGTTGAAATAATTCAACTCATTCCCATAAAGGCCGAAATCTTCTTTAAGACCGCTAACATATGCATTGCTAATATTGGTTTGGTCTTCGAAAATGCGTTCATCGGTTAGTTCCGATTCCTGTGTAACACAAACCAAGGAGTATTCGGCTAACCTAGGAACTTCACGAAGACTGTACCCATTAGAATTCTGTTTGGTAAGAATGATGGAGGGCTTAAACTTACAGCATAGACATGCGAAGATGAGAATTGACAAGTCAAGCTTAAATAAAAGCCTATGACCGGTTAGCAGTCGTATTCACGCAAATAACCTGTATCGGATGAGTTCCGATGGGAATTATCTTACTTTCTCTCAGCGGCTGGATAGTGAGAAGGGTACCAATTGAAGATCTCCTTCACAAGACCGACGAAAGCATTCTCCGGCCCTCGGCCCTGCTTGATATCCGTCATGGCAATACGATGTTACACGGAACCGCTTCAACCTGGATAACCGGCTCAAAGGTACTTAGACGGGGAAGTACCTTAAGAGGTATCAGTTTTATATATAAAGCATTTGAACCTTCCAAGTCGCGATTTTCTGCCGCCTCGGTCGCCGTGATAACAAGACCATATAACACAAGGATACTCAAAATCGCCCCAGTCCAACCATAAAAGCCTAGGAAATAAGCTTCAATTCATCAGCTTAAAAATCAACAATTGCTATAATAACTATGTTGTATCGTGGTGATGTTACATTGCCAATATTGGGGGTCCAGATGATGTGCGATGGCGTGCTTACCCTGAGCTTCGGGCGCGTGGAGGTCATCATACATACAACGATACCTACGCGTCAACCTCTGTATCCCCGCATACCTAATATCTGCCCCAAGTTGCGCAATAGTGTTATCTATTTTCCATTGGTAGGCGTCGTTGATTGTAGTCTATCGATAGGACATGACCCCTCTTCAGCAATTGAATGGGGATAGCTTCTATTTAACCACGGCGGTTCAGGAGATATCGGAGCATAAGAGATATGAGTAAGGGATATGCGGTCCCGAGTATCAAGGACTAGTGATAGAAAAGTATAAGACGGGGGCCAATTCGCAATCGCGCTCCGACCTTATACTGATAATACTACTCTCGAAAACATTGATATAGATAGTAGAATAAGCTTATTAAAACCTTCATTCAAGATGTCGGGACAAGGTATCGATCGTTATGAGCATGTGCCTGTCACTAAAGAAGACCGTAAGCTCCATCTCAATGAGATAGATCGCATCAATCGCTAATAAAAACTGCTTCTGTTAGTTGACTGGGCTGATTTGATCACCCTCGACCTGAGCCTATATGAGCAACCAAGGGGCAAGGAAGAGTTAGTGAAGCAGCTTGATCATGCTGTTCGCAATGTCGGTATGCTCTGTCCTGGCCCCAAACTCACTTGAATTTGGTCTGATGTGGCCGCCATAGGCTTCTTCTATGTCAAGAACTTCAACATTTCCCAAGAGGAAGTTGACCGGCAATTCGCTCTCGGGCGGGAGTTCTACAACCTTCCTCTAGAAGAGAAGTTGAAGTACCACAACAAGCAAGACCTAGAGAGTGGTGAGTACAACGGATACCGGCCTGCAGGTCACCGAATGTAAGCATACCACCTTTCGGAGTTGATCCGAAACAATTCATTAGCTGACACAGAGACTAGCCTCGGAAACGGCGTCAAGGACAACGTCCAAGTATACAACATCCCCAAATTCGACGGCTACCACGCGCGCAAGCAACCTCCAGTACTCGCAGACAACATCAAAGAAATCGAGGCTTTCTCCAGAGTACGCACGAAACCCGACCGCTCAGCGGGATCATCCGAAGTGCTCACCACTAACAATGTGTCATAGAAATGCCACGAAGAAGTAGTCCTCAAACTCCTGCGCCTCTTCGCAATCCTCCTCGAGCTGCCCGACGAGGACCAACTAGTCCGGGACCACCTTTACGACGTCAAAGGCGAGGACCACCTCCGGTACATGCACTATGCCGCACGCAGCGCAGAAGACAACCGCAAAGTCGGTGATTTATACGGACCGGGCCACACAGACCTAGGAACCGTAACCCTACTCTTCCGGCAACCAGTCGCAGCACTGCAGATCTTAAACTCAGCCGGACAATGGAAGTGGGTAAAGCCCCAAGACGGGACTATCACGATAAACACCTGCGACGCGCTGACCGCGCTCACGGGTGGTTTGATTAAGTCCAGCGTACACCGCGTGCACGCTCCACCGACAGACCAAGCGCACGTAGATCGTCTCGGCGTGTTATATTTCGCGCGGCCCAATAACCACGTCTTATTAGACCCAATTGCAAACAGTCCTTTGCTAAACCGGTTAGGGTTAACTTCGAATGCGTTTACGGAGTTGGGTCAACACCTTACTACGGAGCAATGGGTTAAGGTGCGTCAGACGCAGCAGCAGAGACCCCGGACTAGTGCCAAGATTGATGAGCAGGGGAAGTACACGTATGAAAAGAAGGATTTGGAGATTTTGCCTGGGTTGCATGCTGTTATTCATAATTAAGGTGATTAGCTATATCGTCAATTGGATCAGTGGGGAAGCGCGTTGCATGTTTTCAATCTCATAGCGGTGACCCGGTATGCAGGTAGTCCCTAGGTCAATGTGAGGGTTTTTTGCCTGAGGGAAGTCTGCTGGTAAACGCGCCTAAGTAAGAACACTGCGTTTGTGGGTATAATATAATATTTGATCTGAATATGTATTAGTGTATATACAGTGATCACCGTGTCTCACCGGGGACATATCCGCTCAGGGTAACCCGACACGGAAGCTCGCCGCGGGGATGCGCCGAACCGTGTTCAACCAAATAAGCCTTCTCGTTATATACTGTGGTCAAATCTATCTTCTCTCCTGCATAGACCTCATCATAACATTCCTGGAAGTCGAACTCCCTGCTTATGATGGCGAGGAAGGCTTTTACTTCTTTAAAGACAAGGGCTTGGCCTGTGCAGTTTCGGACACCATACTCGAAAGTACGCCATGCCCCCTTTTGTGGGTAAAGTTCGTGATCCGGTCCTACAAGGAATCGCTCGGGTAGGAATTCGAGCGGTCGTGGCCAGATTGAGGGATTCCGATGGATGCTATAGTGACCTAGTTGAACGGCGCATCCCTCGGTAGGGTATTCAGTCCCACTTCTTCCCTTTAATATCAAGTCTTTACATCCTGTCCGAATACCGCTCGCAGGGGGAAAGAGCCGCAGCGTTTCTTTGATTACCGCTAAGGTATACGGGAGCGAGTTGAGGATCGATGGATTCTCAGAAATCTTGTCCGGGCAGGCTGCGATATTTCTGCCGAAGACCTCGTCGTGTTCAGCTCGTAACTTAGCTAAGACCTCAGGATGTTTAGAGAGCATGTAGCAGCAAGTGACTAGTGCTGACGAGGTAGAATCGTAGCCTGCAAAGAAGAATAGCCGTAACTGCGAGCATAGAGTAACAATAAAATCCTTGTCGAGTGGATCGGAGGGCTTCCGACTTAGTTGAGAGTAGTACTCCTCCAAAGCCTGGTCAAGTACCGAGCGGAAGGGAGCCTGTTCGTGACGTGCCTTGGAGTTGCGGAATTCATCAAGTCTTTTCGAAATTTGGGCACCAATATGCTTGTTTAAGAGGCGACTGTTATTCCACAAGTTGAACGCCCTAAACGGATTGAGCCGACCGAGGTTGTCCATGACATTGTTTGCGTAAAATTTCAAACCAAGCTGGCGCAGCATAGTGTCTGAGAGTGGGTGAGAGCCGGTCGTTTGGTTGCCGAGTTCGGCATTGAATACGACACGTCCGATGATGTCGTTCATGAGTGATAATACTAATGGCTCCAAGCGAAAGATACCACCCTTCTGAGCTTGCTTTCGGAGAATACCCCGGAAGATTTGTATCTGCTCGACGACACTAGGCATAGCGGCGTCAAGGTTGCTATTGCTGAAGAATGGCAAGAATAAGTTGTGATCGTTCTTCCACTCCTGGCCATTTTGAGTAAAGAGGTTGATTCCTCCATAGCCTGAAATTGGTTCAAACCAAGACGTCAGGTTTGAGGGTTTCTCGGCGGATGTCCATGAATGATTGGTAACTTGATTGGCAAGATAAGGATCTCTAACGACGAGTAAAGGTGTGGTTACAGGATAGCTATCGAAATAGTACGCTTCCGGGCCATATTCCCCATCCAAATTCTTAGCCATTCTATCGAGGATGTAACTGCTATGAGCCCCTGGCGGGAGTTCTTCGCTAGCAGTCTTAGCTGAGAGAAGGTGGCCTAGAAAGGTGCTGTGGGCGTGCATTGGCTATCGGAACACTGGTTAATGGACGCTTTCCGACATGCCGAAATGATTCAATGAGTCTCACCTTTCCCATCTTTGATAGCCTTCGCATCAAGCTTCTATAACGCCATAGATTAGACGTAAAGGCAAAAAGTCGCACAACCAAGATGGTTAGCAATACGCCGCCAAGGGCGTTGAGTAATGGTGAAGGCAATTCCATCGTGTGCCGGTTCAAGTCGAGCCCAATAAATCTCGAGGTTGTTGGGAGAGCTCGAAATAACTTATGCGATTAATGCTGCGCCGCGCCTCTCGATATGGTGAAAGTCGGTGAAAACGCCCAGTCCTCACGAGAGCTATGAGCCAACAACGGTAGCACTCAAGGCGACTACTTGAAACGCAACTCGAATTGAGATTCGAAAAAGTGCCTTATAGGGCTGAGACTATCCGAAATTCAGATAGGATCGCCCTTGGATGAGTCTCAGTCCGGTTTATAAGCTCCGTGACTCCCCCTTATCCAGGGATGAGAGCTGAAAAGACCAAGGATGCCACGGACATTTTCGGCCATTCATAATGATAGAATTGGAAATTAGCTTCGGTCTCGACGTTTAGCTAAATCCTTCCAATTAGAAAAGACCTATCTAGCTGACTTAGGTATAGAGCTTCGTGTATACCATGTAACGAGATATACTAATAGATAAAATTGAGAAGTTGTAGAAGACTAAAAATGTTAGGTGAACCAAATGAATTATTAAGTTGACTACGCTGTGAACCTTGAACATTTTCATAAGATACGAATACGAATAGAAATGTTCATAAGTCTAAATAAGGGAATGATCATCTCAAATATGGCTTAGTAATACAGTGTGGACCCACTAGAAGAGAGCTAATCTGATGCCAAGGACATCCTGCATATACACTAAGATAAGGTGCTTATCGATTACAATCGATAAGAGTGTTCTCCAAAAAATTATTTTGTACTGTACCACCTACGTAAACTTGCGATCGCATCCATTCAAACTTTCCTCGAATTTTATCGCTAGTAACCGTCCTGGGAAGACAATTACAATGCCGAAGCCACGTACAAAACGGCAGGCTATCCGCGACGAGCGAAAGGCGAAGCGACGCGAAAAATCCTTGGTCGGCTACGAAGCTAGTAAAGCCGCCAAAAAACAACGGCTGAACGAAGAAAATGGTGATGGTACTGGTGATCAGGAACCCAGATTTGAAGATGGATTCGACCAATCCCAGCCTCAAATTGGCGGGCCGCCGCCCATGGAACGTGAATTCTTTGGTATGCTATCAGATGAAGAACAGGAATATTTCCGCTCCGTCGACGAACAACTCGATATCGACGATTTTCCTTCCCAAGAAGAACGACAGCTATACCTCGCGAGCGTATTCACCGAGGCTCAAGGCAAAGAGCTCAAGCTAGCATGCAGTCAATCATGTTCGCGTTTGATGGAACGATTGATCTTGATGTCAAACACAAGGCAAAAGAAAAAGCTATTCCTACAATTCGCCAGCCATTTCTTGAATCTTATCCAACATCGATTTGCGAGCCATTGCTGCGAGACGCTTTTCTTACAATCCGCCCCGATTATCACAAGAGAACTTGGAGGAGAGCGAGACGATATGCCTACTGAACAAGACGACCCCGATGAGAAGCCTCTTCCCTTTATGGAAGAATTATTTCTTCTTACCCTTGACGAACTCGAAGGACACCTCGGTTACCTCCTCACAGACAGATTCGCTTCCCATACCCTGCGAGTTCTACTCATCATCTTATCTGGGCGACCGCTAGAGCAGTCGCAAACGAAATCTCTAATTCATAGCAAAAAGAAGGAACATATATCAGTACCTTGGACATCTGATGGTCCAACCGACTTAAACACACAACTTCGAGCTGTACCCATATCCTTCAATTTAGCTGCGAAAAAGATCATCGCCGATTCCATCTCTGGCATGAACCCTACAGAGCTGCGGGTCTTGGCGAAACATCCTACTGGAAATCCAGTCTTGCAATTGCTGTTGGAATTGGACATCAGTCTAAATTTGAAGGCAGATGATGATGAGTCTGGGGACATGGTACTGCTATGGCGACTTCTACCAGGGGCTCCCGCTTCGCTAAAAGACGCCACCACCCCCGCATCGGATTTTATTAATTCGATGTTATACGACCATATTGGCTCAAGATTACTTGAAGTCCTTATCACTAACTGCCCTGGAAAGATTTTTAAAGCGCTATATAAGCACGTCTTCGGAAACCGAATCCACAGCTTTTTGCGCAACGACGTCGCATCTTATCCCGCGATACGCATCCTGAATCGACTTAGTAAGGAGGACCTAGTAGCAGCAGTTGAAAAGACTTTACCTGAATTTGGCAAACTTGTCGCATTGTCAAGGTTCAATGTCATTAAGACCTTGTTTGAGCGATGTCATGCGCGACAGGCCAAAATTGAAGTCGATAAGCTGACAACAGCTTTGATTGGAGCTCTCGGATCTGATCCGAAGTCCCTAGTCCCTAAGCTTTGCCTCCCTCAATCATCGGAAACTGAAGATGAAAAAAATCACGAACCCCCCCAGAAAAACCGATCAGCGTTAGTTTCGCACGGTTCTCAATTAACAACAGCAATGCTTGCTATTCCCGGATTCCCCTCCAGCACCATCCTATCATCACTTGCCGCCCTGCCAGAAGAACTCATTCTCCAACTTGCAACATCATCAACCCCTACTTCTTACGTCGTGGTTAATGCTCTGTCGACACAATCCAAGAACAAGGTTTTCCACAAGACGCTTGTCGCGACACTACGACCGCACGCATTTCAATTAGCCACGTCCGAATATGGCAACAAGATCTTAAACGCAATTATCTTTTTACCTTCCAAAGGCGACGGTATATCAGTACCATTCCACGTCAAGGAGTTAATTATAGAGCAACTAGGTCAACACGAACAGGAACTACGGGATTCATTTGAAGGTCGACGTGTATGGAGGACGTGGAAAGGGGATCTATGGAGGAATAGGAGAAGAGAGTGGATCTCTTGGGTTAAGGAACTTGACTCTACATCGAGTCAAACCATGATGGAACAGCAGTTTAAAGGGAATAATGGACCACGATATGATCAAGGTGACAATACCAGGAGTTTCACGAGGCCTGATGACCAGGCAAGAAAAAGGAAGTGGGAGAATGCGACATAGGGTGTCATAATCAAACATCACTCGCATGATTTTATGATAGGTTAGTCAAAGCCAAGAGTCATAGGCGAAATATACAACTAGCAATACCCAAATACCCCGATGCGCTTTCTCTAGACAGCATCGAAGTTTCTTGACTGCACCTTAACGTTCTATAGATGACTGTACAAAGCCAACCAGCTAAGTTTACCCCTTTTCAATTTAGCACGTGTATTAGGTACATATCTAGGTGGTGATTATGGTTTCCCCTTAATATCTTCTTTCCCACTCTTGTCAGAGTTTACAATATTCGAAACGAATGACTTCCCCTTTTCACTACTCACGAGCACTTTTGACACCAATAATTAAACCTTCCAACCTGATGATTCCACTTTGAGTTCAACATTATTCCACTCGCTCATCCCTCTTATTACTCCACCGGTTATTCTAGTTCTTATAAATACTTCAGGCCCTCTCAACTTCAATTTCATATCCCCTCAAATTTCTTCTATCTTCTCATCTTCCAACAATTCTCTTCTAAGCTCCCCTTAATACTAAGAGTTTCTCAAAAGTCATAAGCAACAAATCGATAGTGAAGCCTATTGACCTCCAATCCCCCCCTTCGATTCCATTCTTCATTCACCTCCGTCATCCATAATACACTTTACCTGTCTCTTCTTTCTACTTCTTCTCCCACAAAGTGGTAAAAGGGAGTCGGATGTCGGCAAGCCGATAATAAGGGGAAAGAATAGGAGTTAGAAACCTTACAACTAACCCTAATGGAAGACTGCAGATATTCAAAGTGCTCTGCCACAACAAACACAATCACGCGACGATATCCGAATCAGTAAAACGACTTACTTGAGAGAAGAATGGATTTCTGGTAAACATCACCTTGGTAATAAAATCGACATATTCTACAGTTGCAAGGAAAGAGCGGAAGCAGGACGGGCAACACGCCCCCACACGCCAACGCAACCATTGTGTTCGTTCGAGTTTCGGTCAATAACACTCCCGAAAAATACCAGCTTAGTCAATGCAAACAGATCGGATATATTCCATCCGGCCTCAATTCAAGGATGAATTCTGTCAGGAAAAGCGGAGATTGGGAGTAGCAATTGGCTGGAATAGTTCCCTCCTACCACTTCTCCCATCATTTCTTCTATGTTGGGTTCTTCCATATCAGCCATCCCAATAAGTCGTTGGTTCCACCGAGAAATCTACCACCTAGTCCAACGCGCAAACCCCACAGCCCTACGGAAAAGCCATGGCTGCACTAGACTTCATTACACATATCGATTCTTCAGCTATGAGACGGGCTGGAGACCGCCAACCCCAACATGGTGATAGCACACTCTCTTGTTGCCACGGAAGTGCGCGGATTGTTCGGGGCAAATGAAGTGGACAAAGCCTGGTAAGTACATCAAAATACGTGAAGTAACCTCAGTTCAGATATTCGTTCACTGACGATTGCCAGCGAATCCTTTCCGTTTCGCGGCGTTACCGTCTTCGTTGCAATGCCTCGTTTCTACGCGTTTGGTGTTCCATTGAATCTCACTGTGGAAATTTGATAAACCGAGGTATTGTAGACTTAGACAGATAGCCGAATAAGGAGTGGATGACTATTATATTCATTTATGGCCTAGACATCATTTAGCTGCGATCGAGATTGTGTTAGAGGGCTTGATTGACGAGGGGAAATGTTTTGTAGTGTTACTTCGTTTAATAACCACTAGTCATCAAAATGACACATATACCACCGCCCTCTAAGGGATCAGCACAAGTCTCTCCTTCTCCCCAGTAGAGTCCCAAGCAGTCTCAATATCAGCCAAAGGAGCAGTGATAACATTCGAAGGCCTCTTTATCTTGCTAAGGAAAGCAACTAATCCCGGCATTTGCTTCACGATATCATCCATCGTGAGACCGCCCATACCAGATCCAACGATGCGGATATCTCGGGCATTTAGTAAACTAGCGGGGATGACTAAGTTCTCATGGCCGGCCATACCGCCGACACTGACGTACTGTAAGCCTCTGCCTTCTTGTATCTCAACAGCTTTCATGACGGCGATATTGGTGGGACCACCGACGTAATCTAGTACAACGTCGATTGGTCCGATTGTCTTTGGGATCGAAATGGGGTCGGTTAAGAGGATACGCTCATCGAGACCTTCGACGAGGTCGAGGGTTTCTTGAGTACGTGAGGCACCTATGATTTTGCTCGCCCCGAGATGTCGGGCGACCCGCGCGGCATGCCGGCCGCTTTCGGATGTGGCGCCGACGATCAGGAGGTTTCGGTTTTTGATACCGCCGATTACGCGGACATTTAGGGCCACTATGATAAATGTCAATATTTTATTCCTCAGAAAGGGGTGTAGAGGAACGAGATACAGGACTTCGGCTTCGTATCCGAAGACTGAAATTTCAGGGGTACAAAAAGGGGGCGGCGGGATGTGGAGACGGAGGTTGAAATGACTCTAATATTACTCACTCCAACTACTACTAACAGGATTCGCCAGCGCGGCCACGGTAATCGGATCAGCTTCCGGGAGTAGCTCGGTTATTAGCCGCTTCTCAACGTTCGCGCGCTCGGCGAAGAGTGGGGCTGCTAGGGGGCCGATGTAGTATTTCTTCCCGGTAGACTCATCGAGTCCGACGCCATCGACGCTGGGGTCGTATGGTAGTCCGCCTTGGACGCTGGAATGTTTGCCTAGTGCCCGGCCTTTCGCGGCGCGGGGTACGCCTGCGGCTAGGATCTTGAGTTGCAGTTGTGATGGTGATGGAGCTGGGAGAGGGGGGCGATTGGTCATGTATTTGGGTGGCTTGCCCCAGGCTGTTAGGAGGGCGGCGTTCATTGCTGATGATGGGGTAGTGCTGAAGGATTGTTGCTGGCGTTTGCTTGGTTTGGTATTGAAGAACGATTTAGAGAGCGCTCGGCCCGTGTGTAGATGTTTCCAAGTTGATGCCATGGGGATGGGTGTGAGTTGATGAGAGAATGGGTTGGGAAGTCTGAGATATAAGTAGTTGAAAATACTCGGGCCTCGGAGGGGGAATGAAGAATTCGGGACCCGAAAGTGTTGGTGCGGCCGGTTGGTGTGCATAAGTTGTGCGGTGTCTATCCCCCGTTAACCAACCAACAAGAACACCCTACCCGTGGCGGTCACCAAAGAACATTTCATAGGTGATCATTAGACTAGAGTTCTCAGATTGTTCAGGCGAACGAGAAATTTGTTGCAATGCCCCTTTTCGCAATGCCTCGGAATAATCCTCCCAACAGTATTGCATTAGAGAACGGTTATGTGTTACTTCGGTTTACGCTTTCGATTTCACAAATTTATTATATTTTCGTTTATTAAGTACCTGGGCATCTACGAAGGATTTAGACCCCATAGTATGATAAGACACTTGAAGCGTAGAGGCGCACCCTGGCGATGTGATTGATCGCCTGGATACAATATCTTCCATAAAAACTTATATAGGTATTTAGGTAGTTAGGATGTACTAATCTGCCCCGTCCAATTGTCGGTTTAGCTATTCCTAGCCCTGATCAAGATCATCTGCTCCATGTTAGGCCCGGTCTTCTCATCCTTGACCCAGTTCTTGGGCCGTCCAGTCTGCCCGTTCGGGAATTTGAACTCATACTTGATCAACAACAGGCAAAGCACCAGCTTGATCTGCGCACTAGCGTACCATCGCCCTGGGCACGCCTGCCGACCAGACCCAAACCAGGAGTCACCTGCCATTACCGAGCTGAAAAGATTAGCGGCGTACACATCACTAGGTTCCGAATTTCTGCTAGAAGAATAAAAACGCATGGGCCGAAACTCTAAAGGCGAATCATATAATGCGGGATCACGGGAGCGGGCATCAGAGGCTGCACAGATGTGCGTGCCCGCTGGGATGGTAAAGCCGTTTGAAAGGGTGGTTGGGGATATCACCAAACGTTGAAAGGAGACGATTCCGGCAGAGTTCGTGCGGCCACTCTCTTTGAGGAAGCTCTCCATCTTGCGCAGCCTCAACAATGAGTTGTTGCTCCAGCCGTCAGTGCTGATTTCCCTCAATGCTTCTTCGCGTAACTCTTCAATCCACTCAGGGTAGGCACAAAGATCATGGAGTGCATGTATAGCTGTGATAGCACTCGTGTGCATCGCGGCAACAATCAGAAAGAGGATCTTCATGACGATCATCTCTGGCTCGGCATCGTGTCCCTTAGCGGGTCCGGAGAGCCATTGAACAAAGTCCTGTGGTTGATCGTTGAGCATTGCAGATTCATCACCCATGCCCTGTTGTTGTCGCATCCGAATGACTGGGGCCAAGAGCTTCATTACTTGTGTAATGTCAGAACGCAACTTTCGACCACACGGCAGCGCGTATTGAGCAATGGGACGCAAAGTGGGAGAAACAGTCCTCATGGCCATACAGAAGACGGCTACAGAAGCAGAAAAGCCCATGATGGTCTGGAGCCAAATTGGATCGCGTGAAATAAGCGGATCGTCGATCACTCGGCGAGAGGTGATTTGGCCGATGGCGGCGAAAATAACGGGAGATGCCTTGACGAGAGTAAACTCTACGAGACTAGCTCATCAGCAAACGTCTCTTTCATTGTCGGGGGTGGTTGAAAGTTTGACAACCTTTCGAGTCACAGCTACCAAGGGCACCGCTCAAGGCTAGATCTGCTTCTTCTTTCATTTGGGGTAAAATATTCACTATAGTTATTTCGTCAGTATGTGATTTCGCCTATCGGCACACCGCGACCAGTGGCTAGGAATCGCGTACCTAGACTTTTCGTCAAATGAAATTGAACAATGTTACGATGGATGTTCGTTCCGCGGACAGCATCCAGCTTGGTATATCTGCCCATGAATCTGTCTAGAAGCTCCTCTTTGAAGCTGAGTTGGGTGTCTGGTAGATTTTTCAGCTCCTCGATAAACCTGTTGGGGATGACGAGCCGCTCATTTTCGCATGTATGGATCACATATGGTGTGTCTTTATGCTGTCAGTGGGTTGTTATTAAGTTAGCAACACCTTTAGGACCGTTGTAGGGAAGTCGTGTTGGTCGAACCTTTGTGTAGCCATCTTCTAGTAATTGTTGTCCTTTGGCGAAGAACTCATTTTTGGCGGCTTGTGTCCGAAGGCCCAAGAAACCTGGGTCAATCCCAAGCCGCGGGAGTCCAGCAAATTTTCTTCGCGACGATACCCGCCGCTCCAGCCAGGTGAGCAATAGCGTGCTACCTGGAGCTATGAACACCAATGTGTTATTCAACGCCATTATGTACGGTGGATTGTTTGTAGTCTGGTTAGGTTTAATACAAGTTCAACCTGTACGATGTGTGTTTAAACTCAGTCATCTAATAAGCAAGCAAATTGGCGTGGGCGGCGTTTAACAGTTAGGAGGTGCTCAACATTCACCCAGAACTAGTCTTCTCTTGCCAAAAACTCAACATGAACTTCTTGCATCTGTGACGACCGTCGCTTGTATGGGTGCCCGGTATATTATCCTAGTTGGATCATAACAAAACAATACGTTTAGCTACCTACCAAAAATAAATCCCATCGGAATTCGAACCAGAATCACCACAGCCGTCAACTAAACTTTCCACCCGATACGCGCGGTACTCATTCCCGTCGGCCATTCTGTTGGTTTGGATGGCATGCTTGAAAGCTTCCATCGGATGACTTAGTAGCTAAACTTGGGGCAGGGGAGACTCGCCGCCGTCGTACTGGTTCACCAAGGGTTTGTGGTATATCGCAGGGCTGTTGGCGGCCAACTTTGTAGTTGATCCCATGTTCTCCATGGGGATGCGACGGCCAGGAAATGACTCGATGTCAACCGAGTATTCCATCTCGCGCTCAATCCCAACTTTTGATTCGCCCTTTGAGTTGCCGAAGCGGCGCGCCCATGATGTGAACCGCGAGTAATTCGATGATGCGCTGGAGCTCGTGGACATCTTGGAATGCTTGAGGGAACGGATTCCAGAGAGACTCGCAAGTTGAAGAAAAGAGGCGTTAAAAATACGTCGTGTCGCCGGTTGCAAAGCGGGGAGGCACGCGTCGACGATCCCAAGGGTAATTTCAAGTCCAGACCACAAAGCATCGTCGACAACCGTTACGGTAAAGTTCATCTGGGCCTCAGGCGTGGAGAATTTGACTACGTGGTATGTTCGCCATGCTGTAGCGAAACAGACACTAAACCATTCATCAGCTCATCATGCGAAACAATACCGCTACGTTCGCAGCACTCACAAAATACCCAAACCAAAAACAAAGCTGAGGGCAAATTTCCGCCGCGTGCTCATATGCAAAGTCCAAAGCATAGGCATCGGGAGAATTAGGATACAGACATCCAGAACAAGATTGAAGATGGCGCTGAGAAGGAATTTGAGTCCGAGGTTGCCGCAATGCTGTGTCACATCTGAACCAAGCTCCCAGTTAAACCTGAAAGGGCGGCAGGTAGCAAACCAGGCAACGGTGCAAGCAATCAGGTAGGCCACCGCTGCCGCCTCAAAGAAGTATACGGTGAAGCGGAACTTTCTCACAGTGTAGAAGACCTGCAATATAAAATCGAGAATGGAGAGGCGGACAAATGAGTTGGCTCAGCTTTGCAAGAGCCAACCCACCAAAAACGTCTAGAAGATACTTAGCGGAGCTTAGAGCAAGGAGGTAGCCAAGAGTAGTTACCTTGCGGATGAGTAGTCGCTGAGCAGGAGCCACCTCGGTGATTTCGTAGCCAAGACTGCCACGGTCGGCCGCTGAGCAGGGAAGTAAGCCTCGTATTAATGAAGAATAGATGTAGTACAATCTTTGTATATTGAGTCTCACCTAACTAGCAAAGCGCAAAATAGCCCGTTCCGAAAGTAGCAGCGATGAAGATAGCATAGTCAGAAAGCCTCCAAGAAATATTTTTCATATGTCGTGCCCAGACTCTGAGGCCGATGGCGATCAGCCCCAGGACGTAGAACGAAGTGATGGGACCGACCAAGAGAACGGCTCCTGCGCTCATAGGAACTTTAGAAGGGTCAATCCAGCCTCCTGGTGGAGCTACCATCAATGGATTTAGGGGAGCGGCCGACGTTGCGCCGCCTGGTGCTGGTGTGGTACCGCTCATGGTCGAGCTGTATGAGGATCAACTACGGACACAAGACGAGCAATATCCAGGACAGAGAGAATTCGAACAAAGAGGGAAGACCAAAGCCGCCTGGCAGTGTATAAAAGCGGGCGAGATGGCAGGATTCGGAGATGAAGCACGGCGTATCGGGGTTTCAACTCTTTGAATATCCGCCCTTGGGTGTCGTGCAGAGAGACTAATATTTAGATAGGTTCGTGATTACTTGGAAGTACCTAGGTGCTGTGCTGGTACGCACTCTATCTACGCTAAATATGGCAGTAATACATCCGGAACATGCGCTGTTTTTCTTTTGTCCCATTTTATATACACATCTCAGACAGCCTCTCTTCCTTGTATCACCTTCCTGCTTCTCCCTTGCATTACCTTTCTTCCCCTACCCTCCGAGGTGGCTATTATCGGAGGAGGCCTAGCTGACCGACACTCCTAGCGCTAACACGGCTCAACAGGGTTTCATTCTTGCGCTTGCGTTGCACCGTCTTAATATACCATCTACGGTCTTTGAAGCACGATCTGAAAATTACAAGCAAGGCGGGGGGCTCATGCTCTCCCCGAATGCCTTGCGCGCCCTTGAAAGTCTTGGCCTGTATGAGCGCTTGCGTGTCAGAGCACTGCAATTTGACAAGCTTCACTTCAAGAATGATAAAGATGAGACCACAGACATCTATTATTTTGGCTCTAAGGTTATGTATGGCTATCCAGCCGTCCGCGTCATGCGCAAGGAGTTGCTAGGTGAGATATTGGTAATGTTGCGGGAACGCAGCATACCAGTCCATTTTGACCGTACGTTGGCCACCGTTGATTCTAATGGCTCTAATCGCAAGGTCAAAAGCCTAGATACGCGGGCATACTAGGCATCAGTTGCGTTGTACAGCGGTCACAGCTCCGCATCCCTAAGGATTATGGCTTGCCTGCGATCGCCATGGGTAAGCCAGGAGGCCTTTTGGTTGTTCCCCAGAAGCCCGACGGCTCCGAAGTTTACGTCGGGGCACAACGACCGTTTGTAGAATTGGATGATTGGAACATCCTCCGTGAGGACAAGCAGAAGCTCTATGACATGGTCCATGAAAACCAGTTCGATTGGCCAGATGTTATACAATCATATTGAACATCACATCTTCCTCGCTGACATTCGTAAAGCCCGCCTCCTCTAGCAAATCCTTAAGTAATTTACCAATGTGCCACTCGGCACCGACTACTCCTGCAACACCTTACATCAGCCGGAGCATGTCACTATACGCAGGCGTTCGATCTTCATTGACAATGTCAGGTGGGAAGTCCATAGTTCCTTCACTGATCTGAACCCAACCACCAGGTTTGACTATGGAGTAGAGGTGAGAAATGGAGGGAGAAGGGTTGGGACCCGCGCCAAGAATGGTTAGGCGTTGATGAACAAGGTCGAACTGGTCATGTTGAGACTCGGGCCATGGCTTTTTGATGTTTTGAACGGTAAAGGTCACGTTCTGGGGGGTCGATTGAGGGAAAGGTGCTAGGTTCAGATCAGTGCCGACGAATTCGTGGGTACCAGCCGAAAGAGGCGGCAATGAAGTAGCGAGATCCAAGAGCCAAGTTCCTGGATTAGGAATATAATTCGGAATAAAACTGTGGAAAGTATACACAGTTGCGGTAGTTGCGCTTTTACTTACCATCAGCAGTACCACTATCTAGGATCTTAGCTGGCTGAGAGAAGTCCACGGGAGCCCGAACGAGCTTGCCGCCCATGGCATCTTTGATATGAAATGATTGCTAGCTAGGCGTTTGCGCCGCCCCCCCTCGCTCTCCATCCAATACTTACTTTCTTGTTTGCCAGCCATTGAGGATGAATATGCGACAGGAAAATTTAAGCATTGGAAGAGCTCAAGTCAATAAGGAAGTTTAATCTTAAGGCTACCCAGCGGGACTATAGTGTTATCCCAGGCCCTCGGTGTCGCCAATGCCGACCGTCGGGGTGGGTGAGTCGGCATTATACACTATGTTGGCGATTAGCCACGTCTGACACATGCAATTCATATAATACATGATGGTGCATTACTTATAGTAACACATGCCTACGTACAAGCGTAATGCATTTCACTCCTGCGCGCTATTGTGAACTGATCTGTGTTGAATACCTAGGTATTATCGGGATATTCACTCTTATGGGCTATGGCTTCTGCGTAGGAGACCCCATTCCTATCTGTGTAGGTGCGCTCAAATTTGCCCTACTTAGTAGCCAAGAGGACGTACGCCTCAAACTTGATACCCCCAAACTGCTCAATCTCTTCCTTTACAGCCTGACTCACCGACTCCGTCCACCGAGCCTCCTCCTCCTCCGTGTACCCCTCCCGCGCCTTCTTCATCATAGGCCCGGACATAAGCGCCGTAAGACCAGTTACATTTTCATCATCAGTAACGACCAACGTCTTATCAACCCTCGTGATCTTATCCTTAGCAAAACCACCCTCCTCAACCACCTTCTGCAATTCTCCGTCTTCGTAGAATTGCGGACTTGGCGTCGGCATAAGCGGTAGATCCGGACGAATCTTCTTCTGCGCCGCGTGTACTATGTACATAGGAGCGAAGCGACGCCAGCACGTCACAATCGCGAGGCCACCTGGGCGGAGCGTGCGGTACGTCTCACGGATGACGTCAACAGGGCGGATGAAAGTGAAGATGCTGAAGTTGTTAATTGAGTGGGTGAAATGATTATCAGGAATGGACGACAAGTCCTGCGAGTCCAACTCCTTGCAATCCACATGAGGAAGTGGAGAGGAGGCCAGGGATTCACGTGCGGCATTTAACATCATGGCGGCGTTGTCCGAGACTAGTAGCTCTTTTGGTAGTTGGTCCTTGGGAAGGTGGGCGACGAGTGCCGCGGCGCCGATCCCCGGCCCCGCGGCAGTGTCGTGGACAACCGAGTCCAAGCCGATAGGGTGGGCGGATGTCTGGACATGGTCGGAGATGACGTCGACTAAGATGTTGAGTGTTGAGTGACCTGTCTGACGGACGTAGATGCTGGCGAACTTGGTGAAGTAGTCAGGAAGGGGGAGATGCGGGTGCTGGGTTTCTGAGGCCATCGTGAGAACAAGTTACTGTTACTTAGCTTAGAGGTAGATAGAACAAGAGCGTAAAAAGGATGCAAATGAAATCTAAAATACGACGGAAGACAAGGAAATTTAAGAAGGGAATTAGTTTGTTGTTTTATAGAGAGCTCTATGTAAGGGAGATGAGATGGAAACTAACCCTCGAGACTGATGAATCTCGCCCTGTCGGATATAGCGCCCTCGCTCTATATCAAACACAGCAGACCCATCCAGCGAATGCATGTTGGAAGCATTATATTAATCCAGGCCTAGCTGAAAGATATTAAGAATTCATATTACACTATTATAGCGCTTACTTTGCAGGACTTGTCCTAGTATAATCGCACGTTGAGTCTAGTTAGTAGCGACTCGCGAGAGAAATGAAATACAAAGAAAAACTGCGGGGTAATTAAGTGTCCAAATTAATCAAAAGACACCGAGATGAGAAACAGGCAATACAATTTACTACTTTGTCACTCTGCGGTTCCTTAACGCATAAAAATCGTAAAAATTCGTACTTAGGACGAAAATGTTTACTTTTTCATATAATTTATCATACGTACGGAGAGATTGTTCAACTAACATAAAACGAGAAGATATGGCAGAGTGGACTTGAAGTGCTCAAATTCCATCAGTTCCATATAAATCATACGTGAACCAATGAGGATTGAATCAGCTTAAGCTTCAACTTACTATAACGGATTCAAAATATTCACAGTAAAAATTTATATACTGGTTATTTCTATCATTTATCTGCATTTTAAATCCAATTGAAAATCCCTAGGGACTCTAGTTGTAGAAATATTGTAAAGTGACAACCTTGGTAGCAGCAGCACCGTTATTTTCGTGTGTATTCTAAGGTGGGCCAGGTATTTCTTGGCCCTCACTCACCAAGACGAGGATCAATTCTCCTAGCACAAAAATATCAACAGCAATAGCAACATAACATAATAAAGAGTTATTCCAGAGTATAAAAATTGGAAAATGGCTTCATAAATACAAGTACCCTTTTACACCGAAGCCGATATATCCATACAATGGCATGACTTATACCCAACCAGTACAGGGACACGTCAGCCCCTAAGCATTAGATTCAGTACCTAAATAATAGGATAAAGGTTCTCACGGCGCGAGTCTATTCATAGCCCTATACCTAAATTCACCAGATCATACCATTTATACATTCGCGTATGAGATGGTTTGAAATCATAACGATAAATGTGTACCATCGGATGCGCCTTGGATGGGTAGGTGTTCATATGAAAATTCGACTGGTTGGTGTTTGGTGGGGGTGATAGCAACGCCCCTGAAAGCGCGTAAAATCCTCATGGGCGCTTTGATGTTTCCCAGCACAAGACATCTTACCATTGAAAATTGGGAGTAGTGTTAGACTAATTAGAGTCAGCGAATGTCTGCTCTACGATACTATCGTGGGTGTAGTAGGTGTGTAGGTGACGCGACCCCTTTTAGCTTCACGGGCGTAGGGCGGACTCGCGTAGCCTTAACAATTGCAACCATCCCGCCAAAATCCATTAGACATGAAGTGCGACAACATCAATCTCATCACCAATTCAATTACTTAGGTACCACAGAAATCAATATAAGAGCACGCACGTATTCGAATTGTGATTTCATTATTTTCCCTATTTTTAATGTACCCCAGAATGAGCGGTTAACGGAGGGAATACATTAAGACATGATCAAATCGATATCTTCCTATCCCAACCTCGATCCCGATCCAAACTCCCAAATAATTGCGAGTGTTCCGTGGGGAATTTTACTAGTTTTCGTTGTTTGCGCCTCGACTATCACCGTTGAGTATGGTTTTCGTGTATATCTTCTCTACCTCCCAACCCCGACCTTCGGGGCGACTTATATCGTCCAAACCCCCTGAATATCTCTAAGGTGTGCAAGCCAGCTGTCATAAGTATGTTCAAACTCATAAGAGTTAGATGAGGAGCTAGCCACCCTTGCGCCTGATAGCAAGTGCATGAACATCTCAATAATATCCAAGTTCAAGTGGCGGCAAGCATCGAGCTTCACAATCCGTCGCCCTCCCAAATTCCCCTTCTCCGTTTTTGCCATGGTATCATCATCAGAATATTAAGCGATATAGTGAGAAGACTTAGCTAGATCGCCTCATCATCCCCTCATTCAGTGCAGTCGTAAACGACGATATACCTTCCCAATCCGTAATCTCTCCCTGGACGTAAATCGTGTACATACGTGTGAAGCGTAGAAGTAGTAAAATTAAAATATCATATTGGAGATAGAAAACGCCGACCTGAGAGATTTTGAGAACCGAGAATCAAACGCTTTCATGCAAATCGAACCAAAATGCTCAAACCCTGATAGGCATAAATGAATAAATGACGTGCATGACGCGTGGTATCTCCGATAAAAAAGAAGAACGCCGGACCAACCCGGTGGAAAGCTTTTAGTGTATATGTGGAATGTGTGTGATATTGGGACATATACAGATGACATCGTGAAAGGCAAATTATTGCTCTGAACCGAAGTCAATCAAGCTTTCCCATCCCTCTCCAGCATTACCACATGCAGGTGTACCTAGGCGGCTATAGCTGCCGGTTGGAATGTCCAACAGATCCATTGAGCCATCTATCGATGACAGGAAGTTGTCATCTTGAATGGGGGCATCATGTGGCGAGAAAGTGTCTGTTGAAAGGTCGAGATTCGTCTTAGAGCTGTCTTGCTGTGCTGTGGTATCGCCCGGGTAAGGTCCAAACATCTGGAAAGCTGAAGCGTTGTCGCCCATAAAATGCATCGCCATCGGATCATTCATATCAATATTGGCCATCATCTTGACCTCATTGGGTAATTCTGACGTGAAAGCAGAAGATGATGTAGATTGCTGCGCTAACTGTGGATCCAAGTGGAGAGGAGGGAAGGCAGTGGTCGGAGTCTGAAAAGGTGTACTCTTCGATTCAGACGCGTCTATATCGGTCGAAGAGGCGGGAGTTAAGGCGGGTGGTGATGAGATGGTTGTAGCAGCAGAATTGGACATAGGACTTCCAACTGTGGTGGAATCTCTCCTACTGAATTGGGACTGCGACGAAACGGAATGCGTCCGGGTTGCCGGCGAGCTTTGGCTAGATCCTGATGTTGAAAGTCGTTGTTGGAAGGTACCGTCGCTGTTCATGAGCGGACCCATGTACGCGGAGTTGTTGAGGTGTTGCTGGTACGCCATGGCACTTGGGAATGACTCGCTAAAAAGGCGATTAACCTCATTATAGCGAGCCATGGTGGCCATCGCAGCCTGTGTCGTGATGTAGGCATTCACACGATGGTTCATGTCTGGGGAGTTCGTCTGCAAATGAGCAGTAAGGTACTTGTAGTGGCGTGGAATTTCGTCCTCTTCCTCCTCATACATTTCTTCCTTTAGCACGATCTCTTCGCTCACTTTCAGACCCCGACCAGTTCGTCTTCGGTGGATCTCAGATGCCTGGCGAGCGGATTGTACTCTAGCTTCTAGGCTTCGGTCGGCACGTCTCGATGCGGCAATGTACGCTCTCTCCTGGTTTTCTTCATGAGACCGTTCGGTCTGTGGCAAGTTAGATTTTGGCTCGAGATGGGTAGATATAGTAGGTTAACATCGAACTTACCTTCTGTGCCTTTACAGGCGGGGCTCTTTCATTTGCCGGCATTGCGGATGATGAATCAAAAGACCTCTTCGGCATGGGTTACTAAAAACAAAGAACTTGTTGACGAAAGTGGTGGTAGGAGTGAAATTCGATTCTTGAAGGTTGATATGGTTCAATCTCCAAAGTTGACAAAACTTGGCGAACAAACAAGTCGTAGAACGTTTGATTTCTTGGGTAGGCAACTCCAGCTGGCTTTTTGTGTTATATAAGTCCTTCGAGAAGAGCAGTAACTTTTCAGATTCACAAGATACTGCAGTCAGGCGGGGGTTTCGGGCCTCGTTGGCATATGCAGCTCAAAAGGCAAATAAAAAAGGGTTGTATGTCGTACGCCGTTGGACCAAGTGACTTGCAACTTTCAATGATACGCCGAAGAGCGATGCTCCCTGTCTATCGGATGATAAATAGCCTAGGAAGGATATCAAGTCACAATCGACGGCGAAGAAATCAGGTTGTAAGTCTGGATGTTAAGTTTGTATGCGTATATCGGTTGATTCTTTTCGATTTCAAATGTTTGACTTCTCTCCCTCGCAGTTCTTTTGCTAATATGTTGTGTTCACTTTCGGTGTGTTTGCGTAGTGTCGTTAACTTCCTATTATGGAATGCTGACTTGTATGAAGTAGTTGCGACTAGTTAAAAACAGCTGTATGACTAAATCGTGCAAACTAATCCTTCAAGTTATAATTCTTCTCTTCCAAACACTATCTGGAAATAGGTGGACGAGATAAGACAACTTGAAGTCTGTGATACTTCATGGGTTATGATATGATGATAATGTATGAGATAGTTTGGTGTGTTGGGGTTGTTTGACTTGAGCGTGTTTGGACAAGTGACAGTAGAAAAGCTTAAGCGTGTCTGGAACTGAATTGGGAAGGTATTGGCAGTGATAATAAGTTAAAGTATTAAAGTAGAAACTGTAACAAGAGATATGAGAGGGAATTCTGAAGCCGAAAGGAAAAGAAGAGGGAAGGAAGAAACAATATACATATACAGGAATGGGATTTCCCATGTCCCATGTCCCATTCGGAATCGCGAACATTATGGAAGGTAGGAGGTACATACAACATACATCAGATACATCAGATACGTACATCAAATGAAGTAGGAAATGCTCCAATTGCGTAACATGAACATACCTTGTTCATACCTTGTTGAGGTACATGGTAACCAATGTTCTTTCCGATTGAAAGCTAGAACAGGGATTCTAGCTTTCCTGATGCGGGAGAATGTCGAGGTGGCGATCGATCGCGATTGAGAATAGTGGGAACCAATCAGATAGTACCAATCCACTAAGACGGCGCAGGGATCTTACCGTCATGGCTTGTTGATAGTGCTTTAAGTAGTCCTTAAAATGGTTTAGATTCGTCTAGGTCCAGAGCCTTAGTCTTTATAGCTTCCCCCGCTGTTCTTTTTTGTGCATGTACCTATGTATTTCTAGTAGCTTGTGCAGTAGTAGCAACGGTACTTGGATCCATTCCATTCATCTTTTTTTTATGTAGGCATTTAATTATTATTGCCTTTCTAGCTTCTATATTTTATGGATGGTAACAGTAACAACTGGTTGTAGCTAGAATATTCCCCTGGAGTTTAGGGTGAAACGGGGAGAATAACATAGTGTGCTCTGTTTGTAGGCACACAAAAATTCAGCTTGATACGTTTGATACTCGGGGTTACGCATTTCTACCTGCCTGCTTACGTATATTGGGTATATTGGACCTGGGTTGACATAGATTGATATGCGGGTGTGATATCCGGCTCGATGGGATAGATCTGGCTGAACTTCACCAAATGATGTAAATTGCCAGTGATCAACGGCACTATAGCGTTCGCAACACGTTTCCAAGGTATAAGATGGAGGGTTAGGTGAAGGATCTACTTGGCATCCCACCTACCACCTACCCTTCCCCCCTCCAAAACAAAATCGAAACGGTGTAGCAATCCAATCAGAGGTTGAGATAATGTGAGAGAATTTCCTATGTAGGTAGGTAGACAGTGCGGATCACCTCGACAAACACAAGCGATTGGGTTCCAAATTATACGAAAATGATGGAAGATTGAACGTTTTGCGTAGAAATTTCGTAATAGTGTTAAAACCGAACACGACGCAATTGTTACCTAAAAACAACGTCAATTCTTAAATTCGTTGCTAACGTAGCATAGCTATAGATACTATAGATTCTATCTATACCGTACGTAGTAAAGGAGAAACCCTTAAATCCCTAAATAAGCGCTGATCTTTTAAGCTCTTTTTTTTCTCTCTTTCATTAGGTATGGTACTCCGCCTATCCGCCTGCCGCTCTCCTTCCGCTGACCCCACCAGGCTTAAGAGTCCCATGTTCCGCCCCCTTAAGCAAAGCATAGCTCAAAGTACCTCGGTAGCTAGAAATTTGATACATCAAATACAATATCTATGTACCTAGCATTTTTTAAAATGGATTTGAGTTTTATCTTCTATTCCACCCGCAGCAAATGCTCCTCGAAGAAATACCAGAATAATGAAATTTAATATAAAGAGGAATCAATAAAAAAGAAAGCAAATCTAGACTCCTTACCATCCGGAACTTACCTCCACTAACAACGCCCAACGGCATTTTCCAATTTCCCATCTTACATCTCAAAGAAATCGGGAGAAATATTATGTGTCACGTTGATATCGAACCAGGCAGCCTGGCAGCCTTCCTACAATATTTCCATTGTTACAATCCGGAGCTTTTGCTGCGAACTGTACGAGGTAGACATATGTATTTGCATGCATACATGCAACTTTACATGCCACTGAGGAGCAATGAGGAGAAACGAGGGACCACCCGCAATGGTAAGAAGATTCTTTCACCGTCGTTTAAGCCCCTTTGTCTGGAACTGTATGGAACTTCAAAGTTTACTTTCAGCCTCGCGACAGACCAATGAAATGTCACCAAGGAAGAAGCATCGTGATATGAACTCCACTGATAACAAGAAACACTCTTGGTACCACCATATCAAAATGAAAATAGGACCAAGTTTTTCCTAGTTACGGGAATAGCCTAGCATCCGAAGCAGCGGCAGCAACACCAAGCATGATTTAGATGGCCTGCACATGCAGGTGTGGACGTGTCCATGTACGCCCCCATGCTGCTATGTATGCCCATGTGCCCCGGAGGAGGGATATGGGTAGGTAGGTTAAGGCCAGGTAAGGGCAGGTTAGTGGATAAGGTAGGCTGGATAGGCTGGGTGGAAGATTCGATCGAGAACGGATTTCAGCAATTTCAACGATTGCCATCATATTTTTCGATGAGTGACATCAGCCGTAGAATCCGAGTGCGGATCCAGTTGACATGAAACAGACGAACCAGACCGTACCAAAAGGTGCCAAAGGGGAGAAGCTGACTGTCGCGTCTTTTTGCTATTTCCACTCCTTTCCTAAAAAGGAAATATCGTCTTGGGTTGTCTAAGCATTCCGGAGCAAATTGTCCGCAGTCAAGACGTCTCAGCTGTCGGTACATTGAGCCTTAACAATTTTTTTTAAGAATCCCCACTTCCAATAAGGTTCCATAACTCTTACAATTCTTGGAAAGCAGGGATACGAATTATTTACCGAAGCATTCCCGCCAGCCCGCTAAGCCATCTGTGGCGGTGTGGCTAAGAAATCGGCCTTATTTCTCCTTCTCATTTGCAGCTTTAAAAAAAAATTCATCCCGTGGTCACCAACATACGCAGCTTTGACGTGGCCACCCCCTCAGCGATCGATACGATCAATATGAACAAATTTCTTTCTAACCAAATCAAAGTCCATAGGCCCAACCTGTTTTAAGGTACTTGTTACATACTATTGGACTACGTTACCTATGACCTACTATTAAAACGTTCATCGGACTAAATACCCGGCGTGTTTCGCCCCCCGCTGTCGATCTTGTCCTGAAATCTCGAATATGGCTACACAATTATGGGATTTTGTTCTCACCCTCTCAAAATGCCATGCTAACCTACATGGGATTTACTATCGCCCCCGTCCATCACCTATCATATGCCAAGCTTTTCTGATTTATTATTTTGTCTTACTAGAAGATATCATCTACACTACTACTAACATCCCTACTACCTATCTATCTTAGGTTGAGACGTTTCCAAACTTTTGATGCCTTTGCTTATTGGAGCGAGCTCCGATTACATTGACTTGTCGAAAATAAACTCAGCTATGAATAATTATCTACCCGCGCCCTATCTATTCCCAGGTTAATACCTAATTACTTGGGCATTGATTGGGCCACCCTAGCGGTAATTATGGTTCTTGGATGGGTAGCTGCTGTGTAAGTCACAAATCAATATCTAAGCTGCTAAAGCAAGTACTTTATTAGGCGATCCCTTGCTTGACACGATAGCTCTAAAACCAACGGAGCTTCACAGCACGCGATGTTTGTTTTTTTCGATACGCTCGTTTGTTTATTCTGGGTAATACCAACCTAGCAAGCTTTCTTTTCACAAGGCCGCTCTTTCGACCAGCAGATTTCTCCAGTCTTACATTCTCAACTCACTTATTTTCCATACGCTACATTATATTGTCTTGCGCCGGTGTCCTACTAGGGATCCCATTAGACTGGTCCTCAACAAATCTCCATGCTATTTGATGGAACTTTATCGACTCTAGGCCTTTCATTTACACCGCTATGGCATTTAGATATTTTAAGGGCTCGGTCAATGTTGAGATCTCCGGTAAGATCTTATAGGGCGAATCTCCATCGTACCCAAAGGGGGGACAAGAGATGGGCTGAAGACATGCCGATCCTTCCGCCAGGGGAGATATCCAGTATAATTGCGAAAATTCGCCTCAAATATGTGGACTCATCTCATGTCACGATACCGACGAAAATGATTTCGCTGCACGTTGTCTTTAGAATACTAACAGGCCTAGATGTACTGGGCTTAGAACACGCCTAATTTACACGCACATATTTCATATCACAGGATCATGATTACAGCGTTTGAAGTCACATCAATTTCCTAATCATCGACAAAGAAGCTCACCTCTTACCGGAGAAAATGAACAGAAATATGTAGGGATTGTGACCTATCCGTTATTATATGCCGACAGTAGTCTGAACCATCCCGACTCAGTTCCAGGGGGCACAAGGCTCACTAGATTGTCCCGGGCCTTTCATAGAGGTATCCACATATTTTACAATACCCGTACGAGCAGCGAGAGTACCAAATGATATAACCTATTTACTTCCTAGGTAGCATTGGCGCCTCAAGTTATGGGGTAACACGAAGGGATGCCTCCCTTTGATCCCCCATTTTACGATTAACTACAGCAGCGTATCACCAGCTAGCGTTCTGGTTGTCACAGGATCGCCACCTAATTATGTGCGTGCCCACGAAATAATGATTTCCAGTGGATCGATCGTTATTGTGTTACGTTCTAAGGCATTGTCAAAGTGGAACACTACCGATAGTACAGGCATTCCGGCGTTCAAAGGTATTGTTATTTACTAATCATTGCGAATCTTGGCATTGAGCACCTCCGACCCAAGGCCACGGCTTTGAACCACCATTGGCGCGGAGCTACGTAATGATAGCATCCTTAGCCGTTAGTTCTTTCGATCTCCCGGCAATCTTTCTCCACCGACATGGTTTGGCCCGGGTCGCTCTAGCCTCGTGAGACTTGCCTGTTAAGGGTCTAGTTGTTCGACGTCTTAGCCTCGTCACAACGCGAGTTACCACGACCCGGCGTGACACTCAGTCCGGGGCAATAAATATGCCTTCGAACCTTTTTACTAGTTCAACCTTCGAAGGTCTTTCGTCGAGAGACTAAACGACACCGTTGCTTACCGAATCTATTGCCTCTTTGAGATCCTCCCTCTTGCCCTCCTGCTCGGTCCATGTGCTCCTAGGGCAGATCGATCTGCCCCACAGATATCTAGGAACACGGGTTTGAGTTTAAAGTGAGGGGAGAAGAGGGAGGGGAGATATGGGGCTTTAGCTTCTACCAGCGACCGAATTTAGCTGTCCGGTGGACATGACGTGCGATTAGGTTGTGCGCGGGCTTGCTGCTAGAGAAGGACATGTGATTGATCCAGGTCGCCGAGGCCACTTGTATTTGCCCGTATTCGTGTCTTGCGTGACTCAAGGTGAAGGTCCGGAGGTTTATATGTGCTTGGTAATCACACGTTGAGGTTTGTGTTAGAGAAGTTAGACGATTAGGGTGAAGCATATGAGCCACAGCCCGGTTCTAGAATTGTTATTGGTGGTATGGATTAATAATAGGCAACGCTGCGGCTCGCTCTTTTAAGGCTCTTTAAGATTTCGGTGGGTTATACTTAGCGATGGATTATACCTTACTGTGGCGTGTTAAAGGCTTTACTAAGAACCATGACTGGTGCATGCTGAGAGCTTGATTTTCCAAGGAGTTACGGGAGGTGGCCATTACTGCTGGATGATTGAATTAGCTTCTTGATACGGGTAGGAGAAAGTGGTATACATTTAGATTACGCGATATTATAGGCCCGTACTCCGATATTGCTGATGCAGTCGAGCCGCGTAGTCCGGCGACAGTGAAGCCATCGCCAGCTCAGGTGTACTGACGGGACGGGCATAAAGGGGTGGATTAAAGTATTCTAGACGTAGAATCTCCTACGATCCCTCTCATCCCATTGGCACCCCACTATTTCTCCCTTATACCGCGACTGCACATTGTTTCGAATGGAAAAGTTATCGCGATCCAACCATTTTGGGTATCTAGCATCTTAATCATGAATTATTCGTTCGTATCATCGCCCATAGACATCCCACTTGGGGTATGAGATACTCTGCCAAACTCCGATTCATTTCTCCGTAATCCGTCATCCAGCCTCCAACGATCTTCACGATTACACAAAAATATATAACAAGCACCCACTTCCTTACGTGTGAAATGGCCACGCAGTTCAATTCAATTCAATCAGCAGTCAACCAACAATGGAGATTATTGTTAGTATCGGGTTGTTGGTGTTTTCAATTCCTCCTATTATAGGAAAGTCTCCGATGAGTGATATGCGGGCATCTCGCATTTTAAGGAGATAACAATCGGAGATACTATTTTATATCCCGTTATAGATAATTGCTGAAGAAATGTTGTTGGTCTTGGTTGACTAATCAGAAAATAATAGAATAGGCAGCACCAATGCAATGCACGGGCGTATTGAACACGCAGGCGTCGCTATAGTTAGCCGTATAGGCATATTGATTGGACGATGTAACCATATTTGAATATTTAGGTAGTTAGTGGACGTATGATTATACACTCAGCTATCAAGGGTCTTTTGGTGAAGTAGACCCCTTTGGGTACGACGAAGGATTCACCAACGCAGGGGCACGTACATATGTAACGGCTAGCTCGTATATTGCTCCCCTGTTTGGAAATGTAATTATTCATGGTGGGGGAACATGATAAGAGTATAAAGATGTGAGTGCGCAATCACCAGGTCGTATGAGGATTGCATTCTTCATGCACCAGTAGTACCTGTTAAACATAGCAGTGAAGATAGCAGTAATAGAAATCACCCACCACATACTTGAAAATGAGTGCACCGAAACAACCACGCCAGACCCTAAAATGGGACGCCGAATACGAGGCATGGTTCAAGCCCTTCGCCGCTAACCTCAAAGCGCCCGAATCAACATCCGCAACGGATCTCCGCGAACATTCCAAAGTCACGATGACGATGGCATTCTCACAACTCCCAGCCCGACCCAGCATCAAAACAACACTATACAAAATCCCTTCATACGACGGTGTTGAAATCGACGTCACCCGTTTCGCAACCGCGGAACAGACAGCAGCGACTTTCCCCACCCCGCTCCCAGCCGTGCTATACCTCCACGGCGGCGGCATGGTAACTTCCAGCGTCTCGATATACGCCCCCGTCCTAACCAACCTAGCCGCGACATCTGGAGTCCAGTTCTTCGGCGTAGAATACCGTCTCGCGCCCGAGTACCCCGACCCCACGATCATCGAAGACTGCTACGCGGCACTACTCTGGATCTCCACACACGCATCATCTCTCGGCATCGACTCCTCCCGCCTAGGCGTAATGGGCGACAGCGCAGGCGGTGGTTTGGCAGCAGGCACCACGCTCCTAGCGCGGGACCGCGGATTAGACCCTCCTGTTAAGAATCAGATCCTCGTGTACCCTATGCTCGACGATCGATCCATGGCGCATATGATTAAGAACCCGGGTTCTAGCCAAGTGGAAGAGTTTTCGCTGTACCCTGTTCTGAATTTGTATGTGTATTGGGAGATGTATCTTGGCAAGGAGAACGCGGGTGCTGAGACCGGGGTTAGTCCGTATGCGGCGCCAGGAAGGGCGACGGATTTAAAAGGGTTGCCTAGTACGTATATGGATGTTGGGGGCTTGGATTTGTTTAGAGATGAGTGTGCTACGTTTGCGGCGAGGTTGGCGGCGGCGGATGTTGAGATTGAATTTCATCTTATTCCTGGAGTGCCGCATGGATTTGATGTGGCTACGGAGATTGGTGCTACGAAGAGGGCATATGAAGGACGGATTCGGTGGATAAAAAGTCTGTAAATAGTAAAAATAGCATTGGAATATGAAAATGACCTCAACTCAGTTATTCAGGGATTCATTGAATATGTGAATTCATCATACGCGACATCTCAGAGTCGAAATGAGTAAAAGGATGAATCCACCACCATAATGCTACTAAACATGACGCGGCGTATTAGATATAACTTCGCAAGCAATAAAACTCAAGCGATGCTCAAAATAATAGAATGAAAGAACACAGCATTAAATATATATATATATATATAAATCAAAAAGATAGGTTGATAATCCCAGTGATTCTGGAATGCATCAGGAATTGAGCCCGATGCGGGGGTCGAACCCGCAACCTTGAGATTTGGATCCTCTAATAGTAAGAGTCTCACGCTCTACCGATTGAGCTAACCGGGCCTCGATGTGCGGGTTCCAGGGGACCCGACCTGAGGCGATGAAAATATGTTGAGTTTTTGCGTACTATAACTGTAAAATGTGGTGGTGCGGGGCTAAACTCCGGTTGTCGGACTAAGCAAACTGCACTATAGAAGAGCCGGGGTTAACCGGGCTTAGATCACCGATCAGAGTTGCGAAATTGGTCGTGTAACGTTGGCTTGTATCGTGATACCTGAGATATATTAGAAAGAAGAGAGAGGTAAGATACTATTGAAGCCACTCAACTAAAAGCAGCCAGATCGTACAACGGAACGTTCCTATGTGATAATCAGTCTTGACAAAGAGACGAAGGACTTGATTATTAAGGCCGAAATTCGATCGGGGTTCCTAAGGTCGCCGAACGTAAGAGAAACGGAAGTAACCGAAGATTCATTCCGCTATGAATTGCTTCAAAGATAAAGAAAGCTATGTCTCAGGTTGAAAAGGTCCACCATCTGAGCAAGATAGAGTTGAGCATAAGAGTTGGGGGTCAGAGCCACGAAAGGGGACGTCGAAATCAGATACAAGTTTGGCAGTGACTTGAAGTTGCATGATATGTTTTCGCTAAAGTGAGGAACTTGCCTCCTCCTAATCTAGGAGGTACAATATCTAAGGGGTATCTAATCTAGATCACCGGCGCCTAAGCTGTATGACGTAAGTGTGCATAATAATTGAGGGCATACAGGTACTTACATGTACTCTTAGGATGGGTCCCCTTTGCGCTGATTTCTCTCTTTCTCTTCTCAATTCAATCGTGATGCTGATGCAACATGCAACGTTTGTCTCAACGATATATATGTTGAGATCAGTCTGGATGCTCGTAAACGACCAGGTCTAGATTTCGAAGGTGAAGAAAGGCACTTTCAGCCCAACAGAATGATTGTTTCTATCTCCCATCCTTTATTATCTACCACGGTACATTCACTGAGCGGAATATTTCCGCCGTGTATTCACTACGTTCTCAGAATGAAGAGTGTTAGGTCTTGAGCGACGGAACACTTCCAGTGTGGAATACTTCTAGGAAGAAGTGAATAAAGGTAATGATAATAACTAATGTATTAGGGATCTAATACACGAATCTAGCAATACGAGATATAATGATACTCGCGATCAATGCATATCATCCCACAACCTCGAATTTAGAGCGTTTTGTCACTAGAGGAGCCACCATCCATCATCAACCGCCCGTATATCACACCTCTACGAAGGTACAACCTCCTTCCCCACCTCCCTCAAAGCCTTCACGAGCCCCTCCACTGTCGACCTGAGGGTCTGGCAGTTCACTACCACTCTGAAGAAACTCCCCTTCTCACCCGGCGCATAATCCACCATGAAACCTCTCTGCACCAATTTGCCTACCGTCTCCTTCGTCCTACGTGTGTTCTCCTCCTTATCATCTGGCAGCACACCACCAGGCGCATAGTAAAAGCACACCTGCAGACACGGCGGCGGATTACTCGAAAGCAACACGAAATCGCCTGCTTCCTGGATAAGCGTAGCTAAGTACGCGGCCGTCGCAAACGCATGGTCGACACGTTGCTCAAAACCCTTGGAACCGTAGTATATCCACGCCAGCGCGAGATTTAGCGACTCGCCGCGGCGTCCGCATTGTAGTGTTAGGTCAGCTAGGTCCCATATTTCATCCTCGCCACCTTTTTCGTGGAACAGGTACCCAGCTCGCAGGGTGTTGGCGCGTTGGAACACGTTGACGTCTGATGTGAGGAGGAATGAGCAGGGGACGGGCACGTTGAGCATTTTGTGCGGATTAACAGTGAGCGAGTTGGCTTGTCCCGCGCCCTGGAGCTTGTGTCGGCGCGTTGAGGAGAAGATGGCGGGGCCACCCCAGGACCCGTCGATGTGTAGCCATAACCCGAATTCGTCGCGGATGGCTGCGATAGCGGCGAACGGGTCGTAAGATCCCCATACTGTCGTGCCAGCTGTAGCGTTGATATACAGCGGCGTCCTACCATCTTCCTTGGCGCGCAAGATGGCAGCGCGCAGAGCGGATGGAATTATCTGGCCGGCAGCATCGACGGACACTTTGACTACACTATCGGATCCGATACCACATACCGCAGCCGCCTTCTCTACAGAGTAGTGACCATGCTCGCTAGTGAAAAGGGCAAAGCGAAATGGTGCGTTGCCAGCGGTCTTTGTCTCGGGAAAGAGAGTGTTGCGCGCGATGACGAGAGAGGTTAAGTTCGAGGCGCTGCCACCGGGACAAGTGACACCACCGGCCCTAGGTCCAGTAAAGCCGAATAGGTTAGCAAGCTTGCGAGCCGTTGTCTTCTCGATGATGGTAAGTGCTGGTGATGTTTTGAAGACGTGTACCTATGTTTGGTTAGAACGCTACTGGGAGGGAGCGGTTAATAGGGGTATGGGGGTAAGGGTAGACTTGCGTTGGTGTTTAGTACTGTGAGAACGAGATCGGATATTACGCCAACCTATATAATAGTGTCAACGCCTCTATTTCTGGTAGGTTTTATGGTAACATCATGGCTCACTGGGTTGATGCTTGAGTATAACTTGTCCATAAACCCCTGATCCCATGTATTCACGCTGTAACGTAGGATAGTTTGAATAATATCTAGTAATCCCTCCTTCCCTACCCCATCATCGGGCATTGATATTCCCAGCTTTTTCACTAGGTCCTCTGGTTTATGAGAGTTGACTAAGACATTTCGACCTGGTGTACCTTGAGTGTCGGTGGCTATATATCCATTGGCTCGAGATGAAGCGGCATTATCTGCGTCTCGGATTAATGGTAGGATGAGAGATTTCACTGCGTTAAGCAGCTAGCATCGTGTTAGTCGTTTGGAATGGTATATGTGTGTTTTCTAGTCAGGTTTTCATTCCGAATTCGGGATATATGACTTACATCCTCAACTTCATCTGCTCTATTTAACTTAGGTTCTTCGGGTTTTATGACCCCGTTAGTTGCGGTGTGAGATGACATTTTGAATGACTATTTTGAAGCAAAACTCATAGATTAAAAAATTATGTAGTGGGAGAGAATCAGCCAAAGTTTATTTGCTTAGACGATGCGCTTATACATGTATCATTCGTTTTCTATAGGGAAGTGACTACTGAAAGTATTCGGGCTTCCTTTTCCGTGAAGAAGCAGCTACTAGCTTAATTGCCGAGACCCCACAAGATCGACTTTTTCTGGATTATTATTTGATGAACGGCAATGGCGTGCTTTTAAACATCTAAGGCAATGACGAACTAGGAATACTTTAAAGGTCGATGCGAATATTGTACGTAGTTGTTCCTATAATAGTAATATATCTAAGGTAGTATCGTTGGTAGTTTGCTATCTCGAGGTGGACTTATCATCTGTAAATCAAACTAAGTAATTAAGTGGCAAGTAAAACATAATATCGTCATCGCTCTTGTTAAACATTTAAATGTTTGCAACTTGCCTTATCCTTTGAAATGAGTCAATATTTGGGTGTAAAGGTCATTCTTGTGAAGTGCCTTTTGGCGGCTTCGTGAAGTCATAAATCACTGGGATCAACCAAAGTTCACGCCGTTAATAAACATATTTTATGCCTGAGAGGAAAAAGGTATCATTTAGTCCGTCCAGCCATTGCATCGTATTCTCATGGTATTCTTTTCAGTCAACTCTTTTCTTAGCTTCACCCGCCTCTCCTCCATTTTGTCCGAGTGTCTTTCCGTTACTGACACCTATATCGGCTTCCTCTTCATCCTCGTCCCATGCGTCCACCGCATTCTCGTCCCAATTATCGACCTCATCTTCTAATGTGGCGCTTCGCTCGTTCCCAGCGGCTGACATGACACCCTCCTCTTGTAGCCCGACGCTCTCACCCAGCTCAAGGTCTTCGACATCTTCGCCCGGGACGGCGTTGTATTGTCTTCGCTGTCGCTTCCTTTCTAGCATTCGTAGGTGGTACCAGGAGCATAACCCTAATGCTATTAAGCTGCCCGCAACGTTGGCCACGATGTCGTATGGATCAAACTCTCGCCCGTTAGGCAGGAATCCTTGGAGGAACTCGGAACCGACACCCAGACATATTGTGCAGACAACGATAGTTAGGTTAAGGGTACGACGGCGGTTGGTATCGATGATCCAGTAGAAGGCGAGGGTTAGGAGGAAGAATGTGAAGAAGTGTAGGACTTTGTCGTTAACGATAGTGTCGAGTTGTAGGGACGACAGGCCCGCATAGCCTGCTAGCAGGCATAGCAGGAGAAAGATACCTGGAGATGCACTTATTAGCTTGAACCTTTCTTTAAATCTAAGATCGAATATGGATAAAAGCTCAAGGTATTTTAAGGATCGTCGCAGGTAGCACTGGGGGAGCTCCTAGGCTACTAAGCGGAGCCATGAATGTTACAACACAAAGAGGAAGCGTCGGAACATACCTGCGAAAGGTAGTCGGATGCGCATATTCAAGTTGGTAAGTACTTAAAATATGATGGGATGCATGGACATGATTTTGAAGACGGCGGTCATTTACTTCTTAGGTTATCTTCGGAGTTGGACTTTTTTTTTTGGCAACGGCGGAGGAAGAAATATTGTTACGGAGACGAAAAAGATGGCCGGGGTGAGCTTCGCATTTGCTGCCTTTTCGCTTTTCGGCGATGAGAATGGGAAGCAATGACCTTAGCTGCCTATGCTCTAGCCTTAAGCCTTAACCAAAGCTGGGCTTGTCTTGTCCCCACCTCTTTCTTTCGTCACACCCCAACATTGAACCAGGGCTGACTAAAATAAGATTACATAAGCCTTTTTTTTTTTTTCGTTGTTCCCTAAAGTCCGGGCCACCTTAGCCATTTATGCACTTTTATCTGCAGCTGGCCGTCGCCTGGGGTTAGACCCCACTTCTTTAGCCACGGTTATCAGATCCCTGCCCTGAGATTCTTCTCTCCACAGTTTTCAGTTTTGGAGTAGAACGAAAACGAGTATGTGTAGATGCGTACGTGTAAATTCTGTCGCATAGGTGTAATTATCATATTTCTGATATTGTTTTGAGTGGTTAATGATCTCTCGTGACTTTTATTTGTACAACCTCACTGATGAAAATTCTGACAAGATTACGAGCTGACAATGTGGCTAATACGTCATGTACCAATGTACATGGAGGACTGGAGGACAGTCGATTGATATCACGTGATAACTGCCATAAACTTGATCATTCGATTGGCATTGGCCGCTTGCGGAGGCTCTGCTTTTTATTATGTACTTGTATTCGCATTTAATAAGATACAAAACGTTATAGAATTCACTATAGGGATGCACTCTTAAAAAAAGTCTATAAAGAGAGGGAAAATTGATAAATTGAATAAAGTGATAATAAAGAAATGATTTATCAAAAATAGAAGTCTCAATTAGTTGTTACAACTTTTTTATGTCGCGATTGAATACAAAGAGTTGGTATTTTTGGATGGGTACGTGTATGTAGAGTGTACTTGAATATATACAACACTGGGGACAGCTGGATGGTTGAACAGATGAAATGATTGACTGAAGTACGAACTGGGAAATCCAATGCGGATAATGAATGTACTAATTGGGGGACATTAACTTTACACTATAGTGGGTTTTAGCAGTAGGTTAATCTCTATTTGTCACTATTTGTCAACCATAGGTGGTTGAATTGGAAAGTGAGGAAAGTACATTGCAACATAAACCAAGGTACAGTGAGTGGTACATGGTACATAAGGGTGAATCAAGCAAAAGTTGGTTAGACCAAGAGGTAAAGTTTACAGTGTGGCCTAGCGTCCAGATTTGGATTGGGAGGTACCAAAGCGCCCTGGGATCCGCTCAAAACCTCACTTCGCTAGAACCTCACCCTTTGATCATACGCGAAATACCCTTGGACACGACCCATCGACACAACACCATTCTTATCAATTTTCCCCTCAAATCCGCTTTGCTCATCTATTTCGATGTCGCTCTTTTTATTCCTATCAATTTAGGGGCTTCGGACGCCCTAATTCCCGATCAGACGCGACTGTCATTTCTTCCCGTATGGCTACCGCCACCCGCCTAGTACTCTAACACGCCTGCGAGGCCATCGTGTCCATCATGAACGGCCCAAACCCTTGGCCGCCCTCTCAACAGCACCATGTTGTTGGGAAACGTCCCTTTCGTAATCAAGATGATGCTTTTTCGCGGTCTACCGATGTTGTGGATAATTCCGCCGCGTCGGTGCCTGAGGCATCTGATATCGACGAAGACCGCCTACGAGCTCACTTTGACGAATTGTATCGCCAAAATGAAATTAGAATTGCGCAAATGTTCGCCCCCGATGGCTCTATCAACCAAGCTGTTTTAGAATCATGGAGGCGACCTCCCTCCCGTTCCGATGCCCTCCCCCCGACCACCGATCACGCCGCCATACAAGAGCGCCCCTTAAAAAGAGCAAAAAGAGTTATCGACGAGGACGACTACGGCGATGAAGATGACGATGACGACGAAGAAGAGGAAGACGAAAGACCCACCAACGCCGCTAATATATCATCCCTAAAATCCAAAGCCGCTTCTACCTCTGCCGCGAAAGGTCTCCCCTCCCCCTCTAAGTCAGGAAGCTCCCCTATAGCGTTCGCCGCGTCGCCCGACAAACTATACGAAAAATCAAAAGAATATGGGTCGCAAGGATCGCAAATATCACAAGCGCAAGCTAATAATTCCGAAGACGCGCGCAAACAGTTGGAAGAGGCGCGTAAAGATACCGAAGATGTCGTCAAGCGTAGTTTTCATACTATATTTTATACACTCGAAAATGATCGAGCTGCCATGTTGGAACAGCAACAGCTTGAGGAATCTGAAAAACAACTTCAAGCTGAAATGGATAAAAATAACAATGGCAATGCGAGTGGAGGCGCGTCTGGCGAAAACCATGGATCGCTTAGTAGCGCAAATCTCGGCGCGTCCAGTCTTACACTTAAGCACCTCATTGCGCGCATAGATATGAAGCGCGACATGGTGCGCGCATCCGATGCCGAGTTGCGCTCTCTTATGAACGAAGTCCGCAAGAATAGAAGCAAGTGGGCCAGCGAAGAGAATGTCAACCAAGAAGAACTCTACGAAGCTTTGGAGAAAGTCTTGACAGAACTCAAAGCTCATACAGAATACTCAACTCCTTTTCTTCAGAGGGTGAACAAGAAGGATGCTCCTGGTTATCATGATTGTAAGTTTTGCGCAACCGATTAGCCTCTATTACGTCAACTGACACTACCGTGAAGTTATCAAACAACCTATGGATCTTGGATCAATGACCAAGAAGCTTAAGTCGCTTACTTACAAATCCAAGGCCGACTTTGTCACCGATCTTAATTTGATATGGGACAACTGTTTACGATATAACCAGGAAATGACTCACCCACTTCGGCGCATGGCCAATGGAATGCGAAAAGAGGCCGAGAAGCTTATCCCGTTAATCCCGGACCTTGTCATCCGTCCCCGTGCTGAAGTTGAAGCCGAAGAGCGGCGTAAACAAAACGGCGGCGATGATGATGGTGGCGACGATTCGGACGACGAGCCGATAATGTCGTCTCGTGGCCGAATCGCCGGCGGAGTCAAAGGGACTAAGTCGAGGAAAACGCATTCTGACCAAAAGGAGGGGACACCAAACGTAGAACAGAAACCTATGCTGCAACTAAATGGCCTACTTGCTAAAACTCGTGAGGGTTCCGAGCTTGATGGGAGTAATGGATTCGCAACACCTGGTATTGGGGGTTCCATGACGCCCAGTGGGTTGAATGGGCATTCGGGCATGGGTAGTAATGTCGATGCGATGGATATTGACGGTCCTGAGCTAAATGGTATGGCACTGGGACAGGCGCTGGACGAGGCTGCTCAACAGGCTTTCGAAACCGAGGAATATAAAATCTGGAAGCAAGTGACCAAAAAGGACCGTGCTTTGATCACAAAGAGCCGCCACCAACTTTTTGCCAATGGGAAGCTGAATGTCGAAGAACCTGCATTGCTTCGGACTAGGGCCGGTATGCGCCGGTATTTGCGCAACCGGCAACAGGCAGAAGCTATTGCTGGTTTTGCTCAGGATTTAGCGGATGCCCCGGGCAAAGATCCGAAGGCGACCGAGACTCTTGCTGAAGGCATGGAGGAAGATGAGGAAAAAGTTATCCCAGACTACTATGAGCCTCAAACCATTATTCCTGATATCCCGCCAAATCTCCGATGGATCGAAGACAGCGAAGGCCAAGTTATCAACCAGCATGAGGAATTCCTTCACACTCTGCCGCCTGGGGTTTTTACCGCCCCGAAAAGTAGTCTCGCGCAGAAGTTCGACGCAAATCTTCGACAGATGCAGGATACAAGAAAGATCTGCTCCAAAATCGGCGTAATAAAGCAGATGCAGCTCCAAACTCAGGTATGATTCTCGTGCATTGCACATAAGAAATTTTGACTAACATCTCGTAGGTATATGCGAACCAATTCCCGAAGTACAATCCCGAGCCGTTCCATGAAGCCGACGTTGAACCGCATGTTGTATCTGGTGACAATATTGTCATGGCACCACAGGTTTGCAGGGCTGCCTTGCAACGCTCTGTCGGGAAAATATTTTATCACGCCGGTTTTGAAGAGCTACAACCATCTGCATTGGACACGGTTACTGACATCGCTGCCGATTATTTCATGAAGCTGGTTACCACCTTCAAGAATTACACCGAAATCGAGATGAAAGATCCTTCCCCGGAAAATATCCAACGCGGTTTGACTGCCCAGCCTCGTTATAACGACGAAGAAGCCTTATTGCACACCCTCTGGGAAAACGGCTACTCAATCGAAAATCTCGAGAGCTACGCCAAAGACGAAGTCGAAAGGCTCGGTCATAGACTAGTTGGTATCCACGATCGCATGAAGTCTCACTTGGGTGATCTTTTGCGCCCTGCCGTAACAGAGACAGGCCAGGACGGAGGAACCGCTGCATTCGACGAAGACAGCGAACAGTTTATCGGAGGTGATTTCGCTGAAGACCTTGGTGAAGACTTCTTTGGATTCAAGGAACTTGGTCTCGCTGGAGAAATGGGTGGCATGCTTTCTGTTCCCCTGCATCTTCTCCAATCGAGAGTCAGAAACCAGTACCAAGTCCATAACCCGACACAAGGTCCTTCCGATGTAGTCCTCTTCGAAGATCTCGCTCCTCCCGACCCTGTCACCAAAGAGAACATCCAGGAACAAATCGGTCTTGTCAAGAACTTCTTCCTCGCTAAGCTGCACGCTAATGGCGACTCACCTTTGGTGGAAGATGAAGACCTGCCTGTCAAGCAGCGACGACCACGGCCGAGACTCGGTGCCACTGGTAAAATTGTCTCGCCACAGAAACGGCCTCCCAAAGAGCAAAACGCCATCAATAAAAAGAAAAAGAAGATGGAAGCTCAGGCAGCCGAGGCTAGTAAGGCAACCAACAATAGCCCCGAAAAAGGTGGAGCGAAGAAGGGTAAAGGTGTGTCATTACCAAATGGTACTAGTAGCCAGACAAACGGCAACACTTTACCTGTGGCTCCTCCAATGGAACGTGTTGAGAGCGCCCAGAGTCAAGGCAACAATAGCCAGACAGATAAAGACGACACAGGTATGATGAGTCCAGAAAGCATGGAGCGTTAGACGTCATCCTTTATAAGATGGTTTCGCGGCTGTTGCGAATTATTCTGCCTGTCACCTACGATTTCGCCGACACTGTGTTTCTCAGTGATTTTTACTATCCCTATTCTATACCCTGTTTCGTGGGATATTGGTTTGTTCTATTGTTTTCTTCTCTGTTTTGTTTTTTTCTAGACCCGGAAGGGTGCACAAGGGGAGGTGTGTGGGCGTATCACAGTGCATTGGGGCGTTTTTTTTTTTAGGGGAAGAGGCAATGAATATCCACCCTTTGATGGATGATTGGGGAGAATATTTCCCCATAGTTTTTTCATTGGTTTTCTCTTTCTTTTCCTTTCTTGCTAATGATATTTGGCACGAACTTGCATATAACAGGGATGGATGGATGGAGGGACGACGATGAGGAAGATGGACAAGGAATGGCATATGGATGAGTCACAGACATAGCTCATAGCAGGGGATCGACAGGACGTACATCCTGAGATACGTATGTCCACACCACCTCATATGCCTTGTACATAGCTTCCCCTACCCTTTCAGACATAGCGCACGCGCATACACATACGCTCTATCCCCTTCTCGCCCCCACCTTCATGGATATAGCAGTACGAGCTATCTATATCAGAAAGAGTCGCCTTAAAATTGATTTGAGAATTGCGTTGTGATTTGTTATTAGGACGCGTAAAGAATTCGTAACTGAGCTCCAGTGTTCCAACTTACGGATTAGGCAACCTTTATTTTATTACCTGTCATCTATTGTCCCCCCATCAGGATAACTACCTAGGTACCTAGGTATGCAGTCTTAATTGATATCTGCCATTATCATGTGACTAAATCTCGTAGTATCCCCATGGCCTGATTTGCTATTCTATTAGATCTGAATACCCCACGGCATGACTCAATATGTTGTGTAACTCGGGTACCCGGACAGTAGCCTGCCTGGTATTCAACGGAGGGTTGCCTGGAGATCTTACACAGTGCTGACTATCAACGGGTACGGAACAATGCCAAGTATGCGCCCTCCTAGGTAGCAAGCCACGTTCGAGGGCCACGGGCGCCTGCATCTCAGTAATAAATGTAGATGTGGGAGAACACGAAAATAAAGAATTTTGTCCTTCATGACATACCTCGGTAACTGACTGTGGAAGTGCAATGAGATCATCGCAAACGCCAGGAAAACGGAACGCCACCATCTCCCGCATCAAGATCTCCTGGATTCACGAAAATACCAACACGGCATACTCCAAGTAGATACCAAATCGCCACCCGCAAAATATCTTAGATAGGATAGATGCCTAGGTACCCTTACCAAATCAAGCCTCCACCGCAGCTGGCATAACCACACTTCTATGCATCCCACCCTTCCTCAACGTCCTCACAAACTCCCTAATCCCACTACCCCGTCCCCAACCCCGTCCCCGCGCAAACGCATCCTCAATCTCCCCCAGACTCAACCCCCGCGTCTCGGGCATCCAAACCCAACACGCGACCGCAGTAATCAACGCACACCCACCGAACAAAAAGTACGCGCCATAACTAGACCGCGCTAACAATGTAGGAGTAACAAGCGCGACTAGGAAATTGCTGAGCCAATTCCCACCGTGTGCTAGACTTGTCGCTGCGGCGCGCGTGCGTTGGGGTTGGATCTCCGCGGCGTAGATTTTTATACCGACGGCCCAGGATACGCAGTAGATTACGGCGAATAGGTATATGCAGACTATGACGACCCAGCGGGCCGCGCCGGCGCTGGGGTGCACGGTGTGCGAGGCGTAGAGGGTGCCCATTAGGAACATGGTTAGGGACATCGCTAGACCGCCTAGGATTGTGTTGGTGCGACGCGACCACCGGTCTGCGAGGAGGGTGGCGGGGATTGTGACGGCGAAGATTACTAGGGCGGATACCCCGGAGGCGAGGAATGTGGAGGAGGCACTTGAGAGGCCGGCTTGTTGGAATAGGAGGGGGGCGTACTGGGACGTTCGTTAGGTGATGCAGCTGAAGGGGAAAGGGATATGCTTACGTAGAGAACGCCGTCGATACCGCTTAATTGCTGCATGGTCATGAGGAATACGGCGAGGAAGAGACGAGGTCGAGCATCTGATGAGAATACATCGAGAATTTTGGCCTTCTTCGACTTGGGAGTCGCGACGGTGGTGGAAGTAACATGGCCGGCACTGGTATCACCACTGGCGTCTGGGATAGCGGCTTCTACGACGGTGGTGTCATATTGATCAAGTATTTTCTCGCGGTCGGCTGCCGGAACACCGAGTTTCTCCCATGCAGCAGAGGCTTCACTGGTTTTGCCGTGAAGAGTGAGCCATCGCGGAGACGCAGGAAGCCATATGAGTGCGGCGGTGGAGAATACGAGTGAGTATCCTGCTAGCAGGATGAAAGGTAGACGCCACGAGAACGATGATCCAATGTCGGCGGTGCCATAACAGGTGAAAAAACCAGTCACTAGGCCAAGAGTGATGAGCAATTGGGGGCCAGTAGTAAGAGCACCGCGGTTTCTTGGTGGTGAGATTTCGCAGATATACCTAAATCAATGAGATTTGGCTCCCATGTCTCATTTCGTGAGGGTTATTTACTTACACCACTAACATGCTAAGATAAAGACCCTCGCCAATCCCCTCGATGATGCGACCGACGATGAACATAGCAATATGCATAGAAGCACCTTCTAGTGCAGCACCGACGCCGAAGATGAAAGAGCCGATAGCAATTCCGCGAGGGCGGCCAAGTGCATCCGCAACTCTGCCGGCGAAGAAAGATGAGATAGCCGCAGGGATGAGGATGGAAGAGACGATTAGACCGTGGATCGTGGGTGATGGGTTACCAACATATTTTGTGAAGTCTTCCATTACTGTTACGGGACCTATGATGCCGGTATCGACGCCGAATAGGAAGCCTCCTAAGGAGCAGAGGATACTGGCGAGAACATAGCCCGGAGGCTTTTGGGAGAGATCCGGAAGTTGCATGCTCGCCGTCTTAGGTGTGTTCCCAGAATATAAGTGAGTGCTTGTGGTCCCAGATGCAATGGCTAAGATGCTATCCAAGCTCAACTATATGACCAAATATTTAGGTATGTCCAAAGTAAAGGAGGATAGGAGTTCACAAACCCCGGAGTTGTGCTAAAATACGGTCAGCATACCTACAGCGGAGTCACGATGCAAGGCACGGACCAGACTGGTCCATCAGAGTTCTATAAGGCACATGAAATGCAAGCATGCCGTGATTAAAGTTAGCTTGCATTAGTTCTGCTATTCGTAAGCTTCTATCACTGTTCCATTGTTCGTCGAATATTTGTCGAATCATGGCTCCGTACGTCGACCGGGGATCGGTGTTGAAGGTGTGCTCGCGATTAAAAGGCGCAGTGGGGTCCGGGGTGATATCAATGGGGACGGAGACGAACCGGAGCACCGCGATGATGATTAAGTGGTATAATATACCTAGGTATATTTTATATCCTGGAGATATCAGGTCCTATCTGTAGGATGCAATACTCGGCTTACCCGAATTGGGTATCCATGATGCGTACCCCCATTGCTACTATGGAATCCTTTGATGTTCGTGCGTTTTAGAACATCCCGAATTCTAGAAAAGGACTGGCATCAACATCATTTGGTCGATGAAAATTATCATTATTAGTAACCTGACCTCAAGACGCCGAACGCTTCCAGAGCCTGAACGCGGAGTACGCGGTAATCCCAACAACAGAGAAGATACCAGTCCAAACCTGCAAAACTTTCAATAGAATCTTCGTCGCATATTCATCCGCTGCTTGAGCATCGTTTGCCCTGGGAAACGGTTCATCTGGAATTGGCACACCTAAGAATTTACACAAGGGTTCCCAGCCTTCGCTCAGGTCCATCTCCAAAAGCTGCCCCTTGGGAACGAGAGCTCTCACTCTGTCATTATGGGCTGTTAGGATATCTGCGAGCATCTGTTAGCAGTTGAGTAAAGTGAGGAAAGGGGTAGACATACGAGGGCCGCCCTTATTTATCAATTCAGTTGGGCTCGTGTTTTGCGCATCCAACCCAGCGAGCCGCAAAGTCGAGCGACTGTATACACTTGCAAACGTCGGAATAAATCTCCACCCAGGGATAGGCGCGACCACAGCACCAAGCCACCATGGTGTGGTTCTACTCGTCAAAGTCGCAATACTGTTCCACCACTTCTGGGGGTCCCTACGAACGAGGACGACTTTCGCATCGGGATATAGCTCCATCATCTCGGGCATAAAATCGGACGGTGGTAGATCTGCAGTCGCTGCGAAACCTGATGTTGCTTTTCGGATGAGCTTCAATGTCTCTTTCTTATCTCCGGCCTCTCTGGCTTCGTACGCCTTAATCCATGTCGAGCAGTAGTCTAGAAGGTGTTAGTTCGCCCTTACCCGTTGTTCTCATCGAGCTCACCATCATCGCGCAGCAAGATTTGTGTACCGCCATGGAGTACTGGACCGTCAACCAACTTTGCCAAGGCCAAGGACATAGACACCGTCCCCGTTCGCGAATACCCCGCTGATATGACCTGAACCTTTTTCGAAGGGTCCGTGGGTATAGATGCGACGCCCCCCATGATGGCGACTGTGAGACGGTTTACATTGATTTAGAGATTGAGAAGATACCCAGCGGTTTGTTTAATAAACGACTACTAAAATACCGAGGAGATACGCCGTAATGTTGGTTTCTGCCGTTTCCAATGTATGTACTAACCAACTGTGCCGCAAAATATGAGGGCTTGAACGAATTATCATGCTAAGAAATCCTGGTCTTATCCACTTCCCATATGAGCGTTAGGTTCGTCGTGCGCCCAGTGTGGTTTTTCATCTTCATTCTGTGCTGAGATTGATTTCTCTCCTAGAATCTTGGAGATGCGATGCAGGGACTAATGATATAATTCATAAAACTTAGCCGATTTTTATTAGAAAAAGAAGTTATTATGTTCTGAGAATGGAATCCATAATCGAGCGATGTCTTGGTACGCCTCCTTTAGATTGTCGCGAGTGCTATTAATAAAGCAATCCCAGCGTTGTGTTGGTTATCGCGTGTCTGCATGTCTGTATTGAGCGCGGCTCTATTCTCTCGTTTTTTCCGCAGGTAAGCGAGAATGTCAATTAATTTGTACCTACCTATAAGTCATGCCGGACTTTGTGGTTGTCATCTAGATAGTCATGATGTAGGTGGCGTGGGTTTGCAAACTATGGTACAGTATTCTATCTTTTCGTATGTCGCCTAGCACACAATGATTCCGGCCGAATTGTGGACAAATATCATAATAAGAATCGGCAATGGGGCAATTCCATATCGTCTTTCATTCGGTTTCGGATCTAATAGGCCTCAAAATGGCATTTCTGGAAATAAAAGAGTGTGGGATTATGTATAGCTAGCGCTTCGCCCATCATCTTTAGTCCCCGGCAGCGGAGACGTTAATGCTCCGAGAAAGAGGCTGTAGCGCAAAGCGACCCCCCATATTGGCCTGTCTGAGAAAACCGGGAGACATCCTTCGAAATGCGCATTCGGTAAATGTAGTAAAATGCAGCCTAGCAGCCTAGTACGACGGCCCGCGACTGGGAGACGAGGAATTAGTTCCGAAGCAAGTCAACCTAGTTGTCTCAAAATTTTGACAGTTCTTTATTCGTCTATTCCCAGCGGTGAACCAGGGTTGTAGTCCCTCGTTGAGTGGTCAATTACGGGCTATATGCCGAGCTAGGTAGTGACTAGCGAAGGAACAGCAGGTGTATTTGTAAGAGACGCTAAGTAAGGGCACAAGCTGAAATGATTGATGACTGACACTGAAGCGAGTCCGAAAAACGTGCCAAGGACCCTGGTAAGTCTGGTTAATCGATCCTACGTGATTGGCCAAGGCGGCGTTGTGGATGGAGTTAAGAGACAGCGCAGAAAGCGTGGCATTCAACAATTTTTGAATGCGCCCAAATAGGGCAGTGCCTCGGCACGGTCGTTGTAGTTATATCGTACGTTAGATATTTATATCCTATCTGGGTATCTTGAAATTATGTTTTTCATATCTTATATAATTGGGGATCTCGCGACGTCGTTATGATATTTTGAATCTTGAATCTTGGTGTTGATAGAAAAGAAGTATGCGATAAAAAATTTACAGAAAAATAATCGCGATAAAAATCTTCGTTAAAGCCCCGCCCCTTTTATTTTTTTGGAGAATTTCTTTTTTGGAGATGGCAATGTCGACTTTCAACCCCTTAAGGAGTCTCTACCGTGCGGTAGGCTTCTCTAAGGGGTATAATTTTTGGTTATGGTTCGTGTTCGGCGGCTTCTTTCTCGGCTTTGTCGTGGCCCGTTTGAAATATCTTGACATTTATGGCGTCTTCTGCGCGAGCTCAAAAGGTGGAAAAGATGCCGCCCCACCCGGCGAATGTTTCTATTATCTACAGCCTGGACGGTACCAATCGGGGATCATATCGCATCTGTACCTCATCTTACCGGCAAGTTTGCTTGCTTTTGCGCAGTTTATCCCGATAATACGTCGGAAGGCAATGTGGTTTCATCGAATTAATGGTTGGATCGCGTCCGTGTTGGCACTCATTGGAACTGTCCCTGCAGTGGTGATCGCTAGAAAAGCGATGGGTGGCGGACTGGATACTCAATCCATGGTTTTCCTTCAGGGTGTTATGTTCAGCACGGCTTTGGTCATTGGGTGCTTCCACGCCTATCGACGCAACATCGCGCAGCATCGCGCTTGGATGATTCGTGCCTGGGTCTATGTAAGTTTCATCAGGTCATTTCCTCCACCTCCGGCTTGCATGAGGTGGCGTATGTTCGATAATGAACTTCCCATTAATATGAAATATCGTTTAGGGAGGCGCCATCGTCACCATGAGAGTCATGATGTTCTTCTATGTCGTAGCCTTGTCCTTCGCAGGGGGCTATTACTACCCCGAGCCATGTGAAAAAGTCGACTGGCTACTGAAAGGAAAGAATGCGACATTAGCAGCATTCCCTGAATGTGCATCCTTTTACTCTGGAGAGGACCTCAACCGGCATGTTGCGGTGTATGCAAGCGTTTTCGCCGGCAACATAGTCAGCAGAGCAGCCATCCTCAACCTGGTCTTTGGTCCATCAGGATGGACAGGGATATTTCTGAATCTTTTTGGTGTCGAAACTTATGTGAGTCCGAACTGCTAGATACTTATGCCCGGATATGTCAGTTTGGATGATGGCTAACAAACGCTATCCAACAGCTATACCTGGAATCAGGGGGCCGTAACACGAAGAAATCGGCTGTTGTTAAATCTAGAGAAAACGGCGACGCGATTAAGGCGGACTAAAATTAGCATCATGAATAAGATAATGAAAATAACGAGGTAAGGTCAGATCTTGGCATCTTAAGGACTTGATGGGTAGGAATATGTTGTGGAACTGGCAATATGCCTAATAGCCACCTAGGTAACGGCATGATATTGGTTTAATATGCAGCTTATGTATGGGAGGATTTCATCATAGGCGGCCTATGTATATATGTCATACGATTCATTTCGCATGCTCGTTTTCGTCCACGTAATGGTCAAATTTTCTGTATTTCGGTAGCTAAAATTAGGTATCTGGTACATAACTTGACTTTGAATATTCTTTGAACTATGTCCCAGAAGATTGATCGATAGGGAAAGTTGATTTTGTCGAAGCTGTTATTGCAGCCTTGCTTTCGTCCTTACCGACACTTCGGTTTTCCTCATCTTGCGTCGCCGCCGATACGGCTTGTTCACCATCCGTCTGGCTCTCGTCAACGAGCACGACCTTATCACCGAAGGCCTGAGCGATCTCCTCGAGTGTCTTACGGCGAGTCTCAGGGAAGTAGAAGTATGCGACGATTAGGAAGACGGTAGTGCAAACGACGAAGACATAGTAGTAGTTCTCGTGGATATTAGCAAAAGCGCTCGGACCGGCCTCCGTTACGGCAACGTTAACAATGAAGTGCCCCGCGGCCGCGAGTCCCATCACCTTACTACGCAACGCAATAGGTAACACCTCTGCACCATACAACCAAGTCGTACTGTTGATCATGGCATAGTATAATGCCACGTATAGATAGATACCGAGGACGGCGAAGCCCTTCCCGATCGTATTGTTGCTGTCCTGGAAGAAGCGCTGCATTACCGCCGAGTATATCATGACCAGGATAAGTCCGGATAGACCGGTCAAAATCATCTTACGACGGCCCCATTGATCTGTTAGGAACTTCGTTGTGATGCAATTCGAAATAAACGCTACAGTGCCGTATACGCCGGCTAGAGCGAGAATAGTCTCTTGTTGGATTCCCAGGGACTTATACAGCGTGGTCTGGTAGTACTGGATAACATTGATACCCGTGAGACTCGTCATTGTCTGCACGACAATAGAGACCATGGCACGACGACCAAATAAGGTAAAGACTTCGCGGTATGTTTGGATCTCACGGGTCATTTCGAACTCGATCTGTGCGCGCATAAGCACGAACTCTTCGTGCACTTCGTGGGACTGGAGATCCCGGCGGACGCGTGCGAACTCGTGACGTGCAGCATCTACCTTGCCGTTGCGTAACAGCTGTCGCGGAGAGTCGGGCATAAATGTGGCAAGTCCCACGAACATGATGACACCCCAGGGGATCTGAATACCGAGCGGGAGACGCCATTGCGTCGCCCCGTAGGGCGCATATGAGCATGCAAAGCCCACCCAATTAGACATCATGGTTCCAAAGGAGATACCACATCCGGATATGCCGCCGATGAGGCCGCGCGAGCTGGGTGGTGAGATCTCGCTGAGATAGATCGGAACCGTCGCAACCATACCGCCCACAGCGATACCTGCAATCGCGCGACCCGCCAAGAACATACCGATGTTGACGGAGGCTGTCTGGATCACTGTGCCGATCGTAACGATGATGCACAGCAGTTGCATAAATCGGATGCGGCCCAGTTTATCTCCTATGAAAGTCTGGGCCAGAGCCCCAACAGCTTCACCAGCGATGTACACAGCTACTACCGCACCAGTAAGTCCATTGGAAGGGTTGTGCATATACTTGATCCAACTATCATGGGCGATAGCTAATAGTATGTAGTCAGCATGCCGTCACGTATAAGTAATTCAATTCTCGCTCTCATTTCTTCTTCTTCCACCAACACTCCTCTCGTTCTGGTCCGTGAAAACTTACTAGTCGTGGCAATGCCCGTATCAAAACCCTATAGTGAAAGATGATTATTAGCATAGAATTCATTCTCTATTATCACCTTTCGCCTCAGCTTCCCGGGAAAGAGAATTGGACGTACGAAAAGGAATGTACCGATGGCAGCGAATAGGGCTACCCCAAGGGAATACCATCCCGCCATGGCGTTTCTTTTCTTTTTCTCGGTTTTTCTTAACTCCGGGACTCGGGGACCGTGGAGGTCTTTTGAAACTAGCGGGTCGAGGAACTATTCGTGATCGGTCAACCTGGGGAAAACAAAGGTTTTATTTCACCGCATTGTCTCGGCTGCAGAACATAGTCACGAAGTCGCAACGGAATTAGAACGAGAAAGGTATGGACTTTCTATAGGTTATGGCCGAAATGACGCGCATAGGCTGAATCTCTACTGCTGCAGAGCTATAAGACAACCGTGCGTCAAGGAAGGGAAGATCACATTACATATTAGGTAGGGTGAGGAACCATGGACGAATTTTCTTCCCCTGTCCTTGGTTACATGCGTACGTACCCGCTTCCCGTCCATACAGAGCAAGAGCCAAGCTCTGGTAGCTTGCAATTACGAATGAGCTCTTCCCGGTCTCGGATAGATTCCCAGTTAGATTTATTACTTTCCGCGGCCCCCTCGGTTACTCCAAGTGCTGCATTCAACGATGATCACCGCCATCTCTTTTCACCGCCGGAGCCTTGTCTTTAGCTATACCGGCAAACACCGGTGTCCAATAAAGGCATTTTTTCCTTTTATTTTTCTTCATATTTGTTTTTTTTCATATCTATTATGAGTTAACCTGACGTGGTCTAGCGCAGCCACCGACAACAATCGACCAGCACCCTACGGCATTTCGTGAACAGGTGCAGCGGTCCCTTCCATCTCATGCCGTGATCCAACCGGTGTACCACGATATTTCTGCCCATTATCTTCGATCGATGCTTGATATGGAATAAATGCCGATTCTGCGTTCAAGCCACCATCTCGCGAGGGCTCTGATGGCATGTTACTATGAGGGGTCTGCGTATAATAGCTCGACCCTAGGTAATGCGAAGAGGGGGAACCGGTCATATTAGGAGCTCCAGTTGCCGGTGGATGATATAACGAATTTGACGATACGAAATCCCCAGAGCCGTCTAGCCTGTTCCGACGCCGTCGAAAAACAAGAGCCGCCGCCGTCGCACCAATACCTATTACAACGAGCCCTACCCCGACCCCAATACCTGCTGACGCACCTGGGGACAACCCACGGCTGGAACTAGTTGATGCGCTAGAGTCCTGAGATGGAGTAGATGTCGCTTTGTTCGTCGGTTCCACAGTGGGGTCCCCAGATTGTGTCGAGGCTGGGGAAATGGAGGTGGGTGAAGTTGCCGAGCCCATACTAAACGTTTTCTAGTTTGATGAAGATCCTAGGTTAGTTCATATCCTGCTATTGAGCGCGAGTCGGGAAGAGACATCGGGTAGCTTCCCAGACAGTTTCGGTTCAGCTTTCGACCGAATTGCCCCAAGAATCGCATTTCTGTCCCAGTGTTCTTGTTTCTTTATCTTCAATTACATCCTCGCAATGAACCTCACATACCTGCTCGGCTTTTGTTGAATTGAACTGGAAGCCCTCACTATTCACTCCATCGCTGGCACCCTCATGGTGAAGATTGAACCAGCACATCACCATACTCGTACCCATCGTGAAATTGAGTTCCACCGGCGCAACCGCATTGATCCCAGCAGGATAATCGAGCCTTTTTTCTGTGTATTCAGTCAGTGCGCGCGCTCGTTTTCAATCTTTGATACTCATGGAAACTCACGCTGGATCTTCCCCTCGGTCGACCTACACCATGTTTTTAGTAGTGGTGCGGAAATATTGCTTTCGTATGCTACTATAACCGTGTCGAGGTAATTGAACGAGAGGCCTTTCGTCGGATACATGATTTTGTTCGAATTTTGGCTACCTCCTTGTCCTCGAGCCCCCACGATAAGAAGCCATGTCACGACAATCGTCGCTAGGCTAAACAAGCGCGACATCTTGCTAAAGTTGCGCACTGCCTAGGACTGTCCCATGAGAAATGAAGGAAAAAAAACGAAAAGGTTGCCATAGCACAAGATCCAAACGCCAGTTGATGGACGACTCGGCATCGCAGGCAACTTTATAAATCATCCTCCCAATGTCCCATCACATAAAATAGTTTATTTATACGAAACCTGCATAAGCGTGCAGTGTCATCAATCCATACCAATTGATAACCTTGCTTCTTGAGGCTATGATAGGCGCCATTCTATATAGGGCTGCACGAGCTGAATACAGCCTAGACAGCACCCATGCTATTCATGTCAGCACTTACCTATATTGTCAAGATTCAAGTTGAAACGCTTGTAGCCTAGATCTTTCTTTGGAATAGCTGATTAATATAGACGAAGATAGGTTAAATACTCTAGGCAGCCCAATTAGAACCCGGTTCCTCTACATCGCTGCCCTATCGCCCTGGGCGCTTATGTATAGGACGGCGGCGCTAGGTAAGGGACAACACACATTTACTCGAGTTCTTGCGCATGCCGAAGAACGATTAACCCCTAATGAGCATCTCATTATGCCAACTACCATCGTATCCAGAACTAAATTATTCCACTAACCCTAGAGATTAGGAAGTTGGGAACACCTCTCCTTGATCCCACTGTCAAAGAGCATTAGCATTTCGCTAATACTACCATTTCTTTCATAATTGAGAATAGAGGACCTGGCTACTTACGTGCTCAATAATACAGCCATCCTCCCAACGATACCGATCCACAATCTCGCCCATCGAGTTTTTATAATTAAGCCACGACATATTCCCCTCGAACTTGGTGCGTAGCACAGTAATGGACTGGCTTCCCCATATTGGAGCGAGAATGTCTAAAGCGTTTTGAGCGCCGTTTTGCGCAGCAGGGTTATGATTGATGTACTCCGGTAGGATGTACTCGAAGGCCTTATAAACGTCTTTCTTAACTAGGAAGAGATCTTCAAATTCGTTAAATCTGTTTTCAGTCTCTTCGTCGGTAGGAGTCGGGGTGATCCGTGTGCAGAACTTCGATGTGCCTTGCCGCGGAATAACGATTGGGGCAGCCGCCGCCAAAAAGGGCGCGGATGCGAGAGCTAACAAAGTAAAGGTGCGCATTTTTATGACGAACGTTTGAACTACGAATTATTATTCCAGTCCGCAAAGTGCATCATTAGGTAGAAGCTATTATTGATTTATATATCAACACCACGCACCCAGATATGACGTAGGCCTCCCGAGGTAGTGACCTGCCTCTTATTTATATTGCTGAGGAGACGGCGAGCCTAGTACCAATGAACAATTACACGAGATGCCTATTAATGAATGGTCGCCCAAGAAACGTTTAAGGGTTAATGTACTTCGATAATTTCCATTGTGATGCTACTATAAGTCGATACTAAATTAACCGGTGCCGGCTATATCCTCATTCGTTACGATCAATACACCCCATGGCTTGGCCAAACACTACCTAAGTACCTACTCAGATGTTTGCCACACTCTGCCTGTCTGAAGCATTTGGGGGCTCTTTAGGTATTGATACTATGCCTCGAGCGCCAACTGCGTGTTGCTGTAAGAATACCCCGTCAAATTCTCTATAGAGCCTTACGAGCTGATCTCTTATATCTACCTTCTGCCCCCCTAGAGTGCGCGCCCATACCTTTAATGTACGGTCACCAAGGACTAAGTTATCAAGAGACTCCTCATCGGCCGCCCACATTACTTTAATACGTCCTGCGGCCTTCTCCTGGGCAAACTCCCGAACTTCTTCTTCAAACCGCATATATACTCTAGCTCGATCATTCCACATCCAGGGGTTACCTAAGTACGGCGGACAAAGCACCTTAAGATGTAGAAGCTCACGAAGTTCTGGGTACGCGTTGAGAATGTAATAGATGGCTGGGGGGGAATCACTGAAATCTACTGAGTTCATCGGAGAGAGACCAAGTAGAATCCTAAGGTCGTCACCGTCATCTTGACCTTCGGCAGGACTATGTCCGTCGAATATATTCCTGATTTTTCTTTCTACTAGTCTGGGAACTCCGAGGATGGGAATAGACACGCCATCTACAATCACATATCTTCGTTCTTTACCCACTTCGTCTAGGTCGTACGGAGGCCATACCTCAGGGAGATCAATATTGACTCGGACATGTATCCATGTTTCATCATCATTAGTAAGATGCACATAGAGAGCGCCGCCATCGTCTCGCGTCGTGGGAATGGAAGAGCTCTGCAATTCTTTTTCTAGCCATATCGACGCAGTCGATGATCGAAACCTACTGTCTTGTTGGACGACGATGTCGATCTCATCCGTCCCTCGTCCTTCTTGGCCATATTCCTCGCGAAGGAGAGAAAGTGCAGCGCTGCCGCAAAAGGCATACTTGACTTCTAATATGTTCAAAGGGTGAGCAAGAAGTGACAAAACGCAAGAGAGTTCGTTTGGACTGAGAGCCATGTTGTAGAATTTCAATGGGGAATGAAAACATACAGATGAAATATTGATATTTCCCCAGGTATCATAAATGGCAGGATTTCTCCGTAATATATGTCCTGCGTAGACTATGAATCTATAGCGGAACAATGCCTTTGTCAAAGAGCCAAGAGAACCAAAACTAGCCTCCTTGGGCACCTAGACAGAAATAAAGAAATGATGTCTTGTACAATAGGATTGTTTGTTAGTAGCCTTTGTAGTTGGTTAATTATAATCGGCTATTATTTACCAATTGAGATCTAGCCACTTGAGCTTCAACCATTATTAGCGCCATACGATCGTGACCAGAACCCTTCTCTTAGAAAGGGGAACGTCGACGAATGTTCGGTTCCAATTAATATGAATATATCTATAATGCTTCTATTCCAGCCCTCGGTTGTAGGAATTGAGAGCGATTTGGAGTTAGATGTGAACATTATTATCGTCAAGCGACTGGACGATAGGGGAAATTGGGGCACTTGTGGGCAGTTTCTTTAGCGTCCTAGGTGGTATTTAATGGCTTACATTAGTGGATAGGGGGCTCCCTGTTAGCTCTCTTCCGCTGGAGGCTGCGACGCCAAGCTGGAAGGATTATTAGCGTACCTAGGTATGTCTTAGAAGGTGGTGACATAATACTCTGCGGAAACGTGTTATTCGATAGAAGCTCAACAAATAGAATAAATGATACAATATGCCTCATTGCCCCTTCCTAAATCTATAGATTTGGAAGTATCGAGATGAGCGAAGTACAATCATCATGTACTGGACCACAGACACGGCTTCTCATAACCTGTCCCTATAGTGGTTCTACAACCGATTCACCTCAGGACAACGACAGCACGGTAAACGCGGGCAAGCACTTCGTTATCCACGTAAAAGAGATTGGAGAAAGTAACCTCAAGAAATGCGACATTTTCCCTACCTCTCACGCATATATCGCAGCTCGTCCGGTCTTCCTCATCCGTGACCCAATCCGAGTATTCGACAGTTGGAAGAACTCGGGACGCACAGATACCCAGGATCTAATCAATTGCTTCACGAATCTATTTCGGAATCTTGATCAAACTCCTAATAATGCGGCGCCGTTTCTTGTCTACGAACAGGTCATTCGTGATCCGCGGAATGAGATCAAACGCCTTTGCGCATGGTGGGGAGTGCCTTTCTCAGAGACAACGATCGGCTCGAAAAAGCAATCCGACTCCTCATTATCCGTCGCAAACCATGACAACCAATCAACAATCATAGAAGCCAGTTCTTTTGAGGTAGAGATACCCTACCATAATCTCTTAACTAATAGCGAGAAGGATGATATTGAAGAACGTGTCGGTAATCTCTATCTCCGTTGCTGGAATGATGATGTTCATCGGCTGCAAGCGATCCTTGCGGAGAAAACTTGGTTCGGTTTTGATCTCGACGATACCTTGCACGAATTCCGTCGCAGCTCTGGGAAAGCTATGAACGAAGTCTTCGAGAGTATTTCTGGACGATACGACATTCCTATTCCTGCGTTGAAGGGTGAATATTCTAAGATTCTCAAGGAAAAAACCGCAGATGCTTTCTCCGATGGCAAGACGTCGCATGATTATCGACGGGAAAGATTCACCTCTCTTATTACTCATTTCTCCGCATCTACAGACAATGAATTTTTGGCTGAGCTATTACAGTTGTACGAAACTACTCTCATGCAGTCGCTCGAATTGAAATCTGGAGCGCTGGGTTTGTTATCGACCATTAAGAAAGCGGGCAAGAAAATTGTTGTTATAACGGAGGGTCCGCAGGATGCTCAAGAGAGGACGATTAAAGGCCTTGGTATTGGTGGATACGTCGACTTCCTAGCTACCACCAATCGGTTTCGCGATACCAAGATCAATGGTCTATTCCCTAAGGTGCTCAACCATCTGGGCATTTCTTCACGCGACATGGTATACATCGGCGATAATGAACAGCGAGACATGAACCCCGCCATGGCCGAGGGCATATTTTCAATTCACCTAGCTGAGGCCGAGCACGTCTCTCTTAATACCTCGCCACCGCGAATCAACACACTAAATAAATTACGACATATCCTCTTGAGTAGTATACCATGATGCACCAGTCAATCGGCCAGGATGCTGCCAGGCATAGTACGTCGCATAGTAAAAGCAGTTAGGTATATAAAAATAAGTACTGATACAAGCCATCCGAGGCATTGAATCAATGCTACCACTACCTATGGTCTTGTACCGCCGAAACTCCAACGAAGAAATAGTAGCCCCAAAGTCAAATGAGGGTTATTGCCTCTTTATCCTTATCCGCAGCGGAGCGCATATGTTGGACCGTCCTCTCCTCGATGCACCACCACGTACCAACACGCCTATAAAACCCTACTTTTTCTTTCTCTCGGCAGGGGCCCACAAATAATCCATCTACGCAACCATGGCTCCCTGAAAGAACAGGCACTGCATACACCTGGTCTGGGAGAATGAGGCTATCTAGGACGTCATCCGTCACGTCAAAGCGTAGGTCCCAGGTACAATGGAACTCGAGGGCAATATGTTCGGTATTGCTAAGCTGATGTGTTCGTAACGAGATGTGGGTGTATTTCCCTTTAGGCCCGTGCAATTTGTAAAGGAAACATCGCAGTGCTAAGCGGGATTCCTTCCTGCCGCTGGTATCGGTGGTCGTGTGCCCGTTATGAACGTCGAGGATGTCTAACATGATGTCGCTTTGAACTCCCCAATTGAGTCCAGGAACTTTCCAATAAATCATTCCGTCCAGGCTAGCCCAACTCCACGAGGGGCCGATATTGTATAAGGTAGAGCCGCCCCTTTCCCTCGCCTGCCAAAGAAGCTGCCAAGGTAACTGCGACCGCCACAAGCCCGCGACGTATTCGTCTTTCAGAACATTTTGGATTCGACATGCAACTCCATATAGAGCAACTAACCTATCGGATTTATTTGTCAAATGGCGACTTGAATAAGTTTTGACGATACTTGGCCAGGTCTGATGGAGATCGTCTTTCAATCTTGCAATTCTGGTTTCGAGGGCGGCCCCGTTGTGGTGTGATGGTGTCTTCTCAAGTTCAAACACAAGTTCCTGCAACTTAGAACTTAGTTTTAACGGACTCTCCATCTTGGGATCTTCGAAATGGGGCAACTCTTGAGTTTCCATTGCAAAAGGAAAAGCTTCACAGGCTGTAAGCTGGGGGCATTCCCATAAAAGCTGCTCTCTCCCACAATGTATTTGTCGTGGCGCTAATATACGTTCCTGCAGTACCCAAGCTCGTGTGTTTAGCGGTGCCTCTTCAACATTCGTATTCCATTTGCTGCCAATGAAGAAAGTATATTTTTTCGGAGATGGGCGTCTCCCCTCAATTCTCATACGTAGTGTAATTTCCATAGGAGCAACTATTATGGGATTGCGGGGGTAGAAGCAGCCCTTAGTTGGTCCCGTCGATGCGGTAGCAGCTATATTACATATCGAATGTTGATATACGTCCGCCATGGTCCTGCTCTCATGTGTCCAGTCGTTGGGCGAGTTTTGAATAATGCATAGCGAATCAATCCAGATGTATTCGCAGTCTAGAAATCGACATAGACGAACGGCGTCCTTGAAAGTCTGAGGAAGCTCCTCATACGTAAAACCATCGCTAAGTCGCTTCTTATAGGAATCTTCTCCCAGTCTTAACATATCATTGATATTGTCTCCCCAGCAGTGGCTGAGTGTCATATAGGGCCCTGTAGGGGTTTTTTCCTGTGTTTCGTGAAGTTGAATATTTACGCGGCGGGGATCGTTATTGAAATCCCCATTGTTAATGCCACCAATGCAAAGAAGTCTCTTCGGATACCAGGCGGCGCGTTGACTAGCTTTGCACTTCTCGTGAGTTCGTATACAATTATCCAGCCATGAGCGGCACAATTCCCAGGCTTGCGAGCATCCCGTCGAGATAGGGGGCGCATAATGCGTGTCACGGTTCACTTAAGCAAATATTAATCACTGAGCATCTATATAATCTATCCTGACTGACCCAGGAGAAAACTGGTGCTAATCGCGTATGAAATTTGATAGAAGGCAACTTACGTGGTGTATTCGGGGGGTTAGAGTCGATTGCGGGGGCTTTCACGATGAACCCGATCGTGAAAACCTTCTCAGAGTTTTTAAAGCCCAAACATAACATTATACTAATTCCAAAGTCCAATAAACGCAGTATCATTCCATTATAGGTCCCCTTCATATTTTGCCGGTCTCGAAGTACGTATTCCAGAATGGCGCACAAATAGCACCCAGATTGCGAAGCGCTTTTTAGACTATCTGTGCTGGGGTGATGTTCGTAGCGAAAAGAATCTAGACGAGAGCCTCGACGTTCCAACCAGGAAAAGAAGCCAATGCAATATTCACATAGCCGAGGTCCAAATCGACTGTTAGGCAGGGTCACGTTGGGATCCATTTCGTATTTAATCTGACGAAGTAGTAGGTATGTTCGAGGAAACCAAAATTACCGGCCTAGGAGCATAAATATATAGGTACCTAGGTAGGTGGGACTGAAGAGGTCAGCCAGGCATCGCTGTGTAATTTTCAAATAAAGTCGCCGTGCTGCATAAGTACGGCAGCGGTTGGACGCGCGGGGATGGCGGCACACCCTGTTGAGATAGAAATGAGCACCGGTTGACGGGGGTCTAAGATCGTTGATATGACAGAGCGAAAAAACATTATTGATTGCTCTTTTATGAATTTGTAGAACCGTTTAGGCCTACATGCCTTCCTCCACACGCCACGTCAGACATCATCCAGGTGGTACCTAATGGTTGGCCGCTAACCCCCCCGAGCACGCCACCCCCACGAGTTTCTTACCGGCAGGCTGTCCGAGCCTGCTTGTGGAATATTTCCAATACCCAGTACATGCTAAGAAATCGGGTATACGGTCGGATTCTTGCGTGCCCACCTAGAATAATCTAAAGCCCACTAGGAGATATGTTACGGTTGTCGCGTATTCATTTTATCGTGAATGCACAGCTATCCCACCATCACAGAAAACCCACGAAGCACACAGCCACCACCAATGCGCCCAGAAGCGCATTACTGGAATGGGAGCTCGAAATGCCTCGCGCCAGACCATCCATAACAGTCCTGCCCTGACACGTATAGTTGCCCTTGATGGATCCGTAGTATCTTACGGAGTTCAAGTACCCGCAGTCATAAAGCGAGTCCGTCGAATTGACGATGAACCTAGAGGTCACGTATACATGACCTTTTTCAGGATAACTACCTGTGGATGTTGATATCGGATAACTCGAGTCGATGTTAGTGGGCTATGTATTGGCGGTAGGTAGGAGAGTGGCGGAGCGAAGATTGAGGCTGTGGTGTTGTTACATATCAACTTACAAGAAATTCGAGTGGAAATTTCCATCTATAAAAACGAACGATGATAGATTACGCACTCCCCAGTCCCAAAAACTTGCGCCTCCTTGGTACGTGATATTGTCCGAGTCAAGTTGTGGGTTACCAGCAATTTCGACGTCCGTCCAGGTCGGCGCGTCCGTACCGGTTGGTGGGAGTGGTATCGTCTGGCCCGGCCGCGGATCCGGTAGCACTATCTTCTCGAGATTCGGGTTATTGGCGATGCGAATTTGATCCGTGATGCGCACGTTGGCAAGGTTGATTTCCGTAAACGAATTGTTATATATATTCACTCGCGCAACGGTCAGATCGGAGAAGTTAGAGAATTTGCTACACCCCGTGACTTCGAGACTGATTTGACTCGAACCGCTCGTCGATGCTGGAGGGTCCGAAGCAGTGGATGAACTCGGCTGGAACGAAACGGTGGATGTCGTGCAGGTATCTGCGACAGCGAGCCCGGCTACTAAATATGTAAGCGATGTGTCCAAGAGGCCTTGGGGGTGTTGGTTTATAGTCGCGGATGGCACCAACCGAGAATGAATGTTAGGAATCCTTCATACGACTTCATCCTTCCGTCATTAATTCCCCGGTGTAACTGAATGATCGAACGTATTCAGATTTGAAGCTTCTGAGTTGGTGATCAGGGCATCGTTCGCACCGCCAGCGGAGGCGAACTACTCAGATACTGTAAGAGACCCTTCAATCATAGAGCAGCAGACGAAGAGTAGAGTAGTAAATTGATATCGAATTAAGGTGCGCATCATAAGATAGAGGTAGGTCGATGTCACGAACACTCTAGGAAACTGGGCTTGTGCCCGTGTAAAAGTGACAATACATTCAAGTGGTCGGGGGCCATTTTTCGGGCCGTACGAATCACACGCCTATCGGTCGCTATTTCTAGGAAATAACTCTCCCTTACTTCTCGAGGCTTCATTCTGTTCGTTCTCTATGGAAGAACAAACTCGATGTTGGTTACAGAAAATCGGTCGGGGTGCAGCTTCATCGTGATTGGCATGCAGTGGATGGGAACAGCTAGGATGTAGGTGTGTATAGATCGACCAGTCATATTTGAGAATACGATAGATGGTCGGGGGTCGGAAAACAAAACAGGTCGTCAGGCAGCCTTATCGAAAGCCCTCGAGAAAATTTTCCCTCCGAAGAGTAACTTGATGACATCGGCGGCGTTTTTCTACTGTTCTCTTTGGCTATTCGGAAGCACAAACATAACTAGTTTCCTCCCTTACGTGCGAACTACGTTGAACATGGAAAATCCATGAAAGTCGGGCGCGTAGGACTTTTACACGAAGCCCTGTTCGGAATAGCTAATTAATACAACTTCGGCATGCCGACTCAAGTCTTATTATTAATAGCCGAGTACCTAGGTATATATGTGCCGTTTGCATACATCAATTTCCACCCCTACCCCTGAATTAATCCGACGAGTTATCCCCTTCATCAAACCCCACCCACCCATTTCAGGTGCCTAGAGAATGATCGCCAAAATGCAATCACCACAACCACATCTATGGACAATACTCCGGAGGGCACGCCAATCCATAACTATACGAAGTGTAAATACCAATAGGACATTCATCATCATCCTGTGTGAACTCGAAGGTAGTATCGTTTGATGAAATCACTGCATCTCTGTTAGTGTTCCGCACTTTTTCGCATGATGCGGGTAATTCCGAACTCACTTCCAGCAACGCACGTCCCAGCAGCAAAAGTGCAGGGGCCGATATCAATTGTGTATGCATTACCTGGCTCCATGTGAATAGGTGGAAACGGCGGGAAAGTACCAGGCGTCGGCTGGTTATTGTACGTGGTCTCGGGTCCAGGACAACTACCGGCCAAATACCCCGTGAAGGTAAATGACCCCGGTCCATCATATGTGAAGTGCGAAGTCTTGAGCTGGTCTTGACGAGGGAAGAGGAACTCGAGCGTGCAATTGGCATCGGAGCGAGACGTCGGTACGTCGAAGTTGAAAACCGACGAAATATCATTGGGCGTGACGATACTCTTGGACTGAGGACCGAAGGCTTTGTCGGGCTCACACTCCGAGATTTGTGTGATGAAGTCCGAGGAGGCGTATTCGCCAGCTTCGAGATAAGCTGGACAGCTGTCTCTCTTGCTGCGCGCCCATTGGTGATCGCCGAGTGGACGCTTTGCAATTAACTCGAACGGAGCAGCTCCGACCGAGCTTAGCAACATAAAAAGGCTCCAGGAGACGAACATCTTGGAGTCTGTACTGGTCGAAAAGAATGACTAGAGGTAGGAGGGTCTAGGTAGACTATCAAAGGGCCTCTGCGAAAAACATGCTGGACAGGAATTACCCATACTATCGCGAGAAATCAATGTTCTTATACGGAATTGGCGTATAGGAGAGATGCACCATATGTACTAGTTCGGCGCCAGCCATTTCCAGTGGAGATGAAAAGATGCTGGTGGGCAGGATATGTGGCGTTGGGTTCATCTCCTCCCAAGGGGTGCTGCATGAATGAAAAAGAAAAATTCCCTATATCTAACGCCACGAGATGCGCGTACTGAATGTACTCCCCGATGGATTGTCGCTGCGGGTCGGTCTGGGCTTGGCTAATCAATATTTCAAAAGCAAACCCAAGGTCCGATCCAGTAAGCTGCACCTAGCCTAATAATGGCTGCGGCTTCACCCACGACGAAGAGCGGAGATCATCATGATCTATAGGCCCGAAGCACGTTCCCGGGAGGGAACATATTAGTAGCCTAATGCAGTGACCCGATAACATTGTTTTCGGAGTTTCAATCCGTCGTACGGATCTGCAATGCGAATATACTCCTATTCCCGCCTTTGCGCCGCGGGGTTACGACAGCGACAATGGTTGACTTGTTAATTTGTGTTGCATTTTCAGTTAAAGAAGCGAGTTACACGCAAACTCGTCGCGTATGACTTGTGCTCTGAAATCCGAGCCAGAGTTGCAAGCGATATATACTACGAGACTTCAAAGACAGCTCTTCACATCCTTTAAATTAGGTCCCTATATTCCTTTCGTAAAGTAACCTTACAACTCTTTTTTACGGTATAACCTCGATTCTAAATTTCATTCTAGATCATCTCTAGTGGCACTGAAGAGTGTCTGTACTCAGTTTAGTTGTGCTAAGCTGAATAGGTACTTCTTAAATGCTTCGTCAAGTTATCCTTTGGGGCATTTTAGCCCTCGTTGCCGCGCTCAAAACGGAGGCAACATACCAGCCAGACTCTGTACCGCAATTGAAGCTTCCATGGGGAACTTGGAATGCTACATACTATGAACTCGATAACCAGGTAAAATGACAAGATCACGCTTATCATGAAGGCCAGCCTTCCCTAACGGTTTAACAGACTTTCCTATTCAAAAATGTCCGTTTTGGGGCAATACCTCGCCGCTTCAGTCAAGCTATTTCTCCAGATTGGCTCAATGATACGGTGCAGGATATCGCCCATGAAATTTCTTGCATCCAAGTCAATACTTCAGGACTAGAAGACCCCCCTGGAGGTAAACCTGTCCTCAGGGACCCAGAGCCTATTGTTCATGGGCAATATGAAGATTGCCTGGGGCGAGTCCGCCGGCACGGGATCTATTCTACATCACCTCATCCGAGAAGATGGCAAAAAAGATCCCTTGTTCAGTACATTCGCGGCTCTAAGTCCCGCTTTTCAATGGTCCTGGGATAACTCCCCCGATAGCGAGCTCGATATGATCTATAAGTCGTTCTCAAACCTTTCCGGATGTGGCTACGAATATAACATTAACTGTCTAGAGGATTCTTCTCTAGAGAAATTGATATTAGCTAATCAAAAGCTATTTTCCCAAGCCAGGACGAAAGGTTTCTTTCCTGTGGGACCGGCGGTGGATGAGGTTTGGATTCAATCTATTCCCGCAGTCAGCTTTTATCACGGTATGAAGACAATAAACCCGGAAATTTGGTCTAATGCTGACATAAATTCAATTCAGACAAGTATTGGAAAGGCATTGAAGCTGCTATAATATCCCACTGCGCGAATGAGCCTTACAGCTTCACTCCGAAAATCACCACACAAGCAGAGTTCGACGAGTATCTACGCAGATTTTTCCCAAGTGAAAATCTGGAAAACGTGAGGACCGCAATCAGGGAACGATACGACTGCGCAGTTGACCTCAACGGCAATTTCCAAAAATGCCTTGCTATAGTCATCCGGGATGCAATGTTCACGTGTAACACAAGAGACCTCTTCCAGGCATACTCAGAAGTATCTTATATGATGCAATATGCGTTTCCAGGCATCGAGTTTGCTGTTCACGCATCAGACTTAATTCCACTATTCCTGAATAGCCAGCAGGAAGTGATTGACCTCCTACATGAGGACATAGGCCCTTTCTACGCCTGGTTTCTGGGCAACGAGACTCCGAGGACATACAAAAATTATTTTACGTCGTTTGCCCTCACTGGAGATCCAAACAAAGGTCTTTCGTCACCAAAGGTAGCGTGGCCAGTTGCAGATGGAAGTGGTGACGAACTCTCAGGTGTCATGAATGTGGGACTTTTGCCGCGTTTTTCGCCTTGTCACAGATGATCAAAATTCAAATAGAACCTGCTGGTTCTGGAAAGATGTTGCGGAGGATATAACTCTTCAACAGATGCATATCCACCATGAGGAGGGCGTCCAACTCACAATGGATTCTGGGGAGCTTTAGTCCTTTTGGACCACAGAAGAACAAACAACATAGCTTTTCTTCCATTACGGATGTTTTTCTGGGTTTTTATCTTAAGTCTCGAATGTGGTGGGATAATGGATGGATTTGCATTCTTTGATGAAAATTAAACCAATAACAGAGCATATCAGGGAGATTGAGGAGGGGGTGTTTTTACTCGGATATTCTATTCTTTAACGGGCTGCGTTCCACCGCTTTGTTTCTAGGGTTCCTAGAGCTATAGCATTGTTATTGTGAATGGCGATGTCACGTCGTCATTTAGAACCTGAGTAGCAACCATTCCGCACCATTTGAGACGGCGAGACAACCCAAAATATAAAAGTGACGATTTCACCTTCTCAATGTGAGAGACGTATCCTAGCTAATTAATTAAGAATATTCAATATGGAAGGCCCTGATAACTAAGTTAAAAAGGAACCAATTCCTATTATCGATCTCCTGGGTACTCCTGCAGACACCTGGAGACTGTGTCTTGGATGCCAAATGGCTGAACACTTCAAACTCCGCCGAATAGACCCATCCCAGCTTCTCGAAAGCATATTCGAAATTGGTTTAACGTTGGTACAACGCTATAATAAACACAAACTGGGACGGCCTATTGAAACCTACGAGGATATGGAACGTTGCTATCCCGGGGAAGTCTGTTGCATGTATACCGATAGTGAAATAGAGGTACAAATCGATGTTTACAATAGCCTCATTCAAAACAAACAATTACCAGCGGATATATTTCTACGTGCTATTAGCGACTCGATTGCTCTGACAAACAGAAAGTTCTACAAGGGAGTCCTTATAGACGGATTCCCGGAACAGGTAGATTCCAAGGAGCTCGCACAGGCCCTCCGTAAGTACGAGGGACTTACTCGTGGAAGCTATCTAGCTATGATTGATGGCCCTAATGAAGCCGACAGAGCACGTCTTGGTGGGCATATGCCATGGGAAGTTGGACAACTTTAGGACTTTGAGAGGAAACTAGCCGACTTTAACGAAAACGTAGCGCCTATGTTTGTAGGATTGAAAAACACTATAAATATCCGCTACGATGACCCTACAAACGTTTGGCAGATGTATGAAGACGTTGTTGATATATTAGGGGAAAAAGATGAGTGGGAGGACTTCCGGGATCTCCTTTACAAGTATTCTGACGATTCCGAGGAAGAGGACAGTGAAGATGACTCACCGTTATACATGAAATGTTACCGTAAAGTAGAGCGCTGCTAACCCGGTGATACCAAGTCGCATAATATAGAACACTATCCCCTTGCATTTGCACCACTCTATTACACCTGCTTTTGCAACGTGGTGTATTGGTTTTTCGTTTCTCATCGAGGACAGGTTTAAATATCCGACCTTGCAATTACGCTAGCAGTATACACGCACTAGGACACGTTAGTCCTCTTCTTCGATTTCTCTTTCTTGCTGCTCCCCTTCTTTGCCTGTAAGGATGATAAGCATGAAAAGTTGTGCTTGTAGGTAGGTAACCCTATGAGACGCTAAAAAGGGGTAGAAACTATATTAGCATCTTATTCAAGCTCTTCTATTTCTCAACACGCATTTGCTGTGGTGTTTTAATATGATGGCATTGATGAATTACAATAGTCGCGTCTCATAACAGCGAAATGGTTTAACAACAATATCGAGGCATCAAGAGGTATAAGAAGGAGGCTTATTTCCGTTGAATAATTCGAGAGAGATATCCTATCATCTTATTCAGATTACCTATTCATTACAATATTATCACTCAGAATTTATCACTTAGACTTCTATCAACATTTCTCCTGTCAAGAATCCATTAGTATCTTCTTACGAAAGTCAAATATCCGACATAATGTCTACCAACCATATTTTCAGCGCGGGTTCACTCTCCATCATCAGCGTCGCGACCAATCTAGGCTTTCACTGGGAGGGAAGTTTCGCAATGGATTTCGCCAATGATCTCCATCTCAGTCGAGTAGATGCCAAACATGTACTTACTTCAATGTACAATGACTGTGCCGTGTTGGTACAACGCTGTGTTGAGCACAAAGTCGGCCAACCCATCAACTCCGAGGACATTGTTCGCTGCTTTGGGGGACGCGAAGACCCGATTGAGGCTGTTATATACAATTGCTTCATTCAAAAGCAGAAGGTACCTGTGGAGGTCTTCCTACGCGCTATGCAGATGGAATTTAACCATATAGCGGAGAATGCCGGCTCTAACGGCATTTACATAGAAGGGTTCCCATATGCAGACGAGGTGGACACTAAAGAACTCGCACAAGCTCTCGCCAGTATGAGTTACCCTCCTGGAAGCTACATGATCATGATTCACTGCGATGAAGACGAAGAATTTGAACACTTCAATGAAAACATAGCACCTTTTTTTGCAGGGCTGGATACCACTATCAACCTTCCTTATGGTCCCGATTATTACGACGTCGGGCGGGCTTACAACGACGCCATCAAGATACTTTCTGAGAAACCGGAGTGGCGCAATGTACTAGAAGGTTATGATTACGGTGACGAATCGAGATTCCGAACAGACCTACAGTAAACCAATGTCGTTCGGTGTACTTACTGAGGTAGTGTAGTAGTGTTCATGAATACCTTACGCTAATATGACTGATAAGGGAAATCGCTGTAACTATCAGGATATATCCTAAGATCAATAGACTGGTAAGGCTAACATATCTGGCAGATATTTGGTAGGTTAGGTAGGCAAGTAGGTTCATTGTCTACCTAGGTATTCAACAAACTACTACGTAGACCGAGACATCCATATTTATAAAAAATACAAAAAAAATTGAAAATATAACAGTTTCCAGATTCTTCAAACGTGACGCTAAGGCTTTTTTTTTTTATTTAATTCGGAGATAATTAGTATAGGTAGCTTTGTCATGAGACCAACCATATTGGGGGTTAATAACTCTGTTGTTGCGCGAAGAGATCGCAGGTATCTACTACGGAACTATTGTATACATGCACCAGTAGCCTCATGAACTCCTTTGTCCTTGTATCGGCGATAAGGGTCCTCCCGATACTTCCCAAGATGTATCACTTCATGACCGAGCGCCCCCCTATTCTCCACATCATGCTCAACACTGGAGGCGACCTCCAAGACCCGTTAGGTACCTAGGTAATTAGCATATATAGGCACTTTTTAAGGGCGGAATTGAATATTTTGTCTGGCACTGAGGATGCCATGGTGGGAAAATGCAATAGGGTATTACCGTTACTAATACCACTTACTTGATAGTAACCGCCTACCGTTACCGAAAAAGGAAGCTATCGTTAGATTAAACCTACTTTTTTACCATAACAACATACAAACATATGTAATTACACTGTTTTTTTACCTATTACTCCATATATTAAGGACTTTAAAAATTTTTAAGTTTTTACTTTAAATTTATTTTATTTTAATCTTTCTCCCTACCTCTCTTCCTACCTACCAATCCTCGCATTAATCTTTCCATTACCTAATTCTCCTATTTAATCACCATCTCTGCGTATCATTGTAGCATTGTAACCTTATAAGCTGTAAGCTGTAGATTGTAGATTGTAGTAGACCGTAACCCTGCAGAGGAGCCCAGGGCTCCTACTATTACTACTTAATACAAAATAATAATAATAATAAATAGAAAGAGTAACGTAAAGCTATTTTAGTAACGGTGGTTGAAATGGGTTACACTACGTTCTTCGCCTTGTAGTTCTTATAGAGCCAACGGTAACAGGCATATAGGGTTTCCCGATACGGTACCTTATAGGGGTGTCGGAATATACGTGTGGTTTAATAAGGTATCTATTCAGTTTCCGTGTCCCCTACTGCGTTTTCTTCTCATTACTATTATTTTATCAAGACATTTAGAGTGAGGAGAGGTTATATTGAAAATGGGGTGTTAGAAGCACCCTTATCTTTATTTTCTTCGTTTTTGCTTCCTTGCTTTGTATATATAGTGAGCGTGCCCAACTACGAAAAGCCGTCGAGGATACTCTTGATTGTTCGTCGCAAAGGGGGCCACTAACAGAGCTGGACGGCGTATTTATATTCTATTCAAGTGCTTCTATTCCTTAACATACATTTATTGTATAATTTTTGAAAACAATCACACTAATAAATTACAATAGCTGTGTCCCGCAACAGCCAAGCTTTCTTTGGAAACAATACCAGACATCGATGGATATAAAAAGGCGATTCTTCCCTCTCGTTCTTTCCGTCATTATATCCCAGCATCTTATCTTATTAAGACTATTCATCATAGCCTCAGCACTACAACTTTATCAATTTTCATTGGCGATTCTTGTGTCAAGAACCATTCATTAGTATCTTTATACCAAGATTAATTACCCAACACGATGTCTCTCGATCTCAATACCCTTCCCATCATTTTCCTCGCGAGTACCTTAGGTCGGAGCGATTTGGAAGATGTCGCCTCAGAGCTCGGCTATCCTTTCAATCTTGAACGGATAAGTGGCGACGGAATAGTTCGCGGTTCGTTCTATACTTTCCAGCGTAAAATGGAACAGTTCGTCGAACACAAAGTTGGAAAACCTATCGACTCCGAGGACATTACTCGTTGCTTCGGAGAGGGCGAAGACCCAGTATCGGCCATTATCTACAATTGCCTCACTAGAAAACAGAGAGTACCCGTGGACGCCTTTTTACGCGCCATGGAAGAGGAAATTAAGCAGACGCACAAGGACTACCCTGACTGTAACAGCATCATCCTAGAAGGATTTCCATCTCCTAAATACGTAGACTCTATAGAGCTTGCAGAAAAACTTATCAGAATGAACCTTCCCGAGGGAAGTTATTTCTTTATGGTTTATGCCCCCAATCATGAAGGCTATAAGAATTTTTACGAGAACATCAGACCCGTGTTATCGGCAACATACGGCATGACTAAGGACCTTAACTATAGTCCCGGTACCCAACTCGACGAAATCTGCAGCGAAGCTATCCAGACGCTTACAATGACACCGGAGTGGATTGGTGTTGTGGACCACGAAAAAGCAAGTTTCCGAACTCACGTACCCATCTGAAGCAACGCTTATTACCTACCTACCTCTTGAGTAGGTACCTAGGATTGATGGGCACATCGATTATTCAACCGAATAATACATAGATTTGAGACGTAACTATTTAGGAAAAAATACAAAAAAAAATTGAAAATATAAACTTATTAGATTCTTTGAATGTGATGTTGGGTCTTAATTTGATTATGAATTTGAAAGCGACTAGCATAGGGGTTAAGTAACCTAGTACCCCCCTCTCCTCCTTTTCCCTAATCCAAAAGAATTACATCACGGAACACCTCTACCGGCTCTCGTAGCTTTCGCTAATTCCGACTGTGCAACATCATCCGCATATCGCTTATAGATTGGAAGGTAGTGCTCATGGTCGCTCGTCGTCTTCTTAACACTATCACGGCTTGACGCTGCATTTAACCACTTACGCCATCGAGCCCAAACTTCTTCATCCGAGCCCCCTTTTCCAACTTCTGGGATACGCAGGCCACCCTTAAACTCATCAAATACCCAAAGACGGACCTGTGGCTCTCATTAGGTGTTGTTTTAAGGGGCATGGAAGAGATGAAGAACTTACAGCCCAAGGCACAATAACAATATCCACAAGACTCAAATCCTTGCCAAAGAAAAATGGGCCTTGAGGATCCATCTCCCTTGCGAATTCGAGTAGATGACCCCTAAACTCGCCCCGTAGTTCATCGAGTCTCTGCTCGCCGTTTTCGTGTGCTGATGCTTGAAATTGAAGTAACCGGTGGAACGCGGGGATCACTCGGCTCGTCACATAGTCCGTCCAGATCCGCGCTCGGGCGCGTGTGTAATCGTCTTGACCTGCTTCGGGGAGGACTGTTCACGTAGCCACGTAGAGACATAGGTCAGCCTATCTAGCTGTAGTACCCCGATTTCCTAATCGAAAGGAAGGGGTGGGATACATACTCCGAGGCTCATGGTCCGGATAATGATCCTCGAGGTATTCGCACAACACCGTACTCTCATATAACGACTTCCCCGGCGCAACCTCAAGCGTTGGCACCAAACCGCGCGGATTCGCGCGCATGAGTTCGGGCCCCTTGTTATAGGGGTTGATCTCGATGTACTGGTAGGGAATCTTTTTTTCTTCGAGTGTGATCCATGCCCGCTGCACAAATGGGCAGAACCACCCAGCGAATAATTTTAGCTGCTGTTCGGATGAGTGTTCCTGTGAGCGTAAGTTAGCATTTCGGGTTGACTTGAAAAGGGGGCGGGGTTCGTACATCAACTGTTTTCTTGGCGAGGCCAGTTGCGACGGGATGCAAGTTGGCGTCTGGATGCGACATCTTTGATTCTATTCCGAAAAGCTAAGTGATATGAAATTTCCAAGTTATGTGCTATGAAAATAAGATGAAATCTTCTCGATTATTGACCCCGACATGATAGCTCGATAGATCTCCACATGAAGGCATTCAGGTTTTATGATGTCATTCCCCCAGTATATGATGGGATACATTTGGCATTAACTCCTAACGCCGATACATGGAAAAGAAATCAAACCCTGCCTACCTAGGAGTTTCATGTATGCGATAATAATGAAGTTTCTCTTCTGTTCTAAACATTTTTTATTTAGTGTCTAGTATGAGTGCCCAAAGATGAACAGTGGCCGCAAAATCCCCACTCAACCCTCCACGGAACAGCCAGATTGAGGAGTGTCAGGGTCTAGGCGAGGGTGCACTCCATAAGGGCGACCTCGAATGCCTTTCTAGATATGTGTGTTTAGAGCCAATTACTATCTAGGTAGTTCCTCCGTCTGGATGCGGCTCTTCAGGAATACCGAAGCCTACGGCATGAGTGTGACCTCAATTCGCAAAATCGAGTCATATTTTCCTCGCCGGCTCGAAATTGCACTTCGTTATCTTTTAAATACGGAGTATATGCATTGCGTGTATACTCGGTAGCCAACCGGTACTACGCCTTAACGATAGGAATGCAAGCAGTACTACCCTGAGAATGTCTACCCCGAGCCTTACCTTGAACGAGGCCTTCACATTGGCTACCGATTTACTATGAGGATGATGTGTCGATTTTGAATGACGTGGATCTCTTCGTCTTTGAGAGGAGAAAGCAGGTTTCTGGATAAATAATAGATAAGCAGCCGCTTGTAGTTGAAGTATGAATAGGTTGCTATCCCACCTGGATTTGGCGAAACCATCGGCTTTCCTATTCACGTCAACCCTATCGTATCTGCCAGCTGTGACCTCATAAAAAGCCCGCGCTGTTGTTTCGCCATTGTTCGCGTTAAACCATCAAGTTTCTATCACTATCGCACTACCAAAATAGGCTGTAAAATGGCTGTAAGTAATGACATTCTGTCTAAAGTTGTCGCTCATGCTCTACCGATTAAGTATAGACATTAATTAGGATTTAGTCATTTGATATCGGCTGCGCCGTCCACGTCAGCGGTCATCTTGGAATTTGGATCGTGTGCGCTGTATCGGTTGATACTGTTACTGTCCGAAGTGATGATTCTGGCGAAGAGATAGATGTTGATATCGCGGACGTTAGCTAATGTGAAAGGAAGTCAATTGGATTGCTGCACTATATATCACGGCAGTGGATGTCGTGATTGTAATGCCAATCCTTATGATAGTGACACCAATAGCTGAAGGGAATGTCAGAATTGATCTTCGAAGCAATTAACGTATCGTAGGGGTGCGGAATGAATTGAAGGGAGTAAGAATTTTAATGAGGACATGGAAAAATGCGATATTAACTTTGGGAATATTTAGTTAGAATGAGAATCGTGATGCGAATTAACCATTAGCGCGTACGTGTTTCCGAGAACCATTCGTCATCGAGATTCTAATCGTAAGATACAATCCGAAGAAGAATCGTAGATCCATAACCCCCCGACGAGTGTGAGAACGCGTCAGATCATATCGGAACATTCAACGTGACTTATATCTATTGATGCCGAGAAAGTTTGTGGTTTTTCATGAAGACTCGCTCATTGGTTTAGATCGGAAAAACAATACCGGATAGGGTCATGTGAATGGTATTTCGGGTGAAGTTGTCGATCTGGCCTCGTGTCGTAGCGCAATTCATTTTGAGTACGCGAGTCAAGATTACGACCTGTCATCCAAACTCGTTGCGGGGAAAGCAAGTTTAATTACCATGTCGGACGGAGCCGTAAATGTCATGACAGGCAAAGTTAGAGTTAACAATGACATCGACTCAGCGGGTTTGACGTTTGACAGTTGATGACTTTGAACTCAAAATGGGATGGTATATTGGTAGATAAACCACCGATCGCTCATCCTGTTGACGAGTGTAGAGTATTAGTATATTCGATCGGGTTTTCTATCAGTGACGGTATTCGAGAATCGAGCAAGACATGGCGGGAAAAGTAGGAATCGCAAACACGGACGATATTCCCGATCTCATAGAGATCTTTTGGGAAGCCTTTTCCGGGCCTGGAGAAGTTGTGTTCCCCCACACGGATGGCGGCCGAAAATGGCTTCAGCGGAGTTTTGAAAACTTCCTAGGCCAGAAATCTTATTACAGACCCGAGTCGAAAATAGCTGTTGTAAGGAACTTGAACAGTATTGTTACAGACCCTAAGCCACTTTTGCATGAAACATTTTAACAAGAGATATAGACAGACCGGTTGCGATGGCCATTGCCCACGTGGTTCGACCCGGTCAGAACATCGGAGCAAAGTCTTGGAAATCGCGATGGGGACGATGCGAAGATATTCCCGGTGTAAGTGAAGAACAACTCTCGGAATTCTTCGATCCCCTAGCGAGAGCACATTATCTTGTTGTAGGAAAGGAAGGCCACATGTGTAAGTTGCTCATCCAAGTTGACATCCCACTTGACTAATCCGACCCCGCCAAGTCATTGAATTGGTCATGACAAAGTCGACTAGTCGAGGCAGAGGATACGCATCGGCATTAATGGGATGGGCCATTAAGATTGCTGATAACCTTGATATCCCTTGTTATCTCGATGCGGGAATGCGTGGTATGGGAATTTGTGACCGTTGTGGTTTTAAGGCGCAAGACATCGAAATGCGATACGGTGGTCCCCCACCTTGCACCCCGATGTTACGGTCAAGGAAACAGTGAGATATCACGAGACCAATAATGGTGAATGGTAGCGGGTATAGCGCAGAATGAATTGGGAATTAGTTCAAGTTCGGAATTTGGAAACCGTTAATTAATATAAACCATTCGGGGAACAACTTCCAATGTGTGTAGATGCGTATGCGCGAATAATGAACAATCTAGTCTCCGGTCGGTTGGTGACACTACCAAACGATATATACCCTGGTTTATGCACCCCGCAAAGATCGTCAACTTGGGCGACGCAACGAATCGATGAGTGCGACGTGACACTTGATCGGAACTATCCGATTATGTATGGTCTTTATATCGTGATGTGGTGTATTGGTATTTGTTTCGCATGGAAATGAATATTTCCGTGTGTGTTTCTTGTCGGAATAATTTTAATAATGCTTTGGAATTATTATCTGACGGCATTAAAATGTCACGAGATGATGATTGCTGGACAATTCCAATCCTAAACTGCCAAGATGTCTATCATAAGAAGGGAAGGAGGATAGAGTGGATTGAGTCTAGACTTTCTCGTAGGTGACATGCGTTTATTTAAAAAACGGAGCCACGGGACGAAGGATCCCGCTGAACTTTATTTTCGGACACCACCCACTCTGCAGCATCTGCTTTTAGGGGACCGGCTGCCTACCTCGGTACCTATCCGAAGCAATTACAGCTCAGAACAATAGGGAGCCAAGGCAGGGACAATCAATCAATAAACTTTTTTTTTCTTTCTTATCGGATACATTCCGACAGATCCGCCAATTGTCCGAAACTTTCTCCTTCATTATTTTTCACCATCGGATGCATCCGCCGCATTTTTATTTATTTCTTCCTCTAAACATCTCAACATGTAAAAACATATCGCGAAATCCCATCGTATATATCCTATTTTTGACGCTCCTTCAGGCAGACATCGCCACTTTCACTAACATAGTATTCGGTTAGAAACATTCAATGCCAAGAGTCAGCCTACAACACAGTAATGACCCTCTTGGCCTACCCGCCTACCTAAAGGGGTCCAATGAAGGAAGATGCCAAGATGCTCCGTGGTCTTATCCGCTCACCTGTACATTTTGAACCCTTACATTTCGACCCTTGGCGCTTCCCATTTTCCTGCATTTCATCCGCCCTGCGGCACGGCAATTATCATCGACTTTGATGGCCATCTGTCCTTCTATCCATGTATTGCATGTATGTTAGATCATACAATTCGCCTTCTCTTACTTTTGGATTGTCATCGAATTTATCTATTCGTTCTTGGCAAGTTCCAAGTTTCCCTTTCCCTCATTATCTTTTTCTTCTTCTTACTATTCCCCGCCTAGAGCTAAAGTACCTAGTGAGACGCTTCAATAGACTGAGTCTTGTTTGATTTGCTTGCTTTTAGCCCCCGGTCCATCGTGAGCTCGTATTTCTGGCACAGCTCGACCGCTTGAACTTGCTGCTCCATATTATTTGCTGAGCCTCGTTTAGCAATCCTTTTCTTTATACACTGTTGGATAAAGATGACAAGATTCTGTTCTGTTCGATAACCTCGTTAACTCGTTCCTTTTCACCCTTCGTTCGATCTCGCGAGCACGAGACGACGATAGTGGCTTGAAAGCTCTTTCGTGCTTCCGTGCCCCTCCTAAACTGCATTGGGGGCTTCTGACAAGCATCCAGCCCTATATATAATAAGTGCAATTGTAACGATGTTGCGCATACGCAGATACCGTTATTACGTTTTCTTTGCCGCGATTGTCGTGTTCCTCTTGTATCGTGCTACGAAAGATGGAGAGCAATGGGAATCTGTGTCGGCGTCTATTCCCTACGTTAAAGCTCCACCGAAGTCATCGCCCGAGCGAGGTGTCCCTGTAACCAACAAGCAAACCCCTCCTGTTAGAAATGGTGGCACCGTCCGACCTATCGAAGAGGATGACGACTTGACACAGCGATTACTCGAAAAGACGGAAAAAGAACCCGCCAAGGTCAAAATCCCCCAATTGAAACCCACCACTAGCGACGATAGCGACATCGATTATGATATTCCCGACACGGCCACGAAGACGAACTCGCTGAACGAAACGAAGGTACTTGCGTATGACAAGGACGTTGCTGCAAAAACTACCACCGCTCCGTTACTCGATATACCTGATAAAAATATTGGACAAGGGGCTAAAGGTGCTGGGAAAGGTGTACATGGAGCTCCGGGTCAATATAAGAGTAAGACGCAGAGCGCAACCACCACAATACACTGGAAGAAGTTTCCCGAGCACTTTCCCGTCCCTGAAGACGAGATCATTCCATTGCCGACGGGAAAACCTAAGACTATCCCTGCGGTGCAATATGATTTCGAGAAAGAGTCGGCAGAAGCTAAGGAGAAGCGATTGGATCGTTTATCCCAAGTGAAAGCCGAGATGATACGTGGTTGGAAGGGTTATATGACCTATGCAAGAGGGCATGACGAATTGAGTCCCGTATCCAAGAAATTCCGCGATCCGTTTTGCGGCTGGGCTGCGACGCTGGTAGATGCGCTTGATACACTCTGGATCATGGGTATGAAAGAAGAATTTGATGAAGCAATGCTCGAAGTCGAGAAGATTGATTTCACCACTTCTGAATTTCGAACCGAAATCCCCGTCTTTGAGACTACCATTCGGTACCTTGGTGGATTGATAGCCGCTTATGATGTTAGTGGAGGCAAGGCTGGAGGCTACGACATTCTTCTTGAGAAGGCGCTCGAACTTGCCGAGATCTTGATGGGCGTTTTCGATACCCCGAACCGTATGCCCGTTCTCTACTATAACTGGAAACCCGCTTTTGCGAAGCTACCCAAGAGAGCTCAGGCAGGAGTAAGCGTTGCAGAATTAGGATCTCTTGCTATGGAATTCACCCGACTTGCACAAATCACCAAAGAAAACAAGTACTATGATGCCGTAGCACGCATCACAGATGCATTTTATGACTGGCAAGAGCGGGGAACTACGATCCTCGGTATCTTTCCCGAACGGGTTGATGCAAGCGGGTGTAACAGGACTGCGGAAGCTGAAATTGCCGCCAAGGAAGCCAAGCTCGAAGAGGAGCGAAAGCTTGAGCAACAGAAGTCCAGTTCCAAGACCACTACGGGTAGCAAGTCCGATGTCGACAGCGATAGCCCAAGCAAATTTTCTAAAGGCGAGTTTCGGGGTGAATTCCGGGTTTTGGAAGGCCGTTCTGAAGTTGGAACACCTAATGACGATGGTACTTCGAAGGTGAAGATCATGCACAATGGCGAAGAAATGTACGCACCGGCGGAGACGAGTGCACCTCAAAGCAGTACGACTCAGAACACCGCCACGCTGGATAGCCGTGATGATGGCTCCTCCGATGAAGATGAGACCACAAGGAAAGATAGGTGTGTTCCACAAGGACTTGCGCCGGGATCTTGGGGTAGCACAGAGCAATACAGTATGGGCGGAAGTCAGGACAGCACGTACGAGTACTTCCCCAAACAATGGTTGCTTCTCGGTGGTCTCGAACCCAAGTATAAGACCATGCACCTCAAGGTTGCCGCAGCCGTCAAGAAGTGGCTACTATTCCGACCCATGGTTCCCGATGATCGTGATATCTTATTTTCCGCTAAGATCAATACACAAGGAGACCCGGAGGTCGACGCTGTGACTGAATGGGAAGTTACTCATTTGACATGCTTCATTGGTGGTATGTTTGGTATGGGCGGAAAAATCTTCGATATCCCTGAGGATGTAGAAATTGGAAAAAGATTGACTGATGGCTGTGTATGGGCCTATGAGAGCACGCCGACCGGCATCATGCCTGAAGGTGCCAGTGTTGTTCCGTGTGCCGAGGTGAACAATTGTCATTGGAATGAGACCATGTACTGGCAATGGTTAGATCCCCTCTACGAGTCCCACGACGAGCAGATGGAAGTGTACGAAGAACAGTTGCGTGTGTGGAAGAAACAACAAGCGCAGAAGGGACAGAAGCCGACGATGAAAGGACACCAAAATCTTGGCACATCCTCTAAAGAGGAATATGTTGATGGCAAAAAGTCGGGTCAATCCCAAATTGTTGGTACCCAGAAGACCGATAACTCGGATGGATTGGAGAGTGTCGTCGGAGTTCAGAAAAGGGCCCCACCTATTCGCGCTTCGACTGACATCGGCGTAAATAACGGTCGTGGCTCTGAAAAATTGAGTCAGACCGCTAAGTTGGAAGATGCTTTGGATATCAACGCAGACAGTAATACTGTTGTAAAAACTGTCAAGGATGATGTCGACCAGACTCCTCTCAAACAGGAGGAGGAAGAAGAAGAAGAAGAAGAAGAGGAAGAAGAGGACCTTCCAGAACCCACGCGTCCCATGTCGCACGAGGAATATGTACAGAACCGTATTGAGTCGGATAACCTCCCGCCCGGCTTTGTCAGCGCGAATTATCATGCATATATCCTTCGGTAAGTGATATATCAAATGTGATGGCTGCGGATATCCATGCCATAGCGGATCTTGACTAACTCTTCTTCATTATAGACCGGAAGCTATTGAATCGGTTTGGTACATGTATCGCATCACGGGTGATACCACGTGGCAAGACAAAGGATGGAAAATGTTTAAATCCATCGTTAGTCAAACTCGGACGGATGCTGGTAACAGTGCTATCGACAACGTCTTGGTGCCCAATTCTAGCCAAAAAGATGAGATGGAAAGTTTCTGGCTTGCTGAAACGCTTAAATACTTTTATCTGCTGTAAGTTGCCGTCGTTTCAGTTAAAATGGGATAACAAATACTGATGTTGTACAGATATTCGGATCCGAATCTTATCAGTCTAGACGACTGGGTGTTGAATACGGAAGCGCATCCCTTCAGACGACCAACATGATTCTGATGATTTAGCTATGAAATAGACCTGGATTAAAAACAGATAGGATTTGTATAGATAAAAAAAAACTAAAAGAAGACCAAAAACAACGATTCTGACATATGAAGGGTTGGAATCGATTAATATCTGCATGTTCCTTCACTATAAAAGTGTTGGAATTTACGGTCTACTTATTGGAGTGTACCACGCAAGCGACCGGGGTGATGCGTCGTCATCACATCCACCAAGCTACATAACGTGCTAACACTACCCTATCTTTTATCTTAACTGGTCCCGATGCGCTAGAAAGTAGTATTACCTTTCTATGTGGAAGACGGATGATACCTCATTTGTATATAAAACCGTCGAGATGAAGCCATAGCTTCACACCTAACGTTTCCCGATCTTGGAGATACCGACACGGAGATTCTTAGAGTGGCGGATAAAGTCGGATAGAAGCGGCAATAAAAATATCGTACTTAAACCAAATCAAGACACCGATTTCCCTGTAATCAGCCAAGCTACAGCCGCTAATGTGAAGTACCTTGATGATAAGAGTCTAACAAAGGGTCTAATATGAATTTCTACAATAGACCGAGTGGCTAATAAAGCTTGGCTTCTTGAGATGAACCTAAGATATCTTAAAAATACTCCAATGCCGCATTCCATCATACGTTCAAGTTTCCATTCATGACAGAATTTTTCTAGATTATCTTCACGATAGAAATATCCCGGCCCTAGGAAATCCTCCCCGCAATTGGCTTACCCTAAAGTGGCAATGGTCAACTCCGATCTCAACCTTTTAGGAAGGCCGTCGGTGTAAGATCCATACATTTTTGCCCCCCGTCAGTTCACCCTAGGGCGAGAGGAATTGAATTATCAGCGCTGGTCTAAAATCTGTACGTAATACGACGTTTTAATCAGCTGGGGGATCTGGGATCTTGTGATAAACTTCTATCTTTAAATAAATCCTAGGCGCGTCTTACTTCTTATCTTATTTTCCTTGTACCTAATTTTTGGTTATTTGTATCAATTCGTCTTTTTGAGTCGGTTTTTTGGATGAGGAATTGTGAGAGTTATTTTTGAAGTATATTGTATGACGTTACAATTGAGATTGTGAGTGGGAAAATATAGTGGAAGATGGGATCGGATGGAACCGAAGAAGTGGCGTACGCCACTGATGAGGCCGGACGTGATGGCGAGTCCGAGCCGAAGGGGATTCATCGCAGCGCGTCTAATCAGATCGGGGAGATGAATCTTGAGAGCGGGCATCAGCTGAAGCGAGGATTGAAGAGTCGACATATTCAGTTCCTTGCGTTGGGAGGCGCGTAAGTTATTTTATCACATACTATGCGCGTGTATATCAGCAACTAAATGCTATTAGTATCGGAACTGGTCTATTCATCGGCTCGGGCCAAATCCTCGCGACTACGGGCCCGGCACCGCTATTTATGGCGTACTTATCTATGATGATGGTGGTATGGGTAATCATGAACAACTTGGCTGAGATGGTGACATTCCTTCCGATGAAAGGCATATCGATTCCATACTTCGTCGGCCGCTTTGTGGAACCTAGTCTCTCATTCGCCGATGGCTGGAATTACTGGTACGCCTATGCTATGCTGACTGCCGCGGAATGCACGGCCGGCGCCATCATCATCCAATACTGGACGCACTCCGTTCCCGTCGCCGTCTGGATCGCCATTCAACTTCTCGTCGTGTTATTCCTAAACATTATCGCGGTGTCTTTCTTCGGTGAAGCCGAGTTCTGGTTCGCAAGTGTCAAGCTTATAACCATCATCGGTTTAATCATTTTAGGCATAGTCCTATTTTTCGGAGGTGGTCCGAATCATGATCCGTTGTATTTCCGGTACTGGGGAGAACCGTGGGGTGCTTTCGTCCCGTATCTAGTCCCTGGAAGTACCGGTCGCTTCCTCGCGTACTGGACTGCATTTGTCCGCGCCGGTTTCTCCTTCGTCACGTCCCCGGAACTCATCGCGCTTTCCGCGGGAGAGACTGTCGCTCCCCGTCGCAATATTCCGAAAGCCGCGCGCCGTTTTGTGTGGCGATTGGCTATCTTCTACGGTCTCGGATCCCTTGTCATCGGCGTTATCGTGCCAAACACCAACGGGGATCTCAATGGCGACTCCAATGCATCTGCAAGTCCGTACGTCATCGGTATCGCATTAGCTGGTATCCGGGGTCTCGATCACGTCATCAACGCTGCGGTCTTAACCTCTGCGTGGTCTGCCGCTAACGCGTTCACTTATTCCGGGTCTCGTGTGCTGTACTCCATGGCCATCAACGGACAAGCGCCACGTATCTTTGGACTTACCACCCGTCGCGGTGTACCGTATGTTGCTGTTGGGTTCACTTTGCTCATCGCATGTCTCGCTTTCCTCAATGTTTCGAACTCTGGTGCGGTAGTTTTCCAATGGTTCACCAACATCTCCACGATCTCGGGATTTATCGCGTGGATCGTGATATGCATCACATACCTGCGCTTCCGAAAATCTATGGAATACCATGGCCTTCTAAACGATCTCCCGTTCAGAACGCCTCTTCAGCCATACGCTACATACGCCGTGCTGTTTATCCTGGTTATCCTCACACTTACAAATGGGTTCCAAGTTTTCTTTCCTACACATTGGAGTGCGGCAAGTTTCCTGGCTGCGTATATTACAATTCCGATTTTTCTGGTGCTGTATGTCGGGCATAAAGTCTGGTATAGAACTCCGTTTGCGATTAAAGTAGAGCAGGTGGATGTTTGGACTGGGAAGAAGGAGATGGATGATATGAGTGCGGCGGAGACGGATCCGGTGCCTAGGAATTGGGTGCAGAAGGCTTGGTTTTGGCTTGCTTGATATCTTTTTTCTTGCTGTTTTGCTTCTTGTATGAAAATGGGGCAATGTTGAAGATAAATGTGGTGTATACGATGTGATGTGGAGATGAGACGTTCTTGGATTGATACCCCTTGAAGATGACAGAAGTTCGATATTCAAGAAATTCAAACCTATAGATACTTAACAATGAATAGATACACGAAGTTTGAAAATTCTCTCTAGCTGTGTATTGTGTAGCCCCCGAATTTTACAATAACTAATCTTTTCGGAAGGAAGCCGAGGGTTGCATTCATTTTCGTGTAACACTCAGTCGCATTTGACCTAGAATATATACCATTTTCATACCAACATAACCAACCATCACCAACCGTTAAAATATGTCCAAAATAGACGTCGTATCTCGCTTTTCGTAATAAATCGTATCATCAACGTATATACAAATAAACAAAGTCGCAAAAGTCGATTCTTAAGCGAAAAGTACACCTAAGGCCATCAACCCTAACGTAACACATAAACGAGTCGTCAATTCCGCCCTCGTAATTGGCACAGCAGCACTTGAAGTAGGCGAGGCCGTAGATCCTGAACCGGTATCCGTGGCCGAAGCAGTAGGAGCGACATATGTAGCCGGTACCGTGACTTCTGCTACGCTGACATCGCTCTCTACCGTGTTAACCCATAAGCACACCGGCGTGCCTGATGCACCATAACTAGGAGCAACGCCCCATCCCCATAGGTCGTTGGTGACTGTCGCCGATGGATTCGCGCTTGGTGTGTCACTGGCGTATGTTACGGGATATAAACTAGCGCTTGAGACATTCGTCGCGGCCAAACTTGCTAATGGTGTACCTGCGGTTCCTGGTGCACATGTGGTCCTAGGACTCGGTGTGAAGCTTAGCGCCTCGGTTTGTGTCCCGGAGATACCGCAGCAGATGAGATCTGATAAGTTGATTGGGTGCGGTTCGATATCGGAGTTAGAAACCGGAAAAGGATTAGGGTGTTTGAGAGGACCCGAGAGATTATATATGTCTAGGGAAGTATCGACGATATGGCCGTCGCAGCATATGCTTTGGAAGTCATTGCGATGCGAGGTTGGAATCGGGGGTGGAGAAGGTGCACTCCCGCTGAAGCTGAAGCTGCTATGGGGAGGCGGAGGGTGGTAAGGCGCGGGGCAAGGGTTAGCGAAGAGCTGTTTGCGCGGGGACAAAGGCGCTAAACACCAGTGGGATATAGCGCCTGTAGGGAGGAATGTAGTAACTGATGACGCTGAAGACATCGTTACAATAAGTGTTCATGCGAGTAAGATCTCTAATTTTTCATAGGTGTATCGTCATCATTCTTGCATCTCGAGATAAGATGAGATAGGAGATATGATATTGATATGTGGTTGCGAGGACGACGGCAAAGATTTGAGGATGTGATGATGGTCGTGCCGCATCTTGGCCCAAACCAGGGCTGAAGTCGTATTAGGCAGTTAAGAAACAATATCAAGATTAAAGCCGAGAACTTTTCGTATATATCGTCAGAACTAATAGCTGGGCGCAGGTGTTCTAGACCAAATGCGGGTGATAGAAACATCTTGTTTTCAACAAAGACTTACGTACCCAGACTATACGAAGCACATTATAGCGGATGTGTTGATTTCTATAGTGAGGGCACACATAGAAAACCTAAATGGCAGGTACGGAGGTGGGATGCACCTTCCGCGCTGAAATATTGGAAGGACCCCGAACGTCAACCGTAATACGTACAATCTATAAATCCGTATAACATCACCAAATCTAATTGTTTTTCAGAAATTCTTTTTGAAAATTGTTGTAGTGCATCCATAGATCATTGCTATAATTTTTGCGAATTGATTTGGCGGCGGGGTGGTCTTCTTCGTACCCATATACGGTGGCCACAAGAAAATCATTCTAGGTCCAATAGGGCAAGCTAGATAGATAGCTTTGATAGTGGTAATTTATGGTGGAGAAGGTACCTAGGGATTGGGGCCCACAGTAGTTCCTTCCCAGGCGACCAGGGAGCAAACTTTCCACAATAATTCTGCCAGTTTGGCTGATTTCCGGGCAACCTCACCGCTTTGGCAATCCTTTAAATACCTGGCCACCCGCCCATTCATTCTGTTCTCTTTTTCCCTTCTCTTCTTCATACTTACCTTGTTTCCGCGCATGCAAGCTCAAGAAATCGCATCGCGAAGGGGGAAGACCTGCATTGCACAGCGTGGAGTCGACCCTCTTCTATTATCCCTCGTGGATCGTAGGAGGCGCAATTTTTGATACTTTAAACTCGTTTTCATTGTGAACAATGCTTTTGCATTGCCATGAAGAAGACAGCCGTTGGCTTAGATTTTTTTTCTTCCTATTTTCCCCTTCGTTTTCATTGTCTCTGTCTCTGTCTCTGTCTTATTTCCTCTTTTCTTTTTTCTCTTCTCGTTGTACCCTGCTTTGTGTGTGCCGTGGTGTTACGTGTCATATCCAGAAGTGGCCCTACTTGGTCCAAATCTTGTTAAATCAATAATTTCCCCAGTCAACCAGCACATAAATCTAATCCACCTAATGAGAATAATAGGTCCGATAATCATCTAGATAATGGGCGCACATGGGCGGCGAATACATCTATGGGTGTAGGTATAGCACGTCTAGATCGGCGCGCGTGATGTGATGTCTTGATCGTGAACAACTAAATGCATTAAACTTCAAATGTCCTACAATTATTTTAAGCGTAGATGTACGGCGGTCCAATATATTATAAACTGCTAAAACGCCGTGCGAATATACAGTATAAAATGTTCCCCATTATATTTTATCCTGACCGGGGGATCGCGGCCTTCAATCGCCTCTAATGCTCTACGAGTTAACAAATTACCTGAAAACACTGATTCACATAGTCAAATATTCATTGGGGCAAGAATCATTTTGTATTCACATCTGAAAATAACACCATCGCATAATTCAAGTTCCAAGTGCAGAGATGCCATTCTTCTTCTAGTACAACAAGATCTTATACAACGGCCAAGATGCCTCCAAACCCCGCAAGGCAGCCGACGTCGCCATCGAATATGCTCGATAACGTAGAAAATTCAGGTCCTTCGTCTGTAATCGTTCCATCATTATTGACCCTCGTATAAAAATATTTATTTGGTATTTCCATCGCAAATGACGCGCCTCCAATAACTCGTTCCTTCTTCTCCTCGCCAAGATCACCATATGCGCGTTCTCGTTCGTGGGTACGTTAATCAGTGTAAAACAAGGTGGGTTCGGGGAATGTAACGTAATACCAGAGGAGAAAAAAAAAACGGAAAGACCAAAACAAATCATTATTGCACCGGGGACCACCCCTCCTTGCTAACTCCAGTTCCCAGATGCTGATCAATCGACGAAGAAATAGTAATAATTGTTTCGTTGCGTTCTTTATTCGGCCGAAGTCTCTGCCCTTTCCCATATACACAAATAATCCCTCCCATGCATATACTCGGCTTTTTCTCATCCGTTTCGTTGCTGATTCCTTTTTAAAACCCTCGTTAGTCCGCTAATTGCGAAAGCACCCTAATACTCAATATCATGACAAGCAGACCAATTGTTACGATGATCAGAAGCGTGAAGCTAAACCAACCCATAACCATAGCACTCGTTCCGATCCCAGACAATACGCTGCCGTTTCCGAAATCTTGTGCTATTATAGATGCTGCAACGGACGCCGTGTGTTGCCATAAGACGGATACCAGTACGAAGATTGATGCTATGAAGATGATAGCTAGCGCAATCTGAGATACCGGTCTGCTAGGGAACGGCTTGATTTCGCGGTCGGATCCTTCGCTGTCTTCTTCCTCATGCCATCCAGGGAAGGTAGCCAAGAGCAAGAAACAGACAAAGGCAAAGATAATCGCGATAATGATCAGGTAGGGGAACACAATCATGTCCTTGAACTGACTGGCTAGCCAGATAAGGTTAAGAGGGTCTTGGTCGACTGATACCTCGTTGGCAAGGGCAGTAGCGTTGTTGCTACATAACCAAGAACCACCGTCCGGGTTGATGCAGATGCCGAAGTAACCGACACGGGCTTGTAGGTGCGCCGATCCGACAATGTTGCTGATGGCTTGGTTGACATTGTAATCGACTTGCGCTGTGTCTGGTACGGCGGTGTATTTTTGGTAGTAGATGGAAAGCAGGAATATGTCGGGGATAAGGGGTGAGGACGATGAGCAACCTGCTAATAGGAGCGCTGTGTTCGAGAAAAGTTAGTTCCGAATTCCAAGCGGCGAGTGATCAGAGTGAGGAATGTAGACATACATAATAATATTATGGCAACTGCTATTAGAATCATCAAAACATGATGGTATCCGAGGAACGGTATGAACCCTTAGGCGTATTGTTAGCTTGCTGTGAATTGTTCATTCTAGAACTTAGAAGTACTTACGATACCAACCAACTTGAAAACTAGGCATCGTTTCTCTTGAATTATTATCTGTTTATTTCCCAAAATTCCCGAGGTATATTGCCTCTCTCCACTCCCGTCCTCCCTGGGAGCGACGGTGTGGTTGAATTGATCTCACGCAGCAGCAATGCTGGAATGCGTGGCCGAGAATCGGACGGCGTGGACGGGATACTCGAGATGGAATGCGGAAGCAAGATGAATCTCGAAAAATCCCAGGGACGTCGCGCCGTTGGAATGTAGTCGTAACTTCGTTAATTTGGGCTTTCGATTCGCATATAAAAGATGCACGCCGTCGAAAAAAATCGATAACTAAAAATCGCCGTTCACTTTGTCTTTGCTTGTCAGATCAACTCTACGAATGAACACGCAGGTGAAGGGTGTGGTGAAAGTGCTAGCGAGCGAGGTGAGGAACGATTGTATGGCAATGTGAGGTATGGTATGTAAGGTATTGTAACTTAGAAGTTCAATGGCTTCCTCCTGGACAACAGCCCTTTGCCCTTTTGGAATGTCAAGAATAGGGTAGTGGAAGAATAGAATGGTCTTTCGACTCGTTCGTTGGCAGGTTTCTAATTCTTCCTATCCCCTTTTTTGCCCTTCGGTACTACAAACTTGCTCTTTGAATAAAAAAGAGGTTGGGATGCAAATCGGATTGAATGGATGTTTTAGAAAATGGTTGCGCAAATTTTGGTAGAGAATCTACAATTGGCCCTGCCACCTGGATTTAGACGATGATATCGGACCAAGTTTGGTTCATGTAAATAAAAAGATGTGGCTGGGCGTTGCTGGAGCAATGAGATCCAACGGTTACCCCTGTGCTATGTGGGGCTACTCCTGTAACCTTAGGAGAGGTACTAATTTTTATTTGGGGGTTGGCTAGGAGATGAAGGTACCTAAATAAGCTTAAAAATCATTGGTCCCTGCATTAACGTATATCATCCACCAATCAAGTTCTAGGCTATGCACAAAAAATAACGTGGACCTTTCCCACTTCAGTATTCTAAATCTCGTTTCCGAAGGTCCGGCATCAATTGGCTTTCAACGTGCATGACGATAACGCACCCCAGAAACCTTTTCGATTTACACGCAAGCCACTCTCAATACGTAGATGTATGTACGTATTTTGCTATGTATATTGATCTCTCCATGCATGGCACTATCGACGATGCCAAACGCCACGAATGGGTACCAGTGTCATGTGCTTGCGATGCTGTATTACACGAATCTCCCGAACATAAACGAAGGCCTTTCCCCGCTATCCACGAAGCGGTCGCTAAGAAATTACAGCAGCTTTCTGGTGAACATATAGAATTCATCTAATGGCTGGATATCGTGCTCCGGCGCTCAATTATGAAAACGTCGATAATATTGATACCAAGACCTCTACATACTAGGCACCCGTTTTTTCCATCTCGTATATTTCCAAAGCCATTTTTTTGCGACTAGGCGATCATCACTGTCGTCATTGATACGGAATATTCTTATCCATATATCTAGGCTACACTTTTATTGTACTTGATGTCAGTTGGTGCTCATCAGGATTTTATAACCAGCCACTCGTCGATCCAACTTCGCATTGACCATATGATATTATCTTGGTGTCATAAAATCTCTCAATTGGAATCGCACTATACTAACGAAATGGTTTTGAGACTGTAGTGGCCATCGTTGATTTTTATTCAGCTTGAGAATTCCGACTTCACATCTTAATTATATTGAAACCCACTTCAGACAAGAACCCGAACCTGCTCAATTATCTTTAGGATCTACGCCCAAGCATTGAACCATCTAATAGCTTGGAAGAAAGCCTCTTCTTTTCCAAACTTCTGCTTCGGATCCGAAATATTTGCTCTCACGCCGAACCCATGCGAAACTCCACCATATAATGAGTAAGAGTAAGGATGTGTCGTGTTCAGAAGCAGCGCCTCCACCTGGGTTCTCCTTTCAGGAGGTGTCATTTGGTCTCCGTCTAAAACTCCGTGTTAGCTAGTCGAAAAGACTCAGTGTCGAAGAGAGGTTATTTACCTGCTGCTGCGATGCTCGCGGGACCTGTGATGGCGGAGATCTCGCCGTCTTCTAGGAAACTCGGATGAGCGGCGAAACCAACGGAGGCGCCCTTGCCTTCGGCTAATAAGCGAAATGCGTAACGACCTCCGAAACAATAGCCAGTCGCAACGATTTTCTTCACTTTGAGCTCAGTGCGCATGAAATCAATCGCTGTCGCAAGAATCGGATCGGTGACATTGGGGGCATGGTCTTCGATAAAACCCTGCGCGTTAAATCCTGGTGTTGGCACATTGATATCTGCCGCCGCTGGCGTTCCGTTGAACATATCGGGGGCAACCGTTAAGTAACCAGCTCGTCCGAAGCTATCGGCAAGTCTTGAATGATGTCAATTATATCCCCTCGAATTAAAAGTAAGGCACGTACAGCTTATTTTCCAGCAATTGGATCCCGTACACATCAGTTAGGTACAACACACCGGTGTCCGATGTGTTGCCAGTGACGTACATGTTGACTTTATCAACGTCAGTCGCCTATTATTTTCTATCGTATTGATGCACCTACTCCCATTGTAGACCTGCTCCTTTCCAACCGGGTCGCCGGAATGAGCAATGATGGATGCACCTGTCGCAGGACAATCATCTTGGCTCGACACTGCACTGACGAAAGAGCCAGCGCCCCAAAGCGCGAGCAGAGAAGCGAACCTTAACATTTCGAAATATTTTTATTTCAGAATTTATGAAGGGGTAGTTCAAGCCATGGAAGATTCGCTCGTGAAGTTATTAACATCGGGGAAACAACATAACCCCTTTTAAGCTAGCCAAGAGCGTTCAACGTGGGGAGCTTACCAATATACTCTATTCGGAAGTTGATATATGGGACGGTAGATCTCGAAGCAATTGCCGGCTAATTGTTGACTGGTAGATATTTTCGGGGCGCATTCGCCTTCTGGCTGTGTTCTCTGCCGTGGTAATTGGAGTCCCCAGGCCACGCAATCACCCAGGAGATCAACATGGGAAAGTTCAAAATATTATTTTATCACCCATGCTATAGGGTCTTGGATATTAATACTGCGTGCGACGAGTACGTCGTGGCAACCATTGGTCTCCGATGCATAATAAATATTAGTAAGTCGAGGTCGTTCGACAATACGGAGAGTTGAATAGAAATTTAATCGCGATTAATATCATGTAGGTGACTATCGCCATAAAATGCCATATTAAGAAGACAGTCCACGCAATGACGCCAAAATAGTAATCTACAGCATTTCGAGGTCGAGTGTAGAACATCAGTTTCGAATAGTAGTCCGATCCTGCCAGGTAATAACTATACCGCTGGAAATACGTGGGCCTATGTGGCGGCGTCGATTTCCGTCGCGAATCCATGGCGCCAGTCCTCACCTTGGGTTTACAACGAGGTTTAAACCCGGCGAGTCGGCCCCAAGCACTTCGAAGATTTCATATAAGCCGTGGACTTTAATGTCTGCTCCCCCAGTTGTACTGTTCTCGATTTAAATTGAACGTTTCCCCTTTCCAACTTGGGTTTCGAATACTCGGTACCTAGATGAGGTACCTTCGGATCTCACACAGATGCTCGTGAATCGAACAGTTTCAGACAATGCCGGTGTGCGTTAGCTGTAATTCGGAGGTCTCCGATCTAAGTCATTAGACTTCGGAAGCGCGTCGGACGTTATATTTATTTGGCGACAATAGTCATAAAGGATATCTACCAGAGTTTGGTATGTTGTTTTAATCTATTCACCCGTAAAGTAACCCACTAAGTACCTAGGTAACAGAGATGAAATCAACGAAGGGTGCGTCCACAAGAAAGGGAGTACCTATTCATGACAATATAAATCCATCCAAATGCTTTATTTGAACCCCCCTTTCTATTGGCTAGATCAGGCGATTTGTTCCCATAAGCTCGCGAAAGACGCCTGAAAGAGGAAGATCAGTTCACACAAAGCGCCGGTAGAGGCAGAGGCATATAACTCCCCATTCAGCATTCAAGTCCTTAGCCGTTGTGGCAACTCAGTTAAGAATACATGGCATATTATCTATCACAAGACAAATCATATATTGTAAATAACAATTATTTATATGTAAACGAGTGGCGTGTTTATATTAATAGTACAATGTCATAATAATACAGTATCTTACACTGAGCTACAGCTGGCAAGTCGCCTGATATCACCTAGGAGGTAATGTTGTCTACCTAGGTACTTCGTTCTCGTGTTCGGCAGCGCAGTAACCGCACAAATCACCATGGTTGGCAACTTTCTCAATGCATTCGCAAGAAGCACAGGCATAAACGGCAGTCTTCCCCCTATTATGGTCCCGGATCTCAGAGTCCCCACCAGTATGGAAGTGGAAGTCCACGGGAGAGAAAGTCATGCTGTGAGAGTGCATTTTGAATTAGTTCGTTGCTGTTTAGTACGAAGTGATGGCTGTTGGTAGATATTTTCTTTTCAGATTTGGCGGCTTTGATATTGATGTGTGTGATGATGGATATGAGCTCTCTATTACAGGATATCTGCAATGCTTATATATTCAAGGAGGGTCCTAATTGTATTCTATCTTCATACTTCTTGACACACAGCTTCAATGTGCCTTCATTCCCAACAATGCTATTGTCATGATAGATGTATTGTTTTGTCCAGAATGTTCAAGCGGAATGAGTTAGTCATTCTTTGTCGTTTTCTAACGCTACGTTTGGTATATTTGTTTAGAAGTGATAATGATACATCTTGACGATGGTGAGCGGAAAGAGAATGTATCTTAGGAACCCCCCTCCCCTTATTTGGTTATATGAAAAAAGTTAAGTTTACGGTTCTATTACAATGTATCTAGTCCCTTGATTTGAAGCCAACAGTAAGCAATGGGATGTAGGTATCTATCGAGTCAATGAGGCTCTAAGACTCTAGTTGTATTTTACTATCACAGTATACCCAAAAATGGCCATCATTGCTGTAAACGCAAATCGCTAACCGTACCTTATCTGTCAGGTAGGAATACCATGCAATGTCTTTAGCACGTCCCGCTACACGACCGCTCTAGGGGCTATCACCTCCTATTCAAAGCTTGCGAGCCCCACTCTTAGTAGCGGCCTTGTTGATTGAACCTCTACCCACAAACTTCGCGCATGAGCTGTAGGTGATATGAGGAACGCCACTCTCGGGCCACAGATCAATATGTGCTTCTTGTCTAAGAGGCTGCTATATTTTGGAGTGTCAATTGCAACCAGAACGTACTGCTAGTCTAACATTGTCACGCAAGATGGGTGGCTACAAGCTTGGCATCTCAACACGCTTGAAAAAATAAGTATTGAAATATCATACTCTAGAATGATGCATTTCAGCGCTTATGTAGAGTCAAGAAGGTTAGCGGGTCTATACTATCTAGATTACTAGGCATTGGATTACCCCTGAGTCACGTGACACACATATGAATGCACAATGGCTGAATTCTATGTGTTGGGCTAATAAACTCCTTAATACATTATGCCGTATTTGAATGGAAGTGAATAGCTTAAAGTAAGGTAAGGAAGTTGCTATGGTAGCCTGCATCTCGAGTGAACACACTAGGTCAAAAGGAAGTAAGCAGTATACATGCGCCGTGGCCGCATTATAAGTGGGAAGTTTCCCAATGGCTAAATGGCGGAGTATTTCTGTAGCCACTATTTAGCATTCAATACTCATTGTTTAACTACGTGGAAGGCTAATAATGTGGCACATTTTCGATTATTATAGGAAACATTGTAGGGAGTGTTGGCTGTGAACTTAAGTACCTAGGTAACTGGTATTGTTCCGATCTACAAATAGCTTGCTGTATTGGTCCGCCTTTGCATAAGGATGAAGGACTTACGGTGAGGCGTTCTTTTCATAAGACCGAGACTGCTTAGTATACTATCGGACTTATTCTATCGTGATTAAGTGCTGTGCCGCCCGTTGTGGGCTTTAGGAACACTATTATAATTTTGGATGCCCCCATCAATTTGATAAATATAATAATTAGAATATACTAAGCGTAAAAAATGACTGGCGAACGAAAGACTTGGCTCATAACAGGCTGCTCGAGCGGTTTTGGCGCTCTATTTGTTCACCAGCTTCTTGCCCAAGGCGACAATGTCATTGCTAGTGGGCGTAATGCCGAGGAAAAGCTTGTTCACCTGAAAGATTCCGGGGCAACTATCCTAGATCTCGATGTGGCCTCACCTCCAGACATTATTGGGGCCAAAATGGCTGAAGCATGGAATTTATATCCTGGTGGCATCGACGTAGTAGTTAACAATGCTGGCTATATTTCGAGTGGCTTATTCGAGGAGTTGTCGTGAGTTTCCATCTTCCCGGAACGACCGAGAAAATGTACTCACCCATATTATGCAGGCAGCAGGATATAGAGCAAGCTTTCAAAACTAATTTTCAGGGTCCGATAAACATTACCCAAGCCTTGCTCCCTCGTTTTCGTGTCAGAGGCTCGGGTACTTTCTTGTATATGAGTTCACAATCTGCTTGGCATCCTGATATTTCTGCTACTGCATATTGCGCCACTAAATCCGCTTTAGGAGGTCAGTCACACCCCGGTCTAGGTGAAGATGGTCAATGTTATTCTCTTATGAACGACAATACTAAGCTGCACAATTATAGTTGCCATTGAGTGTCTTGCTAAAGAATTGGCAATATTTGCCCCGGGCATTAAATTAATCTTAGTTGAGCCCGGGTATTTTCGTACTCAGGTTTTCACTAAAATCAATCGCGCAAAGCCTCTTAAAGCAGAGTTCGCTGAATTCAATTCTACTGTGTGGGCCACGCAGGATAGTATTACAGGCAACGAACTTGGAGACGCTTCTCGGGCGGTATCAATTATGATCGATCTCGTTAAAGGAACTGGAGTAGCAGCTGGGAAGACATTGCCATTACGGATCCCACTAGGGAGTGACGGCTGGGCTAGGATAAGGACGAAATGTGAAGACATGGTAAAAGTATGTGACGAATGGGAGGATGTAGCGAAGAGTACGGATTTGAAATAGTCTTAGAGGCCCCTGAATGCCCTCTACACAGGGCAGCCAATGATCTGAATCCTAAATAAAATCACCGTGCGCAAATGATATGAAAAATCGTAGGTGACAAACTTTAGTCAGATTCGGATAGTCCGTCCCCGGTTTATCTCTTCGTCTATGGTCTTCTTGCGGCTTTAGGAAAAAACGAGGGCATGCCTTTTGATCCTGGATGATGACGACGGCTTCAAGCATTCGAAACAAGGCGAATACAGGGTTGGAATTATGGATACGTCTCTAAGACGCCTCGATTCCACATCCAAGTAAAAGTTCTTCAATCACTTTTCCAAGCACCCCAGTCATAAAGGAATCCTCGTAGAAACTAGTGTTAAAAGATGCCCCAAGTGTAAGTTCATCCTTCCAGCTCCACATTTGAAATTGGATATTTTGGGTTAAAATTTCTGTGCTTATCCAGCATTTCACAACCTCTAAGTTAGTATCCTCATCTATATATTCATTTTGAATATACGTCTCGAGCTTTCCGAAGCTATATAGATCTGGCGTATACACTGCAGGCAGACTTTCTAGTTCTGGGGTATTGAGTTGAGCTGCAATCCGCTGCGCATAAGGTCCTGCAAGGTCTAAGAGGTTAATTGGTCTACTGTGGTCTTCTGGCTCCCAAAAATGATGGATATCCTTGGAGTAGATTTTGTTCAGCTCTTGAGCTATGGTCTCGAAGTCTTTGACGTGCTTTCCCCCGAAATCGAAAACATTTTCGATACTCAGGGGTATAGCTAAAAGATATACTCCAACGACCCTTACATCACATTGACGCTTGGGGGTGATTGTACTAGCAAGAGCTTGGCGTAGATTGACTGGCCTAAAGGCGGTATATGACTTGCAGAGTGGATGCCGAGGGAACCGTGCGGCGGCACACACCACAGCTGAGTGAATAGCACTTGTCACTTTTATTCCCTTCGCTCGACAGGCAGCAACAACTTGAGCAGTAGCCGAAGCATCTATCCGAGTTTCAACACGGGAAGAGTTACTTGGTAGAATCTTATGGGAATCCTCCCGTGTGGGGAACCCGATGCTTGGCGAGGAACCCGAGCCATTCTTGAATTCACTTACAAGGGCATCGGCCGCTTCACCTAATCGAGGTTCTTCCCCCTGGTCAGGTGGGGTTTGGTTCTTCCTTTGCACCAACATCTCTAGGCTTGGGCCAATCGGGGGCCAGCGACCGTTTTCCGCCATAAAAGCTTTTTCGGTACGGATCTTCAGTAGTTTAACTAGTAATTCCAGATATTCATCTCCAAGTTTGGCCATTCCAATGGCATCGATACGCCAGTGCGAGGAACGTAGCACCACTTCACCTGACGCTGGGAGCCAATAACATGCAGCTGTGGGGCTAGATTGAAGTCGTGAGAAAAGTGAACTCGCGTCCTTATCGTCGCAACGTGTGAATGTATCATTTCTTGATGTATTCCACTGATCTCTAAGTGATATTCTTATCTGCCCTCCCGAGTCTGATGTATTTGGTGGGATTAAAATCGAATTGAGCGCTTTGTGTCGCCGCAAAACATGGTCCCATGCTTGGTATATGTACTCCGTTGGGTCGTCGAAGGATGGTGGAAACTTGAGTTTGAGTGCTAAAGAAATTGCCAAGTGCTCTCTATTTGGACTATTTGGAGGTCGGAGTCTACCCGTGAGCTTGGTAAAGAGTAATTCTGTATCGCCCATTGGCCGGCTATACGGATCCCAAATAGATGACTCTTGGGACATGATCGCGAAAGGCGCATACGTAATTATAGATGGTAAAGTTCAAAATTAGCGATGCGATATGTTGTGATTAGCGAACGTGGACATATGCTCGTATCTTCTTCAAGAAGGTAAGATATAATGGTTTTATATGATACAGATCGTTATAAAGATCATCTGAATTGAACATTGATGTTGGTGTACGTTGACGGCGAGGATATCCATTCCCCAAGCAAAGTGGTCCTGTCATCCTCATAGGCCAAAATGATTCTTTTCTGACGAATCATCCCCCTCGTACCTAGGTGTCCGCATCCACATCTTAATGTTCTCTTTCTTTTTGTTCCTCGATGTCTATCAACTCAACAGCGTCAGAATCGCCAGCCTTAGGCATATAGGAGATTTTGTGTGTAACGGTCTTTTGAATCCCCCTGGGCGGGAACGAACCCTTAGTGGCCCTGCCGATATGATAATTTCCACCAACATTGTAACTTCCACCAATAGTGTAGCATCCTATGTTGTCGGAAGATTGGTGGTTGGAGGAGCGGTTGGAACTACCGCCGAAGATTCTGGGGAAGTATCGGCGGAGGAAAGCCAGCGTGGCGGGCATACAACAGCACACAATTGATAAATTGCATTCGATCACACTGTATGTCGCTACCATGACATTGTTATCTTATTTATGTCAGCTCCTGATTCTGAACACTCTAGAAAGTACACTCACATGTTGGGTTCGTTGACGTAGAATACGTAACTAGACCTGAAAATCGAACAATGCTAACTACTGTGATACTGTCGCACTGTGAGCTATGTAACCTTAAATATTCAGGGATAGAATAGATACTCACATAATACCGACACTGAACATGAGAATCAAATAAATTCTCTTTTTTAGCCCTAGCTGTAATCTGAAAATTAATGGAATAGGTAATCCCAAAATCCAAAGATCAGTAGCAATGTTTATGGCCTGGATGACATGTTAATAACACTTCGGCAGCCTATGAAGAAATATTCGTTTGCCCTTACCGAATGAGCCCACCAGAATGCGGTGTTGTCGTAGCATACTCCTTCGCCCGTCCCGGACCAGCTTGACCAAGCGTATTCCACAGGAATACAGGACAGGATTTCGGTGATTGTTGTCGAGATCATAAACAAAAAGCAGTGGACTATGGTACCCAAGCATAAAATTTGAAAGGTGTTGTTGGGGAACACTCGCTTGAAGAACAAGACGATGGCAATTTTCGTTAGGATGATGGCTGGTATGTAGGCGACTTGCGTGACCCATGTGTACTGGAAGGATGTTAGGATGTCGTCTAACTAATAGGTTTCGTGTTATCATTTTAATTGTTTAACTGACCTTGACGACGTTTGTGATTTGTTCTGGAGTCAAAGTCCATATATCTCTTCCCATCCCGGCGCCCATCACTAATTTTCGTGTTAGCGTTCGGAATCTATTTCAAAAGTTTAGTGGGCTCGTTCCATACTGAAGAATTCGAATACGTCCATAGGAATAGAAAAGACCTAACCGAAGAGTTAGCAAATCATCTATATCTTCAAGCTTTCCTTTCTATAAACCCTTACCATCGCGAGAACTGCGCATAGATCGGCCCATTGGTATTCTCCTTGAATGTGACAATTGAACGACCTTATGGAGACAAAAGCCAGGGCAATGGCGGCAGTTACCGCGGTCGCAATAGGCGCAACGAGTCTCCTGTCTCTGACAGGTTGTTTGCAAAGAGTCTGAGTGGCATTTTGAGCAGCTAGATGGTGGTTGTTAGATGGCATACTGTTGGTGATGGCTGAAACAAGCAGAGTGCGCGATATAGAAGGCCGTAGACTTACCGAGACCTTCAATAACGGTGCAGCTTGCTAGTACACAATCCGCGACACCGTTCATCAACGTCGAATCCGCGCAAATGCATTCTGAGTCCGTCGGATCGCAAGATGAGGTCTTGAGTTGGGTAGCAAGGCAATTGGTCTGCAAGGCGTGATTAGCTTGTCCTTCGGTATCGTCTGCGCGTAAATTGAATCTCCACGTACTGCACACGTCGGCATCGTCTGGGCCCCGGAGACGGCAGCCAGGCCGACAACGGTCAACATCACCCAAATTTTTGACTTCATTGCGGCTGCGTATTTTACGGGTCGATGGGCTGAAGACTCCCCGGAAAAAGTCGTCGAGGGTCGACTTTGTCGATACCTAGGTATATATATGAGTCGGGTGTATTGACGCCTGATAATGATTTACATAATTTGCCATTGGTAGGGGCAAGAGTCTTTACAGTCTCGTTGATACTCGTCAAAGCAGCCTTCTACCAACATTTGAGTCAAAGCAACAAATTCTCTCTGCCAACGTTCGCAAACCCTAGACTAATAGCCAGACATAGCCAGCCGATCATTGCTGCTACGCCGTAGACTTCTTGTACCGGGTTTGCGGCTCCGCAGCGCAGGCTCCAGGCCAAGCTTGCAGGGTGCAAAAGTTCTGCAAACCCCCTATCATATCTTCTGTATTGTTCACAATGGATGAGCCCGTACATGTTTTTCAGCGCAGCCCCCTTACTTTCTTTCCCCTCGTTTCTACCTCGACGATAGGCCATGGGTAAGTGCCTGGCTCAGGATTTGACATATCACTTTTCACATCGTACTTTTCCATTTCTGTAATCAATTTGTTTGCTACATACCTAGGTACCTAGTAGACTTGTATTTAACACTGTGCACCTATTTCTACCTACTCGAATTTGGCGAATTCTTGTGGTATTTCATCCCTACAAATTCGCATACGATACTATTCTCTTTATTATAGAACTTCCTATAGAGTAAAGCTATAATTAATAATTAAACTGAAGAAGTTGTATGGGAGCCTTGAAGGCGGGTATAGATTCCGGGTGGGTAAGGTATGGCTCCGAAACGTTGTTGGTACTGTGTATATCCAAATTTGTAGGGTCCAAGCACCGCTAGCCAACAGTATAACGGCATTACCGTGGAGCCACTTGCGATATACATATTACGCATAGCAATCCTGGTCTACTTGTGCATTTATTGGTGTACGTATCCCATGCGACATGCCTTTTCCGGAAAGAAATGTCACTTTAGGCAAGCTATGCGAATGCGGAATGACGAGCACCCCCTACAACGGGCGAATGTATGCGTTTGAGGAACGCTTGCTTCCTATAGAAGGATTCTAAGACCGATCGGTACCTAGATCAAAGCAGGTTTGGCGCTAGAGCAGATGCAGCAACACAACAACAGTCCCAGAAGAGCGGTCGGCGGCTTATTGAGGCTCGAAGTGAGATGGTTGGTTAGTCACTGTTCATTTATTAAGGGAAAGAACCCCGAAACTGGAGATCTCCAAATCCCAAGACGTACGCAGCTTTATTATAGGGGCGCCCACTCTCACCCCCGCATCTTCTGTACACCATACATGCCAATATAAGTGGCATAGGGTTACATGAATATGCTGTGTAATAGAAGAGCCCTGGTAGGCGAAGGGAAGTAAGGGAGGTAGGGAGGACTCGTATGAGCACTTCGCCGTGCGGGGTTTAGTGTCGGACAATTATCTATATATATGTGTTGGTGCTAAACAGGAACTAACCCTTTAACTAACATTAGGATATGATATTCCCTGTTCTGCAGTCCCAATATGCAGCATTTTATCTTATTAACGCTCTATGGGTAGGTATTGCGAGCTACAACAAATCTGGCGACATACATGATATGGTCCCATAGGGGTGGTCGAGCAGAGGTTAAGGATCTGCATCGGGCCACATTTTCCCACGCGGGCTCTGGGATAAAAGGGCTTGGGGAGAACCCCTGGGATAGCTATGTGTTCCAACAGGCTCACCTTTTTCGCAGCTGCCATCGCAAGCTCTACATTGTAGAAGATGGCTTCCGACGTCAAGGCATGGGTCCTCGGTCTCCTCGCCGCAGTCATTGTAGCTCGCTTAATCGTTTCTTTCGTTCGACGCCCGTCACTACCCCTTCCACCGGGACCTAAGCCGGCCCCTCTGATCGGAAACCTACACCAGCTTCCCAAGAGTCTTCAATGGCTTCATCTCTATCACTGGAGTAAAAAGTATGGCCCATTAATGCACTTGAGCATGGGCGGCCAGCCAATGATCGTCTTGTCCACCCACCAGGCCGCCCATGACCTCCTCAGCAAACGGAGTGCAAGATACTCCGATCGGCCACGCATGGTTATGGCTGGCGAATTGGTTACGAGAGGTATGCACATGCTCCTACGTCAGTACGACGATAGGTATCGGTTACATCAACGAATGGAGGCACCCGTCCTCACCCTTCGTGCTGCTAGTTCCTACCGCCCGTTGCAGGACCTTGAGTCAAGACAGCTTCTCTTTGATGTACTCGGCGAATGGGACAAGTTTGGCGAGAAGGGTATTGACTTCCACCACCACCACGAGCGCGCCATGGCTAGCTTTATCTACTGTCTTAACTACGGTTTCCGTCTCAAGACAGGTCATGAGAAGGAGATTATGGACGGAAAACGTGTACAGGCAGAATTCGCTAGGACCGGTCAAGTGGGCGCATATATCGTCGACTCGTTCCCCTCGCTCAATTACCTACCCAGGTTCTTGGCACCCTGGAAGAGAGAAGCCGAAGGCCTGTACGAGCTCGAGCGTCAGCTACATGTCGGAAACCTTAACAAAGGTCTGAGTAACCCCGGTTGGAACTTTAGCAAGTACATGAAGGCGTCTCCCGAAGGCAAGGATATGCCTACCGAGGAACTGGCTTTCGATCTTGGTATTCTCGCGGATGCTGGCTTGGATACGTCAACGGTGGCTCTGGATTGGTTTATCGTCGCCTGGATCACAAGTGGCTCTCGCTGGGTCGCCAAAGCACAGAAACTGCTCGATGAAGTAGTCGGCAAGGGTCGATTGCCGACCTTTGAGGATCGCCCTAAACTTGCATATATCGATGCTATAGGTGAGTTGTCTTTCGTCGCTAATTCTTGTGTTTATCAGGCGCCCTTGTCAATTTCTTTCGTTTATAGCCCCACTTACGGCTCTCCACTCTTTGTACTTTTGGAAGGATTTTGGCTAACCCACAAATAGCGAGTGAGACCCTTCGATGGCGCCCGGTCGTTGTCGGTGGAGTACCTCATTTTACTAAGACACAGGACAGCTACATGGATTACCACATCCCGGCCAATTGCATTATGCTCGCAAACCCTTTCGCCATTACCCGTGACGAGTCTGTCTTCGGCGACGATGTCGATGCTTTCATTCCTGACAGGTGGCTTGTTGATGAGGAACCCAAGGAGACCTCGATTGATGCTTGTGGCTTCAACGTGACTGCCCTTAAGGATCTTCCGCACACTGGTTTCGGGTTCGGACGCCGAGTCTGCACCGGACGTATCATCGCACGTAATCAGCTGTTCATTCAGATGGCGCGTATGCTCTGGGCCTTCGATGTCGAGGCTGGAGTTATCAACGAATCTACCGGCGAGAGGCATAAGGTACACGATATGGACTGCACTGAAGGTTTTGTGACCCTACCTAAGCCATTCAGAGCTGTTCTCCGACCGAGAGGACAGTGGGTGCGTGATGCTATCGAGGCGTCTGGCACCACCCACGGGACAGATCACGGTGAGATTCTCACGCAGGCAAGCAAGGAACGGGCTTAAGAGATGAGATAGGGTTTGATGGCTATGGCCGGTAGCTTCCTATTGAGCCTATAGTTTAATTATCTTTAGGGATCTCTAATATGTATCATTATGTGTATAATATAGACAATAATAGAATGAAACCTATTAGAACGAATTGCCATTTTCAAGTTGTCCCTATTTGCCCCCTCTTTCGGAGGGTCATCGTGATGGACTCTTTGGATGGGCTACATCAATCTACCAAGGATGGATCTTGTCGATAGTCTGGTTGAAAAACTTTTGGGAATGCTCCTCCTTAGTAGAGTTGTCAATCTGGAATTATTAGTAAATGTTCACACCATACTAGAAGGCACTCACTATAAAAGCAGTATTCTTACTACTTTCTTCAAGGGTGACTGGTGCTTTTTCTAAGCCGAACGCGCGAGCCCCCGCATTCCCTAGTTCTGTCTGTACCAACCTATTCATACGCATTAGATGCGGTGCTCGGTAAGCTAGGCTGATATTGAGTGGACTTACCCCGGATGGATACATAAGGTAATGAGCCAGTCATTCTCCATACCCATTTTGACGACCAAGTAGTTGGCTAAAGCTTTGGAGCTACCATAGCTAGCATTTGGATAGGGGTAGTTGGGCATTTCATTCAGACTACCACCCGCGGCGCTAATGAAAGCAAACCGAGCAGGATGAGGTGCCTTTCGAAGGAGCGGTAGTGTGGCCTTGTATAAGAGCATGACGGAGATACCATTGACCATGAGTGCATGCTCATACTCCTCTAACGGCAGGTCTTCGATCGTATTTAAAGGGGCAATGCCAGCGCTGGAGATAACGACGTCAATATGATTAACTCCCTTCGCTTCAATATCTTTGACGGCATCATATGGATCGGTCTTCGAAGAAGAGTCGATTTTGGTGATAAGGACTTTGGTGGTCTGACCCCTTGGAACCTTGACGAGGCCCTGAGCACCTTCAACATCACGAACGGCGGCGATTAGAGTGTTATCCGGCTGAATAACATAGTGATCGAACATGCCGCGGCCAATCCCTGTAGCGCAAATGTATTAGAATTCTCGGCCCCGGAGCCGAAGCAAAAGCACATACCGCGGTTGGCACCAGTGATAAGGATTGTTTTCCCCATAGCGCATGTAATGATGCAAGCGTAAGCTATATGTTTTCGCGAGCTCCTTTCCAGCCCATGTTACACTTCAAGGATATTAATATGGTTATAGAAAAGCAATTCCGCATTAAATTTATCATTTTGAGAAAAAAAACGTCTTTCAAGTAGTTTATTATTTTAGTTGTTGAATTAAGTAGCTTACTAAGTTGGTTCCACGGCTATCTTCCACGGCCGCCGTGGCACCTTTGATGACGAGATTACATTTTTCTATAAGAACATCAACACCCATTTTGAGACGTTCACCTACTAAAATGCATAATACCGCTCAGTAATGAAGGATTTTGAGTTTACCACATAGTAGCTCATTATATAGATCATTGAGAACGTCGGCATTAGCCTAAAATTCTCAAGTCGGTTGTTGCGTAAGTGGATCAAGATTTTGGGATGGCTCATTAAAATAGCACACGATATTAAAAATTGATTGAGTTTTACGTGATCAAATAGATCGCAGAACTTGTTATAAAAGGGCGATAGTGTCAGGATTGATCTCCCTTTCGAATGAACCCCTGAATATGTGCAAAAAGGGGGTGGCTTGTCTTACTAAGCATCCCGACTTTGGGCGCCGGTACCAAGTGACCACACAAAAAGATTCCAGTCCCCATTCATCCATTCCTGTGTCTGGTTATCGTGGGGAACTATTTAATTCCCCCCTTAGAAGCCTCCCAAGATAGTCTTCGCTGCCTTCTTCGATATCATGAATGTTGGAAGAACCGGGAATGCACCAGGAGGCTTAGGGAAGACCGAAGCGTCAACAACGCGAAGTCCCTTAACACCCTTCACGCGGAACTTCGAGTCGAGAACCGACATTGGATCGGAAACGTTCCCAATAGCGCATGTACCGCTTGCGTGATGCGAGTAAGCCTCCAACTTTTCATACTCTATGATGTCTTTATCGGTGCATACAGTGCCGTTGGTGCAAGGGTGTAGCTCTTCGAATGGTGCCAAACCCGAGCTTTCTGGGAAAAGGGTCGTCAATTTCTGACCGAATTTGACAGTTTCAAGCATAGCCTGGAAATCCTTATCGCTATCCTCCTCAAAGAAGCGGAAGTTGATCTCAGGAGTCTCAAACGGATCCGCAGAGCGTAAGGTGACAGTACCTCTACCTGTGCTCCGTGGATCCATATGGACATATGCAATGCTGAACGCATTTGGACCATAGTTGGCGGGGTACCCGGGCCAGAAACCCTCAAACGCGCCGTTCAGAGGCCTGATTCGGTTGTTTAGTCAGCAAAAGGGGTTAGGGTTAGGGTTGGGGTAACGACTCCGACGTACCAAAGGAAGATGTCCCTATTTCCTTCTGAAGCAGATGTCTTCAACTGGACGACATAACGGCCGCCGAAGTGCTCGAATGGCTTGGATGCCATGGATAAAACGCCACCCTCGTAGTTATCTCCAAGGTTTGCGCCAACGCCCAGAACATCTGCTACGACACTGATATTATGTTTTTTAAGTTCGTCGGCTGGACCAACGCCATTAAGTTTCAATATTTGGGGAGTGTTGAAAGCCCCACCAGCGATGATCAGTTCCTTGCCAACCCAAGCGAATTCAGTGGTGGTGTTTCGGTTCGGATCATACCGAGGATCAGCTTTATATGAACTGGGACCGACGACGTAGTTGATCGACATAACAGCTGGTGGCTCAAAGTCCCGGAGTTGGTCCCATTCGATGTGAGTGAGGAATGAATTGAGCTGGACGGTTAGTGGAAGATCAGGATTCTCTTCAAGCGCCTTCTTGATGTAGTTGGCGGGACTGAAGCGGTGATTATCGGCGTCGGAATGGGTTGCCATTCCAAATACACCGACTAGTTGGTCGCGGTCTGGCTCGGGTCCATTGATGTCTCTATGTAGGAGCGTCTTGAGATCTGTGTCGGAAATTGCGGAACCGGTACTATTTCCAAAGGAACCGGAGGATTCTGCAATGGCTCTCAACAGCATCGTTCCGTCTGTGGCGTTAGTTGGAAACCATGATCCATCATCCTGGTTACTGTCTAACCATCCTGAAAAGCCGTGACCTGCCGTCCCGTTCTCTAAGTAATGGTTATTTTCAATCTCTTCGAAAATCTTCTTCATCTCGGAAGCTCTCCACGAATCATCTCCAGTGATGTCAGCGATATAATTCCAGTTATCATCGCTAGGCAAATGAAGGACGGCCGCATTATGCATTGCGCATCCGCCTAATACTGCGGCACGCGGATAGTAGATTCCGAGTTGTTCGGCACCTTCAGGGGGATCGAGTCCGACATAGAAAGACCCATTGGTCGTGCGCCAAGTCATATGCTTGTACTTAAGCTCCCTCTCGGGATCATCAGAGTGTTTTACGAAGAAATCCCATCTGGTTCTAGGGTCATTGCTTGCTTCAAGAGCTCGCCCGATATTTTGGTATAATGGGTCATCAGTAAGGTCGGATCCAGCCTCCAGAAGAAGCACCGAATGCCCGGATTTGGCCAATTCAACGGCTAAAGGCCCACCACCAGGTCCAGAGCCGACTACGATGTAGTCGAACTCTGACGACTGGCCTGCGGCATAGTTGACGCCCAAAGAAAGGGTTAGGAACGACAACGCGATCGATTTCAACATTGCGATTACGTTGCTGAGATGACCTATCAACAACTTTGGACAATTACTAACTCTTAAATACAGACATCTTCCTATTGATACCCTTTCTAGACCATTACTGTTATCAGTCCCCTCCGTACAACACCACTTGTACGCTATCTCGCAGTTGTACTCGGCCAATAACAAGGGAGACGATAGTCGTCTAGTCACCGTATCTCAGACCTTTATGATGCATATTCATTTCTAATATATTAGTAGCGTTAAAAGATCGACGGTAGTTATTCTTTAGTGCCGGTGCTAGTTTTCTTGGGACGATATGTATTTTACTACATTTAGCCTCCCGGGAGAGTGGATTCAGCCGGGAGCACCGTGAAGCGCGTCTGTTGTGCTTTTACCGCGCCAAATAGGGTCCACGGACCATGCCGTTTTTGTTGAATGTCTTTCTACCATAGCCACCGTTATGATTAAATATTAACCCGAAAACTCGAAGATGATGATGAATTATAGGATTGAGGCCCAGCAGTATGTTCTTTTGATATGGTGAACCCCAATTGATATAGTAAGCAGGAAGGGTATAATAGGCTTATAAATCTTGCACTATTTTTCTGTGCCACCTTGGGTTGTAGCAAACCGGGGTGCTAGGAGTTACATCCTCTATACTCTATACGTAGTTACTTCACTTTAGTTAATTTTGAGTAACCCCCCTTTTTATGTTTTATTCTCGTAAAATGTCACGATCGGACCAAAACGGTGCCCCGCTCTAGTAGTAGTCCGTGGAAGCGGTACGAAACTACGAATTACGGGTCGAAACCGTCATACAGTTGTTCTTTGTTGCTTTCCATGACGCGAAATGGACACATATATGCAGGGATGTTACCGAGAACAACCTAGTCTTAACTTAATAATCTACTGATGGAATTTTGAATTATCAATCTTCGAAATATCCACGAGATGGCTAAGTAGTATATATATCACTCATTCATCCGTCCCCTAATCATATCTCTGTCAAAACACAGCTCGAATACAACTCAAACTATCAGACCAATTTCTCATAAACACTCATATTTCTAAACATCTATCTCAAATCAATTTCATCATCGAAAATGGCGCCCTCAACTACGAAGCAATGGACTGTCGCGGGAACCGATCAAGGGTTCGATGGTTTAGACTTCGTCGATGCACCAATTCCCAAAGTTGGAGAGAATGAAGTTCTCGTTAGATTACACGCCGCCTCCCTCAACTACCGAGATCTCATCATCCCCAAGGGTCTCTACCCTTTTAAGTCCGAATTCCCAGTAGTCGCAGGTTCTGACGGTGCTGGTGAAGTTGTCGAGGTGGGGTCGAAGGTCCACAAGTGGAAGAAGGGTGACAAGGTGGTCACTCTATTCAACCAGGGCCACCAGTATGGCACCCATGATGCCCATTCCATGGTCACTGGCTTGGGTGGTGCATTGGATGGTGTTTTGCGCCAATACGCTGTTTTCAATGAGAACGGTTTGGTCCGATCGCCGAAGAATCTGAGCCATGTTGAGGCGAGCACCTTATCATGCGCCGCCTTGACAAGTTGGAATGCGCTTTTCGGAGCGAAGGCCTTGAAACCAGGTGAGGTTGTCCTCGTCCAGGGCACTGGAGGTGTTAGCATTTTTGCGCTTCAGGTATGTGATTAAGGCCATTTGTGTATGAGGTTATGTTACTTATTCTTCCTGATAGTTCGCCAAGGCCGCAGGCGCTACAGTCATAGCTACCACATCTTCCAAGGAAAAGGGAGAGAGGCTGAAGAAGCTCGGCGCAGACCATGTCATCAACTACAGCGAGGATAAAAACTGGGGTGAGACTGCTAGGAACCTTACTGGGGGTTTGGGTGTAGACCACATCCTCGAAGTCGGCGGTGCCGACACTATCGAGCAGAGCATCAAGGCTGTCAAATTAGAGGGTGTTGTTACCTTCATCGGATTCCTTGGTGGCCCCAAGATGCAAACCTCGCTGCTTGAGACCCTGTTCCACCTTTTCACAGCTCGTGGAGTCTACGTTGGTTCTAAGGCACAGATGGAAGAAATGGTCGCTGCCATCGAAGCGAATGATATACACCCTATTGTTGATGATACTGTTTTCGACTTCGGCAAGACCAAGGAAGCTTATGAGTACATGGTATGTCAACCATTTTTAGATCTATTCAGGTTTCTTACGACTATTGCTAACATTTACTCTCATAGTGGAACAAGAAGCACTTCGGCAAGGTCGCTATCAAGATTGAGTAGGGTCTCAATGGACGCATAGAGTGTACGAACAAGTTAAAGCGAACCAATTGATTTCTAGAATAGGGGGGATGATAGTTTGATGCATTAGGTAGTTTTAACAATGATTATACGCTTATTAAGCATAACTACTTCTAAAATTCACGTGTAAATTTGTCTATGAATGCATCATTGTGGAGTCATAGTTAAACCTCTCCCTTTATCCATTTAGTGGATACTTCGGATTTTGAGGCTATTCTGACCCCTATTTAGACCCACTTTATCTTGGAACTTGGAGTTCGAATAGGAGCTGAAGCCTTTCGAGTGAAATCAAACTTATATATCTTCATGAGCTAAGAAGTTCTCTCTGGAGGTATACGCCTCAAATTATTGCCCCATAAAGTATTTTCCATTTCTTCTTTTGTGTATTCTACCTGCGGATTCAAGTCAGGGAGATTCATATTATGTAATTGACCTTAAGTAAGCAAACTGTATAACTCGCATTATGTAACAATTATTACATCATCCAGGGTTAATATTATCCCTGGATTAGAAACTCCCCTCAGTAACACAACACCAAAACCTCAACATTCTCTATCCAATCCTACAAGGAATTGTCATGTTCAATCAATCTTAACGCCGGTATGATTTTCTTGACTCTATCGCACAACATAATTGTCAGCATAGGATGACCAATTCCCCAGCGACGCGGCATGATTGTTGAGCCCGAAGACAAATCCATGATTTCCATCTCAGGTTCCCACTTGAAACCGTTTGAAACGGCAAGGCGAGCTTAACGACTCTGCGAAGATATCTAGAGATCCAAGCGCAGGTCGGCACTCTTTTACTAGATTGCTTTCGGTTCGCCAAGGAATAGTAGGTACATATTGTGGTCATGAAGTGAGGTATTACCTCCAGGTCAAGGCAGTATCTAGGAAAAGTCACTTGATTACTAACAATGATGACATAATCTTATGAAGAGGAGCTGGATAGATGAACGGTCTTTCAATAATAAGCTATGAAAAGAACTTGAAGAGCCTTCTATCTGGCATAGAATTGATACGCAGATAAAGATTTTCGGCTGCGAACATCCCATACTCACTCGGTGAGCACCTTCGTCCCGTCGGGTATCCTCCGATACTATGATGGCGTACCTCGTGAAAAGTTGTTCATGAGTGATACGTTCCGAACTTTTGCTACAACTCCGAAATACCTACGAAGCATTTATTTTTATTCTCACTAATACTTCCCACCCGTGGAACCTAAAAGATTCAATGCATTGTTATAACCTCGCTATCACTGGGGGGTATATCTTAAGTCTGTCGCACCAATGGCTGTCCCGCCCCGACCAATCGGCTTGCTTCCGATGGATATCTACGGTTTCCCATGAATATCTTTCAAGATATGCCCTTGTTTTCAGCTAAAATAACTAAGATGATTATCTACTTTAAAGATACAATTTTAAACTCTAGCATCTTCTCTTTCCATCAGTATTTCGGATAATCAATTAAGTCGGAAAACAATTCAAGCTAGGCTTCGGTGTAAATTCGCCCTTCTTCTCCGATTCTCGGCACCTCGGCTAAGCTACTCCTCTCTAACAAATCCAGTAATTACGCTAATACATCGACTCTATTTTGTATTTCACGAATCTAACTTAACTACTTAAATAATAAACTAAATAGGAACTATCTCGGTCATCATACACGATGTCAAAGCCTACCGTACTCCTCATCGGCCCTCTAGCGCACACCTACAAGGCATGGGAAGCGCTAGGCGCCAAGTACATACTCCTCGAGTTTCGCACGGGGACACGGAAGCAATTCCTCGAGAACTGCCGGAACGGAACGTACGCCGCGGTTCGCGGATGCTACCGATCCAACGTCTCCACCTCCGTAACAGGACCTTTCAACCAAGAACTCATCTCCGCGTTGCCCGAGTCATGGAAATTTATCGCACATAACGGTGCTGGATATGATAATGTCGATGTTGATGCGTGCAGTGCGCGCAAGATCGCGGTTTCTTCTACGCCGGGTGCTGTGGATAATGCTACGGCTGACGTTGGCATTCTTCTTCTACTGGGTGCTTTGCGACAGGCGCATGCACCACTAATAGCGTTGCGCGAGGGGAGATGGAAGGGCGAGCCCCGGTTGGGTCATGATCCCGCGGGCAAGACACTTGGAATCCTAGGTATGGGTGGTATAGGTCGAGCGATGGCGCATCGAGCGCGCAGTTTTGGGATGGATATTATTTACCACAACCGACGACGTCTCGACCCCTCTCTCGAGAAAGGAGCGAAGTACGTTTCATTCGATGAGTTGCTCGCTCAGTCGGATGTGCTATCGCTGAATTTGGCGTTGAATGCGAACACGCGACATATTATCTCTGCACCGGAATTGGCCAAGACGAAGAAGGGCGTAGTTATTGTGAACACAGCTCGTGGCGCGCTTATCAACGAGGCGGATCTAGTATCTGCGCTTGAGTCCGGACATGTCTCCGCCGTCGGCTTAGACGTGTTTGAAAATGAGCCGGAGATTCATCCAGGGCTTATGAAGAATGACCGAGCGTTCTTGCTACCCCATCTTGGAACGAGTACATACGAGACGCAGCGGGAGATGGAATTGCTAGTATTGAAGAACTTGGAAATCGGCGTAGATGAGGGGAAGATGTTAACCTTGGTAAGTGAGCAGAAGGGCTTAGATTGGGCTCCTGAGCAAGCAAACTCATGAACATAGCTGAAACTATGGCCCGCCAAGTTAAAAATAATGATACCTTAGATAGATTAATCAAGAAAGACCCCCAGTTGCTACTCTTGTTTTTGTCACACATGCGCACTCATATAAACCAATTAACCAGAACACGAAGCGAGCTCAGCTATCCGAACTGACTGATACGAGCTTGTATACTTCCAAACTCGGGCACATGACCTAATCTGTCCGCCCAATAGCCCTTGAAAGAATTAGCTATTGTGATATTTCCGCCCTTATACATGGCTGGTGATTCGCAGATCAATACCCACCGGCCTCTATCGCCGGGAACTTCATACAGAATTTCACGCTCCTTAATCCTTTCTCTTATATAAACATCCACAGAGCTAAAACGGAGAGTACTCCGCACATCAACTGAACACATGGCACATTGGCACCCTCCTAAATGTGGACCGTCTTGTAAATCTCCGTATTCGATTAAAATAAGCCTCGGTAGGGGATCTACACCCCGTGAGAAAGTATTCCGAGCCCGAGTCCAATCGGCGGGTATCCAGTCATGGAAATGCAAAACCACTAATTCCAGAAGGGGGGCATTACTGAAAATGGGCCAACATAGAATCCTTGGCAAGTCATCGTATACGATGGTCTTCAAGCAGGGAAATGGACCGAAATCTTCCAACATAGGGGGAAATCTTTTATCGGATTCTCTTCTCAATTTGTCTTGGCATTTGAGAACTTCAAGTTTGGGGCAGCAGCGCGAGAAGATACAAAAAGTATTCATGTTAATGTGGTGCCAAGCTGATTTCCAACTACGTGTAGGACATTAGTTAGCAGCATGTTAGAGGTACTTAGAAGATTCGTTTCTTACCTGAAGAACTCCAGGTTTGGCATAAACGCCAACAATCCCTCGGTAGATCTAGTGGCTGCTTCCCCCTCCATCGTCGCATGAACTTGTAATTCCCGAGTAAAGTGCAAGTTTTTGGACTCGATCATGGAGCGCATGATATCTTCACTCATGTTGCTTGTTCCATCGTGGTGTTCGAAAGATATCGATGTCCAGAGATATCTTGTGAAGAGCGCGTTAAAGTGATGGCTTACTAAACACAGAGAATGGAGAGTTTTTCTGCCTTTCTGGGCGGGCGGTCTTGGGGCTGTATCCGACTCTTGTGAAAAAAGGATATATGGAACAAGCATTAACAGCAGCTCGTTGATAGATGAAAATTGCGCCGCGGCGGGTCCCGCCATGGTTTCCATCACTACCGAAGGAAGATCGGTATCTTGTGGTTTTCTCAGCCAGGTATTGTGAACGCGAAATAAATCACAGAGCAAACTTGTGGCTGCTTATAGATATCGATATCTGAGACATCTTCGCTGACTAAGAAAACCTGTATTATGCCATCTAAAGATTCTCTATTCTTTCGGAAGAGATCCGACCCCACTCTTCTTCTCCTTTCTTCCTCCAACCCCTTCAATTCTTCGATTGATAACTCGATTCGTCATCAACGATAGTTGCAATATCTAGGCGAGTTCGTCGTATACAGCTATAACAATTCTCTTCGATATGATTTACGTCGGCTACGCGCAATCTGGTTGATAGTCTTAGACACAATTCTCAAGCGCATTGGGTAGGTATTTACCATCGGAGTTGAGCCGAAAACCAACGCCACAATATGATGTTGTGATACGCGGAAGAATCCCGAAAACTTATCATATTCTCCTACATACGAAGCAAAGAAGAATAATCACGATGGATGGTATTTATCAGGTGAACTTATTATACTCCATTTAATAATTGTGAACAGAATAACCCCACTCGGATTTCATCTTTATTTACCGCCGTTATAACTTCCAGTTTAAGTCCAAGAAGGAATACTTGGTATTTATCAAAAAATATATTCAAAGTGTGAATCCAATTTCGTCATCGTGCTACCTGCTACAAACAAAGGAAAGGGTACATGGACACATACAATAGATAGAAGCCTATCAGCGGTATTCCCAGCTCCAATCACTCCCGAGTGCCCCGGGATGTCTTATCAGTTCCCCTCATCCCTAGAGGGGCCGCCCTACGTATGGGTACAGTACTAACGTACTTCAGTTAAAGATCTGATGTATTTAACTACCTAGGTAGATTCTAACGGTAAATAAATGTGTATTTATTTCTAGTCTTCCCCTCTGTGTTCAATTGATTCGGCAATGTTGAAAACATGTCGGCTCTTACTCGTGTACTCATCGCGAATCGTGGTGAGATTGCAGTGAGATGCATTCACGCATGCAAACAGCTCTCCATCACGAGCATTGCTATCTTCACTTCCGCTGATGCAGGTTCACTCCACGTCCGTTTGGCCGACTCCAGCATCTTGCTGGAGGGGGAAGGACCCCGAGCATATACCAATGTGTAAGCTAAGTCCCCTCATCATCTCAATCATACTTATTGATAAATCAACTAACCGATGTCATAGGGATGCGATTCTTGAAATATGTCAAAAGTATAGTGTCCAAGCTATCTTTCCGGGCTATGGTTTCTTAAGTGAGAATGCCGACTTCGCCCGGCAAGTACATGAGGCCGGGATGGTTTTCATCGGTCCTGATAGCGAGGCGATCCATAATATGGGCTTAAAGCACGTAGCCAGAGACCTAGCTGTTGCGGCGGGCGTCCCTGTCATCCAGGGCTCGAGCTTGCTCGAAAGTGCGGATCAGGCGTTAGGCCTAGCACGGAAAATCGGATTCCCGGTGAGGATTCGTTCCCCATTCCTATCCGAGTTGTTTTTCTCGTAATTCAATCCTGACACTAGACCGGTTATAGGTGATACTCAAGGCTTCTGGCGGCGGCGGAGGTATGGGACAGCAAGTATGCCAATCCGAAGACGAAATCCCAGCAGCGTTCGCTCACGTGGAGAGTCGCTCTCGAGAGCTTTTTGGAAACACTGGGGTCTTCATGGAAAGGTATTATCCGTCAAGCCATCACATCGAAGTTCAGGTTTTCGGTAACGGATCTGAAGTCATTCACTTCGGGGAGCGCGAATGTAGTATCCAGAGGCGCCGCCAGAAGGTATGTAAATGAAAACCCCAAAAGTTCCGAGGGCACGATTGCGCTCACACCATTCTACTACTAGGTTATAGAAGAGTGCCCAAGCCCCTATTTGGTAGATAAGCCCGACCTACGCGAGCGACTTACGTCTTGCGCTCTGACTCTATCGAAATCAATCAAATATCGTTCGGCAGGGACTGTAGAGTTTCTTGTCGACGATGAGACCGGCGATTTCTTCTTTCTGGAGATGAACACTCGCTTACAGGTTGAGCATGGTGTCACAGAGCTGTGCTACGGCGTCGATCTCGTCAATTTGATGTTACGACAGGCCGAGTACCAACTTGCGGGTAAGGACGGAATCCCTTCAAGTGAGCTTCTTGGAATACAGAAGACTCTGGAGGGATCTGCAATTGAAGCTCGGGTATGCTCCGAGAACCCCGCTGATTCATTTCTTCCCGGATTGGGCCATGTTCAATCTGTCGCATGGCCTGATAAGCATGCGCGGGTGGATACATGGGTACAACTCGGGACTTTCGTGAGCCCCTATTTCGGTAAGCGAAGTCTGAGTCCTTTAGGGGAGGTTTTCCTAACAAAATTGCAGACTCCCTGGTAGCCAAGGTGATCATTCATCGCCCCACGAGAACGGAATCAATCGCTATGATGCAGGAGGCCCTCGGCGCAACACAAATTGGTGGATTAGTCACGAATTTGACATTTCTGGAATCCATCATATCTTCAGCTGGTGAGTCAATGCACGACACCTGTTGCACAAGTATTCACTAACCGTTCAATAGCATTTGCTAGTGGCAGAACTCTTACCACATTTCTGGATTCGCAATTTACTTTCCAGCCTTCAGGAATCCAAGTCATCAACCCTGGCGCCTTTACCACGATCCAACAGGCCCGACCGCGAACAAGGAAGGGTTATGGCATACCAGCAAGTGGTCCGATGGATGATTTATCGGCTTCAAGTGCGTAACCTCTCGTCTTCCGATAAGTTCTACACTAATGCTTATCTACAGTCGCAAATCTGCTTGTCGGGAATGCAATTAATACAGAATGTCTCGAGATCACGGCAAACGGGCCTGAGCTACGGTTGCATAGCGCATGCATCGTAGCTATTGCAGGTTCGCCGTTCGCTGTGAAGTTGAATGGAGAGCCCATAGAAATGTGGTCTAGAATCGTTGTAAAGCCGAAGGAAATACTTAAAATAGGGGCGTCCGCCACACCCGGGGGCCGATGTTATCTAGCAATCAAAGGGGGACTTCCAGGGGTGTAAACATCGCGCCGGAACCATAACCTCTTCACTGCTGACAGTTCAATAGGCCAGAATGGCTCGGATCCAAATCCACTACTCCTAGCCTCGCTCTAGGAGGCCTACAAGTGAGTATCTTTCATACCGGGAAATACAAGAGGGCTACTAAAACTACATCAAGGGGCGACGGCTTCAACCTGGTGATTTCTTCGAAGTAGAACATTTCGAAAGCTCCGATCTTCCCAACTCGTATCGACTTCCAGAGCAATTAATCCCGCCAACCGATGTGAAGACGATATATGTGACACATGGGCCACACGACTCCGATGATTTGATCACGGCCTCCGGACGAGACACTATTTACTCGACCGAGTGGGAAGTGGATTATAACTGTAATAGAACAGGTATTCGTCTAATTGGACCGCATATCGAATGGGCTAGATCGCATGGAGAAGAGGGTGGAAGTCATCCGAGCAATGTAGTGGATTACCCCTATCCTTCACCAGGTGGGGTCAATTGGACTGGTGACAGTCCGGTCATATTTCCTCAAGATGCACCGGGATTAGGTGGCTTCGTTTGTTCGTCTACGGTTGTTTCGGCGGACTTATATAAGCTGGGCAAACTCAAGCCCGGAGACAAGATGAGATTAACTCCAATCGCTTACAAGTCCGCTCGAGAGTTAGCCGGAAAAAAGGCGAAATTCCTTCAAATCATTGCAGGACATGTCTCCAATAACTCTTTAGGGGTTGATCGCCCGCTGTCTCTTCTGAATGTGGAAGAGAAGGTATCTGATACGGATGCAATTTTGCAGGTCATTCCCAGTAGTAACGGGGGTCCGACACTCACACTTCGTCAAGTAGGGCACCACATCCTCAATTTCAACGAGCGCTTTTTCGCTGACAATTATTAATACAGGGCGGCGATCGCTTTATTATTATCAACGTCGACATACCCTCTAAAAAGGTCGGTCTTGACACATCGGTGGCATCGAATAACCTTGCTCGGGCCATTCAGAGCGCCAATACGCCAGGGACATATGTGCACATCAATATCAACTGTAAGTATAAATATTCTCCGATATCTACTGTGAACGATGATTAATCCGGATTTCGCAGCTGTGATGGTAGAGTACGAGCCAGAGAAGATCGCTCAATCGGACGTGGTGCTTCTGATCAAGGACGCCCACCAACGAAGCAGCAGCGTGGATGAGCCCTTGGTAGCTCGCCGTTTCATTCTTCCTATTGTATTCGACCATCCCTCTATTAATGAAGCAGCGCTTCGTTATACGACTATGCAACGGGACAAGGCCGTGTACGTTCCCGATAATGTCACCTACGTACAGGAGAACAATGGTCTTGCATCTCGAGACGACGTCTTCAGTATCCTTCGCAAAACCCGATTCCTTGTTATTACCGTTGGTTTCATGACGGGCTTACCGCTGCTATGGCCCCTAGACCCTCTCGCACGGCTTACTTCGCAGAAGTATAATCCCACGCGGATTTCTACGCCCCCTGGAACCGTAGGTCTTGGTGGAGGGCTGTTCTGTGTTTACCCCGCGGATCAACCTGGAGGTTATATGATGCTCGCCCGGTCAATTCCGGTTTGGGACATATACGCGCTACGGCCAGGTTTCAGGGAGGCCAAACCCTGGCTATGCGAACCGTTCGACCTAATCGAGTTTCAGGAGGTGAGCCTCGATGAATACACGGATATCCTGCGAAGGTTCGAGGCCGGGACGTACGAAATACAGATTGAAGAGACCAAGTTCAATGTCCGAGATGAACTCGCCAAAGAACACGAGGCCGGTAACCTTCCGAACGTAGTGGAATTCCGTAAGAAGCAAATCGAGGCAGAGGAGCAGATGCGCCTCCGCGAGGAGAAGTTGCTTGCTGAGTGGCAGGCTGATCGGGAGAATGCTCTTCCAAATATCCCGCTGGGGTCAGGGGACCAACCAGGAATCAAGGTTGCATCGCCTCAAGTCGGGAAAGTGTGGAAGGTTCTCGCCAAGCCTGGTGATATCATCGAAAAGGAGAAGCCACTTGTGGTTCTTGAGGCTATGAAGATGGAAATTCCAGTAGCTGCAGATGAGTCTCATGATGGTCTTGTAGTCAAAGAACTTCTGGTTCAGGAGGGGACATTGGTGTCGCCTGGGACACCGCTTGTACTTCTCGATAAGGCTGATTAGATTGAATGCCTCCAAACCGTAAGTTAAGGTGAAATATGAGACCAGCAAGATCATAACCAGTGTATCAATTAAGGGGTACTGTAGAGATCACATTTCATGGGGATATGTCCACGAGTTACGAGTCCACTCCAACCATAAAGACAATGAGTCACATCTTCAAGCTAATTTGTAAAAACTACGAAGCCAATTATGCCGTATAAGCTATATGTGTAGCCGTAGCGCAGCCATCCCTTTGATAATAAACTCCGATGATCAACATCAGAGCTCCCTAGGGCCGTTATCACCAGAACTGATTGGTCGGTACCAACGGCACTCGGCTACACCTAGATGGAGTTGACGTAGCAAAAACAAGGTATATATCGGGGCATATCTGCGGGGAACAAGAGGCCCCCTCTTTGTCAATGGTAGCTCTCTTATCTCAGTGCACTAGCAAACAGCATCTATCTCACAACCAAAAGGCACCAGGTGGCTCAAATAGAATATAACGTTAAAACGAATCTCCGAAATATCAAGTGAACCAGGAAATATGGCCCAGAAGCGTTGGATAGAAATCAATTGCGACATGGGCGAGGGCTTCGGCCGATGGAAGATGGTCAGCATCCCCACCACCTCCTCTCACCTACATTCACTTACATCATACTTAGGGCCCCGACGAAGAACTAATGCGCTACGTCGACGTCGCCAACGTAGCCTGCGGCTTCCACGCCGGCGACCCCTCAACCATGGTCCGTACAGTACGTCTCGCCAAGCAACACAACGTGCGCGTCGGGGCACATCCGGGAATGCCGGACTTACTCGGTTTCGGACGGCGCCGTATGGCCGTATCTCCGGAAGATATGTATGCCATAGTCTTATACCAAGTCGGATCTCTAGCCGGCATCCTCGCAGCCGAAGGAGTGCCCCTAAACCACGTCAAGCCACACGGGGAGTTGTACTTTTATATCCAACGTGACGCCACAATTCGAGATGCCGTACTTCGCGCCGTACGCACATTTAACGTGCCGATTTATGGGTTAGCTACTAAGGATATGGTCGAAGATTGCGAGCGGATCGGGTTAAAGCTCGTTTCGGAGTTTTATCCGGATATCAGTTACAACGACCAGGGGCAGCTTATGCCGGTAGCAGAATCGGATCCCGTTACTCCGGAGATAATTTCAAAGCGAGTGTTGACTTTTGCTGTCGAAGGGCGAGTTCTTAGTAAAGCTGGGAATGTGGTCGATGCACCTGTTGATCCACAGGGGTTTAGCATTTGCATTCATTCAGATCTACCAGGCGCATTGGACAATGCTGCTGGAGCAAGGGCAGCTGTCGATGAAGCAAAGAAACAGATATGAATATTCAAAAAAATTTATTTGGCCCTTTTTGACTACCTACCATGATAGACACTATCACAAGACTAAACATAAAGAAGGTGTAGCAATCTTCTTGTTCCACCATGAGTACATAAGTAACTGCTATGAAGGTTTTTCTTGCATGCATCAGTAGGTATCTTCTCTGCTCCAATAGTCTTTATGCTCCCATTTCTTAGGTCAAGGTTCTCCTACAATGAAAGGAAGCTCCCAATACCTCCTACGACATAACTCTTCCTTAAGACTAAACCATCAACAAACATTCGACTTCAGAATAACTTATCTGGACACGACAGGGGAGAATGTAAATAAAGGACACCCGAAACGCTTGATGAATTCCCGGGAATGGGTTCCTGACAGGGGAGTGAAGAACCAAATCGGATCGGTAAGGTGTAACATACGCGGCGGACGCTAGAATTGGCGAATACCCTACGGAAAAGGCACCGCCAGCCCGGATCGTGCTTTGGGGTATCTGACCTTCCTTCTTAATAGGGTGATCCTCCTTTCAAAGTTCCCGAGGTCCCTTTCCAAAAGCGGAATGCCTCAGTGTTATTGATCGTTGAATCTGAAAAGCATTGCACCGGGTGCGGCCTGGGTTCGAGATGATCGAGCCGATCCATATTTTCCATTAATACGGTACCCTCTTGTATCACGACGCTCGCACTCCGACAGTATATGTCTCGGCGCTCTCACCGACTTCGACGCCACGAAATGAGGTGCTACCATATGTAAGGCATCGTATCATGAAGTTGATTAATAATGAATTGATGAGAAAGCTGGGTAGTCAAGGCTATGATGGTTATGAGAAGCTATGTCATGAAGTAACTAGACGCCTCAGTTGACATCATGTGAGGCTAAGCCTCACATCTTATTGAAATTGTACTGAAGTGTTGGTATGATATCTACCCATGTGAGATGTCATACCCGACCATAGAGGTCGCTTAGTTGATTAGGCATTGGTAGTCTTGATAGAAAAAGTGGGAATACATGGAATAGATGAAAGCTAGCCGTATGATAAGGGAGCTAGAGTATGAATAGTAGTTGATCATCTGATGCTGAAGAATTAAGGGGTTGAGGAAGAGGTTGAGAGAAAGGTGGGGGAGTCAGCTTATATACGAGAGTAGAATAACAAGTAGGATAAACAATACGGTGTAAGAAATGGAATAATCAAAAGTGACACCAGATTGAGTTCTCTCCATATGCATAGTTGATCATCCCTGACGTAGAGTTTAATTATACGACTATTTCCCCTTAAGATTTACAATAAAACTGTATATGGCATGAGATCAACGGAAGGAAAAGCCTCCTGACTCAAAGTGAAAACAAAGGAGTCATAAACTTTACCGTATGTACCTACGACACGATTAAGCTAAAATGTAAACGGTGACATCGTGAAATGTTATCCTGTTTTACATGTACCTAGGTGTTGAGTTGTAGGAGCACATGCTCAAACAGGGAGTCTTATATGGAATGACATACTCTATAGTTAGTGTTTTTACCACCTAGACCTAAAGCCTTCCTGCGTGTTGGATATTTCACAAGATTTGATTCTGGACGCACCAAGTACTTTTTCGAATCGACGGAGGCACGAAGCGACCCCTAGTAGTCAAATGAGCCCAAGGTCCATATAGGCTGGGTGGTAGTCGAATCCCAGACGTCGATATAAGCTAATCCATGGACTATTTAAGTAGCCGCCACTAAATATTAAAAGCCTTGTAAGCGAAGGAGTTCAAATGAGGCAACGGATACCATCGGTTACTAGATCTATGAAATACCAAGTATTCGGTCCCTAGATCTGGAGGCTCGTACCATAAGTTAACTCATACCAATGTTGAGATAATCTAGACGCCAACAGTAAAATGTCAAAATTTTCATCGCATTACCAGAAACAGTTTACTGTCCCAGCAAAGCACCATCTAGATCGATGTCAGATCCTTGCGACAGAATAGTTCGTGGCCGTCAAATATGCCAGCCCTACGACTTTCCCCTTATGAGTTTAGCACTGTATAAGAAACACCGAAAGCGAAAGAAAGTATCGCCTCCTAAATGTCGCAATTGGCAAAAAGAAGTTAGACAAGCCGAGATTAAGAAAAAATTCTCGGTCTTGAACATCGTGGTTATGGTGGATGTACGGCCGGATAGTGGGTCTAGTATAGATGTCGCAATCGGGGCGGGCCATCGCGCGAGGGGATCATTGACAGGGGGTTGATGGCGCATAGAAAGAAAGAATATGCAGAACGTGGTATGGCGAGTTCCAAACATAAGCCAGTTATCACATGGTGGTACATGGGTTGCGTTGTCCCCTTGTGCAAGTTCGTGTTGTGGGGGTTTGTTATAAGATGAACTGCTGCCCATCATCTCAAACTTCATCAGTGACAGACAATTGTACCCCACACGAGGCCATCACCAGTCGCTAAAATGAGCACCTCAACACCCCCTTCCACCGCCGACTCCCCGGCCGTCATAACGACAACAACCAAAGAACCACAAGAAAAGCGCATATGGTACCGCACGACGCTCTTCAACGCCTTCGTGATCGGGGGCGTCGGGTTCCTAGCGCCCGGTCTCTGGAACGCAATGTCCAACCTAGGCGCGGGTGGTGCTCAAGAGCCTTACCTAGTCAACGCCGCGAACGCACTCGTCTTCGGAATAATGGGATTTCTCTGCCTCCTCGGCGCGCCCCTCTCCAACCGCATCGGCCTACGGTGGACTCTCTTCTTAGGCGCCATCGGATACCCCGTCTACAGCGCGGGGTTATACACGAATAACCGATACGGCAACGTCTGGCTCGTTCTCGTCGGCGCCGTAGCTTGCGGGTTATCCGCAGGATTGTTCTGGGCTAGTGAAGGCGCCGTCGCAATCGGGTACCCCGAACCCGGGAAACGGGGTCGGTATCTGAATATCTGGCTCTGGTTCCGAACCGGTGGACCATTAGTCGGCGGCGCGATTGTACTTGCATTGAATAACGACGCGCATGCGAAGGCTAAGGGGAAGGTTGGATACCAGACGTACCTGATTTTCATCGCTTTGCAGTGCGTCGCTGCGCCTCTCGCTCTTGCGCTTTCACCGCCGGAAAAGGTGCAGAGATCGGATGGGTCTAAGGTTGTGATTAAAAGCGAGGCGTCGTTTACGGCGGAGCTTAAGGCGTTGTGGACTACGAGCAAGAGAAAGGATATTTTGCTCTTGCTGCCGGTTTTTTGGGCGGCGTATTTTAATCAGTATAGCAGTAACTTCCAGACGTACTATTTCGGCGTGCGCGCACGTGCGTTGATTGGGTTTGTTACCCAATTCGGCACGTTGTTGTCGTCGCAGCTTATGAGTGCGCTGCTGGATTACAAAGGTCTACCCGTGAAGCGACGCATCGTGATCGGATTCTGGTATGTGGTTGTGTGGCACATTATTGCCTGGGTATACGCCTGGGTCATCCAGGAGAAGTACACACGAAACCCACCGGCGTACGATTGGGAGGATAAGGGATTCGTCGAGGGATTCTTCGTTTTGATACTTTGGGAATTCTCGCGACAGGCGTTGCAGAATTGGTTGTGTAAGTGATTGATACGCCTCTTACATCATAGACTAAAGATGCTCATCTGTACCAGACTACCTCGTCGCTACGAAGACCGATAACATCTCCGAAATAACCCGGTTCTCCGGTATCCTGAGAGGCCAAGAGAGTTTCGCGCAGGCAGTTAGTTACGGTCTAAATACTCAGAAATGGGTTGGTGGTCGAGTACCTTTGGCTGTGAACACGATCTTGCTTGGTAAGTTCCGCTGATCTCATAATTCTTGGTCTATAAATGCGAACTGACATTACCCCATAGGTCTTGCAGCATTCCCCACTTGGCTCGTCGTCCGTGACCTTGTCCCGATCGAAAAGGAGCCAACCTCTGACACCGACAGCCACGTAGAGGATGGTCTTGGTACAAATCGAATCTTAGATGCCGACCCGAAGGAGAAAGCAGTAATTGGAAATGTTAGCGTTGGGTCGGGTGCGGCGATGTAGGGCATTTTGAAGCATGATAGTAGTTTAGTTCGAATCTAGGCTGTCGTAATATCAATATTGAGAACTGTGGAAAGCACTTGACGATTTATGTGGTGATGGCATCGTATTTGAGTGATTAAATGAATACTAGCGTATTGGTAAGATTGGTGGCTTGCGCCGACTCCGATATCTGACACTTCAAGAACATGACAATCACAAGAATATTGGAACGTAGAAATGTACTGTAACCAAGAAATGATCTTCCCATTTCTTTGGCTTTATTAAATTTATCTTATTTCTAATATTAGTAATATCGTGGTATCATAAGATCCGTGTAGTCTTCTCTATGTAATCAATCATCCCTTCTGTTACTCCTATCGCTTCGTGAAGACCAAGGGCTGGAGCTCCCACTAGACGATCTCGAATGCATAAAACTGTCCATGACGGTGAATTCATCTTGCCAGTCTATGCTCCTCTTGCCCGACGCGACCGGACCGTATCCAAGTTCCTCATCCAATGCCTTGTTCTTCTTCATGTCTCCCACTTCTACGTATTCATATTCCCATCTATATTTCTTCCCAGCTTGTAGTCGTGGTAACCAAAATTTCCGTACCACGAAGAAGATCGTGTAAGCAATTATAGCACCTCCGAGTAAATCAACGGCGTAATGGTGATTTAGGTACATTGTCGCCCAGCAAATCCAGGTAACGTAAAATATGCAGAGGCCCTTTAATTTAGGGAAGCAATGGCTTATGAATAAAGCCTCGAGAATCGCGTCGGCGGCGTGAAGACTCGGGAAAGCTCCGAAAGGTACGGGTGCTGTTGTGAAGCTAGTCGTATACATGTCGACACCAAAAAGCGCATCAATTCGTGCAAGACCCGCCGGGGAACCTTGCATTCCGTATTTGGCGGGCTCAAGACCGTGCATCCGCTCGTACCACGGGGGAGTGCAGGGGAACAAAAGCTGAATCGTAACGCCGAGGGCGCTCATCCATCCAAAGCTCTTAGCGAACATTGGAACCGTTCCGGGAGCAGCAAAGATAAACATTATTGCAGAGCAGATAGCAGGAAGTCCAAAGTGACCGAGACCATCTTGAATTGTAAGTTAGCTTCCATAATTCATGGTAAGATTAAATTTTAGATGTCGTTTTCATCCATATATCCTCATTTAAATAACGGAGTAAATTCACACGAGGCATCTCATCACTTAATATCGGGGTATTCTTACATGGAAACCAAGCAATTACGTCCAACACGGGATGATTCCATGATGAGAATATTTCGGAAAAGTTCGTTCCGTATAAAATATCTTCTAAGGCTGGTAAGACTTTTACGAAGATACCTGGCCGAATGTCAAAGGGAATAAATCTAAATCGCATGTTAGCTAACCGAGCCAATTTGAAGATCTCCCTTGCTTCGAAGGGATGACCAAGTCTCCCAAGAAACCTATTGGGGGTGTGGGACAAAAACTTACCGGCTGGAAAAGAAATATAGTAAATAAGTCCATATTGGCCAGGACGGGAGAAAGAATTGTCTTGTGGCGGGCATGAGAAGGAGTGAAAGATATCCCAAGGCGGCGGCCGTCTTTATAAAAGGCGCAGAAGGCTCAATGATCCATATTGAGGTTAATGTTAAACCGGCCAGAACGACATATTGTACATCGAATACACTCCACTTTCTTGTTCTTAACTGCTGGAACGAGTCTGTGATTTTGAAAGAGGTTTGCAAAGCCGCAATACTCTTTGTGGTCATGGGTTCGCGCATTTGTTTCGGCGTCGTCTTCGTGGATTTTGAGGATCGGCTGAACATTCGTGGTAAATTGTATCGGCCCGGTATGGAGTTAAGCTTGGACGGACTCAACCTCTCACGCCATCCCAATGGGATTTGTGTTTCCGTTTCGACGACGATGTTGGTTTGCTGCATCGGATCTCCTCTTTTGTAATACCAAAACCACGTTTTTTCTTTCTTTTTTTGTTTGGCCTGTCCTTTCCTTTCCGTAGCTAGATTGTATACACAATACCAAATTCGGTCGTCGGCGATGTTGTTGTCGTACCAAGTCCACCAGGTTACCAAATCACCAAAGTGTCACAAGCCACCAAAAGTAACCAAAGACAAGAGTGGGCTGGTGAACGCAATGCCTGCTGGGATGGATGGACAAGTTAAAGATTGTCCTCCCAGGTCGCCAGACGAGGAAGCAGAGGAAAGAGAGGTATTAGAGGTTATCGTCGCCGGGCAAAGCTTGTCACGAAGAAATCACATATGGGACGTAATTCCACAATCGTGCGATCGGAATGCGGGAGAGAAATGGAAGAGGAGATGGAGGTACATGATATTTAATATAATAAAGGAAACCGACCGACCGACCCGGCGCTTTGTTGCTCGTGCTTGGTCATGTAGATGTACCTATTAGCACTAGAATAGCAGTAAAACGTACAGAATTAGCCGTATGTAGTAATGTCGAGGTACAATATGTACATTACAACTCAAGTTTCCCTCCGGATATAACGGCGACAGGGATCCTTAGCGGCGTACTTGGTAGGAGAAGAAAGCTTGGACTAGCTTGGCTGATTGGTAAATTTGTCTCTCTGCAGAAAGTCATGGATTTTATGGGTGGGGCCACGGACTGGCAAGGATACCCTAAGTATCTGCTAAGAGTGGATTATGAGTAATGGATTGTATGGGTCTTAAGGTACATCAGCAGGGATTAGCCCATGACTTAACGGACCCGGTACATCTATCTAAGCGGGGGGGCCAAACCCGACTTTGTGCAACAGTCGGTACTGTACTTGCACCGATCGTGTCTCGATTGGTATTTTATATTTTACGACAGTAGAGTACGACTTGGCAATGGTGCATTGTACAGTACAGTACATCTATCACACGACACTACTACCAACGACGTTGTGCATATCGTTCAATGGTGGGAAAGGCACGAGGCGAATTAGGGGTTTCAATGTTGATGGGGGTGCACGAATGAGTTCATTGTACATACAGTATTAATAAATTAAGTACACATTACACTTGGGCATACACCGATTTTAAAGTGCATACATGCAGAAAAAGTTGTAGGTAGAGTTAACAATTTTAGTGGTTTATAAGCCCGGTGAGCTGTGACAGTGAAGCGCCTTACCGTAACCTTAAATTCGAAAACGATCCGGGATTGGAAGACATTTCTTGCTTTCTTAGCGCTTGCACCCGAATACGCCACATTCCCGCTTCAAAACACCTAGATTGCCTAGGATGCGTTGGCGGAGATAAGCCCGGGGGTCTTTTTTGCGCGCGAAATATCATGAATTTTGTTAATGGTATCTGTACCGAGGTACCCAAGCATCTACAGCCTTTATGTACACTTCACTGTTGTGTATATCTTCTATTTGTTACTCATCTGCATATGTGGATGTATCAATCCCGTTGCATTCCCTCCATACAATTGGTATAAATAATTCTTGGAGCTATCCGGAGTAAAATGTCGATCGCGAGATACGAATAGAGGCAGGGCAACCTAACATATCAGCCTAACATCACTCAGCTTGGCTTGGGGGCTCTATGAGTTCTCAGCTTTCGGGCTGTGTTGGCTGTGATCTCGTGGATCGCATCGTATATCCATTTTGAAACCTTGAACGGGTAACAAGGTGTAAGATTGTGGCCCCGGACTGTTGGCCTCTGCCTCTGCCTCAAAAACAAACACAACCTTAAAGATTGTTACTCAGGCCTATGCATCCTTTAAAGGATGGATTACTATAATAATTCTGTACCCATGTATCACCATCGCATGTACAAAGTAGAATACATGTTTGTAACATTGTCATTTGTAGTGTATTTCCCTTAAACCGCTAATAATGATGCCAAGATCCCTTTTCATTACCATCTATCCGTTGTGAGTAAAGCGCGGAATGATATAATAGATTTTATGGAACACAAATTTCCAAAGCACCAGACCATCGGGAATCGTCACGATGCCTAAATCAGTTGTTGTCCGCTGTTCCCATGTCAACATCGGACTTATTGGGTATCAGCAGGTGAAAATTCAATTTTTCATTTTGTCATTCTTCATTACGGAGTTCTGGTGTCACGTCTTGCCGAGATGTAGATGCTGACATAAAACTTATCTATCATCAGCTCGCGAACTGCTTTTTGCTCGGTGCTCTGAGAACCGGATAGATGATACATGCTTCTATATGCTGTGTGTACCTAGCCTTGAGGGTATATACGCAACATACCTACATATCTAGATGTTCATCAGCCACACTATATTCAGCCCATATCATATTATATCGCACCGGTCTGGACTTCATTAAAAGCGCAAACAGGACACACGGACAATGAAAAATCTAAAGAAATCTCTCGAAGCTAGCGGTTTGAAATCAAAATATCAGCGCTAGAACAGAAGCCGGATTGTCCGGAAGAGGGCGGCACCGGGCGGCAGCTTATGCTTATTTAGTGAACACGTGCATAATCTTATACAACCTTGAACAAGAAAAAGGTACTGTACGATACCGATTAATGCGATACGATACGATGCATACGATGTGCGAATGCGAAAAGAATACGGTACACTACCCCTTGTATAAATACATTGGCGCGCTTGTGCGACGACTGAGATGCAACCGTCCTCTTGGCAATGGTAGGTTATGAACAGGGTCTTAAGATCTTGGCGGTTGGTTGCCCTCTTGTCTTTGCGTTGCTACTGGGTATAACTCCACTATATAACCCATTTTGAGAATTAAAGAGCCGCTCGTCACATCCCTCTTACGCGTACGTATCATCGATTGTTACCCATGTCCATTATGTACATATACCTACGTATATAAAATACATATTAATAACCGGAATGGAGAATGGACACGTGAGGATAATATTGTAATAACTTATACAATATCCATCATATACGTCTGCATTCTGTATGTAGCAATGGATCGTGTGTTTGTTCATTCCTCTTCTACAACATCAATCAAATGTAGTAGTATGGATGGATTTGATATGCATATCTCTCTTTGCGTCTAACTTAACAAGTATCTAAGTAAGGGAGGGAAAAGAAGGATCGAGGTCGGCATGGGGGCGAATAGTTATGAAACGCTACGGGTAGCGAGATCGCGTGCGCAAAGAAAAAAACGATTATGAAGAGAGGGAAGGGAAAAGAAAAATCAGAAATTGGATAGAAAGTGGATACAAGCCGCGAGCTCCACATTTTTTATCTTCGGTTTCCGTTGATTGACCGATCCTCCGACAATTTTGGTACCTGCGGGAAGCCTTAGGCGAACTAAACGAACGGACCAACCAATAAGCGAAATTTACAATGAACATGAAAAGAATAAGTGTCGCCTAATACGGCTTGGTTGTTGCCTTACTAGAGAATTAAGATTATTCTGGCCACGGCTGCCACGGCATTCGGCCTTAACTAGCCACCTGTCGCACCTATCTTTTATACAATCTACGGATTTACGGACATGAACAATACAACATATCGAAAAATGGAGCGGCTTTTTAAAACACAATCTGTCTGAGTCTCGACTCTATTATCTCTTTTTATTTCCCGTAGTAGACATAAACACATAAACCAAAAAAAGAGAAGAGGTACTTACGACGATGGAGCGATAAAGTAATAAAGTGGCACCATGTGAAGATCTGCCCAGAATTGTTATAAGAAAATACTACTCTCCCCGCGAATTACCGGCCCACGCACTTTGATAACTTACCGCCCTGCCCAGCCAAATCTATGGAGCACCTTTATCGAGAACTTTTTTTTTCCTCTTTTCATTTGCCAGTTATGTAAATTCGATCACGCGACAGCCAATTTCCAATGTGGATGTGCATTGGGGAGGTATTTTCACATGCGGGCACCTGACGGGTTTTCGCGGCGACCCGGACGGACACATGGGAAATAATGTCTGAGAAGGACGGGATCTAAGTCAAACCCGAAATGTAGTAGATGCGGTGTTACACGGGAAATCTTGATGACTTCTGCTTATATAAACGGTACCTCATGTATCTCATGTATCCCGTCATCCCACGGGGCGTCGGATGTGAGTTATACATGATTAATGCAATATTTATGAATAAGGTAGGTGTATTTTATGCCATTATGTTCCTTATTCCCACAAGTATCTCTTCCAACTCCTCCGTATACTTGTAGCGAGCGAGCAACATGCAAAAGGAAGATCCAACTGATACCTATCCGCGGCCACTTATCTGGTGTTTGAAACACAGGAAGTACTGTACATGACAGGGTATGCCTCGGCACTTCTAAATGCTTTTTTATTTCTTTTTTCAATTTAATTTTCCTCGCTAGTGCTATGAAAATCCACCTTGCTAGTCTTCATCATTTACACCACTATAGTGTCACTGCTATAGTGGATATGACGTTTGTCCATATATGGATATCTGAAGCTGCAGACCGAGGCATTCTCTAGCTAAAAGAAAAGAGAGAAAAAAAATACAATAGTTCACTTCTCTTTAATGCCTTACCATCCGGAGCTCGAGGGGTAGAAAGAGGAAGAGATGGAAAAAGTGAGAAAAAGCGAGGCTGGTAGACATACATACCGAATCAACCAATCTCACCCCACGCCCAAAGACGACTTCGATCATCTCGATTATAACCCCATCTACCTAGCTACATATGTATCATGTATGTACCCAGGCTGTAAGGTAGGTTGAAAAAGGCTTGTTTGACCGCCGGAGACATGGTAAACCACCAGACTAAAAGGCAGATACTCGGCCAAAAGAAATGCCATTCGCCTATCTCGCAGATCAATGTACCAGAACGTATGTTTTTACCATGTACTCGACGCTTAGCTCGACTACGTACATATAATATAGCTACTTGTCGAGCTACCTAGCTACCTAATGTATCTAGCGACTCATGAAGTCTAGGTACACGACAACATCTCGCCGTACCATACCATGTAAGAGCATTACTCAGGTGAGCAACCTACATAATCGACGTCGTAGCACAGGACAGCACAATGCATGAAGCATGCAAAATGCAAGCTCGGTATCTTCACCGCACCGAACAAAGTTCCCCTTCTCTTTTATGTGTGCCTTGTGATTTGATTCCTAAGCTATCCGCGCCTGTTCGCTCGTCGGATCCTATCCGGGCTGACACTAGTTAGCCCCGGACAGTTATCATCATTACTCAGACGGGTAGATAGAATAGTTAAGTAGGTACCCATAAGGGGTAATCTATCGAGTCTGGAGACATACATGACTTACAGTGGGTGTATGACATCTTGACCACATGACAATTCCATTGAATCGGATAGTTCCGCCTATGAATAAGGTCGTGGAAGCTCAGCTCGAACTAACCTAACAACTCGCCAGGGAATTTCGTGTTCGCTCGCTCGTCTAACCAACGTCGTCATAAAAACTTGTATGTACAATATCTATTCTTACAACTCACATCACACTACATTAGGTCGGGTAGGTACCGAACTGATTCAATGTCTCAAGAAAAAGGAAACACAGAGACAGCGTAACTTATCATGTAGTGTAAGGGATGACTTCATCGTATCGAATCGTTCATTTTCCACATTGATCGAATCAGGCTATCTTAATTAGAATAACCCTCCATCATCACTGCACCCATACTTTGATAGTATGTTATCCACGATCACTCGTGATGAGACTTCATTGGCCCCCAATCCAATAAATGCGAATGCTACTCTGCTCCCTCCGTTCCCGCTCATGTGTGTGATTATGTACCGTAATCCCGTCTCATCATCAGAATAATAACAATAAAAAGGAGAATATGTCCTGTCTTCTCGTCTCATGCCCATAATGAAATGATCCTTATTCGCTCGCCTTCGCAGATGCATTCTAAATAATTTCATCCCTCACTTCGTCTTAATAACCATGTCGCCCCAACCGCCCGCATGCGATGGGCCTGGTTTACCTCCGTGGTTGGCTAGCACTCCACAGTCCTTTTGATGTTTCAACGACCCTGTTCGCAGCTACGCCTGGCCTAAGACTTGCAGGTACCCCAGAGGTTGGGTTCATCCCGCCCATCTCCACGTCTCCGTTAGCCGTGCTTGCGTAGCCAGAGTCTGCTTTTGTTGCCTCGGCCTTGCCCAACGGTGGTGCACCGCGACCGGGTTCTGCTGACCGGGAGCCGTCCATAAGATGAGCTTGTTGACCTTCTCGGAGTTTGTTGATAGCACGAACTGTGTCGATGGCAGCATGTAACGTCTTTCGCGCATTGAAGTTCTTCTTGACTGTTGGAAGCAGGTTCTGGCCCCTGTTGTCGTCACCGCCCAAGCTGTAGTCAGCAACGAACGGATGTGATAGGGCTTCGTGAGCAGTCATGCGCTTGTTCGGGTCGACCGTCAAACATCGGCTGATGAATTCTTTGGCATGGTCGCTAACACCACGCCAGTATTCGGCCGGTTGGAAGCTGTAGTCGGCATTGAGAATGGCCTGCATCTCCTCAAAGTCGGTATCACGGTCAAATGGGGTATAGCCACATAATAGGAAATACGTGATTACGCCCATGGCCCATATATCAACTGGCTTCCCATGTCCCGTCTTCTTGAAAATTTCAGGTGCCATATATCCAGGAGTACCGCAGGTGGTTGTTAGGACGTGGAATTGCTCCTCATCCATGATGCGCGACAATCCGAAGTCGGCAATAAGAAGGTCGGCGTTGTCTTCAGGTGTACGGAAGAGCAGGTTCTCGGGTTTAAGATCGCGATGTACAATGCCATGGTCGTGCAAGTAGGCTACAGCGGAAAGAGTTGCGCGAATTAGATCAGCAGCGTCGGACTCGTAGTATGACCCTTTACGGCAGATTCGGTCGAAGAGTTCACCTCCTAGCGCAAGGTCGGTTACAAGGTAGAGATTGTTCATGGTCTCGAAATAGTCGACTAGGGTTAGGATATTTTGATGGCCCATCGAGACCTTTTTGAGGACGGCGATTTCATTCCGTACCTAATTTAACAAATTCGTAGTTAGTCACATATGCGACTTGTAGATAGAGAGAGGATACTGAGTACGATCAGGATAGAGTAGTACGAACCATATGTTCTCGACCGGCCATCAACCTCTTGTTAATCACCTTAGCAGCATAATAACGACCCGTGTCAATATGGACACATTCTTTCACGACGGAATATGAACCTGCTCCTAACGTCTTTCCTACTTTGTATCGACATGGTTGTATTTGAGGACCCGGGCGCGGGGAGCCATTGCTGGCTAGTCCTACTGTGGTTGCCATTGCGGTCAAAACAGATACCAAGATCAGGAACTTTTAGCGACCGAAGTGGCTATGGCAGGGTGATTAGACGGTAAAGAATCTCGAGCGACGTAGGACGTTGCGCAAATGTCAGCAATCTGGTCTTGGTCGAGGGAAGTCCACCCCCGTAAGCAGAAAATGGAGGGATTCGATATTCCCTATGTAGATCTTGATCAGGGGGTGGTAGTTTGTCGTTTATTTATAGATCATTCCCACATGCTTCCAACAGCTTATAATCCAAGAGTTTTATTTTTATCGAATACCGAATGGACAGTTTGGGCTTTCGAATAAGAAGAGGATGTTTCTTAAGTGTCAACGATACGAGGAAAGGTAGTCGAAAGGGGGAAGAGATGGGTAGATCGGAAGCGATTGAATGATCGGGTATAGCGCACGGGTATCTATAATAGTTAAAGCCTTGCGGGGAAGGGAGTCGTACTACGGATGACAAGTGAGGGTTTAATATATAAACCTTTTGACTTTGATAGGGATGAAGAAGTTGTCAAGGGTATAAAATTGAATATTGGTATTTCTTTAAAGTTGGAGTATTAAATTTCACGTTCGGCGAAAAAAACAGAGTTAAGGAAGCTGAGACGATCAAACGGAAAAGATGAGCCGCAACCGCGACCGTATTCAGCTACCCACTCCACCTTCTCCTGTGCCCCTCATTCACTTTTTCTTAGTCATCCGTTCGGGGAGGCAGAACTGTAGAAAGAAAGAAAGCCCGTGATAGCGGGGGAAATTATACAAATTATGTACAGCATCACAAACCCGACACCGGTATACATATATGATCCTGTGCGACCCTCCTTATTATTTGAGGCAATTCATCAAGTTACACCATTTGTTCCTCGTTATATGAAGCACCTATTCTACTGAAGATTGCACAGTTATCTAGGTATGTCCTACACTTACCAAAGAACCAGGATTGGTTGAAGTACCAAAGTAGCCCCCTTTTCCTTTGGGATGGCCTTCATTGATATTAATAGTCGATCTAACGTCGATACATAATTATCTATTTGTCTACGGCAGGCGAAGGTTTTAATAATACTAGGGTTCCAAAAATGATTGATTCAAGGAGGGGTATATCTGTATTACTTATTCTAGGAATCATGCGTATTTCCTCTCCGTTCCGACTTCTTCGAACTTTTATACTTCTTCAAATTCGCTCGGGCTTCGTACGCTTTTTTTCTTCTAGATTCTCGTTAGATCCGCCTATAACCAGATACATCTGATGGGATGTAAGTGAGATATACAAGGTATAGAGGAATACATACAAGGCTTCATGCTTCTTAGCTTTCTCCTGGCTAGACACCCCAGGAACATTCTCCTTATAGATTTTTTCAATCTCCTCTGCTAATTTGAGATGATTCTCATTTTCATTTGCCGATCGGCTTCGTTGGGTCTGGCATTGAATTGAGATACTATCATTCCCTTTAGAATAGTATCTAGAGGATCTCAGTGCTGCGAATACGAGCTTTGGCAAACTTTTAGATAGTTCCTTAACAGGCCATACTGTTGTCGCCTTGGTCTCGGTTCTATATATTCGATTAGTCTTGTCTATTATTGGAAGATATATGGTGACAACACGTACTTATTAACATGTTGTCCCCCTGGTCCGCTTGATCTGGAGTAATTTGTATAACCTTTGGGTAATTGACTCCTATTAAACGAAGTATGCCATTCTCTAGCTTCTGCAAGCTCTTCTTGATCAAAGGAGGCATCGTATGGCTGATGCTGCATAGATCGTGTAAGCCATAGTGGTTTAATCAGACACCTGGGTGTGAAGAACAATCTTGAAGTAGTGGAAATGGTGCGAAGCATGATATGCCCCTTTTTTCTCTTGTTAACCGGGCTATTCAATCATGGCATACGTGATATTATACAGTCCCCAATGACTGTATATCAAAATATAGATGCTATAGTCTTAATTGTAAAATGTCGCTGTCCTATAGAATATTTAATTCGTCGATGATGAGATGGTTCTTGACATCTAAGAAATGTTGAATTCGTTATCGTTATCTTTATCGTTAGCTTTATCGTTGCCTTTATCGTTATCGTATTCGCTGATAGTCCGTCGCAGATTCCAACACCGAAAGCAATTTCCAGTTGTCGATACTAAAGTGTATTAACGCACGGACCCTAGCTAGTACTGAGCTAACCCAATCACGTAAGTACTGTACCAAACGAACCTGCCTAAAGGTTGGTATTCTACGGTTTGCTACAGGACAATTCCTTCTTAGAAAATTTCCCGTTTCCCGTCCTTAACACTTCTTTGTCATAAGCCGCCAGCCTTGTCTGTTTGCAAAGCCTCAACACACTTGTTGACCCTCCCATACAACTTGTGTACCCTCCATTGATTCTCAATTCTCCAATTCTTTTAATCTGTAATATTCAATCCTTTTCCTCCTTCTTGGCCGAGTTCAAATACAATTACCGTGACGCGACCGGTCGCAATTCCATTATTGACATCCCTATTGACGTCACAGCACCGCGAATACAGAAATACAGAAATACAGCCCAGTGCCGAACAGACCAACAGTTCATGCTCATATCCGAAGTCAAGTTCGAATAGACAAGTTCCCGCTACTCTCACTTCTTTATTCTTCACATAAGTGTCTTACTGTTGTAATTGTGTATACACACAACTCACATCAGTGATTCATTTTCCCTCTACAGCCTTCCCATCTCTTTCTCTCATCATCCTCTCTAGTATTTGAAATTCTATTGCCTCTTTATTAGGCAATCGTGGATTCTCCCCAACTTTGATAATTTGTTCCTTTCGGATGGACCAGACATCAATTTCCAACATAGATTCTCCTAGGATCCCTCGGACTATTTCCACCAGTTAGTTCAACCGATTTTCGACCATATTACAAGGGTCACCAACTACCATACCATTCTTTCAGAGAAGGAAATCCCATCTAAATTGTATCGCCCCATGCAACCTGAATGACCGACAAGTCCCCGGAAGTTCTGGCGACTGCCAACTTAACTCCAATATCTCCGGCGCCCCTTCACCTGTCTTCACCAGTAGTAGTGCCTGCTCTCCAAGATCAGGCTGATTCGCTCTACACCATGTCGCTCTCCAACGGTGTCAGTCAGGACCCCACAGTACCTGCAACGGCCGGAGAGCAGGTCGAACCACCAAGACAGAATGGTGCTCCTACCACGGACAGTCAGCATGAGACTTATGGCACCCAAAATGCCATCTCTACCAACAACACTGAGAATGCTGATGATATTGACGATCTTGACGACCTTCAACCAGATGACGAGGATGACGGGGCTATTGTTAAGAATGATAGTGCAGCCTTGGGCGGAGATGGTAGAGAAAACGCCAACCAGGATGTAATCAAGACGAACATCTCAGCCATTAATTCCGATTCATCTGAATCATTTGCAGACAACTCTGATGGCGTCGATTCTGCTAGTGACCATTCATCTGCAAACCCCCAAATAGACCCGCGCCCACAATCTCAGACTGGGATCACATCGTCGACGAACAATACCGACGTGTCCCAGGCTGCTACGACGGCACCCACTGAGAGTAATGACCACCTGCCTAGTACTACTAGCAACGAAGTTGACATCCAAAGCCTCGTGGACAAAATTATAGGAAATGCGCCCACGGCTGCAATTGCCAACCCAATCCCCACTCAAGAAGTGTTGTTGCCACCTAGACCACCTGTTCCACAACAACCTTCTTCAGCGTACGTGCAGTCAGAGGACATTGCCCACACTCAGTATCAGCCCACGTATTCCAATACCTCTGCTACCATGTCTTCTCTCCTTCCTCCGCCCCCGGGCAACCACCTTGCCGGAGCCCCGGGAACGATCCCGGATGCCCATAATAGCCATCCACCTCCGCCAGCGGCATATCCTCTTAATGCCTTGCCAACCCATCCATTCCCGGTAGCACAATTTGATCCTGCTTATGCTGCTGCTCCAGGCACGCAACCACAAATCATTGACCAACAGCCCCTACAGCGATGGGAAACTTTCCTCCAAGAAGAACGTCGATATGTATCAGAGGCTAAGTGGGACCGCTTTCCTGAAGGATCAAGGTTATTTATTGGCATGTTCACGTATGGCTCTTATATATCTCTCCCGCTAACCATTCCCTAGGAAACCTATCCAGCGATAGGGTCTCTAAGAAAGAGGTATTCGATCTGTTTTCGAAGTATGGTCGCTTAGCACAAATATCCCTGAAGCAAGCCTATGGTTTCGTGCAGTATCATAATAAGGCCGAAGGTCAAGCGGCAATGGACCATCTCCAGGGCTTGGATGTTCGAGGACGTAGAATTCGTGAGTACTCCAGCTCAATTCTAGAAAGATACCAAACTCTTAACGCCCTGCAGATCTCGAATTTTCCCGCACCCAAAAGAAGGAGGGAGAGGGAGACAAACGTGGGAACAGGAACAAAAGAGACAATGATCGTCATGAGGGTACACGCGGTCGGCGTGATGATTATCGCCCTAGCCGACAACCGTCTCCTAGAAGAGCAAGCCATCATCAGCAGTCTTCTTACGATGGTGGCCGTGACTACTACGATGACTATAGTTCCCGCGGCCGTTCTCGTTCTCCCGGTTATGGGAGGCGGGATTCGGGCCATTACAGACGCCGTAGTCCTAGTCCGTATCGCCGCCATCCCTCCGAAGCCGACCTTGATATCCCTCGACGATATGGAGCAGAGGTTCCTGATGTTCAGTTCATATTACGAGAGCGTGTTGAGGATAACTTCATCGCCTGGACAGAGCGCGCTTTTCTCGACTTACAATTAAAGGTGCAGCACATGCCCCTTTACCATCCATACCCCCAGTTTCCTCGAGATGCTATCATTCAGCGCCAAGTAGTAGAAGGTGTCCACGCGGTAGTTGAACTCGACTTAAAAGCACAACGCACTGGCACTATCTCGCTTCAGGTGTTTAATCGCTCGGGTGGACGTGGCAGCGTTCAATATGACCAATATCAAGACCTGGATCCAGTCACAGCAGCACGACTTGTCCTAACCCGCGTCAAGCCCCAAGTTCCACCTCAACCCCAACATCCGTATGGTACACAGTACCCGCCTGCGCAATACCATCCCCCACCCCAACCCGCATATCTACCCCCTTCTCACTCAGCCCAGCCTTACCCCAGTGCTGTTATCCCTCCAGCCCCAACTGCCAGTGCTGGTGGCTCTTTAGACGATTCCACCATACAAAGAATTCTAGGCACCATAAATGGCCAACAAGGTGCTCCCCGCGGCTACACTCCTCAACCGGCTGGGAGAGCCCCAGATATGAATCCTGTTTACACCGGTCAAATGGGAGGTAATTTTTCTGGTCCCGCGGCGCATAACCTGCCGCCCAACATGGGTTACCCACCCGTACCCGCAAATGGTGTGCCTGGTCCTTCGGGCGGTGAAAATTCGCAGTATGTTGATAACATTATTTCCCAATTGGCACGATACCGACAGTAAATTACTATCCAGGTGGTAATCTGTATTTATGGATGGATGCATGATAGGACGGCAGCATGGCGGCACGGAGACACGGAGATTCATTTGATCCCACGGCTTTTGCATGGTTAGAGAGGTGAATTGGCATTGGGACTTTAAAGTCCATACTCTCTGTACGTATAAGGACATGATGATCAATGTTGCTTTGCTCTTTTGAGCTTGATGTATAGTTGCATCGTTGACCACGAGAAAGGGTTGAAATGAATGAGCTTGATGGTATAGACAGGTGATCATAATGATAATTCTGGCATGTACTCATTTCTTATACTATACATTGCTTTTTAGTGAGCCAAGTTTTGTCTGAACCGTTTTATCCCTTCCAACGTGATCCGTATCGTACACTTTCTATATCATATACATATATAAGGCGTGAAGTTAGCACCTAACCTTCACTCCTTCTCATCCGGTTCAAGTAACGCCATTGTAACTTTACCCTCCGCTTCTTTCTGCGCTGCCTCCTTCGAAGTGACTTCGCTATCAGGAGCCGTCCTCTGTAACCACACCTCCAGGCGCTTTCTTAAATCGTCCACTGACAGATCCCGCACCTTTATCCCCCGATCCTCGCATGCTAGCACTACTTCCTCATCAACTAACACATCCACACCCCCGCCTTCGCGAATCATCGCATCATCCACCGCGATACGGTGTACAGCGCGTCGCGCTAATCCCGTTGCGAACGGTCCATCCATGCCAATCCTATCCCAGAACGAAGTCGTTAGGCCTAGACTGCGACATATATGTCCATTCGCGATATCCGGGTTTATCTGCGACGCGGAGGTGGTAGATTGTACGTGGTACTTTAACGCGCGGAAACTCTTTTCACGGCGGGTTTCAGATTGAAGGCGTAGGGCGTCGGTTTGTTTGGGGATTCGACATGTTAAGGGTGTGAGGCGCGGGAATATGATGACGATTAGGGGTGTGAATTCTCCGCATATAAGCATTAGGAGGCCGAATATTGGGAGGCGCGAGAGGTCGTGGCGGACGCGGGACCGGAGGAGGATGTCGGAACGTGAGGGGAATGTCGTGGACCCGGGGATTTGAGGGGGTGCGGTGGATGAGGCTTGGGATAGGAGGCGTCGGTTTATGATTATGGCGTAGAGGCCGGCTTTGTAGAATGTCATATACGCTTTGCCGAGGTGGTAGAGGTAGCGGAAGAGTGAGGTGTTGGGGTCCCGCGTTGGGAGGTCGAGGGGTGGTGGGCGTGTGCTGGCGGGTGGGTTTAGGAGTGATGAAGGAGGAAGGGGAGAGGTTATGCGCGTGGTCGAGGATATAAGCTCGGCGGCAGATTTCGGCGGCCAATGTATAGGGGTTGCGTCGCCATTTTTGGGTTGCGACTGTGATGTTGTTGAAGTCGAGGCGAGTCGTCGCAGATGTAGACTTGAACTTGGTCCTAATCTCTTTGGAGGGTTGGGAATCGCTGAGATGAGAGGTGTAAGGGTATATGGCCAAGGTCCATGGCTTCGAATGGAAGGATGGATGCGCGCGAGGCGCAGTCCAGTGGTAAGGTGCATTGGAGCGTCGGTGGTGCTGGGACTGTTCGCCTCGATCACAACCACGAAGAACAAATATCAAGAGTTGTAAAGCTTCAATTGTGTGGAAACTGAGAAATTCTTAGTTACGTCAGCGCCGAGGTTAGCCTATGTTTACGTAATGAACACACTTATCTATCGATAACTAGCCGAGATCTGCTTATGTAATTACTACCCCTGAGCCCCTTTTTAGGGTACCCAAAGCAAACTGCCGTATCGTTTGATACTAATAGTTTTTGTATGTTATGCATATTATGTATGAATTTGTTGGTGCTATGCTCTCCTATTTGAATTGTTCGTTGTGTGGAAATTATGCTGGGAATAGCTACAGTCAAGGGATCCACAATGGTGAACGAACACTAAAAATTATAAAGACCCACTACGCCATACATTTACGTCCGGTATTACTAAGCTTTCTAAGGTTATGAACTGCGTAAATCCCGAGAAACATTACACTAAATGTCAGTAGTGCGAACCTTCACAGTATATACTGTATCACACTGTGCTGCTAATTGGTGCGACTACGTACAGTTCCACCCGCACATGCCTGCACGGTCGGTACTTAGTCTGACATCTTTCTGTTGTGTAGGTCAAGTACCACGGCCTACTTCTACACAAACAATCAATCACACCTGTTTATTCAAGAATTCATCTCTTTTTCATCCCGGACCGGATTTTCAGCATAGATCCCGACCAACTACGTTTCCATTGTGGCAGCATCATCTTGGAACCCCTGGAGTCCTGGTCTGAGACATTCTTCAATTACCAAAATCATGGACTCGGTGCTTCCAATGAGTCCCAATAGAAAGGATAAAACTTCTAAGCAACCTACAGAATGGACCTTACCGGCCTCGATCAGCCATAAAAACATAAAATTAGAAAAGAGCATATTACAAGAGGTACTACAGATGACTAGTCTGGGCTCCCACGGTTGTCTATTTGAACATTGTACCGTCACCGGCATCGCGCTCTATTCCAACACACTCGGATATGATTCCAGCGAAGAATTGAGTCTCCTAATTAAGATATTTCGCAATTTAAAACAGTACTCGCCAAAGGGCGGTCTTACCTCCCTACATCTTCGTGTCGCTGTCGGTTCGGAGGGTCCGGATAAGATGCTTGTTGAGCCGGATGAATTTATTTCATGGGGACCAATTTGGAGCGCGGCGCAACGTACTTTTACCATCGTTATGGAGGCCCTTGACGAAACACAGCTACCCATACTTGAACACCTAGACATCTTTGACGGAATTCAAGGCTGTAGCTTGGCATCCGATGTTTTCATGTCCTTTGCTGAAGGGTTTCCTTACACGGATCTCTTCGGGACCTTAAAGAAATTATCGCTCAGCTTATCGTTGCCATACGAGATCCGGACAGACGAAACCGAAAGGGATAACCCTCTATTATACTATCGGACCAACGCCCGAGTCGGGGACCTACTCATACCCCAGGATATTTTCGCAGTATCTCGTCTCATGCCAAAATTAGAAAGTCTCAACTTACATTGGTATAATATCCGGAACCATGCCATTCCTCGCCCAAATCGCAGGCTTCTTCTGGGGGATTGTTTGAATGAGCGCTCTATGCGACTCAAGGAGTGCACTCTACGCGGACTTGAAATATCCCAAGACTATATATTAGATTTTATTCAGACCATTCAAGCCCCATCAGTAACACTTAGAAATATCAACCTCATATTCGGGACATATAAGCGTCTATTCGCATACATGGCCAGCCCAGATAGCCCAATAACGTCCTATCATCTGGAAGACCTTCGTGAAGGGCTTCAAGTCGTATTCTTCGACGTACCCGGGGAGCCTAGACACCAATACACCGATTTAGGCATAGGTCCAAGCATCCTTACACGAGGGCCAGACAAAGTTAAGAAACCTCTCACTTACAGGTTTGCGATGGGCAGATGCATCGAACCAATAGATCTAATACGAGTGAGTACCAAACCTAGCCTTATTTTTACCATACATCGGGACATTATTCGTTTACTACAAAGCTTCATGAATCCGGAGCGAGTATTCTTGAGCAGCTAGAGTATTTGAAAAAGAACAACTGTTAATTCTATTTTCCTAGTGGAGGATTGCTTATAGAGCGGAATATGGTTCGCCGGTGAACAGTAGGCCTTATGATTTTGTTGCGATGAACTCGCCTCTACCTGAATCTGAAGACCCGCCAAATACAACCGTTGGGAGAAGAAGACGACGTAGGTAGCGAGCGATGTCCTCACTCGGTACCTAACATTCAACCGCTCTACGTCCCATGTGGGTGTGAGAAACTACCGGTTCCGGGCTTAATACGTTTACTAGCTGGAATAGAATAAGGATTTTCTATGAAAAATAGTATTGAGAAGTGGAAATCCTACATTTGCTAAAGAGTGACTTGACTAGTCGTCGTGTGCGAAACGCCATCGTCCGTGTATAACTGATACATAGATAGCATAGAGATCCAAGTAAGGAAACGTTAATAAGAAATTTTAGGTAAGGAAAGGTCCAATGACGCTCCTAGAACTCCCCTCTCCTGTCTAAACCTTCATACCACTATCGACTCCAGAAGAACACCAAGCTGTCATAGAAACCTTCCATCTCATGCGAGTCTGCTGGAGGGTTCAACTTCAATGTTTCGACGACGTAAGTTGTCGACATTTGCTCTAGGCGTTGGATCTCTTCGTGGTCTGAACCTTGGACTAGTTTCAGTATCGAAGCCAGTTTCCAACGTGTACGGGCTATCGAAGCGCCCATATCAAGACAACCTTCATTCATCGAACACTCGTATATTTCCAAGGCCTTGCGGAGATATCTCCTAATATTTTGTTAGAAATCTGCTGGAGGGGGCGTTCTTTCGGGGTTGCTACTTACTCCGATTCAACCATATCCTTTTTCGGAAATTCATCTAGTGCTAGGATAGATCCCACTTTATGGCACGCATCCGCCGTTGCGTGGTGGCGGTGACCAAAGTCCCTGGAGAAACTTTCTAGAGCCTCAATGTGCATTTGGTATGCCTCTTCAAGTCTATGAAGACGGAGGTATACATTTCCCAGCGCATACAGGTTACAATTTAGACCCCTTCGATGTTTAAGCAGTGATCTGTGCAGAACCGCTTCGGCAGATTCCAAGTCTCCTTTCCACAAGAGGCAAGAGCCCAGATTGGAATACAGCGTACCGAGACTCCCTGATGTTTCTTCACCGCCTGCTTCAGATAGCTCTATTGCCAGTTTCAGGGTTTCCTCAGCCTCGCAGAATTTCCCCTGGCCAGTCAAGGAATTCCCTAGCAAAGATCGTATCGCAATAAGGAAGAGGCGATCGCGGATCTCTAATTGGTTATTTCCCAATGCATCGCCGAGAAGTCCAAGCGCATCAGAAAGGCTCTTCTCGCTAATGGATGGCTTGTTTGACTCGAGATTCAAATACCCGTATATATAATGCGCATAAGCTAGGGTCCTTGGGTCGATATTTGACGCGTTGGTAGCTATCTGGATAGACAATTGAATGTTTTCGAATCCTAGATGGTATTGTCCGGTTTCATAGAAAAATCTAGGCTGCGTTAACATAGTATTTAAACTACGATTTTCATCGACTTACGATCCAAAGCGGCAAAGTAGATCAACCCCTAGTCCAGATGCTTCTTGTGGTAGATCTGGTGGAATATTCTTCGTTAGGGATTGGAGATGAGGCATGAACTTTTCGAAAGCGGGCCAATTCTTTGGATTGCGGCCTATGTATGCCTTTGAGATGGGGGGCAGAATCTTGCAGAGACTGTCAACAGCAATGGAAAATGCTGTCATATAACGGTCTCTCTGCATCCGTATTCTGCGTATCATCGAATCCTGGAAGTATTTTTGAATAGATATATAGTCGAAAGAGTCGGCGACTGTGATCAAGGAATTCTGCGAGAGGCTTTCGATAGCATCGTGAAGCTCAATTTCTTTTTCTGGAGGCAAGAGCTTTCCCTTGAAAAGGATTTCCACTGGAATGGCATCCCCGTCGAAGAGTACTAGAACATCCAAACAAGCCGCTGCTTCAGATGAAATTGATTCAAGTGATATATCCCAGATGCTCTCTAGCGGGCTTGATCGTTCAAGTTCTGTAAGCCTCCCGGCGTACAATGTGAGGAATTTCTTGGCTGTGATTCTTTTGCTTTTCATAAAAGAGCCGACGACTTTCAGGCCTAGCGGGAGCCCATCAAAGATTTTTGCTACCTCCGAAATGTTATTCCTCTCTTCGCCATCAGACAACCCGCTATGCCCTAGAATAGATATAAGAAATGAGTCGCCCTCTATAGGGCTAAAAGGCTCGAGTTGAATCCATCTGCTGATCAAATCCTCGCATTTGGCTTGGAGGCCTCGACTGGTAACTAAAATGCATCCGTGTGATGCAGCAGGCCAGAAAGGGGCTATCATGGACGCATTGTCAGCAGCATCAAACACAAGTAACCATTCAACTGCTATGACTATTATTAGAACGTGTGATTTAGTCGGCGATGGCGGTGAGGACGTACGTGTGTGCCGGAGCCAGTGAAGCACGGCATCTCGGCAATAGTTCGCATTATCATTGGTTGTGGCAAACCCAACGCTCCTAGCGATGCTCGTAAATTGGCCCTCCAAGCTCTCCCCTGAATCCGCATGGAGCCATATAATGATTTTATATCTTCCTATATTGCGATATACGTATTCAATGGCCACTTGAGTTTTACCAATACCACCAAGGCCGATGATTGCGATGGATCGAGTGCGATTTGATCCTGGGGTGAGAGTATCTGTCACTTCATCGAGAGTGGATTGGCGACCGAAGAACCGATCATTCCTCAAAACATTTTGTAGGAAATAATATGGAAGCTTTGGTTCCACCTCGGTGTATGGCGGCGAGTTCGCGGAGGATGTTAATATATCGCGAAGCTCTCGATGGCGGCGTTCAGCGGCTTTGGAGCTTGCGGTATGAAGTTCAAGTACAACGCGTTCAGTCGTTGCTTTAATGGCTTGCTCATAGCCCTGAAATTTCTCCTTTAGCGACGAGGAAACGGTCATGTGTAGGGTGTTCACTGTGATATATTAGCCGCTTAACCCGACAGCTTGCATGGATGCATTGAGTATGATATGGTCAGTGATTACCTACAGAAAGCCGATCTACGGAAATAAAGTATAGCATCAACAAGGAATGATAAATACCCAAGAAATGTTTGGGTTATAGCATCTGAAAGCTCGGCAAAATGTGCCGTAGGGAACAATCTTAGCCATTGTTCGAATAATGGCAAAGTTGATGATAACTCAACAAGCATTCGGCTTATGTCATTAACAATCTGAAAAGATCGAGAGGAAATATGTGCCATAACTTTAAAATTATGTTCATCGTTGTGCGGGTTTGACTCAGGACAAACCTCAAGGAGGAGTCTTATGGCACCCCAAATGAGTGAAGTTGGGTTAGGACTTGTCTGTGTCAACACATCTACTACAACTGCAAATGACCGCATGTGGTTCACGATAGGGTTGACCGCGTGTAAACACTTAAAGAAAAAAGACTGGGAGTACTTGGTCCGTATCGGCTCGAATATCTTTCCTAAACTATGCTGGTTGATGATACTGCTTCCGTCAGTCGACGTAATTGCTAGCTGATCTTCCAAAGGTAGGCGTGATACATGTTGCCGCAATGCGGTTTGCCAAAGAGAACCCGCACCGGATACATCCGTAGTATTCGCTGGTGTCTCAATGATTACAGCATTTGTAGCGTCGGTAATCGTGTATCTGTTTGGTTTCTTAGAGAGTAAACGGCGAATCATTTGCGCATTTTGGTATGTGACAAGTCTTATTAATTTTAATTAGAACGTTGTATATTCGTGGAAGTGAACCGTCAATAGATCCTGGGTAAGACGAAGTCTATCACCGCTGCCTTCCGTACCTAGGTATGCTTTAGTACAGCCTTTAAGGCTAAGAGAATTTACCCTTTGCTATACAGGAAGTCGGGCTGCAGTTGTGTAATTTCGAGGGGTTTCTTTACATACCTATAGACTACGTCCCATGATATTGTTACTGCATATTGGGGCTGAAGATACGGGATTAGAGAGGGAGCTTGGCGTTGTACTGCAGCTTAGAAGTGCTATTGCTACACAATCCGCAGACAGCTACAGGCAGAGAAAGATAATTATCTCTTCACTTTTGGTATTAATTCTTCCGAGTATTTCAACCCGTAGCTAGAGCCTCATCTTAAGGAATATTCTATTCGATAATTTGATAGGCCCCTATAATACCCCCTATCCCTCGCATGAATGGGTGTGGGTGCGCGTGACGAAACTGGAGAGACTAAACACATAGATATGCTTCCCCTGCCTCACAACAAGAAGGTAAGATATGCATTTGTAGGGCTACTGAACTAGTGAACCATGTATTTATCGAGCGTCATACCGCGAATCGTTGCTAGCGGTATTCAAAACCCAGGAACCTTACATTATAAAGATAATAGAGTCCCCCCCCGGAAAATCTTTTTAAATCGCTTGTGTTCTTTTATCAGAGGGCTTTGGTCGCGGGTAAGGGGGTTGCGACCTTTCTCGTACGGGCAGCTTCGGAATGTCGGCTAGGACGAGCCCCGTCGAACAACAGTAGACTGTTCAGCTAACATCCATTTTCTCCACGGCTTATTTTCAGGGTTGTTTGGGTCGGGTTTCCAGGTAAGCCAAGGCATATTTTGCTGCTGTTCGGTTGTATAGTCGTCCTTTTTCAGTGGCCAGAACGCCCTCCATGGTTGGCTTTTAGGCACGGTCGCCGCTATGTTTCTCATTTTTGCATAATTGGAAAGACTATAGGCCAGCGTAATCAATATCTCGTAAAAGTAGCTGATTAGGGTCTACTTACCTTTGGGGCATGTCTCTGACGATTCTTGGCGACAACATTTTTGACTAGAGAGTTGGGGACGTTCTGAAATAACCATGTTTTGATTACTTTCCTCGGGCCCTAAGTATAATAGAAAAAGGGCAGTATATATAGGTCATCGGCAAGGATCACGGGGTACCGTTTGGGAGAGAACAATGGAGATTCAGCCGTTTGACGAAATGGTGTGAAGCTACCACACCATTATCATGCTTATCACCAGGAGGTACTCATTACTGAAACACCAGTTATCAATTTACCCTTCGTTGTATATTACCCAGCTATGATTCGACCTACTACTTAGATACTAGGTCGTTGATTTTGTCTCTAACGCCCGCCTACTATTACGAAGCGACACGTTATAGTAAAAAGGTCGCAAATACAATACCCCACCATTTCGAAATATGTCCGATCTCTCCAGGCGGAAGGCTTCACAGACTCGAAAAGCTCACATGAGCCACCACTGGATGGTAGGGTTGTATTGGAGTATGCAGTGGATTCTGGTTTTGGAAACCCTTTCTCGAGTCATCAACCTCTCGGAACCCGGCCTATCCCCACCGGTGTATAAGATATTGAACGCTACGTTGGTCAGGTTACCGAGATTGCTGCTGCGCGACCAGGCGGATTACGTCACCTTGGAAGATGGGTGAGATGACCCCCACTAGGTGGCGTTTTGTAGGTCGCACCGGATGTAATACATACGACCACTTGAAAAACTATATTTGATTTTTGACACGTTAGTAACTGTTCGAGCTTTTTGTTGCAGTGCATGCAAACCTGATATTGATATCCCAAACGGGCATATCAATGTCAAGTGGTAAGGGCATTGTCATAAGGCTAACCATACGGAGGTTTTGACAATTATGTTGTTGCGCAAATAGGGAGCAGGTAAATACTACGGGAACCGCCGTATACTTACACAAGTAGCCTCTTTGTCCGGAGAGCTCCGTTGTCTTCATCTTGGCAAAAGGGGTCCTCTTGATTTTTCTCATGGTGTGTTGCTTCGTACAGCTAGAGTACGGACAGGATCGATAAGAGATGTGTTCTAGAGGATATTAGCCGAATATATGTCAAGAGATTACCAATAGGCCAGGCTCTTGAAGTTTCAAATATTTCTGGGAACGTTGAAAAGTAAACGGAAATATACACCGTTCGTATGGTTCTAATTAACGGAAAAGTTATATTGGCGTGACGTGGTTCGTACACGGTGCCATATGGCTCTATTCAGGTAACTTCCAAATGGGCTTTCAATATAGAAGCAGTGATATATTTTGACCCCTTCAGGATGCCGATGGCACCAAGAATCATACATATAAGAAGATACCTAAAGGAGGCCTGTGCTTAAGATTTGGGGGGGATATTTCTTCGGAATTATTACTAGATTTGCAGTATTGTATCGCACAAATCGAATAAGCTTTACGTATCACGGCAACCACTGACCTCTTGTTAACTTTGAACTTCGATCTGGTGAATACCCAAGCACATACCTCGTTCGACTGGTGGCCTACTTCTCCTTTGCCTTCTGGGTAAACTACTAGAACCAAACATTCAACACTTTCCCTTGCCCGGCAACCCTTTGGAGCATTCGCGTTGAAGAAGGCCGCGTGAGGGCATACTAGTATTGGTTAATATAATGCATCTAATCAGTAGCATATCATACCTCGTGCCACTTTGTAAGATTGGTCTGAGTCAAAGCTCTTAAAAACGAAAGTCTCGGTAGGTTCCATATTTGAGATATAATACCATCGATGACTAGGATTATGGTAAACATTGTATGTCTCCGCGGTTAAATGGGTATATACGTTGTCGCTGGGCTCTAGGTCATGTATCGGGTTGATACTCTTCCAGTCGCAAAGCGCAAGAGGCCAATCATGCAAAGGCCCAAACAAGGGCCTCCAGATGCTAAGTCTTGTTAAACTGATGCGGACTATGCGAACGAAGTTAAGGGGCCGAACTTGAGAACTTGCCAACGTCGGTTTAAGGTTATATGCGCTAGACTTTCCCCAAGGACCATACGCGCGCGCTCGGCCGCCCAACGTGGCGTGAAGTCTAAGGACTTAGCAGCTACAAGAGAGTTGAATCCGAAGCACTCACCCACATGCACACCTTGCACTGGTTGTGGGGCTTTGCCGGTTCCTCTAGGAAGAAGTGGGAATACTTCGCTTCTACGTCTAACCTAAGATCAATCAGAAGCGCGCCGAAGAGACGCCTCGTATTACTACACAATCTTCCGCACATACCTCGTGTGTAAATGGGATCACTATACCCGCTCCTAATCGTTCAACCAAAAAGCTTTTTACAGCTTCTCTGTACTTGTCTTTGACAACGGGTGAGTTCTCGTAATCTTCATATTTGAGAGCTGAGTTTAAGGATACGTGATCCTTCTCATCTCTAAATACTTGGAATCCGTTTGCGTCTAGTGTGAAATCGGACTCTCGACCCCGCAAATCATTAATGAGAATACCCTCATAAGCTTTGGACACCTCATTTGATTGCTTCTGGTGAGGGGCTAAGGCGGATGGCGGGACATTGAGGTGATAAGGCTTTTCGGTCTTATAAATCTCCAATGGATCGAGATAGTGTAACGTAGTCGCCAGAGGGGAGGTGCCCAGTACAGTCTATATATTAACTCTCGGTCAGCAAAGGGTATAGCGTACAGCACGACGATTGCGGTGTACCTACAGAGTAAGGCTGAGTGATTCGAAAATTTATGAACGAAAATAAGCGGCGGCGAGAAATGGCGCTTGTTGAAGTTGCTCTTCGAAGAAAATATGTAGACATAATGTTCTGTCTGTCCGCGGCGCGCGCAATCTTTCGAAGGCCTAGGGCGGTATAGGTATAGGGATCCATCTAGAGCGGACAAGGACAGCGAGCAGGGATATATCAATGCGTGGAAAGCACAGTGTTAGAAGACTGTGTGCAAACAGTGTGGTGCATAAGCCGATAAACGGGTACCTAGATACGTATGTACCCAGGTAGGAGGGTTAGGTATGCGGATGGCCCGGATAACTCCACGCCAACCGACGTCCCAACCGGACTCGGACCGGACAGATCATAAGATCGACGCTACGAATACCTACATTGGTGTTTACTGACTCCCGGCTTTGTATCTGCGCTTAAGCCGCTGCTATTTTCCACTCTCTCTTAAGGTCTGGAGACGAAATGGGTGATGATCGTAACGTTATAGTGAAAGAAAAAAGGTAAACGTAGTCGCATTTGTTTCTTCAAGTATTAGAAGACAGAAAGGTCGAAATTAGAACTCCACACAAAAAAGTCACCCTCGCCTATCTATACATTTATCTGCTGCATTTTGCACGTTCCTATCACCAGAGGCATATATTCAACGCTATCTGGTACTATCTACCGAGTTTCATCGGCCGGTAACTTCAGTTAGCCGATTTATGTCGCAAAAAGGTCCCGTCCTTTCACGCGCAATCCGTGATTCGCATTTATCCCCAATTTCATTGCAAACCCTAGCCAGATCTGGTTAGCCCAGCGAAGTATGAACCCACTTGCATTGCTGCGTTAAGCGCCGCGCTTGAATCACTGGTATTTGGCATTAAGGGATTGCGTAGTTTGCAGATCCTTGTTCAAGCTGCCTGGTAATATCATGGGCTGCCGTGATAGTTTAGCTGGTGGAAATCATGTCAAATCGGACCCCCGGTATGCGTGGAACGTAAGGTCGTCGCCGGGTACCCGTACCTAAGCATTGGTGAATAACCGGTAGGTCCCACTTCGTATCCATAGTTCCAATACCCCTCCTTCGAACGTACGACAATTTCTCGAGACATCTTCACACCCAAACGAACGACGATAGCAATATGAGCGCGCGACCTAATGTCGCTCCACACAACGGGAAGGAAACGGTGGTGATTATAGGAGCGGGATCGACTGGCCTATGTACTGCTCTCAATCTTGCTCTCGACACGAATCCTGGAAGTCGGAAAATCGCCGTATTCGAAACCCTGCCTAATCAGTTCGAGGCAACCTCGGGGTCCTGCACTGGATGTCTTCACCATGACTTCCGCGGGCTTGACCACGAAAAACTAGTTGAATTAGGGAAATTGTCATGGAACCTATGGCAGAAGGTCGCAGAGGGTGAAAAGTTCAGGATCGACGCAGGTTATAAACCTAACTGTTTCTTTGATATGGAACATGGCCATGGCATAGGGTTGGGTGAGCTCCCAGACTGGTTTCGCTTCAAATCGTCTTGGAATGCGGATAGAGATCAAGGTCCGAATGCTTTAGTGTGAGTTTGATCCTGAAGTGTAATAACCTTCATTCTAAACTCTTATAGAAATCCCAAAGGCATTGGGGATTGGTTATATTCTGAATGCTACCGACTTGGCGTGGATATGTGGTTTGGCGCTACTGTAACCGCGGTTGAGCTGTCTCCAAGCAACGAAGTTAAATCCGTCACCTACGAGAAGGATGGTGCCTTAATGCGACTGGAATGCCAGTCTCTAGTCGTTGCTGCTGGACCTTGGACGCCGACCTTATATTCCAAGCTCTTCCCCGCATCATCAATCAAACTCAAGTCCGCACTAAATGCAGGGGACTGGATAATATTCCGTAATCCATGTCCGAAGACTGAGAAGATGGTTGCGTTCGTTGCTTTGAACAACGTCCTTGGTAAAAAGCTTGAGTTTGCCGGTCGCCATGATAACACCATATGGATGACCGGACCGGTTGAAGACGACGCAATACTCCCACCTTTAGGCGAAGTCGCTATCCCGACTAAGGCAAAAGAAAATATGCTTGTGAACTACGCTCGGGAGTATTTGGCGCAGGTCTGTACCAGCAGTGGCAGTCCTCCGTCAACATTGGACGTAGTTAGCAAGGGACGGGCCATTCGACCAGCAACCAACACTATCCTCCCTATAATCTCGAAGGTTGATGCAAAAGATTTGTTGAATTCCGACGTCCTCTTTGAAAATTCAAGCGGTGTGTTTGTTTCATGGGGACATGGGTCTTATGGCTTGACCCTAGGTATGGGTACGGGGAAGGTTATGAGCGAGTTGATTTTGGGTAGGAAGCCTAGTGTCGATATGTCGATTTTTGATATTTCTCGGGATAGGGCTGCTTAGTGTCGAGTAGCATGTTCTATCGATATATAACGAAGCCCTCCCTGCTTTAATGATTTCTGGCCGTAGAATAAGTCTAGCTAGCTAGCCACTTTGGAAGTCGTCTTTATCATGCGGCTTGATGCGATTACCTTCGGGTACTACCTTGGTACTAAAGAAGGCAGGAAGCAGATTCGATCATGAGGCATAGACAAGGGAAGCGGACCCGTTTCAAAGCTAATCATTGAGGAGTTTGAATCAATATGCGGACGCTGATATCAAGCCATCCATGAAATATTAGGTATCTACGGCAGGAAGAGGGTGAGAGTGAAGTTAAATCGATTCAATCGGGCCGGCTTTGGGGGGGTACAGAAAAAATATACCTATCTAGATACCTAAAGAGGCGACCTATTGGCAAGGGCGTATATATATGGCTTAGTTTTTACTAGGGTCAGGTATATGATGGAGGTAGGTACTTAGCCTGAGGTGTGGATCATACACCTAAGGTACCTATTGGTCTCCATAGTTGTTATCCAAATAAAAATGTCACCTTAGTATTAGTACGCCTTCAAAGTGCTGAACAGTCGGACTATGTGATTGGTCAGTACTTGTATTGTATGTTCCATGAGACTTCACATTGACGCCGTGGCTGCTTTCACCGATTGGATGCCCCCCACCCAGCCTGCATATGGATGGCAGTGGTCCGCGCGGTTTGACTTAGGTCGAGATAATCAACTTGCGTAAAAGACGCACCACGATTTCTACTAAAGCCATTCGGAGGTTATTAATAATGGGGGAGAGAGGCAATGGGCAAACAAAGAAATTAGTATGCCGATAAACTCGCTGAGAATCATGCTATTAATATGTTGAAGACGTAGGATAAATAAAACCAACCTACCTAAGTCCTAGGAAAACATCCACGATTTATCGCAATAAATTTTAAAGTCGGGTTTTATGGCAATTGCTTACACGCTTTAGTAGAGAGTTCCTTACTTATTCCGGAAGCCCTCTTAAGACTTAGAAATGTTGTGATAAGCTGACGCGTAGTCGTGTTGCATGTCTAACATTGCTTCTACTCGCGATCAAAATTTGGAGGGGGCCGATGGGTTCGTCGGTATACCTACCTAGATATGTATCTAGGTAGATACGCGAAGATGATGGCGTAAGGGCGTATGTAGCTCCAAAAATTCGTCTCAAGCCGTGAAAGAGAAATCGAGTTGATTGGTGGGATTGGCTTCGCTCCATGATTCAATGCCCTATCAATAGAGCTAACTTGAAACCTATCTATTAAGAACGAGATGCTCTTGGTGGAATGGGCAAATAGGGGTATTCCGATGTAATTCACCGGTGTTCAAATATTCGCTATCGTACAGAATTAGTATATGTCTGACTTCTACATATGCTTCAATTTACCGGCAATAAAAGGCTATGCCTGCGCCTAGGATATTTATTCTTCTGGCTTCCCCATCTTTTAGTCGATACTGCGGTAAGTATTCATCGCAGCCAAGGCTTCTATAGATGGAGAAGCTCAACCTCTTCCTAATATCTCTATGCCATATTACCTATACCCACCACCATACGAACTCATAACCCTCTCAGATGTATGAGTTCACAACGCCTCTGGGCGTTTAGATCATCCTCGGTCCTTTCCCCTGACGAATACTCCCGCCATATAAACCTATGCCCCGTAACCGCGCGAGACGATACATAAAGTTGTCAAAAAAAGGGGCTACATAAGACCTGGTTGGCCGTTTGTCGTCGGCGGGAATGATCATTCGCCACTAGCTCAGCGACTTTACGAGGCACGCAGAAAATGAGCATAGGCGCCGTGAAGGAGTGGCAGCGATCTGCGTGAGTAACATGCGAATGCTACGTTACGCTGAAGACATTATACTAGATAGGTACAGTAAGAAGTTTGCCTGAGGATTATATTCTTAAATTTCGAAAACGAAAGACCGATGCCTATATCAATGGCTATCATTGGGAGGCCCGGCCAATGCGGCCATCCTATTTCCTCGTAGGTATCAATGAATGGACTTTGGGTGAAAAGAACTTGTTGGTGTCACCCAGTTTATGTAGTGAAGATACACGACGACTCTTCACCGTTAGGAAGCAAACATAATATGTTCCCGGTTGACAAAATTTGGTAGCAGGCCTATTTTTGTGTTCCGGGATCCGTGACTACATTACCCGGAGGCTCACCCAGACATATAGGTAGAATAAGGAGTAATTCAGATGGCTTGTGGGTAGGTAGAGTATGGGGGATGGTTTTCCTAAATCAAAACTGACTCCTAAGCCATTAGACGAGAAACGGCATATCTATCGTAAGTCGAAGATGAGATGGATGTCACCTGCAGAAATGAGGTAAGGTGGATAACTTCCACCAAGGTACTACCCCCCCATCAGTATAGACTATATTACATGTAATACCTGGGTATGCCCTGAGAGGCGGTAGCATATCTAGGCACCTATGTCGTGGGGTATGTAGGATACGTTTATAGAAGTTAAAGTAGCACAATTATTATGGCCAATATCTCGGGGGTGTAGGTCGGTTCTTACTACGATTCTCAGTTTCTCGACGTTTAATTTCAGTATCTCAGATTAGATGTGAAATTGGTCGTAGTGCAGGATATGCTACGAAACATTTAGATACCTAGTTACACTGTAATACCTACTACGGCTAGCTCCTAGCCATACTATATCATCACCAAAGATCGACCCAAGTATATCTCTTAGGTAGTCGGAATGAATAACTAACCTACTCCAGCTACGTAACACTTCTTTTCGAAATAAACTCTAGTGAACCAGCTTAGAGATATGTACATATCTACTATGCTATATTGATATTATCAAATCTTCGAGTAAAGCATCGACTCCGATTACACAATATAGGGATAGCCCACACAGACTGTATTTTACTGTTACTAAGATTTTTGAGCCAATCACATAGTCTTAATTGGACAGTGAATCTTATACTAATCGCACGGTCGGCACTTGGACTGACGCCATTCTGCCTAGGTAGGGAGGTAAGCGCTATAAACCTGGAATCCATATACCATTATAGTGCCCTGTACTTACAGGGGGCTTCAGCGCGTTACTCCCTATAATCATAGTGACGCAGTGGAATACGCCGGCGTTTTGGCGCATTGGCAGTTTATAGCTTATTAGACCGCCGTATCATCCTACATGGTTGCACAGCTTCGGAAGAAACCGCCTCGGAGTTTTCAAACCGAGCCACCTAAGTACCTAGGTAGGCAAGGTATTTACAGGCTTCGTGGTACGTACATTTATTACATGTGGACAGCTTAGGTACTTACTTATAGTGGCTTGCCGAGGTACAAGGAATATTTATGTGTATATACAGCGTCTTAGACGGATACCACACTCTTGACTCAAATAAGCCGGCTTCTGATTATTTTAACTATACATGTACAGAGTTGTGCGCATGGTGGGACAAGAAGCTCAACACAGCCATGATAGTGAGGAGATTTCTCTATGTCGGCCACGAATAGAACCTTTGATTCTCCTCAACATCACCTAAAACTACCTAAATCAGGATAAAATTTCATCCTTCGGCTGCTTTTCGATTTCTCCAAAGTTCAATCCTTCTACAATGGAAATTATGGGAGCAGCTGTCACTGTAGCTAAACTCCTAGGCTTGTCCATTAAGGCGAGTAAGGCCGCGAAGGGTTTAATTCAATCTGTTATTCATGCGCCGGCGGAGCTCGTCGGGTTGGCAGCAAAGCTTGATCGTATTCATTCTTGTATTAATCTGCTCCAAAATATCATCCAGGAACTTAGTATATCTGATTCCAAGATCTTCTCACCCCCGAATAGTAAGTAACCTTCAGAATTTAATCCCGCCAATTCAGTCGTTTAAAAATTCCTTGCGATCTTAACTAGGAACCTACGCTTTAGCTTATCTCTATCAAAAGCCTTTGGGATCCACCAACACCAAGCAAGTGGCAAATTCGTAAAGGGCTCAGGTGGGCAGCTTTAGACAAGAAAAAGTCCACTAAATTGTTTCGTAATATCAAGGAAGCGGAGTTAGAGCTCGATTTTATGCTCAATATCCCACAGGCGCGAGTATCTCATTATCTAGTCCGTGTTGATTTTCTCACATATACTTCAAAAATATCTAGCCTTTACGAGCCGGATCTCGCTTGCCGCCGTCGTTACTACTCAGGCGGCCACTTTCAAATCCCATACTTGAGTCAAACGTTACCTACCTACCTATGTAGGTACAGAAGCCCAGGGCAACCCTAATATTCGATGGGAAGTAGTAGAGTACAGTGAGAATAAGACTCTACGTAGTCACTCACATACATGGGGTAAATTCCATAGCTCGCATACAAACGAAGGCGGAATCATGGCGCGAACGTCAATTTCATTCCAATCCAAAAGAAATCGTCAAAAACTTAAAGCAACCCTACGGGTGGGGTTTAAATTCCTTTATGCTCAGCATGTTATCTGTGGACCCAGTCACAACGGCAGTTTTGTCATCGTGGAGGGCCCCGAACTGTTACAAGCAGAAAGATTTATAAGGTACCTTCGAGAGCGAGGATGCAGCCCTACGGTTTTCCCGGGAAAGGTGAGAAGTGATAGACGGGTGAAAAATGGTACAATGTAAGTGCTGAAAGATACGGTATATGAGCTGTATGTCTGATATATAGACTACTGTGCTAGTATGTAAATCTATGGGGGAAGTCCTGATACATATATTTACACCACCGACGTTGCCATGTACTGTACATTATACAGTACCTGAAGACAGTCCCTTGACCTTACTTCAACAGTAAGAATCTCTTCCACTCCTGATTTCAGCCACTTTAATTTTGTCCCTTAGGCCAGCGGTCTTAGAAGCCTTCGAAATTTGATATATTAACATGGCCTCGGTAATGGAGTCGTACGGGGCTGATCTTCTGCCATTTGACTTAACTACGGCAGTGTTGTTCGATAAATATATCTAGCGAGAAAAATGAGTTCCATCGGAAAGTTCGAAAGCTTCGCTCTATTGGCTTCTCGGACTGGAAGGTCGACTCACCTTCCGATCATCTGCTATATGGGGCTTCTGGCGCGTCTGCCTTGGAAGAAGCGCTCTTTGCGCTTGAAGTTTTTGGCTTAAGCCCAAATTTAGAGAGCTATGGAGGCAGGACCCCTATAGGTATCGCGGCATTGAATTGCTGGCTCAAAGGTGTTGTTGCTTTCATCGAAGGCGGTACAGATATCAATACGCCAAGGGATATTCCACTCATGCAAAGCATCGGCGAGGGCCGGATAAGTCAGACTACGCATTACCTTATATACTGTGGAGCTGACCCGAACCTTTCAGATCCCGCGGCTCACAACTCATGGCACAGTATTTGGGACGCCGTTTTTGATTCGTCCGACTACCAGCCAAAAAGCTGGATATACATGCAAATTGAAGGGGTCTTAACACATATGCTTCTACACAACGCGGACCTCTTCACCTTCTTCGCCACTGACACTAACTATATGTTTCGTGGTGTACGTTGTGAGCGGTGGTACGACTCTGTCGCTCAAATACGCGCTTCCGAAGTAGCGAGAGCCTGGAGTTACCCTACCAAATATGGAGACCGTTGGTGTTCAGGGTTGGGCTGGTGGCCCCCATCTGATGTAAGAACAGGCTTTGAATCATGCTTCGAGCGTCTAGAAGAGAGTAGATCACTTGAGAGTGCGGCCAGATGGCTACCTGGGGGTTTAATATACCCGTCTTCACCGAAAAGCGTCCACGAGCCAGCGATCGGAAGGCTTGATCCTGTCAACGGCTGTAAAGCAGACAACTATGAAGATATGTTAGGTGAGTTTTAAATATGTACCATATACGATAAAACTTCAGCGTAGGTCCCTTTCTCACAGGTAGCAAGATTCAGATTTCTTCCAAAATGCAACGAATTTATATCGCCACATTGACACGGAGGGAGGCCGTGTGCAACTTTCACGCTTCCTGCTTGTACGAGCACTCTGCGATGCGCTCCAGCATGTAGGTTACCGAGCATAGATGGATAATGATGGAGATATTTGGTATGAGTGCGACGACGGGTATAGGTACTACGATGCAAGGGAGTATCAACCCACTAAGGAACCAAAAGATGAGTGGGTTGAATTCTGCCCTATATGCCAAAGGCCTCAATGGTACGGTCTCGGGCGTATGATGAGGGAGGCGGAAGAGGGAAAGAGGGCGTTATGGGAATACAGGGAGAAACTTAAAGATGCTAAGGCATGGAACTTTTACTAGATGTATGAGGGACGCTATGATATCTCTTCTATGCTGTATTCAAAATTTGTTCGCTAGTCTTTCGCCTTTGACGTAAATTGGAATGGCTCCCGATCTTAGCTTCTATTTTTAATGCTAACACTCATTATTTCTCAAGTCTTCTAGGCGGCATTACCATCATAATACCCTGCTACAGTTCCTATATCATAGTAGTGGTGGCTTTTTGGTGGGGTATGGCTCGAATGTGGCGTTAATCGCCAGATTGTATGAGGAAGAGACGCGGGTCATGTGTCTTCAGGACCTATATAAGCGTCAGTGGTAAGTACCTAGGTAGGTTAAGGGTCTAAGAAGAAGATTGGTATGTTGGGTGGTGTTTTGTGGGTGTGCGAGAAGCCATAGTGTAGGAATACACGGGAATTCCTTCCCCGTCTGCATCACGTACCCGCAGTAACAGGTATCAATATATGCATAAGTATTGAAGTAGGACAAGGAATGTTCGGTGAGTAGTGCCTGGTGACGCCTTACTAGATACCTAGGTAGTTGACGAAGTAGGATGGCTTGTGGCGCATGTGCCGCTCGATAGTTAATGTCACATTCAAACCGGCACATTCTATCCACCGAGCAGGAAAGGGTAGTTGATAGTATATTCGGCTTATTTTCAATGCATCGTGTCCCACAGAGGTCATAATTTGATGAATGTTAGCTTTCGTGAGGACGGGCAGAGGTTCTTCTTTTTTGGCCAGTCTATGTAAGCATGGCAACCCCCTGGCGTGGTGCATGATACATATGCAAGCCAACCCAATTATATGTTCCCGGGATACCACACACATATCATCAGATGAAGCCGATCGAGCGCCTTCCGCGCCTTGCTTTTTCAGTAAATCCCTCATATACAGTTACAGAAACGCGTAAGGTAATAACTTAAATATAGTTGTGATTATGTAGGAGCCCATGGTAAAGCTTCTAGATTCTTCAATGGTGATAATTCTTAAAACTTCGAAGTATATAATCGTACCCAATAGGTGTATGGAAGCGAAATCTGAAAAGAGGTGGGAAGCAACCGATCAGATACCAACGTATGCGGGTGATGGGAGAAAAGGAAGAGTCAGCGAAGATCCCAGGGGTAAGACAGGGGCATGGCAGGGATACGACAGGGGTCGAGGACGCGGAACTCGAAGCAAATTGCCATTTTCGATTTATAAATGCGAGTGTGTTGGTGGGGAGAGCCTCGTCATCGTTGCAATATGCAATATGAGCAGAACAAAGTTCTCTATGATCTCTCATGCAGCATCAGGCTGCTACTGAAGCTGGCAAGTGGAAAAAATTGTATATCATAAGTGTCAGCGTATCCGGGTTAATAATCGACCAGCATATTACACATAAAAGAAAGACGAGTCCGCAGCTCCTCCCGTTTTACGGCGAGTTTTCTTGTTCTCCATATGTTGTCTTAACCTACCATTTTCACTTACCTACGAATACATAAAGCTTACGAGGGAAGTGTTGGTCGTCGTTTTTTGACCTTCACCGTTATGTTATATTTTACCCTACTATGCTGCTATCCCTTTCAGGTATTAGAGTACTGAGAATCCTAGTCTCAAGGTACTTGCATATATTCATCCATGTTAAGACCCATTCCGTCTTACTACGTGTAAGACCGCTGGGGGCGAGGTTCACGTGATCTTTGTTGACCTATTCTTAGGTGTTTCGATCCTCTGGCAGATTCGGCTGAACACTTGACCGGAGACATATTAATGTTCTTCCGAGCTATCTCTGTTGGTTGCTGTGTCGGTCAGCCCTCTTGCTACTTTGAGCGAAAGAAAAGCGCACCGTCGGCCCGAGCAACAAACCCGATGCATTGACGATCATGAAACGAGGCAAACGCTAAAGTTCGCGTCGGGCTTTGCTTGTTCGCGTACCCAAGCTTCATTACACCGCCAGTTTTGCTCCTTTTGGCGATACTAGGCTATTTTCTCGGTGAACAGGAGATATGTCTCATCTCGATCCATACCACATTGTGTCAACTGATCCACCTACCCGGTCATGCGAACAATCGTACTTGCTTAATCACTAGTTTTTCGGGCGACGACTAATGCAGCACGATAATGACACTCCAGAACGACTTGTTTGGCCAATTATGTGTTTCCTGCGGCAGTCAGTGCGTGGCTCCTTCTGATCCCCCTTGTCTGAACCGAGCGGGGATACCACCGGCCCCCAACAACGGCGTTAACCTAGTCGTCCGCGAACTATCCTCGATGGCGATCACAGAAATTCGGGAATTGCCGCCGGAATCCGGACAGAGCACATTGTCCAGAAGTTCCACCGAGCCACTCATAATATATCATGCGCAGTCCAGGATCACATAATCCACCTTAGTTAAACCGTATCCATTGTAAGACCGGGCTCTTCTAGGACATCCAACGGTCCATGTTCCCAGAGTTAGACACATATTTTGTGTTACACAAGACCGCTATCAGAGCTTTTTTCGAAGGTCGGCTCTGCTCGCACGACGCACTACTACCTTATTGATGCATGAAGCTGAAAATTGGGTTCGGCTATGATGGCCATGTCAGGTAGGTCGCATCCTGAAGAGCACGTTTTCGAAAGTCGCTGCGCATTGGTGCTACGTCGATATCTAGCCTCGCTGAACTCGGTTGGGTTGGCCCATTAGTGATCGCTCTCCTATAATTACGTTATGTTACACGAAGCTTTGGGATAAGGCTAGAACATGATGTTCCCCCTGACGAGTTTGCGAGGACCGAAAAACAACTCTACGATGGTTAATCCCAATGCAGAAATAAACGGGATATAGTAAGTTAATCCTTTATTAGAAGAAAATATCTTGGTTAGATGGAGATCATTACTTTAACTTATTCTTCATCTGTTCCTAGGAAGCTATCCGCCAAAAAAGTCGATTCGGTCGTTTCAACCGTTCACGCGTCCACCCGTCTAGGTACCCTAGAGATCGATATGGATACCTTGTCGCTGAGCTCGCATCCTCCTTCATATTTTATTCAATCTAGCTAAATGGTACAGCGTGTGGACCAGGGTCTACCCTCTATAGAGGAGGTTATAAGGTGTATTCAGAGGTTGCCTTGCAAGTTTGGTCTGTACCAAACTTCAGCAGATTAGGGTCGTATTAATCAGCACACGAGATCATCCTTCACTTGACTTGAGGTTATCGCTGCATTACGGAGCTTCCTGAACAGTACTTCGGCCAACGGATCTAGGGCCTACCTAGGTATTCGGCAGTATACGTATGAGAAGGCTTCCTAAAGAGGGTTGCATTGAGGTGATTGGTGCCATTGGGTCCCCTTAGTACCGACAGTTATGAGGCAATAGTTGTATGTAAGAGACTAGTCAACGCATGAGTTGCAGGAGACTATTGCGGCTTAAAATTATCTTAACTCTAATTGGCTTGACTCCTTGGATTGATTAATGATTTCCCTGGGTCGAGTTATCTATTCAGCTGCCTACTATGAATTAAATAGCGGTAATATCCAGTTCACCTTGCTAAATTTCCCAAGAGATCCCGTAAGGATAGCATAGACATTTCAAAACTATTAAAAAAACAATTAACACAGTACGAGCCAATTAGCCTACTGCTATCATCAAAGTCATGGCTGGAATTTCGAATAAATCGAGTTATGATGGGTAAGTCAATCTGTGTTACGGGGATACTTCGATATTGTTAACATGTGTGGGTTATTTCCGTTGACAGGTCAACCCCACGAAAGCCGAAACACCACTTCGTTACGAATCCACCCACCTCCCATCCCGGCGATGCGAAGAGCCTTAGACGTTATCGTCTCGATAGATACGAAAATGGACCAGACTTTGTACCTCCTGCTCAGGCCCTAACAAGCAATGCTTCCGATGCTCAAGCGGCTCGCGAGGCAAGGGTTGCTACGGAAGTAAACTCCATTGTTTCACGTCTTGGCTGATCCGTTCTGCCAACGCGCTTGTCGATATCTACACCGTCCCATCATAACAGTAGACAACAGAGATCATGACAATTAATATGTACACTGCTATTGCAATCCACACTCTCCAGGCTAGCGTGGTCTTAAGTAAGTCATCCTACCTGACTAGACATGCCTATGCCATGCTAAGAGATACAGAAGATAAATCCCTAAGGAGCACACATACGTCGCCAAAAACACCTAAGTTTCCTGTGCTACAAGATAAAGAGTTTCCAGAATATTAGTATGTACCGAGGCCGTGTTCCTCCCTTAGGTTTCTTTATGCTAACTTACTCCACCGACCGAAACACTAAGAATGTGCAAGTTATGGACGTTATAACGATATATTGACGGGAGAATGAATTAATGAGTCATACAAGCAGTATCTAGGTACCTAGGTAGTTTTCGTAGTACTTATACATCATATTTTAGAGCAATACTCCCTTTTCTTCCTATTTTAGCAAATGCTTTTATTTTGAAGCTATTCAACCCCACATATCATGTAATTTTGAAAGTGGACCCGATGATTTACCAGTTAAGTGGTTGATCGCCGCATCACGTGATACATGATCTAAGATTTAGAATTCCAGGTTAAGGTTGCTCCCGCTAGCGTGGGGGTACCCACCCCGCATCCGCTCGCGCGGGATCAATAATACCAGGAAAGTTCTTTCCAGGACTTCAGTTTAGTAAATGCCTATATTGTCGTCAACGTATAAAAACCTTTTCTATGTTAGCCTATGTCAGCCTTGCCCTTGTTCAGCTCAATGTTAACTTTTCATGTAGTTGCACTTTCATTTTATAGTAGTATCGGATTGGCTCACAGGCGGCTTGAAGAGAAGCGCTTAATTACAGCTCGGTAGGAATTAGATTCTTCCTAACCCTATATGCCGCTCACGAAAGAAATATGCCGTATGCGAGGATCAGATGTCCCTTGGCGATTTCTCGAATCGGAGCTTTTATTTCGAATCGATTTACCGCACGTACGGTCTACGGGATACTCAGGCATGGGAGTGGAGTGCCATAAGTTCAGGATTAATCTAACGTACTAACCAATGACGAGGGTTATCTAGAACTGCGGTTTCAGATTTGGTAAGGGAATTTACTGGTGGTATTGTAGTGGAGGTCCCCGACGGAGGTCCCCGGCGTAGGATGAGTGGTGCTTCGTGCGTACTAATACTGGGGTAATTGAGGCTCTATACCAAAGTATCGGTTCAGATCCCTCCAAATGGCAATGATATACTAAGTATTATCTTCATAGAGTTGGTAGATATCAAAGTCAAGATAACTTGATAGGTACCTACCTGAGTACCTGAGTAGCTAGGTAGTTCGGGATCTCCCGATACAAACTCGGTAAGAGAGAGGAGTCCTTCGGACTTTTCCTAGTGTCCTAAACGAGCTACCCGCATCATACGTAGACCAGCTCCCTCAAGAGATTCTACTATATAGTCGAGGGCCAGTAATTATTGGCTTATATGTCCTGTGACTCACATGGATCATATATCGTCTGAACGTGGAGGGTGCATATAGCGTAACATCCCTCCCTAACTTTGAATCCCAATTCAGCGACTTGCATCTAGTCTGCTCGGATAATTTTTTACACTGCCTTGGATGCTCACGTTCATAAGACATATAAGGATCTTTGCCACTTCCACCCTCTCTTACTCTAATTTAGATCAGTCCAGCTTAGTATTAAGTGAGATATCATCTCTGTGCACTACGAGGTCCTGTCATTTTGGCCTCCCGGCGGATGGGGCTATTTCGGAAAGTACCTAGGTACTGAGTAGAAAATAATTAGCCAAGGTTATTTCAATCCTCACTCTTTTTCAACATTTAGCTTACATCACAATAGTTTCCACTGTCCTACGTCAAACCATCCCACGATTCCATGCTCTAATGGATTCGTGATCTCGCGCCGCCGCTCGGCGTAAGGTACCTTGACCGGCGTGTACGTCACGTGATCATTTGCTTTGCCTCTAGACAAAACCGGCGAAACCCACAATCTAATCTTTTCTGGCTTACGATACACGATTCGCGTACGAGGCTGTAGACTCCTTGTACCTACCTCCGCTAGAATTCGTCGACATCGCAACATAATCAAACTACCAACTGCAATGGAGTTGGGGTAAGTCATCTGTTCCGCTAAATGAGACTAGAACATCTTCGATCACTTTTCGGTGGGAGCCTGCATGGGATATGTAGTACATGCATAGGAACGCCACGTCAGGCTCTCAAATTCGAATTCTTTCGAGTACAATCGTCGATGAATATCCGCCCGTCGTTCGGATTCGACACTTTCCGATGAGCTACCACATTCACGATACGACCTTAACCGGCTATTCCCTTTAAAACCGGGCGAAGGCTAATGCAAGCCCACGACGTTGTCACAACAGACCTCCGCCAGTCAATGTTCGGCGCTCGGAGTATTCCAAATTACCTCTCTCGGCGTGGACTATAATTCGCCCACTCGAAGTCTCGACAAGGAACAAAACCCGCCGATTTTATGTACCTACGACATGCAGATATTACCATGCTTACCATAATCAGAACCACCAAACGGTCGCGAAACGTATCTATGCCGATGAGTCCAGCCATCAGAATCCGTTATGACACTCGATAACCGCATTAAATGGCGATCCGGATTAATCTCAACGAATCCTACTGAATAATATGCCATAGGCTAGTTGAGAAAGATAGATTGGCCCGTTAGAAGGTGTTCGTGGAATACTGTGTCTGGTATTTCTTCGAGACGCAGGATTCTATGTCCCGAGCTCTTGGATTTGACGTTTTCAAGCACCGAGAATCTAGCACGCTCTCTACGAAGGCTGCTAGAGGCTGGCTTGTATGATCTACTACTACATCGTTGGTTTCAAGCGATCCACAAAATGTAGGAACATCACCTATTCCCCATGTTGCTCCGTGCTAGTGCTCATTTCTCATGCATAAATATAGATTGCGGTAGGTATATTTCCTTTTTGTTAATTAAGATTGCGCTACAACGACTACAAGACGTCTTTTACACTTTCCTCTTCTTCCGGAGTTACAATCTAGACACCTTCGTCGTTCGGCTACCACGTTATTTTGATTCATATATAACATTTTGTATGTTAACTTTAATTCAAAAATTTATAACACGCGCCCATGGGACCAGAACATGTGTGTTGTTCGATAAGATGTATTGGATGTCATCCAATACTGAGTAGGACCGATAGTGTCACTTGGTACATCGGAGGCCGCCTGCGGGGATCTCTTCAAACATAGTAGCGGAACCACTGCTTGCTGCTATGCAAAGCGAAACGGTTCTCTGGATTTCACAGTATACTCAACGTCTTAGTTTGTTCATTGACCTAAATCGAATCTTACTCAACTATTGGGAAGCTATCCGCCTTTTTGCATGTGTGGCGTAGATGCCTTAGATGCCTCGTTGGAACGGTACCATTCAAAAAATAGGGGGAACCTTTCGTTTGAGCCAACAGCTAAGGAGGATGTTCTACCAAATACACCTTGCGGCTCAACTTACGGATTGGTCCTTTCGATAGGATTCGGCCTATCCGAAGTTAATGTTTTCGATGGAGGTCTGATATATGTAGGATGTCAGTCATGGAGCAGAGCGTCCGAATAGCCCATTCTAGCCAGCAAGCTGGAGCAGAAAGACCTAATCCTCTTACGATATAGACCTTCCCCGAGAGCGTTCTTACGTTATTTTAGAAGGAAAATGACGGGGCATTCCAACAAGGCCGTTTATAATGGGTTAGTTATCTCATGTTACCTTGAAGAGACTTATCAATCCAAACGCATTCCTAATCATCAAGGCTTCTGCCTCCCTAGCATAATCCCGCCCAAGCCAAGACATCGATTCTCCGACGGTTCCTCAACTTCCCACCCAACTGATCAGCGAAGCCTTAGAGACAGTCGGCTTGAAAGATACAAGAAGGATCTTGACAGCGTGCCGCCTACCTACAGTTCTGGCTGTCTCAGCAGCGAATCCGCGCGCCCGGCCAATGTTGCCGCCGAGGTGGATAAAATTCTATCTCGTCTTAGTTGATACGACCTACTAGACGTAGCCGGCCCACTCATTGAGAGGGATGCGGCCTACGGAAGGAGGCTACGTGACTTAGCTAAGCTGAAGTTGCCAAGCAACTGGGACAATTTACCCCATAAACCCGGGGAGATAACAACCGCGGAAATTCGTTTGAAGAGCCAATGTTTCAATTATACCTAGGTAGGGCTCTTGGGGAGGTGTTCAACTATATTTAATTATAGCCAGATGCTTCGCACGTGTTGCGTTTTGTTTCAGTTACTATCTCTACTTTTACGAATACATCGATGATACCCCGCTTCTGAACCACCCCTTCTTGTTCTTCCTTATGGTCTACAAGGAATTTTTGGCTCCCGTAAAATGGGACAGGGCATCCGGAGTCTTGAGATCTCTAATAGGAACGACAGGTTATTACCGGAACGAACTCAAACAAGAATAAATAGAATATTTATTAGAAACGGTAACAAAAAACATTTATAACTATTATATGTCGTGCTGTACGTTTCAAACGGACCTGGTCCATTAGCCATTTGCTTTACTGGTGGATTCTTTTGGTAGGTACCTAGGTACTTGGACCAAAGGATACTAGGTACCGAGGCCAAGGTCCCGCTCAAATCTTTGTGCAAATTCTTAATTTGTGTTGGTAAAGTCACCCACGAGACCGACCATATAGGAGATGTGGTCACTATGCTGTTGCGTACCTAGGTAGAAGTTTGCAAGTAATTACTGTACGGTTTGGCGACTTTAGCAACTACATGTTTTAATGACGCGAAGAATTTCAGTTCTAGACCCTTCAACAATGTTCCCCGCTCCAACCCCTGATTGGGGGTCAAATAAAAGGGTTAGGAGTCGTAGTAACACAGTATAATACAGTCTATATAATACGGTCGGCACTTGGGCTGACGCCCTTCAATCAGGATGAGCTATTTCAGGAATTCGTTGCATCGACGTCGAGGTATTTATTATTTGGAACATAAAACCTAAGTTTTATACTTCGCATAACCATCCGGGTATAAATACGATAGAAATGAGGACCATTACCTCAATAAACTAATATGGCATAGTTTCCAACGTCTACATAAAACCGAGTGAATATTCTAAGTGGTTAACTCATATATGGCTGTTCATTACTTTTTATGCCTTGAATAAGGGATATGGGAGATGGGTGGCAAGCCGTAGGTGCCTACGTAAATTTCTGAAGGCGCCTTTAGCATTTTCGTCTTCTTACCACACACCTACGATATGGCTCACCCATCCGTTCACGCCACCTTCTAATAAGACCGGGCCAAACGCGAACCTGGAATGCAATGCAAACGCCGTACTTATTATTTTAGAATATTTCTTCTCAAGCATCTGATTACTCAAATGTAGGAAAAAGGGCATACATGGATCAAAATATGCAGCCAGCCTAAGTAGGCAGTAGAAAAGCCTACATATGGTTCACTACCTAGGACCTGGTTGACAGGGTCCGCGTATATGCGTATGACCCGATTTCGACGAATTTGATCAGAAACCCTTGCTTAGGTGGGGGTACATACATACAGGTTTAATAATTCCTTTCCCATCCAAAAATACGGAGTGAAAGGTTTACGAGACCATGTCCTAGAGAACCGGGATGCTGTCGTTAATTTAGACTGGGATTAATTAGGGTTACTCCCGCTAGCTAGAGGCTTTAGTAATTCTATATTTGGAATCGTTTGTGGGGGACCGGTACCTGCCTGGGCAGATCTCTTAGAGCCAATCGCCGCAAACGACTACCGTTATTACATCAACCCATCTAAACGAAGGAATATTCGAGCCCCCGTAGGAAAGATCTTGGGAGGAAACGGGTATGCTTTCGATTCTTGCACCGTTCTCAAAGTGTTTTAGGTTTGAATACCGCATTGTGATGAGTACCTAGGTGCATATGACGTAGGCACCTTGGGTACATGTATGTGGGGTAGTTTGTCCTTACAAACACGTATAGCACATCATATAGGAAGCGAACTTCAACATCTACTTAATAAAGAAAATAATTAATGTCATATGCCTATACTAATCCTATCTAACTAGGTATCTAGGCAGGTAGGTAACTCCAACTCAAGGAAATTCCGCACTTAATTCCAACCGTAATTTTACCAAGGATAGCCTCAAGTCCCCACCATCCCAGTATCTCGTCCACCCCTGGGCCAGGCAGCTTGATGCCTCCTAACAAACGACACCTAGTAGAGAAGATATGGCAGCAGAGGTATTGGAATATGTGGACTGATGCCGATTTGGGGCAGTATCCTCTGACTGCACGCACGCCGAGGAAGGTTGTTGTGGAATAGGTGGTCTAGGTAGAAACAACACTCCTTGGGTGGGGGTTGGGTTGGCAATCGCAGTCGTTACGCGTCCCTCTGGCTTCACCCACGAGGCTCCATACGCCGATCTCATTGTTGATCAACGCCGCCGCCGCAGCATATTGGGATTGTCACTATTGCTCGTCGACGATGCGGCCCCAGCTTGCTAATCTTTAGCTCGATCCTGCTACTAGCACTTTGGGAGCCGTCCTTTAACATTTCGGACAATCGGAATCAATGTCTGATGTGTCCACCTCGAGATCGTGGGCCTAGGTCTATAAAACCTCCGACCGACGATGAATAGTCACTAGCAGAATCGACGCCCTCAGAGTTGTCTGTAAATGATTCAGATGAATTGGAATTGATGGCTGAGATGTTCGTCTTGGTTATATCCTGATTGGCGTTTTCTTTACCATCTCCGCCCCAGACTGCACTATCATCCTGAACAATGGCCCCGACATCATCGTCATCTGGCTAAAGGTCGCCGATGTTGTGAGGGAAGGTTGGGCTTCCCTTCCCGATCCTCAAAATAGGGTCGGCAAGGGCGATCTAAACGCCGATGAAATCTGGCCGTCTAGGGCGAATTCCCTAGGTAAGACTTCGGTTCCACCATAATACATGCCGGCAACAAAGCGCAAACCCCGTGCCTCGGGTGTACCCTTTTTGACCATTCTCCTGGACTTGAGATGGTTGCTCCCAAGCCTGGCCTTGTGGTAGTAGCTTTGGGATCCGGCCGGCGACATAGGAGGAGCGTATCGTGTTGATGCATCCCAGCCGTCGGAGCGAAGACTCGGGAACGGGGTAACAGTCTCGGCTCTTTGGTAATCGAGAGGTGATGTATTCCCGTTAGTTGGTGGCCAGAAACCGAACTATGTCGCGTGGATAAACCACGCTTCGGAGCGCCGGCGATCTGGCTTATCTGTTGCGTATATATAACCCGCCATGGCCTTGGTCCATGGTGAAGCGCATGTATTGCACCGCACCAGGTGCGCTAGAAGGCATCGTGACAACCTCGTAATGGCGATAGTAATTGCCTGCTGGCCTGAGAGGTACGGAGAAGAGGGCCGAAGCTCGCCACTTACAATGGCAGTAGCAGTGAGCCTCCAAATAGTAAGGCAGTGGCCCAGAGCTAATACCATTTTTGAAAGGCTGTGAAGACAACAGGAGTTCGTCGTCGAGAGGTGTCCGGACCCGGACTCCGTCAAACTCATTCCATTCGGATAGCGTCACCAACGGCTTGCAATGGGGTTAGAACGGAAGCGGTAAACTCGGAGCCCAAGCCCTTGCCGTCTTCATCCTTGACCCGTCCCGCCACCGACTTGGGGCGGTATGTTTTATAAAAGGAAATTTTTTTGTAAGTTTTTATATTTTATAATTTCTTTTTTTTTTCTTCAGTTTATGTTTTTTTCTTCCCCAAGTCGGTGCAGCTAGACCCCACCAGCGCCATGGCCCCCGGAAAATGAGCCGGAGGTCGCCGACGACGTTGTTCCCATCGCGGCTCCGGAGTGGTGTCCGCCTTGTCCGTTCGCTTGCTGGCTTGATCTGGAGGCATGATGAACGAGTACATTCATACCCGCCCCATCATGGTGGGGGACGCTCTCTTCGGTCGCCCTATTTGCTTCTGTTTCTACTCCTTCTCCTGCTCTTTGCGCCTTGCGCCGTATACGCCGGCACACGACGCAGCACACGAAGAGTATACCCAAGAAGACAACAAGGCCGAAAACCCCACCAATTGCTATGGAGGCGATGATGGCACCGCTTGGTGGTGACGTCTGCGGGGTGGTGATCGTTGATTGGGGAAGGGTGGCAAAGGGTGTTTCAGGAGGGGGAGGCAGTTGGGTGGGCGAAGTGGGTAGGGCAGTGGGGGTATCGAATCCCGTTAGAAGAGTTACAATCTCAGTTGGTATGTCTCTTTCGAAGATCGTCTGTGTGCTCTGGGGAGATCCCGACACCGGCGACCATGAACTTACTCCGGTGTTCGCGCCTCGTTCCGCGAATCTTGAGCGGACTCGAGTCGTCATGGTGTTGTTAGAAGAGCCGACGCGGCTGAGGGGCGACAATGCGAACATTTTCGTCGTGGTGTCGATCGCTCTCGGTGTAGACCGAATGTGTCGTGGTTTTCTCCGATCTTACAGTATGGATCTGGTAAGTCTTATATAGGTATGTTAGGCTTAACAATAGTGAAGCGCGGAAATTATTTCTTAGACTTACCTATTTCCCCCCCCGTTCTACAGTAGTGACTACCCTCTGCGACGAAGGTAGTCTGTATTATAATCATGATTTTTTCTCGAATCATTAGGGAATCATTTTGCGGTTACTCCTTTGGAATAGTTGTGGTAGTTGCTAAGTACGCAAGTGAGGTACTGGAGGCAAGGGTGGTTTTGATTTTAGAAAATAATTGAAGTGACAATGAATAATATTATGAGAGTGATGGGAGGTAAGAAGGGATGAGTGAAGTAGTGGAAATGGACGGGGGATGGGATGATGGTGCCTTCGTTTTTGTTGAAGAGGAAGAAGAGAGTGATTGTATTTCTTAGATTGAGAGGGAGGGCTTGTTTATATACATGTGGGATAGCAGAGAGGTGATTAGGGCTTGTCTGTGATTTTAAATGCGGAGCCTTAGATAAACGCGCGAGGATGCTTTGTGATTCAGGTCTCGGCATGCGCTTTTTGGGAGAACACTAAAGAATAGCAGACGCAGTGGCATGGCACACGCCGACGACAAGGTCAGTAACGCTGGGCGACAGTGACACGACGACACGGAACGAGGGTTAGAGCCACCATATAACAATAAGAAGCGGCGATTATGTGTAAAGGGGTAACAATGAGACCACCTAACCTACCTAGGTAGGTAGTCGCACCCAGTCACGCATAAATACCGATGAGCCCCAACCTTCGTTTCGTATCGACATTGTTTCTAAAGCTCGTAAACAATACCAGGGGAAAGACAGAGCCTCACATTGACTGTGAGAAAGAGCGTTCATGTCGATATATCAAGTAAATAAGCTACAATTTGAGCCCCTATCTAGGACCTTACCAAAAGGACGATGAGCTTCAATAATCTTTCAGATCGAGACTGCTTCCGGGACTTATAAATACATGAACTCAGATAAATGGACGGAGTCATCGCATAATCACTAGGGGGGGCGGTTTTGACGTGTCCCAGTAGTCACGTTCATAATTCCATTGAAAGAATGATCAGCTGAAGACTCCTCTGAGAAAAGCGCCTTCTAAGATTTATTGATAATGCAAATAGGGACGTAGAGTTATAGCGTGACTACCAGAAATAATAATTATATCCACTTGTCGTATGGACGGATATAGTAGGAGTGCTTAAGTAGTCACGTCCGGAATTTGGTTGAAAGAACGATGATGTTACGACACCTGTAGCACCCTGGTAGGAAGCCATCACCAACACATGTATGGGCAAAGGTTGATAGGTCCGCTAGAAGCGCTGTAGGCGCTCTACTGCATATAAGGCACCAACACAGCTCTTGGCAATCTCGGAAGCTGTACTAAATATCATACACTGCCGTCAGGCAGCATAAAAGGAGTAGCTTCTCCTGAAGGGACTGAAGGGGAGGATACGGCAAGCAGATCGTAAAAAGATTATAGCTACTCAATATATTGCTTTAACCCCAATTTGACAGATGAACCCTGATATTGACTTATCAAAGTTGCTTCTGTGATTCAGAAATAACGGTCATTCCTCCGATAGATGTGACTCTTTAAGTATCCTTTTAGAAGAAAACACGTCGATATACGTCGCCCAGGCCTCTTGAACACTTCTATCCTAACCCTTATTTTATGTCTGGATGGTCTACTAAAGCAATTTACCAACAAGAACAAAAGAACTTTTAAAGACTACTAGTAGTATAGAAGTAGTGGTCTGGGCGTATTGGGCTAGTAGAGATCGAAATAATGCTTGATATAGCTAAAAGGCATGGTTAGGATTGAATATCTTTAATATCGTGGCTACTCGTTCGCGGCTACTTAGGGTGTTCATTGCTTCGCGATACACCTAATCTGAATGTTGATCAGTTATCGCCTACCTATGCAACAAGATCTTTATAAGCTGAGATAAGCGTTCCCTGTTTCCAAACCCCTCGGAGGTCAAGCGTATGATCAATATCCTCTAAAGGATTCCCTTCCACCAAGACCAAGTCCGCCCTGAATCCTGGCGCAATCCTACCTCTATCATTGAGGCGGAACCTTTTCGCAACAAGTGAAGTACCAGATTTTAACGCTTCTGCGGGGGTAAACCCGCATTTGCGAACAAATGTAGCAATTTCATGGTGTGCGGAGAATCCGAAGGCCGTCCCAAGCGCAGCGCCTGCCGAATCGGAACCACTAAGAACTTGGTAAGTCGCTACTGCGGCGGGTAATTGGGGATTATAGTGTGAGTCTACTTACAGGATGATATCGATGCCTGCTGCCTTTAGCTGCCGGACACTTTCGTAGGCGTACTCTGCCCTCGAGTTCTCGTTGGCGAGCCCTATACACTTGCATAGGTGCTCCTGGCTCTCGGAGTTTAGGAGCTTCGTGACGCGAGGGTCGTGGGCGTATTTCTCTTGCTCTTCCCGACCATCCTTTGTTAAACTGGCGATCGTCACCAATGTCGGGTCACAGTGCCTAGTGGCGTCAGCTAGGGAGTATCCACGAATGGGAGAAGCGATACATACGCATTGTTAATCTTATACGCGTCAATAACTTCCTGCGTAATCGGTTTATCAACGAAAGTATGCGTCATCCCATCAACGCCGGTACGTAGTATATCTATCGTCCCTTGATAACTCAAAGCATGAGCGATTGTAAGGAAGCCATGTTGGTGGGCTAGGTCGACAATTGTTTTCTGGATCTCTAAAGGGGGCACTACTGGCTTCACGGTTAAGCCATTCCCATCCTCGTGCATGAGCTTGATGAAATCTACTTTATCCCTGATGCGGTCTTGGATATAAGTTTCAACGTCGGCTTTAGTCTGCAAGTCCGCCCAACCAGTCATGATGTCTTTAGCCTGATTTCGTGTGAGCATAATCCGAATCAAGAAATACATTGGGATACTTCACCAGACATTTTCGGGTTCATGGACAGCCATTATGACAGCCGCGGGCCAACCACCAGCTACAGTCGCGGACAGTCCCGAAGTCTTGAAGTCGGCTGAGTCCGGATCCGTGGCGGCTCGCGATCTAAACCAGTCCATGTTATGTACTTCATGGTGCAACTCGCAGAGGGTAGTAACTCCAAACTTCAAAGACTGTCCGAGCGTGGTGTTCTGTTCGTCGATGAAGGCGTGGCAATGACTATCGATTAGCCCAGGAAACAGCGTGTGTCCCGGCTTAGAGATGACGATAGTTGAGGGATCGGATACATCTAATGATCCTTCCGAAACTTGTTTAATCAAGCCATTTTCCACTAACACGCTTCCGCTTGGGATTTCGTCTTCGCCGTCGAAGATGCGGACGTCTTTGATGAGTAGCGCTGGAGACATTGTATCTATTGTGTGTTAAATAAGGGGTTATCCTATACTCATAAAATCAGCATCGGACGAATTAATTATAGTTTATATAAGAGTAAGGAGTAATATAGATGTTTAAGCCAAGAATAGCAATGAGTCATACTATAAGCAACCACGCGTTCTTGTCTGGTATGCATCCCTGTTTCAGCCGTTCATCTCAATACCTTCGTTCGGACCTCCGATCGATCCTTCGACCAGATGTATGGGTACCGGCCATCCCCGCCCCCATCAGCATAATAAAACCTGATATCACCCCGTGCCGAGTATCACGGAGTTTCCCCCATTGGATTAGTTGGATTAGTTGTTTCCTTCCCTGGTTCCACCCCCATGGCAGATTTCTAAGCACGGGTTCGCGGGGTCGAGTTCTTCTCCGTATCCACTTTATGTGGGAGGCCGATGTGGGATTTAGGAACCAGTCGCGATAAAGCCGACTATAGGAAGGTTCTCGTGCATTACTAAGTACCGATCTCACCGAACTTCACCGTGTATTGTATACAATGGAGTTTAGTGTCGCGTATGTCGCGTTACTACCACCACCGATATAGGAAGTGGATGCTGTCATTTTCGCCTGTATCGCTATTTATTGAGTGCCTAGGTAATACATACGCAGGTACAGAGTCCGAAACTGTGGCGCCGGAGCATGATCACTACCTAGGTATGGTGTAACATTGAAATAGGGGTAACGAGTAGTTATTGGTGGACTGTTGGTGGAGTATAAAGAAAATAATTTATAAATGTGTGAACCATCCCATGTTTCATTAAAAACGCCTCTTACGCTCAATTATTATTATTACCTAGGTACCTATAGGCACGTTATTATTCCTCAGTTTTGCAATCAGTGCCAAGTGTTGGCGCACATACCTCCTCAATTATCTTACAAGACCCCAAGGCATCTTCATTCGATCTGCAAACCCTTCGTGATATCACCAAACTGCGCTTTAAGAATATCAACCAGATAATTGCGTCGATAATCCCAATGTCCGTTTCCGGCCCTTGGAAACATCTGGTTAGCATGCTTGACGTAATTCGACGATAGATCGAATACGGGCTTGTCTTGTGTGCCCTGTGTACCATCAAGGCGGGGTACAGCCATGGAGGCGTTTCGCTTCTTCATGCGACGGAGTACCCGTACGAGGAGTTGTCCCATGGCTTCTGCGCCCATCGTCCATGACGAGTTGGCGTACCCTACGACGAACGCCAGATTTGGTATGTCTTGGATCATGGTACCCTTCCAGGTATACTTTTGACTATAGTCGATCTTTTGACCGTCGACCTCGATTTCAATCCCGCCGGCAAATTGCAGCTGCAGCCCTGTTGCAGTAATAATGACATCAGGCTGTAAAGTCCTTCCCGATTTGAGCTGTATCTCAGTTGATGTTACAGTTTCAATCTGATCGGTGACGACATTGGCCTTCCCAGAACGGAGAGCGGCGTAGAAATCACCATCGGGGCAAAGGCACATGCGTTGTCGCCAAGGATTGTATTGCGGATTGAAGTGTGGATTCCAGCTAATACTCTCTGGGAGTAGTTTAATGGTTGCTTTTCGCAGCATTAATCTTGCCTTTTCTGGGAAATATATGCAGTAGAAGTACGATATCGTGCTGCTAATGACAACACGTATTCTCTTGAGCCATTTCGCAGCTGCCGAGGGGAGACGTGCTTGAATGAATGGTATGAAGCCAGTTTCCTTCCCAGCGTACATTGGCCGAGCGACAATGTACCCCGGGCTCCGTTGAAGCATTGTGACGCTCTTTGCCTTCTCGGCGATTGAGGGTATTAGCGTAACAGCTGTCGCTCCGCTCCCGACAACTACTACATCTTTTCCCGAATAATCAAATTGTTCTGGCCAGAATTGAGGATGAACCACCGTGCCAGTAAAGTTGCTCAATCCTGGAATTGTGGTCTTCTGGGCTTTGTCATAATTATAGTACCCTGTACCGAGAACTATGAATTTTGTGCGATACGTCTGAGTGACTCCCTGGTTATCGGCCACAATAAGCGTCCAGAATTTGAATTTCGTACTCCAGTTAGCAGAGAGAACTCTTCTGTCACAGCGGATGTTCTTGTCGATGCCGTATTTAGCAGCGGATTTTCTCATATACGATCGGATCTGATCCGCGGTGCCAAGCCTTTCCTCTCTATTCCATGGGTTCCACGAAAAACCGAAAGTAGTCATATCTGAATCAGATCGTATACCAGGGTAATTGAAAAGATCCCATGTGCCACCGATACGGCTTCGCCCTTCTAAGATGGTATAGGAAAGCCATGGTGTTTGGGAATGAAGATAATACGCCGTATTGATACCGGATATTCCTGCTCCTATTATGATAACGTCGAAGTCGAAAGACCCGTCTTTTGTTTGAGACTCGGCCATGATTTAGTAGGACCAAATGAAGCGTATTGATGTTATTTTTAAGATAATAATGACGCCCGGCGAAAGCTCATACTATTACGATTATGAGATTTAATAAAGCTTTAGGCAGATAGCTATTTTCAACTTGAGAGAGGCCTCCTTACATATATCCCTAGGTACACAGTAGCCTCGGTTGGTGCCGTCGTACGTCGCTTAGCCGTAAGGATGCGATGCACTAATAGGTCTAAAACGGTGCTAGAATAGCAATTAATACGCTGTATCCAGGGGTTACAGTCGCATTCGCATTCCGAATGTGGATAGCTAAGAGTTCTGCCGAGCTATGGGGGCTAGATCCTATAGAATATAGAATATAATAGGCGCTGGGAATTTGGCGCAAGGGATATATTTATACATTCTATGATAGTAATTGTTGCTGCTCGCTGTTGGGAAGAATATTAAAAACATGTGTTTCTAATTTATTGTGTTTTTTTTTCTCCAACTCATGTCTTTTTTCGGTACCGAATCCGAAAGCGAGGCTGCAAGAAAATCAGAGACAGTAGAAGCATCGGATAGATTCCGATGCCGTCTCAAATTCGAGGTCATTGGCTCATCAAGTACGAGGCGATCGGGATTATACAATCCTTATAATTGGGGCTTGAAATATATGTATAATGAAAAGCAGAAGTTAGAATATAATTCTATATGTAATTTTCTCGTAAATCTTTAGGCATAACGGTGTTGTTTTGCGTCGGAGGAATATGAGTATTCCGTAATTGATGGTGTATTTTCTAGGTTTAGAGGATCGGAGGAACTCCGACGGCAACCTTCCGATATATTCTCATTACGTAATCATGTTTTTAAGAGATGCTTATGTAATACTCCCGATAAGCCCCTCTCTTATCGGATTGAACCCCTCCAAAATAATAAAAAAGTTGAATGCGATGAGAGGATCGGGTATACTCGACAACAACCCGATCACATACAATATGGCCCCATACGATAGTGAGTCTTCTGCAGGAGAGGAGGAGGAATATACAGAGACCAATGTTCTTCTCGGATACGCATCCAAGGATCCTGGCGACGAGAACATAAGTCGTCTTGGTGGTCGTCCGGTATGCGATAACTCCAGTTTATCCTAATACGACAATTAGCAACTAATACGGCGATGAATATTTAGGAATGGCTCGATGCGAACACCCCACCTTCTGCTACGCTAGCACGATGCAAGATATGTAAAGACTTGATGGTACTTCTACTACAACTTGACGGCGAATTACCGGATCGCTTTCCCGGCCATGAGCGCCGACTCTACGTCTTCTCGTGCCGGCGAAAAACCTGTCGGCGAAAGGAGGGCAGTATTCGTGCCCTACGAAGTGTGCGCATAGCCCCCGGAAGCGCTAACATCCCAACTGCGACTACGAAAGATAAGAAGGAAGAGAAGGCGAAAACGGAAGAAAAGCCCAAGTCACAACCGCCGTCTAACTTGGGGGAGACACTTTTCGGCGCCAAAACCCTAGGGTCTTCATCCGGCTCCGCGAACCCATTCTCTACATCTACGTCCTCGGGCGGTAGCGCCAACCCGTTCGCCAGCGGCGGAAACCCATTCAGCAGCCCCCCTACCGAAACCAAGCCCGAACCCAAGACTGAATCTTCATCAACGCCATCTACGACCACGACCACAACCGTAGAAGACATAAAATCCCTCCCGAAAACCTTCGCCGAAACCCTCTCCCTCAACAACGACCAAGCCCCCTCCTCATCCACATCCACATCCACATCCACACCTCCCACACCCCCCGAGCCCTGGCCCCAGGCCTCCGACCTCCCAACCCCATACCCCATATCCTACCTCTCCGAAGCCGAATACGAAACCCTCGACCCAACCCCCCCTCCCATCCCCCAAGCAACACGCATGGACATCGACGACGACAGCACTACCACCAGCAAACCCGGAAAAGGCGGAAAAGAAGACCGCGAAGTCTTCGAGTCAAGCATGGACGCCGCATTCCAGCGCTTCGCCGATCGCCTAGCGCAGAACCCCGAACAAGCTATCCGGTACGAATTCGGCGGGCAGCCGTTGCTGTATAGTAAAACCGATACGGTGGGTAAATTACTAGCACCCGCTTCTACTCCTACTGTTGGGCCAGGTAGTGGGGTAAATACCGCACCGGCAACAGGAGTGAAGAACGGAATTCCCCGCTGCGCGAATTGTAATGCCCCGCGTGTTTTCGAGGTACAGATGACGCCGCATGCGATCGCGGAGTTGGAAGATGTGAATACAGTGGGAGCGGCGGCGTTGCTGGAGGATGGGATGGATTGGGGTACTGTGATTGTTGGCGTGTGTGAACGCGATTGCCAGGCGAGAGGTGTGGCGGAGGGACAGGTTGGGTATGTTGAGGAATGGGCTGGTGTGCAGTGGGAGGAGTTGACTACTGGTGGGCGCAGGTAACGGATTGATAGATTCTGCTTTTATATGCGTAAGCATGCTCCGACGGGCAGTGAATGGAACAGAGATATTAGATCTCATGACTTAAAATATGAAATGTTCATTTAATGATATCGTATAAGTCCATCACGATACTGCATAGACCTCTACTGTACCACTGCGTTCCCATTGGCTAAATTATAGCCGTTTGATATGAAAACTAACATATCAAGTCCAGACGAGCTATAAACGAAAAAGTTGAAGACAAACTAAGTTCATTCAGATCATTTATTCGTTTCTGATTTATCATGCTCGCCTATCTATCAACGGCACAATAAACATCGCAACACAGCACAGCAAGCCCGGGGAATCCCCTGGCTATTACCCATAACGCCGAAGACGTGGTTTTCCGTCTTTTCCCAATGCTGGTTCGTTGACCCACCACTAGTTTTTGATTTCCTATCACTACCGATTACCGACCAATACCACCTTGGAAGAAACTTATACGGTTTCTTCCCAAGCTCGTCTGATGACTCTCGAGAACATGTCTACGTTGACATCCTCGCGGACCTCGCTCTTCTTGGCCTCGTTCTCGGGGTTCTTCGGTATCTTAACCAGATTACCCTCAACGCGCCATCCAGCAGTCTCAGAAACGAACTTTAGAGCAGCGGGACCATCAAGACCCAACCATTGCTCGAGAACGGGGAGCTCAACCTCACGGTAGGCGTGACTGATGAGCGTGGCGATGCGCACACGGATGAGCTCCTCAAAACCATCGATATCGGTAGTTAAATCGGCGTACAAGTCGTCGGAGTCGAGGGTGGCCCAGAAACGTGCGTATTGTGCGCCTTGTAGTTGGTTGCTGAGTTCGCGAAGCTTGGTGACGGCTTCGGCGAGCTCGGCTTGTGGGTTGGCTATTAGGTGAGGCGGGATGAGGTGGAGCGCGAGGGAGAACTGAGGCGAGGGGAAGCATGTCAAGGCCTTGACTAGGGTGTTGGTGATGACCTCTTCCTTGACGCGGTCGGGGTTTAGTTGGTATCTGTGTTTTAGTATGGGGGTTAGCAGGCGCCTTTTATTGTCTCGTATGATATGAATATAATAGGCAAAGCGCAAGCATGACAAGCAAGAGAAGTCAACTTGGTAGGTCAGAGATCTAATAAGGAGACATCAAAACGGGAGGGTTAATGAACGCCGTCGCCGTTGGTCAGGTAATAGGAAACGTGTAAAATTTAATCATCATTCCAATCCAAGCAACATGAAGAACCAAAATATGTTCATCGAGAAATCACTCACAGCTTTAGTAATGTCCGGTTCGCATTGGAGTCGGTATATCTGTTTTCGCACTGGTGGCGCAGGTAATCCTCTAGGTTGCCTACAGCTTCGGGGTTATATCTCTCCAATCCACTTATGATGTTGACGATATCCTCGGGACGCTCTTGGGGGTCTTCGGAATCCATCTTGACGGCTGACTTCGCGAGGGGAGTTCGTAGCGATAGTCTTTTTCACGATGGTTCAAAGTTTCAAAGGGAAAAAGTCGGATTTGGTGGGGCTGCGACGAAGTTGAGAAGTCCAAGTTTTGGATTTGTGCGTGTGCGCGCTAGTCCGTAAGGGGATAAGCGGGGTATATATGTAGCGCTTATTAAGACCAGTCTATTGAAGCATTTATACGAGCTAAAGATTCTGGGTTTGAGGAAACCAACTATCAAATCAAACAATTCGGTAATCAACCTTCGAATAAATGGCAATTATACTAATATTTCCTTATAAAATAGCCGTGTATATTTAGTTTATACTACTCCTTGGTATCTACGCCTCCCAAGCCATCTTTAATTCTATCAACTCCTCACCTAACCCGTTGCCCTGATCACAGTACCCACTACCTAATATTCTTCTTTACTAAACCATGTCGTTTATTCAACGACCAAGAGACTTTGGCCAGTCATTTCATCGGGCACGGGTAGACCCATAGCAGCCAAGACTGTCGGAGCGACATCACCCAAAACACCATCAGACTTCTTCAATGACCAACCCTTAGGCGCGTTGTCCATGATGAAGGGGACCTTGTTGGTGGTGTGAGAAGTCTTAGGCTTGCCGTCAGGGAACTTCATCTCTTCAGCATTACCATGGTCGGCAGTGATAAAGAGTATGTAGCCTTCCTTCTTGCAAGCATCGCGGATTAGACCGATGGCCTTGTCGGTGGCTTCACATCCGATGATAGCAGCCTCATAAACACCGGTGTGTCCAACCATGTCAGGGGGAGCAAAGTTGTTCATGACAAACGGGAATTGTTGCTCGCCCAATCGCTTAGCGACCTGCTTCGCGACACCATCGGCGCTCATCTCAGGAGCCTTGTCATAGGTAGCAACGCTCTTGTTGGAGGGCACCAAGTCCTGAGATTCGTCTCGGGTCTCCAAGGCGAAGACCTTCTCAACACCACCGTTGAAAAAGAATGTAACGTGAGCGTACTTCTCTGTCTCAGCGACGTGGACTTGCTTGACACCTTGCTTACCCAGCCATTCAGCTAACACGTTACCCATATGTTGGGGCTTGAAGGCAATCTCGAATGGGTAGTCAACCTTGTATTGTGTCATGGTAACAAGGTTGATCTTGGGGTAGGGGAAGTCAGGCTTGGGAGATCGGTCAACATTTCCAAGCAGTTGAGTGATTTGTCGGACACGGTCGGATCGGTAGTTGAAGAAAAAGACCTCATCGCCGTCCTTGATTCGGGCGTCCTTACCGCCGACGATGATGGGCTTGAGGAATTCATCATTCTCGTTCTTCTCGTATCGTTCCTTGACGGTCTTGACTGGGTCTGAGCTCTCTTCTCCCTCACCTAGAACCATACCCTTGAGCGCAAGCTCAAGTCTGTCCCATCGCTTATCTCGGTCCATAGCGTAATATCGACCAACAACGGTAGCAATTTCACCAATTCCAATCTCCTTTATTGTGTCGAGAAGTTCTTGCATGTAGCCAGCTCCAGATTTGGGGTCGGTATCACGGCCGTCACCAAAGAAGTGGATGTAAACCTTGGGGACTCCAGCGGCCTTGGCGGCTTTTAGGAGCGCGTACAGGTGGGTCTGCTTGGAGTGCTATTGAATCAAGTCAGCAACGAGAATCCTGAATTTTAGGATCAATTTAACATACTACACCACCGTGGGAGACTAGACCGCATAGGTGGAGTCTACCGCTACCATTCTTGGCCCTCTCTAAAACGTTCTTGATAACTTCATTGCTTCCAAGCTCATTCTTTTTGACGGTTTGGTCGATTCGCACGACATCTTGCCATACGACTCTTCCAGCACCAATGTTTAAGTGACCGACCTCCGAATTACCCATTAGACCCTCGGGAAGACCGACGGCAAGAGAGGAAGCCTCTAATTCGGTGAAACCGGTAGCGCTCTTAGATAATTCGTCCATGACGGGGGTCTTGGCGGCAGCGATAGCATCGCCATTTTTGGGAGAGTCGGCGGAAGGGATACCCCAACCATCAATTACGACTGTGAGTTCGCAAGGCGTATAAGATTAGCCAGCCAATCTCGAGGTATATAAGAACGCAGCAAGTAAAAACGAAGTAATTAGGATGTCTAGTTTTAACAATACGAGAAGGAGGAGCGAGAGGTACGAGAGGTGCGGTAGAAAAAAGGGGAGAGTAAGACGTACTCAAACAGGCCTTTTGCTTTGGTGTAGTCATTCTTGCTTTTTTCCTAATAAGCTTTTTTTTCTACTGATGATAGGAAACTAATTGGAATAGTAAGGGGGGCTAAGGAAGAAAAGAAGAAAAGGAGGTGAGGAATGTTGAGTGATTTTCTACGGAAGATAATGGCCCTGGGAGATTGAAGTGTTGAGATGTTTCGCATGACGGTGGGCTGCTATGGCCTTGTATGGGCTATGGTGGGGGGATTTCTAGCTGTTCCGTTCGATAATCCGTCTATCGATAACGATTTTCCTTGTCATTATACCCCTCAAATAACATAGAAGTCGGTGAGTCTCATACAAGAACTTTATTATTCTAATTGAATTATGTACATGGATTTATTAGTATTAAAAATAGAAATAGGAATAATCGAAGAACATAATGGCTTAGTATAATCTTGTATAAAAAGGCATAAATCTGCTTTTAATTCTCAATCTGAAGCTGTATAAAATGTTACGGATAACCCCACCTTACCAGCCTGAGATTTTATTTGACGTCAGTGCATGATCGGAAGGGTCCAGCCTAAATCTCCGATGGACTGGGGCCAGCTTTGTACATCGAAGTAACAATCGAATCAACGTGAACACTATTCTAAACCTTCACCTTCAGCTCCATTAATAGACTTTGAGGCTACAGCTACATTTCAGCTCGACCATCAAGGTTCACTTTTACGTAAATAAATTCAATTGAACACCGGAATCACATACCACTGCTTCTCAGCTACTGGCGCGACCGTACCAAATAACCAACCACACTTCCATCGCACCTATCCTCATCTCTACCATCTCAGCGAAACATCACATCCCAATCAAAATGGCAACCAAAACAATGACCTCAGCCACAGGCGTCCAAATACCAGCTATGCCCGAAGGTCTCAACCCAGATACCCTCGACACCCTAACCGAACTCGCGGTCCTGCTAAACCGTCTTCGCACACCAACCTCAACCACAGGCGCAACCCCCGCCGCGGCACCAACACCCCAACCCCAGCCCTTGCGCCCGAACCAATCGCAACAACAAACCAACAACGGCGCCACGACCACCACAAACACGGGCGAACTATCTCTTAAAGAAATCCCACCCGCGGCCGATGTATTGAAGCATAGATTTCAAAAAGCGCGTGTGCTGGTCAGGGGGTTGCCGGATGTAGGACGTGGCATCGCGGAGCAGGAGGAGGAAATTCGGGCTTTGGAGGAAAGGTTGGGGCGGCAGCGTGATATGCTTGTGAAATTGAGGGAGATGGGTGCGAAGTTGGCGGAGCAGGAGGGTGATAAGATGGTTATGGATTAAGACCAAAGGCGGGCGAACGAGGGGTGCAAAAAAGAAAAGAAATGGGGACGCGAGAAAGAGTAATGCGTTGGTTGGATACGCATTGCGGTCTTGGGGAGCTGATACGGATGTATATGTGCGTGGAGTTTGGGCGTTCGGATCATGATACCACACGAGCAAAAGCATGCGATTCTCATGGAATTAAGTTTCATTGATAGGGAACTACGAGTTTTATTACAATAGGGAGTACAGGTTGCGGAAAAGGAGAAGGAATGGAAGCCAACGCCGTACGCTAAAGTCTTGCTTGTACACCAATTTTCAGATCACAACTTTCCAGAATACTGAAAGACCATTATGACTATTACGAACTCAACACACCAGCCTTTCGTAGAATGTCGACCGTACTGAGGCTTGGGCTACCGCAAACCGAATTCTTCCAGACATCTGCCGGGATGCGACTCTCTTCGGGCAAGATGGACCAGTTCGGAGACGGCTCGGTCTTCAGCCACTTAAAGTCGTCGACTTGATCCCACTGGTTTGTGCCTTCGATCTCCGATTTCGTTGCCTACCCAGGCCGTCAGTATCATACCGGAGCTCAGTATAAACGTACTTACATAGAACTCGGGTATCGGCGCAAATCTCATGTCCGAGCAATCCTCGATAATAGGATGGCTTGCGCAGTGGAGGTACACGTCGACGTTCCTACATTCGTGGATACGGACCTGTCGCGCGGCGACTACCACTATGGTATTCTGAAGTCCAGTAATGTGTACGGGCCCCGCGACATGCCCAGCAATAACCAGACTCTGCTTAATATTCTTCAGCGCCAATCCGGCGAACGGTGCTCCCGTGCTCGTCGGAATTGTCATATCCACCACGCATCGCTCTAGGTTCCTCAAGCTACCCGATGATGTGGCCCTTGAAGCAGTCGAAGGCAGCACGATATGTAGTCCGGAGTGGTCGAAAATAGCAATACTCTTCACATTAGAGAAACTCGGCTTCCTAACACCTGATTGTTGCTCTAACTCCTCATTGTAGTCTTTCGCAGATGCACTAGCGCTAGTTTCCGCATCGCGCTTTGCAGCATCGAGGACTGGTGATTGTTTGGAACCGACATTGCTAAAGGAGGTGCGTACTCGTGGATCGGCTTGGGGTTCGGATGTGGTAGCGGATTTCGAGGATTTGGATTTGAATTGGAAGCGTGATTTGGGAGCGAACTTAGCTGTCGTCTCGTTGAGTTTATCGGTGAGAGCCTTGATGGCCTATGTAGCTAGGTGTGAGAATAAGGAACAATATGCACCAAGGGTGAGTGGCTTGTACCTGGGTATATGTTCGTTGATCATATGCAGGGACGTAATCACCCGCATCCATTACCTCGTTGGACAAACGGGATATCCCCGCCAACACCGTGTCGATACAGTCTTGTCGCTCTCCGCCTACATGAGACATGGTTGCTAGATCATCGATTTGGCCTTGGATAGCTTCGTTATGTTAGTCTTCTAATTAGTCACGTAGTACTAGCACTATGATAGTCATACCCGTTATTTCGGCTTGAAAGTAGCGGAAGAATCGTTCCTTAGGATCTGCTATGTTGGGGTCCGCCATCGTGCCGGCGTGATGATGCGTCGGGTCTGGTCTAAAGGGAATAAAAACTTGAGTTTCCATAGTGAAGAGAGGATATTTATAATAAAATACAATTGATTATTACTATTATGATTATGTGTGAATGTACCTGGTATTATCTTGCTGCCTAAGCTATTCGGATTGCAGCAAATTGGTTTGAAGTCACGAAGTCAAGTTTGCGAAAAACAAAGGACAACGAAGGTGGTGACGACGGAGCTTTATAACCGAATAGAGTCACTATTGTGATGTAATGCAACGACAAGTCGAAGGGAAACACAGGATGGTTCCAGGGTCACGATGATCGATACAAGGTGTCGAGATTCATTTTCTGTAATATGTCGTCGTATCGTTGAAGTGATTGGAAGACAAGAATCTCCAAAAACATCAAAAACGTAGGGTAACCAAGGTGATGGAGGGGTCGGAAGCTTATCGATTGGATCGGCAGGACAGATTTTGGCGGGGTAATGCATAACACTAAATAATTGGCCAATGGTGACGTTCTCCAAATGAACTCCAAGGTGCCGTGCTACCCCGACGGGAAAAGTCCCCTAATCCGATTAATTTCGATGGAAGTGACGTACTTCGTACCACGCACCACGCTGACCTTTGCCTTTCTACCTGCGTCTCCATCTCCTACATCCTCCTACTGTTGATATAGTGCCAATTAACATCTAGTTCCACTTGGACTTATGATGATCTGAAGATCTCCCGATTTTGAATAACAGCTCCCACCGAATAGGAGTAATTCACATGCTCCTACAAGGAGTAGAGTGCATGTCTATTGCAAGGGGCTACTGACTCGATCCAGTTCTAAAGGGCCAACCATCATAACTTGTTGATTGAGAGGTACAATTGCATCACGACATAGCATCAGTGTGGAATAATATGTTGAATTTAAACTATCAACAACAGGAGGTAAACAACTATATCTCCTGAACGATCTCCTATACACATTTTACCTCTCCCTTGACAAGATAGTCATCTATCTTCCACAGTTGCGAGTCGAGCACACAGTCACTTCGTGAATGTATCGGATCTGTCCGCCCTCAACACGGATGAAGTTGGTGCTAGATGTGCCGTTAGGCTTCTTGGCGTCAATGAAGGGGAAATCGTTGAAGATGCCAACACCACCAAGAACCTCGTCAATAACATAGCGTCGGTTCTCAACCTTGAATGGCTTAGGGAATTCGGGCATGAAGCACGTGTTGGCAGTCGGACGACCACTTCCGGTGTATGAACCACCTTCGAGACGAGCACAAGGTGTTCCGTACGGTGCCTTGACGGTACCATCACCCCAGCTGTCGAGGTAAGCGTCACCGGCCGCTTGGATGACTTCGCGCTTGTCTTGCTTGTCCTCTGGAATCGGGTCCCATTTCTCCTGCTTCGTCCAGTATAGCTGGCCCGTCGCATTGAAAGCCCAATCACCATCGTTGGCGACAACCGATTGGATAGTCGTGATCTTGTCGTCGGTGAATAGGAGTCTCGTGGAGATAACGTACTTCTCCTTAGTCGCGGCCGAGATCTCGGTGAACGTCGCGCACTGCGTCGTGTCGTGTAGACTGCGGTTAAAGTCGACGGTGATGGGCGTGCTAATTACACCCTTCGCGATGTCCGTCGGCTCGTCGTTTTCGATGTAGGTGACGTTCTCAGCTAAAGCTAGCGAGGAAATGCTCGGGTTTCCGGCTGCTTGCGCCGCGACGTATGCCGCGGTCGCTGCCTCGAGTTGTTCACGAGTGCATGCCGCTGCGGCCTTGGAGGCGAGGGCCGCGCCAACTAGTAGAGCCGAGTAAAGCATTTTTCCTTTTTCTAACTTGCGATACTTTAGGGATCCAGAAGTTTATTCCGTCTTCAATCTAGACAGATATTATGACATCGAGGTTATCGCTAGATTTTGTAGGGGGGCTGAAGCCGAAAAAGGAGGGGCCATGAATTTTGCCTCAGCCCGACTCATTTTGGCTTATATACCCGGCTTAAATGATCACCATGGCACTTATAAAAACACGTGGGCGTTACACTTAAAACACCTGTCAGGGTTCGTACGCGCCTCTCTAATCATCGTCAAATTAAAACATCAAGTTACTATTTATACAAGACCTTCATTACCGACCGAGACTTCCATATCAGTGAAGTTTGCCACTAACATTCAATAGAATCTGAGTGGAGATTATTGACCGCGAGATATGTTCTCGGCACAGCTTACTCCTCCGGGGTGGTTATGATAAAGCACGGCACTTTAGCCGTAATCTCGAGAGATTGCCGGACTCCGAATCGGATAGAGTGCGGCAGTCCTTAAGCCTCGGTAATAATAACATGTCAAAAGATATTTGAACGAAAACGGAAAGGGACATTCGATCTATATTTAGGGCAGATAACAACAGGCAACAATAAGTAACGATCATAAAGAATGGTCTAGAAAAGGTTGGTACTATAGATATATACAATTTTATTATCGTGACACATTAATAACTAGGTAAGATCAACAAGCATGTAGACGGGTAGGTGAGATCGGATGCATGACTCTAACAGTCAATCACAATCCTCCCCTTACCTCGACTTACACATGATAACATACTAGTCTCCTTCTGTTCATCTTCAAGGGCTGTACCTTGATGATCAACCTTTCCTTTGCAAAGATCCACGGTGCATGTTCCACAATTACCTACCATGCAAGAAGAGTCAACCTCGAAACCAGCCTCATTAAGGATCTCCAACAGAGATTTCTCACGAGGAACCTTGAGGACCTGTCCGGTAGCCTTGATCTCCGCTTCGAACGGTTCACCGGTTCCGGTTCCGACACCGCCGAAGTCCTCATACTGTGTCTGAGAGCGAGGGTAACCTAGCTTATTCGTCATGTCGCGGCACGCATTAAGTAGCGACGACGGACCACAGCAATATGCCAAGGTCTTAGAGCAATCGCGACAGTCTTCGGGCGATGGAATGAGTGAATCAATGTCCAACCGTCGGCCTTCACTCTTCGCATAGACTGTCGTGTTTTCAGCTGGTAAATGGGAAAGGTATGCAGCCTCTTCCCGGCTACGAACAGCATAGTGCACCTCCACACTTGTCGACTCTTTTTTCAGGAGAGATTTAATCTCACCGATGAAAGCAGTGACACCGATACCACCCAAGATGAAGATGTGTCTTGTCGGGCCAGGCTCTTGATCATGGGCGATGATAGGGATCGTCGCATTGTGTCCCTTAGCTACTTCCACGACATCACCGACCTTAAGGTCATCATGCAAGAAAAGCGAACCACCCCTTGAGTTATCATCCTTAGCGATTCCGAGTTCGAATCTCTGCAAGTTACCCGAAACCACCGAGTAGGCCCGAGTGAATTTCGCATCGGGTCCGAACCGGAGGCGCACGTGAGGAAAACGTCCGAATTTTAAGTCTTCTTCGGAGTCGGTAGTCAAGTCTTCGGCCTCGAAGATAAACTTCTGTACTCGGGACGTTAGTGGGGTCTTCTGGATCAGCTTGTACGATTGCCAAGGCACTGCGAAATTGCCTAACAGACGAGCGCCCATGTTTTCGAGTCCCTTAGATAATCGATTTCGGAATAGTATCCTGAACTCGTTACTAAGGCCCTCCAACTCGCTTATCTCAGCTACCGCCTCCAGATTATTTGAGTCCGTATAGAGGATATGGTGTAGTCTGGTGAGGGACCAGCGTGGGTTGATGCGTTCGATAAGTTCTATCTCATCTCCTTCTTGTACCTCACCCTCCTTTAGCACGCGATAGTACCATCCGGTGTACCCAGTTTTTTGGATGAGGTTGGACATCTTCTTGTACTCGAAACGGTGGTTGAGTTTGTAGCAAGGCTGCCTCAACATCGTCACTTGGATGATTGCTTCGGGTCCTAAGCGGAACTTATCCCCAACGCAGAGGTTTTCTTCCGTGAGATAGGAGGATGTCATGTTTTCGCCGAAAGCACCGATTTTGAATTTGTGTTCGCGCTCCGGCAACAGTTTCTTCCACGCGGCATAGTGTCGGGGATCATATTGATGAATCGCATTGTCGAGACTCTTATGATGGATGTATTGCCGTTCATCGCCGACGAAACCAGGTATCGAGAGTTGTATCTTTCCATCTCGAGGTTGCTTGTTGATGGCTGAGAACAAACCCTTTACGCCACCAAAAGGTCGAATCTTGCCCGTTCGTATACCAACAACCACATCCTTGGGTGGGAGTGGCGCTAGATCAGGATCTATACCAAGAGAACCCATTGAATAAAGTGTTATAGATTGGTTCTTGGAACTCTATTTGAAGCGATTTCCTACAATGCGATCCAAAGGCTAAAGGAACTTGTGGAGGAATTAGTTATTAATCTATACGATCTGACTCGTCGACGGGGACTATTTCTTACGAATACCCACCTAGAATCGGCAGTTGCTATAATAGGTTAAAAGGATCATCCTGATAGGATGAGAGCTATTATAACATCCTGAATACAATCAGGTTTGTTGCTATACCTGGGTATTGTTAGTGGCTATAGTATCGATGTTCGATGTTTTAGAACAATAGACAAAGAAAAAAAATACGACGTCTCTCGTATAGTCGGACATTCTCGCTCACACACGCAGCACAGGCCTATGTAAAATGCCTCCAATTTCATCTTCCATAACAATAAAAAACAGAAGGAAAAGAATGAAGAAACAATACCCTAGAATTTCTTTATTATTGGTTTAGCCTGCAGTGTAACTGTGATTACTACGCGAGGGTACTTACTGCCCAGAGAATAGGGGGGCTGGGGTAGGTACTTGCGGACGGTTAGGTCCTCGTCGTGGCGGCCTAAAGTAAGCCCTGCAGCTATTAAGTCCGCACCGCACGCTGTTGGCGCCGACTCCCGTGCACCGATCGGTAACTTCCACCATCTACGGGTAATGACGATCGGTGACAGCAAAGCTAAATGAGATTGGATGGTGGTTTAACGGTGGCGTAAAAAACTTAGTTCTGTACTAATTCAAAACCTTCCCTAGAACAACAATTTATTTGGAACATCTTACAAGACAACTCCGTCAAGTAATCTTTCCCCGCTACGTACTAGCATAGCTGGACCTTGGAGCTCATGTTGTGAAGCTTACCTCGATAATTGGGAGCTAATCAGCGCAAGCTACGAGTAATGACCATGCATCTTAGCTCATTCCTCATCGTGCACGACGTCGAGCTGACACATGATGCGCTATCTTTATGGGAGCAGCTCTGTCTGCTCCGACAAGGTGATGCCAGGAAGAGATCATGCTCTCGTCAAGGCTACTTTCTTCCGAGAGGGGGCTATCACCTCGGCTTATTGACACCAAACTGATCGTCAATCTTACATGTTGGAAACATGTTGGAAATGGTCTGATGTTCATGGTCGATTGCCATCGATACACTCCAAATAGCGACACCAGATGGTGTAGCGATGGTTCAATACGATGAACCGTCTGCGGTACCCACAAATGGGCATACATGCCAAGGGTGGGAAGAAGACCGGGCTGCATCACCAGGAACCGATGGACAGCCTCCGAGATGTGCTAAACCCTTGAAGTCGCAGATCCAGATCTTCTTTCAAGATGTCAATTGGGCCAAGTCCGCCGCAGGGCCCATAGCCGATTGGGACACTGAACTCCGACACATCTCTCGCTTCCTATTAGCTGATACAAGCCCGGCGGTACTGTTTTGGGGAGATTCCTCTGCCGTTCTTTACAATGAAGCGTATCTACCTTTCTTGGGTCAGAGCCACCCCGAAGCGATGGGGATGGACGCCTCTGACATTTTTACTCCGATCTGGAGTCAATTAGCTGGTGTCATTTCTGAGCAACGTCGCACAGGCCGGACAGAAACATGCACAGGTACCATGTTGCTTGTAAAAAGAAATGGCCGCCTTCGAGAGACGTATTTCGACTGGAAACTAATTCCCGTTACCGATGACGACGGGGAGGTTAAAGGTTCTTATGGAATACCCTTAGACAGGACGCAGGAAGTTATCTGCTCACGACAAAACGATTGTATTCAGCGACTGTCGCGTCACACAGGAACGGCGAGTAATATGAGGGACCTTTGGCACACCCTACTGGCTGGTCTCAGCCATGACAACAAAGATATCCCATTTGCTCTATTGTATTCACTAGACGAGCGGTTGAGTATCAGCGCCGCACCAAGCAAACCTAGCTACCCATGCCATCTAGAAGGCACTATTGGTGTAGATACAGATCGTGCTATAGGGCAAGAGTACATCGATCTATCATGCGACAAGGAGGGATTTGCGCCAACCATGCTCAAGGCTCTCAAGAGCGACTCGATGCTAATATTGCATGCCGACGACCCATCGCTACATAAGCTACTCGACGGTACGGTATGGCAACGACAATATCTGCCTTGCGAGCAGTTCGCCATCGTCCCTATCAAAGACGATGGTAGGATAGTCGCACTCATGGTAGTAGGCCTCAATCCGCACAGAGAATGCAGCGAGCAATTCTGCGAGTTCTTGCAACTCATAGCAGACGTCACCGCGCCGCAGGTATCACGGGCACGGCTGTCAGAAGAAGTCTCGCGTCACAATGAATTAGCCAAGCGGGCGCAATTGGATCGGAGGAGAAGCGAAATGAGATTTTCTCGATTCGCAGAGTGGTCAATCGTTGGCCTAGCTGTTACAGACGTGCAGGGAAAGGTATGGTTTGCGCGCCAGCATAAGATGTTAAATTTGTGTGCTGATCAATTTGTGGGCAGATTCTATACGCAAACGATGCTTGGTACAAGTTTTTCGGTTTGAGCCCTGCAGAACAGGAGAACTTGAGCTGGCTCGACAGCGTGGTCCCGGAAGACGTCAATCTACTCCTAGAATGGCAAAAGAAGGTCCTTGATGAGAAAAAGGGGGGCACTTTTCAGATTCGCTCCAAAGAACCATTTCGTCGAGGCCATATGTATTCAGATCATCGGACTGGTATTTGCGCCTGTTATTCGGATTTAAACGAATCCGATGGGGTTGATAGCATTGTAATATTCACGATGGATATAAGCGAGCTCAAGTGGACCGAGCAACAATTGATATCACGAACTAAAGCACTGGAAGAGTCGGAGAAAAAATGGCGGAATTATGCGGAACACTGTCCTCTTGGGATTTGTCGAACCGATGGACAGGGATACGTCCAATACGGAAATAATGCCTGGCATTCCTTTTATGGGTTCGGACCAGACGACGGCGACATACCTAATATGCCACAACCGTGGTTACCTTGGGTTCGGAATGAATGCGTCCAGCCATGCGAAGAATTCTTTGCCAAGCTTCAGCAAAGTCCTGGTATTGAATCCGTTGAATTTCAGTTGGTGGATAAAACCTACACGATCTCGGGCGGCGACAACACTGTGACGAACGGCGCTTATGTTTCCGCGACGGGTTTCTCCGAGTTTAAAGACGATGGAACTGTTGATCATATTGATTTCTGGGTAACAGATATCAGCGGGCAGAAAATGGCCGTAAAAGTCCTAACCGACAAGATGGAAGAAGCTATCAGGTCTAAGACTCAGCAAGAACGTTTTATGGACATGATCAGTCACGAGATTCGCAATCCACTATCGGCGGTTCTTCATTGTAGCGAAGAGATTATAGATTCGATCAAAAGGGGTTCCGCTACTCTCGAGTGGGCGTTTGACGACTTACCCAACTCCCACTCAACTAGTTGCGCAAGAGATATTCTGGAAGAACAGATTAGAAATGCCTTGGATGCTGCTCATACCATTTCGTATTGCGTGCAGCACCAGAAACAGATCGTCGATGATGTTCTAACTGTTTCCAAGCTCGATTCCGATATGCTCGTGGTGGCCCCTGTTCCAGTACAGCCGATGACATTGGTTCGCTCCTCCCTGAAAATTTTCAATGCTGAGCTTCGGATGGGCGATATTAGACTCACGGTCATCGAAGACGACTCACTTTCCGCATTGGGTCTCGACTGGGTACTACTTGATCCTAGCAGATTCCTCCAGATCGTCATAAATCTCGTCACCAACGCCATCAAGTTTACGAAAAAGTCCAAAGTAAGAGAGATTACTGTCACGGCGTCTGCTCTAGCGCACAGACCCTTTGAAAGCGACCTAGGTGTCGAATTCGTCCCGCAGCGATATGCACCTGCTACCCCTGCATCGGCTGTTAGCTTAGACACTGGGTTGAAAAATGCCGGAGACCCATTGTCAGATATCTTTCTCTGTTTTTGTGTCAAAGACACTGGAAAGGGTATGACGGAGGATGAGAAAACCCAGGTCTTCGATCGCTTCGCTCAAGCGTCCCCGAAGACGCATGTGGAGTACGGCGGGTCGGGCCTCGGCCTTTTTATCTCTCGGCAGCTCACTGAAATGCTCGGAGGTGAAATAGGTATGGATGGCAGGCCTGGCTCGGGTTGCACATTTGCGTTTTATGTCAAAGCTCGGCGATGTGAATTGCCTAAGTCATCACCGAAGTCTTCTGAGCCTGTCATTAGACTAAGTCGGTCGCTTAGTCTTACAGCAAATGGAACACCCGTCCCATTAGAGGACGGCATTGGCGAGGTACCTCCGATTCCAGACGACCTACACGATGAAGCTCGACAGATCAGGGTACTCGTCGTTGAGGATAATCTAGTAAATCAGAAGATATTATGCAAGCAGCTACGAAATCATGATTTCGTTGTACAAGCTGCCAACCACGGGAGGGACGCTTTAGATGTCGTAAGGCATACCAAAATTATTGATGTGCCGGACGAAAAGGGCCCCTTTGACGTGATATTATGCGATATCGAAATGCCGGTAATGGATGGCATCGAGTTCACAAAAGAAATTCGGAGACTCGAAGTAGAGGGTGAGCTCGCTGGCCACATTCCAATTCTTGGTGTAACGGCCAATGTGAGAGGTAAACAACTTAGTGGTGCTATTGAAGTTGGTATGGTAAGTGCAATATTCCTAATCTGGTAGACTCAATCTTTCGAGGCATAGAGTTGATTTGGAATACAGGATGGCGTGACAACAAAACCTTACAGAATCGAGGAGCTCATTACGCATATTAGAGGAATTTGCGCTAAATGATAAGTGGCGACGATCGCGTATTAAATGTCATACCGGCGCAATTATGGGAATATTTATGTTTTCAAGGGGTGAAGCGGATTATATATGCGAGGGGAATGATATTTTGGGGTATATTTCATCCTTATTCCATAATATTTTTGTCAGCTTTGTACTTCAATACCAAACGAACGCGAATCTCACAATTTAATTACAAGACATCTTATCGGCGATTATAGCCCTTGCCTCTGCCCAGCCAGCCCACGGACTGGGCCCTTCTGGAGGCGGAAATGGACTCGGCTCGACGTACACCACGCCATGTTCGCACAACAGGTCCGTTATCCAAGTACTCCCGAGATGACGAGCGATCTCCGCGAGGTGTTGCCCAAGATTCCCTCGCCAAGGGCCTAGACGGCTGCCATCTTCAATTCTGGAACTCACGCTAAGAGTTGCTCCACGCGATAACAGTAAACGAATCATGGGTTCGTTTTCCCGCGCGAACGCCCAGAATAGGGCAGGGTATTTAACTTGAGAGTTTGCTGGGGGGTCAGGAAGAGCGCCGTGATCAAGAAGCTTGCGTGCTAGCGTCAGACTACTCATTGTTGCGGATTCATGGAGTGCGTAGTGTGGGATAGTCTTATTAGCAGCGAAGTTGGGATCGGCCCCGTGTGAGAGGAGCGCATCGACGATATCATGGTGCAAACCTTGGCACGCTGCGATTAGCGGGGTCTCGGTTTGCCGGGTATGTTTCTGAACCGGCACGCCACGGCCGAGGAAGTATTTCACCATGGCCATATTTCCAAGGCCTGAATGGTGGATCAAGTCGCCGTAAGAGGACTCAAGGGATTCTCTCCACGGGCCGTATCTCGTCTCTGTGTCTTCCTCCCATGGAGCTAGCGCACTAGTGAGGTATTCGTAGACCTCGGGGTTTGTTGTAAACCGCCTAGCCATTCGGATTCCGTAGCCCATTCCTGAGCTGTGGTCTATGCTTCCGAAAGTTTCCCCTTGTATGGTGTTGTCGTTATCGATCTGCAATGCTGCCTTGAGGATATCCATGTCGCCTCGCATCGCAGCGCCCTGGACAGACCAAACGTCGAAGTACGGCTCAAAGACAGATCTTTGGAAGAGTTGAAGCATGGCAGTATTGCCGGCCTGCGCGGCGACTTGCATCGGCGATGCAAATAGGTAGGTGTGATGTGTTGGATCATGGTGGACTCGGACTAACTCTGCTAAGGACCTCTGTACTAAGGCTGGGATATTGAAATGAGTAGCTGCGGTGAGAATATATAGATCTCGGCAGGCATGTGCTTTTTCCTTAGCAGCAACCAAAGGTCCCCATAGCTTACGCTTTCGATGTTTGATGATATGTCGGTTATGACTTAATGCGAGTCCGCATAGTTCCTTAAGCACGTATTGGAAGTCCAGACCGGATTCACCGCTTATGAATTCGGCTGTCGTACGTATATCTACGAAACGCCCGACATGTCTGTCCTTTTCGCGAAGGCATCGGTATACTAGATACCCCCGCCATAACTCGAATCCGCCGTGCTGCGTCTGTAGATTCCATTCATTTGTTCCGATTGGAGGGAACACGGGCTTGTCCATTAATTCCGTTTCAAATAGCGCTGCGTGCGTCATGCGCGCGAAGACGCGGCATACGAGGCGGAGGCGTAGCGCTCGTTTTACGCCCCGGGTTAAGGTGGAGTAGAATAGGATTATGTGGAGGATTTCGGCGGGGAGGTCTAGGAGGTATATTGTGGTATTTTGGAGGGACATGATGGACGGATTGGAACTAGAAATAGGGGAATTGACACAGGGAAGTGGGATTGATGGGGGATTATAAAGATAAATTTATAGCCTTATAGGTGAAGGGTATACTGAAAATATAGCTGGCTAAACTATATGTAGGGCTGATACAGGGGACTGCAGTCAGTGATGAGTCAGCACACCGCCCCCTATTTTTGCCTATACCAAGACTTTATTTTAAGCTTAGCTGCCTGAAGAATTCGATTGCCTAGAATGAACCCAATCGCTTCTTTATATCGTAAAAACAAGCAATTGAAATTGAGGCCACGATTGCCCATGTATTGTATACGTAACTTCTTACGTGGAAGGAATAGGCATCTGTCGTTCCGAATCAATGGCTGCGTGCAATATTTTGAAATGGTTCTCGTTCTTTATTTTGGACAATCGTCAAGCAGCGTCTAGGGTAGGAACTCTGCTATGCGGTCCACTCATATATACTGAAAATCGTTCGTTACGTTACCCATCAATCAGAACCCCTGTCCGTGGTCTGCCTGCCATCTATATTCACTATATACACCCAACGCCTCGTTCATCAATCGCGTTCCTCTGCTCCTGGGTATTAAATCTATCCCCTGCCTGCCCGCCCGTTCATATGCCGTCTCCCACCATTAAGTGTCGGGGGTGATGGGAATGCGTATGGATACACATTTACAGGCCGTTTCTTGGTGGGTAGTGAGTTTAGTGCTTGCCACATTTCCATAATCCCAGCTCGGCGCGCGGGAAGCATACTATATTGTAAAGAATATAGGGCTTTACGGTGAATTGGTGGGACGAAACGGCCGGTTACGAGGCAGAATAGTACTCGGGGTGAGAGGTAATGTTTGCGAATACGTCTACCCATCTGGAAGTATTGGTGAAACATGGCGGCAAATGTGAGGGGTATTGGCTGTGTATCCTATTAGTACATAATACTCCATTACATGATGGCTTGGAGGACAACGAACCTTGAGATATATGATCGAAGTAGGTTGTGAAGGTGAGAGTAGGGGTGATTGGGAATTAATACTAAGTCTATCTGGGGTATCACGAAGTTCAAAACGAATGCCGCCTAGCAATAATTAGATGAGACCATGCGTTGATAAGGATCATGACTTACCCGGAAGACGCCTAGGGTCTTTTCCTCTAAGCATCAAGGCGAATAATGGAAAATGGTTTAAACAGGAAAGTAGCGTATCGAAAATGGCTTTGAATGATATGATGACCATACGTGCAAGCGCAAAATTGAGATAGAACACGACAACGGTCGGGAGTAGGAAGAATAGGAGCGTGAAAAGGATGGTGCCGACGAGGAGTTGGTCAAGGTCATAATCGCAAGCATCGACACGATTTCGTAGAACGTTATATTTCTTGCCCTGGAATAATTGGAAGAGGGAAAGCAGAATTGTGAGCTGCCAATGAAATATCCGCGCCGAGGCCAAGTAAAATGAGTAAATGTGGATCGTGAGGACTGAGAGTAGGTCGGAAAAGAGGGCGATGGGCATACTAGCACCAGCAAAGCTGGAAAATCCAATAAACCAAACAATATGTGGTAGTAGAGGTTGCAGGGTGTCGATACAGCTAGACCAATAATCAATAACCCAGAGAAATAGGTCGCCCAAGAACAACGCCAATTCACTATTCAGTTTCAAACCAGCAGGCCAGCCCATAAGCCAAGATATGCTGCTCTGTAACGCATTGATAGTGTATGTCCCCAGCAGCATGCTGATTGTGTCTGCCACCCATTCGGCATTGTCGATTATATATGAACCCAGAGCAATTCCGATGATTACGTCATTAGCTACGAGCCATAGACTATTGTAAAAACGTATATAGTCTGGATGGCTAGTCGTGACACTATCCCAATCATTTTTTCGTAGGCGCAATTTGACATATTGCATGGGCCAATAACAGAATTGCTGTAGACGTATTTCTACCTGTTGAGCAGTCGCAGATACGTCCTTGAGCGCAGGTGAATTCGGGCGTGCTCTCCACTCTAATATGAGTAGTAATGCTTCAGCAGCCAACCGATGACCGATAAGAAAAAGCACGAATGCTCGGCGAATGACGGGAAATGCATAGAGAATGATCATGTCCCATATCCATAATATCACATAATCTCTCATATTTGCAGCATGTTCCACAACCCGTTCGGAGACACTGAGAGTGCGCTTGGGTCGAGTACCGATGAGCGACACATTTTTCTGTAATAAGTGTTCCAATTCCCAAGCCCAATTAATTTGATTGACAACTCTGGCCAGGGCCTTATCCTTTTGAGACGGAGCATGCTGTACAACTGAATGTTGTCTCAATTTATCCATCAAGAGCCGCTTTTTAGCCTTGTTTTTCCTCTCCTGCTTTTCATCTTCCGCCTCAGAGCTGTCGGACGCATGGTATAATGCTCGATCGTCCTTATCTGCGAGAGAGAGCGCAATCGGATTGAGAGATATGTATTGCATATGAAGCGGAATTGGCCTCTCGAATAAAATAATCTGAATACTCGACGCTTTCGGACAAGTAACTTTGGGTACTCGCTGGTATGGACCGACGGAAGCTCGTACCCACGATGGATCTGGTTCGAAATCGGATTCGCGATTCGTAGTACCAAGGACATGCATAGAAGATTGCCCGCAAATCTCAAAAATTCGAGGTACGGGATGTGGCGCACTCCTTAAAAGAATACCCGTCTTTAAAGCATTTTCGGCACTCCGCGGCTACAAGTAATGTTAATAGATGCTTACGAGATACCGGGACCAATTAGATCGCTCACATCGACATGATCCAATATAGCTACAACGACAACATCGAGATTCGAATTCCTCCAACCGACAATAACACCGGGAACATCGGACGGGGAGATGTCGATCGGCCAAAATACCCTCATTAACCCATCATGCTCTGGCATGACCAGAAGGCCAGCGTTAGAGCACCTCCAGTTAGAAGGAGCCTCTACGCCGGAGTTGTTCGCGAGCGGAAATCCCAAGGCTAGGCGATCGCGGATGCTATGGGTCGTATGTTAGTGGGGATTGTCTTAGTCAAAAGGGGTTTCTTGTAATACCAGATCGGCCTCTACTCGAGCAATGTGTTGTACGGGTATAAATATTAATATGAAGACGATCGTTAACAGTCCAAATCCCTGGGCGGCGCGGACCTAAACAGAACAGCTGTGTTAGACATATTTCCCGAATATTGCTTTTATTTCCACATATTATTTCATTCCCTCCTTCTCTGCTAATTTCGTCTGATCTGATACATCCTATATATCTCGTATGTAAGGGTACGTGTTCACTCACAATAACACCTTTATCCCAAGCGAAAACGGTCAGTTCGTAGAGTCGAGTGACGAGATCCCATCGAGCAGTAATGTAGCCAGCTACGAAGATCGCGAGGGTGAGGACGGAGAAGGGGTGCATGTAGGAAGTGGGCGGTTATTATCCCTCGAGTCGCATCGCCTTTGCTCTTCTTTTCTTTCGATTCGCAGTGGATTTGGTTGGATTTCGTAATTCCTTTTCTAAGTAATAAGTAATTGGATGCTTTCGTTGTTGGGCACGGTTCGCGATGTACAATCCCAACTATGTTTTATCGAAGAATTATCGGTGGATAGGAATTGTTTCGTCTCCGGCAGCTTCGAAAGGTATTCGTCGCACGAGTCTTTTCAGAATGATAGTCGAAACCCAAGTCAATTGTTGTTTTTAACGTCGGTCCTCCGGGAAGTTGTGTAATGGTGGACGAGAATAACGAGTGACGAAGTTTTTAATGGGGAAGAATTAGATCGAGGGGAATAGTTGAACTGTATAATTGAGTTGTATAACCACGTGTGAAATTAATGGAAAGTCGAGGTTGTTGTTTGTTGCTCGTTCCTGCCCCTTGCAGTCTGGACTCACAGAGTTGCATTGCGTATTGCGTGTACAGATTAGTTTTATCGATATCAGCGGCTCCATCAGTAAATTTTAGTGCGAGCTAGGTCATAACCAAGGAACTTTTTAGGTTCTGACGTCGAAAACGGGTACCATACTCCAACTAAACTCTAACCTCCGATATGCCGATCCACTGTAACCTCTACTAAACCCCTATAGTCTTAGAGCATCACCAAGAATTTCTCAACCTTCAGCCAGTGAGTCTTGTTAACCACCACCCGTTCCTCTTTAATTGGTGTGGTATCATTGTGGAATTGATTAAAACAGAATTATGAATAAGGCCTTAGGATGCCGGTACGTGTATATAGGAAAAATGGAATTGCATAAAGTCGACTGTTATTAATATCCCAAGGTGGTGAATGAATAACCCCCGATGTTACAACGTCTTGTTTGTACAAGTCATCGCACTTCTAGGGTTGTAGAACGGTGTGCAAAAATAATAAACATCAAATGAGTAGAGCTGACAAGATCTAAGAATCTTGATTCTTGGTACAGTATCAGGGATTTTATACATTGGAATAAGAATTTGAGCTAGGTTGTCTAGGGTAATGAATACGAGGTTTCCCACCACTCTCTTAGGCTACTCTAACCGCCAAGGTATTACGGTTACGTCGTACTAGCCCTGCATTTCCCCTTCGCCTCTTAGTCGCATTCTGCGAAAGATCATCATCTGTTCAGCTGAGGCACGGTGAGGCTGAGCTCGGCATCACCAACCGAGAAATAAGCAACTCCCCGCGGAGTTAGATCAAAGAATAGCATTGGTTGGTAGCGGTAGGGACAAGTCTCAGTCTCACGGCTATCGGCTCGCTACCTCATGTCTCGCAGGTTTGCCCAGATTTCTTATGTAAGGTCCGAACGGGCTGTCTCCGACGGAGCCATCCGGAAAAGTCGGCATCTTTGCGGCGTGGCCAGTAAGGGATTAATGTCCCTTAATGCTCATCATTTCCTTTTCATATGGAGAGCATCACTTTCTTTGCTATCTTCGCGTGCTTCGTCTAGCAGTTTATCTATACCCCGTTCTTTCAGGGCAACCTATAGAGCCGTCCTGTAATTAGTGATAAACCCCCACGACTTGTGCTCGGAGACGTCATAGGTTGAACTGATTCGTCACGGTGGGTGTCTTGCTTACCTGAAGACATCTTTGGTAATCTTTGAAGAGCTTGGTGCATTCGTTATCGTCTGCCTTTCCGTTACCTCGAAGGTATTCTAAGAGCTAAAGTTAGAATTGAATGGAGGGCATAATGGTGATAATACAGCACATACTCTCACTATACCACTTAAGAAAACAAGTATCGTACCGCCTTACTTGATCAGTCATGGACGTTCACATTAGAGTAACAGCGGAGGATAGGATATGTTACTCACTCTTTTACTTCATTGCATTCCGGCGCAAGTGAAGCAGACATATCGGCGTATTCAAGACAGGTTAAGCTTGCGCTTCGTGATATCTAAAAAGTTTGAATTGGAGGAAAAGAATATTGAATGTTGTATTAGTTGAAGATGAACAACAGCTGCACGATTACTCCACCAATGGGAACCTTGGAACCTTGCTGAAGATCCAGTGCAGTTGCACCTGCTATAAATTATGGTTACGGCTACCTTAGCGCCGCATTATAGCTACCTAGGTAACCTTGGAAAAGTGGCAGGTGCACCCCCACTATAAATTTCCACTAATATCTTATCGATAAGATTACAGGCCTGTGCTTTAGAATTTTTTGAGTTAAGTCCGGCGCATTTCAATCTCCCAAACTTCGTCGACCTTTTCGTCGTTAACAAAGACAACAAATGAGCTAGTAATCATGGATTCCTCGCAGGACTTCAAGTCCATACAGGAAAATATCCAGAGTGCGCTCGTCTCTACCACCAGGCTTACGAATCAAATAGCTGCCGAAGATCTTAGTTTTCAACGAACAAGCAATCCCGACGTCGAAGAGCAATTAGACGATAGCTCTGCGCGTTTGCTCACCTTGGCTACGTCGCTTCTCACATCGTCGGTAAAAAACACCGAACTAAAAGCCCCGAAGCTCGATGATGCCGACGATATCGATGTCCATTGGTCGCGAATTGTCGATGTGGTCGATACCTTACTTGAAAAAGCCGACACCTGCTTAGACGAGTACACCGGCGTGATCAAGAGGAAAACTGCGCCAACCGAGCCTGCAGGCCAACCAGCGAAGAAGCCGAAACAAACCATACTAGATACCCACATACGCCATGCGAACATCATCAAGCCACAAAACGCTTTCGAGGTCAAACCGAACAACCTGACTACCTCGCCTTGGAAACCCATTCTCACTACAAAGCCACACGCTCACGTTCCACTTGACAAGAGCTTACTCACATTCAAGAACGAGGACGAACAGCTACAGTATGCCCACAAGACCCATGGGCCCCGAAAAACTCGGTGCCGAACTGACAGCGGATTACTTAGATACAAGCATCCTTATGAGCCCGAGATTTGCAACTTCGAATACCCAGATCATGTTTTCCAAATACGAGAACCTATTAAATACCAGCCCGTCGAAACCACGGCCGCCACCTTCGTCGATACCTACGAGGGCATTCTGGAGATGCTTGCGGAGCTCAAAACGGCATCGGAAATCGCTATCGATACCGAACACCATGATTTCAGAACATACAGTGGTTTGCTCTCACTAATGCAGATCAGTACGCGCGAGAAGGACTGGATCGTCGATACGCTACAGCCATGGCGACACAAGCTCGAGGTACTTAATGAGGTCTTTGCTGATCCGAAAATCATCAAGGTACTCCACGGCGCCTATATGGACATCATCTGGCTACAACGAGATTGTGGTATCTATATCGTTGGGCTCTTTGACACGTACGAAGCAGCCATCTCGCTCGACTACCCTGGCAGGAGCTTGGCCTATCTACTCAGGAGATTCGTCGATTTCGACGCCGATAAAAAGTATCAACTAGCTGACTGGCGAATACGGTAGGTTACATCACGACCATGGTACGAATATTATGTCTGAAACATAACTAATATGAAATTAGCCCACTTCCCGAGGAGATGCACTACTACGCCCGCTCGGATACCCACTACTTGCTCTACGTATATGACATGATGCGAAACGAATTATTGAAGCAATCTCCAGAACAGCCAGAACAGAACTTAGTGCGCCAAGTCCTTGACAGATCAAAGGAGACTTCCCTGAGACGTCATGAGACGTATACATATGATGCCGAAGGCGGTCAGGGGCCGTTTGGCTGGTTTACGTTACTCATTAAATACTCAGCTGGAAAGTTCTCCAAGGAACAATTTGCCATATTCCGAGCTCTACATAAATGGCGAGATGAGGTGGCCCGTCGTGAAGATGAAAGTCCTCTGTTCGTTATGGGCAACTCAGCACTTTTTGACATAGCTAGACGTATGCCACCGGATGCTAAAGCTCTACACAGTCTCCTCGATTCCTCCTCTCACATTGCTAAACGCGACTCATATAATCTCTCCAAGATTATCAACAAGGCCAAGGCAGACGGAGCGAATGGACCTAGTGTCGTTGATGTCATTCGCGGCAAGGCACCATCTACTATTGGCATTGGTGAAACCGCAAAATCGGTCTTCCCTCAATTGAAGAACAATGACGCGGAGGTCTCTGGTACAGAAGAACTCGTCTCACATACTTCCAAATTGTGGGGTCCAGTTCCGATAAGTAGTCGATGGGAGAAACCTTCTGGTGTGAAACCCGTAGGAGCTCTTCAGTTCGAACTACCTTGGGCTCAATTCATCAAGTCGAGTAAAGTCATGGAAGAGACAAACCCGCGACCCCTGGTTCCAGTTGCCAAGGCTGAAGAGACTTTCATATCATTAGAAGAGAAGGCTAGCATTCCGCAACCGCCTGTTGATACGGAGTTTACCCTGAGAGCTGGTTTGAAGCGCAAAGCGCAAGAGGCGGAATCAGAATCCGAGGCGGAAGATGGTGAGGTTGAGGGCACCCCGTCTAAGCCGGAACCTACCTCGGGTGGTTCCCCCGGTGAGGAAGAAATTGAAGTGCCCGACATGGATGACAGTGAGGAGGAGAGAAAGCATCAGAAGAAATTGGCCAAACTTGAAAAGAAAGCTCGTAAGAAGGCCCTAAAGAAGGAACAAAAAGGTCAAAAACTAGCCACACGTGCCAAGGCTACCAAGGGCACTACAGAAGATGGGGAGGTTAGTGAGGATGAGGAAGAGGCCCCCTTCGATTACAGCAAGGCGAAGTCGGTTCTGAAAGCTTCACGGGCTACTAATGGTGCTCCCCAAGCAACTAAGTTCAACCCCTACGGCTTGACAGCCGAGGGTCCGAAACCGGCCAGGAAGATGCATGGAGAGAAGGCTGGTAAGAGTGCTACATTTAGAAAGTGAAAGTTTCTTTCTTAGGGGAGCATCCATACATGCACAGAGACCACAGCATGAGGCGTTTGATCCGGACAAGGGGATTTAGCATTTTTGCGTTGCGTTGTACTGCATTTCTCGGAGTTTAGGAATTCAGAGGGATTTTGCAGAGGCCTCCAGGCAAGAACTAGTCGTAGGCTGGCTGGCTTGATCCCGGGAATACCCCATGGCCATAGTCACAGGTAGTTGTGAGTTTGTAATTAATTCGTTATGCCCTAGTTATGCCTGCTCCCTGATTATTACAGTATCTTCAACTCAATCGTGACTCGTAAGTCAACCCGTAGGACAACTACTTAGCTTAACTCAGTTGCGAGGTAAGAGTAACAAATCTTCCTTCAGAACCCAGAAAACAGCGGACATTCCGACCAAACTAACCTAGGAAATCTAGTTACTTCGCTTTCAGAAGCCTCATATGCCCCTTTCTATCGGATTACATAAGTAAGCTTATGTAATGTTTCTCTCTTTGTAATCATTGATGACATAATTATAGCTATTATGTAATAATCATCCCCCTATTATTCTGCTAATCTAATACACCTTGCCAAACATTCGTTACGTTTAAAATTCCTACTACTGGAGTCACTTGCTGTTTTGATGTATTTCACGCTGAATACTGCTGCAACTTGCCGAGACAATGAAAGATGTCTCAACCCTGGTGAGGGTCGGTGTTCATCGTGAAGTGGCTAATCTATTGGTACCTTCGCTATCTCTAAAGTAGAAAAACTCCTTATTGGTGGTATGCAGCTGCCCTATATAGGGAGTCATTAAATTACCGTAGTCTTATTATGATAGTTATTTGTAATTTGTAAACTCAAGGAGGTCGTCACCTTGCTTCCTCACCTAGGTATATGCGGCTTTCCGCAACGAGTTAATCTTCGTAATTGAATCACTCCCCTAGATGATATAGTGACAAGTGCCAAGTTCCAGTTAAAATGTACTCGAGGATATCTACATTAAATGCTCGTAGATCTCGAATTGGACTCATCTCTTCACCCTTTCAACACCCCAGCACCCCCAAGCACAAAAGGCCCACCCACCAACTATCGCTCAGAACCAAAGAACCCCTAAAACAACGATCTTATCGGCTACAATATCGATTATAAGCTGATATCCGAAATGCCTCCCTCCAAGCCAACCCACAAGCCAAGAAAATACCACTCGAAGAAAGCGAAAAATAGAATGGGCCCAACACGTTCAAACGAGATGGACACACACTTCGGTTCTAGTCAAGAAAGTGAAGAATCTTACCACGAACGAAATAGAAGCAACAGCACTTCAAGCAATTATAGTGACTCTCAAAGCGCCGAGGAGAGCGACGGACATAAACACTAGAGGATCTAATTGCTTCGAACGAATCGACCCTGGGATACTATCACATGTTACTTTCTGCCTGCCTAGGCTAGATACATAATTAGCAAGCTATCAATATTTTTGGATGGACATATCACGTTTTCGAATTGTATTGGTGGTTGCCTTTGTAAATATCATTGGCCTTGTCGGACGTCTAGTCGCCTCGGCTATGAACAAATAATTAGTCTTCATCATATAGCATATGCTCTCAATATTTAAAATAAGAGCTATTAAATTGGAATATGTTAGAAAATCACATTTTTCCTTTTCGTATATACACAGAACAAATCTCGAATCTTCGTTTTAACTCATAATTCGTTTCTTCTGTTTAATAAAACAAGAGTACTTAAGGTACCTAAGTATTAATAGCCGAATTAAATAAATATAAACTGCGATTACGAGTGAATTGTACCTAGGTATGTCTGCTTGTACGATTATTATTTCGAGTAAAAGACACCTATAAATATGTACTTTAGAGATACATTTTCTCAAGCCGCTTAAGTTCAACATGTATGAATGGTTTTCAAACGTTCATGAGTTACTCGTAGATGTCAAAAAGTAAAAGGAATACATCTTTTCATACCCTCTAGCAATTCAGAATGCTATGGAAGAGACATCCTCATACCCTGATGGATCATTTTCTTGTTCTCAAGACGAGTGACATAAGATACTAACTCACCTAGGTCTACTTGCCAGCACGTAATGATATGGCCCTCGCTAACCACCCGATTAAACAGACCCTATAATATCTGAAGAGATACCAAGTTAATTTGAGAAGTACCAACTATTCCGTGAATATAAATGTCCAGGTATTCCATCCATTTATGCAACTCTGGCTCCTAGTTCCAACATCTCTTTGGCCTATATCATAAAAAATCCTTCTCAGGGGGTGAGATAATGTTCAAAGTAGCTACCATGACTTGGAGATTTGGTCTCGAAAGTCTTAGCTATGGCGGATACGCTGCGTCTTGCGAGCCTTCGAAATATTCATATAAACATCTGCGGGTCTCCCTAGATCTCCCCTGAGGTTCTTTCCTTTCCACCAACCACTCAACCACCTTGACACCTGACACTTAAACACAATTCTATCAACACCAAAACTACTATTCAAGATGCGTAAGTAACTACACTCTCATATTCCACTCCAAAAGCATGAAACTAATAACAACATATCAGCTTCCGACAAGAAAAATAGCTCAAGAATGTACATGGAACGTCGAGGCGGCGACTCGCGAGTCCGCGTTGTCTACGAGTCGGATCGAAACGGTCAATCATCAACGAGCGGGAGCAGCCGAACCCCAACGATCGCTCCCAGCAGCAGCCTAAGCAATTCTCATCGCGGATCTCCCGCTGGTCCCCCTAGACCTCCCCCCCCAATGCCAGCCGGATTCTATGGCTGGAATGAGCGAGCAGCAGCCGGCCAAGCTCCCCCGGGATTATCCGGTCCAGCCCGTCTACCACCACCACCACTACCCCGAAGTCCCCTCGCGGGTACTTCTCGTACCCCCACGCCATCCTCTTACACCCCTTCTCCAAGCTCACGCGCCCTTGCTCCCTCTTCGTATTCTCGATCTCTCGCTCCCCCTCCCCCTCCCTCTTCTTCTTACACCGGTACCTATTCTTCAGCCTCTCGTGGTTCGGGATACACGGGAACCACTTCGCAAGGTAGTAGCACCACTCGAGGCGGCTCCGGATCTAGGTCCCACGGATTGTTGTACAAGACTACTACGATCACCCAGAAACAATATTTCTACAACGGCGGTAAGAAATAGGTGGTACTCCAGAGGTACATGGAAACTTTATCTAGGGCGTCTACGTCTTGGTTATTCTGAATTTTTGTATTTGGTCATGATTTTGGGGCTTTCGAAACTTGTGGAATGGTTTTTGGTTCTGGTATACTGGGGTTATCACATATCGGAAAATGCCGATGGTTGCGGATAGGAGTCCGCATATCGATACTACGTCTACATATCCGCGATATTTTAGTTCTTTATAGAAAGTAATTTATCCGTAGCTACCTATTTATGTTCTCTGATGAATGATAATTATGTGTATTTAGAGGTTGGCGGCGCGAATTAAAAGGAAACTGTTTTGCTGTGAACTTACAGTGGGTGGAAAAAAATGTCGTACAACTTTTTTTCCTTTTATTAATAATTCATACGATTTCATACTTAAATAACTTAACTAATATTACTTTTAAAAATTAGAAGAAATACAATATAATAATTAAAATCATATATAACTTCTTAAATAACCACATAAATTTAAGATATAATTATTATATAAATATTTTAAATTATCATGTTGTAAAGTTGATGGATTTTGGTGTAAAAACAACGATTATACAACACTTTTTTCTACACACTGTACATACACTCTTTTAGCACGACTCCACGCATGCTTCGGAGTTTTCTGATGGCTGAAAACGACAGGCAAGCGCAAATAGAATATATCAGGGCAGATTGTGCATTCTTTGAATAGTGTAAGTTTCCTGATGTTTACTTGTGTCGCGATTGTAATAAGCTTTCCCTGTTTGAATATACCATAGTGCAATCGATTAATCAAAAGGGGTTGGTGAGTGGAAATCACGTCGCCGTGCTTTAACAGAGTATGGAAACATGCAGACGAACTCACTGGCGTTGCGCTGTAAGTTGTCTCGTGTAATTGTGTCTAAACATTTGTCAAAGGGCACACAATTTACCAATCATTCAACTACACAAGCCTAGAGGTGCTGATAAAGGCTACGATATCTTGTATGATTTTAGTTGGGAATCCTAGGGAAAAGAGTAACTTATTCACCGACCTACCTAGGTACCTTTAGGACTCCTTAAGCAGGATTCGATTGTCACCCGTGAATAATTAGTAAGTCTATTTATTAACCTCTATTACTGGGTAGTAACCCATGAATATATCGCCTAAAATACGAAGCTTAGTGACTTGGCCTAACCCCGATAGTGGGAATAGAGAACTCCACGAGGGCCTAGTAACGAAGAGGCGTGATATTAATGCTTTAGCATCATCGATCTAACACTTCTGGCAGTTTAGGATATCTATATGAACGGCTTAGGTTTCGCACTTCCCTCACGCTTTACTCCCCCATACCAACCATTTGGACATCCAGACACCCAAAGTAGCACCCTGAAAATTCATGTAAAACATAATACCGACGATAAAGCAAGATGTGTGAGTATTCTACTATACTACAATATTTCAAACCCCGAAAGTTCCACATATATATTAACAAGAGTCTACTAGCTTCCTACCGAGACTACAGGTACCCCCATGTTGCCGACGGGTCAGACCAAAGTACTAAACCGGGGGTAACGCCATCTACTATTCAAGCCCGGACTTATTACACCAAAGGCGGCAAACCTCCAGGCTACTATGGCTGGAACGAACGAGCAGCAATGTCTCAAGCAGGAGGTGCTGCAGCAGACCCCGCAGGAATGGTATACGCCCACGCGCAGGGCTACACAGTCCCAACATCTAATGCCTCTTTTGGGTCTTCTCGTGCCTATTCCTACGGTCAACAGCCCTAAGCCTACTCGAGTTCTTACTACCCATCGGGCTACGGAAACAATACGTACAAAACCGGTGGTCAGCAGAGAAGTTCTGGGGCTAGCCCAGCTCAACGGGCGGGGGACTCCACCGCGAGAAACAACACCCGCCGCTTCGAGTTACGACCAAAGTCTGGATCCGCGACCCGATGGGCGATAAGAGGCCTTATGGGAAGCGACAAGCCCCGACGTTAGGGGCCACTGATATGTATCATTGTCAATACTGGAAGGGAATAGGTTAGGGGTATCTAGTTAGCTGGAGATTTGTCACTAGGTACTCGCGAATTGGGTTTTTGGATTTCTGTACAGCACGGACATGATTGGGGGATACATCTACGGAACCATCCCTCAAAATGCCCCTATTGCTTTGCGGATACAAAGTTGAATAGCAGCATCCTCCTCTACACACATAGAATATCCCGTTGTAAGGTAGAAAGTAGCGAAATATTATTCATTTTAATCGATGTTCTTCGTCGTGTTGACTTGTGTGGACCGAAATCCAAAGATGGCATCCTGATTGTATAAACTGCTTTCTGCTATTTCGACCATACAATTCTGCTTTCATCATTTTTACTCCAATGGCCGGAACCTCCCTTCCGGCAAATCTCTGAGCGCTCTTTAAATGACTCGTTCATCTCATCATAATCGTTAGGGGTATGTTGAAGCTCAGAATCTTTCGGGGCATTATCAAACAGTTTCAGAAGGCCGTACTTTTCGATGCGATCTAAATCCCAAAGTACATAAGCCCGCTCCCTCAATCCAGAATTGTTCGTGAGCATGACCCAAGCACTGGGTGGTAAGGGGTTAAAGGTCACACGCCATGCTTCAAACGGGCCCTTATCTGTATCCTGACCCTCCATAGGCGTGAATTCAGCCGCTAGGTCCTTCTCAGTATAACCAGAAAGTGGTGTATGGTCATCTAAGTCTGTTTCTAGCGGTTCTATGAGCTTATCGTAAAGGTCGGCTTTTTGACCACCAAACGCAGACTTTAATAGCGACTTCTTGTCGTCGTATGAGCTCTCACTCGTCAATTTGTGAGTGAAGTCGACGCCCTGTGATAGCTAGGTATGGTCATCATTTGTCAGCAATAAATACAGCAGAAAGAGTAAGGATGTTGGATTGTGGCTCACCCAGAGCTGCCTGAATTGGTTATCACCAGCCGTAATATAATCGATCTCTAGCTCGCCAAGCTCAACATCATGTGCCAGCACATCATAGGAGGCTGTGAACTGGAATTAGAAATTTGAACTGAGGGCCCATGGTCATATTCATTGGAGAAAAGCCTCCATACGTCAATAACAACTTACCTTTAGAAAGTTTGAGTTCGAGAAAATCATGGACGCAGGCGACCTGCTCCGTTTCCCAAGGTGGCTGATTAAAAAAGAAGAGTTGTTCGCGAAAGGGCGTGTTCGGGGCCGAGCGAAAGAGGCAAAAATATAACTCCACCCGATAGAAATTCCGGAGAAAGCGGATGTATTCCGACGGCGATAAAACAAGGCTCCCGGCCACTTCCGATTCTTGATCCGTTGACAAGTGCGTCCACGCGCTGCTTGCAAATTCGGTAGCAAAGGTGTGGATCAATTCATAGACATGTCCCATTCTTGCCAGAAGCGGGACAGGCATAGTCCGGAGACGTTCGGTAAACTTGGATGGTTCTGTATATAACGTTCCAAGCAGTTCATAGACATCCGTATCATATCGTGGATCGAGACGTGTGGCTTCTAGCACTGCGACCGAGTAAGGGATGATAGCTAGGTGTATCTGGCGCTGTAGAATGTCGACTGCCACACCTGGATTTTGCTTGAAGCACGAGTATACATAGTGACAGGTGAGAAGTGAGGGCAATAAGAAGCGTACATCGTCTAGCTCACGCAACACAGAGATGATGATCTCGCAAGGCATTTCCGTGAGGGTAGACATAATTTTACAGCGTGGATGATTCTTGTCAAGTTGTATGTGATGAGCTGCTCCAAGTCGAGTACATATGTGTGTGATTTAGTTGATGTTGGTACATACATGTAGGTATATGTATTGGGGAGAGTCCCCCCGCACCAATCAAAATAGGGGTATGACAGACCCAATCAGAAGGCAGTATTAGTACAGCCCAGTACCGTGTGCCGACTCCCTATAAACTGTCAATCTGCTATAATAGGACTCAAAGCCCTGTAAGACTCTGCAGGTACCCACTGTAAAGCGCTGTAATTACAGGGCATTTTAATGGAATCTTAGTGAGGTGCTGTGATACGCTGTATTTATAGGGAGGTATGTGCTATAAATCCAGCCCCTATATCTACCTAATAGCGCATACATCACTATAGCACCCTATAATTACAGGGGCCTTCAGCACATGACTCCCTGTAACTATAGTGACACAGTAGAATACACCGTCACATTGACTATCTAGGGGGGTGAAAGTCTGATTGGGTGCACGGCGCTTTTGTGAATAGCTTCAAGTACAGTTCTTAAGCTGCAACCCTACCGGGGATGCGCGACGTTGGTTGCCCTGATTGGGACGACCGCTACCACAGTTCAGTAGTGAGTGCCAGTATACTATTAAAAGGGAGACAATAAGTGACAAACTTAGTCACGCTGAACATCGTGATTTGTTCAATATCAACTATGCCGAACTTTTACAAGCTCAGGCGCAGTATCGAGATCACATCGAGCAGGATCAAAATATGTATCGGTTTGCGAAGAAATTTTCCACATACGAGGTGCAGCATCGGATACACATGGCCCATCATTCATCTTCGTCGATAAAAACAGCTTCTTGTCTGAATGGTCATAAGGGGGCTGCACGGGCTGTTCTTGGATAACGGAGTTTGTCTACTGCTGTTGCATTCCTTGTCTATCTGCTTGTATCAAGGTTAGATAAGTCCGCATATAGTTAAAGACCGGTATCAGTAGGTTTTCTTTAGCAACAGGTAACAGATGTCAATGTTATATTTCTCATGATATCCCCAAGTCGGTAGCCCCCAGATCACCGTAACTAAGGTAGTCATGCCGATCCTTGAGTACCTAGGTAAGACCCTCATGGTTGATGTTAAGTACTACGACTTATAAAGGTTATTCCCGAGGAAATCACCCTGTCATATCAGGATAATTGCGTCTAATAAGTGATATCGTTACTCTGAATGCTAAACAGCTTGGGCATTACCATGATTAGCAAACGTATTTGGTCGTGCGTGTAAAGGGGAAAACATTATCTAGTTGATCCTTAGGCGTTATTATGAACGCTTCATCATTAGCTTTTGCTTAAACTACTTAGCTATCGAGGTCGGAGTCTATCCCTTTATGTGGTTTATACCATCGTTACCCCGGGGTCACATTTCAAGAGAGGTAGAGAATCCGAAAGGGGGTTGAAATAGGGGCGTGATTCAAATACTTTCGGTTCAACTGCGAGTTCATCAATGATCATGATTATACTCCTTCTGAGGCCTCGGGATCTTTATATGAACAAGTTAGATCTCCCAGTTTCCTTCCTCCTATCTCCAGTACCAACCACCAAGAGACTAGGATATCCAAACAAATAGGCTCGGAAAGACAAACGAACACTACTACCGAAGAGAAGACAGATACCCAAGTATTCAAGATGCGTAAGTAATCGATCCTATCGCGAAAGTAATAGATCCTGGGGCATTATACTGACAATAATCGATTAGCTCACCATAAGGATGGAAAGGGAAAAGACAAGGACATGTACATGGAGCGGCGACATGGAGAAAGATCAGCCAGCGTAGTGCACGAACCAGGTCATCATCATCATCATCATCATCATCGATCTCACCATCGATCTCACCATCAGACAGAAGGGAGCAGCAGCAGGGGCTACAACGACACAGGCTCGGCCTATGCAAGCAGCTATACCAGCCAGACCCCATACACAGGAACTTCAGTAACAGGCAGTCAGCCTACGATTTATTACGACGATAACGGACAGGCCATACCAGCGATCATGCCAGCGGGCTTTTATGGCTGGGACGAACGAGCGGCAATGGGCCAGGGGGGTTACGGACAAGGTGCCGCCGCGGGCGCTTCCGCGGGGCAGACTGTTTCTACCACCGAGTCTTCCCGGACCCCTACTCAAGGTCACCACGGGCACGGCCACCACTCCTCCCACGGTCATCGCTCTCATGGTCACCATTCGCACGGCCATCATTCACATGGTCATCACTCCAATTCGAGCTCATCCCGCCCCTCTGGACACACAAGCAATACGCAAAATACTAGCAGCACCCAGGGCAACACCGACGATGGCCCGGTTCAATGGTGGTGGGAGTCCACCCCTGGAAGCAACAGACAGTATCTCCAGCTACGCCCCAAACCACATGATGCACACAAGCCGAGCCGAAAACATTAGTATCTTCGAGATATGCCTCGAGGAATACAGAAGGAGTTATACCCTGTTGTGTACTTGACTTAGAATTCGGTCAACACATACCCACGGATTGCTTTTTTGGATTTGCATAACATGTTAGATAATTTTAAAGGAGATATCTAATAGAATATCCATTGGAAGGCCAATACACTCTGTCGAAGTATTTAGTCACATAATAGAATATATCATTAACTGAAAATTGTTCGCTTGCGATCCGCCCAAGTGTGAAGGTTTGGTTTGATTGACTGGGAGTTCGTTTGGCTGGGAATATGCACTATATACCTTTTGATAGGATCTCACAGATTGAACTTCCACTACCTATCTGAATCAAAGATTTCCGAAATCAAGTCAGAGTTCGGAGAGCGAAGCATGGTTCTACGCTCTTTTGGGAGATCAGAAAGCTGATAGCTCTCCGAATCCAATATCAATTTATAATGAGGCCCGTTTTGGAGCATATCCGTCGCCATTCTAGCTCGAATAGCATGGGCAAATTCTGCATCTTCTTGGTATCCATAACACGAGGAATTGATGCTCATCGCAAAACTTTGATCAAGAAGATGTTTTGTGGCGATATGGTCAGGCAAACTACCCGTAGTATCCGCGACATGAACGAATCTCTTGAATAATTCGTGATCCTCAAGCCACACGGCGCAAGACGGTTTCATCTGCTTCCAGTACGGGGATATTGTTTCGCATGTAATGAGGAATCGAGAGGATTTGAATTGCCGTCCGCTGCTACGAAGTAGGAAGCATATGGTGGTTCCGCGCTTTGGGTCTGGGTTAAAAAAGAGTTGCCTAGCCGGATCCCATAAATGCTGAGGCGCAGCGGTGATGATCCTTGAGTGTGGGAGTTCATAGCTGATAGCCCCTCGAAACCGGTTTTCAATAGATTCATATTCGTGTGCCCGGAGAATTCTACTCATATAGATAGTAGAATTATAATAGGTACGATGTTCCCACTGCCTATCGCCTGACCGAAGAAATCGTCGAGGGTAAGAGCGGACGTATCTGCCATCGGACATCTTCGATAGATAGATTCCGATAGGGTTTGGGAATTTATGATATTCAGATTCGATGAACCCTAAGTATAAAATATAATCTTTCACCCGTGAAACGTATGCAGTGAGAGTAGCCTCGATTCGAATACCTCTATTTGTGATAGAGAATTCTTTCCCCGGAATTGGGTCTTTGGTAAGTGATTGGAGTTGGTTGGAGGTATTAGCGAATTCCTTAGGCGAGCTGGCGAACACACCTCGGTATTCCAGTTCTGAATACGGATCTTCCCACGCAAGTAATGATAGATCAGTAGTTGCTTTTGCGATCTCTTCTTGCAGTCGCATGAAAGCCTTGTCGCCTTCGCCGTATATCAACGGCATATTCACGTCAAATATACCCAATAGACAATAAGCCTCATCCTCAATTCTCGTCGTCTTCCTCTTAGAAGCCCAAGCCATCCGCCTCGCAACAGGAATTTTGAACCTTGCTTCACTATCATGTAAGACCTCCTCATCAATCCCCGTCAGCCGGGAGACGAATGCGTTTAGTTCAGGTGTGCTACCGCGAATTTCCCAGGCAGAGTCGTAGAACTCTACTCTTTTAGATGCGACCAGCTCCTGAAGAGTCCAACCTCGGCGTAGCCATTCGCATTTTGGAAAGGCGCCATTGAATATCGACTCTTCTGGCAAATCCGAGAGGAACACGAAGCATACGGCGGAGTTCATGTACCACCTGAACATGGAATTAATCGCTTCGGACAATTCTGCGCTGCTGGTCTTGTTGATACAACAGGTGTCGACCCAAGCATACCGCAATCCGCGCTGAGAAGCGAGCCAACATGTGTACCATATCTTGTCGAAGCCTTTCTTCAGAGTCCTTCAGGTGAAATCCTGAAAGTCTTGATACGTTACTTCCTCATTCTTTCCCCAAGTATGTGATAGTATTGCATATGAGTTTTCCGGCGGCTCTATAAACTCTTCTAGCGTCAGTGACCCAGTATTAATTGGCCACATTTTGTTTGTTGGCGATAGAAGTTTGAGGGGTGGAAATTATCTTGTACTAAAGAAGGAAAAAAAAGAACAAGAAACCTAGAGAATCTAAAATTTCGCCAAAGAGGCGTAGCTACGTGGCAGCGTGGTTATCTAACCGGCCAGTCAACGTGAGGCAACTGGGCGCCCAGGTGACCACCGGGTATGATTGGTATATATGCGAGTACGTGTCTACGGTAGTAGAAGATTGTCTGTACTTACCTGCTTGACATTATCATATTAAACTATAGGCTGTGGTTGATACGAGATCAGAATGTGTACTTGGGCACTTGGAATGGCTGAAGCTTTACTTATGGGCTGCCAGTAGAAAGTTGACACGCAGAATAGCGTCAGTCTATGTGCCGACCGTATAGCGTATACTGCGAGATACTGTGCTACTAAGACACCTCTGGGCCAATCACATAGTGTTATTTGGACAGTAAAAGTTCGTACCATCAGCATTCATCGCACGGTCGGCACTTGGACTGACGCTTTTCTGGCACGTTGGCCTAGACGTCGCAGCGGAACGCTTCCCCAAACTGACGTAGTGGGCGTATTCCAGTAATTAATAGGTCGAGGATAAGTGAAGTATAAAAGAGCAAAAAGGCAGGTTCAGAACAAGTATGGCGTTCGGTTGGCTTTTCTCAAATCTAAAGGGCAGAATATAAGCGTATACTCTCAGTAGGTATTGCTATAATTACTCAGGCAGGGGGTCTTTAAGAAAACTCCGCCCCGTGAATTGGCACGAAACAATCACAAAGAGGAAGGGGTTGAGAATAAGCGCGAGTGCTAATTGAGTAGGCCTATATTGTCGCACGGTACAGTGGGTTGAGAAGATAGACGTAACATGTAGAGGTAATACAATGTCGTACGAACCACATCGTTGGATCTCTCGGTCCCCCAGTTACTTAGGCATCGTGAGTATTTGATATACTTTTATCTACGCGATAAGACGTTTATAACTTACCTAGTAGCTTAGGAAGATGCAAAGGTGTCATGCGGCTATAGCCTTCGGATTTTGTCTGACGCGCCGGAGAATTGGTTGTGCCATATCGCTTACGGCGTAGATGCCCAGAACAAAATGTAATCTGTATTCTTCCTTGGAAATTCTGAACTGCGGGGAATATAAATCCGTAATATGATAGAATCGCTACGTGAAGCAGCAAGGGTCAGTTCCAAGTCCGACAATTCGATAGCGAAAGGCCTCGGTGTTATCGGCGTTAGATCTAGTGCTTCGGGCAACAGCACAAAACGCCATCTAATTCGACACCAAGAGCAAAATGTGCAGTTGATCATATATCAACTAAGCTAAAGATGGTCAAGTGACGGACTTGGAGTTAATAAGAATGAACTAAAGCAAGAAAAAAGTCGCCGGCGACCGCTGTTATGTCAAAATCTGCGAGATTTAAGAGAACTTATCTCTCTTCGGCGAGTGGGGAACACGCCCCGAGGCTCTTTCATCGTGGGATATCCGTTTGGGTCTATGATGTTGAAGATCGTTTCGATCTCGCGTGCTACCATAAGCCGGGTGCGACCCGCCTCTTCGCCGAATATTACCTACCAAGGTAACCGTCAGATACCTCTAGTGCCGGTAGCAGTACCGTGCTGACGGGGCTCTAGCGGGTTGGGGGTATGATGCATCGTGAACATATAAGAGCAAGGCCTTTGTCGAAACGCTCAACAGCGAGGTTGTAATGAGTCCTAAATATCTACTAAGTACTTTTTCTATCAGTACGAAACCATGGACACCAAAACCACCAAGCCTCGTGTTCTTATTGTCGGTGCCGGTCTTGGCGCGCTCACATTAGCTCAAGGCTTGAGAAAGCATGGCATTCCCTTTGAAATCTTCGAGCGAGACAAGGATCCTATCTCCCGATCTTCAGGGTGGTGTATTGCTCTTCACACGTGAGTGCCTGGCTTACTACCGTTTCCCATCCAGACTAAACCGCATCCACTGTGCCTCTACAGGGTTAATGAGAGTACCAGTATGATAAATGACTTAATTGCGTCCGCACCCGACGGTTAGTATTAAGCATCACCCACTATCGCTCGAGCAATATCAGGGGTTCAATATCTTATACTCGATGATGCTTACTCCTGAGATCAGACATGCCGCCATTTAGAGAGTCAGTCGACCACCTGGTTCCCCTCGATCTTAATGCCCAAGTGGGAATATATCGACAAGGCATGCGCCTTGGAGTAGAGAGCACTCCAGACTACCCTGTGATACGAGCAAATAGGGGACGTCTTCGCAAATGGCTCTCTACTCGAGTTCCCATCCAATGGGGCAAGAAGGTCGTACAGGTAGAAGAGATCGGCGACGAAGTCCAAGTTCGTCTTGAAGATGGTACTACGGTCACCGGCGACATTGTGGTTGGCGCGGATGGCGTACATAGCGTTGGTGAGTTGATGACTTCATAGCGATCGTAGTTGTGACCCCTGAGTAAGATTATTTAATCTTAGCTGACCCGGTAAAAGTCCGAGAATACGTCCTCCAACGGCCGAACAAAACCATACTTCAGACCGTTCCGGCTGCCATGATCACTGGCGAAACCGTGGTGTCAGGTGCGGCATTCGAGCGCCAGCTATCTCTGGGACACAGCTCCTGGACTGTTAGTGGGCCGGAAGATTCTGGCTACTATCTTTTCGTGGGATTGCGACAGGTAAGCCCGGACGGAAAATCTGGCGAGTACTATTGGTTTATTGTAGTTCGCGACGAGAATGTCGATAAAGAAGATCACTGGTTGCGTGTCGCTTCTCAATCAGAGAAGCTCCGGCGTGCTTTTGAAATATGCCAAACACTTGATCCCAAGTACTCGGAAATTATAAGATTGACACCCCCGAGTGGGATGTGGACCAGTCCATTGATAGTTCGAGACGTCGAATTACGGGATTTACCAGTAGGAAGGGTTACCCTTCTTGGCGATGCTGTCCATCCAATGACTCCTTGTACGCCCCCAAAACCTGTATTCTCTGTGTGACTGCCGCTAACCTGACTTGTACAGTTCGTGGGGAGGGTGGCGTACACGCAATCATCGACGCTCTCAATCTGGGAAAGGCATTGGGTCGACTTAAATCCACAGATATTGATTCAATTAAGGCCATCGTGGGTCCATATCAAGAGGAGATTATTGAAAGAGGTGTATCTGCCGTCAGAGTATGTAGATATGCGCAAAATGTTAACTCGGGAGGGAAGGGTGAGATGATTGTTTGGAGTAAGATCGCCACGCCTATGCCCGAAGAGAAAATCTCGCTTGGCACTGCGCCGTTTCTAAAAAGAACGAGTCATATTTAAATGGCCACCTAGCTGCCTGCCTAGGTAGAGCATCCTTCAAGAAACGAGAACAATCCATCCACATTAGTTCAACATAGCTGCATAGATGCCGAGCTTCGAGGAAAAGATGAATATATCATGACATAGGCATGGATAGAATCCCTCGTAAGCCCCCATTTCCTTGTAGGCATAAGGTACCAGCGGATCTCGTCTCGCTTATCTCGGCACGGCCCGAGCGCTGGGGCTATGGCAATTTCCACTTCATTGCTGAACAAAATCAATCTTGTTTATTTCTTTAAGTGTGCGTATCACCAGCGATGAGTATGGGTTTATTGCTGCGAAATATTGTTGCACAGCCCGTTCAGCACGCCCCATCAAATTGGACATAATTATATGGTCCATTGTGGTCCAGCTGGAGACTGATGTATCCATGCTGCTCACCAGCTTGCGAATGGCGATCTGTCGCGTGGGGCATGTCGGTGCGATGGGTGCCTAGACGCCTGGGTGCCTGGGTAGGTCCCTGCTTACGCCCGTGACTCAGATGTGAGCGAACTTCTTCGGTAATAAGCAAGAGGTAAGCTCTCCAACCTCGAAGCATCAATTGCTCTATTTCATTCATGTTGAATGAGCACGAATGGCCTCCCCTTCCGAAGCTCAGTTTCATTACTTCGGTCTTTTACCGCCTGAAATCCGACGGAAGGTCTACCTCTTGGCTACACCGCCACGAGTGGTCTATGTGAGCGAAGATGGCCGCGAGGATGAAGACTGGGATGACCGGTATGAAGAGTTTGAGGAAATGTGTCGAACCACGCCAATCCAATTCAAATTGCATCCTGATATTGCATATTTCGCTCACAATTGGCGTCCGCGATTGTCTGAAAGTCTCAAAAAGTACCCGCAGCCCCGTCTAGAGTCCTTTGGGTTCACTACTTCGAAGAAACAGTACCAGCCTTGGGTCCCCACGGGCGATGCACCCGAACTCCCCTCAGATTTTCTCGCAGAGAACCCCGAAGCAGCATGGGCCATGACACGAAGTGCATCTCTGTCCAGCCCAGCCTTCATCCCGCCATTTCTGCATGTTTGTACTGAATCCCGCGAGGAGCTCCAGAGATTCGGATACCGACTGGCATTCGGCACTCGTACACATAAGCCACGCACGTGGTTTCACTTTGAGTACGACACGCTATACTTAAGACGAAGCTATTCATTCGGTCCCGAATGGCTGTCTGGTGCACGGTGGGATGTAGACCTTTTCCGCCCCGCGGACCTTCAGCGCGTCAAGAAGCTAGCTCTCTGGCATGGGTATGATGGTATTGGGGAACGACCCCGTGAGGAGATGTCCAGTTTGTTACGGCTACTTCCCAACTTAAAGAACATGTTCCTCGTCGCACGGGAGGATCCTAAACCCGACCAACGATACTGGGAATATTCGATTTCTGACGAGGCATCTTCCCTGAAGGGCCACTACTTGTGTATAGGTATAGACGAGTCCGATATCATTATTCGACCTCCGGGGCGTATGATACCGGAGGAGCCATCCCTGTACGCTGCGATGAAGTCATATAAGCGGAATGATCGGGAAAACACTTTCGGCCAATCCTATTTCGAATTTTTAACGTCTATTTTTGAGGAGCAGCTTCGCAGCCACCGTGCCGAGATAATATCCGAGCCTTGGGATGCCCCGATACCTAAATGGAACGTTCCAAATGTTGAACTTGCACATTTGTGCTCACTAGAGACCATAGACGAGATATTCGATCTACGCCGCCGCTTCTGGGGGAATTTCATTGAGACAAGGAAGAGGCTAGCAAGGGGTAAGAGGATAAAATCCAAGGCTTTGAAAGAAAAGGTTGCGACTTCATCCGACTTCCAGGATGTTGGCGAGGCATATCTCAGGGCCCACGAACCAGATCAGCATGAGCGGTGGGAGTTTTACCGGTATCATCATTGGATGGAAGACTATTATGCATTATATGACTTTACTCTCCCCGTGACGCGGGAAGAGCTATGGTGGCTCACTGAAGCACATGTGTCTCCCCCACGGTTTGACGTCTTTTGAATACCTGAGCAAGCAATCGGGTATGCTCGAATGATTTTTCACTTTCATGTCGCTCTCACCAAGGTAGCATTATCCCGCGTCCCCAAAACGCTAACCTGTCTATTAGGTTCCCCGAGGACGATATAAAATTGAAAGGGCGGTCAAAAGAAAAAAGGAGGGGATTGAGAAGAATGGCCAGCCTACCTTGATGAGTAACGATTAGTCGGACTTCGTATGTGCATTCAATCGGCAATTTTGCGCCCGATCATGTAGAGATTATACTTAGCTACGATCTGCGATCGAAAAAAAAAAAAAAAAAACAAATAAAAAAAGCCCGTCAGCTGAGAGCATATCAATTCTATAATACCCCTATTAAAAAGAACCTTCGAACACCTATCAGGAAAAGGGTCGGACAATTCCCTCATACCATCTATTTAGTGAGCCGCCCTGTCTCTTTCAGCTGTTGTGTAGGTACTTATGTTGGTAACATAAAATCTGCCTTGTTATGTTGGAGCAAACGCATCCTACGGCTAAATGGAGAATGCCGAATTCTTGGTTCTTGGTTCTTGGCTGAAGGGTGTTTGCTGCTGTCAGTTACCTGTCATATTTGTAACGTCGTGGGGTATGACGGCTTTTCACCGCATACGTCGTTTCAACAAACGCGAGGTTAGATCGCGCTCGTATAACGTGTAGGTGCCTAGATAAGATGCTACGTAATGCCTATTGCGTATAAATACAGTGTGTTGCGGTTTATCGCCGAGATGGGTCGTGTTACTCGAGGCAGGCTGCCGAACCACTCACGGAGAAATCCCCAACAATGCTTGCAATCTGTAACGAAACAAAGGAGAGCAAACTGACGTGCATGACCTATATGCCACCACCCTGACCAAGGAAACCGGAGTATGTCTTGATTCGAGGCCTTGTCTCCCGACATTGCGCAACGCAACAAGCAATTAACAAGCAATAGTGCATACCAACAACGCCTCTATACGCATTACGGCTTCCTCTTCCGGCCATGCACTCATTTACCCTTAGAGTTAATGCTGGCATGCATTATCACATTTGCGGTACCGACCCGGTGGTTGGCTCGCTTTCCGTCGAGACTCAGTCGCCGATGGTGAAATGCAAAAAGCAATCCCTATCTATGGCTCGGGCCGTGGTCAAGGGCTTGCAGATTTCAGCTCGTACGGTCCGCTTCGTTATAGGCATGGGACGCCAACTAAGCCAAGTTGCGGGAAAAAAACAAGAAGCAATTTGGAGAAAGAAGGAAGGAAATAGACAGAGAAGGAACCCGAGTGGAGCCGTGACTTTGCTTTTCCTCTTTTTGTCTCCCCGTTGACCTTGTGGGCTTCTTCAGGAGTTCGGAGGAGAAAGAGAGAAAAAAGCACGGGCGAGAAAAAGGGAGTAGACACCATTCCTCTCGCTCGGACACCTTTTCCAAGGAGTTGTTACCCACCTTGCCACTCCGGAAGTTGGTAATTATGCCTGTCCTACCTACTCCGACCGTTCATTTTCCCATCACTCCGACTCCTTTTACAGAACCAACACCCGCAGCATGGCTCGGAGCAAGGGGGGATTCTTGGGTTACTCTTACTGTGAGCCGATCTACAGGCATCTGTGTGACAGTTATCCCATTGGGGGATGGCGGGGAAAGTAGCGATATCGAACCAACAGATACGGGAACGATCGAGTCTGCTGAGACTTGCTGCGTCGGCACGCCGGCAGCAGCTACAACTACAACAGCGGTGGCGGCGGCAGCGGCAACGGAAGATGTCCCTGTCGAAGAGCACTCGAGTGACAATGGTGCTACCACCGCTCTTATTATAATGGGTGTTATTCTGGCGGTATCCCTACTACTTTTCTTTCTGTGGTTCTTCTGTTGCAGGACCCCAAAGCCCCCGCCAAAGAAGAAATGTCCTAAGCCGAAACGCTGTTCAACTACTGTTTGTTATGGTCTACCTGGGCCTGAGGTAAGATATATAGAACGTATAAATGACACTTGATAGGTATCACTAATATCTTTTCTGGTAGGGCCCCCAAGGCCCAGTCGGTCCAAGTGGCCCCCCAGGGCAAAATGGAAGCACAGGACCAATAGGCCCCGTAGGCCCCATAGGACCTATGGGACCACAAGGATTGGCAGGGCAGGACGGAAACGACGGAGGTGAGGCTCCCCTTTCATAATCAACCCATCTTACATATGATTCTAATTAACCCCGCCCGTATCTTACAATGAAAGCTTCCCAATGTTAACATTATTCTCGTGAAGCCCCAGGACCGCCTGGTCCCCCTGGTAAATCCGGCGCCGACGGGAAAGCCGGTCCGCCCGGCCCACCCGGCCCATCGGGTCCTCCTGGTAAGTCGCCTCAAGCTTCGAATATACTATGATGTATGCATCGTTATTATCTAACATTTACTGAAGGTCCTCCCGGACCTCCAGGACCACGTGGATGTCCTGGACCACCGGGATGTCGAGGCCCTCCTGGGTGCCCAGGACAGCAAGGATGCTGTGGGCCACCAGGTCGCCCTGGGTAAGTTAAATACTTTGTGATAACCTCAAACCTTAGTCACGTTGTTGTCCAATACTAACGGTCATCATAGTACTCCAGGATCTGATGGTAGAGACGGTAGGGACGGCCGAGATGGCAGAGATGGTCGCGATGGAAGAGATGGAAGGGACTGTTCGCCAGGATGCAGGTCTCCCGGGCCTCCCGGACCTCCTGGCCCTGCTGGAGACATGGGTCCTGCAGGACCCGAAGGACCGCCCGGTGTACCAGGGCCAATAGGACCACCAGGGTGAGCTCCTTCTTATTGCTATTTAAGTACGGTGCACGTGTAAGCTAATGTAATTATCAAAATAGGCATGATGGTCATGATGGGGGTCGTGGTCCTACTGGGCCTGTAGGACCTATTGGCCCCGTCGGTCCTCCGGGACGCGGGCAGCCGGGTCCGCCGGGTCCTCCTGGTCGAGATGGCCCTGACGGCCCACCCGGTCCTCCGGGATGTTGCCAGCCTGGTCCTGTAGGCCCTCGAGGTCCACCAGGACCCCCAGGGATCGGCTTACCCGGTCAAATGGGCCCTAGAGGACCCCGTGGATCACCGGGACCAGAAGGTCAAGTAGGTCCCGAAGGACCTGAAGGACCAGAAGGGCCGGAGGGACCACCGGGTGAACCAGGCCGACACGGAGGCCGCGGGCTACGCGGGTAAGTACCAATACCATGTCACCCCAGTCATACCTAATCTTGCTAACAACTGAGTAGATTTGATGGCCATCAAGGGCCTCCTGGTCCGCGTGGGCAGCGAGGACCTCAGGGACCCCCCGCGACCCTCACGATCCATCCAGCACACCACGCACATCACGCACATCATCAGGGTTATGAGATGTACGGCTATTACAACTGCTGTTCCCGCTGCAGGAACAAATGCGGTGGTCGCTGCGCAGGTAATTGTGGCATGCGAAATTCTTGCGGAGGACATTGTGGATGTGACTGTCGATGCTGTCACTAAGAAACAATAACTTTCACATCTAATAGGTTTCATCATCTACTCTTGATTACACTATTATGTTAGTGCTTCTAGGTGGTGGTATATCTTTGCTAATGGTGAAATAAATAAGCAGGCGTTGTGGCCTTCGTGCAGCAGCAACATGGACTTAGGGTGGTCTACGTATGACATGTGTATTTCTCTTACCTTCTCGTTTTAATTATGAATACATCATATGAAAGCCAGTGGTTCTATAATACACCCAAAACTATACACAACCTTATGTGTTTATCTACACCCTCGTCACGGTTCAACTCCAGGCCGAGGCTCGCGTCGCATGACAGGTATGCACTTCTACATGACGTGTCAATGCATAAGCCATGATACTGAGCTAGGCTAGTTACGATCCGGACCTGTCATCTTCACCGATTGAACATGTACACTTTCATGCAATACGATATATCAATATGATCAATGTCGGATACACGCGGCTCGATCTACGTAAGATCTAAATTGAATCTTGTAAAAGGTCATATATGAGATCTCGGTCAATGTACCCCTGCGAGATGGGGATCGGCACCTATGTGAAGCGGGTAGGTAGGGTAGTAAGACAGGTCGAAGAATAGATACCCACCATCATAATACCATTATGCCGCTTCCCGCCTCCCTGTATCCCGGTCTCAACATATTCGGCAGCCATGGTACTACATCAAGATCCGAAGTCGGTGTGGGGGTCCGTTGTGCAAAGCCAGGAACCAAAATGAGATGTACCTTGAATCTCCGACGGGCTGAGTTGACCGGAGTTATAAAGTGATATTTGACATTTGTCATTAAGAAACTCCGTATTCACGCAGCATGACATGCAAGCTTCTCATCCGGGAATTTGAGTTAATAGGGCACGTATTTATGTACCTGCCTAACGGCTGCCAAAAACACTCCTAACCCGAATTGTCGTAACGGGCAGAACAGAAAGATATATCCCAAATATAGAGCATATAATATGGTATAGTCTGGTGTAGCTGTGGGGTAAGATGACAGGCCTGGTGAATCAGGATAGACGTAGGCGAGGCACATAAACTTGGAGTAAGTTGTTTCTCTGTATTTGGTCTTATTTACAGACGAGCTCTCCATTGGCTCGTAAATCTTTTGTACATTCATGTACATATCAAACCTAGGTAGACTTGATGTCCGGTCTGCACATCTTCTCTTAGAAGCGTGAATTGCTAACCATTTAATTCCGAAGCATGCAGATTTCCGGCTTTTCCCACGCCCACGTGCATTTTCGTACATGTTTCTTCATCACGCGGCGGCTCGGGGTGATACATCATGGGTTGTATCAATATGATATTGGTATTTCAATTCTTCATGCGATGCGTTTAGAAGCCCATGGTGTTCAGGAAATTCAAGACGTTGAACTTTTTATGACCCTAAGATAATACAAGTTATTAATATAGGTATATCATACTCGATGAAGGCCATGAACTTACCCTTATGACAATATGCTTAGTGGTGTTGTTTATAGCTATGTCCGTATCGTTCAATTGTAATGCCGCCTTCAGATCTTGTTTTAAAGCTCTCAAATCTCCATCTCCGTGCTTCAACAGTGTGATCTTGAGGTTGCCGCCTTGTTTCTGCTTGTGATAGACACCGAGATTGTTGAGATTATTCCTGCCTACGAAATAGGGTAATCGTATCTTGGATTGGGGTTCCGTCTGTGTAGAAGTAGATGATTCTGTAGGATTTGAGGAGGTAGGGGGTGGAATATCGTTAGAAGTTGGTTGTTCGCTAGATTGGATAGTTGAGGTCGTCATACATCGTGATCGAATGGGTAAGGCGAGGCGTGTGAAAGATGTGGAAAGAGGCGCCGGGTGCGCAGCAAGCGGCCTAAAGACCTTGGGAAGAAGCATGATGCTTATAGTATTTCGTCGCGTATATGCGACCGTAATCGTGTCGTGGGCACGCAGTTCAAGACGACGGAGAACGTGTCTTAGATCTGGCGAAGCTTCAGAACTTTTTTGTTGTAGAAGATTTGATCGACACTGTACGGCGCCACTTACGGTTACTGTAGGTAATCCGGTTGAACCTCGGATATATGTAGATAAAGATACGATAAGAGATAAGATATAGCCATCCCACCTGCCCACAATCCACTTTTTGGCAAATTCAATGTTATTTGGAGTAGGCAGGGCAGGTAGGTAAACCTTAACACAGAGCTAGCCCTGGACCCACTTAACTTCTTTTGTGCCGTGCCCCTCCAAACCAAACCAAACCGAACCAATCCCAAAACATTTTCAATTTACAACAATTTTCTCCCTCAACTTTTCGCAACTGTGCCCATATCGCCCTTCTTTGCGACGACAACATAGCGCATACCACCAATAACCCATCAAGCGCTTAGATATACATACGGATATTCAATATGGCAGAGTACGATCTCCTGCCGAAATTAATCGGCCACCTCGACCGTCATCTCGTCTTCCCCCTCCTAGAATTCGCAGCAGGCCAACTCCCCGAAGATGCTGACGATGCCTCCGTCTTGGCTATTACAAAAGCCAAGTACGAACTACTCAAGACAACCAACATGACAGACTTCGTCGGAAACTTAAAGGCAGAGCTTGAGGGACTAGAGGAAGCCCCTGCCGAATTCAACGACAAGAGACAAAAGGTTATCTCGCGCCTGGAACAATTCGAGGAGAGCACTAGCAAGCTAGTCGATCTACTTGGTCGCGAAGATGTTGTCGGCAACCTACGAAGCGACAAGGTTGCTAACCTCGAGTTTCTTAAGAAGGAACACGACGTATGTCATTCCATTCTATCAACACCCATTTCTACTAAATTAACATATAATGATTAGGTGACGATCGAAATGGTCAACGCACTCTACGACTTCGGAAATTTCCAATATAGCTGCGGAAACTACGCCGCCGCTGCCGACCTCCTATACCAGTTCCGTGTGTTGTCTACCGATAACGACAAGGTCGCCGCCGCGACATGGGGAAAATTCGCGTCCGAGATTCTCACTACGAACTGGGAAGGTAGCGTGGAGGAGCTTCAAAAGGTCAAGGAGAACATCGACACAAAGCTTTTCAACAACCCCCTGGCCCAACTAAGCCAACGTACTTGGCTTATCCACTGGGCCCTATTTCCCCTTTTCAACGACGACCGCACTCGCGACGGCCTATTAGACTTATTCTTCAGCCCGGCTTATATCAACACCATACAGACTAGCTGTCCCTGGATTCTGCGATATCTAACCGCTGCCGTCATCACTGGTCGAAACCGAGCTAGGAACTCTGGTCAATACCAAAAGCAACTAAAGGATATCATCCGCATAGTGAAGCAGGAGGCGTATGAGTACACCGATCCCGTAACCGATTTCGTCCGAGCACTCTACATCGACTTTGACTTCGAGGAAGCTCAACGTCAACTTTCTCTTGCCGAAGAGATTCTGCGGTCCGACTTCTTCCTTTTCTCCGCCGCTGATCTTTTCGTCGATGCCGCACGACACCTGATCTCAGAGAGTTACTGCAAGATCCATGCCCGAATCGATATCAAGGATCTAAGCGCACGGTTAGGTCTAGGTGATGATGAGGGTGAGAAGTGGATCGTCAACCTAATCCGTGATACAAGGGTAGACGCCAAGATTGACTACAAAGAGGGTACCGTTGTTATGAACCACCCTCCCAGTTCCGTCTACCAACAAGTCATCGAAAGAACTAAGGGTGGTTTCTTCCGAACCCAAGTACTCAGCGCAGCGGTTGCGCGTTAAGAGCGGAAGTAGTTACACATGATTCTTATAATGGATACCCGTTAAGTGGACATGATAATGCGCGCGGTATTGGAACCAAAATAAGCAAGGCAGGCAGAGACCCGTGGTATTGTTATCCACGGCATGCATCAACGGCGTTTAGGGGGGTTCTGGTTCAGCCAACTGCGGTAGATCTGTAAGGTAGCATGGATTTGCAAAATCGATTCTTTCAAGTTTGATTCTCTTTTTACGATGTGCTCTAGACTGTGAAACCCCCTCGAACTCTTAATAAGCCATCGTTGCAAGGCATCTCAACTCACCTTCAACAACACAACGCATCGACATAACTATAGACATATATACATATCACCCTTTATAATTCAACTAGACGTCAGGTAGGCAGTTCTTTCTTATATATAGGGTTTCTGACCGGCAACTTCGGTGTGACGAAAGTGGCGGGTTCTGGGCTGCCATCCCCTCTCCATGTAATTGGTAATTGGAGATTTCCCACCATTTCACCTCTATTTTCAACATTCTTTTTCCTCTCAACTTGATTATTAGAGGAATAGTACGTAATCATGTTACGGCTCTTAAAAGAAAAGAAATCACCAAAAGCCAAGACGATCCCTATTCCCGACGATTATCTAGAAAGGGTATACGCGGGTGTTCTCGGGAAATTGATTGGCGTGTATATGGGCCGCCCATTTGAAGGATGGACGCACCAACGCATCATCGCTGAACTGGGACATATTCGATATTTCGTCAATGAGAAACTTGGGTTGCCAGTTGTTGTTACTGATGATGATGTCTCGGGTACTTTTACGTTTGTCAGAGCGCTGGAAGAACATTCGCGTGGGAAAGATGGTATTTCGGCGGAAGATGTTGGGAGGACTTGGTTGAATAATGTTATTCAGGGGAGGACGATATTCGTATGTCTTTATTCCCATTGCCCCCTTTTTATCTATATCGAATATCTCTACTGATGTATTTGAGTTACCCCAACTTGAAGTCTTTTATGACAATTACTTCACCTTACCCACAAACCTCTTCCCACTCGCCCCTATCACCATCCTCAAACTCCCTCCTCCACTACAAACCCTCACTAACATCTCCCAGTGGTGGGGCGGCAACGGCGTATCAACCGAGCACACCGCATACCTAAACCTCAAACGCGGCCTCCGCGCCCCGCAAAGCGGCTCCATATCCACCAACGGCACCACAATAGCCCAACAAATCGGGGCCCAAATATTCATCGACGGCTTCGCGATGACATGTCCGGGTAACCCGGACTTAGCAGCTAAACTCGCCAGCGCAGCTGCGTCGGTAAGTCACGATGGTATCGCCGTACACGCAGCGCGCTTATGGGCCGCTATGGAGGCCGAAGCGTTTATTTCAGCGGATGTGCAACATTTGTTGGATGTGGGGTTAGAATACATACCCCAGGATTCTTTGATAAGAACACTAGTAAATGATGTTAGAGGATGGTGTGCAGAAGATGGGGATTGGTTGAAGACGAGAGAGAGGATTGAGGAGAAATATGGGTATGACAAGTTCCCCGGGATATGCCATGTTGTGCCGAACCATGGCATTATGGTTATGGCTTTGATTTATGGAGGGGGGGATTTTGGCGAGGCGATGCATGTTGTGAATACGTGTGGTTGGGATACGGATTGTAATTCGGGGAATTTGGGGTGTTTGGTTGCGATTATGCATGGGTTGAAGGGTTTTGAACTGGTGGGTGAGGGTGACGACAGCGATGGTGGCGATGAAAAGGAAGGAAGACGAGATTGGCGAGGTCCATTAGGTGATCGAGCTCTTATCTCAAGTGCAGACGGAGGATACTCCATCAACAACGCCGCGAGAATCGCTTACGACGTAGCAAACATGGGCCTCACTCTCGCCGGCAAGCCACCCCTTCCGCCCCCGAAAGACGGCGCGCAACTCCACTTCACCTTACCCGGAAGTACTCAGGGGTTCCGAGTTCATTATCTTCGAAGCAATATCGACAGTCAGGACCTCCCGAAAGCAACCATCGCACAAACCATAGACACCACCAACAACACCCCCAGCTTGAAAATCCAGGTCTTCCGTTACCGTTATTCTCAGGACGTAGTAGAAGTCATAACAGACACATTTGCGCCTCCCGAAGTCCGGCAAATGCCCATCTATGAGCTCGTCGGCTCTCCTCTTATATACCCCGGCCAGACTATCCGAGCCCACGTGCGCGCAGACGACGCCAACGCAGAAGCGACCAGCGTAGGCCTAGTACTTCGAGGATACAAATACTCCGACGCTATCGATACCGTGGTTAATACGAACTGTAGTATCTCACCCGGCGAATCCACCGTCCTAGAGTGGACTATTCCAGACAAACATTTCGGCGGAAGGCCGATTCAGGCCGTGGGCTTACGCATATGGGTTACTAAAAAATGCGGTCTTAGCACAATATGGTTAGATTATCTATGTTGGGATGGTCCGCCAAACCTCACTCTTAGACCTGCAACCGCTGTTGCGGCTGTGATAGGAGAGAAAGAATATAGCCCAGCTACATTCTACCAACAATCCTTCGTCAACGGCGCTGACACATTCGACGCCACAGGAGAAAAATTCATAATTGCACAAGACTCCGGTGAAGGTATAGTGAGCTACGGTACACGTGAGTGGACAGATTACAAAATCGTTTATCGTGGGTTTATCATCAACAAGGGAAGTCTGGTTGGCGTGGCGGCAAGAGTTAGGGGATTGAATAGGTGGTACGGGGTTCTCCTTTCCGACGGTGGCAAGCGTATATCGATCGTCAAAGCACATGATGAGGAACGGGTCGAATTAGCCAGTAAGGATTTTGCGTGGAAGGTAGATACGCCGTATACTCTCACAGTAGAAGTTGAAGGCGACGAGCTGCGCGCCAGAGTCGAAGGTGAGGCCAGCGTGGAACTCTCGGCTCATGATGCAGGTTATGGCAGTGGTGGAATAGGGATCGTGGCTACAGACGGGTCAGCATTTGTGGATAGTATCGACATACGGCCGTTAAAGGATAGTTAGAATGTGAAAACGTGAGCGATGCGTAATGGTTACCGAAGCCGAAATGATATCTCTCAGAACTCCGACTTATCGGTTTTCGTTTCCAAGGTTCCCGGACTAGTATTCTCATCAAATCAATTCATAAGCAGTCCTGGCCTATTTATTATCTTATTATCCGCGTAAACACCACCGAGACGCAAACCCCTTATTCCTTTTAAAATCCGTATGCGTATAGTCCTGTTCACATCATTCCCTGCCGGCAAGCCACACGGCACCTTTTAATCCTTCAACGATGCCTTCTCTTAGCCACCCTTCTCCACTCCAATGGGGGTCTCTCTTCTTTCTTCTCTCGGCATCGTAGAGCACCAGATCATCACGGTCAACTCCCTTTTCGTTCTTTTCCTTTTCTTTTTCACTCTCTTCCTCTTGCGCTTTACCGGCCCTCCACTCAAGCCACTCGAATAGGCCCTTCAAGCCAAGCAGGTTATCTCTAGTTCCGCTGCAAACGATACTTTCAAGGACTAAACGGGCATCAACTGCGCTGACGGAGCTATTGCTAACATCGGGACCGCCAACGCCACGGTCGAGTACGATACTACGCTCTGCGTGCGTGAGTTTATGTAGTTCCGGCACATTATTAAATAGCCATTCGAGGGGCTGCGAGGCGGTGTCCGTTGTCTGTAAAACCCCGAGTCCGCCTTGTTGGCCGAGAGCGAGCATTGTCGTTGCAAACGGGCTATCACTAACGGGCCGTCTGCGTAGGTACAATGCTTGCGAACGATTGAACGCTTCTGCGTATTCGGGATGCGCTTCGAAATTCAACTCAAGGTCCCAATATTCCATTGACATAGTCCGAACGCTATGTATGTCACTCAGGGGAGGAAGAAGGCACGGTGTCCTACGTACATCCTCTTCTGTCGAGTTCTTGAGTCGTATGGCAACCGGAACACAAACGGGCGCGTTCGTTGCTACATCCTTGGTGACTAGGCAGCGGGGGTCAGTAGCCAATACCCAAAAATGCCGGAAGGCCTGCAGATGACTCTTATTATCTTGCACCGAGTCTGGAAAGACGGGATAAAAGGCGACGAGTAATGATGCAATAGCCAAGTTAGATGTATTGAAAGTTTGTGTGCCGCAACCAAGAGATAAAGCACCCATAGCCATGTGTGTCGCCATATGCGAACCGTACGTTGTGTCCTGCTCGTTACGGCTGTGAAGCGATCGGAGATATCGGAGAACCTCCAAGTCGCAGGTACCAGCCATAACGGTCGCACAAGATAGCGCGACGACATCAAGGCACATGCACGCTGTTGCATGCACAGTCCTATCATCAAAGCTGGCTTTCGAGTTGGGATGGCGACATCGAGTATAGTATCTACGTATATAGGACAGTAAGAGATCTCGTACTTTCAAGTTCCCTGACCCAGCAAATCGTAGTGCTATAGAAAAGCAGAGGCCGGCTAGAATTGTAAGGAACGGTAGGTGAGTCGAATTAAGCGGCCCACGAGCATCATGATCTAAGGGATTTGCAGTCGGGTGTAATCTTGAATGATAGCGACGTGGGAGATTTTCGCGAACCCAGTCGTGCGTTGGCTCAATTTTTGACCAAAGAATAAGATGTTTAGCAACAGTGCGTAACAATAAAATGTCCGGGCGGACATAATCAAATTGCAGTGGCGCATCAGGAACGTCGATTTTGCGAGCTACTATGTGATCTTCCGATTTCATATAGATCAGCGCGATAGCTACAACGGAAGCTGCCGTAGACCTATCCAGAATATGCACATGCTCGGCCTTTTTAGTGGCTGAAGCCAGGGTTAGAAGCTTCTCGGTTACACGCATATCGTGGAGTCCTTTAAGATCCGTGCCTTTCCCTAAGTTAATGAAACCAAGGGCGAAGCCAGCAGCTAACCGGTAGCACTCAGTACGTAGAGGTTCTTCCTCATCCTCGGCCTCAATATGTTCAATTTCGGACATCATGATCTCGCTCATTCGGCGATGTTGGCTATTGCAATAAAGCAAACCGATGCCCATTATACCAGTTGTTTGCGTGAGAGGAGACAAGTTCAATTCGGCAGCGCCACGCGGTAACATCCGGGTTACGTGCACGGATAATAAACGTGTTATGAGCGAGTCCATAGTACCTATATAAGATGCGGCCAACCCTAGAAGTAACCCGATAGACGTCATGGTGTGCTTTGGCGTCAAATATTTGAAAGCAACCCATTTGGCGACACCTTTAAGGTGTCCGTTGAGACCAAGGGCCAGTAGGAATCCGGCATGCCTGTTGCTAAGATCATTGCCGGGTTTGTTATATAGAATCCATGATGTATCTATTCCCTTAGCTTGACGAGAAATAGATAACCCACCAGCGACGCCCGAATGGAAGAAAGCCCAAGCAATCTTCTCTTCGGTGAAAAGCGACTTGTCAACACCCACTGTCACGTTATTAGGCTTGACAGTACAGTTCAGGATAAAGCCGTTAATGTGGAATTTCTGGGTTAAGAGGGGGAATCGCAAGCCGTAGTTCATCAGGCCACGACCGGCCGGTATAGATAAGGTGTTGTTAGCGAGCCTTGTCACCAATTCCTTCTGCTGCTCGAGATATTGTGGTTCCGTCCAGCCCGGAAGAGGATCCAGGCGCACGGTTCGCGGCTTTGTCGTATTCAACATCATCTTAGTTTCGTCAAGACGCCGGTCATCTTTGAATATAGAACGGATAACTGCTTGCTTGTCGCTCTCTGCAATGTCGTCGGACGATGCATCGCTAAACTCCAAAGCATTCTGGCAAAGTGATGTGAAATCCCATGAAGCAATATGGGTGGGTGCCTAAATCTCATTAGTACCATGCACTGCGATAAATGATGAGGGATACTCACAAGAAGATTAGATGAACGAATACGAAGGCTATTCGTTCGCGTTAAGACCGAGCCAATGTCACTTCTATTCACCAAATCTAGCAGCCCCTTAGGCCAGCTTGATGGTGGGGTTGATTGACATTGAGCGATTGCGTCTTGAAGTGGCACAAGAACATATTCTGGCAGTGTCTCTAATACGATAGGTGTAATCCCGCTTTGGTATACCGCTTCGACAAATTGCACTGGTGTTCTGCTTCGTACGGAAAGCTCTTTGAAGAGATCCTCAAACATTTTCGTGCGCGGGACTATTGTATAAGCCATGGCCGACCTTATCGGCGGCACAAACGCGGATGAAATCGGCTCTTGAGAAAGATTGGTTCGGATCCAATCGAAAACGTTCCAGTAAGCCGGTTCTTGGGGTACGAGTGATATGGCTATGTCCATTGATTCTGGGAATTGGTCCGGCCAATCCAATGGCATTTCAAGCTCATATTGATTTACCCATTCGTTCCATTTCAACCATCGTGTAACTTGAAGCAGTACTGCCCGTAGGTCCACCGATCCCGGCGAAGATACGTGAAAAGATGTAACATCAAGCTTCTGCTCCTCGAGGAGAAGGTGCAATGTAAGAAAGATATCTTGGGCATATCGAGTTCGTGTTAAGTAGTCATGGCTTTGAGAAGTTTGAAGGTATCCCTCTGGGCCATAGGTAGCTTCTCCATAATTTGAGGATACGTACGTTAAAGCGTATTTCGTATGCGAAGAGAGAAAACTCAAATTGTCTCGTCCGGAACTGGGTTGAAACATAGTTAAACAGGCATCGTCTTCTTCCATTGTCCACTGCCACGCTTTATTCTCCATCCAGGGTGGATGTGTCGAGGAACCTAGTGTTTCGTAAGTGTTCATCGCGTCCCAGTCGCTAAGGTCAACCTGCACTCCGCTGCTGGACCTTAAAAAGCCTCTGGACCTCCTTCGTGGGGTCGGATCTGCTGGCAAGGTGGTCTCATCCACACCGAGAGCGAGATATATCGAGAGTATTTGAATAACGATAGCGGACCATTCAATATCGATAACATCAGCATCTTGTTGTCGGAGCCAATCGATAATCTCCCACCAATTAGCAATTAACCTCTCACCGGAAGAAGCAGGAAGAGCTGCGCGCAAGGCTTTCAGGATTTTTGAAACTCGCGGGGAGGTTGATTGGAGTTGAATGCGTATTTGATGGTGCTGTTGAGTATCCTCGTCCAGAATATCAACAATACCACGGAGCTTGGGGTGTCTTAAGCCGGCAATTTCCCCAATCACGGGGGTTACTGCTCTCCTAACACCAATATCCCGATCAATAAGGCTGCCATGGTAGTCGAGACTACGTAAATTCGCAAGCGACAATTTCGGCGGAAGAGTGATAGATGTCAATTGTGTCCACGGTGCTTGGATACTGAGCTCACGTTGGCCTTCGCTCGATTGTGACAACACTAGAATCATCGATATCTCGCCATCATTGATCTTGCACGAATCTATAATGCCTTGGGCTTTCTTCAATTGCCCAAATGTGACGACCGTCTTGACAGGTTCGGCTGGCGATGCAGATCTGGACCTACTCGATTGCAGATGGAGGGTTAATAGTTGGAGTCGCTTCTCCATCGGGTCCTGGATTCCCACCAAGACCTGCTGGCGGTTGTACCCGTCGTCTAAAGACTCTGGGCCGGTGAGACAAAAGACTTTGCACTGGGTTCGGGCCGGTTGCTTCGAGAGAGAATACCGGACGTTGCTGTTGTCAATAGGGATACTGTGAATTCGTGTAAAGAGAATTTCCTGGTTAAGCCCATCGAAATCATGATCATCTAGGCCCATACTATGGAACCCTTCAAAATCACCTCCCGAACGCAATTCCTCCAGCAAGGTATCAACTGGCGCTTCCAGAAGAGTGCTCACGGAATGGTTGGTATTTCCGGTAAAACTAGGCCCAGTAAATGCACCGCTACTGCGAGTTCGATGACTACCATGCGAAGTATCCCTCCTCGAGTTAGTGTGGTTGGAAATTTGGGCCTGCTCAGAGAATGCGGTTCTATCCTGTGAAGCAGAAAGATCCGCTCTAGCAAGCATAGAACTCACTCGACGAGAAGTCCTACGGGTCACACCCGACTCCTTCTCTATCCCCAACGAAGATTCGAGATTCTCTAGAACCTTATCGTTCTTTTCGACCTTTTCGCTCTTGCGAGGTCGTTTCCCAGGTAAAGGCGCACCAAAACTCTCTCTAAAAGTTGGGTGCAATGGTGTTGTAGCACCACTGGATAGACGTGGTTGCATTGAACTGCGTCTTCTGTCTGCCTTATCCTCGGGCTTCTTTTTTTTGGTGGTAAAAGGATCTTCATTCTCGATATAGGTAAGTTTCCAGACGGTGTACATGCAGGCTTCTCTATTAACAGTGACTGCAAGAACCACTTTTCCCTTACCCCTCCTATAGGTTTGGTGGTGTGGTATTTCTTCGATGTGAATGATCTCCTCAGCACGATCAAGAAAGTTAGGAGATTTATCAGAACCCCGACGACTCTTGCGCTTAGCAGATCTGTCGGGCGGATTGACAACCAAACCAAGTTCCAACAGAGGATCGGTGAGAACAACTAGACGAGGCCATCGAGAATCATTTTTTCCTTCGGAGCTATCCCAAGGAATGTTAATGTCGGGATTTATTCTAAGGGGAAGTGCTTTGGGTTTCCCAAGAGTCTCAATTGTGAATGTACTCTGCTGAGAGGATCGGATTGATGCGGGCGAGAGATTCGATATGAAAGAGTTATGTGGTACTCGGGGAAACTTAAGACTCGAGGCCAAACCATTGTCGGTCTGTAATCTTCTCTGTATTATGACGCCTTTAGGTGCCGCACAAGCAGACTCGACTTCAAAGGGCATATGTACGACATGACTGGTGCCGTCAAGGAAATAAATATGAGCTTGAGTTTTGAGAAAGACCACCAGAGCTTTAGACAAGCCCCTCTCACTTTCGTCGGGTTGGCTTCGTTTTCCTCCTACCAAGTTCTCCTGGACGTCTTCCGCATGTTCGGAGTTTGGAAAATATGTCAACAAGGCCTGAATGATAGGTTCCTTTTCTAACTTGAAGCCAAAGCATTTTCGAAAGATGCAGCCTCGTGACCATATAACAGCATCTTTGGTGACAAGAAGCTCATCTTCTCCCTCTTCACCATTAGTATGGTCTATAGTTATGTCCCAATGGTATGAGGAACTAGGTGGGTTTTCTGGAAGTAGTTGTTCCTGTATGGCGTATTGAAGTGCAGTGGGTTGGTGCAGGCCAAGCGATGTCACCGAAGCCATATCGGCCGTACTGAATCCATTGAAGATAATGGAAATATCTTTGTGTTAGTCGGCGAAAGTCCGAGTCGGAAAAAGTTGAAATTGAAAAGGTTCAAGGTTTCATTCGGCGTCGACTAATTTAAAATCAAATCTTTTATGATTAAGTGATCGCCGTTACCCGTCGTATGTCTCCAGAGTTGTTTCCTAATTCACATTCAAAATAACTACGCGCTATGAAAGTGCAATCCACGCGATGTTAGGTACACCAACTAGTACTAACTGCCTAAAAATTGGAGGGGTCGAGGGGCCGGAAAAATAACAAATGATTGGTCAGAATCCTTGCTTAGCTAATGGATTTCGACCCACACCACGGACATCCACCTGCATAAATCTGCAGCTAGTCTTGGCAGCCTCGGAACAGCTCACAAAGCTTGCTGACTTGACTGACGTAGCTTAGCTTAGCTTCCCAACTTAATCCATTACAACTCATTCATTCCTCCAATCATCACCTGCTACATGTTGCAGGTATTAATCTATCAACTTCATCTACATGTGAGGTAGCTAGGGTAGCTACATGTACGATTATGGCCAAGGTCTTCTAATCGTTATAGGTGGATTATTGTACAATACAAGTTTCAACCTCTAGACTCGACTCTTTCTTTATCTAGGAATGTCGCGATCCATCAACGCGATTTGTCTTAACTTGTCTCACTCCATACACCATCTAAGTCCTGATGTCGACTTCTCAGTTTGATTGCCTGTCATGACAGAAACGCAGCCCAATTTGGGCGATAGTGGCATCGAAGATGCGAATCCCGAACATGCCACGGATCATGCCGAAACGCCCAGTTCCGAAAATAACGTAGACGTGGCAGGAGACACAAAAGACGGAGGCGAAGAGAAAGATAATGAGGACGAAAACGGAGATGAAGAGGAAGAGGATGGGGAAGAAGAAGATGGGGACGAGGACGACGAAGAAGATGACGAGCCAAAACTGAAATACGCCCGTCTAACACAGCACATGGGCGGCGTTTATAAGAATGGCGACGCTACTAGTACTTTTCTCGTTGCGGGTGACAAGATGATAGTTGGGACGCATAATGGAAATATTGTAAGCCCTCACGGTAGACTTAATGGCGCCCATGAACTTCTAATACTAACATTCGTAATTAGCACGTTATTCAACTGCCCGATTTCCAATCACTACTCGTCTATCAAGCTCATACCGCGTCCGTTACCAGCATTTCCATATCCCCATACCCGCCTCCGACTCTCCCAGCAACGCTCAAACCCGAAGCCCTTAATAGAGTAGCATCGCAAAGCGTCAACCGCCCGTCGTCGAAACATTCAGACGCTGCTCAGGCCGGCCAACGAAAATCCCGCGAGCTTCCCCAAGTTCCGAACCTACCTTCAAATAATATCTTCATCGCCTCCTCTTCTATGGACGGAAACGTCCGTGTTCAGCCGTTAATCGAGCTGAGGGATGTACAGTTGAGAAATTTTGCGCGCCCAGTGCAAGCAGTAGCTTTGTCACCAGATTTCAGGAATGATAGGACGTATCTATCCGGTGGTCTTGCAGGCAGTCTAGTTCTTACCGTCGGAGCACCTCAAGGACGAAGCACCTCCACCACAGTAGGAACCGCAGCGGCTGCCGCGTCAGGTTGGCTTGGAAGCATGGGGCTTGGGACCAATACCGGCAAAGATACGGTGCTTCATTCTGGGGAAGGGACTATTAGTACGATAAAATGGTCTCTCTCGGGGAGATATGTTGCGTGGTTAAATGAGCACGGTATAAAAATCATGCGAACCAAATTACATCTAGAAAGTGCCGATGCCGAGGACGCTTGGAAGCGAGTAGGTCATATCGACAGGCCACAAACGGACGAGTGGGAAGAAATGGCAGGCGTTTGGAAGGGAAGAGCAGAATGGATTGACGATCAGGCGATCGGGAGCGACGAGGTTGTCAAAGAAAGCGAAGCATTAGGACAACTATCACCCGCTGCCGCGAAATTAAGCCAACAAGCACAAAAACACGATAAATCCATCGAACGATTGTTAGTCGGATGGGGTGGCACAATATGGATCATCCACGTCCATCCAGGAGGCGTTGGTGTAGGAAAGCATGCAGGCGAAAGGTCTATCGGAAGGGCCGAAATTGTGAAAATGTGCGTATACTCAGATGAGATATTAAGGGCAATGCTAACATTCTCAGACTTCGTATGGACTGCATTATATCAGGCATTTCGTTATATACCCAATCTCTGCTTCTTGTTCTTGCTTATTGTAAACCTGACGAAGAGGAGGAAGAGAGCGAGCAGGTTCAGATCGCCGAAAGACATAGACGATCAAGCAGTGGTGAACCATCTGGTGGAATTAGACGCCGTCATAACGCATTACCCCCTGAGTTGAGACTTATAGATCTCACATCACAAGCCGAGGTCGACAAGGATAGTCTCACAGTTAGTCGATTTGAACGACTATCTTCAAATGATTATCATCTGGGTGTGTTACCGGCCAGCAAGGCAGCATCTGTCGTCGCCTCACGGGGCGCTCTAGAAGCTTTGGCAGGGTTCGGTACAGATATGTGGAATGCCGCCGTCAATCCAAGGTCCCTGTTTAGCTCTGGTGCTAGCATAAGAAGCAGAGATAGCAACGAGATCGCATCAAGTCCTAGAGCAGGCCCTTCTAGTGCGAACATTCGATCCGGTCTCAGACCAGCATCTCGGACAGTACATCCCAATCTCATCAAACCAGGGGCAAAGATATTCATTCACAGTCCGTATGATTGTATTTTGGGAACCAAGAGAGATCTGGGCGACCACCTCGAATGGCTTCTCGAACATCAAAAATACCAAGATGCTTGGGAATTATTAGACGAACACCCAGAGATTATGAATGCGTCCTCCGACAGACTATCCGAGACATTTCCATCTAGTCCCGGCCAAAGACCATCAACCAGAGATGACTTTTATGAAGACATTTCGTCTATAGTGGATGACCATCTCAGATTTATGAACTCATCTTCAGAGAAAGAGAAGCGACGAATTGGTGAACTATGGGTCCAGGAGCTGGTTGACGAGGGCAATTGGACTCGCGCTGCTGAGATTACAGCAAAGGTAGTAAATACGCCTCACCAATGGGAGAATTGGATCTACACCTTTGCCGGGCAGAAGAAATTTGATGAGATTGTCGATTATATACCGTCGGAACCGATGCATCCGCCAATTCGGGGAACTGTCTACGAAATTGTGCTAGGTCACTACATTCAAACGAACAAACTCCGATTCAAAGAGTTACTTGATCGCTGGAGCACGGAACTTTTCGACGTGAACGAGGTTACCACTACCCTAGAAAACCAGCTTAAGTTCCGCGATGTAAGAGAAGACAGCATCGAAGATGGTGAAAAGGGGCGTGATTGGCGAATCGTTATGGAGAGCTTGGCTAGACTTCACGAGGTGAACGGACGATACCGAGACGCCCTAAAATGCTACATAAAGCTGCAGGATGCGGACTCGGTAATGCGTTTGATAAGGGACAACCATCTTGCCGATGCTGTTATCGATGACGTTCCAAGCTTCATTGCGCTTAGGGTTCCCGAGGCAGAATTAAACCGAATGAGCATCCCGGAACTAGAAGAAGCTACCTCCGAAGCCATCACGTTACTCGTAGATGAGGCAAACCGAGGCCTAATTAAACCCGATGTTGTCGTCAGTCAATTGGAAGAAAAAGAGTTAAAGCTTTATCTTTATTTCTACTTCCGCGGTCTATGGCAAGAATACCGGGAACGTGCTATCGATGATAGCGTATCTCTAGTCGACAATTTTGCCGACTTGGCTGTTCATATTTTCGCGAAATTCGACCGCGAACTTCTTATGGACTTTTTGAAAGTCTCTACATCTTACACATTCGAAGAAGCTGTTCAAGAATGTGAACAAGTTAATTTTATCCCCGAACTCGTGTATCTATACTCCAAGACTGGTCGGATGAAGCAGGCATTATACCTAATTATTGACCGCTTAGGAGATGTTTCGCAAGCTATTAGTTTCGCAAAGGAACAAGATGATCCAGACTTATGGGAAGATCTACTCGATTATAGTATGGATAAGCCACGCTTCATTCGTGCATTGCTTGAGGAAGTAGGCACATCCATCAACCCGATCACTTTAGTCCGACGCATTCCGGAGGGTCTTGAAATTCCGGGCCTCCGCGAAGGTTTGAAACATATTATGAAGGAACACGAGATCCAATACAGTATATCGTCCGGCGTAGCACGAGTTTTAAGGTCCGAAGTCGCAGCCGCCCAAAATCAACTCCGAAGTGGACAGAAGAAAGGCATTAAATTTGAGGTGCTCCTACAGCTACAAGACAATAGCGATGTCGAAGCCAAGGAAGTTTCAGCTCTGGCGGCTACAGCGAAAACATCTTCGCCAGCCGCGACGCCACATACAAACGGAACTGGAACGGCAACGCCTAGCGAAACGGTAGACACCAACACAATAACGGAGGCTAATCCTACGGGTAAGCAACAGCCACTGGTACATGACCACCGAGAGCTGAAGCCGGGCCATTGCGCAAGGTGTCACGAACCATTCACAGAGTGGGAAACTGAAACATTAGTGGGGTTCGCATGCGGCCATGTGTTCCACATTACTCATCTATTAGAATACCTACACCCAGGCCAGGATACAGACCCAAGTGTAATAGGAAACGGGGACGAAGATCGATCAAGAGGAGGTCGGTTTGTAGGTAGTAAAGTTACACACGCGCGATTATTAAGAGACCGTATCGAAGGCGGGTGTCCAGTTTGCAGAGGCAAGAGGGAGGTTGTTGAAGGTGGTGATTATCCGGGTATCTAGTATCAGCTACCTTTTGTTCTATTCTAGCTGAGGATGCATAGTTTGGAGTTTGGAGCATATACAACACACCATTATGTCGTGTTCTATTCGAATTAATCGAAGTATTGGATATCTTCGTATGCTTACCTAGGTCCTCCCAGTTCAAAGACAGGGCTGTTTGGTGAGATTCTTCGAGGGTAGAGGGTCAGTACATAGTATGTCGATGAACCCATCAAGTTATTGCCCGTTTCTTGGACTTCCACCCTGTGCCTCATCTAAATACCATGATTTTATCCAATATACCAAGAAATTTTGTAACTGGCCTCCTATGAGCCGCTGACGTCACCTAGTCGCCTAGATATGAAGGCATATTTGCCTAGGCGTCTTATTGCTTTTTACGTAAACACCAGGGTACCTCTGCATCAACGCCACGACTCCTCACCCACCATTTCATCTTCCCAACCCCTTCAAATTATCATCTACTTCTCTTCGATAATAATGGCAGACCGTCCGCGATTTTCCAGCGACCAGCTAACCCAATTCTTCGACCGCATCGGGTTATCAAGACAAAAACGGATTTACTCCGTAGGGGGACGAACCGACGATGACAAGCTAAAGTATTTATACCTCCTCAAGAAACACACCCTCGTGCGCATCCCATTCGAAAACCTCACATTGCACTACTCATGGCACCGCACAATCAACGTGCGCCCGCAGCATCTCTTCAACAAGATCGTGTCCCCTCCTAGTCGGCGCGGGGGTTATTGCATGGAAGCGAATTCCCTATTCCATACTGTGCTCCTCAGTTTAGGATACCAAGCTTTCATGGCCGGCGCTCGAGTATGTAGCAAGGACACCGGGAAATATGGTGGTTTTTCGCATTGTGTTAATATCGTGATTATCGGGAATGAACGCTGGATGCTGGATGTGGGATTCGGCGCGAATGGACCTACGATGCCGATGCATTTATCGCATGAATTTTATGCATCGCATGTCAGAGCTTCCCAGGCGAAAACTCGTGTTGTGCATGAGCCGATTCCGCAGAATGTTGATCAGAGCCAGAAGATTTGGATTTATCAGTTCCAGATAGGTCCTGGAGAGGAGTGGGTGCCGCAGTATTGTTTCGTGGATACTGAGTTTTTGCTTGAGGATATTAGATGCATGAATTTGAGTCCGTGGAAGAGCCCGAGTTCCTGGTTCACGCAGAAAGTGGTGTTGACGCGGTTCACAACTCACTTGGAAAGGGAGAAGGCAGACGATTTATCAGATGGCCCCGGATCTGCGAGTGAGGGGGTGATATCGCGGGGAGATATAGATGGAGCGTTGATCTTGTTCCATGATTCGCTCAAGTGGCGACGTTTTGGGCGGACGAAGCTTGAGATTAAATTTAGCAGTGATGCGGAGAGGATCGATGCTATAAGGAAGTATTTTGGGATTGAGTTGGATGAAGAAGATCGAGAAGCTATCCGAGGCACGGTGGGTGAGATCAGGTCAGTTCCTAATCTCTTTGATTAGGCCTTCATTAATTCATTCTATACGAAAATTATCTCCACATACCTGTATATTGACAATAGGGACTCTATATTAAAATCTGAAGAATCCAACACCTTGAAATTGGCAGCCTCTCATGCTCTTTCTGGATGGGTTTTCAAAAGAAAGTGCGCCGAAAGCGGCCGCATTACTATTACTCTCTATCAACAAACCTGTGTGAATAGTGTCATAGACAAACAAATAAAAGGTGATAGAAACCTGTGACTTACTTACACACATTGCCTTAAAGTACATAGGGAAGCACACCGCCGGAGAAGGCACCATGATACTAAAAAAGAAGGGTGAGTTCGTTCAGATAGGATGATTGTCCATAGTACTAAAGGAGAGTCTGGGAGGGGATGATATCGGGAGCTTGGTACAAAGATAGGTTTTTAACATATCTCTGACTTGATCACCCGCCATACCATCTAAGGATTTAAATATCGGTTTGCTTTTTGATTCATCCAAGTCATTTCTTCAGCCATCTTTTATGTTTCCTTTCTTATTGCCTATTCAGGGGTCAGGGGTCTTTCACACAGAATTTGTACCGCATGACATAATCAAAAACAACGATGATAGAAGTAGTGACTAGATAGATAAATGACAAGATATTGAACCTATTGCTGATTATTATATGTAAATGCTTAGACATGTGAGTAGGTAGCTGGATGGCTGGTTACCTGGAAGGTTGACCGGGTGGAGCTAATCGTCGTTACTTAAAACCCACACCCCGTAAATGCTTTACATATAAAATAGCTTTATCCCCGTAACCACATTCTTTCTGTGTCCTATTCAAATTTTCTTCCCATTTTTTCTTAGATGCCTACGTACGTACGTACCTAGATCCACCGATGCTTCTCAGCCTCCACCACTCATTCGAAACCTGTCAGTCATGAGTTCACAACAAACAGATAAAACTAGTTTTTTATCTAATTCAACACATTTCAACAGTGTTCAACTGTTGTCAAACAAAGTATTCACTTGTTAAACCACCCATAATTATACTCCGGTACCTTCCAAAGTAGGTACTTGCACCGTTCATAGGATGATATCCGCCATGGAATTGAAGAATTTTGCCTCGCTGGTTCGAGGCCGACTTCCTCATGACTATACTATTATTTATATACAAAGAAATCTGCACTGCTTTGCTATAGGGCACCAAACAATTAGCCACCAAATCACTTTCCTTCGACCATGGCCTTTGTTCCCTCGAGAATACAAAGGCATTGAACAAGAGAACCAAATATATATACACAAGTAACAAAATACCGAGGCATTGTAATATTTTCTGAGACAGTCTCGGACAATATCTAACAATGTCAAGCGATAACAGCGAGTCGGACAGTAGCGATGGCCGTCTGAGTTACTATATGGACGGCGGGGCGGAGGCCGTCACAGAGCGTATAAAGCAGTTTTTCGACAACAATACTAGATGGAAGTGGTCGAGCATGCTTGGCATTGGAGCCACTGGTATCGTATACCGAGTGCAATACCAGCGCGGAAACCTTTCTCGAGACTTGGCGGTTAAGATAGTCCCCCAAGATGTTGACTTGGGGGGGTATAAGTCCTACGATGAAGACGACCCGATCGTTCCAGATGAGGTAGAGGAAATAGTGAACGAGAAGCGTTGGTTACAGGTAAGGATACTCTTCTTTATTCTCGACCTTGAATTCTTTGGTAACTGACTATTTTATTATAGGTTCTTCGTGGTAATTCGCATATTGTTACTCCGCTTGATGTTCCCCATGATCCTTTTGACTCTGCCAACACACCTCCCGGAGTCCTCCCACACCGAATGGGGAACTGGGTCTTCATGGAGTATCTCCCAAATGGTCCGCTATGGTTGTTCATCAGCCGATATCACAAGTTGTATCCCGACGAACCGATACCGAATCGTCTCTTGTGGAGATTTTTCATGTGTTGTAAGTTAATTTTATACTCGAGTACTTAGACTTGCATCATAAAGCTAACCTAGTCCTATTTTAGTGGCGAGGATGTGTCTAGAGATGGCATACTACAACGCAACATGGCCCGATGGCCGAAAAGTCAATCTAGAAACGGACGACTACGAACAACTGCGGAATATTCCCCCAGGACCTTTAGTCCACTCGGATATAGGCTCCAACAACATCATGATCGGGACCCTAGCTCCCAACCTCCAAAACCCTGAACATACCTTAAGCCCGGTCCTGAAATTGATAGATTTCGCTCTCGCTCAGAATTTACCTGAGTAAGTAATACCTACGTACGTACAAGGAGAAACAATAACTGACGTAGGTTAGCACAGACTTCTTAGGATCAAACGCAGCTCAGATAAACGTCAGAGACGCGGGCGAGGTAAGTCATGGGCAATATTATACCAATCTTCGCAAAGATACTAACCGTTGTATTAGGTCATGTTAAACCTCATACGGCAGCAAGAGCACGGCGGAACAGAAAAGACTCGAGTAACCATCGCAGGTCAAACTTTCGAAACCTTCGCTGGTGGTCTTGTCGACCGTTGGAAGGATTACAAGAAAGCCGGTGTAGATCCCGGCTTAGTGGAGCTTATCTGCACTTGCCTGGCTGAGGAGCCTCATAGACGACTTAGTCCCGTCGACCTAGCGATAGTAATTCGTCTGAGTTGGGATAAGGACTATCCTAATAACCCAAGAGAGACAGACGCGGTTATACAGGAGAGGTTACGAGCGGCTATTTTCGATGCGGATACTGAAGAAGAGTAGCGAGATTATATACCCCTTAGTGTGCTTATATAGATAAATAAATAAATTGTCATAAAATTTAACGTGACCCTTCCATTACAGTAGTAGAACTAGAGTTCATCATTGATATTGACGCATCGGCAGCATTGGATTCATTCGTACCTAACTAACTATGGCAACAGCGTTTAGAATCGAATAGTTTCAACTCCGAAGAGTATATTAAACATTAAAACGTATCCATCAGCCGACATCAAGGTCATGGCACAGCATGCCACGAAGTAAAGGCGCGTGGGAGATTCCTTTCCGCCCTGTAGACGAAACATTACCAGATTACCTTTAATCGTGACCAAAAAGACGATTATGATCAACAAGATACTGCTGCCAGGCAGCCATGATTCGGTCCCGATCGTCATTGGAGCAACGTTCAATGACAGTGTATCGGCCTGCAAACTCGCGTCCCCACTCTTCCATATGTTTTTCCTCTGCCTTCTTCCTGTCCTCTTCCTTCTTCTTCGCCTTCTCCTTCTGCTTATCCTCTCGTTTCTTCTTGTCGGCCTCGTACTGGGTGAGAGTCTTCGAGGCCCAAGCCTTCAGCTTCTCAGGCTCTTTGAAGCACCAGAGCACTACCTCCCTAGCCGCAAACGTGTCTTCGACACAATCGTGGCCTTTCTTAGAGGCCTGAATGTTCGCACCTAAGAACTCCTGACATAGCTTCTTGAGGCGCCAACGACGAAGCACCTTCTCCTTGCCGAAGACAGCTTCAGCGGCAACGATACCGGAATCGACAACTCGTTTGTGGATGATATGAAGTACCTTAAGATCGTTGTTCAAAGCATGGCCAAGGAGTATGGTGTTCTCGTCGGCGTGTCGGAAAAGTTCCTCTCGTGCCTTCGGCCATCCGTACAGGATCTTGCCTGAAACTTGAGCCTCTGTCATCTTGACCCTAGTGACTCCGCTATACTTAGTACGCCACTATACATCAAAAGTTAGTAATTGTCACAATCCATAGTAGAATAAAGAGGTAATAAATAAGTAGGAATTACTTACGTCTTGGACAGTCTCCGTAGGGAAGACGAGCGTATCCATCAAAACCTCTCCGGTAATCACATCAATCGCGCAAATTTGGGCGAGTTCATCTCGTCCCTTCGAAAGACCAACCATCTCGCAATCAATAGCAATAGCCTTGCGCTTCAATACTCCAGGGACTCGGGCCGGCGTCGGGAGGAAGGTCTTAACTTCGTACTTGAGACGCTTGGCGTGGGTCGCGTCGCCGGTATAGTACGATTGCAACATTAGCAAGTCCTCACTGTGGCAGTGTGACTCGAGGGTCTGGTGAAGGCTGATGGCGTTCAAAGTCTGGGGTAGGTTGTTGTCTGCTAGGTCGGTTGCCCAGGGGTACTTTTGCTTAATGGTGGGTGGTAAGGGCTTGGGTTGAGCAATGTCTACTGGTTGTGCCAAAGCAGGTGTGAAGAGGTTGGGCACAGCGTCGCTACCATATAACGTAGCTAAAGAGGGAGTACGTTAGCAAATTTCAACATAAAAAACAGAGTATGGAGAGAAATAGTACCTTGAGGAGGAGGGTTCTCAGAGATCACCAGTGTGTCCCTAGCTCTAGTCGCGAGATCTTCCACATTTTCTGCACGGTCGGGTAGGGTGAAACTAGACATAGTCGCTCGAGGTACTGAGCTAGGAGGAATATAGGTATAGGCCTGAGGAAAAGCAGCTGTAAATCTGAGCGGCGGGGGTCTGCCTCCATGCAAAGGAGAATCTCTTCTATGCTGATGAAGCGCAGCACTGCTCACAAATAAGCGATGACAGGGTATACACCATCTTTCCTTCATATGACCAGTCTTCCTGACATGCTTGTTGATGGAATGCGCATCCTTCAGGATGGCAGAGCAATCGCATCGATAGTTTCGAAGTCCTTCGCCTTGCATGATGGGTGGTGGTGGGTGATGATTGCTAGATTGAAGTTGTGCAGGTTTGAAATTTGATATGTTGAAAAGAAAGGCGAGAGCAGAGGCTCAAATGGTTTATTATTTTGCTGAAATGAAAGGAGTGTACCGGGAGGCACCCACTGTCGAGTCAGCCTGACTTAGGCAATGAAGGCCATTGGGGTGGCCACGAGCATGGGCTGAGTTGTCACGTCCGAAGATGGCCAACGAATTAGGCGGGGGTAATATGGATTAACCTGTAAAGTACACCCGGCCGCGCGACGTCGAGCTGTTTCAATGAAAAGAGTTCCTAACACATTTGTGATTCGTCGTTGCGGCTTAAGAGCCTTACATATGACCGTCGTAAGTCACTACAATGATATCGTTCGCCGATTCACTTCTTCTAGTCACTAATAATTTTCAAAGCTTAAAGGAACCGTGAACACTTATATGAACCGTTCATTCTAGTAATTTGGTGATTAGCTTCGCCAGGTCATCATATTTTTGATATAGAATACACCTTACGAAGAGTCGGCGTTAAGTCTCACGAGGGTCTGGTGAGAGGCAACCAAGTTGTTGGTGGCGTAGCTGCCGCATTTGAAACCGGAGCAATGCGAAAGTAGGCAGTTGCCTCTTATATGTGACGCCCTCTATTCATACGTTCGTTTCTCTCTGTCGTAAATAATTATTGAACGTCGCCAAGTTGGCCGCTTTGAAAGCTCGCTTCCAAAGGGGGTGTGATGAAGGTTTCGAGCGTACAACTACCCATCCTAGGCGCCGAATGCGTAAAAGGTCACAAAACCTCAACTCGAGGCTCATGTTAAAAAGAAAATAGACATGAATAGTTAGAGAGACGATATAATCATGATACTTATGTATAGGACTGTATGTCTTACATTTGTTACGCCGAGGTTGAGTATAGCCTCACGAGGACCCCTTTTTAACGTGTGGGGCCGCGGCGTACCTACCTAGGTACCTAAAATACCCGTCTAAGCTTCCCAACTTCTAACTACTGCATAGACGTTCGTGAATCTTCTTTGATACGTATAAAAAACTATAAGTATGTTAATACTTCCACTGAAAGAAACAGGAACAACATACATATTTTTATCCACCGCGGCGTTAATCATCAATGCCAATATCTCACATTCACCCACAAAATACCCAAACGTTGCCGCCGGAGCGAAATAATAACTCTTTATTACATATCCTAATAGTATAACGATTTCTCCGAAAGTCTAACCATTGCGCCCTCAAATATTACATCCAATGCCACGAACCCCAGCCCTACATGCCGTAATACATGAGTCCCAAAGGTAGGCGACGTTAGTGCTATCAATTGCCACAAAAGCCTAGATCTATCAGCATGACCATAGGGGTCTTTAGATTTCTAAGTTTCTCTAAACGAATGTAGATGGAAGTAAAGACATAGTAAACAGGTGATAAGCCCGGTAAGCTGTAGACGTTAGTTGAATTACACATTACCTCTCCACAAATATGTCCCGCCCGGACATGACAAACCCATCAAACAATTCCCGCGATAACGGCCATTACAGCTCCGTAAAGGCCGACACATATAAGAAGTTCCCAAGTACGGACTGCGACTATCCCTCCTTGGATCAGGCCTCCCAGAATACTGAGCCCTACCAGGAACACCACCGTCAACCTGCCTAAGTAACCTGGTATGATCAAGAACGTTAGGATCGGGAGGATGACAGCCACCGTGACAGCTACGGATAGAGGGACAACTGGTGTGTCTTCGTATGTAGTTTCGACAGTCTCGGCAATGCTTTCTTCTTGTCGGAAAGGTGAGACAGGCCGAGATTTAATAGGCGATCTGCCTCGAGGTTCAGACATTGCGAACTCGGGAGGTGGAGGTATTGGCGTATGCATTGGGTCTTCGTCCACCACTATTTGTTCTTCATCACTGATACAGACTAAGTCATCTGTGGGGTCAAGAAAATGGGTCTCAGCCTCAGCTATAGGGTTGTGGGTTATAAGGTAATGACGATATTCGCGTATGTCATCCATTGTTGGAGCCGGTATCCTCTGCGTTTCCCTAAATGATGATAAAATGCGGTCTGGCGAATTATATACATAAGCAAGGTATCGTGCCGACGGAAATGCGTGAGGGTAGGGAGGGATTCGCTTACTATATTGGTCCAATTTAAATCCAATTTTACCGAGTGTTTCGGATTTACGCCAATGGAGCTCACCACCAGCCATGAATTCTGCCCTTCGCGAGGCAGGAAAGATACAATTCGGCAAACGTCGGTTTTGCGTATCTGCCGCGTCAAGTCGATGGAGCTGCTCTTCCAATTCGCAAAGTTCATCTTGAAGATACAATAACATCCTATGATTCAACATCTCAAATCTGCGGTATATAGGTCGAAGATTTGGACCGACGGGATCTGGCGGGGTGGCTAATTTCGAAGCAAGTAACTCATAACCTGATAGAGGCAATTTCTCGTTCCTTGGGACATGCCTTGAGCGCCCTCGGTTTGGTTCGCGTGGGGTATGATCGGAAGGTGAACCATGCGAGTGTTCGGAGTTTTCCCGTGAGAGTTCCGGGAACCCATGGCTTCGTCTCCTATTTGGAGGTGGCCCCATTCGAGGCCCGATATCAATCGGCGGACGATCCTCATCAGCACCCTCGGCATTATGCTCTGGACTCGTGCTCCTATCGGTTTCATTTTCACCGACAGTATCCGAGGCATCATCATCTCTAAAGACACTTGATGCTGAGGATGCACTTTGAGTCGAGGGTGATTGCCCCTGCATTGAGGTAGGCGATCGACGAGATGCCTCTTCCATTGATCTGCGGATACTTTCTGCGGTAACAGTGGGGGAGTCGGAATCCAGGAAGTTAAGAGCGTTAGGTTGTTTCGTGGGAAATCTCTTTCGTCTAGCCGTTGCTTTCCCTGCGGCCTCCCTATCAAGGAAAGGCCTTTCTGTGGCTGTTGAGGCGCCCTCTCCCGAGCTATTTGATCCACGTGAACTCGGAGCGACAGTCGCTAAGCTCGTGGATGCAACGGATGGAGAATTCAAACGATTGAATGATTCATTCTCAGGACCAACATCTAGGCGGCCGTTTTCTTGGGTAGGCGGACCAGCCCCTGATTGAACGTCACGTCCAATCTCTTCACGCAAGGAAGATGGTCTTATGCCAGGGCTGTCAGGGCCAAGCATAGGATCAGATGCCTTCAAGACGCTGGAAAATCTTCTATGTGGTTTGTTTAAATTGTTGGGACCAAATCTCGAATGTGGCTCCCAATGGTTCGTTTCCGTATTACGTCTCGGTAAACTCATTCTCCTCGAGATTAAGGGGTATGGAAAATTCGGGAGGGGAATTTCCTGCTGGATATGATCCTGATTGTCAGCCATTTCGTGCTCGGCGGCTTCCCCAGGGACGCCTCGATCGACCGTAGCCGGAACGGACAGGGAGCGATGATGTCTTGGAAGCGACATCAGAGGGAATTAGGCGCTAGCCCTTGAATATTTTTCAATAAAATAGTCTTTTTAAATTTGAAAGAATAAGAGATGAAAGAGGCGAACACAGCGTAAGACACGCGTACCTCACAAAGTTGGACTGCAAGTAGCTGTCCATGAAGACTACGAACGACGTATGTATATGCTAATTAGTTTGTCGACTTGGCCAACGGAGGGACGAAGGAACAACTGATATCCCAGGATGGATATTCGCCAAAAGAGGAATTGAATTAGTAGGCTATCTTAAAATGCTATAAAATGGTTATTTGAGGGACATGTGGCTAATGGAGACGGATTGACGATATAGTACACGGGGCGCGACGACGATGGAGGAACATGGTAGGCTAGGCTCGTTATTTTTTGCGACGACAACAGATGGTCCACGAACTACGTGAAGGTATGTGGTTCTATGTGGTCCTATAGAGGGTCGGAATGGATATTAATAAGAAAAGCTAAGGAGGGGACGGAGTTTTACAGGATAGTTAAGAGGATATAAAAGGCTGGGTGTCCGAAAAAAGGACCATGTTCGATCATCATGGCGTCCGGTTGGTGCTCAGTTAATGCTAAGTTGATCAGCCGACACGGGATTGGTATTCCCAAACGATAAGGAGGAGTTCCCCAATACCAATGGGCCGCATGTGAGTGTCCAGATATCACACGAGAGATGATTGGTTGGTTTATGAAGGTGTGTTTGAGTGACGTGAGTGAAAATCTGAAATCTGATGGTGATGGATGCCACATGGCGTGCGTGCGTATGGTGATGAGCCTGCAGCTCCCGGTCTCTTTTCATTTCAATTTTCAATTCGAAACCAATATCCAACTTTTATTACGTGATTTACGTGCTTCAATATGTTTCCAAATTAGGATGTTGTTGCTTGCCGAAGTTATTTCTAGTTTCCAAATAAGGAGTGAAGAGGAAGAAGTTGAAGATCGGAAGGGTCAGAAGATAAAAAAGAGACGAATGTGATGATGAGCAGGGATGAACGGGCGCAGTTTCCAGCTGTTCCAGGTACATGAAGTACCCATAAAATCCGATTTAGTGGTTCTATGGGTGGGGCATTCCCGGTTTTTAGAGTTGAACCACTAAACGTCATAAGCGCTAGAACCACTAAATCTCAATCTTCTTTAGGTGCTTATCCGACGTGTTAGCAAACCCACTTTAGAGCTTCTTGAGCTTTTTCACCCGCAATACAATCTCTACGGTCGCATGCTAACCACACACATTCCAATACCATTCGGTATGCCCCGACTTAAACTTGCTGCCCTGAGCAGATATTTGCTTAAGGGCCAATTTCATACACGAGGCTGTTTAATATCCCGAGTACGAACATGTCCTACCGTCGCTCGAACTCCTGTCCAACAATTGACTTCAACATGGCCGTACCAAACTCGAGCCGCACATACCGACACTACCTCTTCTCTACCCAATAATGCGCCATCTCCAATTCATGTTCCTCTAAGAAAACAACTGAAAGATGAGGCAAAGAAACAGAAGGCCCTTGGAAAGAAGAAGAAGAAGAATGTGAATAACCAAGTAGTAGATGGCTGGGAGCTCACCGTGGGAATCGAGATACATGCCCAATTAAATACTGCGAAGAAACTATTCTCGCCAGCTGTCACTTCCTTCAACGATGACCCAAACTCCCATGTCGCTTATTTCGATCTAGCTATACCGGGTAGTCAACCCCTCTTCCAACAAGAAACTCTCATCCCGGCCTTGAGAGCTGCTTTGGCGCTCAACTGCGAAGTGCAAAATGTAAGCAGATTCGATAGGAAACATTACTTCCACTGGGATCAACCATCCGGCTATCAGATTACGCAATACTATGAACCATTCGCACGAGATGGTAGAATTACATTGCAAGCTAGGGATGGTATTGCCGCGGAAGATGGGGATGGTATTTCAGTTGGGATCAAGCAAATCCAAATGGAACAAGATACGGCCAAGACTCTGGCACAACCTGGTGAGTTACACTGGGTCGATTTCAATCGTGTTGGCGTACCCCTGATCGAAATCATCACTCTTCCTGATATCCATCACCCGGCTACTGCTGCCGCTCTGGTCAGAAAAGTTCAAATTCTACTAAATGCTGTCGATGCGTGTGTCTCTGGTATGGAAGCCGGTGGTCTGCGGGCGGATATCAATGTATCGGTTCGACGAAGCGATGATCCTTCTGCTCCGCTTGGCCAGCGCACTGAGATAAAAAACTTAAGCAGTTTCAAAGCCGTCGAGGATGCTATCATTGCTGAAAGAGACAGACAAATTTCCGTGCTCGAGTCCGGCGGGAAAATAGAAAGTGAAACTCGCGGATGGTCAATTGGGTCAACTGAGACTCGCCGATTACGTGGGAAAGAAGGTGAAGTTGACTACAGATATATGCCGGACCCCGACCTCGCTCCTGTGATCATCGGCGATGACCTAGTTAGCCATCTTCGCGAGGGTATGGGCGAACTTCCCGATGCCGAAGTCGATGAGTTGATCCAGCGGTTCGGACTTACTCCGAAAGACGCACTCTCCCTAGTAGCGCTTGACGATGGCAACCGAATTGAGTATTTCTGGAACGTCGTCGATCTTCTCTCCAAACGGTTTGGATCAGATGCATATTCGCTCGAGTACTTACGAGGTTATCAACTTGCTGCCAATTGGATACTGCATGAATTGGGCCGTCTTACATCGGATCGTATTGAAGACGCTGCTCAAGATTTAGGATTCACCGAGGATGGCCAATGCCATCGCGTACCTGTCAGACATCTTACCGATATCCTTTTCTATTTACATCAACGAAAAATCACGGCAAAGGTTGCGAAAGAGCTACTATGGGCTGTATTTCGTCGACGAATTCCCGACGAATACGCTACGATGGATGCAGTCCTCGATGAAGAAAACCTATGGTTTGATGAACTTAACGAAGATGAATACGTCGAACTCGCACACGCTGCGGCAGAGGGACAAGAAGACGTTCTAAATCAGTTTGTAGATTACAAGCAATATCCCCAAGGGAAGTTGATGTTCTTGGTTGGTCGAATGATCCGACTCGGCGCCGAGGAGAGAATAGACCCCAAAGAAGCCGAGAGGATCATGAAGCGAGTGATAGAAGAGCGATTAGTCCCAGCCATCAGAAGTGGAAGCCAAGCTTGATCTTACTATATAAATACTTAGATATATAGATCTACAATAAGATACCCCAATATCATTTAGAGTCATATTTCCGGATTGAAGGCCGATGAACTACATTTATATGAGTCACGCAATCTTGGCGAGCCGAGCACGACATCAACAACGTCGCATAAATAGTAAAGCTACTTTACTTCAACTAACCTTCAAAACTTACTAATTATCAGATATTCACTTCAAATCTCACACAATGGCATCTCCAACTACTCCGCTCGTCGATCACATCGTGATCCTAATCCCCCATTCCTTCCTCTCAGCCCCGCCCTCTTGGTTCGCGGACTTGTTCCACTTCTACCCCGGCGGGAAACACTCCGACGGACTGACAGAGAATACACTCGCACTCCTAGCCGATGGCTCGTATCTAGAGTTCATCGCCTTCGTACCCGGCGTTGACCCCGCAAAACGTGCCGCACACCAATGGGGCGCTAAGAAAGAAGGTACAGTGGTAGACTGGGCCGTCACTCTACCATCCTCCCCCGAAGACCAAGAAAACCAAACCGAGGCACAAGACGGAGAGACCAAGGAACTAAAACAAGAAAAAACCTTCCGCGAGATCCAGAAGAAAGTCCAAGACGCGCACACCGGTATCATATACGGAGATTTACGACGTGGCGGGAGGACTAGACCCGATGGCACGGTGTTAAAATGGGCCGTTGCGTTTCCGAAGCACGAGGGTGACGGAAGTCCGGTTGAGCCCGGGACTGTGCCGTTTTGGTGTCTGGATGTTACGCCCCGATATCTAAGGGTTCCGTACAGGGAAGAGGGGACTACGAAACATCCTACTGGTATTGTGGGTGTTGCGAAAGTCGAGGTTTTGCCTGGGGATGCGAAGGCGGTTGGGAGTGCTCGTGGTGTGTATGATGTGCTGTTAGATAAGAAGGATTCGGAGGGCTCGTGGGAGCTTGGGAGCTTGGATGGTGAGAAGGTACATTCTGGAGGTGAAGTCCGGTTGGGCTCGTCAGATGGCTCGTCTAGAGTTGAGATCTCGTTCTTTACGGATGATGAGAGCTTGGTGGGTAAGACGGTGGGTGGAAAGGTTGATGATGAGCATACTCTTACGTTCCACTTGGTGGCTGCATCCAAATGAAGTGAGTAGTAGGAAAGTCTCTCTGAGGGAAGGTTACTATTTGCATATTAAAGATGCCTCGGGAGCAATGAATGATGGTCCATGAGTTACTTTAACAAGTTCCATTTATCGCTCAGTAGCTCAATCAAAAGCTGTTACTGTTGCCCTTGACTCAATTGTGTTTACTGTGTAATTCTTTAATGTTGACTATACCGATGACCTAACCTCGAGACTATACAATTCTTTACGGAATAATTAAAAGATTATCTAACTCTATTCTGATAAATAGACATATAGACAGTGTATATGATTGCCCTCTTGATTACCTATATCGTAAATTTACACAACATGAATAATCAAGATAGAGCATGACTCTATTTTTCATTAGCATTGGCTTCGGCGTGGTGATTCGGTGATGATGCGAAAGCCCAACCATCCCTTTGTCGCAGGAAGTTTTCGACCCTCTCATGTCTATTGAGGAATGCTTTCTCGTTTTGCCGCTTCCTCATGCCCTCACTAATAGCCATACTATGTTCATCCCTCATTTCCACGAGATTTGTCGTAGTCGAGGTTGCTCGCCTTGCCTGGCCAAAACTACCAATGACTACGAATACGCACAATACACTGGCGAATAGTTGATTCGACATGAACACCGGCCTTTGGTTTTCTTTCTTGGTACCGTCCCTTTCATCGTACCAGCGTTCCCAGTCTTCCCAGGTGGCGTTCATGCTCGGATTTCCCGGGACGTCCCTCCAGGACCTGTCGGCGGTCCGATAGAGGTTTTCCATGCTTCGTGTTGCTCCCCACCCTGCTCCATATAAATCATAGGCCCGGCGCTTTGTTGGGTCACTAAGGATTTCGTTCGCGGCGACAATAAGGCGATATCGTTCGAGCCTAGCTGTATGCGACAACAGGTGACCGGGTGTGTGATGGTGTCGATCTGGGTGATAGATCTTTACGAGTTCGTAGAATTTAGCCTTACTATAAGGTGCGCTCCTTCGTTGGTTGAATATCTCGTAGGGTGTGGGATGTTGCGAGGAAGGCCAAGCATGTTCTTTAGAAGAGTCGGTTGACTTCTTCGAGTCATCCGAAACGGTAGCATAGCATCGCTGCTGGGAGGAGATGCGAATGCTCTCTCGACATTGTGGCCCTTTTTTGTTAGGATTACATGATGACGTAGAGTAACAGGCGTTTGGTGAAGAAAGAAAAGCAGCTAGGTTAGAGCTGGAGCAAAGCGCGACAGTTGACTTCTTGAAGATCATAGTCTACTGGAGAAGGACATTGCTCGTGAAGCCCATCAGCGAAGGCTTCATGGCGAATAGGTAAAAAAACCAATGGGGGTATGGGTTGTTATTATAACAATCTGTCGAATGTTATACTGAAGGGAATGAATTGGTATAGGGACATGCGATGGTTTGCTTTTTTGGAGAAGAGGACCTGGATGGGTGAGAAAGATAGAGTTAATGGCGTTGTACCTACGTTTGAAATGGCTCAAACCCGCTCAATCCGTTGACCGATTAGCTGATGCGGGTATGTATTTCTAACGGTTGCAGGCGTTTTATCCGCTATAAGGTTAGCGCTAGTAGCCCTGGAAGTCATCATTTGACGCCGTCATAGGTACAAGACCTAGGTACATGTGCCTCCTATCTGCCAGGTGTGAACCGAACCGGGTTAGCACTTGCCTTTGCCGACATCCGTATGGGTTGCACTTGCATCATAGGTACAAAGGTGGGGTTAACGGGTAACGTACCTCCTTACATTGAACGGCCAAACACTTAATTTCCTCAATTTTTTTCAATGTACCTCAATAAATAAGGTACTTAGGAAGTTACATACATGTACGTTCCTACCTGTAACTGTAGGCTTCAGCCTCAAATCGCGGGGTTGTCCAACATGATAGGTCATGGTTAGGTCCTGGTTGGCTGCGACTTCCCTTCTTAGCTTAATATCGGGTCAAAGCCGGACCGGCATCTGTGGCTCGTGCATGGAGATCCTTGAATGCCTAGGATAATAGCAGCTAATACAGCTTCTTTTCTTGGCTTGGTCCATTGAAAAAACAATTTATGGTGGAACACATCCGATCAGACCAAAAATCAGCTGGAGATCAATAGAATCAATCAATAACTTCATTCTTTCCTACCGACATAGACCGAACCATTCCATACGGCTCCTTCTTTCTCATCCCTAACTCTCGCAACCCTCCCTCACTTTGCACGATTCCATGAATAAAAATCAAGTGCATCGCAATCTTACACACGCACAAGGAACAGCAACAATAACAAACGATCTTCCTCTTGAAATTCCTTTTTAGAGTCTTAAAGGAATTGAATCTCACCCCAAAGAAAAAAAAACATTTCCCTCGCGAAGATACCCATCCCCGACGACTACAACTACGACCACCTCATCCTCCTCAGTAAAGGCAAACAGTTTCGATTCCCCTCGCATATCTTACTCATCAGCGACCATATACCGAACCCGAATCCGCAACTCTCGTCCTCCCCCACGCCCGTCAATTCATCTCACTCCGCACTCCGTCTAGAACCGGAGGATTCTTCCGAATCGGGTCTTGCTCTGCACACCGTAGGTGTTTCAAGCATTGCCTTTATATCCACCATAATTCCTCCGATACAACCCTTTTCTTTCCTCGCTGCAGGAATCATCATCATTCGGTAAAGGTACGTTAATGCTCAATTGTATGCATATGTGTGACGATCTCTATTGGAATTAATGTGCTCAACTTCCCCCGAAACTATTCGTACTATCTGATCTAGGTCTTGCTTCGAGGCCTCCTATTGTTGCCTGTTGCCCGCTGCCTAGTTTCATAGCCGAGCGTGTTTCAATATTTACAAGATATTTATCTTCTTGAATATTATCGTTTATGCTTGTAATCTGTCTCTATTGATCTCGAAGCTGACAACGTCGACTATCTTAGCGCCATTGACTCCATTGGCATACCCACAACTTGGCGATTTAAGAAGAACCAATCCACTTCCGATTTTTACTCCATCCACTTGACGGACGCACGCACAAACAAGCTCTCAGCGTGCCAGCAAAGAGCAACCAAGCCTGGTTTTATCTCCACCCCGAACAACGAAACAAATACGCACATGATACTCTGCTCTCTTTAGAGCCTCTCCTCTCTTGAACCCTTCACCACGTTTCTCCCACAACCGCATTCTTCTCGCGTGATACCCCCCGGCGGTGCATAAAATACGCAGACTTGATCATTGCTCTGTAAAATTCCCGAAATTCTAGAACCCGAATCAACGAAACCTTTCCCGCAGCTAATCGCGGAATTTCGCTATCAAAATGACGGACGCTTTAGCAGCACAACTTCGGGCATCGACCCTGAATGATGCTTCCAAAAACGAAGACTGGAAAAAGTCCTTGAACATCCCTACTCGCGATAGTAGACAACAAACAGAGGTCCGTATTCATAATAGGGGAGCGCAAGAGGCAAGCTAATAATTATCTATAGGATGTCACAAACACAAAAGGATTAGAATGGGAGGATTTCAACTTGAAGCGCGACCTACTAATGGGCATATTCGAAGCTGGCTTTGAGAAACCCTCTCCCATCCAAGAAGAATCTATTCCGGTAGCCCTAACAGGACGAGATATCCTAGCACGAGCAAAGAATGGTACCGGAAAAACTGCAGCTTTCGTCGTACCCGCGCTAGAACGGATCAACCCAAAAGTCAACAAGATCCAATGCTTAATACTAGTACCGACGAGAGAACTTGCTATGCAGACATCTCAAGTCTGCAAGACCCTCGGCAAGCACCTTGGAATAAACGTCATGGTCACCACTGGAGGTACCACCCTCCGCGATGATATCGTCCGTCTACAGGACCCTGTCCACATAGTAGTGGGCACCCCCGGTCGTATCCTCGATTTAGCTGGCAAGAGCGTTGCCGACCTTAGCGAATGCCCCATGTTTATCATGGATGAGGCTGACAAGTTGCTTTCTATCGAGTTCACTCCCGTTATCGAGCAGTTGCTACAATTCCACCCTAAGGATCGCCAGATTATGCTCTTCTCAGCTACGTTCCCCCTATCGGTGAAGGACTTTTCGGACAAGAACATGGACAGGCCTTACGAAATCAACCTAATGGACGAGCTTACTCTACGTGGTATCACCCAATACTACGCCTTTGTCGAAGAGAAGCAAAAGGTTCATTGCTTGAACACTTTGTTCTCTAAGCTCCAGATCAACCAGTCCATTATCTTCTGTAACTCGACCAATCGTGTGGAACTGCTAGCCAAAAAGATAACAGAGCTTGGCTACTCATGCTTCTACAGCCACGCGAAGATGGCACAGCATGCCCGAAACCGTGTGTTCCACGACTTCCGGAACGGTGTCTGTCGTAACCTTGTTTGTTCTGATCTTCTTACACGTGGTATCGATATTCAAGCCGTCAACGTCGTCATCAACTTCGACTTCCCCAAGAACGCCGAAACCTATCTTCACCGTATTGGCCGTTCCGGACGATACGGCCATCTTGGTCTGGCTATTAACCTCATCAACTGGGACGATCGGTTCAATCTATATAATATCGAGAAAGACCTTGGCACGGAGATTCAACCAATCCCTGCTACCATCGATAAGAGCCTCTACGTTTATGAGAACCCCGAAAGCATCCCTCGTCCGGTTAACACGTACGCCGCGAGACCACCGAATGCCACGACTCAACCCCAGTTTAACGACCCTCCTTCGCAACAGCAGGCAAACAACTTCCCGCCTACCCAGAACAGACAGGGCAACCAGGGTGGTCGTGGCGGTCACTACAATGACTCGCAACCTCCTCAATACCAATCCAACCGTGGAACTGGCCGTGGTGGACGAGGCGGCAACCGTGGCCGGGGTGGGCGCGGTTACAACAACTATGGTCGCGGCGGCGGTCGTGGCCAGAGTCAACCACCCCAATAAATACCGAAACTACTAAATTACTCCGATACTTACGCAAATCCCGTACCATAGACAAAGTACCAAAAATTAAGGCTAGCGGGGGCCGTTAGTTTTTCATCCTATTTGCGTTGTACATATTTCTCCTGGATTCTTTATTGCGATTTGTAACATACCCTTTACGGTTTCGTTGGTTCCGTTGGTTTCCAAATCGTTTCTCGATCTCATGAAGGCGATTCTTCCAGTATTCAACGACATGAGATCGAATCAATTTACATTTGGACGAAGTCGGAACAGGCAAAATACGGCGTTGGGCGTTTCTTTTCTCCACCTAGACGAGGGTGGTCGGCTTTCGGCGAGGTTTAAGGCAGCATGGACGGTGTGTACCTGATGACGAGGAATGATTGCGAAGAGGAGCTACATTACGTTGATGGTTATCGGTGTACCGTCATTCTCGATACACATTTTCTCCCGACTACTCACTCATCTCTACCATCGATTTTTCTCATCTAAACCTCGGCAATTGTTGGGGAGATCCACTACATAATCCCCTACTCGAGAACAGCAGGCCTCAGGGCAACGGAAAGCATCTGCCTAGACCCTAGGCTATTCTACCTATAAAACTTCTACTGCACTGCATCGATTCGACCGCAGGAGCATCGACACTCTCAGCCATAGTGTCATCATATTCAACTACAGAAAGCAAAAATTTCAATCCGAACTAGGGTTCGCCTGTTTACGAATAGACAACCCAATGTACCTTGTCACGAAAAACATAGATATTTGAAGGATGAAGGAGGGCCCTATAATTGCAACATCAGTATTACCGTGGATACGAATTGTCACAGATCTTCGTCGATGCTTGACCCATGCCCACTACCCAATACATCAGGCAGCCGATGAATCAACACAACACCCACGGATACCTCTGCAATGAACTATCATCTTTGGACCCCCGTTTACCTTGTAATAGCCTTGATTTCCGAGGGCTGTTAGCTTGCGAAAGTAAGGGTAATGGGTGGAGGAGGAATAAGAAAACAAAAAACATAAAAAATACTTTGGGGGGAAACGCTGGATGAACTGGAAGACTTTCGAGCTGGTTATGTTCCCTAGGGAAGATAGAACTGGCGAGTTAGATAGTTTACTGAGCAGATTGTGGTGGCTTTTGGTCACCATTTTCCTTTCATTCAATATCTTGCTATGAATTGTGATTGAAGTGATATCCCACGTAAACCCAACTCATGGTTTCTCAAAGTTGTGATATGATCCAATGTCTACACCCTAAATTACAAGATACATCACTTTCAAGAACTCATAATAGATAGAGCCTTTGTGATATATCCAGAGAATTTGGGGCAAAACTTGTACTCTTACGTTGTAAGAGTAGAAGCGGTGTTGATCTTCGGACGGAATGAGAGCCAGATGACACGGTGAATGTCGAAAAAGCCCAATTTAATATCCGATTTGCTTGACAGGTAGATAGATGTCTAAGTAGGGATGTGTAGTACATCCATGGATCATCCTTACATACTCGATACCGGGTGCTTGCACGGCGGGTACGCACATCAGTTAAACTAATGGCGAATTAGAGTGAGCTGATGATGTCATGTCACACGAATTACTACTTCTGATTCTGATGATTTCAATATTAGCGATGAAATAAAACAGTTCACTTGAACCGATTTCCAAAATACTAGCTGGCGCGAACTGTTTTGTAGTCATTATCTGTATCAGTCAAGATGGCTCTGATGCTCGTCTGTTGATAACGAAAGGAAGAGAAGTTCGAATTCGAGAAAACAGCGGGAATTTTTACAGCGGGCGGTAGCGTGACACGGACCAATCAGATAAGAAATAATGGGAAATGTTTCGGCTGCGGTCACGCCTTGGCGTTTAATATACCCAATCAGAACCTTAGCATGGGTCCCACCGCGTATCGGGGTTTACTTTCTTATTTAAGACAAGGTCTCTTATAAAAATTAATTTTTCATATAATTATCCTTTTGTAAACTCAAGGCATAAAACATCAATTCCTTATCTCTTATTAAGAATTTCCTAAAAAGGGACCAAACAGATCTTCTGAAAATGGGGTTGAAAGAAAACGACACAATAACCTGAGAAATCTCAGGCACTTGTTAAGGATCTAGTTTCCTCGCGTCGCGTCCGTCGCGTTCCCCTTTCCAGTATGTAGTATGTAGGTAGTTTCTCATTACTCCAACTTCAAGACATCCTATTCTTCACTTCTCCCTTATATCCTACACTCTATCTATCCTCACCTACCACCATGGCCAATCAGGAATGGTCAAAACTCATTAGAGAACATCCCATCAGAAATGGTCTCGATACCTGCTACAATTCATTAAAGATATTTTATGAGACTAAAGGAATCTCCTATTCAGCAGAAACCTTAACACAGCTTAACAGCGAAGGTAAATAGTGCAATATTATGGCGATATACTTTCTTAATGATCATTTAGATCTCCAAAATGTCATTCTTGATCTTCTCTTAGCGCTGCAACAGCTTAGAGTGTCTCGTTTGCTCCGGTCCGGTAACAAGACTCTATTAGCCAATCTTTTCACCCTTGCTTCAGTCGTTGCCTCGGGTAACTTCGACTTCAACCACGTCAAGCTTCTAGTTACAGCAGTTATCACTAAGAAACCCGACGAAGAGATTTGGGCCCAAGTCTATCATGCTGTTACCATGGGCAGCCTCGTAAATTCTTCGGAACGTCGTGTCGATACCGATCCCGTGCTGAAGGAGGAGCTCGAGCAGACGTACGTTGATGTTCCAAGGTTCCACGACGCTTTCTTCGAAAAGATTCCACACCTAGAAAGCACATCCCAAGCCATCTTGGAAAGATGCTACGAGGGACCAAACCCATGGTTTCGTGAAGGATGGACGGGATGGCCGACCACTTCCAACCAGGGCCCCATCCTGAGCTGACTTGGGAAAATAATGCAACAATTCATATTATGGACTCCAAATCATAAATTATTAACGCCGAAATAAATGCTAATAACTGAGCCAAACAAGCCGATCAAAGATTCAACGGCAGCATGTAAGTTAGATGTTGGTATCGTAACCCTTTTCAAGGCACTATTACATTGGTCTCAGGTTCTCATCCCCGGGGAACTGAAAAGCAATTCAAAGAACGACTGCCAAACCGGCGCGTGGTTTGACATCGGGAAATACGTGAGGGAGGTATTTGCTACGCAAGATATTAGATGCTTTGTTTTGGTTTTTACTCTTTGCGGATCTCTTATGTGTGTGTGGGAGTTTGATTGCTTTGGTGGAATTGCCTTGATGCAGTTCGATATTAATAAAGATGGGTTACGGTTCGTGTCGACGATGTTCGGCTTTTTGTGGATGGACGAGAAGGACTTGGGATTCGACCTAACCTTTATTCCGTTCAATGACGGAAGGTGTATTGAGATTATCCGGAACGGAATACCGGAATGTATCGTAATTAACAAGTTTATGGGACGGTTGTCTTGTATCGTAGGCCAGGTTACCACATGTTGGAAGGCTTACCCAGAAGGGGATCTGTCTACGATATTTATAATCAAAGATTCGTAGCAATTCCCCGAATGGGAAGTGGAGGGAGAGTTGTTGTGCGAGGCAACTGAGAAGGGTGTTTGTAATGTCGCCTGGTACTATTATTATGAGATTATCTATATTGATGATAATGTCGATAATATCTAACTTAGCATCCAAAAAGAATTGGACATTATCAAAGCCTTTAATTATAAGGTGTAGGGTTTGCATATGCTTCGTACGTCCCAGATTTCCTAGGGCAGTAAGAGGTTATTTAGCTAAACTGGCGCGCCTCTGCCATCAAGTAAGTGATCCCGTTTGGAATCTTTGGTGAAAAGAGACTTAGCCTATCTTAGTTTATTGTCGAATCGTATCTATCGACGTATTATTGTTTGTAACTATGGGCAAAACATTTATAAAGTTAGTTTGTGTGTGGCCCTCTTTGCTGTATTTGAGAGCTGCATACAAGGACATAAGTTATTACTTAAGGCCGGCATCTTCCATAGAGATATATTAATCAACAATATTATGATTAATGAGGATGGTAGCAGCCCTTTAGGATTTTTGATTGATCTCAACCTTGCTATCAAAGTATAGCGAGAGGGTGATTTGGGCACGAAGGGAAAGACCGGTATAAGGGCTTTTATGGCGATTGGGGTGCTTAGAGGTCGTCAGCATTTTTTTGAGCATGACCTCGAGTCTTTCTTCTGGGTGTTATTCTGGATATGTGTATATTATAATGGTTTGAATGAGGAAAGATCCGTTCCTGAATTTGACAAGTGGAATGTCGTTGGTATGAGTGAATTAGCAAGATTGAAATCAGGTACTATTTTAGATGAAGACTTATTTATCGAAACACTTATTCAATACTGCACACCTTATTATAAACCTTTGATATCCTAGGTTAATAGATTATGAAAGGTAATATTTAATAAGTAAGGGATAGATAAGATATTATATTCTTATATATAAGAGGTCCTTTACGACGCTCAAAAAGACAAGAAGGTACTAACTAAGTAATGCGGCAAGTAATTAATGTTCATAGGTATAATCATTTCCTATTTATCCATCATTCCATAGTAACGCACACTAGCACTAAGAACCTGATTATGCATTATGTCTCGTCCTCTTCGAATTTCATCGCCAATAGGTAGAAAGAGAAAGAATTAAGCGATATAATTAACCAGAATGCCTTGCCCAGTCATCAAATCGCCTTGGTTCCTAATGTACCATACACGGACACGAACTCATCCCAGGGTATTCCGTTCTCCTTCCACGATAACATCACTTCTCGTCAGGCTTCATGTCCTGCTTCGTGCGGGCATTGATCAGCATTATTTTCAACTCCTTAAATGTATGGGCCAGCCGCATATATGTGATGAAGGCGGAGGAGGGCAAATCCGCGAGAACAATCATATGGCAGATGTTGGTTCCGTCTCAGGGACCGGGGTCGTCTGCTGTGGGTACCTGTATTCGGTGCGAAACCATCTCGTCTACCAACTTGCGAATTAAATTTTTATAATTTTATTTATTTATTTAATTTTTTTAAAAAAAAAATTTTTATAAAAAAATTTTAAATTAAATATAATATATGTATTTAACATATATTATATCAATATATTATATAATTTTTTACAAAATTTAACATGGTTAACGTTTCGGCCGATTCCCGTTTACGGTCCGCTTTAATGGGGCATATTAACTGAGTTTAGGTGTCGAATCCAGGCCTATGAGAGCCTAAGCTGCTGTCAGCTATAGGTACGGTACGCCCTATCTTAATGAGCCTTATTAGCAGTACGGCACAGTCAATTCATAAAATAAACATGCTGACTATGCCCATTTTGGAGTATCTGTGTTACCTGAATTCATTTAATTTTAACGATAAAAGAAACACTCGTCGTAATAAATCAAATTTTAGAAACTTATCATCATTTTCACTAAAGTGGAAGTGAAGTAGAGGATGGGTTCATTTTTATCAAAGAACGAGTTCCCGGTTGATGGGCGGGTATGTTCTTTTCCAACCACCCCTTTTTTACGTATACCCTCACCGCATTTACAGTACACTAACAATTCCACCAGACCGTTCTTATCACCGGTGGCTCTTCTGGCCTTGGCTTAGGTGCGGCCCGTCAGTTGGCCGAGAAGGGAGCTAACGTCATCATCGTCGGCCGTAATGAGAGCAAGTTGCAGAAAGCCTTGACTCATATCAAGGTATGTAACGTACCTAGGTAGGTACAATAGGTACACATCACACCGACATGATGCCTATCTACCTACCCAAGTATTCTACACCGAGTCGGAGTGTCGGGTAACTAATTCTTCGCACAGGAAGGAGCCCAATCACTTGATACTCAGCGCTTCTTCTACAGTGTTGCGGATGTGACTAAGCCCCTCGAATGCCAGAGGGTAGTCTCTGAATCAAAACTCTGGAATCATGGTGCCCCGCCGGATGTGGTCTGGTGTTGCGCGGGTAGCGCCCATCCCAGCCTATTCATCGACACGCCACTTGACCAATTCCAGACCATGCTCGACAGCAACTACTTATCGTGCGTGTACATGGCGCACGCCACACTAAACCAGTGGCTACGTCCCGCATCCGAGAGCGCACAGTCTACAGCGGGGGAGACCATCGAAAAGAAAACGAGGGATTTACGTCCCCGCCACCTCATATTCACGGGGTCCTTCGTCTCCTTTTATAGCTTCGCGGGTTTCGTCCCATACTCGCCGTCCAAAGCGGCCGTGCGCGCCCTCGGCGACGCACTGTCCCAGGAGATGAATCTGTACTCCTCCTCATCGACTCACCCCGCAGTTCGCGTGCATACCGTGTTCCCGGCAACGATGCCGACGAGTGGACTCGACGATGAAAACGCGGTTAAGACGGATTTGACAAAGGCGTTGGAAGAGGGAGATCAAATCCTGTCGCCCGAGGAATGCGCGCGGCGGGCTATTGCCGGGCTGGAGAGTGGTCAGGAATTGGTGCCTACTAGCACCATCATCCGGTTAGTCATGGCGAGTGTTCTGGGGGGCAGTGTGAGAGGTGGATTCTGGACAGGGCTGGTGAACACGGTGCTAGGTTGGATTACGGCTGTCGTGATGATATTCATACGGTGGGATATGGATTCCAAAGTCGCCAAGTGGGGACGAGAACATGGGTTCAGCGGCATGAAAAAGAAGGATTAATGGTTTTAGGTGTTGGTGGTTGGCAGTTTGAGAAGGATGGAGAGAAAGTGGATTCTTTTTGACGCGGGGAGTCTGGGAAGACTGGACTGACCGCCTTGAATAACGAGACGAGAGAGGCTGGGCTACCTAAGGCATTGATTGTATTTTCTGCTTCGTTGATGAACGGACCACATATTCGCATAATCCACCGAGGAGTCATCTGGACCCTTAACATTTCTACAGGCGCGATACCCTCGGTTCAGAGATTTACTCTACGATACAATACATCTCGGATGACGTACGCGATCAGAATATCGTGGTGCCTGAATTCCTATCAAATTCGATTGGGTAAGATCGCCAAGGAAATATTCACATGCTTTATGCAGAGGGAACTGGGCTGCTTTAATAATCATCCTAGGCTTGCTAGGTAGCCGTTTTAATTCGTGGCACAGACTACACGATTCTACATATCCTCATTGGCGGTGAGAGGAACAAATGGACCACTAAAAACGGATACAGCCGCTCTCGTAGGGCTGTTGGGTAGCTTTTGGGATTCTACCTCACCAGCCTCACGCGACATCTAACTGGTGATGCTAGATAGCCGGGGAAGCAATACAACCCCTATTCAATTTTACGTGCTAACAATAGAGACCCAGACTGATCCATACATGGAACCTCTATGGTACGTTAACAGCAATGCATTTCATAATATATACCGGTTCGGCCCAGTAAAAACGCACGTCCATCGAATCCATTCATGTGATCTTCTATCCACTCATCTCTCACCGTTCTGCAGCTTTGCCTCTCTGCGGCCTCTGCTGGTGTGGATGCCACATCATGGGTCTACTAGTCTTGCTAGGTCTGCTAGTAAGGAGTCCCGTTTCGTGTTCCAATATGCGGCTATTGGGTTTTTCTGCTGCCAGCTCTCAGGCAGCTCTGTTACGGACCCGATATCCGCGTGGCCGTATCAGCGCGGAGCCCCGTCCAAGTGGGCTTGTTGATGGGCTGCGAAGCGACCAATCATAACTCGTATACGCCCATATGCATGCGTTGGTTGTGGAATACACTTCATCAGCCGTGAGGTGGCGCTAGACACATGGCAGGGCCGAGCATAGGCCATACTGACGTACCCACTGACGATATTCCAAAGATACAAAATGAAATGGTCGAGCTATAATATGTCTCGTCGACGGCAGGTCGAAGGAGGAGTCGTGATCCATAGGTATAAGCAAAAAGCAAAAGAAAAACTTACGGGAACGGCACAGATAGGTACGCAACGCAATTCTTGACACGGTTGGATTTGATACTTGTTTTGTTTCTGGTGGTTTTGTTGAGATTTGAGAGAGGAACTGACGATTGATGAATATTCTTGTCTTCGTATAGCTAGCTCTACCTGCATTGCATTACCCTAGGTAATCATGGCCTTCTCGCTCACCTCGAAGCAAGTCGAGCTACGCGGGTCGTGGCTCGTAGCCGCTGTGCGGAAGGGCGATGGCTCGTGGACCGAGGCTCGTCTCGATCTTAACGACTATCTCGGCAACAATGATGGCGCCTTCGATGTTGCGATGAATAAGTGGTACGATAGCGCCCTGGACTGGTCGTGTCACCTTCGAGGTACGGTGCTGTGCGCCCAACTGAGGAATATCGCCGGCGAGTTCGCTTCCGAGACATCCATCAATCTCGATTTGTTCATCAGGAATCGAGACGGTATCCTCGAGTTTCAAAATCTGTGAGTTTCATTGACACCCTCCCATCCCCCGCCTAATGATGACAATTACTAACAAATCCAAGGGGCGACTCCCTGTTCCTCTACACAGCTAGCTTAACCCTCGACAACGCGAAACTACGAGGCCTTGTCGTCGGCCGAGATGGCAAATTCCACACCTCAACGATCGATCTCGACGATTACTACGGCAACATCAACGGTCGGTTCGAGGCGAACGAGAGGCATTTCTCACGATCAGGTCGGAATTTCGGTCTCGAACATGATATCCACGCTCTCCGACTCACCGGCGATGTCATGGACTACGCGGGCGAGCACCACCATTCCGAGATTGATATCAGCGAGTGTGTTGTGAACAGCAAGGGTCATCTAGCCTTCAATAAGCCGTATGTTTATTTCCTTTTCCCGTTTACCCAGTATGGGACTTTGCCAGTTTTGTGAGCACCCCTTGACATGCTTGCATGTCGATTTTATTTGTTCGTCGAGATACAATTGAGGTTTTAGATAGCTGACTATAATATTTGTTTTATAGGGATGAGACGGCAGAAAGGGATCAAGATCACTGGGCGACTACTATCGCCGAGCCAATCCCTCTAGTAGGATCTGCTGTGGCTAGCTTACAACAATCGAGGAAGGAGGATGAAGTTGAGGTTAGTCAATTGCCCTATTATTATTCCCCCTCTAGTATTATTATCACATCACTAACATATGGCGTACATTAGGACCGCTTCTACCGACAAATCGCATCCCAGACAAATTCCGCACACACCACAATCTCAGTCGTCATCGGTGCATTCATCGGACGAGCAGCCAAGAGCCCAATTATCGGGATGGTGATCGGAGCTGGACTCAACAATTCTCCTAACGTATTCACCGACCCAATCACAAATTCCATCGAAGACGCCGAAATCCGAGGTCAAATTCAAGAGCTTAAGCTAGGCATATTCGTCTTGGAGACTCTTCGCGATTTAATCGCAGTCGATGACGCTGTCTCCGCTGCTTCATTACTCACCGCGGCCTTAAATCCCGAGATCGACAATTGGACGAAGGGTTTCTCTGCTTGGCTCGAGAGACAAAGCATAAATCCCCTTCCCGAGTTCTCGTTGCACACGATGCTCAAGAGGTAAGTTCCCTACCACCTTAACCAGACACCACTGAGTATATAAAACTAACATTTCGTAGGGTCTACATCCGCCTCCAAGGCGAATCCGTCGAAGAATGGGACAAGGTACTAGAGCTCCTCACCGACACCCAACAACGGATAGAAACCCTACAGCTCGAGCCTGAGCCCGAGCCTGAGCCTGAGGTTGAACCCACGCCAGAACCGGAACCAGAGCCCTTGGTTTCGGAAGTATCCAAGACTGACGAACCCACGACAGGCGAACTCGCAGCCACCGAAGCAAGCGCAACGTCCCCTCTCACAAACGGTATTCTTCCCAACGGTGATTCTGCCCCCAAACCCGAACAGCAGCAATCCACAACCGACGAGTCTTCCAAGCCCGCCGCCGTCCCCGCCGCTCCCGCCGACGTACCCAATGGGACTACCCCCGCTTCCAAAACCGCGACAACAACAACCAACACCAGCTCCCCCAGCAGCAGCAACCCGAAACTCGCCGCCTCCACCTCCAAGAACGGAAGCACGCGCGGCTCCACGCGCAAAGGGTGGCATAACGTACTTGGCGTTTCGCTATTCCGGGGTTGGTCTAAGCATCGACAGCCGAAGGCTATATGATCAAGGGACGTTTATGTGATCCCAATCTCTCACCTTTGATCTACATACATGCGATAACGACAACGACAAACTTCCGTTCTTACCTACCATTAACACTCGTTTGTTCTTGATTTACCTATGTAAATGGTGTTGAAATGAGATGAAACGGGACAAGACGCGATGCGATGAAAGTGAGGATGAAGTGATTTGATATGAGTACGATTTTGCTCGGGTTTTTCGGTTTTCTGGGAATGGTTATTTGGGATAGGTGTGTGGGTGAATAAGGGGAAAGGGGGTGTAAATATAGTATAACTTCAAAGCATCACAGCATCAAGCATCGAGTATGGCACATTTTTTAGAATAGTCGGTTACGCCCTCACGAGGCAGCAGTAGCAAAGAATGGAATTTCTGGCGAAACTCGTATGGAAAATCGTCTTCATTTGAGGATCGTTATCATTTTGAAGTCTCGATAAAGCGTTTCCCTCTTCTACCTATTGAACATTACGTACACCTCTACGTAGGTCCTTAAACCCAACCATGCCTTCCTCATAGTGCAACATGATTAACCACGATGAAGAAAATCCGCCGGCTAGCTCCAACACGAAACGCCAAAGTCTCCGTAGCGCCGATGCTATGCAGTTGTTAGGTCGTCGAGGACCAAGTAGCATAATGATAACCCCTCAAAACAACGTGAAAGCCGTCTAATCAATCCTCACTTTAACTCCTGGGTTGATATTGTATTTCGTTTTCAACTGGCCATCTGGCCACCACTGAGCTCCCTATGGGCAGAGAATGGCACAAAATAACATAGCGCAGGCCTGAGCGCCGCAACCCATCCCTTCAGACATTGTGTCCTAGAAACTCTTGTGCTGCGTGGTGCTGTTGCGGGCTCCTGGGCGAAGATCCTGTACGTAGAATTCAAGATTATTGGATTCGTAAACGTGACCTGTAGGACGTTGCGCCTTTGTGTAGAGATTGTCTACTGCATGAGGGTGGAAAGTAGTAGTCTGTTTGCATGTGAGAATATGATCCAAGCCTGGAGGATTCGTGAGACGGAATATGCCGTATCTAAAATAATGGTGTTAGCTTCATATAATATTGTTGTAGTACGAACACGAAGATCACTTACGAAGGCTCATAACTTGGAGCACACACAATTGCTATGCTTTCCGGCATCATAACCTGATACCCAGCCTGTGTGTGCAAATCTCTAGAACTCATAAAGCAGGTTTGAGTTGGATGTGTATGAATCCAACCTAGCATGAGGAGATCTTCATTCATGCAATATTCAACCATAGAATTCTCATTCTCTGTCTCACAAGTGTCGGAAGTGCACTTTTGCTCAGGAATCAGCAAACAGCGCACGAACAAAGCGTTGTTAACGGCCGTTCCGCACAGGATGCCGCACATCTCGAGGCCACGTCTGGTATTCTCCGAAGCGATGGACAGGAATCTATGGCGTAACTGGGCTGGTAAAAAGATAGATCGAATTGGTTCACCACTTTCGAGGTATGCCGCCGGTTTAAAGGTAAGACGCTGCTGCTTCTTCGGAGGCGCCGGAGGTTCTTCATGTATCTTTGGAGGTACTGTAGGGAGTTCCTGCGATGCATCGGGTGTAGGGAGCGCCCTTTCCGGGTATATCGGCTCCTTTGCTGGGAGCTCCGGTGTGAAAGTAGGCGGTGGATAATTACTACTATCGTTGTATTCGTAAACTCTTTCTTTCGGCGGGCGCGGGGGTTGAGAAAGGGATTGTGGAGTTGGTGTCCTTCTAGAGTACGACTGTTGAGCTTCGTACAGAACAGGCTGGGATTTGGAGATTGACGGGTATTGGTACGTCGAGTTCCTAGGACTTGTTGTCACCGAAGGAGGTAATTCCTTTCGTCTAACATGGTGTGCCGAGCCATCCAGGTTCCTACTCTGGGACTCATCCAACTTCATTCTTGTAGACTCCATTTTTCTTCGGAAGATCTCTTCATCCTCGGATTGCCTGTCGGCAAGTACTCTCTCCCAGTCATTCCATAGGCCTGCGACACGTCTATCCTGCCCACCGGCCTCTCTGGTAGCTTGCCTAGTCGCATCCCTGCGACGAATCTCCTTTTGAGCTAACTCTACTGCAAGGTCTTGATGGTCGTTCGCATCGAGCAATCGAGTGGAGGATAAAGCGGGATCTCTGGCTGCGCGTTCCTCATACGTTCGAGGCGTCTTGGACCTAGCGCGATCGGCATTCTGTTGTTTCTGGCGAAGCTCTTGTCTTCTAGATTCGGACAGCCATTCATCGTATTCCTTCTGAATCCTCGGTTTAATTCTCTCCAAGTTGATCATAATCTCTTGGAGTGATCGATTTATCTCGGTCAAGGCTTTTCTACCTTCCTGCGTACTAGCGTCGGGGTGCTTAGGGAAGTATTCTACCACCAGGGTCATGTATCGCATATACAGGAGGTACGCTTGGGCGAAGTTGCCGTCGAGAAGGTAGCTTTTACCCTGGGAAGAGAAGATCAGAGGTCAGCGACGGGATTATGGTGTTAGTTCGGCGATGATGGAGTCACTTACCTCTTGGCTTAATGTGTGAGCCGTACGTAGCCAATTCTTCAATGGGATATTCGAGTTCCATTGGAAAGAATTGGCTTGGTCGGCAATCTCCTTTGTGGTTAAAGGGCGATTCATCGCGAGGGATGAGGATGTTGGTGCCATATTCGCATAGCGCTGACCGTCGCCTGTCAGGCTTACACTCCTTGAAGGTATTATAAAATGTAGAACTTCATTCGGCAATCCAGTTACTAGTGAAGGCTCGTGGGTATCATCGCATAATAGAAGAATTAGTTTCTCTGCTGCCTGGAATGAAGCTTGCGTGGCGTGTTTAATAAAAAAAAGAATTAGATGTAAATGTTGGAAGAGAAAGAATCGCGGCGTGACCTCCCGCCGTTAAGCGCTGAATTCAGGTAAGCTTAGGGAAGAGGGACAAGGAGGGGTCCTACCTTAGAATGGAGGGGCACTAGAAATACGCCGAACGTCCGGGATTAGGGGGAACTTTGATTACGTCACGCGCTAAGATAATAGCGCTGTAGTGCTGCAAATACTTAATGCAGGTGTACCTCAGGGTACCTACCTAAGGTACTCCTTTTCATGTAGCTTGAATATCTTCGTATATACATGTGATAATATAGATGCCTATTTCTTTGATAGAAATTAACATTTAAAGATATATTTAAGTATATTTTAGTCTTGCGCCTACTGGATGAATCATAAGTTTAAGGACTTTCAAAGGCTTGTACTTTGGTGATTGGGACCTGCAGTGTTTGGTCTTTCTTTTTGCCCTGATCATGAACAGGGACGACACTCTTTGATTTATATGTCGAACTGCAGTGAGTTTTACACCCCTTTAACCCTTTGCTGCTACCTTTGCCGGTGCACCACCTCCTGTCTGCAATCCTGCTTGAGCTTGGATGATTTCTCCTTTCTTCTTCTCGACCTTTTCTTGGATTTCCTTAATCTGATTTTCTGTTCTCTCACTGCAGGGACATGTCAGCGTTAAATTAGAACATGAAAGGGTAAAAGCATAGGGTCTTACAGCTCCTTGCCAATGAACTCTAGCCGTCCATTGACCGTGCTCTCAGCCTCCACCTTGTCCTGCTTAAGCAATATGGGGCCAACTAATTTGTAGATATTCTCGCCATCCTTCAAACGTTCAAATTCCTATATTTTACGAGTTAGAATCCGGGCTGTTAATGAGGTATATAATCCCTGACTGACTTTTTGAACGTTGGAATTTTCTTGCTTCTGGGCCTCAAGCTTCTGCCGTGACTGGATGGCTGCTTGTAATTCTTGTTGTAATTTGGTGTAATCCTCTGACAGGGCCTGGAGTCGTGCTTGAATTTCCGCCATGACTTTTTTCTACACCCTGCTAGGAGGGGTATAATGTCTGATCGCAACTTCGTCTGTCGGTAGTGAGATGCTGTATATAATGACTTATACACGGAACCTAAGGCACTAGGAGTTGTAGGCTTATTTTAAAAAAGTAGGGATATTTATGAATTATCGAGGTGATATACTTTGGCACTTAGAAAGACAAAAGGTACTTAGAGTGGGATGTGGCTGCTGTAGATTAGTTGAGCATTAGGCAGGTATAGCCTGTGGCTCGAGCGGTAGCCCTGCCAACCAATCGATAAGGCAACGCTAATTCATGACCCCTCCAGGATAACACTTAAATATTCTGTATAAGATACTTGGCATTCCACATAACTTTATAGGGTGGTCAAAGTACCTCCTACCTATTATTTTATCTGATTAAGACGTCGGCGGCAACTGACACTGACGCTCATAGAAGTTGCGGGTTCCAGCCCAGTCTAGCACCAAAGGTTGAACATTATAGTTCACTTACAACTTGCAACTTCCAACTTGTCACCATTATAATTCTGCCATAATCTTAACTTTACTTACTCCCCAACTCCACCCATTATTTTCCTTTCCTCTCCAACATACCCCAATCCCGAATTGGCAACATAAGAAACTTGCTATCCCAACCAACCCAAATAACCAGGCAGACATGTCCAACACCGACTTCCTCGGTCGAGCGATCGAGACCGTCCGTCGCGCCATAGACGCCGACAACGCCAACGAATACGAACGAGCCTATCAACTCTACTACCAATCGCTCGAGCTCTTCATGCTCGCCCTAAAATGGGAGAAGAACCCGAAATCCAAAGAAATGATCCGCCAAAAGACAGGCGAATACATGGACCGAGCCGAGAAATTAAAAGCCCATCTCTCCGACGCCGACGCCAAACGTAAGAAGCCGGGTCTGGTCGGGGCGAACGGGTCATCTACAGGCGGGACGGGGAAGGGGAAGCAGAATGGTGAGGATGGGGGTGTGGATGAGGATAGTAAGAAATTGCGGAATGCTCTCGCTGGTGCTATTTTGCAGGATAGGCCGAATATTAAGTGGGATGATGTTGCTGGGTTGGACGGCGCAAAGGAGGCATTAAAAGAGGCTGTACTGTTGCCCATCAAGTTTCCTCACCTATTCCAAGGGAAACGTCAACCGTGGAAGGGTATCTTGCTCTATGGTCCTCCGGGTACGGGTAAGAGTTATTTGGCAAAGGCTGTGGCTACCGAAGCAAACAGTACCTTTTTCAGTGTGAGCAGTAGTGATTTGGTGAGCAAATGGATGGGTGAAAGTGAAAGGTATGCTTCCAATATTCCCACCTCTCATTTATTGCGTCATATGCTAACTTATGTTTCTCTTCTAGGCTAGTCAAACAACTTTTCGCTATGGCACGAGAAAACAAACCCTCTATCATCTTTATCGACGAAGTCGATGCCCTCTGCGGTCCTCGAGGCGAAGGCGAGTCGGAAGCATCTCGAAGAATTAAAACTGAGATGTTGGTACAAATGGATGGTGTTGGAAAAGACTCAACGGGTGTACTTGTATTGGGCGCAACAAATATCCCATGGCAACTGGACGCTGCTATCCGAAGACGATTCCAACGACGAGTACACATCAGTCTACCTGACGTCAGCGCGAGAACAACTATGTTTAAGCTTGCTGTCGGAGAAACACCAACAACGCTAAAGAGCGAAGACTACCGAGAATTGGCAAAACTTGCTGAGGGTTATTCTGGAAGTGATATTACCATTGCCGTACAAGACGCCCTGATGCAACCTATACGCAAAATTCAACAAGCCACACATTTCAAGGAGGTAAGCTCTTAGCACTCTATTTCAAGTTGTCTCGTGACTAATCACTAATATTGCAATAGGTAACGTTGGATGGAAAAACTCGCCTAACACCATGTTCCCCAGGCGATCGCGGCGCAAAAGAAATGACGTGGGACGATGTCGAAGCAGAAATACTACTCGAACCTCTAGTCGACTTCAAGGACTTCGTCAAGGCCATCAAATCATCAAGACCGACAGTATCCGAGGAGGACTTGAAGCGGAATTCAGACTGGACTAAGGAGTTTGGAAGTGAAGGAAACTGACTGGGAGGCATTATGGAGCGCAATGGCATTACAAGGCGTTTGGGGGCCGCTGAAATTATCCTTCTTGTTTTTATTTTGGCAACTCATGGCTAGATATCTGAGTTCGTTAGCCATCGGAGTATATACAATTGCTTGTACTAGACACGGAGCAATTGATAATTTGTTTTACTTCTCTGTATGAAGGGATTGGTTACAAGTCATGTCAATGAATGTGAATATTACTGATCCCCACCTGAATATCGTTGGGATCACATAACGAGACACCAGAGCTCGTGTACTATGCGAATATCACTGCATCTAGCAACGTGGTTTAAACGGGGTGAAAACATTTCGCATTCCCTTCGTCTTATATTGATTTTCATCCACGGAGCTTTCGTTAAAGCCAGCTATTTGGGAATATATGGGACGGGTATGATTCCTACCATTCATTTTACACAGCCACACCTCCGGAAAGAAGAAAATAAAAAAGCAGATTGAACACCTGAAGATATTGCCGAAACGCCTAGCCCATGCCCGGTCCAACGTCGAAGTCATCCACCACATCCCCCGGAATCAAATGAAAAAGACGTGCCAAGGTTATTTATTCCGCATGCTTCTTCTTCTTTTTCTTCTTCTCCCCGTTGACTTCTGCTTCGACTGTGCCGTTTACGTCGCTGTGCTTTCGCTTCTTCTTTTCTTCCTTCTTCTCTTTCTTTTCCTTCTTGTCCTTGGACTTCTTCTCCTTCTTGGGTGTGGCGGCAGCACCTTGTGGTAGGGGGGCATCGATCATCTCAGTGTCAATGGCCATGCTCTGGCCATCAGCGAGGATATCGGCCATTGCTTGGTTCTATATATGAGTTAGTAAAAGAAAGTAGAACTTTATTATCGTATAAATTTACCATGGCATCAACATTCTTGGTTGGCTTCTTTCCAGTTGCATAAAACTCTAATCGGTCCTCAACCTGTTGCCTTAACGCATCACCAAACTTCTTCGACGGTTGCTCAGCGAAGTTGTCGATTCGGCTGGCAATACTGCACTTGTTCGCAAGGTATCGCGAGATACGGCCCTTGTCTTTTTGACTTGCACGGCCGATGAATGTGCTGTGGTAGATCAGACCGAATTTCGGTGTGTTACCCTTAGTCTTTAGAGCACGAAAGAGGGCCTTCTCAGCACCTAGAATCTGGAGTGTGGAGGCGGGGTACTTGGACAAGTTGGTCAAGGAACCAGCTTTTTGGATTAGACGAGCAGCAACAACTTCGCCAATAAGCGCGGCTAAGTTGGGAGCAACCGTGCTCATCTTGTCAACCAAATAGCTGTATAGCGTTCTTCGGTACTCGACGAGTTTAACAACTTTGCTGGCAAATGTGGAGATGTTGCTCATGTCGACATCCGATAATTCTCGTCCCATAGAAATCTTAGCCTTGGCAATGATCTCGTGTGCCTTCTCTTCATCGTCGTTGACCAGGGCGGCAACCTCGTGAAGCTTCTCGTCGGATAGAGTAGACTTGTCGCCAATGTAGAGTGCCAAGCGGGCGTAGGTAAGGTTGTCGGACGCGATGGCGTAGAGCTCGGGGAAATGCCATCCATACCACTCGCGAACCTTCTGTGAGAATAGGTTGATACCCTTGTCGAGGTTATCTAAAGTTGCGATTGCTCTGATGATGTGGTTATCGTTCTTGTGGACATTGAACTTGACCTTTCCGCGCGAGTAGGCGTGACCAAGACCAAGCTGAGCCCTCTCCACATCTCCTTCCTGTAGACCCTTGAGGAGTTTGGACGCGTGAAGACGGATACCTCGTAGTAGGTCGGCAGCAACTTCGGATGTATCACCAGTTTCGCATTCGACGCCAGGGAATTCGGCCTTAATGGAACCAGCCAAGTTCTTATCAGCGACACCAAGAACGATCTTGCTCTTCTTTGATTGCGGGAGGTTTAGTTCGAGGTTGGACTTGAGGTAATCGGGAAGGATACCCTCTGAGATCAGGTTGATGTTCTCAAGGGCGTCGGCGGCGCTCCTAATAATTATCACATTAGATTCTAAGCCCAATATATCGAGATAGTTTAGTAAATATTACCTCCAAGGCGCAAAGTTGACCAATTGCACCATCTTTCCGAACTTGGAGAGGTCCTGGCCAGCTTTCTGCACTTCCTTCAGGTGTAAACCAACAGTATCCTGTTGGTGAACCACCTTAAAGATGGCATAGCCGACGGCCGACTCATGTAGTAAGAAGTCTATTTTCGTCATTTTGTCTGATTTGGAGATCTCACGTAGGTTGGCGCATGAGATGTTGTGATTGTGAATGGGTGCGACGAAATTTTCAATTGAATCGTGAGGAAGAAAAAGTTCCAAAAATTTTTGTCCCATCGAAAAGAGCTTAGGTCCCCACTTCGGTACGTACTGTATCGGTAGAACGTCGGTGACACTTATCATTTATGCTTTTCTACTTCAGGACTAGTGTATATTCATAATAAGTTTGTGCGCACAGCAGACGGCCCATAAATCCCGACACCCAGACCCCCACTCTCGGGATGTCCTTCGCGTTACACAGTAAGAGCCACCACAGCTATCCCCTCACTTAACTGAGTATTTCCAATTCCTTTTTCCTTCACACTTCAACATAAACCTGTAATGGAATGCAATCCCATTCAAGAAATGATGCAAAAGATATTCAGCATTCCAGGTCATTAACATACCCCAAGGCCAGGACACACACATAATTCAGTTTATTGACATAACTTTCACGACTTCGCAGTATCAAGTTGATGCTTCACTTAGTATATTGACACTGGGTTAAATCTCTATGGCCTAACATTTTAGGACATTCATTGAAAACGAGACCAATATCTTCATATCCCTTTCTCCTTTTATCACCGACTTTTCCCACGCTCTAATCCCAGTCCCTTTCTATTCTACATCCTCGCTACCATGACATCAATCAGATCTTATCAGCCGGCGCGTGAATGCCATCGGCGCAGCTCTGAGTGGAAACACAGTCTGGAACCTCTTCTTCGTCCTCAGTGTCTTGAGCTGCGGTAGCTGCGTGGCGTTTATCAGCCGGAGCGTGGATACCATCGGCGCAACTTTGGGTTGACACGCAATCCGGTACCTCGGCTTCGGCTTGTTGGGCGGTGTGGCGCTTATCAGCTGGTGCGTGGATTCCGTCAGCGCAACTTTGAGTCGAGACGCAGTCGGGTACTTCTGCGTCTTCGGTGGCTTGCGTCTGGGCTGTGTGTCGCTTGTCTGCGGGGGCGTGGATTCCATCGGCACAGCTCTGTGTGGAAACACAGTCAGGTACTTCTTCGGTATCCTGGGTTGCTGCAGCGGTGGAGTGACGCTTGTCGGCAGGTGTGTGAATGCCGTCTGCGCAGCTCTGAGTTGAGACACAGTCTGGCACCTCGGCGGCCTGGCGGTTAGGGGTAGGCGCGGCCGTCGCGGATAGGGCGATAGTCGCCAGGACTGCAAGAACGGAGTACTTCATCTTGAAATTGGTGAAAAAGGTTGGCTTTGTCCGGCAAGACCTTAAGGTAGAAGTGAAGAAGTGAAGAGTAAGAAGAGAACTGAAGAAGAGGTGAATGAGTTTGAAGACTGGCTTGACACTGACTGAAAAGAATAGGCCGTGAATAGCTGCTTGTACGGATCTTATATACTCAGCGTGGACATCGAACCCATTCCGCGCCTCCAGCCAATGCCACCCCGAAACAAGCAGATGCCTAGGATATCGCGAAGACCCTACCCCATTACTGCCCAGCCTCCTCCACGTAGCAACGACCCGTCTTGTCTCTCATTGCCGCAAAGCTTAAAGGTCCCAACGATCGCCGCCAAGCATCTACCAAGCTCATTGTCGAACGGTAAATGATTCTCATATCTTTCCGCTAGGTAGCTTTCTAGAACTTCTCGAACGTGATATGACGCCAAATTGTTTTAATTCCATATACCCTAGACTTACAGGATATAGTATTGTAGTTCGTTCCCACATGGTCATAGCCTCCTAGTTCTGATCAATCTTGGTTAACACATCGCAATTCTCTGACATTAACCTGGGTAACATCCTGGAAGTCATCTATACGGATCCACTTTCTAGCGCCATACACCTACTCCAGCGAATCTGGCAACCTCGCGAAACTCACCAACGATCGCCTCTCTTCAAAACATGGGGCATTCATATGTTGAATTCACTTAGACCAGGGTCAAATAAACATTGATGAGGTTTCTAATACGATGGCTGTGCAGCCGCCTTTTTCTGCACCCATGTAGCCTGTCATGTTTCGACTTTCATGGGGTAATCTGGTGCAACGATATTGGTTCGAGGAATTCGCAACTGGCGCGAAAACACCTGTGCTCGGTATATCGCTTGGCAAAAGCTTCTATTCGATTTGAATGTGGCATTCTGGTTGAGTATCTCGCTTCTAGAATTGCGTTCTGTATTAAAAACCCGATGAAAATTCCACATCAACTAGAAAAAATTCGGTGGTATCATCGTTAGTTCGTTTCTTGTGAATGCGCTCGCACATCTTTTGTTGTACGTATTCCAATGGTACACCTAATTTAGGATATCGATGGAACGGCCCAAAATAATCAAAATTTAAGAGATAAGAAGCCTCGAAGCTCTCTATCAAGAATGCCAAGAGAAATACCCCTTGGGTTGTGAGGCTCTTCACTTGGGTTTGAACGTACTGGGTCAGGAGAAGGATGAGTAGATCTTACCCGAAGCAGGGAACTTATTACGGCCATGTTAATAGTCAACAGAAAAGTTTCTGTTATTTAACGGAGATCTTATAGCGCATCATAGTAGTCATTCACTTAGTTGGTTTCACATCTGGCAATTGAATAGTTTCATTATTTTTCGTATTTACTAATCGAAGGTTGACATAGTCGCACCTGAGTACCATAGAGTTACAATAGCCAATCAGAAGTTAAATCATTGTAATCATTCCATCTCCTTGTCTAACCCCTGGTTAAGACGGGCTTTGACAGAGTGCGATGGAGTCCGAGGTATGGCCCGACTACTTCAACACCTTAGAGGTATGCGCCACCCGCTCTTCGTAGTTGGACGATAGCTTCTGGAAGCCCCGAACTTTTTTTCTTGTAATTTTCACGTTTCTGGTATATCGTGAAGTTAATTTACATAATGGCACCTCGAACATCGTCTCCCAAATATGAAAGGTTGGAAGATGAGCCTGAGAAGGGAGAGGCGAGCTACTTCATCCAAAATAATCCACCCAATTTCTTAAGATCACAAGCTTCAAGCCGCCAGAATATCTTTTGGATAGCTCTTATCGGTGTCGGAACATTTGTGTTGGGTGTAATCTCTACATTATTCATTCTCGAGATCAGGTCTCGACATAATCCATATGGTCACTATGAGACGGGATTCCGAGAAGAGAAGATATGTGAGTACTTAATCATACTAAACGCATAATCTAGGAAGCAGTCAGAGCTGACACTCTCACCTTGATCAGTGCCACCGAGCGCCATCCAACTCGAACAAGTTCGCTTCAAGTTACCTGTAGACTTCGCACCCGGCGGTGACGAATTCCTAGTCGCTCAGCCTGGTGATAAAGCCTACATCGGTACCACACCGGAGGTCGATGCCGCTTGGAAGCAACTGCTTTGGGGACGGTATTTCTCCGTCTCTGAAGCAGAAGCAAAGAGTTTATGGGGTGACGATTATCGAGAATTCCGCGATCACCACCGAAGCGGCTATACAGCAGGGTAAGTTGGCCTACATGTTGTTAATAACCCAAAACTAGAGAGTATGTGTGCTGATCAGAGACGATAGATTCGACATGTTCCATCAGCTGCATTGTCTGAACCAAATTAGACAAGCCTTACATCGGGACGTCTACCCAGAAACCCCACTTCACGGGCCAGTACATACCGGTTCGTCATCCTTATTCCTCCAGTCCCCTATCAAATCAGCCAAGGCTAATCAACCACTAGACCACTGTGTCGACCAACTCCGCCAGTCAATAATGTGCTGGGGTAGTACAGCTGTTGTCCCCCTGAAGTACTTCGAAGGCTATGGCAGTGAATACGTGAAGACCGATGCAGTTCATACCTGCCGGAAGTTTGACCCGATTCGAGACTTCGTATCGGAGAGATTTAACGGAAGTCTCTTCGTCCCAAGGCCGAGCGGGTGGATTGATACCTCGGATAATGCATTTTAGACTGATAGATGGGTGTTATAATAGGCAAATAAGGTTTCTTCCAAGAGAATATAAAGAATCCGATTCATGTCGATCAAGGATATCGCGCTCTGTTGAGATATCTAGTGCAAGGAGAATTAGAGAGGCTGAGCAACGAAACCTAAGGTAATCTAGCCCCTATCCGCCCATGCCTTTCGTTTCGGTGGAGTAATCGTTCGGCTTCTTCAGCTTAGAAGAGTAACCATAGGGACGAATATCTTTAAAAACTAAAAAATGCCTTACCATTAGTATCATTCCGCCTTTCCATTCATTTCGTAGTCCTACACAATATTTAAGGGGCATGAATAAGAAATATCCGATGATTCGGATAGCTCCGGCAGCTAAGAAAGCTTGGCATGTATAGTACCCGATTTGGGATTAGCGCATGCAAGTTGTCTGCATGTATAAGTTGTGGACCCAAATCTAGAAGATCGACAGGGCTGGGTTTCTTGGCATTTTTATTATCCTATTTGGGTTAAGCGTCGCCTTGTATGGGTGTCGATATGGCCTCAAGCCTTCACTAGAAGACAGGAGATGACGAGTTTAGCTTTCGGTATGGGGTCTGCGAGGCAGGCAGCAATAAAATTTTCCCCTGTTCTCCATTGTCAACTTTTCTATATCATGAACGGAAAACCTCACCTTCAAGTAGGCGACAACGAAGAGGCCAGTTCTATTCAACGTCTTTGACTTGAAGCCTGACATTAGACACCAATCCGCTACTTGTTTCCGCCATGGCAGCTGGAGATCCAAGTAAGATCTTTCGAGTTTAAGACTTGACACTAGTTAACACGAGACCAGTTTTGTACAGCTTGTACGTTTACGCCCCGGACCGAGGAGCACCCATCTTCTTCGCCATTGCGTATGCTATTTCGGCATTCTTTCACATATGGCAATGTCTGTAAGTAAGCCATCACCCTAGATGAAGCGGATAAAGCCTCTAATACCAACCGTCAGTCGCTACAAGGCTTTCAAGTTGATCGGACTGCACCCTGTCTGTGCGGTACTGTTCACTGCCGGCTACGCCTTGCGCGAGTACGGCGCCTATAATTATCTCTATAGTGTGACCACGAAGTTGCCCCTGATTATCTTCATCGTCAGCCAGGTGTGCATTTTCGTTTGCCCGTGAGTACACCTGGCCCCATGTCACATAAACGTAGGTGAATAGGAACTAATGCGATCATTGATCACTATAGCCCGCTTCTCGAACTTGCCAACTACCACGTCCTCGGTCGAATGTTCTACTATGTGCCCTACTGTTCTCCCCTTCCTGCCAATAAAGTTCTAACCACGTTCGGTGGTCTTATGGGCCTCGTTGAAGCCTTGAACTCTCTGGGGGTGGCCTTGTCCGCAAACGCTTCGTCGTCGGCCGAAACCCAAGCGCTTGGTAGCCACTTGACGATAGCAGCCCTCATAATCCAACTTGGCGTCATCGTTATCTTCATCTGCCTTGCCGCTCTATTTCACCGACGGTGCGCTAAAGCCAAAATAAAGACCGAGGCGGTCAATACTCTCTTGCGGACGTTATATATCAGCATGGCATTAATTCTCATCCGTTGCATATATCGCCTAGTGGAGCATACGGGTAACACGACGATAGACCTTGATGATATCGAGACTCTTCGAAATCTAAGCCCTATCCTACGATACGAAGCTTTCTTCTATATCTTCGAGGCAACTCTAATGCTTATCAACTCGGTGCTGTGGAATGTATGGAATCCTGGCCGTTTTCTACCGAAGGACAATCATATCTATTTGACGCGCGAGGGTATCGAAGTCGAAGGCGAGCCAGATAGGGACGATCGGTCACTTTTAGCTAAGGCCACCAACTTATTAACGTTCGGTATCTTGTTTCGAAGGAAAAGACAGTCTCGACCATTTCAAGAGCTTGCTGAGTATCCGAATCCCCAGGAAGCTTCTAGGCTTCATGTACCTAGTTATCCTAGCTAAGCGCTGCGGGAGTCTTGGTGTTATTGAGGTGACTTATGTCTTGCGGAGGCGTTGGGAAAATAACGGAGAGGGGGTGTAGCTTCGATAAAATATCTAGAGATGATTCAGGGTTTCCCCCAGATCATCCCAATGGCTATTTAATATTAGTTTATGGTATAACTTTTAGTTAGGATGTGCTTATAATTTTGTACAATACAATACGGCAGACAATAGGGACAATAAAATAGAAACTAACTTCGCATTGTGTCCTCATCTTCGGTCATCATGCGCATTGGTTGGTGATGCGATGCGTTCAGTTTGTTGAAGTTCTTGGGGGAGGATCGAGTCTCGGAATTATTGGACCTGGAATAATTGCGTAGAGGAGCTTGTGATATTATTTAGGGTGGCATTAAATGGCTGGTATCCACGGCAATTTGTGTCGTAAAGATGTACGGCTTGTCGAAGCAAGCATCCCACCGCTTCTCGCCTGAATTCCAGAACAACTCCAACACACGCTTCGCTGCTAGTGGGACGTAAGTACCGACTCCATAGCTTAGCTCTGCTAGCTGCTTCGCAATGAAGGCACGCGTCGCCGCGCTGTCGTGAACAGCTTCGACCCCGAGGAGGACCAACGGCCAAGCCATGAATCGTTTAATCCTAGGAGATGAGAGTCCTTCTTTCAGGGACTCTTGGAGGAAATGGCTGTGTTCAGCACAGCAGGCCCTCAATTCCGAACTTTCTGGCAGAACCGATAGACTTTGTAGCGACAAAATGCAATACAATGCAACAGCAGCGCGATATGTAGTACCTATTAATATCCAATCAAGTTTGGAGAACTGTTTGGACTCAGCCCATTGCTCTGGAGAAAAAATATGAATTCGTTCAAGTATTAAATATGCTGTTGTCGAAAGATCCTCAGCTTTGGTTGCGCCGTATTCCGTAGCTTGCATTCGCAGATGGTTGATTTGAACGATTTCGCTAAATAAAGGTAAGGGACACATCTGAAAGGGGGAGGCTGCAGTGCTGTATTGTTCTAGTAAGAATCGAAGCTTGTTGAGATATAAACCGGTCATGACGAGGTCCGATGTAGGACACGTTGTGTTCCCAATCACTGTAATACTATGTGGAGTTAGCTTTCATACGATAAAGCCTACCAGTCGTATTCGGGGAGATCGACTCACAACCACAGACAAAGTAATAATGGCTCCAAGTTTTTCGATTTCGTAACTTCGCGGAAACCACCACGGAGCGCAATCATTTGATGAAGTCCCTCGAGATGACAACGCCAATTGAGCGAGCTGCCTTGTTGAACCTATGTCGAGATATCGTTTAACACGGTGTATTATTAGTTATACTGAATAATGCGAACTCACATCGGCAAGGAGCAGTGTTAGTATTCCAGCAATAACCATATCATCCGCGCACCCACCTCCCGCATTGAGATGTTCGTTAAGAGAGCGGAGAGCAAGTCCCCAGTACGAATAGAATTCCTCGAGCAAAGCCTTATGGTGGGGGTCACTTCGTATCCGGTTAATTCGGTGGCTTAAGGTGACGCAGACCATAGCGAATTGCAGGTAAAAAGGACGTCTAGTGGCTAGCTGAAGATGCGTGGCGGAAAGGGGAAATATATGGGGGTTTTGACCGAGTTCCTGTATCGGAAGCAGGTCTCGGTATATACAAGAATTGACTACCCAACATATGTCAGTTTGATATTTCAGGATAATTCGGATGAGATAGGTAATCACTTGCAGTATTCCGCTGCTTGGGCCAAGATACAAGCTTCGTTCCTTATCTCGAGGCGTGGCATGTTCATATGAGCACTACTCATCATAGTGTAGACCGATTCTGGTGTAGCTTTGGAAGCATCATCATTGTGATACCCCCGAAGTTCACTTGGTGGCGTTCCCTTTCGTTTCCGACCCCGGGAGTTGACTTTTCCAGGAGCAAGCCACTTTAATCTGGTGGGTTTCACATCTCCATATCCCGGACATTCAGTGCCGGACATAGAGCATCTATTGCAAGCAGGCTCGGTGGCGTCGCACACTAAGCATCGACGGCGACATTCCCAGCAATGGCGTTTCCGCATCATAAGTGCTTGTTGAATGGCTATGGACCAAGTGATGAAATCGTTCCCGAGCAAGGGGCCTGGGTCCTAGATTGATATAAATTTCTTATCCAAAAACGAGATGATTTAAACGTCGCATACGTAATTGACTTGAAATAGAAGTTATGATAGGGCTAGAAATCCTGCGTTCATCAAGGCGATGCACTTGTTGTATTGGGGGGAGTGGGGAGTTTGGTTTGTAAGGTCCGGGGGTGTTTTTAAATCCGAATGCTTAGGTATGTAGGTACCTAGGTAGTGTCGAATGAGAAGGTGGGGTTGACGGCCTAGAGTAGAGTTTTAGTGCTTATCAACTAATCAGCGCTCTAGCCTGTTAAAAAGTTAGTTACCTACCTAGGTACGCCCTAGTACCTAGAAGTTAACGCCGATTGGAGGGGCTTAGCTTAGTTCTCAACTCCAACTCGCCGTCTTTTTAACTCGTCGACTCTAACCCGCCGTTTCTATTCTCTTCAACTATTCTCACATACTTCACGCAACAATAACATATATACCTAGGAATAGGTATATATATCAAACCCAAAAGCACTCGATTCATCATGATAAATTGTAAGTATAATGGACTAAAAAAAAATGAAAGCATCTAATGTGAATTAGTACCGAGTTTTTTCATGGCTCGACCGAAAATAAAATGCAGTTAGGAACAAGACTGTCATCCATCGATATGATATGGAAACAATCATGGGCACTTCAACGGCCCTGTTCCTCGCAAGGAAGCCCAATAAACTTTATGGACCACTCTCATCCTCGCATGGCCCGTAATTTTCCTGCGCGAGTGACTTCCCAAGATTACATGTATCCAATATTTTGGTATGGGAAGCACTGAGCGCGGATCGACGACGAGATACGCAACAAACCAATGTTGCGAATACGCATCGTTGCGAGTAACCATCGCGGACTCAATATTTAAGCACAGCTTCAAAATGTATTCATTCTATTTTTTTCCCTTCCCCATTCCACTCCCAAAAGATTTCCAACAACCCCAACCCATAACTGCCATCTACCGCAGCAATGGCGACAACACAACAAGTAAGTCACATCTCCAAATAGCATTATAACTTGGATGAAACCTCAATATGTGAGACGTATTAGATGCACGAGATGCGTGTGCGGCGCCTCATCGGCCTTGTGCGTTTTCTTTATCATCCTCAATAACTAATTCATCCTTCTTCCACAGGACATTAACGGAAATACTATCAACCACCCCACGGCGGCTGGTGTCATCATTCAAGGGGGCAAATTCTGTTGTGGTTTGATTCGTCTGAATGGCGCGGCGGTTTGCAACGCCCGCATCACGAACAAGCGACACAATATCTCCTCGCACCTAAATAAGGAGCACGACCCAAATTCCGCTCACCAGCAGAAGAATGCGGTCAATCTGCATCGATGTTCCCGCTGCCATCGAATGTGCAACTCGTACAACATCTACTTGAACCACATCCGCGAGAAGCACCGGTTCAGTGGTCGCTCTGATCGTGTCTGGACACGATGGCGACGCCAACCTCAAGGAAGCTTGGTTCAGTTCTAAGGTACCTCTATTAGCTGCGTATGTATTTCTTCACCTTGGTGAACCAATCAGCCTCGGACTTACTAACTCTTATTCTAGACGAGACTAGGGTAGCTTGTCCTGGCACCTGCACGACCGGCACGTACATCGGATAGGAAGGACTAAGAGGGAACGGAATACACCTGGAAGGTTTCGGAATGGAAGGTCGGAGTCACGCCCGGGAGTACCCACAAAATCGGGATATCGCCTAATACGAAGGACATAAACTTGATACCTTAAAACCCAAATTATATTCATGCATTTCCCAAAGTTCGATGTTCTTCCCCCTTTTTGATAATGACATGGTACCCAGGCTATATGTTTTCCCGCAGGTGACAAATGCAATTACTGTAACCTCTAAAGTGCCCCATTGAGCTAACTGCCCTTGAGCTAAACTAACAGACGTTGAACCAACAGCTTAGAAATCAATTTTTTATTTTGCTTAAAAATCGGCCATTCATTTCTACGGTCATTGCGATGATTTAAGACGATAAAGTCCCGCTGTCTAATGGCTTACGATGTACTATAGCAAGGTTCGTAGATTGACGCAAAGATGACTACTCCCGAGCCGAAGGGTGTTCCTAATACGCCGGCCAAAGGCGTTCCGTTCTTTACTCCGGAACAAAACCCTCCGTCAGGGACGGCATTAGACCCCCAACCGTACGGGAGTCCTATCCCGAAGCTCTTCACTCCTTTGAAGATCCGTGGACTCACTCTTCAGAACCGTATCATGCTATCATCGCTATGTCAATACTCGTCAGAAAACGGTTTTCACACCTTATGGCACACGACTCACCTCGGTGGTATTATCCAACGTGGGGTAAGTCTCCTTTACACCTCCGCATGCAACAAGCTACTAACCGACTCCCCTAGCCGGGCCTATCCTTTATCGAAGGCACAGCCGTCCAAGCGCGAGGCCGTATCACCCCCGAGGACTCTGGATTATGGCTCGATGCGCACATGGAACCCATGAAGCAGCACGTGCTCTTCGCGCACTCCCAGAACCAAAAAATCGGCATCCAACTCGCCCACGCCGGCCGCAAAGCCAGCACCGTAGCTCCATTTCTCTCCCCTCCTGGGCTAGCAACCGCGGATGTCGGTGGTTGGCCCGACGACGTCGTAGCCCCGAGCGCGATCCCCTACGCTGAGAACTACGCGCAGCCGCGAGCTCTGTCGCTGGAGGAAATTGCTCAGATAAAGGCGGATTTTGTGGCGGCTGCGAAACGCGCGGTGGCGACCGGGTTCGATGTCGTCGAATTAAACGCCGCGCATGGGTATTTATTGCATAGCTTCTTGTCGCCGGTTACGAACCGCCGGATTGATCAATACGGTGGGAGTTTCGAGAACCGCACCCGGTTAGTAGTAGAGATTGTGGATGAGTTCCGCAAGGTCTTACCGGAGGATATGCCGCTTTTCCTGCGCATTAGCGCTACGGATTGGCTTAATGAGGTTGAGGAATACGAGGGCGAAAGCTGGAAAGTTAGCGATACAGTCCGCCTAGCGGTGATCCTAGCTGATCATGGTGTTGATTTGATTGACGTGTCCAGTGGTGGAATTCATTCACTGCAGAAGATTAAGAGAGGACCTGGGTACCAGGCACCGTTCGCCAAGGAGGTCAAACGAGCCGTTGGAGATAAGTTACTCGTCGCCACTGTAGGCACTATCACGAGCGGGAGACAAGCCGAGGATCTCCTCGTCGGTGGGAAGGGAGAAGACGATACACCACTCGATATCGCAGCAGTTGGGCGCATGTTCCAGAAGAACCCAGGACTGGTCTGGGATTGGGCTGAAGAGGTACGTAATCAACACATAATAGGAAAACATGACGAAACAGGCCTGCTAATAATTTGATACGCTTCTAGCTTGGTACGGCGATATATCTCGCAGCTCAGATCGGATGGGGTTTTGGCGGCAGAGGTACCAAGCAACGCAAGATTCAGCCTCCAAGAGAGGCTAGGGACCAGAAGGTATACGACGACCATGGCCCTATACCTTAATACTATTTCTAGAAAAGGATATCCTAAACAGAATAGGAGGCGCTACGACCCTATATATTTCTTACGCCACGGGCTATCTGTTTGTTCTGGCCCATTGACCCAACGGTGTCTTATCATACAATAATACGAATGTCATCGTCCTCAATAACGTTTCGTAACTAAGCGCCCAATGTACCTAGACATTCACGAACTCACTAGGGTAGCTAGCAAGTCCCGAGTACAGAATATAGCTAAATCGGGATTGTCATGGCACTAAAACTAATCATGAAACAAAGGGAATACTCAATTCGTCTAGAAATAGGTACTAAGTAGGTACGTATGTTTCCAAGTCCACAACTTTGAATCTCTTCAAGGGCCGACGTGCATATAGGCAGCCCAAACAAACGGGTCGCCCTCGAGGCCTTCCATGTCCTCTTCCACATCTTCCGTCGCTGGCGGAATCTTCTGTTCGTATATCTGAGCCTTCCTCTCCCTCTCCTTCTCCTTCCTCCTCTCCTTCCCAGCCTGGATGAAAGTATCCCGTAGAGCCTTGGTTGCTGCATGAAGAGCATATGCGATTCCATTATCGCTGAGGCGACCATCATTTATAATCGCAGCGTAAAAGGTTTTAGCCACATCAGCAGAATACTGATCTGAAACTTCCCATAGTGATCCTATAGCGTGTCGAAACCCCGCAAGCTGACAGGCACTAATGAGGTGTACCGTTTCATTTTGGAGTTTTGTGACTGGATTATCCCCTGTCGAGCAAGCTGACAAGTATGCCAACCACGTCTCCGTAGATTGCGATTTCAGACTGACCAAGTCCGTGAAGGTTAGCGGGTTTTCTTCGCCATCCTTTAGTAGAAGGGCGCTTTTGGATGGGTCGCTGGTGCAGGGCTCTCCATGACCAGCGAAATGCCATATGGTAAAAGTTTTAAGAATACCCATGATATCGTCTTTCATCGGAGTTCTGATATGTAGCGATGTAATGTGAGGTCGTAGAATTTCATACGCCCCTTCAGCTTCCTCTTCAGCAAACCTAAGATCAGAGTAGCCTCCTGGAGTTACTGCCATTGAGTTGAGCAAAGCCTTATTTGCGGCGAAGTGGGGATTAGGAAGATCGCTACTAGCATACGTAGAGCGTATGTGCAACAATGCTTTCACAGACGGACTGTAAGATGACACCACACTATCCATCGCCGTGTTCCTCCTTCCTTGGGCATTTGGTCTATGATAACCAGCAGCATGAAGGGGTAGAAAGCTCAGAATATCTGTTGGAACCCACCAAACTCGGGGCAGTGGTTTACCCTCGGGTATTGGCTTAGTCAATGATAGGTAATTTAGAACTGGGCCGACCGTCGTGTCCCACAGCCACTCTAATATTTCTAAGGGCTTGCCGCGCGAAGGAGTCCTCGCGGAATCTTTCCTGATCGACGTTATGATTTTGACGTACTTTTCGATTTCTTCGTACTTCAAACTCTCGAGATGGAGCGTCCGGATACCTGACCGTTCGATGATAAAAGCATCGCACTTTATTTGGCTTACGTTTATAACGATGACAGGGCCGTTAGACGCCGCAGCCTTCAGCTCTTCTCCTCGGGGGGGGGGGGGGGGTAGTAGAAACTGCCCGAAGCCCTCCTGGCCACGGATTGTACTGAGAATTTCCTCAAATTTCTGACCCGCCACACGACGCTCGTTTACTTGGGCAATAGACTGTGCCATAAAGTTTACGGAGGGGGTGTCAAGTTCTTCTTGAAGCTTCTTGAAGTCCCCGGCCAACTGGGGATGTAGTTCATTTAGGCGCGATAAATCAGTGCGGGCACCCCATCGTAAATCAGCTAGGATACCCCGGCTCTGTTCAAGAAGCTCCAAAGCACGAACCGGGCCTTTATCCGCAAGCAAAGCTGCCGATGCAGCTAGCGTAGCTGTGTATGAAGTATCCCCCCCCTAGCAGCCTTTGCTGGTCTTTTTTGCCCTAACATACGGCGGCTAAGTTGGGGCAGGAGTTTGACACATTTTTCCATGAGGTCATATATTCTGGTCCATGTCCTCTGGAAGGGTTCATTTGGTAATTCAACTATCGCCTCAGATGCCAACAGCGCACTCCGAATCCGATAGTGGCATGGCACTTCGCTTGAATTGGCGACTTTGGTTCTTAAAGCAATGGCAGCTTCTTGATCCTGTTTGCTCTTATTTCGACGAAGTAGAGAGCTAGCTAGGTTGTCCTCAAGCGCAAATCGAGAGGAATATTCGGCTGGGATATTATCCAATAATCTCTTTGACTCTTTGATCGCCTCATCGAGATCATCATTCTTCCCCGTAGCTTCCGCCTTTTTTTGTAGGTATGCAGCGAGATTGATACAGTTTATGTGATTGCGTACATTTTCAACAGTATGAGAGGTAGTAGATATGGCTCCTCGTACTAATCTGATGGCCTCTTCTATATCTTCTGGGTTTTTGCCTTTCACAAAGCGAGCCGAAAGACAACCCGCCAGTATAGTAGCATTTGAGTTTGACGGGAGGCCCTTAGTTGATGATATCGATAAAGCGGATCTAGCATAATCGACGGCCTCGTCCAAGTACTTCGCTTCGCTCAAATCCCCTTGGTTTTCGAATAGCTGCCGGTAAGCGGTTGATAAGTTGGCCAAGCAGTCGCTTTGTAGGTGGTGACCAGGAGGTAACTCGCCCAGCAACTCTTTGAGGCTTTTGATGGTGTTCTCTGTGTCTTCGAGGGATCCATTAATCTTTGCACGCCCTAATGAAAATAACGCCAAGCAAAGTACATGATAGGGATATCCTGCGCTTGTTTTGGGCGTGATGTTTATCACAGCAATGGCTAGATCGAATGCTTCTTGTATTGGACCTAGTTGCTGAGTCCACTCGGATAGGCAGTGGAGATACTTAGTTAGTCCTATCGCCCTAACTACGTAATCCGGATGATTTTGCGGAATATCTTTGACTGCTTCTCGGCCTTTCTCCACGGCGGCTTGTAGGTCCTGGAAATTCTCTGTCTTCTCGTAAAGTTTGAACCGGGCTCGAGCCAGTTGGAAGAATGCGCTAGAGGTATCAGGGGGGCTGATTGACGTAGCTCGTTCGGCATTTTCAATAGCCTCCTCTAAGTCTTTTCGCGATCCAGTCAAGTCAACCCGACTCAATAGTATTTCAGCCAAGCCGGTCAACCGGGCTGGCGTATTGTCATCATCTTGGGAAATAGTGGCGACGGATTCCTTAGCTAAGTTCACAGCTATGTTTAGTTCTTCTATGTTCGGTTCTGAATCTTCATCGATACGATAGTATGTGTGGCACCAAGCTGCTAGCGTGCCTAGGCACCTTGGTCGGTCTGGATGGCCTTTGGGCGTGAGCTCAAGCGCAGCATGTGCCAAGGATAAGGCTTCCTTTATCACCTCCCACTCGTTCTTCTTATCGAACGATGCTTGTAAACATGCAGATAGGTGGGTCATTATGTAGCCTCGCTTAAGATGCTCGCTGGACGTCTTGCGCACCGCATCTCTCGCGAAGGCAATGGATCTATTAAGGTCGTCCGTAGCATAATTCTGATTGTAAAGGATTTCGTGCATTCGGGATGCTAAAAAAGATTCGCCCGGATCGTTAGAAAGGCTAGTATATACCACATGTTAGATAGATTATGGTTCTAAACGGAGTTTACGAAGCATACCTGGACATCTCGGTAACCAATTCACGAGAGCCTTTGACATTCATGGCAGTGGATACATATTCATCGCAATGCTCTTGTGACCATGTTGTGCAGAACCTTTGAGCCATGAACTGGAGTACTTCTTGTTTTCGTGACCTAAGTTTGGGGTGATGATCAGGTGTATTGTCTACCGCTAGCTGCGCAAGGACGATAGCTTCGTTGATGTCATCGATACGGTTTTCCTTGACGAACAAAGAACGGCGAGCCCTAGAAAGGGACACACGGAGCCCCGCGTCCTTGATGCTGGATCCCAGCCAGCGACGAAGGAATTGGTTCAACGCGTCGACGCTCAAAGAGTCGAAGAAAGCACTTGGTCTTTCGTACTCACTGCTAATATCCATCATCTTTTTTCTTTCTTTTTTTCCACCGGAAATTCGAAGACTTTGTTGGTTTCAGAGTATGGAATGGTTATAATACGAGCTGACGAATAAGTGTCGGTGAGGATGAGGGGATGTGCAAATCTGAGTGGCGTCGAACTTGCTCAAATACTCAGTACCTAGGTATCGATATGCGGTACTGGGCAAATCCAGGTTCGTTAAGGCTATCTTCCTTGCTTGAGTAGCTGGACGAGCAGCACTGCTTATGGCATCAGCCATGTCCGCAGTCTAGCGAGCCTGCCTCTCCCACACGGTCTGTTCACCTACCACAAAAGCTGAAAGGATTCCTTTTCAATCCCTCCTTTTCCTCTACCTCCTCCTTTTCTCCCCCTTTTCCTCCCCCTTTTCCTCCCCCTTCTCGTTCTTTTTGATTCCGTCTTGTTTTCCCTGTAAGAAAAGAAGAAAATGCCCGACACCACGTGCAAATGTACTCCTTCAGCTGTGCCCGGAACCCGGTGGGCCATTCTCATTGGTATCGACTATTACGTCCACGACGAGGCACAGTCACACCCATATTCCCTTAGCCTGCGCGGATGCGTCAACGACGTGATACTTGTCCAGAAATTCCTCTGCCAATCGACCGATATAGATCCGAACCGGATTCACAAGCTCATAGCCTCGAGACCCGACCAACCGAATAACGAAGCCAACTTAGGCTTACCGTCATATGAGAATATCGTAGAACTCTTCCAACATGTTACAACGAAAGCCAAGAAGGGTGACTTGGTCTATATTCACTATTCAGGCCACGGCGCCCGCGTGAGATCGATTTTCAGCCACCTCAAAGAGAATGGTGGCGACCTGCCGGATTCGCTTCCGTCCCAATCTTCATCCAGCAGCGATCCGTCTCAACAGCGCATCGCCTGTGGATCTTTAGATGAGGCCTTGGTCCCGTATAATATTGCCAATCAACAAGGGCGATACCTCCGAGACGTCGAGATAGCAGTGATGCTCCGCAATATGTCGAAAAAGGAACTCCTGGTCACAACAGTGATAGATTGCTGTCATTCTGGGGGAATGAACCGCGATGGGGGCAACATGGGGGGTATCTCATACCCGGATCGCGAGCTACCGCATACCGATCACAGCTCTTTCAAAGAAGACGAACTTAAGCTTGCCTACTCTGATTTGTGTAGGGGTAAAGGAACGGACGGCGATAGATCCGCGCGTGTGGGAGAGCATTGGCTCCTTGGTTCAGGATGGAAGGGTCAAATTTTCTTCGCAGCTTGCGGCGAGGGGGAAAGAGCAGCTGAAGCTATGTTCGGAAACAAACGCTATGGAGTCCTTACCTATTTCTTGGTTGAACATCTCAACTCAGGGTCTGACTTATCTTGCGACGAAATATCCCGGTTGCTAAAGCAGGATATGTGTAATAAAAACCAAAAACCTCTCTTAGGAGGGGAGAAAGACCGACTGTTCTTTCGTGATGAGACCTTACACCTGTTTCAAGGCGTAGCTATTGAGGAAGTTGAAGTAGAGCCCCGGGTTGGATCCACAATACGATTAGGGGTCGGTGGGGACTCATGGTATCACTCCAGAGGACGTATTCGACATCCGGCCGCGTTTGCGTTCGGAGTCTAAGCCTCTTGCCCGAATGCAGGTGATGGATGTATCCGAAAACAATTGTAAAGGGGTTTTTACCCATTTCTTCGAGGTGGCGCGCCCCGCCTCGGACACAATTAAAGAAGATTATCTTGGGACGCCAGCGCACAAATGTCGTATGAAGTTCATATCATCTCTTACAGAACGCCTGCAGACGATTACGAAAGAATTACATCTCGCGCATAAGCAAGATATAATCTCATTCGTTACAGCGAGCGATAGTGAGCGGGTTGATTTCTGCGTGGACGTCCTCGAAAACGAGAAATTCGGTTTGTTGCGTGGTGATCGTAGCCATCTAGAACATCCGATTCCAGATTTGCCTACGCCAACCCAGCTTCTCTGTACCATAGAGCATCTCTCTGGATACTACAAAGTCTTAAATATGACTTTTAACCCCACAGGCGATCAAGAGAATAACGTCGCATTTGAGCTAGGCACACGCAAAGACGGTAAGAGAGTTGAGTCCACACCGAGGCGTCGAGCTATTGGCGATAGGTATGATGATGATGACAACTGGAGTTTCCAGAGCTGTGATGGGGATCGCCCGGTTTTCACAGTTGCCAACGGGGACTGTGTGATGTTACGCGTGAAGAACAACACTCCATTCTCTTGGAAGATCGTCATCATGGTGCTAGGGTCTCTTTGCGAAATAGAGCAATTGTATCCAGGTAGAGAAGGCACAAAATACGAAGAACTGGGACCATATACAACATTCGACATGGTTACCAGCTTGAAGAAGGACCACCCCTTCCTTACATCGGAAACGAACTTTTTCAAGGTTTTCTTTTCGAGGCAGCCAATTAATTTTCGATGGATGGAACTGCCAGCCTTAGAGGGGTTACGGGAGTCCCCAACGCCTGGACCGGGAGAGAATCGTGGGCGTGAAACCTTTGAGAGGAAGATTCCCGCGAAGCAAGATAGTTGGGATCCGCAAGTTTCCTGTATCTGCAAAGATTTGCAGGTTGACATTGTGTCCAAGAAATGATTCCTTTTTCTTTTTTCGTGACGATGAGCAAAACTTGGCTAGCTAGGAGGCTACCGTTTTGTTGGTTGGCTTTGTTCTTGGTTATTCAACGGTCGTTATCTCGGTATAGTGTGTTATCGTATTACTTAAGTACCTAGGTACCTAATGCACATTGCTTTATATCTATTGAATTACGAAATGATGGCTGCTAAAACCCCAAATTATACGAATCTATTCTACGCAGTTCTATCGGACGTTCGGTATCGGGTAAAGGAATGGTAGTCGAAAACGGGGGTGGGTGTAGTCGGATGGCCCCATCTTCGGGGTGCGTGACGAGCCGCTAGCAATTTAGGATGATCTAGGTGGTATCGGGCGGTCTGAAAATAGTAGGATATAAACTCGAAAGTCTGAGATTCCGGAAGTGGTTCGGCGGAAATGGCTTACGTCACTACCTGGAGATCTATGGATCCACGTGATATCGCTGCAGAGAAAATGTTTACGGAGGAACACTTTGGTTATAGCAGTAGTCGAACTTTCATTATAAGTTACTACTACTTAATTAATAGGTTTTCGATTATCACCTCTTTGCGAAATTTGTCGCAATACCCATGTATTCATGCGAAGGAGTAACACTTGTGTTGCAAAGATACCTAGGTATGGGAGCACAACACCTACCTAGGCAGGTGTTTATTGTGTCTCACCTAAAGACATAACCGGGTAATGCTAGGCCCACGCTAGGTATAATACCGTTATACTCTTACGGCTGGCGTAATGCAGCTGAGATGCAAGGGATGTCTTGTGCGAAAGGATCGTAAGCTCAGCCGGGATCTTTTGCGGCAGGATCTAGTCCCACGGAATTAGGTAATTATCCCCCAACACGTAGTTCTGAGTATTAGAGGGGTTCTCTATGAAGGTGGCCATGTGCGACATTTATCACCTATGCAGCAACAAGCTTCCACTTGAGACGAAATCATAAGTTCGATCGATGCGATGGAAGAGCCCGTGGTTGTCTTCATCAGCGGCGTTAGCAAAGGTGGGTAATCAATTACCTTACGACAATACCCGAAATTGGCGACCGGTTTCATTCATCGTAAGGTTCTTCAGAGCTGACTCTCACCTAGGTCTTGGGAAAGAGTTGGCTCGAGTGTATCTGTCACGGCCGAACCACATAGTTGTAGGGAGTATTCGCGATACCTTCGCCACAGATGTTGCCGATTTAAAATCGATGAAATCTGCTGAAGGATCTAGGATATTACTCGTCAGTATTGAGAACACTTCGATAGATGATCCAGCCAAGGCTTTGGACGATATAAAAGCAGCTGGGATTGGGCATCTAGATATTGTCATCGCCAATGCGGGAGGCGGAGGTGATGACCCGAAGGTATCGCTTGAGACGATTGATATGAAAGAGATGACCACTAGATTTCAATCGAATGCTCTTGGTCCGTTGCTGTTGTACCAGACATTTAGACCGCTGTTGCAAAAATCGAGGAGGACACCCAAGTGGATTTCTATGTCCACTGCTGGGGGGTCTATCGAATTAATCGGAGCAACTCGCGCGACTATGCTGCCAGCGTACAGTGCGTCTAAAGCAGCATTGAACTGGCTTACTAGGTGAGATATTAATGGTATCTAGCTCTTCTAAGCTAGATAGCATTGAGCATAACACCGGCTGACGTTGGTACAGGGCCATACATTTCAATAATGACTGGCTTATCGCGATAGCTATGCACCCTGGGCTCGTGCAGACCGGACCAGGAAACTGGTTTGCCGGGCATTTGGGGTTGGAAAAGGCACCTTTAACCATCGACTTCTGCGTTGAAAAGATGGTAGATGTGGTAAGTACCTTGTATTTTACATCTCGCGCATCTTCAAAGCTCATTTATGTAGATCGATCATGCTACTCGCGAAGAAACGAGTGGGAAATTCATCAGCGCGATTGAAGGAACCGAATTGCCATGGTAGGTCAATTGGGACAGGAATCGATTTGTATAAAAAAAAGTTGAAAGTTATGGAAGAAGAATAAGAAAGAAGAAATTGTAATTGTGTAACCTGTGGCGTGTATTCCAGTGACAATTATGGCTGGTGCTGGTGTACCTAAGCCACAACTGCCACGCAATATTAAATAATCATCGTTGGATCTCCCCTCCCCCTCCCCCACCTATTTTCCATCTTCCGCTTTTCCGTGTCATCACAGCCCCCGGAGCTGATTTCTTACGAGGCTTAACCAATGAACCCAGTTTATGATTTACGATCTCTCTGAAGCACAATAGGCATTCGAATAAAACCGTAAGTTGATTGGACAGACTCTGATCTGCATAGATAATGTACCTAGTAGCCTAGATACATGCATCCCCTTGCATCGCCACTCTGATGTACACACAAGCTCCAAGCCACCAAGCTCGACCTGAACTTGAATCCGAATTTGTTGAATCTTGGGTTGCCTACCTAGGTACGATCACAAAGAAGAAAACAAGACAACACACGTATATCCTATCTTACTTCCTAGATAGAAACATATAAAGCTATCATATCCGATCTACTTTAGCATATGCCTTATATCAGACCTCTCTTCGTCTTCATTCTATCCGTAATCGTACTATTGTCCACTTTCTTACTTCCCCATCTATACCCCTCCTTACTCTCATATCCCACTTCCAACCGACTTATTCCAGATCTTATATCCCCTCTACGTCACTGGACCACAGACATCATGGCAGGTCATCCAGCGCATCATCAACAATACCGCACCGTCGCATATTTCGTCAATTGGGCCATCTATGGCCGCAAACACCGACCTCAAGACCTACCTGTCGACAAACTGACCCACATCTTGTACGCCTTCGCCAATGTGCGCCCGGAGTCCGGTGAAGTCTACCTTACTGACTCCTGGGCCGACACCGACATCCATTGGGAAGGCGACAGCTGGAACGACTCCGGCACAAACCTCTACGGGTGCCTCAAACAACTCAACATCCTGAAGCGACGCCACCGTCATCTCAAAGTGCTGTTATCCGTCGGCGGCTGGACATATAGCAGCAACTTCAAGCAACCCGCTTCAACACCGCAAGGGCGCGCCACATTCGCCAACTCCTGCGTCGAACTAATCAAAAACCTAGGTTTCGACGGCATAGACATCGACTGGGAGTATCCGCAAACCCCCTCCGAAGCCGCCGATTTCGTATCCCTCCTGCGCGCCGTACGCGAAGCCCTCGATGCCTACGGCCGCAGTTTACCTACCCCATACCACTTTGAACTAACCGTCGCCTGTCCAGCCGGCGCGCAAAACTACTCCAAGCTCGACCTCCCCGCCATGGACCGACTCCTCGATTTCTGGAACCTAATGGCATACGACTACGCGGGCTCCTGGGACTCTACATCGGGCCACCAAGCCAACCTCTTCCCCAGCGCCTCAAACCCACGCTCCACACCCTTCAGCACAATCGCCGCGCAACACTACTACGTAACCCACGGCGTCGCGCCGCATAAAATCGTAATCGGCATGCCACTCTACGGCCGCGCATTTCAAAACACGGAAGGTTTAGGAGCACCCTACAACGGTGTAGGCGAAGGAACGTGGGAGAACGGTGTACATGATTATAAGAAACTCCCGTTACCAGGCGCGACGGAACATATTGATTACGAAGCCGGCGGGAGTTATTGCTATGACCCGCGCACGCGGACCTTGGTTAGTTATGATACGGTGGAGATGGCGCGGCAGAAGACGCATTGGGTGAAAGAACGACGTTTAGGCGGTGCCATGTGGTGGGAGAGTAGTGCGGATAAAGAGGGTCGTGAGAGTTTGATTGGGAATGTGGTGGATGTATTGGGTGGTCCGGGGGCGTTGGATGGTAGGCCGAATTGTATCGAGGTTCCGCATACTAAGTATGATAACCTGAGGGCGGGATTTCCTAATAATTGAAAGGGACACGGAAGGTTGAAATTGGGCGGCGATGCTATAGAGTGCGACATGGTTAGCCCGCTATGAGGATCTGAAGGGCCACGGGGTTCTTGGGATGACTTATGAAGAATTCATATAGAATCAGTAGCCAAGGAGAGATAACCTTGCTATGGTTACAAGCCAATATGATGAAATTATTACTTGCACTACGACCGAATAGTAGGATTATTTAGATAAATCACTGGGTTTTGGGAGCGATGACGACTGTTGTTCACGGATTTATTTGTGTTGAGACTGAGCTCGATCATCTATATCATTGCTATGGGTATACCATTAGCCCTGTTCCAATGCTCCGAATCCCCAATCCCATAAACTCCCAAGGTCGAACTTAACGAACATTTACTGCTTGTCGAAGACGTAGGTGAGGTGGCATCGGCCACAGTATTGTCGGTCTTGCATAGCGGCCATGAAGACACCAGCACCGCACTATTAAATGATAATTAGTATATTGGTCATGATAGTTGGTTGTAAAGGAGGGAAGAAAACTCACGGTGTCAGCGGGGCACTCGCGGCGAAGACGCTCAATCTTTCCGTCACCGTCAACCTTGTAGTACTTGAGCACAGCTAACTTGGTCTTCTTGCGCTTGTGCTTGATCTTCTTGGGAGTGGTGTAAACCTTCTTCTTCCTCTTCTTGGCACCACCACGAAGGCGGAGGACGAGGTGAAGTGTGCTCTCCTTCTGGATGTTGTAGTCGGAGAGGGTACGGCCGTCCTCGAGTTGCTTGCCGGCGAAGATCAATCGCTGTTGGTCGGGGGGGATACCCTCCTTGTCCTGGATCTTGGACTTGACATTGTCGATGGTGTCGCTAGACTCCACCTCGAGGGTGATAGTCTTACCCGTGAGGGTTTTGACGAAGATCTGCATGATTGCCTGCTAGGTGGAAGTCGGGTTAGAATATATTACTAGCGAAGAGTGATGAAGAGTGGGAAGTATTTCAGGCTTGGCTGCGAAATTTATGAATATTCGTGATGTGAGTAATGCGCCACGACGCCCGCGACGCAATTAGTCACATCGAAGAATGTGGAATATCATGGTAATTGTGAAGGCGAATTTGATGAACATTCATGTTGATGAATTAAAGCATAAAGAGTAAACGTACCTAGACAATAATACTATTGCCGTCCTAAGCAATCCTGAAGATGATGGATTTGGTTGTAGGAAAAGGGAAGAAAAAGTTCGAGAGTGGGAGGAGCCGCAGAAAGATAAGCCCTGTAGGTTTGGTGGTGCGGTGGGTCCTGGTAGAAAAAGCTTAGGTAATTTAGTCGAATTTACCGATAAAATATCACGTGCTAGGGTTTCCTCCCCCACTTGCCCTTTCACATTAGCACTGCAATCACTAAAATACGTACTACAAGCTTCGTACCTTTTTTTCATTGGATCAATTTATCTTTTCGTGTGTAGCGGGGCACTTGCTTTAGTCAATTCTAAACTTTGCGCACCAATTCAATTCCATCTCGGATTTCTTTGCAACCAATTCTTTTCTTCTCTTCGACAACTCGACAACCGAATTCCGTACGTATCTACTCCTACTTAATCACACCTCGCCTTCTCTACGAAATAATTCTGTTTTCGACATCAGATACTAATACAACAGCAAAACAGAACACCGTCATCATGGTCAAGAAGAGAAAGAACAACGGCCGCAACAAGAAGGGCCGCGGCCACGTCAAGCCTATCCGATGCAGCAACTGCTCGCGATGCACTCCCAAGGATAAGGCGATCAAGCGCTTCACCATCCGAAACATGGTCGAGTCTGCTGCTATCCGTATGATAATTCTATTCCCTTCTTCCCTCCTCTCTTCTCCCATGTTACTTGATTATAGTATGACAATAGCTAATCAATAAAATACAGGTGATATCTCGGATGCTTCCGTCTTCTCCGAGTACACAGTTCCCAAGATGTACCTCAAGCTGCAGTACTGTGTCTCTTGCGCCATTCACGGCAAGATCGTCCGGTATGTCGTCCCGTCGGGAGAACGACTGCGCTCCTTTTGGGCTGCGCATGCGGTCTGAGAAGAGCCTTGGTTGAACCTCGAACGAAGCCAACATCTTCCTCCCCCCTCTTTACTCCGTCGAATTATATCCACTGACAGAATAATTATAGTGTCCGATCACGAGTCGGTCGTCGCAACCGTGCCCCTCCCCCGCGTGTGCGCTACAACAAGGACGGCAAGAAGGTGACTCCCACTCAGACTGCCAAGGCTGCATAAATGCTTCTTTTCGGTGTCTTTAGGGAGTGAATGGGTCAGGGATGCGCCAGGTCATCGGAAACGGTTTTGATTGCATGGTAAAAAAGGACTTCGGAATGATCCTTACAGATAATGACTTTTAACGAATCGAGTCATATTTGCCACGACGTGAATGAATACTTTGCGTTGTTGACCCTATATTTGCGTCTTTGCCTTCGAAGTGACTGCTTATTACCTACCCCGGCCCTTATTTCTCGGCAACCGCTAGTCGAGAGCTGGACGTCTGAATATAGATCTACACGTAGTTCATAGACTTCCCAACTGAGACTGAGCAATACTTAATCAATTCCATTTAGCGATTAACACCATGGGCCCATCATGAAAGCCTCTAGTATGTTCATAATGTAAAATTCGTAATTCGTATCCAGATGATGGATTTATCGATAATCAATGCACCTCTAGATCATATCCATGGATATTTTAGTGGTGAGTAGAATTACTTTCGAAATTTTACTTCGTAATGGACCTTAACAGTACTGATTTTTTAGAGGTCAGAGACCTACAATTATCTTCATCTACTACCCATTCTTACACGAATGATACAAAATTTAAAAAGCGCGTGCTGGAGACTGCTATTTGTGATAATTCGCTATATATTTCGATCGCAAGAGGCAGCAACTAAAGACATATGAAAAAAAAAGAAAAAATTATAACAATTATGTAAAAGTAAATAGCAAAACGATTGGACGAGCAGGGAGTTGAACCCTGGACTTCTCGCAAATTAGCATTAGGATAATGCGAAGCGAGCACTCTACCACTGAGTTACACGCCCTCTAAGACTTATTGGCATGCCATGAAAACTAACTAGCAGATTCGGAGTTTTAATTACCTATACCCTTTAATCATGTCATTGCCCCAACCTGATTGGTTAATATCCCCATATAGTTGCTCAAGATACCGTTTGAAAATAGATAAAAAACAATTGATTGGGACTAAACTTATTCAAATATGCCCTCCTCGAACCAAGACTCAGATATTCATATCATTACACGCCTCCTGTATCAATTCCATCTTACGCCTCAAGCGCCCATCATTCATCATACGGAAACCTAAGCACCGTTATTCATCATTTTCATCCATCACCATCCTCATTCCTTCCTATCATCACGAATTTACAGTCAAACCCCCATGTTGTTGCTGTTGCCTCGCCATGGCACCCCGAGTAATAAAATCACGATTCTCAATCGTAACGCTCTTGGTCATATGATTGACTTTGTACACACCCACTAACCGAGCTGCGAGTTCGAACATATTGTTGCGCAGGGAGATGACGACGAATTGCGCGTTCTTGGTACGCTCTTTGATGTAATTGGCGACGATTGATACCTAAGTACATTATGTTAGCAATTTGAATTCATTACAATAGTTTGTAGAGGAGATGAAAAGGGATGGGAAATACTCACATTCCTGAAATCCAAAGCGGCATCAATCTCGTCCATGACGTACAACGGCGTCGGTTTATAGTGATGCAAGGCAAACACCAGCGCAAGACTAGATAGCGTCTTTTCACCACCACTGAGGTTGCTAATGTTCTTCCAACTCTTCTTCGGTGGCATGACAGAAAATAGGATTCCTTCGCTGAAGGGGTCAAGACTGTCAACAAGTTCCAACTCAGCGTTACCACCCATTGTAATCATTTGGTACATCTCCTTCAATCGAAGAGAAATGGTGCTGAAGCCCTCCATGAAGCCTTCTAATCTGAGTCGGCGCAGATCGTCGCATCGCTTCTTCGCAGCATCGCGCTGTTGAACGGCACTAGCAAGATCAGATGATCGAGCCGCATGCTCTTCGACTCGGCGGCGGTATTCCGACAAAACACTGACATCTACATTGACGTTTTGCGTCTTCTCTTCAAGAGCAGCAATCTCAGCCTTCAGGGTGTCCTTGTCCATATCCTTCAATTCATCTTCAGTGAATCGCGGAAGTTCCTCGGGCTGTTCCTCTTGCTCTTGTTCTTGCTCCTTTTCGTCTTCCTTTTGACCTTCGGCTGTTTCTTCTTGACCCTCCTCCGAAGTGGATTTCTTAGCCGGCGGTCCGCTGAGATCGCTGACATTTTGAATGACAAGCTTGCCTAACTTCTCGTCCCAGTAACGTAGACGCTTCTGGTTTTCAACGAGCACCTTTTGGTTCTCCTCGAGCTTATTTCGCATTTCGATTTCGACAGCTCGGGTCTCGTTGAGTTCCGAGGCCTTCTCGTCCAGCTCAGCTTTTAGTGTATATAATTCCTTTTTCTTATTTCCTAGTTCCGCCTCGGCTTCCTCGACACGAGCATTTAAGGATTCGGACTTGCTACCTTGGTTTTCAACTTCCTCTTCTAATGCCTCGAGATCGCGCGCTGCAGCTTCTAGCTCTCTTGTGGCCTTTGCATGGTCCTTTTCGAGCTTCGTTTTGGACTTTTCAGCCTTGGCCTTCTTTACTTCGGCGTTAGAAGTCTCTTCGTTATGTGAAGCTATTTCTTCCTTGATGGAATCCACCTTCGCACGTTGGGCGCGAAGCTTCTCACCACCAACTTCCATAATCTTATCCTGTAGCTCCTTAATCTCCGCTTCCACACCTTCGGTCTCGGCATGGAGTTTTGCGATCTCTTTGTTTAGCTTAGAGATTTCCTTCTGTAGGGCTGCTACTCTGTTGTCGTCAGACTGGGATGGTTGATGTTCTTTGCTTAGCTCCTTCACGCGTCGCTGGGCATCCGCCAAGTTCTTATCGGCGCTTTGCACTTCAAGACCGATTTTCTGCATCTTGGTATCCAATTGGGGTATTTGATCTTTCAAATACCTTAGACGAGACTCTAACTCTCGCTGATGGCCTTGGAACTCTTGGAATTTCTGCTCAATAGAGTCACGGTCACTCTCTAGCTTGGCGACTTGCTCCTTAGTCGTATCGCCCTCAAGCTTGCTAGACATCAGACCTCTTTTGACAGTTTTTCCACCTCCAGACATGGTACCACTCGTATCGATGAGTTCACCATCGAGCGTGACCACTCGCCATCTCTTGATACCATAAGCGATCCGTTTGGCCTGGGCTAAGTCTTTGGCGACCAGAGTATTCTGTAATGAATGATAGAATGCGGGTCGGAATTTGTCTTCCTTGGCTTTGATTAGGTCAAACAGACGCGGAGCATTCTCGGGCGTCTGTATAGGCTGCATCTCGCGCACGCGCAACTTGCCCAAACATATAAAGTTGCCACGTCCGAGGTTGGTCTTTCGTAGATACTCCATGCATTGCTGACCAGCGGCTACAGCATCGGTAACAAAGCTGTCCAGGGCAGGACAGGCAGTAGAAATAGCAACATCATATTTCTCATCGATGGTGCCAAGGTTTCCTAGACGTCCATGGAAACCATCAATTCGTCCAGACTCCTTCATTCGCATTAAGGCCGTTAAAACGTTGCCTCGATTTTGATTCTGTGAAAGGCTAGATCTCGCTTCCTCCGCCTTCTGCCTGGCATTCGATACCCTGGAACGAACATTAGGTTCCATCTCTGCCATGCTTTCTAGATCGGCGGCAACCTTCTTTGCCTCTTTTTCTAACTTCGCCTTTTCTGCTTGGCACTCTTCTAACTCAGCAAGTTTGGCGACGCGACCTTCTTCGATTTTAGCGATCTTGGTCTGTACCTCTTCGAGCGCAACAGCGCCAGCATTAGCCTTCTCTTCGAGGATAGCCAATTCGGACTCCGCCACAGCAATGGCGGACTGCTTCTGGTTGATCTTTTCATTCCAGGGCTCCAAAGACTTCTGCTTAGCAGCTATCTGATCCGAGAATACCTGAGTCTTGCCTTTCAGACTATCTCGAATTGTTGCAAGTTCGGCCTCTTCTTCTTGCACGCTTTGTTCAAGGGTTGCGATCTCCTCGGCGCGTGAGGCAATCTCCTCGGTACATTGCTCGATTGTCTCCTCAGCCTCGGTTGTAGACTTTTCGGCATTGGCGATCGTCTTTTCGAGCTTCTTCTGTTTGTCGTTTAAGAATTTTCTCTTCTCATCAAATTTGACCCTTTCTTGTTCAAACTTGGCGGCCTCCTTGACGAGAGTTTGAACGTTCTTCTCCTGAGACTCAAATTCCTTTGAACCCTTAGCATATGCCTTCTGTAGCTGCTTAATCACCTGTTCGCTACCCTGATGTTTCTCAAGCTCTTCATCAAGCTGAGCTTGCATCTGGCTGATCGCTTCTTCAGTAACGTTCACATTATTGTTGCATTCGCTAATGTAGAGTTGGTATAAGGCTGACTGCTTTAGGGTAAGGTCGTTCTCGTCGCGGATATAGGCCAAAGCTTTGTTTTTCTTATCTTCAAGACTGTTCTTCTCCTTTTCGACGTGCTGGACACGTCCGCTCTTTTCCATGCAGACTTCATTGAGGGTCTCGACCTCAGTTGCTGCCTCTTCAATAGGCGTCTTATACTTGGACGTGCCGATGATATCTTCGAGGTACTCTAGTAAGCCGTCTTCATGTTCGTTGGCGGCTTTGGCTTTCATTTGAGCAATGGACTCAACTTCACCTTGTAGAATAAGAAAACGCTTGTGATCGAGATCGATTCCACGGTCGCGGAGAAGAGTAGTCACAATAGTGAAGTTGGACTCGTTGCCATTGATGTAATATTTGCTTGAGTTATTCTTAAACGCTTTTCTCGAAATGACAATTTGGGAATTAGGGATGATTTCCGTTCCACCACCCGGCTAGAAATACAATCAGCATGCTATCTTCGTGAGACGATGTGTTCGATTACTTACCAAGTCCATAACCTCCTGAAAGTGGACTGCCACCTCACAGTGATCTAGATCTGGGTGGGCGGCGGAGTTGTGGATTAATGCAGAGATCTTGCCTTGTCGCATCTTGCTAGCTCTGAATCCAAAAACGAAAAGAAGCGAGTCGATGACGTTCGATTTACCAGAACCGTTCGGCCCAACAACAGAAGAGAATGAGGAATGGAACGGGCCAACTTCCTGTCGCCCGGCATAACTCTTGAAGTTGTTCAGAATTAGGTATGTAATAACGATACGAGGCTTAGGTCCCGTATCTTCGACTACCGGTACCGCCATCTTGCGCGACTTTAGGACAATATCCATAGGCTTCTCTAGGACGGTATCCATTGGCCGAATAGGCTTAACTTGAGTAACAGTCTCATCACCAGGGTGCTCCTGTTCGTTGATACTCTGGCTGGTGATATCAGCCAAGGGCGTACCATGAAGTTCGGATGGTTCTTCGGACTGGGCTGGAGTTGGCATATGAGGTTGACTATCGGGCGTGGTCTCCTTGCTGACTTTGCGAGGCGCAACACTTTTCCGCTTTCTAGGTGAGGTTTTCTTCACAGTAGTTGGTTCCGGACCGATGACGGTTGCAGCAGTTTCGTCGGGATCAAGGACTTCGCTTGCCTCACTCTGTTCGATAGATTGCTCCGGCGCGACGCTCTTCCTGACTCGAGGCGTGCGCGGTGTTAGAGGCATCGTAGACTTCCTCCTACTCTGGGTTTGGCGGCGCGAAGATTTTGAAGTAGAAGCCTCGGGAGCGAATTCCTCTTCGCTTTCTTCTTCCTTTATTCTTTTGGTGGTATTCGCGACGGCATCATCCGAATCGTCCGACTCAACGATAGCTGCGCGTCGCGCCGCGGCAGCACGACGAGTTGGTCGTGTAGACATTGTTGGTGGTAGTTGGGTATAATTATGGAACGAAACGAAGTGGGTTATTAATTCGTGTATTATCGGGATCGCCTAATTTTCAACGTGATATCGTGGCCCTATTCTACCTAACTATTTATTTGATCAGTTAGTTGTCGTCGTTATTGTTGTTGATGTCGACGTCGAGGGTATTCTGTTGGATATTGACATAAATGATGGAATAATAAATGGAATAATAAATTAAACTAGGTGGGTGGATCCTATTCGAAAGTAAACATAAACAACCCTCCTCCTTCCTTCTCCCCTCCTAACTCCACACCCCACTACCAATATGGATTAGAGTTATTACTAAGCTCGATTAAGTCGCGTCACACAACAGGGACGCGGGTCACCAAGCTTAAGCTCTTTTCTCCGACAATTTACCGGCGCATCTCTCAATTCAATTCCATGTGCCCATTCCGTTTTCTTTCTTCTACAATTCAAATACCAAAGAATCACTAAAGTTTCGCTTTGAAATACCGAAGTTTGCTTAATTAAACCTACGATCGAAATCAGAATGCTTCAGCCTTCCGAGTTTGACCGTTTTTTCGGCACTCTTAATCCCTTTCCATACGATCGCCCTGCGATTCAACAAGTCGAAGCCTCCCGTAGAAGTCTAGAGGGATCTTTATTCATTGATCGGGTTTTAAAAGCTCTCAATTTATCCAGAAGTAAATGCCCACCTTTTATCTTTATTTGATATTATTTAGTCACTAATTCCGATTCAACTGCAGCTACTAGTCACTATCCCCCAAAGAACAAGGAGGCCCTTCGACAGCTCTATATCCAGATTTGCGAGAGCAGAAGCGCGACGATTCACCACAAAATATCAGTAGTCTTCTATCTCCTCCTTGACATTGACGCTCGAAATGATACCCAACAGGCCGAATCCTTTGCTCAGCGTGCCAGTATGCCGAATAAATATAGGATATTTATGAAAGGCTTATGGGAAATGGATGCGCAGCATTTTGACGTCGCCTTACAATACCTTACGCACCCTTCGCTAGAACCGGACTTCGTCGACGATATAATTACCGTCCTCATTCGCCACGCCAAAAACGGCGACTACACCCTACCTCTCGCCTACTACCATTCTGTTCAACCCATAATTCAGTCATCCACAGCATTAGAACTGCTGTTCGGGGCCCTTGCAAAGTCCAGTGTCATTGATGCATTCCAATTCACACGATCACATTCCGATATTATGCGTCACCAACTATTTCAACGCCTAGTTCTATCCGTGCTAGAGTCTCCGCGGAACGATGAATCGGCCGAGAGAGCACGTGATTTAACAAGCTTACCATTCGATGCGGAGGAAGAGGAATGGTTCAAGGAGTGTTTGGAAAGTGGTGAGGGTAAGAGATTGGCAACAGCCAAGGACACCCTCCTTATGCGCAAAATTGCTACGGGGCATGTTGGGTCTGGAGGCGAAGCAGGTACTTGGGCTGTTGTCTTGGAAGGATTTAAGACAGGGAGCGGAGGGCGTGCTCAAGCTTAATCCAGCCAGATCCATTGAGCCAGAATTTGATTTCTTGAGGAATGCATAGCACCGGCGTTAAGGATTTGCTGGACTTAATATCTTTGTTGGAAGTTGGCAGCGTCACGTTTCTAGGCTTTTCCCGGCAATTAAATCCTGTTTGCCAAAGCAGGCTGCATTTTTCGAGGTCCGAGACAAAACAGATCGGAAGTTATTTTTAAAGTTCGGCATATCCCCCATACTTAGACAAATTCCGATGTTCAATTCCGGAGCCACATGCATGCTAGAGATTCCTCATTATACACGGCTGTGTACTTCAGCCTACCTAGGTACCTAATATTACAGATTTTTACTACCTCAGCTATCTACCACTAAAGAACCAATATAAAAAGTATTACGGTAACGACGATGAAAATCGCCAAAAAATACTCCGAATCGGGGAATCGAACCCCGGGCTTGACGGATCCTTTGATTGTTTAAATCATGAGAGCGTCAAATGTTAGCCACTACACCAATTCGGATTAGAATTTTGGCGGCTTATAAGTACCTATATACTACACTCAAGGATGCGACTGACCGTAATAGCGCTCATGCAGTTAAACTCCGATAAATCCGGGGAAGTCCACGTAATTTGCATCCTTAGCCCCCTGACTATAACTTTAATCCTAAGAAATACAACGTCATTTTCTTCGTGGATCTTCAGACTTGTCACTTAACAATTACAAGGCAATTTTGATATCAAATCGATATATTCATAAAGAATATTATCATTCAAAAATGTCACTTAGTAAAATATATCGATCAGTAACATCACGATCTAATTATATCCCTATCTATTCGAGTATGGATTTATTTACCAATCACTATCTCTCACAAAAGGCAGCACCACATGAGCACCATCAGTAGCATCATTTCACCGCGCCGTACCAATGTTCCAACAACATTAGCTGTGCCACTTGTATAAGATATCGGTTTACCACTAGTAAGCAGCTAATAGGAATCTATATATCCACGGATCCATGAATGTTGGTTCTAGTAGGGCTGATCGAAGTCACTAATGGACAAGGGTACAGCGGTCTGGGGAGAGACCCCAGAGACATAGCAGCACACAAGCCATGACTATGCTCCCTTTTTCTCTCTTTTCTCTTTCCTCTCGCCCGTCATATTCCCGGCTTCCTAACGGATATGCGTTATCGGATAATAATTTCCATCTCGTCATACCTAGTACAACAGACAGTAAATCGCTAATTATCTAGGCACATGTTTGAACAATAAAGATACCTAGGCATCTTTTTCAAGTCTCCCTTTCGACCCAACACTAGGTTATAAACGCGATACGAAAGCTGACGAGCTGAGTATCTTTTAATACCTAGGGATGAATACATATTCTACGGTTATTGGGCAGCTCGGTAGAAGTATGCTTCTTCAACCAATTGAATCTATTCGATTTCATCACATAGGCTACCTACAGTATGTAGGTCTTACGTTGCAACGGTCCACTCTACATATCCCTGTATACCCCGACAGCCCGGACCATAATATTCACCAAGGTTGTCACCCAGGTTGATCTACCATGCGCCTCGGTTTCGTATAGACCACGTTCAAGGATATGTCAGCACCACGTCGCAACATCGAAACCTACTAATCACGACAAACTACAGAGTGAGAACGCTATAGCATAAGTACTACAGAATCTCCCCCATCACTAAACCAGTCACCACCCCAATGGCCATATCGATTCCTAGAGCTTAGCTACTCCTACACACATCGTAGTCCGCCTCGACGGAGAGTTTATGGGAAATCTTTTCAACATGGCATCGACAGTCGAGGATATTTTTTCTCTCTTGCAAGAGCCATACGCGCTTCCTGCAGTTTACTCCATCGCCGCATTATCTATATTATATCTTCTCTATCTTTGGGTTCTGCCAAAACCCATCCCTGGTATTCCCTATGATGAGAGTGCCAGACGCAACCTCTTAGGCAATCTTCCTGAGATTCGAGAGTATGTACGCAAGACCGGACGCCTACGGCCATGGATAACTTCGCATCCAGCTCGACTCAACTCAGCCCTGACGCAAGTCTGGCTAGGTCCATTCCAAAAGCCGGCTCTGATTCTTGCTGATTTCCAAGAAACTCAAGATATGCTACTTCGACGAGGCAAGGAGTTCGATCGGAGCAAAAGGAGTTACGACATCTTCCGCGGTATTATTGAATATCATCACATTTCCATGTCTTCGACCGATCCACGGTTCAAAGGGAATAAAGAACTCGTAAGAGACTTAATGACGCCAGGTTTCCTAAATGAGGTAAGTTCTGCTCGCGTCGATAACACAGCCGTCAAACACCCTTTGGTTTTTAGCTAAACGAATACATAGGTTTCAGCGCCACAAATCTATGCGAAAACCATGACCTTGATCGAGCTATGGGCACTTAAGTTCCGTCTTGCCGGTGGCCATCCGTTTGAAGCGAAGGAAGATCTTTCGGACGCAGCAATCGACATGATCAACGCCGCCGCTTTCGGTCTGGATGAGAGCATGAGCACGGTCAAGAGTCAACTAGATGCACTTACCGCCTTGAGTGGCCAGAAGTTCTCGGCGAGTGCGGATGGCTCAGTCGAATTCCCTCGCGTACCTCAAAAGCCGGAAATAACGGCGATAAGAGCTCTTGGGACTCATCTTGGAGAGCAGTCTCACAGCACAAATCCCAAATTCAAGCACTACTACAAGTTGCTTTTCCATCCTACCTTCACTAATGACATCGCACTGAAAGACAAATTAATCCATGATGAAATTGAAAAGGCTTTAGTACGTCTGCAGGGAGAAGAGGGTGAGACCCGCTCGGCTATGGACCACATTATTCAGCGAGAGATCAATTCGGCAGCCAAAGGGGGAAGAACACCCAGCTTTCACTCTAGAAGGGTTTATGACGAGGTTAGTTTTCTGTCAGCACATCTATAAAGCTCGGTATACTGATCAGCCTATTTTTAGCTCTTTGGATATTTCCTAGGAGGTCATGAGACCAGTTCAACAGCCCTATACTGTAAGTAACACTACAATTGTCAGCATTGAAAACTCGGCCAACCTAGCCGGAAGCTGGCTAGCTCTAGACATATCATGTCTCGATATACTAAGCTAATATTTTGTCAATAACAGGGATCGTTAAAAATTTGGCCGACTACCCTGAAACCCAAGAGAAGCTGAGGTCAGCACTCCGATCGGCATATGCCGTGGCATACAAAGAGGGTCGCCAGCCATCTGTTACAGAAATTACTAAGAACGCAGTTCCATATCTCGATGCCGTGATTGAAGAATCTCTTCGTATCAATAGCCCGTTCCCGCTTACAACCCGACAAGCCAAAGTTGACACTATCCTACTCGGTCGCAAGATCCCTAAAGATACAATGGTCTTTCTGACCTGGGACGGGCCAGATTTCAAAAGCCCCGGGATCCCGGTTGAGGAGGACATGCGTAGCGAACGCTCTCGTCAAAAGTATTTGATCGGACACTGGGATCCTACCGACGTGCACCTATTCAAGCCTGAGAGATGGCTCAAGGTAGATGAGGACGGTAAGGAAGTTTATGATTCCCAATCCGGTCCTATCCTCGCGTTCGGTCTTGGTCCAAGAGGATGCTTCGGCAAGAGACTTGCTTACCTCGAACTGCGTACTGTCCTCGCATTACTCGTTTGGAACTTCCAATTCAACGTGCCGCCTGGAGAGCTTGGTTCGCGCTCGGTATATGACAGCTTTACGACAGCTCCCCTCAATTGCTATGTCGCGCTATCGAAAGCTGACAAAAGACTATAAATGCGGGGACTATTAGGATGGGTTACAGCGTTGATCGCATGCTTAACTTGATATCAGAGAAAAGACATTGAACATTGAGGTGCCTAAGCCCAACTGCTTCAACTTTAGTCTAGGCCTCCGCTTTAGCAGCCTCGAAATTCTCATACTGTACAATTAAATCTCAAGTATTTTCTTTTCTCGATGAATATTAATAATAAATTTCGGCTGTCTCCCCTTTGGCCCCCAAATTGATCATCTGCCGATAGTGTCGGAGATCAGCACCACCTGGTAATGTCCGTCCACGTCGGTGGCGTCAATCTCATGAATTCTGTATCACACCAGCCATCTCCATTCAATGAAGCCAGCTAATATAAGCTCGGAATAGAAGAATGGAAAGGTTGATATCCAGGTAGTCGTCGATATGGATTTATTGCACTAAAGCATGTTGAGATACCCTCAACCTACTATCATTCATTGTTAGTATACCCAGACTATAACCCTGGCCATTCAGATATGCACGACCCGTATATTACTTCACGAGCCTATACCGCAAACGATGGCCATTATAAATATAGCACACACCCCTACCTAACCAATAGGCGGTCAGGTATACTCTAACCCAAACACCTAAGGCAGCCACAGCATAATCGGCACACTGCCGCAATCCTTCTCAGCCTCAGAGGAGGAGGGAACCTAAATGATACAACAACATGCGTTGATTTTTATCTATAGCCTTAGCTAGGATAATGTCGAAATATTTCTACGATATGGACATCTTATAACCATATTACTTGAGGCATACCTAGGTATTACTTAAATAACTTGTAGAAATTGTAGTGGGAAATATGGCGGACCCGCTCTCTATGGTCGCCAGTGTCGCGGGGGTTATCGCCCTCGCGGCATCGACGGCGAGAACAGTTACTTCCATGATTCAAGAGATCCAAGATGCACCCGAAGAAATACTTCATATTCGTCGCGACGTGCAGAACTTATCCGCAGTGCTTGGGTCTATCCAGGAATTATGCGGGAGATATGACTTACCCTCGGAGGAGCCTAAATTGGTGGAGAGCATGGCGGAGTGCCTCAGTTTATGTCAGGATAGCATGCAGTCTATTCGAGTGGTTTTAACACCACTGTCTGGAACTGCAAGTGGGAGGAGGAGCCCGATGAGGATGTTTGGTTGGATTATGAAGAAAGGTGAAATCCGGACGTTGAGGGAGAGGCTGCAGGAGAGTAAGGCGAGCTTGAATATCACTATATCAACACTTATCGGGTTCGTATCATCTACTCAGAAGTACCTTGCCAATTGATGTGCTAATTCAACTCGCAGAGCTCTAGAAGGAAAAGGGCAGGATGAAATTAGGAGCGATGTTAACAATGTTTACCAAAAGCTTGTCTCCGAAATTCGCAGTCGCGACAGTGGAAGGAGGCTTAAGAAACGAATGGAAGACGATGTGGCCAGTGTGTCGGCCTCTGGGGGACGACGTCGATCTATATCCGACTCAACAGACGCCGGGTTTGCTTTGAACAGGTACTTCGATCAATTACCAGAACCATCGCAATCCCCCCAAAGCTATCAATCTGAGGAAGGCCTACTTCGCCCATACTCATCTACACCAACCAATCTACTCGAAGCAGTTAGAGCGAGAGATAAGGATGGTGTGATTCGTCTCATCTCAAGTGGCAGTCCAACAACTGGAAGAACACAAGACGGACAAACGGCACTTCATCTATGTGCTATATATAACGACTTGGAAATGGCGCAAGTCCTGTTGGATCATGGTGCGAATATCAACGCGAGGGATGATCATTTGCGCTCACCCCTGAGCGTTGCCCTTTCATCGGAAGCAATAAGCGTGGCTAGTCTTCTGGTTCAGAAAGGATGCTCCCTTACAGGCTGCCTCGAAATGATATTCCCCTTGACCCAAAGGCTAGAAGAGATACCCGATATCGAGGAGCTCCTCAAAAGCATAGCTCCCAAGTTCAACAAGTTGACCACAGGCCCATATCTAGTCCATCAAGCAGTCGAATTAAACGATAGGCAAAGTCTAACTGCCCTCCTTTCCGCCGGCTTCGATCCAAACATAAGGAATAAATATGGACTTCCTCCTTTATACGAAGCAATGTTGCTGCAGCAACATCAAACTGTTCGATTACTCTTAAATCACGGGGCTAACCAGAACGATTTCCTTCCTGGGGAGACACAAGATAAACTCGACAAGGATATTCGCATACACGCGAGACTTTCTGGTTGGATAAGCGCGGATGCTGGTATTATCCCTTTGGTAGTTGCCGGAAGGGTACTGAGGGATGCCGAAATGACACGCATATTGTTGGAAAGTGGTGCGGATCCGAATTTCTTGTTCCCGTCAAATGGTGAGTACTACCTAATAAGATGACTTGCTATGATATCGCACTAACATGCATCAAGGAGGTGTAACGCTCAGCGGCTTAGGCGACATCGAGTATCTCGAATGCGCCAAGCTCATAATCGAGGCCGGTGCCGATGTTCATATAGGAGGTAAATCCGGATTAGACCCTTTCTACTGGGCTAATGCGTGTAGGAACCCGGAATTGATAGAATTCATGCTCAATCATGGAGCAGACGTCAATCATTCTTATAACGACGAAAACCCGACGATACTTTTCAGGGTCGCTAGATGGGGTTACGATGACTCTGCTGAGATCTTAGTAAGATACGGCGCTGACCTAACTGTGAGGAACTATGAGAAGAAGATGGCATTGGATATTGCGCGCGAGTATCAGCGGCATGAAGTCGTCGCGATCTTGGAGAAAGCAGGGGCTAAATGAACCAACCGACGAATTGAGGAGTTAGGTGGCCGATCGATTGAGAGGACCGCATTGACTTAAGAACTTCGTCTAGAATAAAGGGGGTGAAACGTGGTCCTTCTCTTCAAGAACTACCAACCGGCAAGAGTATAATTCGAGACGCAAAAGACAGACAGAAGATATGATTAATTTCCATGCATTAAATGCTACCATATGCTCATGAGCCTATCTATAACACCCCATGCGTGGATCCCATGATTCTATGTATGGTCTCCACCATCATCACCTATTATTCCCCTATATCACTACTTCTAGTCAGAACATTCGTGTGTACGAATTACCACATATATCATCCCGAATAAGCTGCTGCCACCAAAAGATCAACCGCAGCCTCTTGTGTGCCAATCGTGACACTGTCATACGGACCCTGCCACAGAAACCCATAGAAATCCGATCCATTTCGCGCGTTTTCGTACGCTGTCTGGGCATTATCCGCGATGAATGATTGGTATGGATGATCATCCAGCGCAGCGTCGAGCTTCCCTAGCTCCCGGATAAAGATACCCTTGAACGCCGTACCGTTAGGTTCGCACTCCTCTTCGCTGGAACACGGTTCCGTCACTATGCCACCTTGAACTATTGTTGCGCTATTAATCGCGGCATCTGCAATCGCTCGCGCTGTGTCGAGATACGTCGAGTCTCCCGTCGCCTTATTAAGCTCGACTAGACCACCAAGAATCACTCCTTGATTATACGACCACGTCGTCGCCCCGTTATTAACGCATGCGGTGTTATCCGTGAGTCCGTCATTGACGAGGTTCTGGCTGTTTATCATACCGCTATTATTGAACCATTCCCATTCCATCAGACTGTGATTCAAATACAACGTGTCGCCAGGAATTAGATTGTGTAGCTTCGCCGTTAGTTCCAGGTATAACTCGTTGCTGATGGCATTATGGTAAGTCCCATTAGGAATATTCCATATAAGGCCACCTCCACAAGTCGTAGTATTCCAATAGTCGAACATATAAGCTTCGTCCTCCTTAGCGATAGTCAGGTACTCATTATTTCCGGTAAGTTCGTATAGACTCGTCATAGCCAGTGCCCACCAGCCCGTATCATCAGTACTGTCGGCGCGGAAGTCACCGCCGCCTTCCGGCCACCAAGAGAGTGGCGCTCGTTGGATATCAACCGTATTCTCCGCTTGGTCGAGGTAATCCTGTGATCCCGATTTGAGCATATACTCTGAGAGAGCCCATAATGCGACACCACTCTGCCACCATGAAGACCCGGTGTTGTTGGGGTCCCAAAGACCCGTCGAGCTATCATATAGATCCATCATCGCATCCACAGCCGCCCGAGCCATGTCCGCGTCAGAAATACTCGAAGAGTTTCTAGGAATCATCGTCCCAAAGACCGGGGAATAAAACGAAAGGCAACAGCATATCGTCCACCAGAATAGTGTCGACATATCTGCATGTTTCCAGAACGATGGTGCGTAGGTAATATCAAACCCAATATCCCAATCAAACGAGTGTCTTAAAAGAGCGAAGGTAGGTAAAGATCGTGTTGTTTTGGCAAGACGTCAAATGTCGAGCCTTGTTTGAGCCTGGCTCGTCAGGAATTTATATGAATTCGGCATATTCGGAATATACGGGCTGGGTGTTTAGACGCGCGACACATTCGATTTCGAATCAGGGGTTTTTAGTCACGTTTTCTTAATATCTAGGCGGGTTCCTTGGCTGTTATCTCTTCGATCCGATGCAACATTTAAGCGCCCTGCACGTCAATTCTCCGTTCCCATGTACGTAGGAAAAAGAAAAAAGGTATTCTCCGAACTGTCGTGATCAGAATCGTTCGAATTACCTATCTTACCAAGATTAAATTGAATCTTAGCCTGCCGATAGGATACGAGGATCAAGAAGCCACCCGTCCTTAATTCCCTTTCCCCCTTACTCACGTAAGGATTATAAGAGGTTAGGTACTGAGATGGTATTATTTGAGTTATCGGACTATTTTGCTGCAGCTGCAGGAATATATGGTCCTCTCGACGATGATTGGTAGAATCAACTCCGCCCATTAACAAGAGTTTTAATATACGTTGTCATGCATCGGCTTACGACGCCACAAGATAGGGGGTGGTTGGGAGATGATAGGGGTAAAACCACAAGGGAGAGAGAGAGAGGTTCGGCTCGAAGCGCGCTGGGCGTACGGCCAAGTTTGACAGCATTAATACGGGAGTGACACGACCCCTTGCATCAAATATCGGAATGAAGAAATTCAATTTGAATCACGGTTTGATATGCATGCAAGGAAGTCGTACGTAAAGCCTAAAGTTGCATCTGCCGGATAATAAATACTACATACATGTATTATATACATCCTCCCGTTCCTTGTCACATACATGGATTTATCTCTCTTTTCTCACATGCCTATTCCCACGTGATTGTATAGATATTTCATCATGACCGGGTAAGACCATAGGTAAGGCCATTCATGCATCCTAGCATGAGAGATTGACGATCTCCGACTCCAATGGTAATATAATGGCAAGACGGGTCAAGCGGGTGAGACTGATCCGCGATCTACTGCAAGTCATTTGTATATGCCGGTAGTGTCTACACCTTTATAGGAAAAGATCAGCAGAAATAAATAGAAGGTGGTAATTGTTGTGGAGCGTATCGATCCCCTTCCCCCTGTCTGTAAATTGGCGTTACGTACACCAGTACTTATATTTCACGATAGCTACCATTTATATATAACCATTGTCTCGTTGTGGCTTAACGAAGCGTTAACAGCGAAGGGAGCGATTCGCTTTGGTAAAAATAAGCGCTAATTTCTTTGGTCGTATAATTGATACAGCGATTATATCTCAGGAACGGCGGCGACATATCAAAAATACCTAGGTAGATTTGCTTTTAGGCGTCGAGGAAGGACAAGCAACAATTTCATGGAATTAATTCATATTAATCATGGGCTTCCCAAGTTTCAAAGGGTAGAGATTATAACCAACCCACCCAACCTCATGGACTTTTCGCCTTCATATCGGCGTTTATTCTTACACATTAAAAATCATTTACGTATTCCTTCATCCATTACTCCCCAATACCTAGGTGCCTATCCCCGATTGTCCAATCATGTTGGTTTGTAATACCGTGGCTCATTGAAAACGTGATACTGGTGCCCTCTGACGCCTTTGCCTCTAAACAGCGCTGGAAATCTCCAACCTTCAGGAACATCGCGTTCCTTAACTTTGCGATTTCTCGCACTTGAATTACTCTCTAAATCTTTAATTTGTTCTTTCTCCTCTTGACTCTTTGGAACGACGAACTTCGCAACTTGCAGTTCGGTGTCGGTGATAGTACTTCGGGATACTCTTGCATAGCCTACTCGTTGAAGATTCTTGTATATAATGTATTCGCACCAACGATCCCAATCGCTCGGATCTACGTCGTGCATTCCGGAAATATCGGATACGTATGTATTATAATTGCCTTGAAGAGGTTTAGTAACGAGGTAGGAGAGTAGAATTGAAGGCCTTGGAGAAGAACCCATGAGTTTGGAAAGGTACTCTGTCTGAAGTCGACGATCTTCAGGATCTTCTTCTTGTCCGGAATGGAAAACGAATACATCTACCAGTTCGCCGTAGACGTCGAGGGTAGCATGAATAGCCGGCGCAAGTTCGCCTACAGGCGACGGAAGGAGATGATGAGTTGAGTTCATAATCGGGAATTTGGATAAGAGTGCTGCGCCCCAAGTATGCTTGTTGGGTCCGGGGCCATAGTCGACATACATCTTCAGGTCCTCTGCGAGAAATTGAGTCGTATCCCTATTCCCCATAATAATACGTTGCAAGTCAGACTCCAACAAGCCAATAACGTCAATCTCAAGCTCTTTAATCAAATCACGCATGCGATACTCGGAAGACCACATGTCGTTATCAAGAGAGAAATGGATAGTCCAGATGCCGGCAGTGATTAGTCTCGATTCTTCGTGGTAGGGCTTATAATCATACGTAGGGAATCGTCGGTACGCCGAAGCGATAAAGAATAAGTTGATTATACCAAGTGCTAATGTATGATATTTGCGGTGTTGTGCTCGGGCGGGTCGCGCATGAGGTTGTTGACGCTGCGAATTAATTGATGTGAGATTAAATACGCCAGCACCAATAAGTAGCATCATCGTGGTCATAATCCAATCTGTATGCTCGCGAACGAGCGGTCCTCCGGGAACAAAGGCATAAGCCACTACCCAGACGTGGAACAAAACCATTACATTGTAGAGGAAAAATCCAAGACCAAAGGTCGTCCCTGGGCTATCCTTGGAAGCTGCGATGAGTAAAGGAGAAGCGATGGCTGTTAGGTAAAAGGCAGTAGTGACAGCACCAAGATAACCGAACCAGTTTGGGTAGAGAGTAAGGATAGCTGCTCCAACGCACCCGACGCCGTAGACCGACCAAGTGCTGACGAGCTTGGGGAGACGAATTCCCGTCAGCAAGCCGGCAGTCATAGCTGCCACTGTGAACCAACCATGGGGGACCGAGAGAGGCCCTCGCACTGGATAGCCCTCCCATACCCATAGAATCATGGTACTTGTGTCGGAAAGGAGAGAGTGTAAACCGAAGAATACGCCAGCGACACCAAAGGCGGCCAGGAACTTTGAACCATCATGCTTATCGTTTGTGGCCGCGCCAGTATTCAACGGCGCTTTTCGGGTGAACCTCAACGTTGCCAAAACTGCCAATACCAACCCCACAACGTTGTAACCACCGTTTTCGGCGTGCATTATGGGCCATATTGGGTTATTAGTTTGCCAAGCAAACTTCACGGCTGAAGACATGACTAAGCCGACGAGCCAAGCCAGTATTTTTGATTCGAGCCTGGCCTCATGGACTGACTCGGAGTAAAGCGTAGCAGCCCATGACAGACATGACACCGCAACGGCAAAGCCAACGGTAAAAAGTCTGAATGCCGGATCTTTGACTTGCCACGCAAGAAGTCCCACGAGCGATAGAAAATGGAACGAGCGTAGGTTATGGATGACGAATGACCGGACTGATCTAATGCCAAGCAGCAAGGGTGAGATCGTTGACATGACAAATGCTTCGTAACCCGAAATACCCATATACCACAGCGGGAAGTACCAGATAACGACGCCCATGCCTGTAAGCATAGACCAGAAAACGAATCCATGATAGACTTCGGCGGCGGTGTCGAATATCTCAGGCCAGGAGAACTGGACGTTGAATATACCAGCGGTAGCCTTCTCCTTTTCTTTCTCTATAACGGCGGTCGGTTGATATGAGACATTGGCTCTGCGAAATTGTTAGAAGAGCGATTCAGGGAAACCTAATCGATCGCTTAGCCGTATAAAACTCGCTCGGACTAGCATGCGTATGAATCTCTATATAGTGATAAGTGGCTCGAATTGAATGGACGGCAGGCTCATTCCAGGCCTGGCCGTCTTTGAAGACGCTATGCTACATTGAATGGGCTGAATATCAAGTCACATTCGTCAAACATGGCTTGTCTCTCCGCATATAGATGTCGCAGAAGCTAGCGTCTAGGTCATTGAAAAGGTGAACTGTTCTCGCAGGCGAGCTTGTCTACCTTAGAATGCCTAGTTTGCGGTGGTAGTGGTGTGGGTGATGAAGGGCAGTGTCGTCCAGTTTAGCTAATTCACGCAACGATCGATGGTGTTATCTACTTGAGAAACGCAATACCGAGAGGCTGTCGCATGCAGTCCGAGCGAGGAAATACGATGTGCCAAAATTTACCTAGGGAGCCATTGTACATACCCCTTACTCAAACCCTTTACATCCTTGACTACTATTTCGAAAGTGTCGAAGTCGAGGGCGGTAACGGCATCAAACGCGACGTCAAATAGAATGAGAGACCATTCGAAGAACGAGTAAGTAGTGTAAGCTGCGAATAATGAGCTATGATATCCTTTAAATTGTAGTATAATATTGACCAACCTCCTGCTACTCGGTGGACCTTATGTTGTATGAAGAAGTAGATTAAAAAGGGAATCATGCCAAAGAAAGCAGTCGCAAAATACTTCCGATACTTTAGAGCTTTGGGATTTGGCGGGCTTAATGCGATACATCCGGCAGTCCAAGGAATCGTAGCTACGAGATAGGATATCATGAAAATGTCGTGCCAATCATGGTCATCGGTCGAAGTTACGTACGTCCAGCCCCCACAGGTAAGAGTCCGGAAGAGACCTACGCCTGCAACAAACTTGGGGAGAGCCTTTCCCGGCCTTGCTGTTAAGAGGTACCAGAGACCAACGAGTGCGAACCTAGGGCCTGATGTTATAGCTATGAAGAGCATGAAAAAAGATCGCTCGGGGTATCGATCACCGATGGTAGCGGAGACGGAGGGGAACCACTCTTGGGGGTAGCCATAGAATTCGTTTTGAACGATCTTATGATAATGAAGGTATATGCCGACGAAGAGAGCGCTCAGGAATGCAGCTATATGAAAAAGCCATGAACATCAGCATATGATCTATTTCTCTACTTTACGAATGAACGAAGATTAAGTGAATAGGTAAGGAGGATATTCACTAACTATAGGCGACAACGGTATGGGCCCACGATATCCATTTCGCGTTTAGAAAGATGACTGTCCCACTCTCTTTATCCTTGTACTTGGACATGGTGGCATTCCCGAAATTGGGGAAGCCGGACCGTGCGGAGGTTAGGAGGAAGTTCAAAAAATAAAACAAGAACAACTAAATATTTTGATATGAGTTGACGGAGCGAGCGTCGAAAAGAGGGAGAAGAGGAGTGATGTTGTTGGTAAGAATTAAAAAGAAGCTTGAAAAGTTGTCGCATGCTTATTCCAAGGTATTGAAAGTACCTAGGTAGCTAACCTTAGGTAAAGTATAGGTAAGGAAGGCACGGATGGTACTTCGGCTGTCCGGATTCTTCGGTCATCATCGATGGCGCAAAAAAGTACGTGGGTCGATACTTCTCTCAACAGCTTCAAGCTTAATCCATGTTGGTCGCGTGTCGTACAAACCGCGGAGGGCCAATCCCCGCAGAGTAGCGATTAATCTACGTAATCTGTACCGCACTTGGATGCTTTCGGTTTAGACTTATGTAATCCCACCAACCCGGTACTTAAATGGGTAGATCCATTTTGCCAAGACAGATAAGCATCCACTAGCTTATCTTAACTCAAATTCTCCACTGTATTTTTTTGCTTCCAACTTTGCAGCGAAACTTTTCTGAAATGCAATCTTCCAAAGCTACCACCCTCAACGTCTTGACGCACATGAGTGGAACCAATTCAAAGATTAGTTGGGGAAGTACCTACGACTATATCTAGTATAAGGCCTCGCGGATACGAGAATAAGTAAAAATGGCGGGGGTTCCCGAGAAAGCCCGCTTCTTTCTCGAACGTGCAGTCCCCCAACTACGCGAATTCGAATCCAAGGGTATCTTTACCGCCGACGAAATCCGATCGCTCGTTCGAAAACGTACCGACTTCGAGCACCTCGTCCTATCACCGGGAAACAAACCATCGGACTGGCTTAACTACGCAGCCTGGGAGAAATCTCTTGAATCGCTCCGCGCAAAAAGATGTCGCCGATTACAGATTCGTACTTCATCGAAGCATACGGGACAAGGCAGAATATTTGGAATACTAGAACGGGCAGTTAATAGACATCCCGGCGATGTTGGACTTTGGAAGGCATACTTGACTTACGCTAGAGACATGAAAGCTACGAAAAGATACCGGAAGATCATTAGCAGAGCATTAAGAATGCACCCAGCAAAGCCAGAGCTCTGGATAATGGCGGGGAGGAGATCGGCGAGCAATGGCGACATGCAAGCGGCGAGAGGATTTTTCATGCGCGGCGCTAGGTTCTGCACAAAAGACGCCACAGTATGGCTCGAATATGCTAAGTGCGAGATGGAGTGGTTGGAACGAATGGATGCGAAACGAAAGAAGGGTGGCGCCGAAAGAGCCATTCAAGAACAAGCCGAGCATAGCGACGACGAGATTAAGCTTATAGAGGAAGGCAGTCAAGACGACGAGGGTGACGACAATGACCAACTGGTCCTCCCCAATCCCGATAAGTCGGCTAAGAAAAAGGTCTTCGACAAGGACACTACCAAGACGTTACAAGGCAACCCGGCGCTGGATGGTGCTATTCCCCTAGCTATCTTCGACATTTCCAAGAAGCAACCATTTTTCAGCTCTACAGTGGCAGAGCAATTCTTCGACGTTTTTGCCAACTTCAATGCCGTCTCCGCACAAGTTCGAACCGTTCGACACGTTTTAGATAGCATGACCGAGTCGTATCCCAACGACCCGGCAACCTGCTTTTGTTATACCCGACAGCCTTTGGTAGGCATCAGCATAGATTCGCCTTCGTACCCTAAGGCTCTACGGGACTCATTAGCCCGATTCAAATCATCTCTTTCCACAACTACCAACAGACTCCAACTAGCCGATAAGGTGAGGATATGGGTTGAGCCCATCCTAGCCTCCGATAACCTTGATCCAGCCATCCAAACAGTTCTACAGCACACCATCCGAACACTACCTCAATCATGAATGCAATGGCTATTCCAGCATAGCTCTAGTCAGACTCGCCGCCTCGCTGCTTTACCACCTCCATCAAATACTCGAATTCGGCAGGACTGACGCGACTCACGCTTAGTCGGGTCTGTTTCAGCATTTGCATGTTCTCGAGTGGCTGTCCCGGTTGGCCCATCTCACGGAGTTCTTTCAATCCAATCTGTTGATTAAATTTACTGCGAAACTTAACATGCACGACGCTCCATTTCGGATTATCAGGCTTGGAAGAAGCGTCGTAGTAAGGTGCCTTAGCATCGTGTGCCGAGACTAGAGCAGGGTGAGGACGTATTTACGGATTAGAGATAAAAGACTTACGGTCGGGGGAATGTTCTTGTACAACCTGCATTGTGCCTACGATACCCGGTTCCTTGCAATTGGAGTGGTAAAATAAGGATATGTCGCCTTTCTTCATAGCCCGAAGATTATTACGGGCGACATAATTTCGGATGCCTAGGAATTATAATGAGTATTTAGAATCCCTAGGTAGAATAGAGAAATGATGAAATCTTACCATCCCAAGGCTCGGGTTCTGTTCGCGACGCCAAGTCATCAATTGAGAACTTGACGTCAATACCATTTTCGAATCGTGACTCAGGCTCGGCTTTCATGAGCCAATATGACTTTTCTGAAGAGCTTGCCGCCTCATCCGTATCAGACTTTGGTGCTGCACTTGTCTGGGTCGCCTTTTTGGTCTTGGCCTTTGGTTTTGAGGGTTCCTACGACGGTTATTTCTTAGGTTGATATTCCCGAAGTACGAAATGACAAGTGATGCTCAAAATTTAGCATTCCATATAATGAGACTAGATAGACATATTTCGAAATTCTTACTGCAGATTCTTCTTTTTTAGTTGTCGCCTGCTTCTTTGGCTTGGTGACTTTGGATACTTTATTTGGTGTAGACTTCACCTTGCTAGGCTCTGCTGGAGGTTCTGGCACCGTTCCTGGTTTTCGACGCGTCGATCGTCTTAGACCTGTTGTATCCGCGCCGGGTCCATCGTCGAGTTGGGTTGCCTTTCTCTTTACCATTTTCAACCTAGGGTTTCTAGAATTTAATGAGGATTATGATAAACTATAGGAACGTTTACTTGCGAGTATTGTAACGGGAACTTAGGTCATTTAATGAATTACGAAAAGAAATGTAGCATGAAGTGGAAGATGCCGGATCAATTAATCGTTCGGAGTTGAGATGAAGCATTATTATGTACCTAGGTATTTGTTAGTGCACGGACTATTTATGCAAATGCATAATTACGAACAGTACATACATAATGTAGAAACTTATACTTTATTTTTCTTATGAAAGACTTCCAGTTTTTACGATAACAACAATTCGCTTCATAGAGCAGACATGATCATTCAGGCTTCCAGAGCAATTTAACAGCTTCTTTCAATATCTCAAGCTCATCAATAGGGAAAGATCATATATATTTTGTCATGGCCCACTCAGGCGAGTGGATCGACTTGACTTGGCTGCTTGGTTCTCCTATCCCCATCAATCCACTACCTCTATGACCTAAGTGGTGAGAATAAGATTCAAATAAAAGCACATCAATGGGATTTCCTACCTACTTAATAATCATATATTACATTCACATTAAAAGCAATATCATTATGGCAGCGCTAAATAAGCACCATGTATTTTTCTGTCTACCTATCCAATACATATGTAACTACTATGAGGTACCTACCTCAGATACGAGAAGTCAAGTATCCTCGCGGTAATCAAGTTATTCTCCCCTTCACCCTTCACTCATAACCAACAACTCCAATGCTTTTAACAATGGTCGTTGCTAAAGCCTACCATGATGTTCCAATTACTAGTCGAAAACTCTTGACCACGAACCCTGGAGCTCGCGTCGTGGGTTTGGCATTGGTCAAGGATGTCCTGAGCGTAGTGAGACCAAAGAAGGCAGTTCTCCTCGATGGGAAAATGGTTGTCGTTGCACCACCAGATCGCCGACTTGTACGAGCACGAGATTCTCGTACAGACGCGAGGTCCTTTTTCCATGAAGCATTTGCCGGTCTTCCCACTGAGGTACTGGATGCCATCCTGGATACGGAATGCCTGAGCCCACCAAATATTGTTAGGATCACAACTTAGGTATGCCTTCGACTTCTGGGGTTCGCTGTGATCCCCGCCGGTACTAGGGTCCGCCCATGAGAATTTGGGGTTTACTTTGAGGATTTGGGACTCGATGTCCTTGAAGCTAGTCCCGGTCAAGGAGACCTCGGGGCCGTTGTCAACAATCCTTCCCTTCCAAGTGAGGTTGGCTACCGAGTAATCGCTCGGAAGACCCTGGGGCTGGTCAGGGGTTCGAACAATGAACCGGCCACTGACGATGGCAGTCCATGAGAGGACGGAGACAAAGATGCTGGTAAACCTCATTGTGACTGAAGTTGAAGACGAAGCTAGTAGGCCTTTGTAAATATTGAAATAACGGATGATTTGTGTAGAGTTGTTGATTATTCAGAGACTTAGTTTGGTTATTGATTAAGATACTGTTGACTGTTCAAGTGAATGGGGATGCTCGAGAAAGAGAAGCTGAATTAAGGTAGCTAATCTTAGGCTATATATACTCGCCATTAGGAGGGGAACACATCGTGTGTGTATTGGAATGTAGAAGGAGTTACAGAACAAGTAAGTGTAACTCAACCCAGCTACCGTAAAGCAACAAACTCACTATATCTATACAGTCGCTGTTGCCATAGTTGTTTCTTTGTTTGTAACAATATTAAGTGTCTATAGACCTTAGAGAGAGGACTTGATGGAAGGTACAGCTTCGAAGCATCGAACATACCTGGTCTAGTAGACAAACATGGTTGGAGAAGACTATTTCATCGTCACATGGCTATTATACCTGAGCTATTCTCGGGGAGAATCACCCTGGGGATAACATAGGTAGGCATTGCTTGAAAAAAGTGATTTACACATAGAATCCTGCGTCTTAACAAACCGCTCTAGTACGTAACTTTAACAGAAAAAAGGGTAAACAGGCCCAAACTCGCCTACCACTGCTATTCAAATCCATGATCGTCGTGGGATTTAGAGCTTGTAAGTTTGTAAATCAATACTATTACCTACCTAGGTAATCACTATGGCAAACTTCCAGGATCTCCAGGGAAGAGCCTTTTTAGAATCATTAGTAACCTAGCGAAGCTCATAAGTCGTCTGTATTTCCCTCCCAGACTATATCTGGCTATAAGAAGAGGGTTTCAATGTATATCTGATGAATGAATCTTGCGCCTAATATGTTATCTATTACTATGAGATGAACGCCGAAGACTGCTACTACTTGGCCAATGCTTTCTGTCCAATGCGAGTTAAGTCGTCATTTACTAACGTATCCTTCTCAAATCCATCAACGACCTGAGCTAGTAGCGACGCTGCTACGTCGCGTAGCTCGACATGCGGAACTCCGGGGATCTCTCGCCTTTCTCTGTTCGGGGAGTCTATCATGCCAGGCCTGGCGACACTAGCTTGAACAGCGCCACCGGAATTTTCTGCAAATTCGAGGATTTGCACCTCGGCCTCACCCTAGAGTAGTGCTACGGATTAGCATAGTTGGAATAGTGTGGATAAGTTCAAGCGATAAACTTGTCGTCATCTGAAGGTACATACACGCATCAGGGTGTAATCGACTAGACCGTGGGCGCGCACTGGTGCCGCTAACTCGTCTAGACTACGCGCAACGAAGTGTCCGCTCATATAAACAAAGCGGAAGGGTCGGCTTTGATCAGAACGGAGACTTGATATAGTCCGGATTGCCGTCGTCGCGTAGTCGCGAGATATCTTAGATGTTTCTTCGAATGGGAAAGTTGTGGACTTAGATGGTGTTATGGCGATGGTCCTATTTTGGAGTCAGCCCCTCTCGTTGAGTACTCAGGGAGATCTAGGCCAATTGCGCAAAAAAAGGGGGTTGTACCAAATACACGCATCCGCGTCCTTCAATTCATTGTTTACATTGTCCGAATAGTCCTCAAAGTCGTCGCATACGACTGACTTTACCTTCGTAGATCCCGGCGGTAAAGGTGTCTCACGTCGGCTGAGGGCGATGATTGATGTGAAGGCTGGATTCTGAATAGCTTGTAGAATCAGTTCCTCGCCGACAAAGCCAGTTGAACCACCGATTACTAACTTCATGATTGCGAGGATCAATATTATAATAAGCTGATTGATTGAAAATGATGCTAGCCCTAGAAGGATTGTCGTGGAACTTACTATTAATACGTAGAGCTCTTTAGGGATTTAAACAACGAAACCCGCAAAGTCCGGGATTCAGCTGCTTATTCACCACAATAACCATCCCTTACTTGTGGGAGGGGAACCTGATCAAATTTCATGGCATTTTTACTCGATGTATCCAAACAAAAAAACTACTCACGAATCGTAAACGTACCTAGGTATGGACGGAGCCTTTGTTAATGTGCGGATTGGAGCTTTGACATGAGTACATGTACTAGGGGCCTACTAACCTGCCGATGGTGATCTATAGAATTTCCTATTAGCGGTATGGGCCAGTGTCTAGCGAATTTCTGATTGGTTCTTTTCAACTATAAGACGGAGTCGAAATGCTCTCAGTATTATTTTCATAAGGACATAAATGGGAATGAACTTGTGATCTGTGATTTAGTCTGTCACTTTCGAATGGTAGCCTCTTATTTCTATTCCAATATTCATATTTGGTACTGTCTTCGTTACCAATACCTGATTCGCAATCTAGTAGTGATTGAATGAAACTAGAAAAGGAGACGCAGGGTCGGCAATACGCGGCGATAAAGAGACAGAAACCAGGATCCGGTATGCTACAATTCCGATGCGCACAAAGCAATTCTTGTATTGATAGGTCGAAGAGACAATAGTGTATGTTCTGTGGCGTAACGCCATTCCGTCGTGCTGAAGTATCTCGGAAGTTCTGCATGGATTTTGTTGAATGTTCTCGCTTAAATATTGATGTGTTCGTCGTCGTATTGAAGAGGCTGGGTATTTCCATCATAGGAATTTACCGACTTAAATCTCCTTCTCCGGGGCTAATAAACTGCCTAATGAGATCTATGCGCGATACCGGCATATTCCACCCCGAGGCAGATCTAGGAAGTATTGAGATATGCTATTCATAATTATAAGTAATCCATCAGAACGGACATGTAATTTCTTACCTACTAGCCTACCTACTAGGCTACTTGTATCAATTATAACGAAGACGAAAAAAATTCATCATTAACGCCCCTTGCCTGCTTGATTGCTTGGAGGGGAGGGGCGGGATGTATGTATCGTCGGCAAAGCTGGAAGGACAGGGATCCGTCGACGTTATTATTAGAGGCAAATCGAATGAGCATGACAGCAGATTACAAGTACTACCAAGTCGAGTCGAGTTAAATGTGAAATTCCAGACCTTTAGATTAGTTCCCATAGCTAAGCGATGGCATAATGCCTTACTGTAATTCTAGCTTATGGTACATCATCTCTTACATAGGAAGTAGTCTAGGAGCATCCGTCTCGATCTTGACGTCTGTCTCAATAGGTAATCTCGTCGGTTGGAGACGCAATGTGACATTGGTGACGCCCACTGGAGGTGGTGGGAAACAACAAAGTTTCATTCTGCGCTGGGGATGGCTTGAAGCCTTTGACCTTTTGGCCGGCTCGCGCACCAAGAATCGAATAGATCGAAAACCGAAGCTTGGTCCATTGCTAATTTCTAATGGAGGCTTTACGCACGAAGCTTATCCGCATTCTAATTCTAGAAAAAAATGACGAACCAGCCAAGTGAGCTTCTGACGAATTCGGCTGTCCCAGACTTTCGCACTACACAAAGCACATTCGTTTCCATTGGCACATGGGGCACACTTAAGCGGAGAACGTTCGGTACTAGACTGAAAGCTCGAGACATGATCATCCGGTGATGAAAAATGCGAAATGAAAAGGCAAATGGGAAAATAAAAATCGAAAGAGTCCTTGATCGGATCGGAAAGTGTTCCATGGCACGGCTGGGTTTGACAAACTAGTTGAATAGAAGTAATAGGGAATAATAATAACAATAATAGAGATGATCGAGGCACGGTACATGTAGAGTAGGCGGTAGGAGTAGTGGGAGGGTATTGTAACCGATTTTCCCTCAGGCCCTTTCTCTCGCTCTCCGTTTCCCTCTCGCCCTACCGTACCTAAAAGGTCTATCTACCACCCCTTGCCCATTCCCTTGTGACCGTCTATTTTCTACTCTTCTTCCCTCTCTATTCTTTCTTTTCCTTACACATTCCCTCCTCTTCGAATTCTCTTTTCATCTTGCGCTTCGTTCTCTGAATATCGCGGTTTTGTTGTTCTGTCTTGATGACGGATTCTCATCCCACTTATATGAAAATACCCCAAAACGGTATAGAGACGGATTACTTAACTGTACAGTCCGTATTATGAATGGGGAGTTTTCGATTCGAGAGACTCTGGCCTTGACGACACGAATAATTCTGTTCCTTTATTTTATATTGTATCCTGATGAGTTAGGGCTATATTGTGGCCTTCTGTTCATCCAACTTCGTCGGATAAAAATTGGTTGAGAACGACTACATTATACGTACACTATGAACACCCAATGTAGCGCAAACGGCCACGACCAACGATGGATTCTTGACCGGGATAGGACCAGTCTCCGCCAAAAAATGCTGCAAGGATCAAGTCATCAGACAATTCAGCGACGACCACCTTAATTCACCTCTACTGGACTGGATGGAAAGTTGTACGAGTTAAAGAGGGATTCCTCTTTAGATTGCAGTAAGTCTTTTCAGACTTGATCACCTGGGACTGGTATTTTTCGACTCGTCAACCACCATGACGAGTAGGACCGAGCCCAAGCGACACCAGCTTATACACCCTCTGTGCTGTATGTACGCCTAGGGTTTCAAAAACTCCTTGCGGCACATGGGGAACTCCCATTCTTGCTGGTCTTGTAGCACAAGTACCCGAAACCCGTGCATCAGCCAATTTTCGGAACCAGTTGGGCATTCAGATGTTCTAAAAGGAATGAAGGGGAAAGAGGGGGCCACTCAGAGCTTGTCAGAGTCAAATCACTTTCGTGGATCGGCAGGCAAAATTGCAGGTCGATTCATTCGCACATCTTCTTGTCTACCTACCGGAAAGGTATACCTCGCCTTTTGGTCGGTACCTTGGAGCCACCGTATTCGTTGTCCCCATCCTTGCAACCCGTCGCAATGGATCACCGGAGCATTCCCATTGGTTCCACATGCAACCATTAGAAGCGGACCACTTTAAACAAGTACTTTGTACTTGGATGCGGGATGTCAGCATACGCATACATATATGTACCTACTCAGCCCTGCAGACAGCGAGACAGCCATGGTTGAGCATTTCATTCCTTTTTGTCATTGACTCATTGGCATTCTGGTTTGAAGTACGTCTCACATTACACCCAGCCGGACGCGGACAGGATGTATTTTTGGGCTATCACGATCTTATGCCGACATTGATCGTGACAGATCCTTATTGTCTATGAGATACATGAAGCTCTTGGTGACAGATCTGCATACGATATTAAGCCGCCGTTTTTGTTATCATGGTTATCTGCTCGGACATCCCCCCTCATTATCTGGCGGTAGAGTTGTTCCCCACCTCACGACTATGAGTCTGTGTCCGGGAATATAGTGGTTAGAAGAGCATTTCCCAACATGTCGTGCTTTTTCGCCTTGGATCTGAGTACGACCGCGGCCCGGTCCGCGGAATTTACGATGAAGTTAGGATTTATTTCACGAGGCTACTTGGATGCGGGGTGTGGTTTGCCACCACCGTTGAGTATATATCTCTACCAGCATCGGGCCCCAACACTTCAACTTCACATCCCAGTTGACTGGTGATTTGAGGCCACGATGGACTGGCGACCTTCATGCGGCATGACACGGCTTCTTCGCTGATTACTCAAGTGGTTGAATATGACTGGAGCGGATAAGGCCAGGCGAACGGATCCCACGGACCCGGAATATAGACGGTTGTCCCTCTTCCGCCTAAGGCCCTGCGGAACTCCATGACTTTCACCACATGATAAATGTCATGGTGGTCGAGGCAACCTAATCGCAAGACTCCAAGGAACTTCAGGGCTTGGTCACTCCCCTCCTATTCTCCGTTGGCCCGAGCTGAGCGGAATGGGAGTTCCCGTTCCAATACTACAACGGAGGTTCTTCGATCTCGGTCTTCTGGAAAGTCTTGGTTTTGAGCATTCGCCCACCCTCTAACTTGGTTGCCTTAACGGTATTTCCGTGTTGTTTTTTATTGTCTTGATTCTTTTACTATTATTTCTTTTTATTGAATGTCTTGAGAGACCGTATAATAATACGGTCTATTTCTTTTCTTAGTTGACTGGAATTTGCACATCTGAATGGTGTATTTTGTGAAAGTTGTGAAGGTTGAAATGCAAGTGCTCGGACTTCACTCACAAAAAGACACAAAAAAGCTACCTAGGTACATCCTAGTGTAGAGTTAGATCAAAGGTAATAGTCGGGTTACCAGACAAAGTCAATTTTTTGCTTTTCAGCAGCGGATTTATGGGTAACAGGTACGTCTTCTTCTATCAAGTGATATTTCGTTTATTCCTCCAATCGCATCATTTCAACGAGGTAATAAAGTGGACAATAAAGTGGATTGATTCGCTGCAACCTTGGAACCTTCTCAACCAATGAATTTCTAGTCATACCCCTGGATCCATATTTCCGCCCCATAATTTACCATTCCGCGTGGTGAGCCGCCTTCCAAGGTTCCCTTCTTTCCCTTTTTTTCTCAGTCCTTGCTTGAACAATCTAATCGCGCATCAACGCATCATTTCTCATCGTTTCCCATCTAAACCTAACTAGTACTAGTGCTAGTGGGTCAGGTAGTACTTGTCGCTCCTCTCGGATCGAAGGGGGTCCAGTGGAAGTTAAGCAAGTCAGAAAAATTTCTTGACTTTCAAATCCCATCAGCCCATTCCCCCCCCCCCAAACCCGGCGCAGAAAGATAGTCAGTTAAGCGCAGCCTCTAACACTTGGACTTTGGACTTAGCCCACAAGACAAGCCCGTCCATACCATCCATACGACCAAACCAAGGCACAGAAGGCACAGCCAGGTAGACCGGGCCAACTCGCCAAAAAGTCAAGTGCCTTTTACTTTACTTTCCCACCCCTTACGGCCCTTACTACATACCATACCAGTCATAGCCATACCCGCCGAACGCCCATTCCCATCCTCTTGCCGCGCCGCGCACGCAGACGCAAGACGCAGCCAGAAGCAAACAAAGCGTCACATAGTAAGAAAAATTAAAGCGTGTGGTGTGTCTGGTCTGTCTTGTGTGTAAGAGAGAGAGGAAGAGAAGTATCGTCAATCCCATCCATTAATCTTTTAGTTTAGGTAGGTCAGACCCTGTTACCATTATCTATCATTTCTTCCCATGTCTCTATTATTGTTATTATCGTTATTGTTGTTGTTATTGTCTATCCGTTCATCATTCAAGTCATTATCCCCATCCATCTATACATCACATCCATACATGCGTACATCCATCCAACCATCCATCCATCCATTCCGTTCCCCCCAAAACCCACTAGTCCTCTCTTTCTTCGGAAGGTTAGGTTAGGTATGTAGGGAATGTTTGCCTATCTATATCTATATCTATCTATACATACACACTATTGATCCATCCGGTCATCCTTTATACACACGTACATACATATATGTACACATATACACAATACAATACACAGTACACACGCGGGATGTAGTGGCGGTGTATGTACGTATGTGAGTGTGTGTATCGGATGTGTCTCTAAATGATGCTGCCACTCAGATCCTGTTCCCCCGTCACAACTTTCGGTCGGCATGGGACAGACATCCTACAAGCGTCGGATGGGTTGTGATGCGCAAATGCTGCATCCAAGCGACCGGTCGGCCGTCACTAGCGATCCATTATACATTAAAATAGCGACAAGGGAAAAAGCCGAACACACCTGACATCCGGGACGGGGACGGACGGGGTACTGTACCCAATGTACAATCAGCCGTCATTCCGTTGGTTCTCCATTACAGAACAAGTATTTCCGTGCTCAGGTCAATGTTCAGGTCCAAGTTCAGGTTCAGCTTCGGATCTACCGTCAATTTGCCAAGTGGACACGGCTACGGCCCTTACGCCGATAGACAAGAATTCACCGTCTATGTCAGACCCTTTCACATCCATCCATTATTACATACTACCTATTTTCTAGTTATTCTTATTTCCTTATTTGGTCATTTTATGCTGTTTTGTTGTATTCTTATCGTTATCGCTGTTGCTTCCCATTATACCCTTTTTTTCACTGTCTTCTCTCTCTATAGGGCATGGATTGAACTACTAGTACCTATTGTGTACAGTATCCACAGTACCTTTGATACAGTATTTCATCTACCCTAGTACATTCACCTCCCCATAATTTCACTACCCAGGTGTATTACAGTGCTATATACAACCACTACAGTTCGTACAGCACAGGTAGCTTTAGGGAGCTATACCTTCAAACTGGGGGTATCTTCTTTTTCTGATTTGGACCCTCTTCCTTAAAAAAAAGAGAAGAGAGAGGGCACCCCCTACCTATCCTTTTCCCCCAACCACCGCAACCTGCGACCGTACCAACTCATTTTTTCCCCCGATCGCAACGCGCGACCACTCAACCCCCCGAAAATTCCCTAATCAACTCGCGACGCGACTTTTCCCATCGCGACACTCGTCGCCTACGACATTCCCATTTTTCATTTATTGATATTCCATCTCAATGCATATATCGCTTTCTATTTTAATTGCTGACGATATCTAAAAATAGTCAGATGGGTTCCCATTTGCGAATCCATTCGTCATGAGCTCCTGGATGAATGAGGCCGCTGCCGTGCAAAATCACAATGGCAACGGCTTCCCACACATGAACGATCCTAATAATATGGGAGCCGGCGGAGGAATGGCCGGAGCGCCGGGAGGCATGATGGACCCGTCGGCTTTTATGGCCAACGCTGCCCAGTTCAATCCCGTCGCTGCTGGTCAGTTTAATCCTCAACAGATGGCCGCTGCTATGCAAAATGGCCCGATGCGCAATGCCTCGCCCTCTTTCTCGAATCCCGCTTATCAAACCAACCCCGTCATTCCCTCGAAACGACCTCGCCCCCGAGAAGATAGCATTGGCGCATCGCCGCGACAAAATCCAAATATGCTACCGACCTCGCGCGCCGACACGCCTCAGCAGTCGCCTTTTCCGGGTTTCCAACCGAATGCGATGCAACCGCAGAATCCCGCTCAAGCTCAACATTATCCTCATCTACAACCTAATGGCTCGGCGAACGCGTCGCCATCGCCCGTTATGGCCGGGAACCAGCTGAGACCCGGAAGTGTGCCTCAACGCGTTAATACCGCGTCGCCGCATCCCTTCTCACCAGCCTCTCAGCAATTCGGTCCCCAAGCATCACCAGTTCCATCAGATCACGGCAATACCCCCCAACCGAATATGTTTATGAATCCGCAAAATTTCCCCCAGGGCTTCAATACAGGCTTTACGCCTACTCCGTCACCCGCTAGACCGCCCTCAGCTCAAAACCCTATGTCGCAATCGATGATACCGCAGCAAATGCCTCAGATGCATCCTAGCCAGATGCTCTCAGCCCAGCAAATGCACCAGATGCAACAAATGCAAGCAATACACGCGGCGCAAGGACGGGGCGCGATGGAACAACAACAAAAGATGTTATATCAGATGCGAATGCAACAACTTCAACAAAGTGGAATGCCAATGGGCGCACAAATGCAGGCCCAGAACATGGCTCAAGGTCGGGGTATGATGCCTAAGCAAGGAATGCCAATGCAGAACGGCCAGATGCCTCCGGGTGCTATGCATGCTCATCAACAGCAACCCCAACCACAACCTCAACAGCAACCGCCGCAACAAATACCACGAGCCAATAACCCTGATGGATTTCTAAAGAACTTGACTACATTTATGAATATGAAGCAACTTCCTTTGGATACGAATCCCATTATTGATGGACGACCATTAAACCTCCTTCAACTCTTTCAGATGGTTTCTAAGTTTGGTGGATATCGAAATGTTACCGGCCATAATATGTGGATGCAAGTCGCCGCCTCGGTTGGCTTCAGCGCACAACAGTCAAACCCATCGGCACCGGCTCAAGTCAGGAACATTTACGAACGGAATCTTTTAAAATTTGAAGAAGCATGGGCGATGCAACAACGAAGCCAACAAATGAAGCACCAGTCAGGTGGTCCTGCTGGTATGCCCGGTGCTCCGGGTCAAGGTGTACCACAGAGAATGAATCAAATGCCACCCAACCAACATATACAGCCTGGACAGGTCCCCCCACAACAGCCTCACGCACAAACGCCCGTCAAGCAAATGGCACCAGCGCCAATACAGCAAGCTAATGTTAATGGATTTTCAACACCACAACAGCCTAGGATGAGCCAACCGCAACCAAACGCAGGCCAAGGACACATGAGAAACAATTTGTCGCGGACCATTGATACCAGGCAAACGAGCGGAGAATTCCCAATGCCCTCTCCGGCACCGGTTAGCAAAGGTGGCAATATTTCCGTACAACCTCCCACCCAGGTGGGTGGCGCGCATACTAATGGCGCTACGAACCTGCCCTTTCCTGGCCCATTCTCGTCAGACCCCGACGAGTACGCACCTTGTTCTCGGGAGATGCTTCCTGAGTTATACGGCGGCTTCGATCTAGAGTCAATACGTAAACTAGGCAATGATCTAGAAAGATGGAGGCCAAACATACCGCAACCGCAAGAACTTGGCAACATCGATATCCAAGCTTTGACGAAAAGTATTCAATGTGGTATACATGGCGAAGTACGGTTAGCTCTCGACACTCTCGGGTCTATCACGCGCGCATCCGAGTATCTGCAAGACCTATCAATTGACCTACGAATGTGTGATGACTTGATAGAGTCCCTCATAGACTGCGCCGAAGAACAAGTTGATCTACTCGCTGAAAAGGCCGACTTAGTCTCGGATGAGATAGATTTAACCTCGTATGAGGATGTAATGAGAAGCTGCCGCCTCGAAGCAATAAGTCTTCGAAAACCAAACATACTTGGAGAAATCGATTACGAACTTCAACATGCGGCCGATCGTTTAATAGCAATCACGACAATTCTACGAAACTTCTCTTTTATGGAGGTCAACCAAGCAATCCTAGCCGACGAGATTGTCGTCAAATTCCTATGCGGCGTGATCCGGTCTCTGGGTACACGCGAGAACTTATTACGGGCACCAAGAAATACTCTTGACTTCATGAAAGACGTTATTATTTTCTTATCCAATGTCTCTGGCTCTATTGAGATACCCGGACGCGAGCAAGCATTATGTCTTCTCCAGTTTCTATTAGCATTTGCCCCATCTCCACCCCCTTCATTAACCACCGAGAGAGTCGTTTTCTCACCTTTCGAGCCACGAGTCCACCCATATCTACCACATGCCATCGATTCCCTAGCCAAGTTATTAGCACGCGATGAGCCGAACCGATCGCATTATAAGATTATCTTTGCTTCCGACGCTTCGGCCTCACCTCCCTATGAACTTCTCACGCGGACCTTCGGCCTCGCTGTCTCCCCTATCCCGGATCAGAATAAAGAGACTCGTCCCGCAAACCTACCTTCGTTCGTCGAAGCGCGTAAAGCATTGCTTATGCAAGGTTTACTCGCAGCTGATATTATTGCCCAGCTTGCCCCAGGATATGAGTCCGGAGTCACACGGGCTTGGCTTTCTTCGGGCGAAGGATTTGCGCAGAATCTTTTCCGACTTATTCGCACGCTTTGCACACAAGCAGAACCGACACCACGCGTAGGCGGCAATGCTAGAAGTCAACACCGTGAGGATGTAGATATTTATTATATCATCACCTGCGGCGTTTCTACCTTGAGGAGATTAGGGGAGAAGGCTAGAGATCCGAATAACCCAGCCAGTATTCCTCCAAACGCCCTTCCCACGAGAGAGAGCCTTTTCGGAGCGTTGCAGAGCCTCAAGAGTCCAAAGTGGGCGACATTACTGAATCAACTGAGTACCTATGCAGGGTTGGAAGGTTGAATGATTCATTAATACTTATATGAATCGCAACCTGAGTAATTAGACGACTGGGAAATGGAGCAATTTGCACGGCGTACTTTACAGAGCAACGAAGCGATAGCGAAGATTCGGTTGAGGGGTATTTCAAAAATGGTTACTGGTATTCAGGCTTAGGCTCAAGCACTTTGGCTCTACTGGGAGCGTGGCGTTTAGGAATTAGATGAATCTTACATGGGATGTACAAAGTAACCCAACGCATAGGAGATGTATAAATGTGTAGATTAGGCATTGGGGGCACTATGGATAACATAGGGTAATGCCGTCAAGAACCGTTTTTTATCGTGGAGAAATATGAAAGCTCTCCTCGAAAGTCTTCTACATACCTATTTACATGAATTATGGACTTGAAATAAGAAAAATAAGAAGAATAAGAAGCGTATCGTGATTGTTTTACTCACTTGATTTATATTCAGCTCAGACAGGCATATTCAATGTTCTAGTCAGTTACCTAGGTATTTATTAATTTAATACAGCGAGATATCTTGACTATGTTGCAAATGGCTATGCTGGTTTTGTCCGGACTAGTCATATTAAGTTTGCCTTACACGGAATTTACCTAAAACATTCTGGTTTGATGTAGGTAAGGGGATGCTCTCAACATATGATAGCCTCAGGTAAAGCACTCACAGCACCACTACCAATATACAACCGAGATGTGACGTGGATTAGGCAAACTCGTAGGGATGTTATCTTTCATAGGCTTATATTCCATGCAAAACCAAGTACAAAAAATCAACGCAAGTCGCTATAAAACAGCTTTCCCTCTTCTTCGAACATCAAGACAGAACCAGTTCTGCTATATATTGTCCGACTTTGCTTTAGCTTCAGCTTTTCTTTCTTGTTCAATCCATGTTACGCAACGATGGGTATCATCCTCCCCTTGATTTCTTCTCTACTTCTGCTTCTTCTTGTGCTATTGTTTCCTTTCCTTTTTCATCCGTAGGCACCGTTTTACGGGTACCTTAGATATATATGTAGGTATTCAAGGTAATCATAACTGACTCAACGGCTCCACGGGCTTCATATCATGCGACGTATCATCGGGGCGCGATCGATACGCATCAGGGTCCCCACGGATCGAGCGCGCAAGCGATGTTAACGAGTCCCGTCGGCGTGGTGGGGGTAGGTTCGCGCCGCTTTTGATATCATCGTCGTCTTCAACTCGTGGTTTTCGGTACGTGTTCTTGGGTTTGGAGGGTTGGCTGGGGGGCATGGGACCGACGCCGTAGTCGTCGAGTTCTTGGTTGTTCTTTGGCCATTCGAGTTCGTCGCGTCGCTTGCGTCGCAGGTGGAAGATGGTCAGGATGCTGAGGGTTGCTACTACTAGGACCGCGCTGGTGGGGGGTTAGTCTACGTTCTTGTTTCTCTTGGTGGTGTATGGTATGTGTGATTCGTATGGAGAACTTACGCTAATGTGCCGATCACGATGGTACTGGTTTGCTTCGCACTATCGGGCTTTTCGCATAGATCGATGTTCGGTTGCGGATGGCATTTCGCGTCGTCGTCGTCGCGTGTAAAGAGGTGAATGACTGCCCGGGTGATATGCGACGCTGGCGAGGTCGTCGCTGCTTCGTGATCAACTGGAAGTGGACTCATGGTGTAGAGTATGCGTCGAAGACATGCAAAGGAGTGGATGCACGGTAGGAATTATCGTATTCATTAGACACCCGATTGATGATCGATGTAGAATGTTGATGAATACGTGAGTCGGGATTCGGAATGAATGTAACCCTGAATCGGAAGAGTCCGTAGGTACTCGTATGTTGTTTGCTGATTGTTGGGTTCGTAAAAAGAAAGTACAGTAGTTGGGATTGAAACAACGAAAAAGCAAGTAGAAAGAAAGGAATGAATGTATGAATAGCGTCGTCGTTCTTCGTCAAAAGGAAAGAAGGGAGTTGGAGAGAGACGAAAGAATCGAGGTAGTAATTCTAGGCACAGCCCATGATACACGATGTTTCACCGAAGCGAAAGGGGAGGGAACGCACGCTGGTGAGGTGATTGGAAACGGGGTACTGGTCAATTGGTGAGATGGAAAGGAGATAGGCGCATCAATGAAGACCCCTGACGATCCAATCAAATCAATTAAATCGCATCTCAAGGGTCCAATCGAACGTGGCATTGTACTATTTTATGCCGGGGTACAATAGATACAGTCGGAGTATCTTTTCGGTCTTATTGTGATTTGTACCGTCTTTCCGTGTTACAATTTAACTTTACTTATACCTATGTAGGTATTTATACAACTTATGACTTTTGAAGCTTTATATGTCGTACAAATTATAGTTGGTACTAGATATTATTCAATACCTCGGTATGTCATGGTGGAGTCTAGAACCATTAAGACTTATTATTCAACCCCACGTCTTAAAGTAAGATAAATGTGACCCGTCGTAGCGGTGACAGAGCATAGTAACATAGAGTAACGATATTCAGTCTCATAAATATATTGTCAAAAATATATAAAACTCCGACGTCGAAATTCGTCGAATATTATCGCGCAACGTGGGGAAGTCCGAGGTATTACATAGGTATGCAAATTATGATAAGCAGGCGGCAGAGCGGTACGGGAGTCGTCGGATCGTGGACATAATTATTTATTCCAACGAGAGCCCATCCGCTATATCCGCCAGCAATGAGACAGTGAGATAGGAAGTGGCTGACTGACGTATGGTAGTCGGCGATTCATTCAATCTTCTTCTCTGCACAAAGAAAAGAGATATGTGTGCCGCACCTCTCGGGAACTTGTAGGACTACCAACTTATAAATACCAAGAGCCAGTTAGCAGTAAACTTATCATTCTAATATAGGTAGGTGAGTAAGGGAAGTCGATAGATATCCCTAGATCAAGTATAGCGGCATTACACGGCGTACGGCTAAGAAAGATCGGTAAATACCACCAACCTCATGCGATTTCTACCCCGATATTTTCGCTACTTACCTAGGTAATCTTGACCTCGTGATAGCGTGCTTACATTTGTATTGGTCTAATAGGTAGGAAAGATGGAAATGTCTCCGGATTAGTTCGAAGCGGAGGAGGCTCTAGGGGGATCCCGTCGGTAGCCGCACCAGTCTTGGTCTTCCTAATGGGGCAACTTTACGACGTCACGTAACGTCAACGCTAAAGTTTCCATAATGTCGGTTTAACGGTCTAACTGTTGGAAGGGTTTCCTTGCCGTGAAAAGCCGAGATGGGGACACTATTATCTATTATTCGTATATATCGAGATAATAATCAAAAATAGTTGAAATGCGCTATATTTTTCTAATGGGTGGTTGAGATGAGAGTTGACTGCTATTCTTATATATCCTCGACTTATGGAGATTATTGTTAGATAGCATCGAGGGCGATAATCATGACATCCGTCAATTTGATATATTTCGTGTCCAGTGCAGTGGGACTGGTATTTGTCTATGTAAGACTTGCCATATTTTGATTTCTATACGCTGGGTTCGGATCGACTAACTGAAATATACCTATTAGACTGCTGGAATTATAATCTACAGATTATTCTTCCACCCATTGGCCAAATATCCTGGTCCATTCCTGGCAAAGATCTCAGATGTCTACCAATTGTATCACGCCTGGAAAGGAGATCGACATCTAGAATTCTGGAGGCTTCACGAGCGATATGGCAAGATCGTGCGATTCGGTCCCAATAGCGTCTCTTTCAACTCCAACACAGCATTAAAGGAGATCTACGGGTTTAAGTCCAATGTACGGAAGGCCGAATTCTACGATGCCTTCGTTCACCCGGCATCTAACACCCATAACACAAGAGATAAGGCCCTGCATGCTCGTAAGAGGAGGGTACTTTCACAGGCATTTTCGGATTCGGCTATTAAGGAGATGGATCGATATATCTTAGCTAATGTGCGATCTTTCTGCGAACAAATCGGACTTGGTGCCAGTGAAGAACGAAAAGGATGGACTGTTTCTAAGAATATGGCTGATTGGTGTAATTACCTCGCCATGGATATTCTGGGAGACTTGTGCTTCGGGAAGGCTTTCCACATGCTGGAAAGACCTGATAATCGATATGCGCTAGAGTTAGTGTCGCTTGCCACAACTCGACATCTAATTGTGAGTACCTTATTACCCCTCGTCTGATAGATAGACATGCTGACTGTGATAGTGCGGAACGATGTCCCTCGTTGGCAAGCTCCATCTTGACAAGATCTTATTCCGCAGAATCGCAACTGGCCGAGAGAAATACATGGCGTACAGCAAGGCTCAATTGACAGAACGCACCAAGCTCGGAAACGACACAGATCGCCGTGACTTCTTCTACCACTTGCTAAAGGCAAAGGATCCCGAGACTGGAATGGGATTCGCGACGCCGGAATTATGGGGTGAATCCAACTTGCTGTATGTATCGGGAAGTCCAATGGAGAGGAATGCATGGCTAACAATGCCGCTAGCATCATTGCGGGTAGCGACACAACATCAACAGCGATGGCCGCGACGCTATTCTACCTGGTTCGCAACCACGCCGCCCTACTAAAAGCAACTCAAGAAGTACGATCAAAATTCAACGACATCGAAGAAATATGCCAAGGCCCGGCCTTGAACTCATGCTTTTACCTTCGAGTATGTATCGACGAAGCAATGCGCATGTCTCCATCTGTAGGTGGTATACTGCCTCGCGAGGTTCTAAAAGGCGGAATGACGATCGACGGCGAGTTTATCCCCGAGGGCGTCGTCGTCGGTACTCCTCACTACTCTATCCACCATAATCCCGCGTACTACCCTCAGCCGTTCTCATATATCCCCGAGCGCTGGATAGTGGGTCCGCATAAGAGTCTTGGTGGTTACGGAGAGAACGTCGTAACCGAGCAAGACGTGACAGTGGCGCAAAGCGCATTCTGCCCCTTTTCGATTGGACCGCGAGGGTGTATTGGAAAGGGTCTTGCATATATCGAGATGATGACGACGTTAGCCAGAGTACTGTATCTGTACGACTTGCGCAAGTCTGCTGGCTTCGACCCTGGCGAGGGAAATCCTGATCTCGAATGGGGACGCCGTCGTGTGGATGAGTTCCAGCTGATCGATCAGTTTACGAGCTTGAAAGATGGTCCGATGGTTGAGTTCAGGAAGCGTGTTTGAATAACGGGTGACCTTCAACTGAGTTAATGGCGAAAATAAGGTGAACAGCTGGTCGGAAAGCTTCAACGGGCAAGATTGAGAATATTAGCATCTAGTAATGTTTTATGTCTAGGGACGGCTGAACTGTAAGATTGAAATACTGTAGATAACGATCACTCAATTTAATGAGATATGTTTAGCAACTTGGTATACACCTATACTGTGAGATGCCTGAGAGAGCTAGGGAGCCCGAGCTTAATACCAGAATAAATGATATTCGACCAGGAATGGTTAGAGTCTGGGGTTAGATGGATCAAATCAGTTCTAAGCCAAGTTAGGGTCCTGCTTCCGGTAGCCATATATACGGCGCTTCTAACTGAGAAGGTGGGTGTGGGGATGATATGCCGGCAATCTGGATGAAGCCGGCGGCAATATTCGTGTTCATCTTGTTTTTCCCATCGTTGGCTGGCTTGGCGCCAACGAGACACGATCTTATCCCCCACACCTTCCGGCTTTCAGCAGGTATCCGAACTCTTTCGTTCCTGGGCGAATGCTACACATAAATGATTAAAGAGATAAAGCCCCCATCAGTTGCAACCTGAGAGGTGGTGAATTGATCGACCGCTCGGGTAGATGTTCGCACGAGCTCCTCAAGTTGGTTTTGGCTTTGGCCACCGGGTACATAGAGATATACCCTAGCTATTTAGGTCGTTCTGGAGCAGCCCAATAATATCGTCGGATGGCACCTAAGTATTTTTTAAAATAGGTTGCGGTGGAGGGTGAAGGTGGTTTGGGACAAGCCCCCTCTCGGCGGTCTGCATATAATTTGCCATCTCCCATGAGGCACGGTGCCTTGTAGTAAACTATATGATAATCTCTGCAGGAAAGACGTAATCCATCACGATGCTAGACTTTGGACTACGTTCGCTTGTCTCTTTGCTTGCTTTAGGCGGCAGCTTACTTCCGGCTTCTTCCTGGGCCTCTCCATTGAAGCTACATAATGATGTCCGGGCCGATAGCTGGCCATACGGCCCGTTGGTGACTTCTGGCCGCGACATGAAGAATGCGCGCGGAGACAATGTCGTCTATGCCGGCACCAATTGGCCAGGTCACGGAGAAGTGATGATCCCTGATGGATTGAGATACCAATCCATTGAGAGTATTGTCACTAAAATCAAGAGCGTCGGCATGAATGCGATCCGCCTGACGTACGCCATTCAAATGATAGACGAGATCTATGCCAACAATGGCAAGGATACCACTGTAAAGGACTCATTCACCAAGGCGTTAGGCCAAACGAACGGACCCAAGTTCTACAGCGATTTCCTTGCGAAGAACCCGTCTTTCAACGACAGCACCACCCGTCTGGAGGTCTTCGATGCTGTCGCGGCGGAATGCCTTAAGCAAAAGGTCTTCGTTCACCTGGATAATCATATGTCGAAGGCCGCTTGGTGTTGCTCGACTAACGATGGTAACTCTTGGTTTGGGGACAGAGATTACAGTATGTGCAAGAACATTTCTTACTATATTCCAATGTTGGAAATTGTCGGACAACGCGCCTGATTCTTCGCGTGATTATGTAGCTGACAACATTTATAGACGTTGATAACTGGGCGAGGGGCCTTTCCTATATGGCGAACCACGGGAAAAACTGGCCGGCTCTCACGTCGATGTCTTTGCGAAATGAGCTGCGGAAACCGGACGGCTCGGCCAGCAGCTCATACAACTGGCAAAATTGGTACACCAATATCAAGAAGGGTACGAGCGCGATTAACTCGGCCAATCCCGACCTGCTCATCTTCCTTTCGGGACTTGACTTCGACACGTACATCACGCCGATAGTACAGAATACGGCCTTGACCCCAGGAAGTGGGAAGTTTAGCACTGCTGATTTCGAGGGTTATACGAACAAGCTCGTGCTGGAGATCCATAATTACCAGAACAGCGCGAATAACTGTAATAGCCTTAAGAGCTCGTTGTACAACAGCGGGTTCCAGGCATTGCACGCTGATGACTCGAAGACGGTTAATGTGTTCCCAGTGCTGCTGACCGAGTTCGGATTTGACATGTCGGGTAACGCATGGCAGGGAACATACGCCACTTGTATCGCGAGCTACCTCGCTGAACAGAAGGCTGGCTGGTTCATATGGGTTGTCTCGGGTAGTTATTACATCCGGTCGGGTAGACAAGATTATGAGGAGACATGGGGCTTGTTGAAGCACGATTGGTCGGATTGGAGGTCTTCGGCGTATATTGAGGGGGGGTTGAAACCTCTTGCCAAAGCCACCGCACAAGGATGAGATGTTTGTATATCCGTAGTTTTATCCTGGGTTTTTGGATTCTTCGGTACTCTTCCACATACTAGGAAATGTCGTGATAATATGAGACCCTTATTTCAATATAACTTTGGTGCCTAGTCTAGAATCAAGGCAGTGGGGATGATCTACGTGATCGGAGATCGGAAGGTTATGGTGTTGAGAAAGAATAGAAACCGAGAATAGTCTTAGTATTCCCAGCCTCTCATTACAGAATTACATGCAAGTACCTAGGTACCTAGGAAATTAGTACATGCACTTACAGATCTACATAAAGATCCGTAGATGGTAGGTACAATGCAGGATAGTGTTTTGGTTACTGTACAAACAAGGGTCATACAGCTTTATTCTTCACTAATACAATTTCTATTTTATTCTCAAAGTAATTGTTCCTACATTTTGATTGGTTTAAACCCCGATGTGACTTCCCCAACGCAGCATAAATCTAAGTTCAGCCCTATTAATGCCTTCCTCTAGTGCAAATGCAGTAGTACATTCAATTGATGTTTCCACTAGACCCACTTCAGCTGCATAGTACCTGGCAAGGCTAGAAAAGATATCTTGAGCTTCCTTCTACTTTCTACATCATAACTTCAGCATCAAGATACGTTCGTTTCATTGTTTATAACATCGTCGCAATACCAGATACCTTGTTTCTGACGACATAATTGTGCAATGGCACCCCTATGTAGATACTGGAAACAAGGAAATTGTCGGAATGGAGGTACTTGAATTCTTTCTAATCCCTATTTCAAGGAGATAGCTAACCTCTTACATCAATATAGCGTCCTGTCGTTTCGAGCATCCAAATGCGAACAACCAGAACCCATTCGGAGCTCCCAATGCCAATACCAACAGATTTAGCGCTTTAAATACGACGAACAACCAACCGAAAGAAATCGATTACAAGCTCGACCGAGGAGCTCTAAGATGGGATTTAAACGAAGGCCTACCGGAATGGCTCTTGTCCTGCTACTGTCCTGGAGTTGACACTCCTGATCAATTGTTTGGCGGATACCCCCGAGAACAAAGTCCCGAAGAAGTGAGGTTGTATATTATGAGCTCGGGCAATCCCCAACAAGCTGTATGAAATCCTAGGATCCCGCCCCTGTTTCAAGACATTGTTTGGCTGACCATTGTATTAGGAAGCGGAAGTAAAAGGTCTCATCCAGGCGGCCGAACAGCAAAATCGGACAGCCTTCAACGATCCCGATGGCGCCATTAAATTTATTTTATCGGCCGCGGACAAACATCCCAATCGCATAGACATCTGCAAGCAGAGCTCCCCAGATCCCATGAGCGGAATTTTCCTAAGAAAAGCTGTTGCCAGTTCTGAGGCCGGTTTTTCGAATCCCATTGCGTCGCAACCTTTTTCGTCGGCTTCTAGTCAAAGTGCCTTTGGCGGCGCTTCATCTGCGTTTGGCCAGCCGTCGGCATTGGGACAGAAACCCAATCCTTTCGGTGCTCCCTCTATTTCCGCTAGTACCCAACCACCCACCATGGGATCATCCAATTCTGTGTTCGGACAGCCCTCGCAACCAGGCGGCGGCGCTCCTGCTTTCGGACAACCATCAGCTCTGGGCCAAAAGCCGAATCCGTTCGCTGCCGCGATGTCTTCGGCGTCTAATGCGTTCGGTCAAGCTGCTCAAAGCACATTTGGGCAGCCGTCAGCTTTAGGGCAGCGGCCAAATCCTTTTGCTGCACCAACACAACCAGCAGCATCTGCACCAAACCCTTTCTCTTCACAACCGGCCCCAGCGACTTCAGCGCCGAATCCGTTTAGCCAGCCGGCAGCAACTAATCCCTTTGCCCAAGCCACGAACACAACGTCTGCCGACCAAGCAATGGATACTTCGGCACCTTCCCCGGCCCCACAGGCTGCCAACAATCCTTTCGGAAAGCCATCAGCTTCTCCATCTCCCTTCGGAGCGCCGGCCAATAATGTATTCGGTGCGCAGAAGTCGCCCGGATTCGGGGCCGCAACTGCTAACCCCTTTGCTCGAGTGCAAACACAACCTCAAGCACAGCCGCAGATACAACCGCAACCTCAGGCAACACTACAAATGGCACAAAACGCACAAAGCCAGAAAGCACCTGTACCCAAAGGCAACCCATATAGGCCGAATAGTACAAGGCAGCACCCTCCTCCAGAAAGCTACATAAACCAACAGCCGAATGGACGTATTGTATCGTTTAACGGGCAGCCAGTGATTTACAAGTGGGGGGTGGACGATAAATACTACGATACAATGCCGCATGGAACTACCGGGGCACGTCCAGTCCCTGGTGTACAGAATGGGGACGGTTCGTGGCGTAAGATTTTGTTCCCTGGCGGCCCGCCTGCTTACAACAAAGACACGGAACCGGACACTTCGTTATATTCAGCAGCGATTAAGGAGGCATACGCTACGATGACTGCCACTGGCAGGTTTAACGGACATATGCCTGAAGTACCTCCAATGAGGGAGGATTGCCTGTGGAATTTTTAGAAATAAGGCATGGATTGCTTGAGGAGTCGTCATGTATTGATAGGCGTGTTTTATAGGGGGGCACCTGTGGAATGATTCCAGTCACGACTACGATAGCACTTAGACGGTAAAAACTAGATACCCCGGAGTTGGAATGGATCACGCATAGAATCAATTAGAAAAGCGATTCTTACTGGAAACAATAAATCATGTTTAACCCATTATTTGATTTGTTGATTAGATCCGATTCGTATTCATTTGTTACGTATGCTGCTAGATACCCTGATATAAGAGGCACACCTAGAACATGATGTAGGATATCACGAATACTCGTGTTCCTGCGTAATGCATTCCATACCAGCCCTACTCCTCCACCTCTTTATTTCCTAGTTTAGGCGGCAATGGTAACTTCAACCTCGACACCGGCCTCGATGTTGACGATGATCTGCTTGACAGTCTCGGTAGGAGCGTTTAGGCTGTAATTGAAAATTTCGATTAGCAAATGTTCATAGCGAAGTGGTTTTAGAATAGGAGAGAAAAGACATACTCAATGAGGCGCTTGTGAATGCGCAACTCGTAGCAATCCCAGGTCTTGGAACCCTCACCACAGGGGGTCTTTCGGGTAGTGACCTTGAGGGTCTTGGTAGGAAGACGAACAGGGCCCTTGACGCGGAGGTCCTTGCTCTTGGCACGTTCGATGAGCTCGCTGGAGACCTTCTCGAGAGCGGCGACCTTGCGCGAGGTGAGGGTGATGCGGATCTTGTGGGTCTTGGCCGCCTCGCCGCCGAAGTCCTTCTCGGGCTTGTTGTACGACATTTTGGATTGTCGGGTGGTGATCAGATCGGATCGGGAATTAGGAGGCGTTTTGTTTTATGTGGCCTTCACGACTCGAACGGTGACACGTTGCGGCAAAGTGATGAAGGCGACGTGGTTGTTGGATTTGGTGGTGTTGGAGGGGAAAGAATTAAAAAAAAAGTTCGCGACTTTTACAAAAAAGACTAAGAATTTCGTTGTGTGGGCTCGGATAAGGGTTAAAGTGGAACCAGCCTTATGACTTAGGTAATCATAGATAATGCTGTTCCAGAAAGATGCTTACGTCATAATACTTGACCTATAATGTTACTGGATTAGCAGTACAATTCAAAAGAATGGAAAGAGTCATCCGGCAAAGAATTACATGCATTCACTTTTAAATTTTAATGGAGCGTCACTCTAATTCATTTCTTATCTTCATTTATTTATTGCATACATATCCCTTTCCATTTGGATGATGAAATTCATAGAGAAGTTCATGTGTAATTGTGCATTTAACACCCGGTAGCGTCCTGGGGGCGTTTTGTTGATCTTACTATTTCCTCACTCACCTTTTCGGATTATCAATTTAACTCGACACGATGGCCTCGTTACCCCCGTTTGCACCATTCCCCGAAGCGTCATGGAGGGATCGCATAGACCCCCAGGATTGGGACGCCTGCTTATCTGTTTGGGTTAAATTGGCAGAAGCACATATGTCTTTGCCTGAAAAGCAGCTTATCCAGGTCTCTTCTAACGACGAATCTTTGCTGTCGTTTCTCATCACTTTTACGAGAGAAACCGCAATAAATGGAATTACAGCGCTTCGAAATTCTCAACAAGTAAAACTCCTATACCGACAATGTTTCCGGCTCATTAATAAATTTCTACGAAGTCCTTCTCCACCTTCTCCGCTTCTCCAGTGGGAGTTTCTTTCTGATTTCTGTCGTCTGTATTCGAAAAGGAGAACATCTACTCTAGTCAACCAGATCTGTCAGAAGCCACATGTGACAACGTCGCTCAGCGCATTAAGAAGATCCCTCGCCATCCAACTCGATTATGGTATTAAGAATGACCCGAAGACTCTAGAATCCCTGGAGTCTCGCCTCAAAAGGCTCAATCATCTCATCCATGCGTCTCCTGCTGTAGCCACACTATTCCTAACCGGAAGCGATTTTCTAGATGGGCTTATCAGTTGTTACAAAATCATGAACCCTCCTTTGAGAAAGGCAATTGTGACAACAGCTTATTTGTGTCTCATTGGTTTGACTGAAGGAGAATCCCCAAACATTTCTATGCTATCCGACCAGCTTTATTCTCTGAAAGCTGCTGCAGAAAACCATAAAGCTGGGCCACTAAATGTGAACGATTCCTTGGTAGCCGAGCTGGTTACAGTCACTCCAATCCTCAAGCAGGTCCAGCATCGCCTAGAAGGATCTGGCTCAAACACAACACGATCTGGGCCAATTATTACTGCTTTGGAGGCCTACCGAAAATCAAGCGGTGACATCAAACCCAAGAGACCGGCTAAGCGGAAGGTCGATAAAGGAAAAGGTGTTATGACAGAGGACGACATCCAAGGGGAAATGAAAGTGCATCGTATGAGCCAAATTTCTCAAATACAAGATCTGTTTCCAGATTTAGGCTCCGCTTTCGTCTCGAAGCTTCTCGACGAGTATGGTGACAATACTGAACAAGTGGTTGCGCACTTGCTTGAAGATTCACTACCACCGCACTTGGCTACCGCGGATCGCACTCAAGAACTGTTCGTTAATTCAAAAGCACGTCGTATGTTCCCCATGATTGCTAATTCATATATAGGTCCCCGGAGAGGAATAGGAGAAAAAGTCGCGATATTGCACCTAGACCCACACCTCCACAAGTTCCAATACGCCATAATGTATTTGATGATGATGAATTCGACAAATTAACAATGGATTTATCCAATGTACATTTCGGCAAACGTAACCCAGAAAGATCAGCAGATGATATTTTAAACGATCGATCTTCCGCTCCAAACAAAGCTGCCATTCTTTCCGCGCTATCTGCATTCGACGCTGATGACGATGAGCGAGATGACACTTACGATGTTGCAGATGCTGGATTGGTTGTAGATGATATAGGGGACGCAGAAGATCAAAAACGGAAAGATGCAAGCGAAGAAGCTCTTTTCAGAGCATACCAGTCGGACTCGAAAGCGTTTGATAGAGATGCAGCTACCCGACGAAGCCAAACTAGGACGAAATTGAAGCAACAGACAGGAATGACTGACGAGGCTATTGAAGGTTGGGCTGTAATGCTAACCAGGAATCCCCACCAGATGAGGCAACTGGAGATGAAGTATAGCGCGTTTAGTGGTGACCAACCTGCTTTAGCGCCCACCGCTTGGCGGGCGAATCCGACAGACTCAGCAGCAGAAGACTCCGAAATCGACGGTGGCAACAACAACTCGCGAGGTCGCGGCCGTGGTGGCCGAGGAAGAGGAGGAAATGTCGCCGGCCCTTCAGGTGATAAAGATACCGAAAATGCAAGAAAACGAAAGGAAGCAAATAAGGGGACCAGGGGTAACCACAGCCGCCGAGATCAACGTGCAAGGAAGATGGCACGTGGGGGATTCCCTGGATGATCAAGCAGCTCTTAATGACAACATTTATAACACGAAATGTTATCCATAACCATAATCCGCGATGTGCGACTACTCCAACCTTCGTCTTTTCGCCATCTGTTGGCTTCCGCTGCGTGCCATTGGCGTTGGAAAGGCTGGACGTTTCCCAAATGCGTTTTCGTTCGCATCTGCACATCTTTCGTAAAGATCCTCATCATTTAGAGCCTGCGCGTAAGGACTTCGCAACTCGGAATTCCCAGGAGACATTGCTTGTGAAAGACTATAGAAAGCGTGAATCGGTGCCGGAGATCCGAATGACGTGGTCACCTCGTCGGGTCCTATGTGGCGTACTAGATGTGACTGATCCTTCGGAGTTGCTAATTCTGATACGGATGTAAGATCGTTGTCAAATTCTCCGGCCCCAGCCTCGCCCACGCCTATCATTGATACTAATGATGCTCCTGAGCTGCGCCGACTCTCAAGGTATTCGCCAAGATCGAAACATTGCTTGCATATCGGGTATGTGGGCCAACAATCTGCTTCGTCACGGAATTGCGGGAGCCGAGCTCGTTGCTCTTGGCCACACCGCTCCTGAATATCATCAAAGATGTCAAATATCGGAGTAAAAAAAGTATGGCGTGGACCAGGGCCATAGTATTTATTCCGCCCCCAAAGTTGACCGATAATAGCATTGCTCTCACAATCAACAATGGCAGCACCACTATCACCTTCGACGCCTATGCCACTGCGTATCCACTCGTTCTCATTATCGTAAGGGTATGGTTCCTCTATGTACCATTCGCGAGATGCTCTCCCTGTGCCATTTTCTGAGCCATCAAGATATGCAGGTATCTCGCATACCTGGCCCCGCTGGAAGCCTGACGTACGTCCCGTTGAGCACACCGTTCTTTCGGGGACAACTGAACCCATAGACGTAATTGGGTGTTCCCGCCTTTGATTTGTTGCAGGAAATTTCCTAAGCAAATTAGCTTGTCGACTTCTTGCCGGAATTAATGCCCAGTCTGTGACGACCAACGGAGGCTCCTTATCACAATCTTCCCAATACGGATCATGAGATACCCGAGTAGTTTTTAGGTCAAAGCCAGAAGTTGCCGTCAAATCGCCAATCTTGAAGTCAGAAATGATGCTGCTGAGAATGTCATGTCCCTTGCTAACACATTCCTTACGATCGGCTGGAGACGGATGCTCAACAGTCACAGGATGTACCCCTTTACTTAGATCCACGAACGGATGGAAACTAACTAGCCAATAACTACCACCGTCGATCGTTATAAGAGGGCCTAGAGTTGCCGTAGCTTCGTCGCCATCTTCCGATGTTGTTCCAATACTGTCACCCATGCACGGGTTCACGTAGCAGAATGGATTACGTGGTTGGCAAATCTCGTCGGGCATTTCCTTGCCCAGGCCTCGTGCCCAGACAAGTCGCTCTACTTTTCCAGTAGAGAATGCAAATACAACCAAGTTGCGGTAAGTTTCCGGAAGCAAATCTCTTACATGTTCCGCAATGAGTAGCCTCCGGGCTCTAGAAACAGGTTGCTTGGTCATGATACAGATTCGCCGAGAATTTGGTTTTCTCCAACGTGCCACGCTGATCATGTGGCCCGGCCCGCACCACTTCGGGATAAATTCGACGAGAAATGGAAGGACACCATGCTCCCAGATGACTGGGAAGCTCGCTGATTCCAATGGTTTGGGTGTACGGTATGTGATAGCCCCGGGACTATCGGTAGTTTTTGGTGTATTACCATTGGCTCTTTTCATTCTCCTTTCGAGCACGGCCCTTAGCTGTTCTCGACAACGTTTCTTCGAAATCCCGATAGACATTTCCATTTTGAGCGCCTTGTCTTCATCCACCGCAGACTTCATGGAAGAAACTTGCTTTTGAGCACTCTTCGTTGACGCACCCGCAGGAATATCTGCGGGATTAAGAAGACTAGACGGTCGGGGAAAATTGTCCTTGTCCGCTGCCGTACTGCCATGGGCGCATTTCAGGTGGCAATCGAGAAGATCTTTGCTCGCAAATGCGCCTTCAGCACAGCCAAGAACTGGGCATAATAGAAGGTGTTCGCGTTTAACATGCCAATTGAGCTCTTCCCTCGTCGCAAACCCGGCGCTGTCGCACGGGCCGTTGTCCCCCCAAAGGCAAATATGTAAATGTCCAACTCTCGAATGAAGCTCGAAATCCTCTTTATTCGCAAATTTGGCATCGCAATTATCCTTAAAACAGACGTGTTGGCAGTCGACACCGAAAGTTATCCCAGTCGCATTCCGCAGAGGGCTGGGAACACGCGATCTTACTGTTCCTGTGGCGGTGACTTCTGAAGCTACGTCGGTTTGAACCGGAGACCAAACAGAGCCTTGGTAGGACGATGGAGGAGAGCAGGTCAAGGGACTTGCATTGTCCGTAACGATTGATGGCAATGTTCCATGCGATAAATTGGAGATCTCTCCGTCCAGAAATTTGTCGCCAGCACTATACAATGTTAAGGGTACCATCCCATTGCTACTATCCGACCATATCGAATCCCGCCGTGCTAGAGAATGAATAAATGAGGGATCCTCATATTGAAAGTTGTTGCTAAGGCTTCCAAGTGTGGTTGGCTCGATACTATTGCTGTATTGGGGAATACCAGTTGCATGTGAAGGAGCCCGTGAGATCCACCCAGAAGGCCTCATAACTCGAGGCATGGATTCCGATGGACATGCTGACGCAAAATCAGATGCAGGCTTCCGATTAGCATCCATTTCAGGTGATATATGAGAACACAGCCAGCCACAGCCGGCCAACCCGGATCACTAATAAAAGGAGAAGGAGTTCAAGGACAAATCGGATATATATAAAAAGACAACTACCGGGTAGTTAAGGACAAGCTGCGCTTTTCCCCAGAGAACAAGACGTTTCAAACCAGGCCAAAGAAATCAAACTGAGTAAATCAATCCTGAAATTCCCATTCCTCCATTCCTTGGGTTGGGGCGGCTGACGGGGGGCCTCCGATCATCGAGGCACCAGGGTTGTAATGGGGCGGAGCAAGTCGGTAGTTCGCCCACCAACTTCACCACCTCGTCTTTACTCAGTTGGGGAATCTGGTTGCCTTACACGGCGTTCATGATGGCCAATCTATGCGAACTCCGAGATTAAAGAACGCTATATATTATATGTAGCGAAATCGGAAAATGGTATGTCGAACTCTTCTCACTTTACTTACAGCGAATACACCAACACACTTAAAGCCAAGTCAAAATTTATGATTTGTTACTACAGTGAAACCCAAGTGGCTTGCTTTAGTGTACATTATACCCATCCTGACAGAACGACTGTACCGTGGAGGAAAAACGCCTACGCACCGTGATACCTTTCCCTTTCCCCTCCTTAGAAAAACGCCACAAAAAGCCCAGACGGGAAAGGAAAATGAGAAAACGCCGTAACACCTCCTAAAATGTCGCAGCGTGTGCAATCATTGTCCACCTCCGAACCGGTTCCAACCCTGGCAATTTCCCGCCATATCCGGATAACCTCGCCATGGGCGTGGAACTTCTCGCGTTTGAGCGTCTCTCGATTAGATTTCCGGTTTGCGCTACTGGTTGTTCGTCCCCGTCTTCGCTGATGCTGGCGAGTGTTGGCCTTCGGCCGTCATTTGCTATAGGAGGTACACCTTGTATTGGACTTGCTGATCTACTGGTCTCGCGTGATGCATTCGTGGGAAGTTTGGGGACATCTGCTGTTTGCATTCGTTCTTGAATATCGTCATAGATGTCTGAGATTGCTGAGAAGTATGTGACAGGAGAACTTTTGCCATCTGATTTATCGTACTTATCCCGCCCCCAGATCTGGCCGAGAAGCTTGTCGGTGGTTTGCTCAATTACTGGTGCGCCTGAATCTCCGGGGATGCCCATACCACCTCGATTCCAATCATCACCCTGAGCAGTACTCTCGATGCACCAGTTTCGAGTTCTAACGCCGCCACGGAGCACATAAAGGGAAGGAACCTCGCAGATTTGACCGAACGAGTGTCCACTGGACCGACCAGTAGAGTACACAAGCTGAGAACCGCGGACTTTTGGGTTTGCAGTCATTGTGACGTCCTTTGAGAAAGAGTTGCATCTATCGGTAAGGAAGGAGATTCCACCTCCGCGCACTTTATTCACTTGATATTTCGTGGTGGTCTCAACTAAAACCCAGTCTGTCACTGTCTTCACTGGGCTAGTTTCCTCCCCCAATTCCTCTTGGAATGCACTCTGTATTGAGTTAGACATTCGCCAGGTCTTGTGCATCAGACCCGAGTATGCGACCGTCTTGCCGATTGAAATGCTCTGCTCGCCAGAATTCATTGCGTCGTCTAGCGAGGGATGGTAGGCATCTAATGCTGGCGGGTTGGGGTCTTCACAGCGTCGACATTGATCTTCATCGTCAAAAGTGTGCCAATTTAATATGCGGTAGAGCTTCTGTGCTATCTGAAGTAAAGGTCCCATCGTAGCACTCCCACCTTCTCTAAAGTGCGGGCCTATTGAGTCTCCCATGACCGGGTTTGTATAGCGACGAGTATTTACTGGTGTAAGCCATTCCTCGCTTTGAGTCGATCTTAGGGTGGGGTTTTCTTCAGCTAGGCGTTTGATGTATCCTAATCGGAATCGCATAGTAGTTCTTGTCTTGAGGTCCCCGTCGAGATGCTTATCCTTGGCTTCTTGGAGGGTCGTCTGGACGTCGGTCTTCACATCGTCGGAAGTCATGATTTCAATCACGCGATGGCCGGTCTCCTCTCCCCGACGGACATTGATGCTATATCCGTCTTTAACATTATCATCCATGATCTTTTCTAGAGCGGGAAGTAGTTTTAGTTCCCAAGCTCGGACGAATTGTTTCGAATCTTCGGCTGCCTTGGTATCGGCATCCCTTCTCCGTTGCAATTCCAATAACTTTTCAGTCATGGCGTCTATATCTGACTGAAATTCCCTCTGTAAAATCTGTTTGCTGTTTTTATCTGTGCGTTTAAAGTCATCGGGAACAGGTTGTTGTTGTTGACCCGGCGTTTCTGTTTCTCGGGGTGCGGCAGTCCTGGTTTTAGACCCTTTGGCTTTGAACTCCAAGTCTTCTTTTTCAGAAAGAGGAAACGTATGTCGATTTTTAGCTGGAAGTGGCTCAGCTCCGGGATTCGTACTGTCTGGTCCTACGCATGTTGGGAAACACATCGTCTCCGAGGTGTTCTGAGTTGGGATTACAGCTGGTGCTGTACCACCTATTCCCAACTCACTGGATTTTTCGTTTGGATCAACGTTATTTGAAACAGGGCGAGTCTTCTCGGGACACTCCCGAGGTTTGGTGTCATGTTTGCCATGAATTGGTCGACTACAATACACAATACATATCAGTTAATGGTCCACGTAAGACATACGAAGGATTGTTACATACCCGTAGACTACATCCTTAATAATAGCTTTTACATTTTTATAGAATATTGGTCTGTGGATTCTCTTGGTATTAGACATAATGAATCCGATAGGAACGCTTTCGATTCGTGTCGTCCTCGTGTCCTCCGGAAAATTGTCTTTTTTGCTGGGATTCCCGCCGGAATCGAGCTGAATTGCCCCCCATCTTATATCGTATATGTAGCTAACTCTAGTTCAAATTTTCAATGTGGATTAATTGTTCGTTCGTAGGACTTTCAGGGTTATACGAGAAAAAGCATTTGAGGTGCATAGTAGAAAAACCACAAGCCACCTGTGTATCAATGATGCTGACCTCATGATGCGCAGCCAAGGCGCATTCGCTCCTAACCCTAAAAGCCCCAAGGCATACACAGCCCGCCATCGGGATGGATATATAGGTGGGCGTTAGGTCGCACCTTTATCGGCCGTCTCAAGGCCACCTAACTGGCTGCTACATAAACATGCATATTCGCTTTTTTCCCTATTCCCTTGCTTAGGTACGCCATGCTAGATCCGCTTTCTGCACTTTTGTTGTCCTTGTTTTTTTCTTTCCCCTGTCCTACTTCGCCAGGTATCACCTAACTAGCCCCTGGGATCACACCGAAAATCCTGGGGGCCAAAAAGACGCCCTTGGAGTCGATCTACCCAGATCTTGTCACGAATTGATGATGGACACTAATATTTGAAGTGACGATGAATCCAATCAGCCGGATCAATTGATTTAATGATCAATCGTGTCACTTTCCAACGCATATGTAGGTGTCATTCCTGAGCTATGAGTGACGGGGACGAGCATGAGGCATCGCCCACCTACACGTCAGCAATTGACCCAAACTCCGAGCCGCCAAGATCCGGACTGAGACAAATTTGCACGACGAGGCTTGAGCTGAATGAAAAGGAAATATTTGAGTTGGCGCTCTAGGATGAAGCGAAATTCGCGTTAGGGGTTCATAATGCATGATTTGTTGGTAAAAAATGGAAAAAAGGAATAATGGGAAATGAAAAGGGGCAATTGTTAGGTCGGCGAATATATCCATGAACCGAGATACCAACGGACTCTTACCGACGACTGGCCTCACTTTTGAACGCTTCTCGCTTCTACTTTACTCCTTTCTCGGCCACCTCGAATCCAATAAAAGCACGATTTTCTTCGAAAACACCGGCAGTTACCGATCAACGAATGAGGTGAGCGTCTTCTACTCCATCACAATAATCATCATTGCTTTTTTCAAGCCATAATGCACTTTTGAAGTATTAATGAACTGTTGTTGGGTATAAAACTGTATTATCCATATCATTGAGGCTACCCTAATGAAAAAAAAAACCATGACTTACGCCATGTTGGACGGATTCCGCCTCTCCGTTCGTATCATGTCCTAATAGAGAATAAGTTTTGTTATAACCTAACCTAACCGCCATAAAAAAGAAAAACTCCTTAGATGCGTGCTTCCCTAAGTGTATTCCATAGGAACGCCGAGCGCCCATGAGGTCAATACAAATACAACGTATGGGGTATGTGTCGTACGTAAGACCTCCTTTGTAACTCCTGAATCCTCTAATCTCTGCTTGGTTAAATTCTTCGACGTATTCGGTATCTACCGAACCATATTTGCATAATGTCCGGTGATCGGGCGGCCGACTGAATGCCTCCTACTCGCCATTGCCTCTCCTCTTAGCGCGTACTAACTCGGCTGCAAGTTCGGTATTTTGTCGCTCGCTATCCTGTATCCTTTGCCTCGCTGCAGCCCTATCCATATGCCTAGCCTCTCTTTCTTGTTTAAGCTTATACTCGAGTTCTCGCAACCTAAACATCCATCGGTTGTCGTCGCCATTCTTCCCTGAAGAACTGTCGCCGTTAGAAGTACCGAGTCGCTCCAATTCGGCCACACCCATAGCGGAGCCGCTCCTAGACATACTGCTCGTTCTACTCTTGGGGTTTGGGGTGTTTACTTCTAAGTGGGTCGTTTTGCTGCGCGGAATCTTCGAGTCTCGACGATGCGGACCAGTCGGGACAGAGGGAGAAGGACTGCCTCCATCAATAAGATCCTCATGTGAACCGTTGCTGCTGGCCTTTTTAGACCCGGACCAATTCGCCCCGCGGGTACGCGCGTCGTTAGCACGTTGAAGAGTAGCATTTTCGATCTTTAGAGCCCTATAGGCAGTTTCCAATTGAGATATCTTAGTCTGTGCATCGTAATTGCCAGAGGTAATACCGGTACGGACAATAGTCTCAAGACGCTCGAGCTTCTTAGACTTAGTCTCTAGGCTACTCTCAAGGGATTGGTATTCTTTCCAGAGTTCGCGTTCGACAGATTTAATGCGTGATTGAAAATTACCTATTATGGCTTCGATGGTTTTAACAGCGCCAAGCAAGTTTTTGCTAAAGCCGGGTAGCATCGTGGATACGGACTCTAATGAAGGTAGAGCGCGGCCATTGATGAGGCTGTTGTCGTGGGCCCAATCGGTGCCACAAAGTGCCGACAGACGTGTCCATAGGACAAGTAAGAGATTATTACGCTCGTTGAGCTGTTCCTTAAACGATGCTTCGAGCTGCGTGATCTTTTTCTTGTCTACGGCACGACTTGTCTCAAGCTCTAGGATACGCGAATCCTGACTTGTGACCGTTCGTGATACGTGTTGATGCGTACGCTGGAACGTTTCAAATTGGTTCTTTGTGTTTCGGTGAGCTTGCCGTTCCTTATCAAGCATCTCGGCCAGTCTCCGGGATTCGAGACCGTGCGACTCAAGGAGAGCGTCACGTTGCTTGATGATGCGATCCTTTTCGAGCAAAGAATTCTTCGTAGTGTCAAGCTCGCGAACGGTATTCTCGAGCTCTCGTTGGAGTTTAGCAATAGACTATTCATTATGTAGTTAGTTTGATGTACTAGGAATTGTGTCTTTTCTTGAGTATGACGCACCTTGAGTAGGCTGGACCGAGTACCGTTCAAGTCTCCTAGGGCCTCTCGAAGATTATTCTCAAGTTCCATGAGCCTCTCCTTCCACTCGGTAGCCTCAACCTCCCTACTTGTGAGGTTCTTGCGGAGTCGTCTAGCTTCATCTTTGGCGGTGGAAACTTCGCGGTTAAGCTCGTTGACGAATTGCTGTACTTCTTCTTTCTCGCGAGTTGCTACAATTTCGCGTTGTTTGCGTTCGCTAGCGAGGCGTTGCTCGAGCTCCTTAGTCCGATCACGTTCCTCTCTGAGACCTTGTTCGGCATTAGCTAACGCAGCCTCAATATCCCCAATTCGTATCTTGTCCGCTTCTTGTTCCTCGCGTAGGAATGCAATTTCGCCTTGGCTGGATTCTTGTTGTACTCCGAGGCGTTGAGCTTTGTCGTTTGACTCGAGGAGCTTAGCTTCGAGATCTTCGGATTCCTTGTTCGATTCAGCCAGATCCTGCTCGAGTTGTTCTATTCTCCTAAGCTTCTTCTCTTGCTCATCTTCTAGTCGTACGAGAGCTTCGCTCATCTGTCGCATCTCCTCCTGAAGGGCGTCGAAATTTTCTGATCGGTCCTGTAGTTCAATCTGCAATCGCTGAATTTCCTCGCTCTTTTGGTCGCCCTCGGCCTCCAAAGCATCGATTTCATCCTGGGCTTCCTTACGCAGAATATCGAATTCATTTTCTAAGTCGGAGTGCTCCTGTAATACTTCGTCTCGCTCTCCTTGAATCTGCAACATGTCATTTGTTACTCTCTGAACTTCATCCTCGAGAGCGGCGTTGTGTTCCTCGAGTTGCCTTCTAGCTTCGTTGCTACTATCCAATTCTTGCATGCATGTCTGTAATTCGCGTTGTAGCTCTTGTTTTTCGAATTTAAGCTCGTTGAGCCTGTCGCGGTGTTCGGCAAGTTTGTTTTCCAGTTCTTCGCGGTCGGGATCTTCTTCGACCGTCATAGTGAGTCGTGTGCGACCGCTACCCCTCGAGGTTGATCGCTCGTGGCCACCAGCGCGAGAAGCCGACCGATCGAGGAGGCTGTCAACGGTTGAAGGTGCTGGGCCCCCGCGACGCTGCGCTAACTTCAGGTCCTCTATTTCCTGGTACAACCTCTCCTTCTCGCGATTGCGGGATGTGAGCATCGAAGTTTGCGCGCCAACTTCTCTCCTTAGCTCGGCGTTCTCGTGCCGTAGCTGTTCGCTTTCCCGGCGGAGTTCTTCGACCAAAGTTGCTGACTGACTTGATACACTAGTAGGATCAATCTCCCCAGACAACCCAGATACAGGTCGTGATCTTGATGGTGAAGTAGGCCTGGTCTTTCGTGTGATATTATAGATGTTTGTTGTGTGGTGCAATCCGGCCCCAGCGGGAACACCTCCATTCATTTCTTGCTTCAGTCGGAAAATTTCATCTCGAAGTCTTCGGTTTTCATCGTCCGACTGCTCGCGACGCGCGGTTTCCTGTTCGAGAAGATCCTTGTACACATCAGCCTCTTCCTGGCGGCCGAGATTGTCACCAACACGTTCGCCAGCGCGGTCGCCCATGGTCTTGACAGTCTCCGCAAGTTTCCTCTTTTCGACCTGGTTGGTCATATTTTCGTTTCTAAGTCTCTCGATTTCCGTGACGTATTCTTCGACCCGCTCTCTCAAATACAACAATTCTTCCTCTCGTTCCTGAGCGTCGGCGTCGAAAGCTGGTGTCGTTGCTCCATCGGAGGAGTATCCGCTTCTTGCGGTACTGGGGCGGTCTTCTTCATCGCGGAGCTGCTTCTCTAATTCCTTTACCCGTCGCCTGAGAATTTTATTATCTCGCTGTATCACGGCTAAGGACGTCTTGAGCTCAACGTTCTCCGAGATCATTTCCTTAATACCTTCTTCGGAGAGTTTGTCTAGACGATCTGAAAGGAACATAACCTTAAGTTTCAGATCAAAATTCTCCTTAGAAAGACGCTCAATAGTACTAGACTGCTCCTTGAGCGTCAAATTCTTGCCGCCTCGAGTGGTAGTGCTAGCGGTTGCGGGAGTCATATTGGATACCTTCCTATAGGCTTGGTGCATCGGCGTTGTGAGACCACCTTTTGTCTGATACTCTTTGGCCAGAGACTCAGGCACCTCGACATTACGCACATGCCTAGCAATTACGGTGTCAGTTGGCGCCATCAGGGAGCCCCTTTTCGCTTTTGGAGTCGCGAGGGGATCGGCGCGGCGGTCGGGCATAGGACTGTCAACTTCCTCTAGGGGCTCCAGAGGGTCTGGTCGAATAGGGTCCGGAGCTTCGTCGAACCCAGAGGCCATGCTACCGATACTTACGGAGCGAGACAGGGTATTGCTAGCACTCCGGGTTAAGCCATACGCAGGCAAGGCACCTCCGGATTGAAGGGCATAATCGGCACCCAAACCCACTGTAACATCGCTGTCGATATCGTCGTTGGTAACAAAAGATGAAGTCGACGACCGTTGACTGGCATTTCTACTGCGTAGGTACTTGGGTCGCTTAGTAACTTTAAGAGAGTCTCCTTGTGTCTGCTCGGGTAGTTTGGCCAAATTTTGCTCTGAGGTTTGATTTTGCGGAGTGGAGGCTTCGGCGGGAAACGAATCATCTGCTGGAATCTCGAGGTTTGAGTTATCGTGTGATGGGGCAGCTGAATCATCGTTCCCGCCTATTGTATCTTCGTCGACTTGTTTACTAGCCATAGATATAGCTCTCGAGACAGTTCGAGCAGTGGCAGCTGTGGTAGGAGACGAAAGATTCTCTAACGAGGAAGTGGCGTTACCGGGTTCGTCGTTGTGAGAGCTTTTGGGATTGGGTTGTGGAGTTGCAAATTCTGGTAAAGTCGATTCCTCTTGACTCTGCTCGGCTTTGTTATTAGGAGGCGGGTTATTATCGGCCTCACGGCTAGGATGCGAATCGGGCTCATCTTGCGAATGAGAAGGTGGAGGTATCGTCGCGGGGGGTAGAGATGGAGCTGGCGAAGAGGGCGCAAGAGGTGAAGGTTTCTTCTTTGCGACACCGTCGAATAAGTATGTGTCGTCGACACCACCTTCGGGGTTGACGACCTGAATAGGTGATATTGGAGGTATGAAGCTAGACTCGACATCTTCTAAGTGAGCTCTTACTTGCTGTTCCTCGGTGACGGAGTCGAGGTGCTTATCTTCAGGCTCGAGCCGGGTAGTCTCGACGAAGCTGCTATCCTCGGGCGGTGTGCGAAGGTGAACTGGGGGACGATTTTCCTTCTTAGGCAAGGGAGTAGTAGCATCGGCGAGTGGGTTTGGATCCGAAGAGGCGGCTTCAAGGGGTGCATCAGTGGTGTCGACGACCGAGCTCTGATCTATGCGGCTTTCGTCTTCCGCCATTGTTTCGGCGAAGACTAGAACTTAGACTCGACTGGGATCGTGTCTTAAGTAAGCACTCCTAACAAGTTATACCATGTATCTATCTGTGTACCAAACCTAAGAGTAGGTAAAATGGGGATATGCGATATCGAATTTGAATTGATAGGTAGCTGTTGTCGCCAGAAAGCTGTGTATAGACGACACGCTGACGACACGAAACAATTTCATATGTGGTAGTTGGTGGTAGTAGTTGATGTCGTGGACTCGAATTTAGAACTGAGTTAGATATAGGAAGAGAGGGAGGATTGTTGGTTATCGAGTCGTGTTGTCGAGAAAAAGAATAGAAAGGAAGAAGGGAATAATAAATCGACTAATAGATTGACTAGAATAATTCGAGTCATCTAAGCCCGATGCTAGAAGTCACAACCGTCGCAACTGTAAACTGCAACTGCCAAAAACTGCGAGGTCGAAATCTTTCCTGATACCTATCGATAAGTAACCTATAATAAGTAAACTTAATGTTAGGTACAGTTTACCTAGTAAAAAACGGCATTTTTAAAGGTATAACTGCTTACTTAGAGGGGCACTACAGGTATCACCACTAACTGTTGCTGTAGATTATTCTGCGACGTTCATTTTTAAGGATGCAAACGATATAATTCGTTATGATGCGAAAATGTTAAAAAGAAAATATGACAAGTTTACTAAAGCATTTACTTTTTTTCTTTTCTATTTTTTCCCCTTCTTTCCAAGTAAGAGAGAATGGACTGAACGCTCAGAAGACGCGCTCGGTCCCCCCCTCCTGCTTCGGCTACATACCTATCTTAGCACCTATACCCCTGTCAATGCGTTGCTAGGACACCAACGGGAGGACCCATAGGTACACCAATCGCAACCACGGAATGGGTGCGCAGGCGAGTATCTAGCCTATCTGCACCATCTATAAACCCCTGCATGCGTTTGTTGACCCACCGGTGCGCGACAAGTTTGCTGCTATCAAATAAGGCTCGAGCATTTTGTTACCAGGAAATGGATATGGATGGTCTGATGTATATGACTATCTACGCAGGTAAATAATGAACGAAATTGTAGAAAATTTAAGATGAAATGTCGATATACCTTATCGATTTTGGTATTTTATAAGCGCAAGTAAATAGGGGTTATATAATATGATAATGGAATGATTTATGTGACCGTTATCCGTTATAGGTGAACTCTTTAAGCTACCTAGGTATTCAACCACGAGACGTAACACACGTGCAGTTAACGTGTTGCGCTCTGATGTCTGCTAAGATTAAAGGCGTCGTTACCTAGTAAACTTTAATATAGACTTCTAACCGTTAGATGCTTAGAGAGGTCTGATATAAAGTTGCATTGAGTCGTACATAAATATAAATACATAGCAAATAGTTGTACTTACTTACATCTTTATATTCCGTTCTGTCAAGAGGAAGAGTCGCGACATTCCAACCATGGTAGGTACCTACCTAAAACAGAAATTTGTTTAATAGGTCAATCGATGAAACCAAACTACAACATGATAGGTATCTTCCATTCGTATGGATCTTCTTGGATCTTCTATTTCTTTTCCAAGAACATATTGGTAAATTTAGTGGATGATGTGTACCTGGGTAGGAAGAGATCTGGATCCCCCTAACAGCCCCGAGAGCCTAAAAGTGAACACCGGACTGCTGGATTCATGAAATGTCCCGAAATGGTAAGTGGGGGTTATCCGTCGCGTGGTCCGTGCATAAAAATCGGTTATCCGTTTGGATTTGTCATTTGTAACCTTGATCGCCATCACCTTTCATCTTCATATTTTTTACATGCTAGCTCGGAATTAATTACAACAACTATTTTATAGCCACTACCGCGCACCCGTTAACACTGTTGACTTTATTTGCTGTATATACTTGTATTGGTTCGTGATTCATAGTGACATTTGACAATGAGGTGGGGGTCTTGGATATTCCTCATGGAGGCAAGTCAACACATTCATACTACGCCTAGTCAATGCCACTAATACCCATTAATAGGACTACATCGTTCAGAAGGTATTATATACCCATAACCGAATATAATAGATATTTCCCTAATATCAATATTTTCCAGCTTGTCCGATCCCCATCCTTCCAACGAGGCGTTCAACGCATTCATCGAAGCGTACACGATTTGCAGCACGGCCGAGATCCAACCGAACCGCTACGAGAGGGAGAGGCAACCCGTAAGCGACCTTATTATACAATAAACAACCTCTCACTCTAATAGAATACAACTAGGAGACCCTGCAAATTCTGGATTTGGACGATTCTTATCCCATTTTGCCGACGAACTACGGAACCAAGCCCGCGGTACGACTAAGAAGTGAGCAGCCCATACACAAGTGAAATACGCGAGTATTAGGGCCTACTATAGTAAGAGCGCCGCCACAATAGGGGATATGAAGAATCCGGATCCTTATAAAGTTTCAGCCGTCAGCCGCTTCAAATGAGGCAACTTCAGACTGCTGTCTCGCCTTCCCTGTAGCTTTGTCTATAGCCTCCAGCGCTTCGGCAATCAGCGTAGCTTGGATCATTGAAAGAACTAGTTTTGTCCACGAAGGCGGAATGGGGGACTACTTCGAAATATGCCTACCTAGGTAGTTCGAGTGGATGTCTTGCGCGAGTATCGAACATGATCCGGTATCTAGGCATCATAAAACCTAACGAGGTGACCACACGACACGACTCGCGAGCGCGGCGCCTTCTCAGGATTTAGCCGTGGCGCCGATCACTAGAGTGCTCGAGGGATATCTAACTCTGATATCTATCATTATTATAAGATTATATAAAACTCGAAAGACTAAGATATAATTAATAGAGCGAAATACACTTTTATTATACAAAGCCCGAACTCATTAGATAAGCCTCCATCTTCCTGTTTTTGTCGTTAATCATAGAGACCACTGTCTTGGTCCTGGTCGTCGGAAATTTTAGAGCGGAGGTGTACATGACAGACTTGTAGCAATGTTGCTGTCGAATGCTTGACGGAGGCTCTCGATGCTACTATAGCACCCAAGTCCACACGTCACCAAAGCGCCCAAGAAGTAGAAGATGTTGAATGCGTTGAAGAACGGCTTCTTCATGAACCCGCGCCTCCATCGCTTCCAACCATGGTCCACATAATTGTATGTATTAGTCACCGGGTCGAATCTTAGCTCTTCCTCGACCATTGCGTCCTTTTTGACCCAGTACCCAACGGCTAACCAAGCCGGAAAGGTATAGGTGAAGGATAATATGAAAAGTGCTCCGATTAGGCCGACTACGTACGAGAATTGCGGCACAGCTGCCCCGACAATGAACGCAACCACCCAATACACCGGGATGAGTGCAGCCCACCAAATCTTGCCAGTCTTTGTTGTCAAGTCTGGAAATCCTAGGAGTTCGTGGAATACCTCCATATATACCACCTTAAGGCCGATATTGCTGTACAGTACCGCAGCTATAAGGTTGCTAACCAAGCTCAAGATATTTGCAGCCGTCTGGATGCTGTAGACCGCAATACCCTGAACCGATGGGTTATACACATATTGGCCCTGATATGAGTACACGAAGATGCCGAAGAAGATATAAGTTACATAGATGAATATCTCGGCGACGAGGAGACTTTTCCAAAAATCCAGTGGGTGTCTGGTAAATGTCAGTAAGACACACAATCTTAATTCTGGGGGTATTCGATGCGGAGATACCTCATCTCTGCCATCAGAGCAGCAAAAAGTAATGCGCCACCATATGCGTAAACGGCTACATTAAGCCCGTTTAGAGACGCGACGAATCCTGTGCCGCCAGTGGTTAATCCAGGAGGCGGTGTTCCAGCAAATGTTTGAATCGGCTCGCCCGGCGGCATACCGAAACTCGCTTCTATCGCCGCATAATTTGGTCCGTACTTTACAGACACCATGCTAATTTCAATTTAGACAACGATTCTAGAATGCCAGTTGTCATGAGGCGCCTTTGTACTTACCACAATAGTACGAGTATCACCGTCATCCAAACGGAGAGGTTAGCGAGCCATCCAAGCCTCTGTAGAGTTCGGATCTGTCCTAGAAGAAGACCAGCGCTCATGAAAATGATCATACACGCCACAAAGCAGATTCCCATACTATCTCCAGATGAACCACGACTGATCTGTGAGATACTCTGCCCATTGCTAAGAATGAGAACCGCAACAGACAATAGCATCTGAAGGGCCTGTGCGACATTGACAAAGTGACGAGCCCAGGAACCGAATATACGATAGAAAAAGTCGCCGTATCCCCTAATCGGATATTGATTGGAATCCAACCCACAGAAGACCTTCCATAGGATCCATCCCGAACTAAAATAAAAGCGTGTCAGATAAGAATAAGTGTAGCAAGTTAATAGGGCATGCCTGGGCTTACTAAAATGACATGGCGCCAAATACAGTATACAGGGCGACTCCGGGGCCGTAACCCATTTGCGCAAAAGTCCATCTAGAAGAGGTTCAGTTATGGTTTCTATTATGAGTTACCTTTTTGAACTCACGGTGCTCCTGTCGGACCTAATATGTCAGTCGTAATGAGGTAAAAGATTGTTCCCCAGCTAGCTGTCCTTAATGCTCGACTCGCAGTGTGACGTTGGGCTTCCGTGATCCCGTTGTTGGCGTCACTGGGGCTTTGCGCAATCCGAAGACTCTTCTCATGGTGGCCCTTTTCATCCGTTTCGCCATTGGGGAGTGAGTCGGGTGCTTGGTTGAATGCCTCGCGTTCCAGCCGGCCATTAGAAAACCTTCCTTTAACTACGTTCTTAAAATTTCGCGCACCACGGGCGGCTATGAATCGAGCATTAGCTTCTTTCTCCTCGGCTCGTGTGATAGCTGCATAGTAAGTGTACTCTTCGAAACTAACTTCTCGACGTTTGCTAGTTTCTCTAGGCGTTACATCAGTTCTGGTGTTTTCCGACTGGAAAGACGATCTTCGAGGGTCACCGCCCCCAAGCGCAAGATTTCCTGGTGGAAGACTAGCCATTACGACCGATCATTGTCGAGATTAAAGTCACAGAGGACGAGAACCAGGTTAAAATTCTGGATTCTAACGGCAAGCGTCTATTTATCCTTTGGTCTATTAGAGGAGCGGTCACACCAGTGAGACTCCGTTATCTTTTTATGATACATACCACCTCAATATGCCATGTAACAGAATTATACTAGAACAGTAAGGCGACATGCATGGCCCGACAGATAGGATCGTCCCGATATCTGTAACCTTCTCTTACAAGTCCTTTGGACCGGTTCGCTTAGGGTGACATCTTGCCTGATTGGATAATTTCGTACGAGCAGCCCTGGTACGAATTCCAAATTTTCATCGGTATTAAATAAATCACATTATACATGCCTGGTATTATTCGCCTAGATCTATTCTTTTCCTGGCGGTTAATATCGCAATGGATACCTCAAGAGCTGAAAGAGTCGTGTCTAGTATACACTTCGTTGAGTGACTTGTGGGTGAAGGGACTAGAAATCTACATAGATACCCCAATCGCTTGGACCAATCTTAGATCAGATATCTAGAATATCTATTTCGCCTAGCTGGCACCTTCTGCTTCCAATTCCACCATTAAGGATCTAGATCAACCGGGGGGTTACATTAAAATCATGAAATCGGCGGTAGTAGTGGCACCACAATACTCCAATTATCAAGGTCTGAGCACAGATCGGGGATTGTAACCTCAATTGGACTGTATACGTTCATCGAAAGTCTTCGTCACGCCTCGCTCCTTCGACTAAGGCGTCATTATATACGAATGTGCAATTTATATCGACTACGCTTCCCTTTTCACCTTCCCCTCTATTTCCCCAGCTCGTGGGGGTTTACTACTACCTGATGTAGATAGGAAGCATTGCCTAATTGGTTAACTAGCTAGAACTAAAATTAGACGCTTTTCTAGAATCCTAGGATCTCGTTTGCTAGCGAAGTAACATTCGTTGCTCCATTGGTATCTAGCGTACGCGGAACAAGCTTTTCAAACCCGAAAGCTCGCAATCCCTCGACATCGGCATATGAGCGGAGATCTGCTTCAGTATGCCGGTTGACGTGATCAGCTTCGCCTCGACCGCCCGGGAAATCTGGACCGGGAGTTCCGTTCAAGAAGGCGTTTCTCTGTCGCACAAGATACTTGGCGTTCGACTCCGTTACCGGACACACTGGGATGTAGAGTACACTCGAATCCGTATTTCCTTTATGGACTTTGTCAACGGCATGAATAGCTAATGAATCAATTAGATTCACCGATCAGCGAAAAGGCAGACAGATTTTTACTTACTATCGCAATGCCATACTACATAGTCACCTGGCTTAATGGCTGGGACATGAACCATGGTATGGTCGAGGTCCAAGTGCGGGTGTAATACCGCATTCAATTCCTGTCCATGCCCCGGAGTCGCTCCTTGAAGTTCACTTGTCATCTCGGATCCGGCAAACTCCCAATTTTTGGCAGCAAGATATTCCTCGGGCGATACTTGGTTGACGTCTTTAATTGGCCTAAAGAAAGGTCGGAGTAGCAAGTAAGCTGTCGATAGCTTGATTGCTGGATTCACCATGAGAGTGCCCTCAAATGGGTTCGTGGTGCTCATACTCAGCCATCCCTGGAACATACGGAACATAGAGCAGGCTCCTAGTCCGTTGTAATTGTCTATGACAGCCGGGACTCTCGTGCTAGCATCCCACGGATCGTAATCTTCCCAAGAGCCCTCGAATATCTTGTTGTACACTCCGCCGAGACCGTAGCCGTTTAATTCCCATCTCTCGACGCTACCGCCGTCGATATGAGGACCTAGGGCGAAAGTGACATCACCGGGTTGTCTTATACGTAGACGATCCGCATACGCCAAAGGCTGCGATATTGATATGGCACTTTCAGGGTCCGATGTGTGCCATAACTTCATGAGTACCTCTTGTACTCGCAGCAAATTCGGGTGCGCTCTAGCACGAAGTTGAGGCGTAGACCAATATAGTTCATAGACTTGTGGATTGTCAGGCGGGAACGCTTCTCTCCAATTAGCTAATGGTTTTTTTTAGGTGCTTTGACTCTTAATCTCATGGTGTTACCTTTTGTGTGGGGATTCTGCTTCACATACTCTTCGATTTCGTTTTTAAAAGAGCGAGCCTCATCTTCAGGAAGCACTCCCCTAATCACGGCGACGCCTCGCTTCTCGAGTTCCCCACGAAGCCTGCCGAGATCTGCGTCTAAGTCATGAAAGTGGAGGCTTGGGGTGACAGAAGGCCCCTTTTCGGAAATGATTTTATTCTCGTTCTTGAGTTCGGCAAGAAGCCGGTTCCAGCTTTGAGTTACACGACCTTCATGCCCATCAACCAGAGTCCTTTTAAGGTCAAGGAATCGTTGGGGAAGAGGTGGTCTAGCCGCTCCAGATAAAGATACGAACGAATCCGAAATATTGCCCTCCCTCTTATCTTGCGGTTTTGGAGTGGTGGCCATCATGATCGTTCGCAGCTGTAAAGCTCCTCTCGATATCCGTGTTGCTAGAGTATACGTCATGGGCTGGGTTCACGAAGGGTATATGAGTAGGTAACTCTTGATTCTATAAATGCCAGCGCGTACAAGAAGAAAGAAAGGAGGCAGGAGGAACTATTTAAGTACACAACATAAAGGACAGACAAGAATCATGCATCTCAAGTGATTGCGGATATGTCATGCATATCATCAACACTAGGAGCATTGTGAGCTTCAATCATCCCCGCACATAACGTTACTTAGATCAACGACTTAGCTTATTGACCTATTATCCGAGGATATTTATTATACTCAGACAGTATCATGATTTCGGAGATCCTGTTTATGATCGTGATGAAGTCCTAAGAGGTGGGGGGGAGAAGGGAAGAATGGGAGAAGAGGAGGGGACGCCACAGCCCCAACAGTTCTAAATAGAACTCCGATGCGGAGTTACCGTATTAGGTTAGTCCGACTTATACGGTACTCTTCCCATACGAACTTCCACCTGCCACCTTCAACCTTCAACCTTCCTGCCTACCTTTTACATAGTATTCATTAAAGAATACGGATGAAGCAAAAATTTAATTACATACTCTTCAATATACATGGCCATTACTATAATCGAAAAAAAAGGTCATGTTACTTAGAAATATCCCATCTTTTCATTTTATTTCTACCATATTCGCTTGTTAATTCAGTTCTACATCCTCACGATATTTGGAGAGTACCGAGTAAATAAGATCAATCGGGCTCTACCTTTCCTGCCCTTCCTAAATTACGTTCATAATAATGTTACGTTGCAAGCTATTTCCTCTCAATAATTAACACTACTCGATATCGGGTGTCGGAGTTGTCATTTTTGGGGTGTTGAGGTAGGTCCTGACTTTGGTCCCAGTTCTGGTCATGGTTAGATTCATAGGGTCCGACTCAATAGGCTTGCCCCTCAAGAGGAAGCAGGTCGCTCAAGCTTGTGCTAGGTGTCGACGACGTAAGAAGAGATGTTTTCATAATAATGAGGAGAATAACAACCATGTTGGACATCATGTTCCCGATACACCCAAATCCACACCTGAAAATGCAGACACAATGACATACACTTCAACTAATGGCCTGGGACCTCCGGAGTTCAACCCTTCTCCTGAGAGCAATAGCTCTCAGAATCCAGAAGGACATGCTTCCAGATTTATTGGGGATTTGAGCCCCGAAGCCATACTCATGGAAGCGACCAGTCTCTGTTCAACCCGCGATGTGTCCGTGCGAGGTGGCGTTGGAATATGGCAATCCCGACCACCCGAACTGGCCAAGTCGACACCGACAGCATCAATAACAACCGCCACATTAACACCTGGCCCCTTCGCTCTGACATCCCCATCACGGCAAGCCGTCCAAGATTTGCTCAAAGCATACGTATGGAGCCACTGCGTAGCCTGTTGTCCCCCACCGTCGGATCATGAGGTCCTTCGTCGTATTTATATTGAAAAGTTGGATCCTATCTATCCTATCCTTAGCAACCATTTGGCAACCCCGCCTCATGATGAGATCGGAAGGAAAATATTGGAGCAAATAGTTAGCCTTGCGGCAGCTGCTGACCCAGAAGCTACCCGTCACCTTCGCCTAGGAGTTGATAGCCCCCTTCTTTCTCGGAATGAGTTTTGTACGTCGCTGTCAAATTCCATCCAAACAATTGTCGATGCAGGGCTTATTTCGGACCGCGTATTCTTGATTCGCGTCCTAGGCGCCTTGTCGCTGTATATGCAACCTAGTAGCCCTGACGAAGCTGATATTCCCGCGTTGCTCAATAGCCGTGCGGTCCACCAGATGCACACTCTCGGGCTGCAAATGGCTTCAGAAGATGGCCATACAGACAGCCAATCCATTCGCTCCCTATTTTGTTGCCTTTGGACACTGGACCGTATTAATAGCGCCTTTTACGGACGGGCCTGCTTGATCCATGAACGGGACGTTGGATGGAACATCGACGAATGCATTGCAGCACAAGCACCACCGTTCCGCTTGTTTCTTATGATTATCGGTTTACTCGACAAGGTTATCAATTTATACCGCCCGGGTAGTCGACAGGAGAAGGAAATCATCACGGATCTACCGATCTTCGAGCAGATGATTATTGATGCGGACGCAGTTCGAGTTTCGAGTTCGTGTTTAGGTCAGTACATACTCTTGATACATTTGCGTATGTTAAAGCCAACTTTCATATTAATACCTACCTATCAGCCTCACTCGAAATATTCTACCATTCAGTGGCGATACTCTCAAGTCAATCGCCGTCCGAAAATCGATCGACAGCACTACCAGCCCCCTCGACAAATAGCCGTCGATCTCTAGCAGCCGATCGGATCACATCTATCGTCGGACAAGAATTCCTTGGGCAACTTTCATACCTCCCTATAATTCCGTACGGCGTATCGTTATCTCTCAGCGTCTCATATCGAAAGATGCGTCATAGCAACATCCCAATGTTTAGGAGCAGAGGCAAGCAAAGCTTCAGGGAGAATACTTTGTTATTAAAGTCAATGGATGATACGTTCTGGACGGCAAAGGCCATGGTAGCAATGGCCGAGCAAGTCCTGCAGGAAATGGACAAGGCTGTCGCGTCGATAACACAAGAAAATGGTCTGGGTGATTTTTCGAAAAAGCCCGATTCCTCATCACAGGGAGACCATGAATTGAATTCATCAGCCGCCAATGATGCAATCATTGATTATAATAATACTGGCGGGACTGTTGACGTGTCGGCTCTTGAAGCTGTCCCGGACCTAGATGTTTTCGGTTATTTCGACCCAACCTTCAACCTCGGAGCCGTAGACGCTGCACTTGAAGGAAATCTAGACTTTGGTGCTTCTTCGAATTGGTTTGATTGGCAACAACTATGGGGATAAAATTTCCTATACACCTAGTCATCAAAAGCATATTTCGCTGTCTATCTAACCAACTGTGTAGCAACAATGTGAATGCCATCCCACGCGGCCCATTTTATTTAGCAGCGGCACGCGATCGCATTATTGAGGTACGTATGCATATATAGTTGCATATCTTGGGTATCTAGAGACCCATTGATTTGGTCTTGAGCCTGAATTTCGCCTCCATTTTTTTTCTCATGGATGTATCCTATCTACTGAATAGTTCATTATAAATTGTAGCTGACCTTGAAACTATTTCTGATATAGAAAAACGGCGGGAAATTGAACACCGAGAGCAAGGTTATGTTAAATAAGCATATGCCATACACGATTCGAACCATAAGACGCCGATTGTGGTAGAAGCCCCTTGCTTCCATCGCCTTACAAGGATTTTCGCCTCACTCGATACTCCAACGCTGAGCACCACTTATTGCTACTACTGCTACCCACAGGGTATTTAATGTGGCAGAGACAGATACAACAAACCCCGCATTGCTTCGGATCTTAGGGCATCAATTTTGCCCCTGATCTACAGGTTCAACAAATAGTACCGTATAGTCTCTTCCCACGCAGATCATATACCTAGGTACATATCGGTATAATAAATACCTAACTTGTACATATCTTCATCGCCTTCTGGGTTACGCCCCCTGCCGCAGATACATTGGCGAGCATACCCTAGTTCAAGGGTCCTAGGTTTTCCTTAGAAACATTCGACCTTTGTTCCTCTGTCGAGTTCCGCAACGCAAACTCTTGGTGAGGGGACATTTCAATATGGCGACACCAACAGCTATTGCTGTGAGCCTCCCACAGATTGCTAAGATGATTGACCATTCCTTATTACACCCAACTATGACCGACAAAGAAATCCTTGCTGGACTCGAGCTAGCTAAAAGATATAAAGTCGCGGCTGCTTGTGTTAAACCATATAGTATCCCCGTGGCAAAGGATACCCTTGAAGGCTCCGGAGTGCTCATATGCGGCGTGATCGGGTTTCCTCATGGCAATAGCACTACGTCCATCAAAGTTCTTGAGGCGGAAGAAGCCGTCAAAGCAGGCGCACATGAGGTTGATATGGTGGTGAATATTGGTAAGGTCCTTGGCGGCGATTGGGAATATGTGACGAACGAGATTCGTTCTATCAACGATACTGTCTCCAAGCGCGGCGCTGCCCTCAAGGTCATATTCGAAAATGACTTCCTTCAAGACGACCACATTACCCACCTTTGCAAGATCTGTACTTCCCTCCCTGTCGCCTTTGTCAAAACATCTACAGGCTTTGGGTTTGTGAAGCAGCCGGATGGTTCACACACATACACGGGCGTCACAATACCCAACCTACAGTTAATGAAGGCCAATATTGGACCAAAAGTTCAGATAAAAGCTGCCGGTGGGATTCGCACGTTAGACGAAGTTATGGGGGCTTTATCGTTGGGCGTTACAAGGATTGGTACCTCGGCCACGACCGCCATCATCGAGGAAGCCGTCCGTAGGGGGATTAACATGCCTCCAGGTTTCGCATTGGTATCCCCAGTGGATTCTCATGGATGAAATCGCCAAATTTTGAAAACAAATGAATGAGGAGATATACTCTCAACCTATTGCTATACGACGAGTCGAATTCGCGCACTTTGAACCTTTCTAGGCGGTTTATAAAGGGGCACTAATATCAGCAACATGACGCCCCGACCGCATAAACGACAGCTTAGGGATAACGGGACAAACTCTCAGTATACCCCTTGAGAGGAAACTAAAATACGATATTACACGGAGACTTTTGATATGATATGGACTTTAATACAGCAACATCGGTCCTGTATCTAGTATTACTACTCCAATAACTATCTACGCTCGGTATAAAAAAATGACGGCTTCACCAATACAACGGGGCCAATTACTTAACTACAAGTAAGTAATATATACATTCTATCTCGTGCGCAATTAATACTCGTGGACCACTCTATTTTACCATGTGTGGTAGATAATTGTATGAACGATGTTCAATCACACAAGTCGTCATGGGCCAAAAATCTGAATCGAATTGACCACATTGTTTAATCATGAAATCACACACTTGCACTTGTCATTAATGATGTGCGGCACAATAATTCTATTTCGTTTTCGCCCATACGACTTGCGTTACTCCAAACGCGATGCCATGTTCTGTTTTTTTAGTTTTAAATATGCCCTTTTTCCTTCATGTCCTTTATAAAATATCCTTGCTTCTTGGTCTTTGTGCCTCTGAGTAGTTTTCTTGAATACACTTAATCAAGAAAGCTCCCAGCCCTCGATGAGGTGCGTAAGGAAGTCGTGCTTTCCTAGGGGTACACCCTCTGCTCTTAGAATGTCATACAAGGTGGTGACGTGGAAGTAGACCGTCGGTAGGATAAATCTAGTGAGTACTGTGAAGCATTAGCATTCTTGACTTGAAGTTCACATTATATATAAGGGAGAGGGAGAGATTCTATCGTTTACATACTGCGAAAGAATTAGCAATGCTTATCACCATATAGGGGAAGGGAATATCATACCATTCAATCGCAGGCGCACTAGTCGTACGCTTAGAAATATTGAATTGGACAGTCTCAGCCTCCTTGCCATTGATCGACTCAGGCTTAACTGCCGCAAGTGCGGCAAGAGTATCGTTGAGAAGGCCATAGGATTCCTCAAGCGTATACTCCTTAATCTCGACTGTTGGCGCCGCACCTCCTGCCAAGTACTGGATTGCCTTTTGGCTGTATATCACGGTGACGACGACCTGTAGCGATAGCGGGAACATGTCCGGGGCTAGACGGGCCTTGACATATTCCTCGGCCGACTTGCCAATAGACTTGGCGTGCTCTTCGGCCTTCTTTAGGAGAGTCACTTCGGTTTGGACAACCCGGGTTATCGCGGGGATGGTCAAGTCGTATAGGGATGTCATGGTGGACTGGTAGTGGAGTATATGTCGACTAGGCGGTAAAGGCGGGATGAATGTATTAGCTCTATAGGGATAGTTGCTCGGGAAGATCTTGATCTAAGACTAGTGAATAGCTTGGTTATGGTATATATAGGTACCCAGATAAGTAGATTCGGGGTAGCATTTATATACTACTTGTATGGGGGCATCTAAACATGGGTTATTGTCAGGGGTCATTTTGAAAATGAAGGATGAAACGATATCATTAGCCTGCAGCGAAAAGGTCGCGCTTCGCTGTCCTGCTCGATTAGACCTATTTCTAAGCTGCGGCTTACTAATTGTCCCGTACACCTCAATCATTAATAATTCAGCTTATAATGCCAATCTCAAGTTTATAATATTTCTTACATTATTCATACAGCTGAGCTGTTTCTTTGGTTTTCTTTGCAGGGCAAGGTTGCTGTGGACGTGATGATCTTGACAAATAATAGAGCTTGAATGCCATTAACCTACATGTAAGCATAAAGTACCTTGATCATCTACTTACGCGGACAGCTTAGGGACGAACTATCTTCATGTTGTCAGCAAATTGGATGAAGTTAGATGCCCGCTGGAAGATAAGAATAGTGAATGACGATGCAAATTAAATCAAATTAATGCTAGGGCAGCGCAACTAAACTAGAGGGGGATGATCTTCTATCAATTCATCGTTCGCCGAAGTTTCCCACCTCGCCACGCCTTTGTGATGTACCATGGGTACACACATGTGGTGTACTATAGGATAGATACACATGGGTATCTTGAGTAATAACTTGAAAGCAACGCAAATCGTAAATCGCAATCTGTAATTAAGAAACGCTTTCATTTCCGCCGATATAAGTCGCCGACTCATTATGGTATGTGGCGATCATCGCGATGGATTCTAATCCTTTGTAATCCAAAGCCAGGCGACAGGCTTCTCACCAGGGTTGCCAGTACGAGTATGGTCCAAACCAACGCTCGCCAAGGTCTTACTCATATCGGGTGAGTCTCCCGAATATGTCATACCTCGATACCATCTTCCATTACCACCCTGAATGACCTCTGTGATCTTGTTCTTCTGGGGTAGAGGGTTAACGGCGCCAAAACCCTCAAGAAGCTGGCTTAGGGTTAGCTGGGTGGGGACATGGTAAGCACCAAAGTGCATCGACATGCCTTGGGCCAAGCGCCAGGGTGCAACAGATGACTTGATGATGTGAAGCTTAGTGTGATCCCGAGGGAAGAAATAGTTATAGCCAGGCTCGCAACCGACGCCACCAGTGGTGTTGGTCAGGTTCAAAGCTGGGGCGTCCATGTTGACAACAGGGTGAGGGTTAGGCAAGCGATCCTTATGGCCAGGGAAAACCGGGACGGGACGGTTGTATCCATTTCGGGGGATGACGTAAACGGGTCCCTGGTTGCCAGGTCCAGGAGCTATACCACCGGTTGGCATAGGCATGTTCATGAAAGGAGGTTGACCGGGACCGGGTACAGCATTAGCGTTACGGTCCACGCCGTATTGCGGGTTCCAACCGACTCCAAAGGGTTGAGACATTCTTGATGATTGGGCTCGAGAGGCAGGTACGCGTTTAATTCGTAGATCGGATTGTGTAGAAGATCTGCTTTCTAGTGCGTCTTGTGAATCGGTGTCGGTGTCGTTGTCAGAGTCACTGTCAGAGTCGCTGTCGGAGTCAAAGTTGGAAGCCTCAGAATTATCTTCACTTTCTACGCTAGGACTATCATTGTCGTAGTCGTAGTCAGTAGTTGTGGAGGCTTCTATTGCGCAAGTTAGCGACAGCAGAGTAAAGAGAACAAGAGAAATTAGCGACAGCTTTCAGTGCTTAAGTAGTTGATGTGTTAATTATATAGGTTAAAAATGCATATTAAGAATTAAGGGTTAGGATATATGAAGAAAGAAATATCTACCAGATGTGTCGGCGTCCTCCGATGCTAAGGATTCGGTAGTATTAGAAGCGTTAATATCTCTGCAACCGGTGAAGAGCTCTATGTGCCAGAGTTCACGGCCCCTAGAATCGTAAAATGATGCAACGATGAACCAAGCCCAGGACTGACGAGAGGGATGGATCCAGAAGTGTTGTCCGATGACAAGTTTAGTGGCCGGGTAAGGCGACCCTATGGTAGGTCGCCGAGAATCCAGCTTGAAGTCTGATGAGAATTAAGAGATTATTCTCAAGATTAAAGAGCTGCTTTCGATTGATGATGGTATGTGGGAAGGAAATAGAATGATGATAGAAAGCATCGGCGGGAGATCTTATAGAAAAGCCAGCTGTGCACGTCTCTCCACCTTGACAGTGCCATGACCACTGAACTGTTGGAGCACGGTCATGTTTGACTCCCTAATAATACACTCGGTTCAGACAGTAGCCCAACATCACCAGATGAATAAGAAATGTTGGCGGTGCAGGGTGGTAGAAGCTTTCAGTGCATTGACTTAGAGGCGTAGATCCAATCCTTGGGCGCTTATTGAATAGACCTCCATCCGAAAAGGTATAGGCCGAGAACATTCACGGTTAGCATGATACAACCCAGGCTATTGACCATATAGGTTGATCCGAGCTATGTCCACATCAGGGAGGCGGCTGAATGCATGTTTTCCGACATATTCTGCAATCCGAGCTATATTAGTCATTTTGCAACATAGATGGACACACTGGGTCAGATCAAACTCGGATAAAACTCCTGATTCGAGGCCATGTGTTGGTAGGTGCTGCCACTCATGTCAAGTCAGGGGAAATAGGCCATGCAATTCCATCCCATCAAGCGATATAGCAATTATTCAGGATAACCACTCGCCGAGAATATAATACGGTCGTGCCCAAGCCATATCAGTTTGCTGCTAACAACACATGCGGAACTAAATGGCCCAAGCACTGTAACGCAACAGGAGGGCGTCAGAAAAAAAATTCACTGTGCGAGATCTCATAGAGAATACAGTACAAATACTGTATCTTCTGACCAATCACATGGTCTTCTTAGCACAGTTCGAAGCGTACTATATCAGTGACATTTTTTCTGACGCCGTCCTGCCATATAACCCTTTTTTGCACCTGGTCAATGCTCATAAAGGTGACGCGAGGATCTCGTGGCCACTTGGAGCACCTAAGGGTTCGTATGATAGCCCTAGCCTGTACACGTAGGCAATGATTCACCTAGTGATTAGGATACCTAGGTATACGTAGTAGGGTTCTTGGTCTCCCGTTTGTCGGGGTAATAGGGAAGCCAGGAAGGTGAAATAGTCTGAAGCATAGGGATGGCAGCCAGCAATTACATCGACCCTTGGTTTCAATCTGCTACGCCAACTTCTTCTTCGACCATCCGAACGGCGCCGCCTTTCCTCATCCCATCAGCTTCGCTCTTTACCCGCCTTCGCTTCTCAACCTCGGAGACAAGACCTTTCAAATAGACCTCGGCTTGTACGGTAGCGCTGTAGGCGATGGCAGTCCAGCTCCAGACATTTCTTCTCTCCGGATCGGCTCCGGCGGCGAGTAAGGTGCGGAGAACAAGTAGATTGCCGTTGCTACTTGCGAAGTGCAGAGCGGTATTCCCGTCGAAATCTGCATTTTGAACGGCATCTTGCGCGCCTCCTGGAGCATAGGTAAGAAGGATCTGTAAGACGGTATCGTGACCTCCCATACTAGCTTCCATAATAGCGTCTCTGCCTCGAACGTCGCGTCGAAGAATGGAGGAGGGGTCGTTCTCGGCTAAAAGCAAGACGACTTCGGTATGTCCCGCAGCAGCAGCTAGCATCAAGGCTGTCTTGTGTTCGTCATTGAGTGCGGGCGTAGGAAGCTCATGGCCAAGAGCAATCAAAGTTCTGCAAACTTGAAGATGGCCGAGACTGGCAGCAAGATGAAGGCTCGAATTAGATAGACCGGTAGCGGAATGATCGGGATTGTGAATTAATCCCGGATGGGATTTCACGATACGGCGGACAAGTAAGGCATCGTTACTCGAAACTGCTCGTCGTAGCCTCTTGGATGGCTCGATCCTAATATTAGTTTAGAAATGTTAGTTAACAATTGTAAGTTTCGATTTGTTCATTTCTCCAGCTCCTCTTCTTCCTATCGATCCATATCCGTGGATGTACTAACATGATGACCCGCAATTCTATTGAAGAATTAGGTAGTTGATCGAAGACATAGGAATTCCGCTTATGCACCAATGGAACCGGAACTATGACGACGCTTCCGCGGAACCAGCCTTCCAATAAGGCTGGTAAAAATAATTAGGCTCCCTTTCTAGTTGACCTTGCGCTCGAAAATTGATTTGAGTTGAATCTAACGAGTCAAGTAGTGTAGGCACCGTCGCCTATTTTTCGAGGAAGGCCAAGAAGTTGTCACGATGGTTGTTGCGAGGTTGCGAGGTTGCGTGGTTGCGTGGTTGCTGGAAGGTTGATGTTCGATTCCACGTCATAATCTGCTGCTAAAATATAGAAGGTAAAGTCTAAAAAGCTACACTAACGTCGCAGTTTCATCCCGTTGATTAATGGGTCTTTCCCCCCCTCTTCCAAGGTTTCTTTAGGCACTCCCACCTGCCTGGGGATGTACCGTAGCTTCCTAGCTCAGGTACATCCATGTACCTATCCAGGTACATTTTAAAGTACTCCAGGGCTATACCCCACCTAAACGTTCAGCGCTGTCTGGTGTAACCTTGATAATGATGGATTGAATTACGATACTCCGTTACGTTAACCTTCCGTACAATACGACAATAAAAAGGGGGTGATCCTTCATTCTTAACCAGGATATTTATTTTCAAGCTTCATTTTCAAAACTCGTCACCTCTATTCCAAGACATTTAGTAGTGCACTATTCACATGGAAGTCTGGAGACATTTCCCTATTCCATGCGTAATCGTAAACCTGCGAACCCTCTCCTCTATGATCTACTAATATCTCATCCTTAGAAACAGGAGCCCATAAGCAACTTCTCAAACCCTCCATGTTTAAAGTGACAGAGTATTGATGACCTGGTTCTAGGCCATCTACCCCCGTAGCTTGGGTAGACCGCCGGGCCGTCAACTCGTTACCGTGTTCATCTCGTTCTCGGCCGCGTTCTACGATAGCTCGAAGGTCAGGTTTTGTATTTCCACGGCCGAACCCTGATGTTGGGATACCTATTAGCCACCAAATCCATCTGATACTTTCAACGATGCTGTAAAACAAGGCATCGTCGTTCTTACATGTTGATAATTCCACAGGGGTATCAGGTTCCAATGTGAGGAAGAATCTTTCATCGTAATCACCTCTGACACGTCGCAGCGGCGCCCTATTAATTTGTATGCCGCCCGTGGTTTTTACTTCTTGGCCAGTAGTTAAGTCAGTTATCATGTATCCATTGTTGGTGAGGGCACCCTTCGGATCTAGCGGTTCACGCCAGGTGAAAAAAGTAATCGCATGTTCCGCTCGCGAGGTGACCTTTAGTCGAATTTGCGGTGGCTCGGATTGTGAATAAGAATGCGTCGATCTATCAAACGATAGCTGTATATCGATCCGTGGGCCTTTTAAGCAGTAGGTAAGTTTCAAGGACTCTTGATGAATATGAGACCATCACTCACCCAGCGCTTCTGGATTTTGCGTGGCCATGAGATTCAATCCTAGTCTACCCACCAAAGATAGTAGATAGTGATCCTTGATTTGAGACGCATATTTCTTGACATTATATTCAACCATATCGGTTGTTGCCTAACGATCTGCTCAATCCCCCCATATTATAAGCACAAATTTCCGAATTAGGTAGGCAACTATTCACTGAGATGAGGATACAGCAGTGGGGTAATGTACCCGTATTGCAGCGCTGATCAGAGCTGAATAGCCAATGTCTTTGTTGTAATGACAGTATACAGCCTCGGAAAATTACAATCAAATCACCCGCTCCTTTCAATAGCAGCAATTCGGAGGAAACCGACACGCCATAGAAAGGTATTGAAATTCTCTAATATCAATGTGATACTAATTTTACCAAGTTGGCCCCCCACGTCGTATCCTGTAAGGAGTATGAAAATCTACGGATTTCATGTCCGTATTTATAAGGAGCGGAAAAGAGGTGATCGATAGTAGATGATGATAGATCCGAGTATATCTTCATTGGTATGTTAAATGCCCACGTGGCTTTAAATAACAACCCGGAGCTTCTTCTGAGACACCTAGGTATGTGATACTACTACCTGAATGTCGACGTCGAAGGGGAGGCTGAAATAAATCGGAGCGTCCGTTTTACGTGGGTTGCCTCCAGCTCGACTACCGGGTTTCCGGATGCGGAACCCTTGGTTAGTGTCTATCTCGCGAGGACCACTTCCAAGAGACGAATGACTAACAAAATGAGAGAAATAACCATCTTATTACTTATTATTACTTAAGAAAATACCATATCAGGCTTCCTCTTAAACGGGATGGGAAGGCAGATTATGCATGGTGGAGGATGCGTCATGAGTCGGGAAATGGTGTATCGGCTATGAAGTAGTTAAAGGGAAAGCGTCGGGTTGAGACGGCCTTATTCGATCGGATTGCGGGTAAGATTATCATGGGTCACGAGGGGTTCTATCCAAGTTTTCTTATACGTTCGTGGGTGAGTGTAGATTGTATATGTTGGAGAGTGGAATGTAAGCCGGCTTCGGTCACCATCGGATCGGATTGTCTAGGAGTAAACTTCAATGATGATATTCGTGAATATGCCCTGATATTTAACTACATATGTAGAAACGAAAACAAAGAATGAATAGCCTCAATGTTACCCTTTCTGTCGCTAAAAGGGATGTAGCCTCGGCTATGAAATAGCTACATTGGGTAGTTTTTAGGCTAGGTACGTAAAGTTAGAAGGGTCTTCATTACCGTAGCTTGTTTAGGTAGGTGTGGCTACAGGTATTCGGGATTGATTAGATTACAGCTTCTGGAAGCCGCCGATTATGCGGCATACCTAGCGCATACATAGCACCTGTTTGTATGTACAGTGTAATAGAGCCCTGTATGAATGTAGCTAGTCGCCGGTAGTTCCAACCTTAACCCCCACTATTATGTAGATGTTCAACGTTTGTAGGGTAAGAACCATCTGGGGCAGCTCGGTGTTTTTTTCTCGGTATAAATAAAGTATTCGCACTATAACTTTGTATAACCTTACCCGCTTGTTATCTTTTCTACACCGAACCGAATTCGAGTTTCTGTGTCGACTTATTTGTTTATTCCAAGTAGAATAGCAGACTCAGCGCATCCACGAGATAACCCCATTCATCATACAAATATTATATACAATACGCAGTACGAGAAAAAAAACAGCAACCATGAACACTTCCATGGTCAAGTCCAAGTTTCTCTCCCACCCTGAGGACCTCGGCGTCGTAGCTGTTGGCTTCTCGGGTGGCCAGGTATGAAGAACTACTACCACTACTACCCCTTGGAAAGCAATGTTGCGGTAACTTACGTTGGTTGTTGTCGCTTCTTGCGTAGTGCAAACCAGGAGTTGACGCTGCTCCTTCAGCCTTGATCGAATCTGGTTTATTAAGCCAGCTACGAGATGAGCTCAACTATAAGCTTCACGGTCACGACACCGTACATTCGTATACCGACCTCGTCCCAAAAGAAGACCCCCCGTTCCGAAATATGAAGAATCCCAAGGCCGTAAGTAGCGTTACCGAACGCCTTTGCGACCAAGTCTACACACAAGCCAAAGAAGGGAGAATGGTCCTAACCCTGGGAGGTGATCATTCCATTGCCATTGGCACTATCGCCGGTAGTGCTAAAGCGGTACGCGAAAGACTCGGTCGCGAAATAGCAGTTATTTGGGTAGATGCGCACGCCGATATCAACACGCCCGAGACCAGCGACTCCGGCAACATCCACGGTATGCCTGTTAGCTTCCTGACTGGCTTGGCGAAAGAGGAAAAACCCGAGTATTTCGGCTGGCTTAAATCCGAGCACCTTATCAATGTGAAGAAGCTCGTATATATAGGTCTGCGTGACGTAGATCCAGGCGAGAAGAGGATCCTTCGTGAGAATGGCATCAAGGCATTCAGCATGTTCGACATAGATCGGTATGTATCCCTCCCCCACCTCCTTTCGTATTTAGTCATTGGGACGCATTCTAACGTCTGGTCGCATCGGTGTATATAGACACGGAATCGGTCGCGTCGTGGAGATGGCGCTTGCACATATCGGAGCCGATACGCCCATACACTTGTCGTTCGACGTTGACGCGTTGGACCCGATGTGGGCGCCTAGCACCGGAACACCGGTTAGGGGAGGATTGACGTTGCGCGAAGGCGACTATATCTGTGAGAGTGTGCACTTAACGGGAAGCCTCGTGGCTATGGATTTAGTTGAGGTCAATCCGAGTCTAGCGTTGGAGGTCGAGTTGGGAGCACACGAGACGGTTCGAGCCGGATGTTCGTTGGTGCGATGCGCATTGGGTGAATCGTTGCTATGAGAGGTTATTCTGTTCAACAGGCTTACCAGTAGCCTAAGCCAGGAATGCGCCCACGTATCATGTCAACCTATACGATAATCCATTCATAGAGATGAGTGGCTTTCCTTATTCTCGACGGTATATAGGGATCGTGGAGGTTCGTTTAGACGGCGTACATTTTAGAAGGTGGATGGATATGAATATTATATGAATATTATACACAAGTTAAGAGAATTGATGAAAAGGACCATCTCATGATATATATCACAAGGTATAGAATGGTTTAATACCTAACTTATGATCAGGCATCGAATCATTATATTCCAAATAAGAAAGAAAATACAACATTGGGCGAGATGTGCCAACCTTTACCCCTGGCGAATAAGTCTTGGCGGATGAGACGATCGTTGTGTTTTGTTATTTACTGTCACCATTGCTATAACTCCGTCACAAGCCTTACCAGCCACCTCAGTTTTTTGGCATTATCGATGGCTGCATACAAACCCCTCTCTTGAATTACTTAGTATAATTAGAATAATTCTTGTCATCTTGATCATAATATCAAACATAATGTCCATTGTTCTTCATTAGGCAGCACCACACTGCATATCGCATAGCACTAAGTCTTCCCTTATTACACCACTTACCACTTATAGCACTCGTAATGAATACTGGCGCTGTAGATCTATTACCCTGGTCTTGTTAGTGCTCAGGCACAGTCCACCTTTAGGTACTGGTTAGTACCTGAGCTCCCCGCCTATCCTCGCTCGAAAAGTGAACTCGGAGCGCGCGACTTATTACGAATCCTATGCATTGATATCGGTAGCTGCAGCATTACAGCATTACCTACCCAGCATACCTAGTTCCGCGGTCAGTCCCTTATAACACGGGCGACTAAGACGACCTCCACGTATTTCGCCCTGCGCGAACTCGAATTGACAGCGCACAATTCCCAAGTGCTAAAGTGGATGTCCTCTCAATCTCGCGGGGCTACGGCACCTGCATCTACGCAAGGAAAATACACCCAATCAACCCACTCCACTCATCCATATATCGACCCGACCAACTACGTGAGAGGTAGCTCTGAGCTGGCAGTTGCTGTGGGCTTCTTTTTTGCCTCGTCAGGCTTCTGCGAGTTGGGCGACTCGGAAAAAAGATCCTAATTGACACGCTCATATGACGAACGCCGTTTGACCTATCCGATTGATTGCCGTTAAAGCCGCTGCTACGATCCCAATTCCCAATTTCCGACGTACGACATCCGCGAAGCTATAAACACTCGTCGTCCTCCCATACCCCTCGTGAAACTTATCACGAAATCGAACGGGACGGAACGGGTTGGAAGGGAACATACCGAAAAATATTTTGCGCCGCCATACCACATAATAATTGAAGTCGAATACGACCAATTTCAACACTCGAGACTACCACCGGCAGCAGCGGAATATCGATACACCTCCGACGCAGCGTCGACCCGTCGAACGAATAATCGCAACAATTCTACCTCTCCAATACCCAATTCGACATTAGGTAGAATTCGATCTCGACGAGTTCTGTACCTTGGGTCGCTCGAATTGTCGCCAAAGTAAAAGCGCTTTCGCGAACGAATCTACATCACAATGGTCGCATCATTAGCGACGGGGTCCGGCTCCGTCGTCTACGAACGTCGGATAGCCCGTATACATAAATATCACTGGCCTGCTATTCAACTTAACGTATGGATGCTCGTCATGTTAGCAGCTTCGTGCTGCATCATCGGTGTGTTCGCAACATTCATCGGCGTTCAGCAACATTTGGGACTCTACATACCATGGTAAGTCAAGCTACGTTCCTCATCACACGCCATCGATTCCCAAATCGCTCGCGTTTTATGTATGCCGGAATGTATATCGATTCTAACCCGAATTAATTGCGCAGGTACTTCCCTTACTTCATCACCGTTTCTGCATTGATGATCATCTATATCATCGCGCTATTATGGTTAATAGCCCAAAGACGACTTCTCCCCTCCATCGTCATATTGGGTTCCTTCATGTTCTTCGTACTTTGGATGGTCGGACTCATCGTCATAAGCATTGAGTTATGGGGTCCCGTCGGTTCCGTGAATTCGAATTGTAATCTCCTAGTTTGGAATACGTCACCGATAGGGAATAACCAAGGGACTCTGGCTTGGTTGGAACAAAGGTCTATATGTGAGTTGTGCTAATCCTTCGCTTGTCTTCCTAGTTAACTAGTCCTTCGAACTGACATTCCCCTCAGGTCAATCATGGCAAGCAGTATTCGCCTTCGCTCTTATTGGATGCATATTTTTGCTGTGGATTATCGTCATGGCGGTACAGGTATTTTATGACGATGCGTAAAATAGATAATAATATGGAGGATTGTGTTTGCTAATGAAGTATCAATGCATCTCTTGCTTATGTTGGTATGAGGTTATGTGTATATGCGTCCCAATAAAATGTCATTGTATGTTTTGATTTTCGCGATCCTAAGAACCTCGACCGTGATATATGCGAAGTAAAGATTGTAGTAAGATTACATAACCAAAGCGTAATAATGCGACGCTATTGTTTAGTAGTGGGCACCGTGAAACTTGAGACCATGCTTGTGTTCTTTTAAGCAGTGAATTAGTTGGTGATAGATGTTTAATTCTTGGTCTCTCGTAGATGCTCTTTAGCTCTAATAATATACCTTATCAACTGTCATATTGTTGATACTGTTAAGCAGCAGCAGCAACCCTCAATATTTCCCGAACTCCCCTCCCTTGCGTTTCGTGGTTAAACAATACATCAAAAGAAATCCCGACAATTAAACCAGCATATTGACAAGGCCCAACGCTCTAGTTGGAGATACGGGGGTCGACCTTGTTGCTGTGATAGTTGTCAGTCACTTGAATACAAATCAAGTAGATATAATAGAGCCAACATACCCAGTAGACTTTTCGTACATCCCACGGAGTTTGTCCGTGCCTGTCTCAAGCTGTTGATCCGAGAGCTTGTTACCCTCCTTCTTGTTTACGAACCCGGCGACTAAGCGGCGAAGTTACTAGTTAGTCGATAACCCGAGATAGTAGATGAGGGTAGTAAATGCGACTTACTCTTGTCTCCGAGGTCCTTCTTCTCACCAGTTGGTTGGGCGTTGTTGTTACCAGTGCTTCCCGACTGGTTACCAGCGAACTTCTTTAAAGCGTCCATTGTATAAGTGTGTGTTGAGTCTGTGAAGTATTCTTTTGATAGAGTTGATACTAGTATGGTTATGATTAGGATAGAGAAATCTTGTAGAGGACTAGAGAAATTCCCTATGACTTTATACTTGAAACTTGGTCCGGATACTTGACTCTTCGTAACACAAAGCTTCCTGCATTCGGTTTGTTTGATATGTGCGATGACGTCTACGGGGATGCCCATGTACGTAATTCGGAGAGCCCTGCCGATCTCGATCTTGTGAGAGGACCCTACATAAATTGATCGTTACCTTAAAACTTCGGTGTTACCTCTTACTACGTATCTTTGTGTATTGTCTCGGTCTTTTCCGTTAAAAGGTACCTATCAGGATTTCTAGAAATATATCAATGTCGATTCTGGTTGCTGATTGACAGCTGACAAAACGCCGCAACGTCATAATAAATACCCCTTGTCTCGTATCTTTACAGATAGACATCGATATCCATTCTTCCATGTGCTAATCTTCATTGCCGTAGAAGCACTTATTGCATTAGCTTGAATCAAGGTTACTTACCTAGTACCTAGTTCCTCCTATTTTTTCTCAGAATAGTATGCTGTTTTTACTATGTTCGGAATTTCCTATTCTTGTCCTATCGCATTGAACTTGGTGGTTACCATAACAGTATCCACCGGGAACATCCACTATAACAGGGATATAAATGCTATCAAGCACATAAACTTCAAAATTCAAGGTTCTAATACTACTCATAACTAAGGATACTACTTAGCTAGATTTTGACAGTAGGATTGAACGATGTGACCTTAGAGTTGTAAATATGGACGGGTCGTATTATAATGGTCCGAGGTTCGACAACTTTGATAGTTCACTACGCATCTTGTCACAGCTGCAGCGGAATACGAGACAATTTCAAGATTCACCCGCGGATTAAAGGAATAATGAGTCGCTTGCAACCATAATCCTGGATTTCAAAACTATGAAATCAAGATCAACAGGTATCGACTAACAAGTTCCCAGGATCGAATATTTGTAGCAGGATGCTTATTATTTACTATTGAAAAAACGAAGGCAGAAACCTCCGTATTTTGTCTTGAAATACACCACCTAACGCCAGTTGCCCTAAGCCAATCGACCACCACATGCTTGAGCTCATGTGTCCCATTCCCACATATGCCAGCATTTCCATGCCGTTAAACCACCTGAACGCCGCCCTGGTATGGTAAATCGACGATGTTGTACAATATAGCTCGTCGCCCCGGGGTATGCATCGCACTTAACCACTTCCAAAGCACCCATCCTATTGCTACCCTCACGTGAGCAAATCATCCACCCAACCCATATTCTCTCTTCGGTCGTCTGTAATCCTAGCATACTCGAGCAGCAATCGTAAGACATAAATCTGCATGTCCTCCTTTCTCAGCACCTTCTCTGCCCATGATTTTCCATCCATCGCGATCTTCTTAGCAACGTCATCATGGCCAGGGATACTGTCCTCATAACCAAGGAAGTATTCCATAATGCCATAATAATCACCGAAACGATTATCCATCGGTACGAAGTGCCTCCAGGCAACTAAGCGGCTATCGTGCCATTCACGCCACAATGTACTCTTGATAGGTAAACTCGTGCTTCGCAGGAAACCTAGATAGCGCCCCGAGAACGAGTTTCCATCTATATCTGGGAGATATTTATAATAAAATTGAACTGCCAACTTTTGGCCGAGTACCGTCTCGTAGTGTTCGTCGGTATAAATGCAGTGCCCATCCTCTTGGGGCGGTTCCACCTCGGGATCGCAGAATAGATCGGTAAATCCTACGTCGGACCATTCCGAAACCCAAGAGCCAAGTCGCTTTTCCTTCTGCGCCGCGAGGTTATAAGAAGCATGGGGTAGCTCGAAATTGATGGGATCTTCCGATCCTTCCTCGGCGCTCGCTAGTTTCGTTCCGTTATTCATGGAGACAAATCGGTGGCGTTGGAACCCCTTCCAGTTCGACTCATTATTGCGACCACCGGTGGCCACACCACGCCAAATTAGAGGACCAATCTTGTTATCCCATGAAGGACCGTGGTCATCCCCTCCAGTGAATCGCTCCTCCTCATTCCAATACATAGGAGCAGGGAGGAGAATCTCATTGTTGGTAGCCAGCTTGCTTCCCCCGAACATTGGAAAGAGGACCTTCGTAGCAGACGTAGTTAAAGGTTGGATAAAGATGCCCTCGAGACCCTGTAGATCAGGTTGGTGGCAAAACTCAGACGAGAGAGTCGAGTTAGATACATAGCCCTGGTATTGGTGGGGGGTTGCCCATGACGGCGCAAAGTTGGGCTTGTTGTCGTAGGAAGTCAGCGTGGATTGCTTCCGAGCGGGACTATCAGGAGCGCAACCTCGACGGGCGATCAGCCAGTACGGACCTGTCGAGCATGGTTAGTATACGATACTACCTATGAATATTGTATAATTATGTATGAATTGAGCGTACTTGTATCTTCCCAATCCTTATCAACCGTATGGAGGGACTTATCATCGTGCCCAGCAGGAGGCGGCAGTTTTTGAAATTCAGCAATGATGCTTTTGGCTGGACTAAGGACTCGGCTCTGTTTTTCTTTCTTCATATAAGCATTTATGTCCTCCCACGGCACAACAAGTCGAGGTTCATCCATAGCATTTAAAGCTATGTCCATATCGGGTAGCAGGTGTTCAATGGTCTGGATCATATCAAGCCAGATCTGCGTCCAAAACCAGTCACTTTCTGCGCTCGCATTGCCGTTGCGCACATTTATGACCATCTCGTAGCCCATAGCCTCGTTGCGAATCGAGGTGGCATCTAAGCCCCAGAAAGGACTCAAGTCATGGTAAATTTGGTCGAAGAAGTCTTCTACCAGGACAGCTTTGTTATCCTTAGCAAATTCGTACCATTTGTCAAACCCAGGAGGTGGATGTCGGCCGCGACGCTTGCGATAGGCTTGGGCGGCTTCAGCGAGGGTGCTCGACTCCTTAGCAAGCATATCCTTAAAGTCTTTGTCGGCGGCCTTAATGAGCTCGTCAATCGGGTGGACCGCGCTGGGTTTCGGCGGGGTGGGTTGGACCGGTTTAACGGGTGTAGAATCCGAATCGTGGATAGAGTCGCTGACTCCTTCTGTATTCTCATGTACGGGTTTTTGGTTCGATGGTGGGGTTTTTATAGGCTGATTCACAGGCTCAGGCGACTCGTTCTTCTTAGGAGGGGAAGGCGGTGGTATCTTGGAAGAGCCTTGGCCAGGGCTTAAATGTGTACTTGGAACATCTGAAACTTCGGGTTTGTTGGACAGATAATAGAAAAGGGCCAAGAGGAGTAAAGCTGGGAAAATATATCGTATAAGATGGGACGGGCGCCTCGGGGGAAAGGCGGGTGAGCGCATGGCGAAGTAGACGTCGGCCGCCTGTGGGAATGGCGCCCGGACGTCGACTTAACTTCAAGAATCGGACGGTATGGTTCGAAGACAGTTGGTTCGAATGGGATGGCGCGCGCGTTGGGACGAGGGGACGGGGAAAGGCGCACTACCTAATTCAAGAGTTAAATGTGTCTATAACGGTAGACGGTATCTATCAAAAAACTTTGTTGCCGACTTGGCAAAATAAAAAGATAGGACGTTAAAAAAAGAAGGGGTCGAAGGGAAAGTAAGAAGGTGAATGAAATAGAAAAATAGAAAAAATAGTGTTAGAAGGTCTTCATCGAGATCTTACATCCTCCATAAAACAAACGAAGGGTGGGGGGTTTCTACAACGAGTAGAAAAGGGAAAATAGAAAAGAAGAAGAAAAAGGGAGGTAGAACAAGAACGATGAAGATGATGATACAATCAGTGAGACACGCAGAGTAAATAGTATATACTAACCAACTAACAAGTTGAGTGGCTAAATGGCCGGTTTATGGATGACTGATTTCACTATTTCATATTAATATTTTTAGGTTAGGTACAAATTATGTTATGTATAGGTTCAAGTCGGTCGGGGTTGGACACTCGGACGGAAAGTTTGCTTTGTTATTAATATGATGCGAAGGTGCAAAGACAGATAGACGGGATAGACAGGATAGACAGGATAGACATTGAAGACGGATTGGGGAAAATTAGTGCTTGCTGCACCTACCTAAAGGGAAAGTAAAGTATAAAGTTTGTGCGGTTGTGTGTGGTGTGTGGGAGGCGCCAATGCACTGCTGATGCACTAATGATTGCAGCTCCTTCCCGTGTACGGTAACCTACGGGGAACTGTATTTGTTACGGAACGTGGGTCAAGAGGTACCTAGGCACCTAAGTAAATTGGATTCCGGTTCCTTGGGCCATTCCCTCGACCCTCCTTAACCTTCTAGGGTTAGTGGATGGCGCTTGACTTGTAGGAGTAAAGTAGCACCCTGAGGACACCGGGCGGAAACCACAACCTGACTACGACAGATGTATACATAATAGTTACATTTAATTGGATACACCACTACAACTTACGACTTAGGTATACATATGTAACAAATAAATATTGAGAATGAAGAAATTTCAAGTGTTACTTAAGTACGGTATCCAGATAGGTAAGAGAATACATATATCTTTACGTGTCCTTTTATACACATGATAACAATCCATAATCATTAATGATTCCTGATTATCGTTTGTATGTATAATGTATATGTCTCGAAATGCAACATAAAAAACAACCCCTTAAGTAATCCGTAACTCGAAAAGTCAAGCATTGATCTCATCTTGTCTCGTATCCCACAGCCAGTTGATATTCATCTTCTATCGAAAATTCAAAGTGTAAGAGGAAATACCAATCTTCAGCTAACAGTGGCGCAGCCCCCGGTGGTTTCGCTTAAGACATTCCTTAAAGGGGAAAACGGCCCCATCTTGTTAGTATTAGAATACCAAACGGTAGAATGGCACAATAGGTACCTACAGTACGAGCCTCAGGACAGCTTACTGGGTTAGGTTCTCTCACCCCCGCGCGTATCACACCTCAACAGTCCAATGTCCTGCTAACCCGTCCGGTGGGAAGCGGGTGCATTTCCAACTCTCTACAACCTTATATCGTCATCATGTTGGAAACCTATCTTAGGTATTGCCTTGTGAAGTTGTCCTTCCTAAATCTTCCTAATTTGAAATGGTTATATTGTGACTTTCCAACGATCATCTTTACTGTAACAGACCTTGCTTCGCGATTAAATTTTTTCTCCTCTTTTCATAAATGAAAGAAATGTATTTTATTAGCTATGAATAGTACTTAATGCCAATATGGCTAGTGCTGAGCTGACCCCGCGCTCATCCCCATTTCGAGTATACCCCTATTTCATTCCATCCATCGTGAATCCGAGTACCCAAGTATTTACATGGCTCGTATGAACGGTAACGTCTGCGCATGAACATTCCAGAACTCTGATAGAACGGTTCATCAATCACTAGAGATAGCGCCTCGATTAAACCTGGGCTAATTATGTGGAAAACGTGACATGATCTGGGGCATTATAGATTAAAGTAAACCACGCTTCTAACTCCCGATTGGAAGTTTTAAATAGTTAGATTATTGGGAGCCGTTTTCTTCAATGTAACTCAACTTGTCAGATAGACGACGTAGTAGCAGAGCAGATACGGTTCATGTCACAAGATGTCATAAGATGCTTAAACGATGTGATTTGGTTCGTTCAGGTTCATGATCTAGGCACCTCAAGTAGTACATACCTAGGTAAGCACCTGGTAAAATCCATTGACGCAGAACACATTTTCGACTTCCGCGCCGAATAGGCTATTCATAACATGAGGCCAACCCGAAAAAAATCACTTTTTCAGGGTATATTAGCCTTGCTAATGTTACCGAACCACATGTGTTTTTATGTAGTTTTAGCAAGGATAATGACGATGACGCGCGTGCATTAGGTCGCCAAATATGATTGCTAGCAAAGTAAAAAGACATATGGTGTAAATTAGATGTTGGTCGATCGTGTTGTCGAAACTCGATATATTTTGAAATTGGTAGAAAAACCACTATTATGGAGAGTTGAACGCCGTTAGAACAGCGACAAAGTCAACAACGAGTTTCAGCAACGAATTCACCGAGCAATAGATAATATGGATTGCCGGCGCCAGCCCTCTTGATTTATAAATTTCAGCCATGCTGCTAAGTACGATCACTACGTAGGCATGTGCTAGGCGCTAAACACCTACTGTACGTATTCTATTAATAATCTTCCATCACCAACCGCCAATTACGAGCTTGGGAATCCCTAAAGTCCGGAGGTAATGTTCCTGGCATGACCAAACGGTTAATGTTTCTTACATAATAACAGTCTAACGATACCGGGGCTTACAATAAACGGTCATTTAACCTGAAGAGAAAAAGAAAACCATGCTTATGTTCGTAAAATGGCATCTTTGGATTGTTCCGCGTCTAACTCCCTACCAACTGCAATTCTATCACCTACCATATATACAAGGTTGGTAGAAGATCAACGACTTATCATGCTTCGGAGGGGAGAATACTATCTTCATCCCCTGGATCGTCTTGGGTCCGAGCTATGAGTTCGTGAAACTCGGGGCGGAAAGGCCACTCCATCCACAACTCTAGTAGTTCTTCCCACTGCCGTGCATTCAACATTCTTGGCGTTAGCTCCGCATATCGCGAGGTGGTAATCACTCCGCCGCGGTCCACATCTTTCGCACTCTTCCACCGAGGTATTATGTAGTCGGCGGCCCCAGGCATTATGGCATCCAAGGCCTGACCCATAGGCAAAGTACTTTGTCCAAGCATCGAAGTCATAATAAGGTCGAAGCAATCACCCGCACGATTCGATTTGGGACCCGTTTGACGTAGTAGAGGGTGGACTGCTTTGGGTTGAATGTCGAGCAGCTTACAGTCGATATTCGGGAAAAACTCTTCAGGTTGCACCAACAACGGATCGTATGCTCGACGGTCCCAATGTAGCGTTGGTGGGTCCTGGCGATAATGATGAAGATTGTCTTTGTAGGTAACAAACTCTCCAATGAACCCATTGGGATGGCTCAATAATTTGGAAACCCATTCTGCTTCGAGTTTCTCTATTTCCCCCGGTGACGATTTGCCTGACTTGTAGATTGCGTTGATAGTATCTAAGCCGGATAATAGTTCTAACATTGTATTATGTTTTTTCCCCTCCCAATTAGCCCTCCACTGGTATGCCTTCATATTGCTATAAAGATCTGAGTCGTTGGAGAAAGCATCGTCCTCGTATGCTATCTCGAGCTCCTCGAGTTTTTCTTGGAACGCCCTTTTATATACTGGCGGTGTAGATCCCGGGGTGATAGTTTTATTGGCGGCGAATGCTAACTGAGCCTCCTTGAGGGCCGCGGAAGCCCTACCTAAAGGTACGGTGATCCCGGCAGCCATCATCTTCTCCCACGCAGCTAGGGTACTGCTAGCATCCATGACATTGTCACGGGCGAACCAGGACACGCCAAGCTCCGGCCCGCATACCTCACGAACCCATTCACAAGAGAGCTCTCCTTCGAGCGCCAGCTTCCTACGCTGCTGCATTATCTTGGGAATAAGACCATGCGTGTCGTCGTTCCGGGTCCATATCAGCATGCGGACGAGCCCATAACGTTGGAATAAGTCACTGGTCCGTATAGATCCGAGGAATTGATATAGAACCAAACTTGCTATGGACTCAAAACTAAGGAATTTCTTTTTCGGGTGGAAGGAAAGATTCGCTGTAACGAGCAAAGTATCGTTGCGCTGTGCGATCTGAGTGCGATCTGGAATAGCTTGATGTGGTAAATATTCCGGGGTCAATATAGGATTGAGTTCCCGCCAGACAATTCCCGATGCTGGGACAAGAGTCGTATTAGGTTGGTCGAGGAGGGGTTTAAGGAAGGGCTCGTATAATTCGGAATCCGGTTCCATCAGTATATGGGATCGCGGCTGGAGGAATTCGTGTAATTTTCGACTCCATAGTCCAGCGCCTGGATAGATGTCGAGGATGTCGCATCCTTTATGTCGCTCGAGGGAAGGGCCGATGTATGAAATGATGTCGTCACATAGTTTCTCGCTGACAACATTGAGTCTTGCCTTGTCACCTTTGACCTTTGGCTTGGATTTGGATTTGGATTTGGAGGACTTTTCATTTTTCGGTTTTGGACCTCTCCGAGGTCCTACCCATACACCCGTAGCTGCAAGCTCCTCAGCCACTGGACCTGAAGCTTCCAACTGCCACCTCTCGAGAACTTTTGAGGCATGAGGGCGGACGGTGGAGCTAATAGCTCTAGAGAATCGACGAAGGAGAGGGGAAGTGGAAGTACTCCGTAGACTGCTACGAATAACCAACATGTGCAAGGAGCGACGAGGGGTTAGTCTAATGAATCCTATGAATTTTATGTCGATTATAGGCCTTGTTAGGTATAAGAATTATTATCCGATGCTTTTGCTTTTGCTTTTTTTCTCTTTTGGGTTAGCAGTTTTCTGCCACCATTGACCGCCAAATTACGTAGCGTTGGGTAGGTACTTGTCCGTGGATATTTTTATTACACACCAAGCCTCGCCTATCTGTGTTTTTTTTTTTTTTTTCTTTCTTCCTAGCATAACCTATTTGAATGTGTAACTATCCCGTTGATACAGTCGAAGTTTCTCATAATTATAATTAATAAGCATTTGCATTAAATAAAATATACCGGGGACTCCAGCGATACATAAGTTTATTAGCTTTATTTAAAGTCCTGCATATCCCTGTTTCCGCAACTGCCATGGTTCGTTCCCATTTTAAGCTTTTTAGGTGCCGTGTCGCGTGGATGGACCCAAAATACCAAGCAGAATGACGTTGTGAGCATCAACCTTAAATACTACCTTAATATTCTAATATTTGGATAGGTATGTACCTAGGTAGGTGAAGCACCTAGTTCATGGATGTATCTTTGACACTGATATCTTTCTTTTCGTTAGTACCAGGAATAATGTAAGCTTAGTGGCCCTTAATAATTATAGGACTTTGGATCCCTTTTATATCGCTAAATTCAGCATTCTAAATATCGAGCCATCAAATCAGACGCGATTCCCATGGTATCCCTATTATCAACGAGATCAACTTATCGCAAGATCGCTCTAAACATGGAAATATTTCTCTTTTTAGCTTTACCAACGCCATCAATTAAGCAATTTATGACACGGAGCAATGCCCATATATCTCCATACCTGATTGTTCTTGGGCACACAAACCCACGTGTCAACGACATGGGGATGCAACAGCTGAACGAACAAATAGGTAAGTGGCATCTATGCGGTCAACGCCTTGGCAGGGAAAATCCAACCGCGCCGGAGTGCCTACTTGGGTAAACTTATCTTCACGGGCAAATCCACCTCGCTCCAGGGATGTGATAGACTACCATGTCTCAATTCATCGCTCATTCAGTTGTGGGATATCTAGACAGAGATTGAAATATATATTAGCACCTAATATCTAGAAAACCTCGATGAAGCTTCTACATCACTCATTAGAAACTCTAGACAACCACCATTACTTGCCTAGAAAACTGCTGAGATCTTCGGCCACCCGATTCTCCGATTTCGATATAAAACCAATATCACTACCAAGACATCAACATGGTTAAAATCTCCATTCTTCCAGCCGTACTAATTTCGGCCCGCTTCATTTCAACTGGGTTGGCCCAGGACGAAGAGAACCAAGTCGCATGGCTTCGCGATGTCCAAAATGATGAATCTGTGTCACTTGCAGAAATCGAAACCTTGAACGACGATTCCCAGGTGGCTGAGGACGTTATTCCTGCCAACGAAAAGTGAGTCCTAGTATCCCAAAGAGTCGATTAAGCCATTAATTAACACTGTATCTAGTATCGTGGCGCTGGTCAACGACTCTATTTCTTCCGATATAGAACAGCGGGATCCGAGGAGGAGGCCTTTCAGAAACAGAAACATGACGAATAACAATAAAGACTCCGGCGTTGGAAGAATCGACATCTCTGTGCCATTATCTCTAGGTGTTGGTGTTACCATCATGGTCGCCTTTCTACAACATTAGCATTAATAATGCTGACGGTAAACAAGACGCGATGGGATAATTACTTGTATGTACGGCATCACAAAAACCATGTAACTCATAATCTCTTGATATAACCAACCCTTTGCAAAGATTCATCCTCAATGATATCAATAACTCGACTATTTTCGAATATTCTATATTGACACTAATAATCTTACCCGGGTATGTGGTTACTGCTTATTATAAAAATCTATAGGAAAATACCATCGTTCAAAAATGCGCGTGGGGGGGCATCTACATAGGTACGCAAGGAGGAAAGTAGGACGTGATATAGTTAGAGGCAACTCTTGATACTTTGTTCTATATCTTCGTCCATCAATTCGGGACTAATAAGTATATAGGTTGACCTAATTTCCAGGAATACTTTCCAACCCTGTTGAGGCGTTAGCTAATACTTCTCTTGATAATCTAGATAGGTAGTTTAGAGATCGAATAACTCACATCCATCAACATCCTCTACTGCGGTTTGTGCTTTGGTGCACCTCATTGCCTCCTCGGAAGTCTGGACTTTGAGTTCCTTGCAGATAGCGTTGTTACATCGGGCGTCGAGAGCACGCTGGAGCGCATCACCCTTCCAGCCGAATATGTAGTCACCATGTTGCGAGTACCCGGTCCTGTAGATTAAAGGTTGGCTCTATAAAACTCGAGATTTGTCAAAAGAAACTTACTCATCGTTTGTACTCCAGTAGAACGGCTGCGAGCCATCTTCGGGCCATAGATCTGGGTCATTGAAGGGTCGCGTCTAGAAATGGAAAACCCGCGTTAGCGTGTAAGGTCTCCCCCAACTCGATACGATTAGATGCGAATACACTCCTTCAGTCGAAACGGTTGATTGAAAAAATCGGCGATACTTACGTCCCACATCACTTCGTACATCAACTGAGGTAAACGAACGGGGTGGCTTTGCGGGCATGTGCCGACCGATTCGAACGAACCCGTCTCGGGATACGCAACGTGAGTCTTGTGGTCTGGGCTATCTAAGTTCTTACCATCCCAGCAACTATGTAAAACGACTTGGTTAGTATTGGTTTATCCTCTTTTGGATTTGATGTGGTAAAAGGAAGATGGGTAGTATGTGTGGGAAACCCCTCTGGAACATAACTCACGTCGGGAAGGTAATTGTCGTTCGAATACCACCCTTGCAAGGTGCCGGTGGTAAACTCTGAGTATCTGATCCAGTGCACGGCGCCCCACCTGTATCACCAGCGACGCCAGCGCCACTCTCAGATGTGTAGCAACGGTGGCAAAGTTGGCGCTGCATGCCATCGGACTTTCTAAGCGCGGCATCTCCCACAAGCATGCGGAAGCCGGGCTTGAAAGCGGTCACCGTCGTCTTTCCATCATATGGCGGGATATAGTAGACCGTAATACCACCCACAGCACGAAGTCCTACGTTGGCGAATTGGGGCACACGTCGGTATGTTCCGTTGCGGGCTCGGAAGTACATGACCGCCGTCCAGTAGTTAGAGAAGTCTTCGGAAAACGTGCAGGTGGTGCAGGTAGAGTCTCTAACGAGATCGTGTGTTGTCGGGTCCATGCTAGAATTGAAAGAGTTGCCTCCCACGATCTGATGAACGTGCGGCGACGGCGTGGTACCGGGGTTGACTAGGGGATCCAACCGCTCGATGACAAGCTGCGAGCAGCCGAAGCGTATCATCTGTTGGGCAGCAGCCCCTTGCGCGAGGAGCGCTAGGGTGAAGGTATTCCAATGCATCTCGAAAGATACTATGGCTAACTATGTTACGATAGAAATTAGGATGAGTGAGGGAACCTCGTATGAGGAAGAGCTAGACCACTGCTTATGCGCTACCATAGACTGTAAATCCTATATACGAAGAATCATCTCTTCTCTAATAATAATGCCGGCCTAACTTTTCTATAGCTTTCTTATCTTATAAGTTTAATCTCGATATATATTGGGCAAAAGAGGACACCACCAACTTTAGTCAATTTATCCGGTAGATGACCCCCTCGCCCCTTTTATTCAAATGACGCACTACTAGGCTTGGTTAACGATACTGAGAATTTCAGAATAGCACAACGAAAGTATCCAGTCCATACCTACTTATCCCAAACTGAGCAGGCTTCAATTTACTTTGGAGATGAAATGCAAGTGGTTAAGATCGAGATACCTGACAATTGAAGCGCTGAGTGGTAGGGCACCCGGAAGTCCTTATCTATTATAGGCGTTCGTCTCTAAAAGAGGATTGGTCATCTCATTCCCTCCACGCGGTAAAATTGAGTTAATATTCGACCTACTTTCCCATATTGCGATGCAACGATGGGAATGTTCCGGTACTTGGCCACTCTCGGTATATTTAGAAGCCAGATTGAAGCACCCGCTGGACGCCTATTGACACTCCTCTGTCATCCTTCAATTATTTCGGCGGGAAGATTTCGAGCGTGATCCACCCCACTGAGACTGGTGAAGCAATTCGGCAATCGTCATGATGAGAAATAGCTTATTAGCTTTCGCGGCGGCGATATTGCTCGCCTCTGGAGCCGACGCCGATAGAGCATGCGGAAGCGCGAACGCGTCCTCGACATACCAATGGCGCCTGGGTGCTGCTAGATATGATGGCCCAGAGCCGGGCGACAGCAACGGATCCGCTACGGTGGCATTCAGCATAGTGCCAGGTAGTAGCACGATGGGAACTTTTTTCGAATGCGTGGCAGAGTGGCCCGAGTCTTGGCAAGGATGGTATGAAGATGGGAATATCATATGGAGTGATTGTATCTGGGCTGGAAATGGACGAACCTACGATACCGCTGTCTCCTTTGCTACAGATTGGAAAAACCGTACCTTATACATATCCCATACATTTCCCTGCTCGGATGCAAAAGGGTAAGTCTCGTTAACTAGCCTATGTGTCCCAGGGGATCAAAAATGAGGCAAGAGAATAGAGAGCTCTCGTTAGGACTGACATTCTTGGTGTAGAACCGATGCTCTCGCGACAGGATCGGTACAATTGGACTTGGACTGTACAGACAGCGCCGAAGATGGTAGTAGCTGCACATTAAAGGGCAACGGGCAGGACATTACCACCAAAGGCAGTCCGGCGCGTCTAGCAGCTGACTCTTGCACGGATAATTCGCAAAGATACCAATCTTGGCAACTCGAAAACTGGCAACGCCAATATGAAGCGATACCCGGGTCTACTGCCGGTCCCCAATCCGACACAGGCCCATCTTTCGTTTTAAGAAATATGGCCAATACCGACGTTTTTAACTGTTCGCCTTCAGGGAATCAGAACAGTACATTTGAAGGGACTTGCTTGGCAACGGCGGAAGGGAGCTCGACGACTTCCGCAACTTTTAGCTTCGACCCGAAGATCGATGTCCTCATAATCAACCAGCATTGGAACTGTAGCGAGACGTAAGTAGCTTTATATCCTTGGAACCATTAAATACCTAGGTAGTTTTTGGGAAGAGTGCTGCTAACGATACAATAGATCTTTGTTCGATGCTACTGGTGTCGGATACGTCCAAGCGACATGTAACCGTGAAGGTAATTTACTTACTTGCACCTCGGATCCTCTCTGGATTGGTACCAAGATAGTGTAGTGTACCTTAAGTTGTCTATATAGCTACCTAGCATAGGTACTTGGTATCTACCCAATACAAGTTTCTATAGGTTACATATAGCCCCCGCCGTTTATTTATGCAAAGGATGCTAGTTGTCTCTATGGCAAAGCTGCGAATAATGCCTAATTTAACAAGCCGAACTGAATAGTTGTATAGGTCTCCTTTAAAGGTTACCTAGTTTACATTCGAATACGACAATTGCTTGCAGTGACTACCTAGTTCTCTGAAAACGACGATGACAACACACTCTAGGCATAGAGCGCCTTCCGGGCACGAATATATTCCTCCCTCTCTGTACCATACCTTTTATCTAATGTCGATAGAGGAACGGCTGTCTCACTAGAACAATCATAAACCTCAGGATCTATAGTACGAATTTTCGCGCCGCGGGGAAGTGGCAGGTGCTGATCATCAGGGAGACTCTCGGACTCAAGCTTGATCATGGCCTTTTGCTCATCTTGGCCGAGGACTTGGCGCATTTTAGCCCAAAACTCGTCATCTGATAGTCGCCACAATTCTTCCTCTTGAATACCCCCAGCGCGAATAGAAGATCGCATCAAGTCTGCCGTCCTCGTATACAGATCTCCATGTGCTGGGTTTCCCCACACATCTCTATCGCATGTCATATACCCCGTTGCTAGAGCTAGCGCATCCTCTTGACTTTCAAGTATAAGTAGACGGTGCGGGGATATCGCATCGGGGAATGCTTTGAGGGAAGTTATGATGCGTTGAGCATCTTCGAGGGAGAGAGCACCGAAGCCCACCGCATCGCGTAGGCCGTAGTCAAGTCTGTCGGCACAAAGATGTGGCGTTGGCATTTCGACTAATGGGTAAAGTTCTTCGTTTAAGGGTCTTAAATCCGCGAAACCATGTTTGGTAAGTATTTCGGGAATCGTAGTTGTTTCGATGAAACGCATCTTGTGTACCTCGTGGAAACTTCCCTCACCTGGCTCAGATAAGGCGAAATCTACAACATGACTCAGCGCTGTATGGCTGATATCATGTAACAAGGCTGCTATCTGTTCTTCTAGTGTACCGCCGACGCGTCGCACGAGTAGTAACGCGCCGAGGGAGTGTTCAAACCGCGTAATGGGAGGTGTGAAGCGTAGAAGGGCAGAGATCCCATGCTGACGCACCCCTATTAGACGTGCTAGAGAGGGTAATCGTAGGAGTTCATTAAGTACTGGATCAGTTATTGTAAAGCTGCCATAGAGCTCATCTTGGACAATTACTCTGTCTTCTGTTGATAGGTCTAGAGCCTGAAAGTGACCAACTCTCGTAGATGACATTGTAGGGGTAAGTGGCTTGGATCGGCGGGGCTACCCAGGTTCATTATGCAAATCCTTGAGGGACTTTATAGGGCAACTAGTCGTAATTTCGTAGGTACCCTATCGCCTGAAAAACAAGGCTGATATATTCGAGCTGACATGGTGCGCCAAGGAAATATAGCTGATTTCGGGAGGTAAAATGGCACTGTAATTTTTTTTTATGGTTCGGCTATGGGCGCTGCATGCGCTGAACGAGGATATTAAAAGGAACTAGGAAAACTGAAGCAACTCGATTTTTATTTTTATTTTTATTTTTATTTTTATTTTTTTTACAACACCATATCCTCCTCGTCTCGCAAAGTTGTAGAATGCAACCTCGCGGTCATTGTTTTTTTTGCGAGCCGCCATCAATGTATCCTGTTGATCTTGGAAGATTTCGCCGCTGGACCATCGTATATGTATATCTGTACCCTCACGAGTCTTACTAGTCTGACTATGTTTGTCTTGATTGCTCACATCCACGGCGGTGGATTGCCCCGCTACATCTAGCGAACTTCTATGTTTTTCGATCTCTGGATGTTGAGAGTTGTTTGGGCACTGAAAATGTCGAGGCTTTATATTAAAATACATTGGTGAGCCCATAGCAATGGTTGTGTACCTAGGTATTGTAACGGAGGTTTTCTCTTACTCTCAACCTCGCGTCCCTAGCTATTCGATTTGATGTATTATTGTGGCAGTCATAGCGGTATTTCTACCCACGCAGTGCAGCGAAACTATCTGAGATTTTGCCTGCTACCTACTTCTGCGTGAGTGATACCTATCATACCAAAATTTTCGGACAATTAACTGATTACAAGTAGATATTCGGGGATGGTAAGGCATTTTATTTCTTCAGCAGCGTAGTTGATTTCATGTTGATTGGATTTTTACAACGGCGAGACTCGAAAAGTATAGAATGCACGGTACTTTCGTTCTATCTGTACTACTTTTCGGAGTGGGAACGCGACGCCTTGGCGCTGATCCCTAGTGGAATGCCCTACGTACCGCGATGACAATTTCACGCATGTCTTACGTTGATCTCGGAGCAATCGCCTATAATCGGTGACTAGTCCTTAGGTCTCACTGATGCGTGTGTGCCACTCTCTTACATAGCTGTTGAAGAAGATCCACGTTTCCAAGGATGCCGACACCAACATGCGCCGGACATCTCGAATTCTATCCCTATTGGAGGTGCTTAGGTAGGTACCATTGAGTCTTACCATGTTAAGTGAATTGGTTTCCCTCCTAGCAATTGGTATATCATTTATTCTCTAGGGTTGTTTTCACGCGGGCCAAGACTCTATACCCAGTGTACTTCGGGTCGTTACGAAGCTACTAATACTGGACAGCTTAGGGTACTAATCCTTGAATACCTCTATAGGCCTTGAGTTGCTGTGCCCTAAAATGAATGTTTAGGTATATAAACTGTGTTTGGTGGCGGGCTTCTAAGTCTGCAGGATACGTCTCTCACAATTTCTCGACTTACTGCTCGAGTCCGCTAAGATGACCAAACAAACTTGGCTTATCACTGGTTGTTCGAGTGGCTTCGGCGAGCAATTCGTTCGTCAATTGACTGCGCAGGGCGACCAAGTCATTGCGACTGGTCGTAATGCCGAGACTAGACTCGCACATTTGCGTGACACGGGGGCAACTATACTAGAATTAGATGTCACCGTGCCGCAAGCAGAGATTGAAAAGAAGTTCCAGCAGGCGCTAAATGTCTATGGTACCATTGACGTTATCGTCAACAACGCAGGATTCATTCAATGTGGTGCTCTGGAAGAATTAACGTGTGTAACGCTGAGAGCCCTAATATTTTCTATTATTAACAAATACGACTTCTGAATTAATCATGGCAATAGTCAGGAAGAGCTACAACTGTCAATCGATACCCATCTACATGGCCCTCTCAACCTTTCGCGTGCCGCACTCCCCCACTTCCGTGAGAAAGGAAGAGGGTGGCTGGTTTATATGAATTCCCAATCCGGAGTTATTGGAGAGCCGGGAGCAACTGGGTATTGTTCTAGCAAATTTGCCCTAGAAGGTGAGTATCGCCCGCCTGAATCGCGGGTTTGACTATTCTTTTTGCGATGTATGCATCTGACCCCTTTCCTAGGAGCTGTAGAAAGCTTGGCGAAAGAATTGGCATGGCTTGCGCCAGGAATTAAACCATTAATCATCGAATCGGGAATCTTTAATACTGAAGTTATGAACAATATTCATCACACAGACTATCGTGTTCCATTCTGGAAACCACTCAACGATGCGGCGCGTATTCGCGGGCAAGGAAATTACAGAAATCCTCCAGGAAACGCAGCTGAGATGATCTCAAAAGTAATTCAAATTGTTAAAGGAACCGGCATCGCAGAGGACAGGGAAATTCCTTTACGTATTCCTTTTGGGAGTGATTGTCTGGCGGCGTTGCGCGAGAGGTTACATACACTTCAGAAGACATACGACGAATGGGAGAGTGTGTCCAAGAGTACGGATTTTCCTGGAGCAGGCCAACCAATGCCTGAATTTCCAGATAGATAAAGCGTCCGAGAACGCATCTGTTAAGAGAATGAATGATATACATCTTCATGAAACAATTCATGAAGAAATTGCATTGAATCTAGTAAGAATCAACGAACTGATGTGGCTGATTAAATCATCAAGCTACGTATGAGAGTAACTTCGTCGTAAAAAACGCTGTTGGTCTCAGGGAACCTGAGCTAAACTCCTATGTCGGAGCCAAGTATGTATATGTACCTAGGTATAAGAGAAGTAGCTGGGTATAAGTAGCTTCGATCCCGGCAGCATCTCCTCCCTTCCCTGTCGTGGTGTTCACGCGGGACTACTAGTACTTTCCCACGATGTCCTGGTCTCAAAATGGCGTGTATTGGCGTCGACCGCTCGACTGCCATGACAAGATGTTTCAATCCATTGCCAATGCCGGAAAACCTTTAGGTCGAGAACATTGGCTCTTGCTGGGGGTTGTTCGGCTCTCGTTCCCACCCTCAATCAACAAAGCAGAAACGCGGCTTCGCGACGCTTGGAAATCTCTGCGCCTCCGTCACCCAGATATTGCGACGGAGTTACACACTGATGAGAAACGATATACCCCTCCTAGAAATATCGAAGTTCTAGAAATGTGGGCAACTGATACTTTCCATGTTGAATCGGCCGTTAGCTCCGCCGACGAGCTCTTTTCTCGCCATCTTAGGGTGGCTGGGGATACTGCGACTTGTCATTGGGTCCCTGAAAGTAGGGAGCTTGCTATTGTTTCATCGCACTGGCGATGCGATGGACGCGGCATGATGATGACTTTGCACGAATACTTGCTAGGGTTGATGCCAAACGATCAACAGCCAAAGTTACCTTCATTTGGATGTGAAGTGAATGGCCTGGCGCCATCATTGGACGTGTTGATGAACGTACCGGGTGATAAGAACGCGGAATGGCTGCGTAAGGCCGATGACCTGATCGCCCCTTGGCATGAAGGACCACCGTCGATTGGATTACCTGCAATGAAAGGGATATACCCGGGTGACACTCGTCGCATAGAAGTAAGAGTATCACGCAATGACACTAAATCACTGCTAGAGTCGTGTCGTGCTCGGCGTATTCGTCTGACGGCCGCACTTTTCGCTTCTGTTGTGATGGAGACAGCGCACCATCAGGAGCCGCATGTGGCGGCCACGACGAAATACAAATCATGGGCGTCCTTCGATTTGAGGAAATATTGTCCAGAAACTCCCCATGGCCTACCTCACGCACATTCGTTACGAATGTTAGCACTTCCGCTGGTTGTTGATGCGAATACCGACTGGCCCTCATTAGCAACATCTATGCAATCTTTGAATTCGCAATCATTTGCGCCAGGAGATAGCGACTTGATGTTCGTACGAGTACCGTATGTAGAGAAGGTTACGAAGATGTTGGAGAAGGCAATTCCCACAACAGAGCCCAATCTCAGCAATCTTGGTGTAATGGATAATTATGTGCAGACGCAATATGGCGTTATCAAGGTTGATAATCCTTGGATAGCAGTCCAAATGCTGTCGTCCCAATTATGGTTACACTCTTGGAGCTGGAATGGAGAACTACACATAAGTAGTTGTTATAATGAAGCCTTTTATGAAGCTGATTTCGTTAGGAAATGGTTAGAGGGTTTGGTTTCAAACTTATTGATGAACCTCGAAATTAAGAGACAGATCGGATAGGTTGTCTACTGCGCACTCAGGTGCCAGCGCCGATGTCATGTTGGGAAAACAAGTGGCTTGTATTCACTCACATTAACGCCTAGATAGGTTTCGCAAGTAGTGCCTCCCCATTTATATGGTGGTATCTATTTCAAAGACGGTTCAATAAACCCGAGCGCTATTCCAATATCCATCTTTCATTCAAGTAGTTGTCTGGTGAAAACGCCGGTTGGATCCCACTTCTTTTTCAGCGCCCTTAATTTTTCAAGTTTACCAGCACCTCGGAACCGTAATTCGATCGGACCTGTGCGAGTGCCGTTTTGGAAATCTGCGTACTCAGTCACATCAGGTCCTCGCATGATTGCGATTGACTCGTCGTTAAATGCGTCTACTTTCTGCCGGTTATTGACGTCGGTATGCCATATTAGATTGTTCCTGGATGATGAATATTGTCAATACGGGTGATCGGGGTGAAGTTCTAACAAATATCTAGGTACTCACTGCCAATATTTTATGTCATGAAGGGACATAGCAGACTCAAAGTCTGGTGCCTTGGGGAACCTTGAATCCCACTGGAAATTGAACGCAGTGTTGATAGCATCGGGACATTCAGCCACCAGACGTTTCCAAACTTCAATTGTCTTAAGAAATCCGTCTACATCAAAACGTCTTAACCCGACGACGCCAAATCGCTTAAAGCCTCCTTTAACAGCAAGCGCTTCCCGACCGTCGCTGGTGTTTTGGATGGGTACAGGACCACCCTTGGCCACTAAAGGTTTCAAATCATATAGTGGTTTATATGCAATGTCAGCTTCGTTAGGATTGCCTGTGAATCTTGCCGCAATGACCAAAGACGGGTTTCGTGTTGGTGGTGGCGCTTGAACCATCATCAATCCTGCTGTTGGCTTGCTACTATCGTCCATAAGATCCTTCATAACTATTGCAACGTCTTTGGCGCGGTCGAGAGGGAACACAAAGGCTCCAACCCAAATAACCCCTTGGTCATTGTCGAGTTCTGTAAGTGGAGTAGCCTTGATTGTCAATTCCGTGACGAGACCGAAAAATTGACCTGCTCCTCGAATTGCGTAAAGAAGATCTGGTTCGGTTTCTTCGGTAACTTCTATAAGAGATCCAGTTGCGTCGATCATGCGAGCAGATATGATTTGGTCTGAGCCAAAGCCCGTTATAGAAGTGGTAATTGATGCACCCCCGCCTAAAAAATATGGGATAGCACCCACTGTATTTCCATTTCCCAGTGCTAAAGTCCGGATTGGTCAGCATGCGTGTACAATTACAGGTAAATGAGAGATGGGCTCGGGAATCTCTCACCAGTGAAAAACCCTTCTTTAGCTAAAGCTGTAGCCACTTCTTTAGACAGGATACTTCCCTTAACCACGGCCTTTCTTGCGGACGCATTGACAACGACTCCAGAATATTTACTTAAATCAATAATGATTCCCTGCTCGTTAATAGTTGACCATTCACTGTGTCCTCCGCTTTTGGTAACAAAAGGGATTGACGATTTCACAGCCCATTGAACCTAAGCAAGCCAGAATTAATAAATATGCGGGTAGATATTTGAATCGCGGGTTGTTACCGTCTTGTGAATGTGATCCTCGGATTCTGGGAGAACAATAGCGGCGGGGGTTTGGCGGTCGATGTCAGTCCATCGCTTGGCACATTCTTGAAATTTTGAGCTGCCCTGGTCTGTTAAGATCTCAAGGTCAGAGCCCGCTTGAGCTCGTAGCTCGTCAAATAGGTGAGGTTGCAATATTTTAGACATGGTGTTGGTATATTTGCGAGTTTATAGGAAGTTGTGTCAGGGAAATTTTTGGAAATTGTATGAGGTGGAAGTTACCTACATATATGTAGGTATTTCTATGTGTAAATATCTAGAAGTATGCATGGGAATCTGTACCTAATTAACATCCTTCGGGGGCTATAGTTAGCCTCGGGTGCTTCGGAGAGCAACGGTGATGGTAGGGGACGTATACCTACCCAATAGGGTACCTAAGTAGGTGATGGCTCTAAATGTTTGCCTCAAAAGGGTTAGGTATCCCCGTTGACCGAGGGTATTATAAACCTACCATTTCGATATCGACTGAGACTTACCTATAGAGGGTTAATAGGTACAAAACTATGGATATAGGTATGTATGTAGCCTACCTACCTACCTAAGTAGGTACAGCATGCCATCTACCAAGACCCTCTCGTGGGTACTCAATCATAATTCTGATACAAGTTAATATATCCAAGGGCATTTACCTCAATCGAGAATTCAATATTATATTTCAAGTCAAACTTGGTTAAAATTGATAAATGATGTTTACCTACTTTTGCTTGCTATTAACTGTACCTAGGTAGGTTCTACCGATTGTAAAATTGTACTTAAGTCGCTATATCCATCTGTTCATACATCTTTCCAAAGCTGTTGCGCCACGTATTGACGCCTATCTCACCAGATCCCACGCCTGTTTCCTTCTTAATCTCCTCATCAGGACCAGGCTGCTCCAAACTATCGAAGAACTTGGTGACAAACTCGCCCAAGGGCATTGATGGGAATGCTTTGTCGGGAGCACCCTGCATGGCAATTGTTGCTTCTCGATGTGCCTTGTCAAGACCCGTGTCCGTATAAGGAGGTACAATCTCAACTACGCGCATGTTTTTCCCATTTGGATTAAACCCAAGTTGCTGTCGCAGTATTTTCATTATCGCCCGGACGCCAGCTTTTGCTGCTGCGTACGTTGGATAGAAGCTCAATGGGACGTAAGCAAGAGATGAGCTGGTCATGAACAGGGTTGTTTTAGTCCCATTCCTAGCTAGCTGAAGAAGGTGTGGTGAGAAGAGGCGGATGAGAAGAATAGGTGCTGTTAGATTCATCGTAATCTCAGCATTGATCTCCTCGGATGTCACCAAGGATGGATCAAATAGATTATAGGAGAGTTGGGTTCCCGCTGTAATCAAGACGGTGTCAAGAGAAGGGAAATCCTTGAGGGTGCCATCAACATTGGTAGGAAGAGTAGCCAGGTCCGATATATCGAACTACAAATGAATTGTACGTTGGTTTTGTGGCCTAGGTTGAATATTGAGGCGTACCAGATATTTAGACGACGTACGTACCTGGCGTGTTTCGAGCCCAGGCAATTCCTTAGCCATTTCCTTCAATTTGTCTTGGTTTCGACCTGTGCTGATTACTTTCTTTCCCATACTATGAAATCGGCGAGCAAAGGCTTCACCAATGCCAGCGGTGGCACCGATGATAAGTATCGTATTAATTCTAGAAGACATTTTGAATCGCATTGAGTTCATCGTAGAAATTGAGTCCGAGAGATGAGAGATAGGTACCTAGGTAATTGATCAATTTATGTTGCTTCGTAGGGTATGAAGGGATTCTACCCCTTACTTCGTCTTCACCCCTAACTTCATTGTGTGCGCGTATAAATGAAGAATATAAAGAACTGGCTAGGAAGATGTGGTATAATCACCGAATCTCTAGTTATAGTCACCATGATTTCAGATTGTCCCTTGCAAGAGGCTTGAAGAAAACGAAGCCATCTATCTTACCCAGGTTGTAGGTACTTGGTTAGGTAATAAGAGTTAATGCTACCTACCTAGGTAAGTATTCAGTGAAACTACTAGTGCCTGGGCTATGAACATTCGCTTTAGGGGAAAAAGATAGCTATAGGCATGATATTAATCCCCTATTAAAGCTAAAGGCGGGGTGGGCGGGGTTATGAAGGGGGGCCCTATCCACCCCACTTCCACCAAATATCGACCCCTCAATCCAACTTGCCCAACACATCATCCCTTGTAGCGCTGCCTGCTATCGCTATAACTCCCCAAGACCGTCAACCGCGCCAACTATAGCTGGAGCTGTACTCCCTGGGAGTGTTTAGTGACTTTACTTTGTATTGCAATTTTTCTTCTCCTTGCGGTCTACTTGTGAGAATCGATACCGCTTAAATTTGAAATGGAGATGATGGGGCTGTGAATCTCAAAATGGCGGATAACTCGACTGCGAATATTAAGAAGAATAGGGACCATTTCCGGGCGGAGATTTGAGATTTCATTCTTGTTTCGATCACGGACTTAGGTATCCGTCGGCGGTGGAATAAGAAAATGGCGAATACTAATGGTTTGTTCAAAACATCAATGTCGCGTGCGCCTGCGTTTTTGTCCGCCGCCGGCGGCGGAATGATGGTATCTACCTATAGATACTATATCGTCCCACCCCGTCGCAAGCCGTCGCCTAAGAATAAGCGGATAGAAGAGAAGTCTTGTGTTTTACATTAAGTCTCATTTCTGCTGATTATCTTCTTATTGCTTGGATACAAGAGTTATTTATTATCCCGTCCACACTTCGGAACAAGCGGTATGGCGGTCTCCGAAACAGATCATCCCGAACCATCAGATGTATCCAGATATAACAGTCAGGTTAACTCGCAGGGCCTGCATGATGCTATTCGAACAGGAATTGTTGAGCTGGCCATGAAGGAACCCGAACCAGAATATGCTGGCCCTTTTCGCTTGATTATGATCATGTGTACCATCAACCTGAGTACTCTGATTGCGTCCTTAGATCTCGTAAGTCATAATTTAACTATTATGAATTTCCTTTAACTCAACTAATAACCATTTTTAGGGGATCGTCGCTACAGCAATTCCAGCCATAACTGATGAGTTCCATGTACTCAACGACATCGGGTGGTATAGTGGCGCTTGCTTCATCCTCGTTGGCGCTACCTCTGCCATGTGGGGAAAACTATTTACGTATTGTCCAGCACAATTGGTCTATATGGTATCTCTGTTCATATACATGGTTGGAAGCGTCGTAGCCGCAGCTGCCCCGAATAGCCCCGCATTGATCACCGGCCGAGCTCTTCAAGGTGTTGGATGTTCAGGTACGTTTTGTTAAATGCTATTATTCGTGCTTAAAGAGATTCTATACTTCTCAAGGTGAATTGAGCGCTGATATTCGATATTATAAGGCACGCTTTCTGGCTCCGTTATACTCATCAACTACACCGCTGCTCCCCCAAAGCGCCCTATTCTTATCGGCGCTTGGATGGGCGTATTCATGATCGCCACAATCCTTGGGCCTTTGCTTGGTGGTGTATTTACCACCGAGGTCACTTGGCGGTGGTGCTTCTGGATTAACCTGCCCGTAGGTGGACTTGCGCTCGTCATGCAGATGTTCTTTCTTCGCATTCCGAAGCATATTAAACCTGTATCAGCTACGTGGAGAGAGATTCTGTTACATCTTGACTTTCCAGGCTTTAGCATTCTGCTATGCTCCCTGATTTGTTATACTCTAGCGCTGCAGTGGGGTGGTTTGAGTAAATCTTGGAGGTATGGATGACGATGATATTCTAGTCTCAATAAATGCTGACACGTAGGTTATAGTATGTAAACCCAAATTGCGATCCAACTCCCTCGACTATGATGAACGGTTAATATCTGCTTGTCGAGGATATGAGGCTGACTTGTAATAGGTGACGGAAATGTGATTGCCACCTTGGTCATGTTTGGAGTCTTAGCCATCAGTTTTTTCGTCTGCGAATATTTTCAGGGCCGTTACGCCATGATTCCACTGGATCTTTTCAAGCCGCGTGCGATATGGTCTCAGACCGTATTCGCTTACATGTGAGCGCTTGTCTACCAGTTCAATCATAACCCTTCTGACCAATTTTTGAACAGGTATAATTGTCCTAGCTTTCTTATCCTATTCAATCTCCCAATTTATTTTCAATCTGTGAAGGGTATTACAGCTATCATGAGCGGGGTATATCAGCTTCCATATGTGGCATTCTTTGCGCTTGGATCTATGATAAGCGGTGGCATTATTGGAACGACACGCCATATAATGCCGGTAGAGCTTGTCGGCGCTTTGGTTGCAACACTTGGTGCAGCTTTGGTCTACACATTGAACGCCGATTCCTCCAAAGCATGGTACGTTGGGGCTCAAATTCCTCTTGGTATCGGCCTCGGTCTCGGGAGTCAGGTCCCGGTCACCGCACTGCAAGGATTTTCGAAAACGGAATTCGCCGGGGTGATGACTGGTGGACTGTTCGGTAAGTATATATTGCTAGATTAACCATGAGACATCACCCTTAACATTGTGATATAGTGTGTCAAACGATAAGTGGTGGCTATTTCACCACGGCGGCTAACTCCATCCTGGAAAACCTCATCCTGGCAAACCTAGCCCGCGAAGCCCCCGAAATCGATACACAGAAGGTCTTGGCTGTCGGGGCATCTGAAATATGGTCGAATTTTAACGGGACACAATTGACGGATGTCATCAACGCCTATATGGAGGGTATTAAGGGTGTTTTCGCCTTTATTTTGGGGAGTACCGCCTTCACGGTCGTCCTGGCCCTCATTATCCCCATTGAGAAACTTCCTAATCATGATAGTGAAAAGACGCAGACGGAAGTCTCTACGGATAATGAGAAGGTAATTATTTAAAAAGCACTTGTTGTATAGAGGGCAATTGATGGTTTTGTAAGCGAACTGAACATGATAATTGTAGCACGCTGAATGGGGATGCCTCCAAAATCAAGGAATCCATCGCTGTTAAGCTTCATAGATGGCCTTTGGTTTTATAATTAATCGTTCGGACACAAATCAACTGTATAAATGATAAGAATTTATAAATACTTGCGTGGTAAACCTGTTTGGTACTTAAATCAATTTGTATCTACCTAGGTACTCTGTAGATACACTCGACTTAGTCCGAAAAGGGCATCCCGATTAATGTTGGAAATCCGTCTTAATAGAGATAGCAAATTGTTGCATTATAAAATCGAATAGTATAGCTTTGAAATCCTCTACTTATTACCTTGGAATCTTTGCATCTTGAACTACCCAAACAATTTGTGATGTTGAAATGGCTACTAGGCACCCTCCCCTATTCCTGTATTACTAATTAATCCTTTTTCCACCGGGTTCGGCGGAACAATACCCAGGTAAGAACCATTACTAATTAGTATTCATCATCATCTGATCGTTTAAAGCCATGGCAGTCTTTCCGTTATTGCTGGAGAATAGGATTCATAATTAATACTGTTATTTTATAAAATGAATCGTGATGCCTCCGATACACTCTTCTAATGCCGATGGGGATTCGGACGCGAATACCTATTACACAACTGTCTCGGATGCCAAGCGAAGGAAGACTCGTAAGGGCACGCGGAGTTGCTGGGCTTGCAAGAGGCGCAAGGAAAAATGCATCTTTGGCTCGGGAACGTCGACGACTCTGAAAAGGACAACTATCTGCCTCGGCTGTCAGCGACGTGGTACGCGATGTGTGAGCCAAGAATTCCCCGATGATGATGTATCAGTCCCGCCGGACGGTGCGCGCCAGATGGGTGATCGTATGGTGAGGCTTGAGGCTATGGTCGAGGAATTAGTCAACAGGCTTGGTAGTGACAATGCCCGTGTTGGCTGCCCGCCCGCAAGCAACCCTACCAGTATGAGGAGGCGAGACAACGAGATTCCGACGCCAGCGTCGATTGAATTAGAATCTACCCAATATGTAGCTCAATCTCGCGATCGGCCGGCTGGATTGGATACCTCGATTGAGACTCCCCGTGAGAATCCAAGCTCGGTGTCCGAAGTCACTCACCTCACCAACGACCAATTTGCTAGGCTCCAACGCGCAACTGACATACCTACTAGCCAACAGAAGTTACTCAAACTATCTCAGATGTTGCATGAAATGCTGCCACCCCTTGAAGACAGCGGGATCATATGTAAAGCTAGTTATCGTAGCTTCTACATGTTCGATGAAGTATTGACCGTGCCATACACAACTCTCAATCAGGGAGGATCGAAGTCGCCGGAGGACATACTCGTTAGGCCTGGGATAGATGCGCACCCTGTTCTGATAGCGAAGTATATGCTTCAGCTTGCTCATATCATGCAACAATTCCCTCTAAGTATTCGCGAAGAATTAAGAGGACTATCTGAGTCCCCACAAGAGATGCTTGAACGATTGGCAGATGCTGCTATCAGTCTTGTATCGACTCAAGAGAAGCTTCTTGGCAGTATCGAGGGCTTAGAATGCGTCATGCTCGAGGGTATGTACTATGCTAACTGCGGGAATCTAAGACTGAGTTGGGCAGCATGTCGAAGAGCCATGCACCTCGCACAATTGATGGGGTTTCACTTACCTAGTAGCCGGCTACGATATCGCATGCTAAACCCCAATACTAAAGCAGACCCCCGTTATATGTGGTATCGTATCGTGCATTACGATCGTTACCTATGTATAATGTTGGGTCTACCTCAAGGATCTAACGATTGCAGCATGGCTACTGACGCTATGTTCGAAAATGACACACCACTCGGACGCCTCGAACGAATGCACTGCGTTCTTGTTGCTAAGATACTCGAGCGCAATGAGTCGGACGCAAGATCGGGGGATTCCGCCCTTACGGAAGAACTAGATAGGGAACTCCAAAAGGCGGCAAAAAGTCTGCCTAGTAGGTGGTGGCTCATACCGGACCTGAGAAACACCGAAAAGAACGACGAGGGCTTATTCTGGGACCTTAAGCGTCTAGTTACCCAGATGTATCACTATAATATACTCAATCGACTCCATTTGCCATACATGCTTCGGTCCTCGGATGATCGTCAATACGAGTACTTTAAAGTCGCCTGCGTGAATGCATCGAGAGAGATTCTCTCACGCTTCATCGTATTACGAAATTTTAATCGAATAGCCATCAATTGTCGCACATCGGATTTCGTAGCCCTGATGGCTGCGATGACTCTTATCTTGGCTCATTTAGACAGCCATCGTCAATTCTCGCGTGCGAGTAACTTCTTAGCCCACCAATACTTGAGCGACCGCGCCATGATGGAGCAGGTCCAAGAAACCATGGAAGAACTCAGCCGTCTAAACGCAGATATCTTTAGTGCGGAATGTGCCGACTTGTTGAATCGCTTACTAGCAATCGAAGCCGAGGCGGCTGACGGTCTTGGAGGTCATGTTGAAGGTGTCCGCGTAGAGACACAGAAAACGGGAGTAGCGGAGAAAACCGAGAACGAAGCTAGCGACGGTATCGTGAGCGTAACGATTCCTTATTTCGGAATCATCAAAATTACCTGTGAGGGAATTTCTAAAGAGACACCCAAGTCATCCCACATTCCCCACGAGTCACGCAATAGCGAGATACGGCTTCTGTCGGAGATGGGGAACGTAGGTAACGTAGGTGGCGTAGGAGTTGCGGAGTTATCAACCCCGGCGCAATCACGGTCACGAAATGCATTTTATACCACCGTTAACAATCCAAATTTTGTTCAACTAGAACCACAAACCCCGAGCAGCCTTTTTGATCTTCCACTTCCAGGACTAACTGCTGGAGTTGATGACTGGACGTTCCAAGGGGTCGATACGGCATTTTTTGACAGTTTGATGGGGACGGCTGACGATAATGGGTATGTTGGCGTGGAGGGACAAATATCGAAATGAGTTATGGCCGTAATTCTTGGAGGATTGATGTCGTATGATGCAAAACAAAAGACCTGACTCGTTTGACAAGCAATAGCTCGTTACGAATAAAATTTTGTTTGTATTTGCATAATGAATTGAAAATGTTCAAAAAAGACCGCGACCATTAAAATTCGGGTGGAGGTAACAGGTTGAATTATGATATGTCATATTAGGTACATATTGTGGCGCACTTATCTTACCGTTTACATTCTCATTCGGACCTTTTTGGCACTGAGGTTTTCAGCTGTCTTCCTCATGATTAAACCTGACTGCTGGAGGAGAGGTTTAATAAATAACATACCTACGCGCGCTTTGCAGTATTACCCGACGTCCGGACTATGATGGTGACCTTGTGGAGATGTCGAGGCTCTCAACTTGGATATTACAGAGATTACGCGTTCATAACCGTTACACGATGCTGCCTGATACGGAAAGTCCGATAGACGATGAAGTACGATCCCCTCCGCATTCAGAGGTTAGCGACCGCCACGACAATGTTGCAGAGCGTCGAAAATGGAGCCATCGCGATCGCTTTGCGGGAGCATTGCTCCTCAATATCGCCTCGTTTTTCCTCCCAGCACTTTATAATACACTTTCCAAGCTATGGGTTGCAGACATCGACTCTTCACTCATTGTCACCACCGACGTGTACACATACATCGGTGTCGTGGTTGAGGTGTTGAACGAGGGCCTACCCCGCGCTTCTTGGGTCATCATTGCGGACAAAGCTTCGCGGTCTCCGACACAACGTCTTGGTCTCGCCTACACACTCATCTTATTCCAATGTGTTCTCGGGATGACAATGAGTATCGCTTTCCTAGCCGGTGCGGCAACTTTCGCCGAGGGGTTCGTCCCGCGCGAGGTTCGTGCTGTAAGCGTCACTTATATTCGCATCAGCGCATTCTCGGCACTGAGTTCTACGATCGAGACGGCCGTAGCGACGGCTACGAGAGCCCTCGATAAGCCTGACGTACCATTAGTCATTAGTATGACTAAATTTGTCGTGAATATCGTGTTGGATATGCTCATAATTTCGCGGTTCCACGTTGGCGGGTTCCAGCCAACAATCAACATGCAAGCTGGAATTCAACTTGCATGCTCCCTAACGGCTGCCTTCGCAGGACTCGGCTACTTCTTGTGGACAACAAGTCTACAACATAGACGTGAAGCACAAGAGGTCTCCGATAGAGCTCATGCAGACGTCTCTCAACAGTATTCCCAGAGCGGCATTGAGATCCGTCCAAGTTTCCGTGCCTTAGGTGTGCTGGCACGGCCTGGTGTCCTAACACTAGCTGAATCTGCCATTCGGAACGCATTATATCTCTGGCTAGTCAGCACTATAGTAGCATTAGGAACTACCTATGCTACCGCGTGGTCAATATTTACTACCATCCGATGGGGACTTGTGATGGTTCCTGTTCAGGCGTTAGAGGCAACAAGTCTTGCGTTCGTTGGTCATAATTGGGGATCCTGGCGGCGCCACATTGGTAAAACTATTCGCAGACCGGGCCGAGTGTCCCTTTCGACAATATTTCACATTGTGAAACCAGCTTTAACATCTCTCGTCATTGCATTGACAGTAGAGGTCCCTCTTGCCATCTTCTTGTCGATTTGGGGTGCTAGGTCCTTCGCTTACTACCTAGGCCAAGTAGATGAAGTTGCCGACATCACAGCTTATATGTGGAAGACTATCGATTGGTGTTACATCTTCTATGCTATGTCAACTCAACTTGCGACGGTCCTCCTCGCTACACAACCGAAATGGTACCTTTACCAAAGCCTAGTCAGTAATATCTTCTACGTCCTTCCTTGGGCTATAGTCTGCCAAGTCATAGATATAGATACCAATAATGCCTGGACCTATCATGGCTTGGTTTTCGGGGGAAGTTTGGTCTTTAGCTTCATTGATATTGTTGTAGTAGATGCGCTGTGGGTGTGGACGCTGATGACTGGCAAGGCGAGGTTAGAGACATTCAGAGAAAATTAGGACATATAGGGATCCCTTACAACCGCGAGACTGAGCTCATGGCCACGTATACTCAAATCTATATACTCTTCTCGTGATTAATAGGAGTCTACCCAGGTACGCGATAGCTTAATACAGAGTAACTCTTTCAATTCACAAAATGGGTTACCACGACTGGAAGCTGAATCGAATAAAGCTGCGAAAAGCTCTATTTTCTGGTTCATCTTGAATGGGGAGCGTACAGTATACAATAGGCGCCAAAAATCCATACGCGGCCCCGGTCGCTTTCCTTCGTGCCGCCCCAAGTAACGTGATGAGTTTCAGAGTATGGTATCTACGAATCTAACTAGAATTTGGTCCGACAGGATGAATATTCGCTTTGTCTTTAGCTGTAGGTGCAGGACTGCCTATTCCGTCGCCAATTTAACACAAGAGGGTCCTTCTAGAAACATCTAACCTGGCTAATATAGACCTGACCTTATCGTCCACGTTGACGCCCATGTTCTGGTGAGCAAATTGCAGCAACATACCCGCTTGACACGCGTCATGAAGACTTAGAGGGTCTACTACCTCTAATAGGCGCCGGTAGAACTCATACATCAAAGATCAGTCCGCGGTTTCAATCCCGTAAACCTTGGCTGCCTCTCGAATTTGCGGGATGGAATCAACCGCATTGACTTCTCCGACGGCTAGGTAATGGCACAACCTCCAGACAAGCGGACGTTGTCGCTCAGGACAGGAAAGAAAAGCTCGTAAGTGAGGCCAATCTCGGTCAATTTCATTGCCATATCCATAGCTGTCGAAGAGAGAAGGTAGCGTCAAGGAGCTCCAAGCCCTCCAGAACTTGCTGAAAGTACACATGCGCGGATCAGGAGGGCCGTCATACGGGATACCTAGACTCTTGCAGTACTCTACCCGTTATCTGTAACCCCATAATAACGTGTTATAGAGGCTACCCAGCCTGCCTTCCGCGTGTTTGATACCCTCGAGGCTTAGGTCTCGATTTGGCTTGATACAGGCCGGGAATCCAAAATCATACCACATATCTAGAGTACTATCAAGTGGTGAAGGGCTAGTACTGTCCATGGAAAATGCAAAAAACACGAAGCATCGTCGCTTGTCGAACGGTTCTAATTGCTCTATGGTTTTCCCGGCATCTTCCCCGTCTAGACGCGGCGCAGCCACCTGGAAAACCCTATCAAGGTAAGCGGAAGCAGAGGACTCTTCTTTAGTTGTGCTGACGTTTTGGTCGAGTATGTGCTTATTGCGAAGGACCCAGGGGAAATATTTTCCACGTGATGTCTCGGGTATCTTCTCGTATTCCCGCGCGATATTTTGAAGGAGCGATTTGTCTCTACGCCAGGCATCAACTCGTTCACTCGGGACATCCAAATGAATGAATAAACCGATATAAAGACCAAAAAGATGTGTCCTCTCATACATGGTTTTGCAGCGATTGAAACCAAACTCTTCCAGAACCTCGGGGTCCTCCGGAAGCCTATCGGCAAGACAATCTCGATATAAATAGTCTGCCGTATTGATTGGCCTAGCGTTACAATAAAAGATGTGGTGAATCCCCATTTGACTTTGGCATAGCGAGCTGCAATACCAGCCACGATTACAGAGCGTACAGCGTCTCGAAGTTCTCGTGTAGCATATTTGGCAGTCGCCTTCAGTCTCATGTGTTCCTAACGACTCAAACTCGGGTGGTCCTTCATCAGAGAAGGGTGCGTGTTCTGGCGATGCCGATCTATGTTGAGAAACGGATTAGTAAATATAGGGAACTTTAGCGGCGGTTATCCAAGTGCTAGATTACCTCTTAGATGACGATCCCACGTTCATGTATTCTCTATTGGCACGTAAATGGTTCGCTATCATACCAGCGACACGCGGATTGTCTCTGTATGGTGTAACAGTGGCAATCGAAGATCCCCCAATGGTTGATTCTTTGATATGAGGTCGAGGATCCTCACCATATTCTAGAAGGATCTTGCGACAAGACTTTTCGATCTTCTTGACTGTAGACGATATAAGATCCATATGGCTTTCACTTAGTCCGCCGAGGTCAGGTAGCGTCCATAGTTCGTAAACCTTTCCATGGCATCCTCGGCTGATAAATGATCCGACCGAATCAATGAACTTGGAACATAGGAGACAATTTCGTTTACTACACCCTATGTACTTGAATACTTCGCTGAACGGGATCCCTCTCCGGAGCAGGTCCAGAATAAGCTGTATCTCGGCGTGAATATTATTATCGGCCGCTCTAAGTTTGTTGAATCTGGTTACTAGTCTGTCTCTTGAACTTAATGAATGCATTGTTTTCTTTGTTTGCTCGTCAGTGAACGGTAAACCAAGGGACTTGAATGCTTGTCCCACGGTCAAGGCATGCATGCTAGACGGTTTCTTTTTCGGGCACATTGTTTTAGTGAGGGATGATAGTTCAACCCATCGCAACTGTAGTTTATCGAACCCCTCAATTCTCTCGGCGGCTCGAAGAAAAGTCAATAGAGCTCCATGAAACCGGGCAAGGAGGTAGATATTCTCGCGAATCTTCCTTCCAAACGATGGTCTCCCGGGTAGGATATTTTCGAACTCAGCGGGGCTGTACGATACTCGTAATTGGTAAGCTTCGACGATAATACCGTCCTTATCATTTATCTCTGGTGTCAACATATTGGTGAGGGTCTCGATACGTTGAACGAAGCCTTCGGTGTTGTCGGGATGGGTTTGTTTCAATAGGTCAACTTGGTCTCGACTCAAGGTCTTCCGTAGTATTGAAACATACTCATTGATCCTAGGCGTGTATTGAGTCAACAAGGAGTCCCACAATGCCGATCGGTTCTCTGGTAGACAAAGTGTGAACGTAAGCTACCTAAATATTAAAAGGGTTAAGATGGCTATCATGTATACATACCTCCACCCTGGGCGATGTTCCTCAAAATACGTCCTAGATTCTCGAGAAAACTTTTGTCTTTTTGCTTCAAGCCATAATTCTTGGCAATCGTAATCTCGGAAATCCCTCTTGTTCATTCAGGAGCGTAGCAGAAACTTCAAGACCGCCTTTTGCCGTCGATATAATCTCGGAGAGCCTGTCAAGAAGAGCACGTTTCAGTTTATCATGGTCGAAGTCTGTTAATCGCTGTCCTGTGATAGAGTCACCATCGTCTATAGATTTCGATATATCATATTCTTCAAGAATCGGTTCGAATTTAGTAGCGTCGCTTGCTTGACCGCCGTAACGAAGACTCAGTAGTTTTGTATAGGCTTCGAAACGTGGCTTGTTCAGGCCTTCCAGTCCCAATGAAAGATACTCGTCATCGTGTATAGACCATGTGTATTGATAAACCGGATATGAAGGTTTGTGTCTGGAGTTTCAAGAAAAGAAATGTTGGGCGAAGGCGGGAAAGTGATATTATGATAGGTTAAGTGGTCGTCTGCAGGTGCATTGAATTTGTGCGACAGTGACAGCGTTCCGTGTCAATTAAATACGGTTCGAGACGGAAAAGCCATACTCAACACGGTTGGGACATAGCTTTGTTCGACATCCGTTCTCGACTATGAAGGTGATAGAGAAATGGATTGTGATATATCGCGACAAGTTGAATATAAAGATTCACTCGGCACATCCCTCGGCCAGGGTTATTAGAATTACCTGAATAATCTATGGAGTCTTCATTAGGTTTTTGTTTTTTTAAACTAGGTACAATTTCTAATACAATATCCGCTCATAATGTCAATGTATATTCCAAGTTATTAAAATAATACCTTGGATTGTTTAAACAGATTCTTCAACAACCTTCCATTCCTTCTTAACCCTGATAGCTTTTAACTCCACGTTGGTATAATTATCTGCTCCATGGGAGGAACCGAAGGAACTACCATCTGCCTCGGCAGTTGTCCCACCACCAAATTTCGACTGTTTCACATGTAGTTGTCTCGTCGAGCTGTTGTCGTCTTCTAGTTCTGAGAACCCCCCCATTCGAGGAGCCGAAGGAGCTCCGGAACCACCAATAGTAATAGTTCCGTCGGCGTAGCTACTGTGTTCGACTGACGAATTCTTTCGAGATACTAATGGGCGGAGAAGCGGTATACATGCTGCAGTTACCAAGAGACAGGGTTCCAGCGCACTAAACGCGAGTGCGACACCGCTGGAAAATGGGAAGTCGTCTAAGTCGACTTTGATAATCTCGGCAAGTCGGACGGCGCTCACAATACAGACTCTGTATCTCTATGCGTTAGCTGGCGTGGTTAGTAAACGGAAAGGTGGAGTCGGTGACTTACGCAAGTCCAATTCCAAAGGTCACTACCAATCCAATCTTTTTGTACAACTGTAGCGATAGGCCCCAAATGTGTGGCATGGGAAGGAATATAATAACCAGGTCACTGAAGATATTGAGCCCACCGGTTACGGACCATAACAACCTAATATCGCCACAAGTCCCCGGAGTCGAGAATCTGTCCCAGTTGTACCAAACTGGCGTACATATGGAGAAATGACCGATTATCAAGGCCATGGCACAGAGTACGACAAATACGGCACAGGCTTGAGCGGCAAGAACGAAGCTCCTGACACTGAAAATCTTGGCGTATAACGCGAGGATGGATAGTTTCGTTAACGCGAGACTAACGCCCCAGAATACGATGATCGCGGTTACAAGCTCCAGGAGAAGAGTTAGCGACTCCTTCCCTCCCATCGCAAGGACCTCAGTGGTGTGGTATCCCATCCCTCCAACCACAGCACAGGAGACTGCAAGTCCTTGGTATGCGACAGCGACAATCTGAACAATTGCGTCTTGTTAGAAACTTTCTGTAGAGACGCAGGTATACTCGAGCGAGTAAGAAACTTACACATGCTAAGATAATTAGCCAGTCGCTCAGATCAAGAATGTGATTTCTGATTCTTGATCGCGCTATCAAGCGCAGAACAACGGCAGTCACCGGTAACAATGAGAAAATAACGGCGCATCCGATGAGAACCTTCTGGCTGTCACGCTCGATTGGGAATATGTACGGCATGGTACTCTCTGGTCGAGGCGCGGGCCTCGGTCGGTACTCGAAAAACAGTCAGCCGTAGTGACAACCGTCCAATAAGTGAATTGGTCTTTTGAGGTTCGGCGTGGTAGCATTTAACGGGCCTTAGTCATTATAAGGAAAATTTATGACTATTCTTTTAAATATCGGACTATAGGTCCTCCTTTTAACTAGTAGCGAACGCGTAAGTAAATTCAGAACCACAACGAGCACAAAGATTATTAGAAGTCCAGAAACTATCCTAGAAATACATAGCAATTTCCATACTTTGGTAACGACACCCGCTAGTAGGGATACAAAAATCAAGAGTTTCAGTGCGTAAGGGGTCTTAGGTGAAAATCAGGCTTTTTACCTAGGTATATCCGAAGAGATTTAATGGGGAATTTTATTCTTATAAGCATTTTGTATATACCCAGGCCGACAAGAGATTTGCGGCAAGTAAATCCAATGCTAACCTTCTTAATCACTAAATGCTACATTAAAATCTGTCTATTTAGCGTATTGTGAATGTTATGTATTACCTCGGTGAAGAACCCGTTCGAACATTTCTCTTACCTAGGGGTCGGTTTATGCTAAGAGGCCACTTTCTTTACAAGTGTTATGAATTTCCTGTCGATGTTCTTCTCGTCTTCACGTCCAGGATAACTGGACAGATAATATGTTTTTGTATCTTGTTCATGTAAGCATTTTAATCGGGCACTAAGTTAACCTCTTGGAGTTGCCATCGCTCTCTTTCTCGTTTTCTGCATCGAAACCACACTCTGACCGCCTGCGCCGCTCAGCCCTTGGAAGCTAGGATAGTCACCGCTCCCGGCATAAAGGAACCCCAGTACGACGACGACTATCATTGCCCCGCCGTGGCGGGCCCGTGCAATGTAACAACGGCGCATCAGGCTCAGTCCGGGTTAGTATCATATCATATCGAATGATTATTGATTTGTGGGTCGAAGAATGGATATTCTACTATGGTTACAGGCCAAAGTAAAACGAACTCTTTCAATATCTTACAGGCCTACCTTGGTAGCACAGACTAATTGTCTTATGGGATATATCGATCTCTATAGTACTTTGCATAACTCTCTTGGCATGTAGGCATAGCGCAATACTAGTCCCACTTACCCCTAATACCGTAGTATCTCTTCAAGTGGTATGTAGTTTTCTTCAACCAGCGATAAGAGACCAGAAATACAAATTTTACATAATAAATGCGTGCTCTTAACCAATTAGAATCGAATTTTTATGAATGTCAATGCTTCAATATATCCCACCTAATGCTTGGCTGGGGAAAATTATCACTTGAAGGAACTTGAACCCTGGCACGTAATTACTAAGGTTCGAGGCTTATGAAACAGGTTATTGACTGGGTGCCGTGGTAGCTAAATAATTTCCCCTCCCGACCCCCCTTTTTAGAGCGATACTCTTATATACGTCTCGGGCCGCTAGCCACGTGGCAGATAAACTAGGAATTCGATATTTGTACGGGGCCGGAGTCATCTTCAGCTGCGTAGGTCCACACCGTTTTGTTTATATATATAGGAGAGTCCGAAGAGGATTTCGTTCTTCAAAGCACTACTTACACCGACCAACAATCCCCTACCTCCGCGCGCCTAAAAAAAAAAAATTAAGATAAAACAGCGAAGAGAAACAACAATGGCTTTTGGCGTCACCACCCCCGAATTTTCCGAAGGCTGCGCCGTAGTCTTCGGTGGCTCCGGCGGTCTCGGCCGCGCGAGTGCCGGCCTAATGGCGGAGCGCGGTTCTAACATTGTTGTCACCTACCGATCGCGCTCTGCTGAGGCCGAATCCTTGGTACAGGAGCTACGCAAGCTAGGGCGCCAGGCGAGTGCGGTAGCCTGCGATGTCACTGATCGCAAGGCCGTGGAGGCCGTCTTCAAGCACGCCGTGGAAACATATAAGCGGGTACACACAGTAGTGTCCGCCGGCGGTCTCGTGTTTGACACAGGCCCGCTGGCTGCATTCAAGGAGGAGTCCTTTCGCGGCGTCATCGAGACTGATGTCTACGGCTTCTACAACATCGCCCAAGTCGGCGTGCCGATACTACGTGAAGGCAAAGGCGGCTCGTTCGTGGCCCTAGTCACCAGCGCGGTGAACCGCACCGTGCCATGCGATGCGCTCTCGGCCACGCCCAAGGCCGCCGTGGCAATGATGGTGCGCCAACTCGCCACCGAAGAGGCCGCTAACGGAATCCGCGCCAACGCTGTGGGACCCGGCGTTATCAACGCTGGTATGGTGCTGCCTATGATGGAAACGCCGACACGAGCGCTATTGGAAGGTGCCACAGCAGTCACGCCTCTGCAGCGCTGGGGAGAGGCTGCCGAAATCGCCGAGGCAGTCGCGTTCTTAGCCTCTTCTAAGGCGTCCTACATCACTGGCCAAATTTTGATGGTCGACGGCGGCCTCGCAGCATAATTCAAATGGACCTTGCGCGTATACCAGATTTGGGCGAGGCTTGCTGTAGCATGAGTTTGGTCTATAACGACAGGGGGCGGTTAGATTAAAGGAAACACGTTATAGGATTCGCCTCTAGTTCGACATTGAAGCCAGACACTAAGACCGCCTCGAGCCCCAAGCGAACACGTCTCTCGCGACCGTGTGAATCCTGGTTTATAAACTTCTTCGTTCCATCCCTGAGTCTCTTAATATAAAAAGACTTAATATATATTATATGTATATTCCCTCAGCCCTCCATTTCAAGTCTCGTTGTGATACGCAGAACACTCTTAAAAACTTAGTAATAACACTTAAAAATTATGGAAATTTTACCCGTAGTTATTTTAATTTCCGCCGTTCTCCACCCGGGCATGCCGGTATAGCTAGCCTTTTCAAGCATCATTAACCATGTCGGATCCTTGAAGCCTAGATTTTGAACAACCCCCGTCAACTTGGTAAGCTTAAGCCTTTTAAGGGTTACGGTATATTTTTCTCCTATGCGGCGTTCTGATGACAACTAGTTTAATAATCGCCGTTTACATTGTGCCATTGAGGTATGACCGAAGCGTTTATAACTCTTTCGTGTACATCCGATTCCACACTGATAAAACAAATTCACAACAACGTATTCTCAACAGTCTAACCATCTAACGATGAAGGGTTTACTATAGTAATTGAATGGTGATTGTAGGTGCAACGAATGTACCTACCTAGGTAGGTACTCAGTAGCGACTCCATAATCCGTGACCTCTAACGTCTCGATACGCCTGGTAGTATAACTTTTCAAGACTTGTCTTGCTGGCTGTCCCCGCTAGACCGATCTACATTCTCGTAAACTCTCTAGTTTATTTAAATCAGATACAAGGGCTAAGTACCTCCATAATCGTAATTAGGGCATGAGCCGTCTTGCTGTTTCTCAGCGGTGACTGCTATGCCTGAGCCGACCTCGTCGCCGGAAATCCAATTACCATGCTCGCGGCAGAAATAGCCTCGACCACATCCACATCTAAGGGCACCCCACCGTTCATACTCCTTTAACCAACTATCGTGATCAGTATTGTTGGTAATGCTAGGCTCCGGCCGGGGGACGATCCGGAGTTTCGAGAATAAATCCGAAATATTTTTAATAGTAGTCGTACACTTTACACGTAGACACTGAGCAAACAAGTTTGTACAGACTTGTACAGACTTAGAATTTTGAACATTAACCGAGCATGAGAACTGACAGGATCGGGACGTGGCGGCTCGGGAACCCTGGGCGGCGTCATGTCAAGAACCGACTTGATTTTTGATATACTCTCTTCGGTAGTAGGCCAACGACAGTATGAGATGATTATGCTAAACAGATTTTAATTGCTAATCAAAACAAGTTCGTGGTAGAGGCGAGGGAAATATTACCATATGCTTATACGTAAAGTTTAGTACTGCTCCCGTTAGAACTCTGCCCTCTCGACGCGGCAGGCTCGGTCACATGTGCGAGTAGAATGCGGCTCATTCAACTTGTGAATCCCTTAAGCCCGTAGGTATGCCGTGGGGTCACCGAAACTGTATTACACTCCGTACCAACCGGAGTGGTGCTGTCTCAGCGTGATTCGACGATTCTACGTCATACGTTACGACAACCGCCTCATTCACGCTGGAGTTGGGGCTGCAATGAATTTATTGGATGTTGTTTGTACTCGGTCATGCACGGCACATAACGCCCGATTTTGTTGTTGCCCAGTGATTGCCACCCTACCCCATTTGCCGCGATAAAAAAAACCATAAATTCGATTTGATAGTAACCGCTTTGTGGACGAAATGTTACCTCCTATGCAGAAGAATATTTCTTTAACGCTACTCCGTAGAGTTCTCTCTTAGTGGTGCTGTAAACAGAATGGATGAGGTTAGAATAAAAGACCTATTGAAAGGAAGTGATGCTTCGTGCTAGAAAGAGACTATTGAGGTTAGTATTATATAACGAGATCAACGTCGATTCCTCAAGCTCTTGCGGTACTAACAAATTTCCAATTCTAAAAAACTTAGTTATACAATGATGGTTTAAGAAATGGTTCCTCCAACAAGAAGTTTATTCACCTCGCCACGTCGTACGATGAAAAGATTGACGCCAATTCGCTCCTCTCTACTGCATATAGCTCATATTTGAGATTGAAGAAGAAAAGGGGCTTCTTTGCTGAAACCTTGATTAGGATATGGCATGGCCTCCACATATATTCAAAGACCATTGACATATTTATCCAGCTTGACCATAAGATAGCTTGTCTTGTTTGGGGATCCGTCCGTATTCTACTGCAGGTAAGATAAAATCGTCCGCTTTGGGAAGATAAATAGCTGAAAATTTAGATTACGGAGGAGGAAGAGAGGGCGTCATGTATCGCCGGCGAAGGAATAATGGAAGTCCTCCGTCACGTCGGAAGATGGGAGCAGGGAACAAAGATTTCCGACATGCTAAGCTCAGCTCCGATTCACAAGGCTATAGTACATCTATACGTCAAAGTACTGGGATTCTTGATATCATCGACCCGATGGTTGAAAAAGGCTGCGCCTAGTACGTAAAGCTCCCCTACACATAATACTAATACGCACAACTAAATTGAGCTTGAAGAAAGGTTTGGGGCCTCTATTATTGGCTTGAAAGCAGACAAGTTTGCGGAAAAATTGAAGCAGATGCGAGGCGCATCTGATGTCGTAGACAAGGAAATTCAAGTTCGCGGTATGCGGCGTTTCGCTCTTGAGCCGGCCGTTTACTAATATCTTAATGGGTGAAGCTACACACTGGAGTAGGTAATTCTATACTACCTCTACTGTAAAAATGAACTAGGATATTGAAAACAATTTAATAGGCTTCAATTCTCTCGGCAACCTTACTTGCGATCTACGAGATCCAATGAATAAAATTGACAATATGATGGATCAAATCAGGCAACTTTTAAATAAACAATTAATAAATTATTAATTTTAATTTAAAAGTTAAGATAAAGATTAATGTTATAAACTAAACTCTCTTATAAGGGTATTGTGATGAACCTATGTCTCGAAGAGGTATAGTTGTTGCTGGATTGGCTAATCCGGGGTTTCTTAATTTAAAGATAATAGTATCAATAGTAGGTTAAGTGGTTAAGTTGATTTTATTCGTCAGAAAGGCTTGGAGTTTTCTTATTATATTTGAAAGAATAGTCTTAGATTAATAATTAAAGAATTATAAAAGAATGATTAGATATATAAGAGATTTTTTTTTTATATATCTTTTATTTAAATAGTCTCTGTTTCCTAGATAGAGACCTTTAGAGACCTTTAGAGACCTTGTTGGTAGGTACGTACGTAAATGAAAACAATATAATAAGTAAAGCAAAGTAATGGGGGTGAGACAATATGTATTAAGTTATCTAAGGAAGAAAGATCTATCTATATAAATAGGCAAGAAAGGTAACCTATTTAAAAGGAATCTTGATGACTAAGTAGATCATGTATCCTTTACTTATGCAATTATTACTTATTCTATTTTCTTTTTGCAATCAGTCGATTGTAAATTCATTATTAGCTGTGTATTTTACCCATCTTTCCAGTTGTAAATCAATTTGGTTGTCTTTTATTAGCCTTTTTATAGCCTTATTTGGGGATGTTTTTGTCATGGTGTTTGTAGGGTTATAGTTATTATAAATCTATTGGATGTCATTTATCTTTTGGTTCTTATATGATTATCTTAAAGTTATTAAATTAATCATTAATTTTTTTTCGTTAGTATTACCTATTTGTATCAAATATTGGTATAGGGAAAAAGAGTTGGTATATAGAATGAAAGGGATTTTAATAAGTGAAAAGCATTTTAGAATTGTATTGACAATATGATAGATGATATAGTTGATGTTAAAGCCCTGGACTATTCTGTATATTTTGTTAGTAAAGACATTATGAGTAATGTGCTTACATTTGGTGGATAATTAGTAGATGATATTTCTAATGATCTAGATCTTGTTGTTTTGGCTGGTAGGCCTTTCATTATCTAAGATAATGATGTAACTAATTTGTGAATTTAGGTCCTTGTTATTTACAAATGATCTGTCAATAAAGATGTATAGGTATAAGTCTTGTGGGTCTAATTTGATATAGTTGAATCCTTGTGCTTAATTATCCATCTGTTACTGTATCCTGGTGTTGAAAGCTTTCATTTCCTTAAGGTCTGGTTTGAGGTATTGGGCTGTTATAGAGTAGTTGAAAGTAGCTTTGGGTTGATAGATAGAGGTGATATATGTGCCTTTTGCCTTTTGTTTTACAAACCTCTTGATCATGTCAGGGCTTTTCATGTCTAAGAATTTAAGCTTTTCAGTTTAGCCCTTTTGAATGGTGGAGATCCCAAAGTCCCTGTTGTGGACAGTGATATATGAATTGTTAAAGTCTTTGGATCCTGAGTCCATTATTTTTTGAGGGTGTACCTTGATTCCTGCCCTGGCGAGTGTTGTGTCTTCAGTGGTGAGAAAATCTGTAGTGTTTATATTGAGAGTGTTGTCCGTCTGAAGTCCTGTGATTCCGAAGGGGCCTGAGTCTGTTATTAATAAATAGGGATTAAAGGTTAATGGTTTTATATGTAATTTTTGTTGATGATAATATAAATAAATTTTAAATCAATAAGTACCTGATTTTGTAAAGCTATATAATGATTTGATAACTTATAATAATGTTCTTTTAGGGTATTTATTTTTTAGTTTAGTTAATAATTATATAAAGATTATCTTCTATATTAATATTTTAGATTAAATATATACCATAGTTATGTCCTATATTATGATTTTCATTTTTTATTAATATAATATAGGGATAAGAACCAGTATTAACCATTAATTTATCCTTTAGATAATGGGTACATATATTATAATAAATTCCTTATTAGAATTGTCATATTTTTAAATTATAAGTTATAACTTTTTATAAGAAAAGGGGATATTCTTGGCTTTAATTTTATAAACCATTTTTGATTTAAAGATCATTATATTTTAATAAACTGCCTCATCGTATATTTCAGGTTATAAGATGCCTTTTTTGAATAAAATATTCATTTTTTTCATATTTAATTTCTTATATAATTTATTTAAGATAATTATCTTTCTATTTATTTATAACTTGAATATAAAGGTGAGATTATTCTATTCTTTAATAATGAGGTATAGAATGGCAATATAAAAGATGTTATTAATATATATAAGATCTTCCTCAGGGATAATTTCAAAATCATTAGGATTAAATAAAGATGGGAATAGTTAAATCTTAAATTTCTTTATTGGTATTGGAATTTCCTTGGGTTAGATATATGGTTTAATATAGGAGTTCCTAAATATCAACATGTTGCCAAAAATATTGAAGACTATAGTTATATCTTTATTAATAATTGCAATAATTTTGTAAAGGCCTTTCCATCCTTCTTTTTTTTGGTAGATTAAGACTTTATTATTAATAAAGAATATTATAGGGAGTATTCTTTAAATATTAAGGTCATTTTATATGTTTATGGTATCCCTGATAAAATATTATATCTTGATCCTCCTGATTTTTACCATTGTCTTTTGGATTGTTTATGTCTTCTGGGTCTGTAAGAAAGTGGATAATAAGTCCATGTTGATCCTTAGGTAAGCATTGAAGACCAAGAAGGTAGGGATAAGACTATCTAGATTAACAATATTATTAACTACTTTGACAACTATCTAGAATTGTAATATCTTTGAATTAGAATCCTAAAATTTATCTATTATGATCTTATAGGCTTTATGGATAGGGCCATGATATTCCTTAACCTTGCTAATGGACTAATATGCCTTTACCAATACCTGGTTATAAGTAATTCCAGTAATATAGGTTTTGTTTCTAAATTTGATACTATTGAAGTTGGTATTAGTATTGTGTATGATAATATCTGGGGGGCCAAGATAAATATTAATCTAGCATTACTTTAATATTTCCCAAGTTTCTTTAGCCAAGATGATCCTTATAAAATATGTTGTCTAAAAGTTTATGACTATATTAATTATATATAAGATTGGTTATTCATTAAGGTATATTATATCAACAATTACCTTATAATTAAAATCTATATCTAAATCTTTTAAATTAAATTTGAATCTTTAAAGAACCTAGCTTTTAATTTAATAATAATGATAAAATTTATTAATTTTTTTGATATCATTAATATCAATATTATAGCCAACTTTATCTAATAAATTATATAACTTATTTACAAATAGGTAACCAAAATAGATATAAATACATCATAATTTAGATTCTATAAAATAAATTATATTATTTAAATAAAACCATAGATATCTCCATTTACAAATAATTATAATTATTATTCCATTTTTTCCAATTAACTAATCTATAATATTATTTAAATATATATCTAAATGATCTATATCTTTAAGATATATAAAGAAAGGAATATCCAATTTTATAATATAGAAGTTAATTGATCCGAATGGGACGTCGACCATAATCATTCCCAGTAATTCAATTGGAAGTCTATTGCCAAACCTGATATTTACTTCTCCAACTTGGCTAACATCTATTTTAAGGCCATGTTTAAGGAATTCCCTGATGAAGGTTTAATATTGTCCTTTTCCAACTGTGGACATTCTTATTATGCTTGTATTAGGAATAATCCCCTGGAAGACATTTTTAATATAGTGATCTAAAACAAAGATAACATTTATCTCAGATTTATCAAAGTAGAGGCTAGATATAATATAATATTGATATATTTGGTTTACCAAATATATTACAGTTAGGTATTATTCAACATCTATTTCTTCTGGTTTAATAATGGAAATGTTATTATTATTACCTTCAGAATCAGAACTTTCTTCCTTAATTCCCTTGTAACCAGTTAAAAATGTGTCACAACCCAACAACTTACGGTCGCATCCTTCTAATCGAGTGGGGCATCAGGCACCCAATCATGGAGAAACTACGGCAAGCCAGTCTACTCTGTCAGCTAACAGAGTACAATGCTCTGTTCTATTCCAGAACAGAATAGAGCAAAGGAGGTGCTGCTCTGCCTTACTCCAGAGCAGAACAGAGCAAAGGAAGTACTGCTCTGCCTTACTCCAGAGCAGAACAGAGTAAAGGAAGTGTTATTCTGCCTTGCTCCAGAGCAGAACAGAATAAAGCAGGATAGAAAAAAAGACATTAAACTATATAACCATAAATATTTCTTTTATATTTAGTTATTCTTTTTATAAGTTCTTTAATTATTAATCTAAGACTATTCTTTTAAACATAATAAGAGGATTCTAAGTCTTTTTGACAAATAGAATGCATATAATTACTTAATTTATTATTAATATTATTATCTTTAAATTAAGAAAATCCTAGATTAGCCAAATCCAATAATGATTATACCTCTTTAAGACATAGGTTTATTATATTTTGATAACTTTTTAATTAATATTAATATTAGGTTAAGAAATAACATAAATTATTTACAAGATATCCCTTTACCATTATCAATCAAATCTTTTCTTATTTTATTAACTTTTAAAGATAAAATGGAAAATCTCTATATCTTTTAAAAATTATCTTTTAAAGGATATCATAATTAAATATAGAATAAACTAGTAAATCTTAATCTAAAAAGTAAAGAAGAGTTAGATAAGGAAGAATTCTAGAATGAGGATCTAGATGATTTACAATGGCCTAATCTATTATTGCCCAAAATATCTACATTTATTTATAACATTTGGGATTTGTTACCAATAAAGAAAATATTCTAATTTATTGATAAAATAATGCCTCTTAAGACATACTTGTAGATCCCAGAATTGGAAGTACAGGAGGAAATTAATGTCAGAACAAAAGAAGATAATTAGGAAAAAGAAGAGACCCCTGATTGGCAAGCCAGAATAATGACTACCTTTAAAGAAATTAAAAAACTTAAAAAAGAATTGGCCTTAAAGGAGGCTAAACTTGGGAAAGCCTTTGAAAAATCCTTATTAAGAACCTCTTAATAACCAGCATTTTCTTAACCTTTAGCATCCCCTGGACTTCTAGATAATAATAATAATAACAATGGAAAAGATAAGAAGAAAA